TTCTCCACTTCCACCTTTCCCAACAAAACGACATCTAGCCGGTTCTAGTTACAGTAACGCTTTATCCTCAGCGGAGCTCAAAAACCTGAGTAGAAAACCTGAGTAGAAAACCTGAGTCAGGTTTTGAAGAGCTTTTGACAAAATATTAGACGTTAAGGGTGTCCCCAAAGATTTATCCAAAACATGGTTAACTTTGAGTTATCGTTGGGGACACCCTTTATTCGTCATGTTTCGAAGCTCTTCAAAACCTGACTCAGGTTTTTTCATAGCCTATGAATCATAGGTTGCCAAACTCAGCTTGGCAGGGCATGAAACTTCACGGTTTCCGCTTGAGTCCACCTCCAAATGTCCTCTGAGCTGACTTTTTCACCGTTCACGGGTTGGGTTCCCACATTGGGACTCGCTGGTTTTCCTCGCCTCACTTCTATTTCGAGTTATTATTCACGCTGCGATATTTTTCCAGGGCGGCTTACTTTTGGGCTTCTCCGCTTTCGTAATTTTTTCGTCGGAATTTTTCGACTGTAAAAACAACCTTCTCCTAAATCTTCCTGGCTGATTGGTTGGATAATTCTGGCGCTAGAATTTCGCTAAAATTGATTTCAGAGTCTAATTGTCAATTTAGGACCTATTTTGTCGATTTTAACCGACAATTTTGGGCAAGCGAGAAACAAAGCGAGTTTAAAAATGAGTGTGTCTAATTAATGCTCCAAAATTCGAGATCAAAAGTGTTTTGAAAAGAAAGTAAGCTGGCTTGAAAGCGCGTCTTTTTAATAATTGATCTGAGTGAATTCGCCATCTACTAATGCGGCGGGCACTTATTACCAGTCCCAATATAAAATCAAATAAATTTTTAATCGGGGCGAATATTATTATCGTCTTGGCACACTCTTCTCCAAAAACACAACCAGCGAGTCCAATTTTATGGAGAAAAGCTTTATTTTATTCAATAATTAATTAAATGATTATCAATTATAAATTATTAATTAATTATTGAATAAATTAATATTCAATAATTAACTAATTAATAATTATACTCGGCAACCTGTGTAGAAAACCTAAGTCAAGGTCTGAAAGAACTGAAATGAAAAGCCGCAAAGCGGCTTTTAAGAATGAAGCCGCAGAGCGGCTTCGCCGGAATTTTCGATATATTGTAATTTCAATATTAGCGGCTTCAATTTTAAAAAAGCCGCTGCGCGCTTTTCATCTCAGTTCTTACAGACCCTGACTCAGGCTTTCTACACAGGTTGCCGAGCCCAAATATATAATTTAGACGAAGAGGAAATTGAAATTTGAATTGAAATTGGATCGAGAAGAAAAATAATAATTTGAATAAAATTTTGGCAGGGGAGCGCGACAATTATGGCTTCATCAAAAGGTGAATTTTGTGTTTGACAGCTCCAATTATTCCAAATGCGTTTGATCTAATCGAGGGCAGGCTCTCGGTGGATAAGGCCGCCGGTTTGTGCCCAAAACAGCGCATTAGTGAAACAATCCTCCCAGCCTGCAATAATTCGAAATTCGCGCTCATTTTCATTTTCTCACGCCGCTCTTCTTTTGAAAACAAAATTTTAAGGGGGTGTATAGCGCTAACCTCAATTTTCCATTTAGAAATTTTGGCGCTTTTAGGTGGTAACACCCTTATTTAATATTTGTTATTTGAAATGATATACCCTTAAAAGTTAAGGGGTGTATAGCGCTAACCCCGATTGCCTTACATAATTTTTGCAGTTTTTTAACATGGTGACACCCTTATTTAAACTTTAAATAAAAGGCTTATCGAGAGAAATTTAAGGGGTGTATAGCGCTAACCTTAATTTTCTATTTAGAAATTTTGGCGCTTTAAGCTGGTGACACCCTTATTCAAAATTTGTTATTTGATATGATATCCCCTTAAAATTTAAGGGGTGTATAGCGCTAACCCAGATTCTCTTATATAATTTTTGCACTGTTTTAACATGGTGACACCCTTATTTAAACTTTAAATAAAAGGCTTATCGAGAAAAATTTTAAGGGGGTGTATAGCGCTAATCTCAATTTTCCATTTAGAAATTTTGGCGCTATAAAATGGTGACACCCTTATTTGAAATTTATTATTTGATGTGGTATCCCCTTAAGATGGTCCCCAATTTAACGGTTTTTCTTTCAGAAATTTTGTTACGTAAGAATTTTAGGGGAAAAAACCGTTAAAATGGGGACCCCAAATTTTTTAAAAGGGCTTGAAAAATTTCAGCTTCGCTGAAAATTTTGTATTTTGATGTGCGCTGGCGCGTAGCCCGACTTTGCTCAAGTGAAATCGGCGAAAAAGGGGGAAGAAAAAAGTGGCAGATGTTCTCGAGCGAGATAATCCCCAACTTTTTCCCCAAGTGATCGATTTTCTTCTCGAGCAAAAAATCGCAGAAGGGATGAAGAAAAAGAAGCCACCTGTCGATTTTTACACTTGATATATTTTTGCTTGGGCTCCGATTTGTTGAAGTGATGAGCACTTGATGGCGCTATCAAGCGCTTATTTCCGCAACATTCCGACACAATTGGATTCGCTCTGCTGGAAGGACCCTTCAGCCAGCGCTCGAGTGTTTGAAAAAGATGTGCCCAAAAAGAAGCGAGCAACAAAAAAACGGCCACTCGGGATGATTTCCTCCATGATGCCCTCCGCGCGTTTCGGAAAGAGCGTGTGTGCCCAAACAAAGGCCATCGCGCATCTGGCATTTACGAGTGCCCACAGCCTGTTCAGCTCCCTGTTAAAAACAGGGGGCTACTGGTTGCAACTGGGTAGCCCTGAGAGTCAAGCTCGGCTTTTTCGTCCTTGCTGTGCTCGGCAACTTGCGTAGAAAGCCTGACTCAGGGTCTAAAAGAGCTGAAATGAAAAGCCGCGCAGCAGCTTTTAAAAACGAAGCCGCGAAGCGGCTTCGCCAGAATTTTCGATAGATTTTTTGGTAGTATTAGCGAAGCCGCTTTGCGGCTTCGTTTTTAAAAGCCGCTACGCGGCTTTTCATTTCAGCTCTTTAGGACCTGACTCACGTTTTCCACACAGGTTGCCGAGCCCAGGGAAGCCCTTACTGTCTAGGACTTGGCTTGGCTAAGTCTCTTTATTCCAAAATTATCATTTTCTCCTTTTTGAACTTTGTTGCTTCCGCCCAATCGCGCATTTCAGCGGCTCAATTTGGCGGTAATCCGTTTCGATTTTTATTTTATCTAAGAAAGAAGAAGCCATCGTAGCTCTCTCTCTCTTTGGGATTAACTCGGTTAAGTTATCGGCGGTCCAGGTCTTGCGGTCGCGATTGTCACTCGCTACCAGGTGCGAGGCGAAAACGCCGCCAATTCGGCTAATTTTCACTAAATCAACGGACTTTTACCGCTACTGCCAAAGGTAAAAGTGAGCTAAAATTTAGTGAAAAGCCGCATAGCGGCTTTTTTAAACGAAGGCACATTTTTGATACTTTGTAATGGTTAAATTAGCGAAGCCGCTTTGCGGCTTCGTTTAAAAAGCCGCTGCGCGGCTTTTCATTTTAGCTCTTCAGAACCTGACTCAGCCCCTTATTTATGTTGAGTCATTTGTAGCCGCGTTAATCGCATTAGAAATAATTCGTAAGCAGGTGCGTTCCGAATCGCCGTCAATTTTTGCTAATTTCCTTAAAATCGCGAAAAAGGTTTTGTTTAAAAAAAGATGCTGGCTGAATACATGGGCGCGCGCGGGGAGGGCGGAAGTCAACAGCCGGGAAAAGGAATAAGCTGCACCTGCGATGCTTCATTTTCGCATCCGGAATGTCAATCAGCGACGCGATGATGAAAATCGCCACTTTCCAAAGCGAGGATTTCGACGTGGCGAGTTCTTTGAGAAACTGAGGATAAGGGCGCTTGTCAGATTTGAATACCAAGATTAGGGGATGAAAAGGAAAAAGGGAGTTTTACGAGTTTCCGGAAAAGAAAAAGAGGGCAATTGACAATTGGGCTTCTTTGATTGCGACGCCCGGCCAGACCATAAATTTCGTCTCGACAAACAAAAATCCCGGCGCCAGCTTCCCAACTCGTCAAAAGCGGGAAACTGGAGCTCAATTTGAACAAATTGAATACAGCATTCGGAATGGAGATCAAGGCGAATGCTTGAACTGAAGCTCCTTGAACTGGCAGCGCAGCCATCTGCTCTCCTGTATATTTCATTTCAAAGCTGATTATTTAGTTTTAAATCTATCAATTCATTAGTTTTTAAGCTTGGAATGCCTCCCAAATAGAAATGGAAATAAAAATTTGATTTTGCCCTTCAAAATTGATTTCTCAAAGCCTAACCCTAACCTCTGCAGAAAACCTGAGTCAGGGTTCCGAATAATCTTCAACGAAAAGCCGCTGCAAGGAAGATCATTCAGGACCCTGACTCAGGTTTTCTACACAGGAGACCCTAATCCTTAACTTTGGACTCGGCAACCTGTGTTGAAAACCTGAGTCAGGGTCTGAAAGAACTGAAATGAAAAGCCGCGGAGCATTACAATCTATCAAAAATTCTGGCGTTTTAAAAGCCGCTCCGCGGCTTTTTATTTCAGTTCTTTCAGACCCTGACTCAGGTTTTCTACACAGGTTGCCGAGCCCAGAAAGGACTCTTCCTTGATTTCACTTTTCAAAATTTCTGAAATCAAGTAAAAAATGACCATTTTTTCTTCTTGAAAACGATGACTAAAGGAAGAAATCTGCTCTATTCGAAATGAATAAAAACGAATGCCCTTGACTTTGCGTTATTATATTCTTTTTCACGTGAACTCGTGAGCTCAACTGGGTGCAAAACTCGAAGAAGAGAAATTCTGATCTAGACTCGCTAATGCCTTGCTCCGTGGCCTTTCTTGCTACTGCTTCGTAAATAAATAAGAATCGTTTTCAATTCGACTGTATACGATTGAGCTAAGAGATTACTTAGCGAAACTTAATTAATATTATATTTTCTCGTTAACACTTTCACTTACAGTCAGTTACAGTCGGATCAGACTCGAGTTGAGAATATTTTTTGAGTAAGAATGAAGCAGCAAGAGATTGGAGAGCTTCCTACAGGTAGAAATAAGGGCATCACTTTAGTAAGCAAAAATAGAGATTCAAATTCAAAATATTCAATTCTAGCCTTACCCTTATTGTCCCTTTAAGGGTGTCAACAACGATCGAATTATCGTTGGCGAAATCGTTGTTGACACCCTTAAGGGGACAAAGGACAATAAGGGTAAAGCTAGAATTGAATATTTGGAGCATGAATCTCAATTTTTGCTTAGTGATACCCTTAGATCTAGAGATCAAGAATCAGTGTTTTTCTCTGACTTTTCGTTCGAGACTTAACAAAGTGATACCCTTATTCGTTAAAAACATAGAATAAGGATGTCTGCTTGGGTTAACTTTGAGAGAAAAGTCCGGTGGAAGCCCTTATTCTAGATGATGTGTAATCAGGTCTTTTTTAAGGCTGTTCGCAAATAATTGGCACGAATGTTGGCTGCCTGCGAAAATTAATTTGGCTAGTTTTCTTCGCTGGAGGGATCATTTACTCGACCAAGGTTCAATTTATGAATTTTTCAGTTCAAAAACTGATTTTCCAGAGCATTTACAAAAACTGCCTTGTCTACTTTGAATACCGCTCCTCGATCAAGCCCAGATTCGATAAAGTTATCAGCTGATTCAAACAAAGAAAGACAAGCTCCTTTTCTTTAAAAGTTCTAACTTTCTAAAGACCACTCGTCTGCTTCGTATAGTCGCGCTTCGAACATGCCTTTTCCGAGGATCATAATTTGCCCAAACGGAATGCACAGTTTGTCCAAAATGCGTCTTTTCTATCCCGAACTTTCCAACTCTTCCGGCGCCATGCGACTTTTGTACCAGGGCTCGGCAACCTGAGTAGAAAACCTGAGTCAGGCTCTGGAAGAGCTAAAGTGAAAAGCCGCGTAGCGGCTTTTTAAAAGGAAGCCGCGAAAAAGCTGCAACGCGGCTTTTCATTTTAGCTCTTCCTGAGCCTGACTCAGGTTTTCTACTCAGTTTGCCGAGCCCAGTTTTGTACAGTACCAGCGGGGCAAAATACAAAGAATCAGATCTCTTCGAAAGCGTGAAAAATATCAGCTACGATGAATTTCTCGACAAAACTGCCCTCGACTTCGAAATCATTGGTACATTTCTGTTTTGATTTTAAGAAAGTGGACCTTTGAAGGTTGTAAATTTGGCGATACGCGCTGCACGAACTCGTGGAAAGTCGAAAACACCAAGTACGGCAAGTGCAAGAGCTTCGATCCCGACGAGCTCGTCCTTGGCGAGAGCTTCGAGCAAAGTGGTCAGGAGCTGACTCTTTCGCTCGTCGCCGCGTTTAATCAATCGGACGCTTCAATCGGCTACTTGCATTTTCTAACCGGCCTTTCTCTTTACTACTCTGGTAAAACAAAACTATCCCCCTTCTTCAACAACCGCTCTAGACATCAACGACCGGACGATCGCGACGATTCGCTCGGTCACCATGTCGCCAAGTTCAGTTCCCATCGTCGCTCTCAAACAAACCCACAAGCAACTGCTGGGAGAGCCTTATTCCATTTGCCAAGTAACTGATCCCATCACCCTCTTTTTTCGAACAATTCTTTTCGAGGACGAGAAAAGCCACCCACTAAGGCGCTTCCTGAACTACACGAAAGCTGGGCTCGGCAACCTGTGTAGAAAACCTGATTCAGGGTCTGAAGAACTCTTTGCGGCTTCTCATTTCAGTTCCTTCAGAGCCTGACTCAGGTTTTCTACACAGGTTGCCGAGCCCAGCACGAAAGGGCACTGCAAGTTCGAGTGTCTGGCAGACACGGTGGAGAACACTTGCAATTGCACGATGAACTACCTGCGTGGCGAGAATGACGCGATAAAGAAAGAGCTGCGCAGATGCAGCGTTCAAGATCAAGCCACATGCGTCGCCAAAATCGTCAAAGGCTTCAACAATCCCAGTTACGGTTTGTCAAGTTCATAATTCACCCGTCAAGAACAGCCGAGTCAAACCGGGAAAACAGGTGCGACTGTCTCAATCCTTGCTCAGAAAAGATCCCGGAAGGGCAATTCGTCCAGTACGGGTATGTAAATTTGACTGTATCGAAATTCGTCTTACTGTACTTTTTGAATGAAGAGAGTACAAAAACGGACGAGAAATGCTGCAGCAAGGTGGGATCAAATTCGATACGATGGCCTCGGCTGTTCTCTACATTCCAGAAGTGCTCGAACATGTGAATCAAGAAGTACCAGATTACGGTGAGTCGTTATGCGCTTCGCTCTTTTCTTACAGTAACTAGAGTGGGAGCAATTCATGGGAGATGTAGGTGGCTCAGCTGGACTTGTTCTTGGCGTTAGTCTAGGTCAGTACTAGCAATTCGAATTCCCTTGCTTACAAATCTGATTCTAGCAACGATTTTGAGCACTTTGGACTGGTTCGCAACTAGCTTTTGTCGCTTCTTTGGAAGAGTGCGCGAATCTTACAGGAACGGTCCCAGATGCAGTACGATAATTAGTATCCATTAAAATATACTGGATCAGATATCCGAAGGGACTTTTGCCAAGAAGTCCGCTGCTGAAGTCGGATAAGAGCCACGTCCGCCGGCATAGCTACGATTTTGCCATCATTTCTGAGCCCGTTTATTGGCACAAGCAATAACTGTTACTGTAATGCCCTGTAAATACGCAATAAAACTACTCATCTGGCCCTGCAAATAAGCACATGAAAACAAGGAAGAGAATGATCGTAAGCAAAACGAAGATTCTCCAAAGATTGATTTTTTGTTGCTCAACTCAAGCTACAGTATTTATTCAAGAGGAACATCAAGTTCGCCGGCCCGGATCTGTTCGATGAGATCGTGTGGGTCGGAGCCGTCGACGGTGCATCCAACGGACTGGGCAGTGCCGAGGATTTCTCGGATGGTGCCGGAAAGGTCCCGGGCGCCAGATCGTGGTCGCATGATTCGAGCGCAGTTGATGATGTCGTCCATGGTGATGTTACCGTTGTGCTGGACTGAGCAGTTGCGATTAGCGGAAGGAATAGAAAGAGGGGGACTTACTGTTCTTGACCTTCTTTCTGTCTCGGAGGGGCTCCTTGAGGGCCTTGATGATCATCGAGGAGGCGGAGGGGACGACGGAGACCTAGAATCGTTCGAACTTATTCAGTGAAGCTACAAGCTCCTCCTCGACCATGAAAAGCTACGCAGGTGAGTCCACCTCCTTAGCGGATCCCGACAAGTTCTTTGCTTTAAACGGGCACCGCCCCGCGGTCTTGGCCATCAAAACGAGAAGAAGGAAGAGGATGAAGGGTTACCTGAGCCTGTCGGTTCTGGATGGTGAGCTTGACAGTGATCTTGAGACCCTTCCAGTCGCCAGTGGCCTTGCAGATGTCGTCACCGATCTTCTTTGGGGAGAGACCGAGGGGACCGATCTTTGGGGCAAGGGCGGAAGTGGCACCGACTTCGCCACCAACAACTCGGAGGTAGACCTCGACGATGGCGGTGGGATCGAACTTTGGTGGCATCTTTTGAGTTTTATCCGGTTTCTGAAAACAAGAAAAGGTTGAAAAGAGTCTTGAGTTTAAAAAAATAGTGTAATAGTGTAAAAGGTGTAATGGTTCATTGAATAATATAGAGCAGCAGAGGATTGTTTCCTCGCATAATCGGGTAAAGGAGTTTTTCCGATCGTTTCCGTCGTCATTTTCTGAGTCTTCTTCGCCTGAAGCTTTTCCGATGATTCTTCGCGGTTCCTGTCGTTTTCTTCGTCTTCGCCTGAACCTGCTCCATTTTTCGGCGCTGGAATGTTTGGCTGGAGCCGGCTTTTTCCGCTCTTCACTTTCCATTTTTTGCTCAACTCCGGACCGGAGTTCCAGTTTCTCAGTAGATTCCTCTTTCAACTGGAGCTGGAGCACTCTTCCTGTCGCGAAGCGCTTTTCTCATAAGTTCTGAAATAGATGAATGGTTAGATTGAGAAGTGGTTTTGTGGAAATACGAATGTTGAATAGTAATACAGTTGCGGAAATTTGTCATTTTGCTTTGTCTGTGCGGAGTTGAGCATGAATTTCTTGAGAATTGAAGGAACGAAGCGATAGAATTTGCATGTATGGCTATTTGGCTGCTTATTAGCCGGTAGACAGAACACAGGCTTTTGATTGGCCAAAAACTTAAAGCCAATAAGAAACCTTTACTCAGCGAACCGGCCAATCAGCAGTCAAATAGCCACACAGACAAACTTTTTGACGCTTCGTGCCACCAGCCCGTATTTTTAACCCGTTTGCGTGGAGGAAAGCGCCGCGCACAACGGGTTAAACCGCTCGAAAATGGCAAGAGGTTAAGTTGAAGAAAAAAGGGGGCCCAGCGGAAGGTAAGAAAAGTGGGTCAACTTCAGCTAGAATTGGAGAATTGCACAGTAAAATTCACCGGACATTGAACATGAATGATAGTAAAAATAAAGTGTACTGTCGATTGGTCACAGAGACTCTAGAATACCGTGTCTGTTTAAAATAAGAATCGTAGCGGAAAGTGTGTAAGTTCGTAATTGTGATAAAAAAAATACAGCGGTTGAAATTTTCCAGGGTCGTTTTTTTGACATGTGAACGAAAAGAATAGAATTTTAAATTATAAAACTGAAAAAACCCGGAGAAAAAATCAACTCGCAAAAACAAGAAAGGTCAATCTCTGGAAGGAATAAAAGAAATTGAAGAAATTAAGTTGAACGATAGAAGAACTGGGAAAGACTCACGAGGTCTTCCACGAGAACCAGATGATCAGGAACAGCACCAGAATGAAGATCAGAAAGACGATGGCGATGATGAACTTTTTCTTCCGCGCAGCTTGCTGAAAATATGGTTTTAAAAAGAGAGGCCTCGAGAAAAAAGTGTCGCTAATCAAGCGAATTAGTTTTGAATCCCTATCGACGCACCTGATTGGTCAAACGAACCCATATTTCTAGAGAAAGGGAAAAGCGCTTGCTTGACCAATCAGAGGCACTTCCCATTTTTCCAAAGATATGGGCTCGTTTGACCAATCAGAGGCGTCGATGGGGATTCAAAACTACACAAAGTAGGTAGCTCTAGAACTTCGTACACACCTGATGCTCTCGGGCCTGACGAAGCTGTGTATTTCCTGATTGAATGTCGACAACTGCAGTTTCGATGTTTTGCTCGATCGAGTCTAAAAAATATTTTAAGCTTTTGAAATGTAATTTCAACTTTGAACACCGAGATTATAAATAAACGAATAAGTTAAACATAAAATCCAAAAATCAAGAAAACAAGAAATTTTAAAAAAGGGCGTCCCCGAAATTGAAACTTACCGATGATTTCGCCCTGATCATGCACCATTGTGGCAAGGTCTTTGAAAATCATGTTCACGTCCGCGATGTCCGCCTAAAACACAAATTCAGAATTCGTAATCTTGCGAATCGGAATTTTGCAGTTTTCAGCCGGGACCGCGCAGGACGTGGAAATTTGAGGATATGGCAAATTTTGAATACAAATCGAAAAAATACTCGCATATCAAAAAAACACAGAAGTAGGCTCGCCAGTTTAACGGAAAAACGACTCTATGACGTGTTTGTATTAACGGATTCAACAATCTTAGATAGGGTCCCTTAAATAACGGATTTTCTTGATCTAGGTTCCAGAAAATCCGTTAAAAAGGGGACCCTATCGAAGATTGTTAAATCCGTTAAAACAAACACGTCATAGAGTCGTTTTTCCGTTAAATGGCGACCCTATCTATTAGTCTTGATTCAGGCTGATTAAATCTGAAAATTAGTAATTATCACGTGTAAAAGCCATTCAATCAGTAAAATTTTAAAATAGCACTCATTGATTTTAATTATTTGAAAATTTAAGTCGTTTGGAAAGAGTTAAAAAGGCTTCTTACCGACAACTTCGCCCTGTTCATGGACGAGTTTGTGGACCTCCGTGAACACTTCGGCCATATCCTCAATTTCCTGTTCGAGGCGGCCCAGCTCCTCGTCCTGCGCCCGTTGCAGCGGGTCCAGCTCAATTTGCTCTTGCTGCTGCTGATTTACCTCGAGCTGGATGATCGCGTTTTCGCGATCCTGCATTTGAGCCATCTCGTTTGGCGAGAGCTGTTGCTGCAATTGGGCTTGACCAGCGCTAGAATTTTACGTTAAAAAGGGATTGATAAATTACAAAAGCCGCGGAGCGCTTTATATAAAATTTGCGGCTTTTGCGACAAAAAGACCCGGGCTGAGCAACCTGCGTAGAACACCTGAGTCAGGGTCTGAAAAATCTTTAATAAAAAGCCTTATAAGATCTTTCAGACCCTGACTCAGGTTCTCTATACAGGTTGCTGAGCTCGGGCCATTTTGATGCTCAAAGCCGCAAAATATTTCGATTCTTACCCATTATCCAGCGCGATCAAAGAGTTGCCCTCGGATGAGTTGCTCTGTTGGCTGATTTGGGCCTTTTCGCGATTGAGCAAGTCGCGACTGCTCTTTGGTACTCGTTCAGCGCGTTCGAATAATTGTTCGCCAGACGAGTTAGGGTTATTCTTCGCTCCCGCTTCTCCGCCTAAAGAGTTACAGTCAGTTACAGGAAGGGGAAAAGGGGGTCTTACGGGTGAATCCGGCGCGGGAAGACCTTTTAACTCGTTTAGTAACTTTTCTGTGTCTTGACATAATCGCTTTGTTGTTGTCTGAGTTTGTTGACTAAAAATGAAATGAATTTCGAGTCAAAAGTAGTAATATTCAATCTGTTACTCATTAAAAACGTGAAGCCGAATCTTGCGGCTTCGAGAAAGCAAAGTAAAGTAGCCGCGCTTCGCGCGGCTTTTATACTTTAAAGCTAGAAGCCGCAGGTTTCGGCTTCTCGAAATTTTAATAATAAAATAATGAAGAAAAGACTTACATTTTAGTTCTGACGTCTGAATTATCCAATTCGGTTCCAACTTGTTCAGCTAATTTTTTGATCTCTTTGACGTGATTTTGAATTTTCGTGGTGTTCGCGGAAACGACTTGTGTGATTCTGTTGTAGTCCATCGTCGAGCTGGAACTCGCCCCGGGGCTTGTGCTCAGAGAGCCGCCGCCGAAATCGCCTTTGCCGAAGGACATTTATTTCTTCTCTTTTTTCGACTCGAAAAACGGCTCAATTCGGTTTTATCTGCTCTGAAAAGTCGGAAAGTAAAAAGGAAGAGCGAGTTGGTGGCTGGGAAGTGGCGCGCCAATGAGCGCGCGCGCTGCGAGAGTGAGTCATTAGTCACGCGTGACTCACCCGACCAGTTCACGAGGAAGAGAATTGGCGAGATGGCAGCTGTTTTGGCGAGGATTTTCTAATTATTCAAAATTGTTTAATTTATCATTAAAAATATTAATTTTAATAATTATTTAACAAAATTAGGAATAATATTTAGAAGAAATGGTGAATTTTAGCTTGAAAAAATGCGTTTATTTTGTGTAAAATCCATTAAAAGCGAGCCCAAGTTCTGAAAGAATACAAAAACTGCTTCAAAGCGTGTAATTTGGTCTTCAAGGGCGACCAGTATGCTCTCAAACAGAGTAAGTACTCTTTCTCTCTCTCTCTTCTACAGTGCTTCTGAGCTCGGCAACCTGTGTGAAAAACCTGAGTCAGGGTCAGAAAGATTTTCAACGAAAGAGCCACCTTTCTGTTAAGATCTTTCATACCCTGACTCAGGTTTTCACACAGGTTTCCGAGCCAAGCAGTGGCTAATCCCAGAATGGGACGCTCTCTTTATTCCCACTCTGGGACCTTAGGAGACGTCCCGCTCTGGGATTTATCCCTTTTTTCTACCAACTGCTCCACTACCTCAAAAAATAATGAAAAAGAAAGACGTTTTTTGTAAAGTCAGAAATTGATTTTATTCAGGAACTCAGCAGCAGTCATGTTTTCTTTCTTTTTCAGAAACAAATCGAGCTTTGGAACTGGAAGCAGTTTTTCTTTCTTTCAAAACTCGATGACTAAAAAATTTTTGAAATTCAAAGTTTTCAAAGTTTAATTTACCTGTTTTTCGCGCTGCTCGGACTTTTCTACTTTTTCGTCTCTTTTTTCGAAGAGTTGAAAAAGTGAATGGCAAAAGTCAAAAACATTCAGAGCTAGGGCGAAATTCTAGAGAAGCTTGCCAAATTTCAACTCGTTGAAAATTGAGTTTCTTTTGAAAAAACGACTGTATTTCGCTGAAAAACAGTCATTTTTTGTACGAAAATTGGTACCAAGTACGAGAACTCGTCCGCGAATTCGGTACCGCGTACCAATTTTCGTACCGAATCCGTTTTTCTATTTTTGGAAGATTTAATCTTCAAGATTTCTTATTGATTTTTAGTGCACCAGAAGACGAGGGATGAATTCCGACAATATCAAGATCTCAAAGAAGAAAAACTTATTCAGGAAAAATCAAATTCGCTTCCGAAGCGGCCGAAGGAACGGAATTTCTAAAACTATCAATTCTATTTGATTTGATCAAATTTTTAAGCGCAGCCAATCAGAAGGCTCGAGTCTCGTAGTGGCGGCGCTGTTCGCGATTTGAGCAAAAATCATCGGTATTTTTGATAATTCCGGTTTCAAGTTTTGACGAAACACATTGTCCAATTCAAGGAAATCGCCCCGAACCACTACAAAGGCCAAAACCGCCCCGAGCTAGTGTGGATGAACGACGCGGAAATGGCGAAAAAACCGCTGCGCCAGGACGGTGGTTGCAAATTACCGCCAGTTATTGAGCCGAAGAAGAAACGAAGAATACCGCTCAAATGATTCTGCTTTTCCAAATTCTTTAATTTTAAAACGAACTCTTTAAATCTATTCTATTCAAAAAATTAAAAAAGCTGAATTCTGAGTTTTAATCCTGTAATCAGGACTAAAACAGGAATCAGGGAGTTTCCTTTTCAAGAGCAGGATTCAAGGCAGGAAAAATCAAGGCTAAGCTAGCTTAGTCCAGGAAAATTGAGCTAAGCTCAGCTCAGCTAGCTGATTCCCTGAGCTCAATCAAAATTGCAAGGCCTAAGCTGAGCTTAGCCTGGCTTTCGTAGGTTTTTCATTGGCTAAGCAAAGCTGAGCCAATTTTTAAGGTGAGTTAAGACCTATGCTGACCTAAGCCTGGCTTTTGTAGGTTTTCTATTGGGCCAGTATTGGCTAAGCAAAGCTGAGCCAACTTTATAAGGCTGAGTTAATTATGGGTATGTTGCGAAGCCGCTTTGGCCTGACTCAGGTTTTCTACACAGGTTCCCGACTCGGAAATTCCGAGCTCAGTTTAGATGCCTGCTTATCAATTCCTCGAATAGCATTGTCTGAGTCTGAGACAGAAAAAGAGCGATAATACGAGTGATTTGATACTGCTGATTTCGTATCACTGACTTGCTTCTTTTCTCATCTCATCCAGCATTTTTCGCAAACGCAAAGAAATACTTCAAAAAAGCAGAGTCCCGAAAAGCTGTAAAAATTGACGATGCGCCCGACAAGGTCCCTCACGTGGCCAAATAACGATCATTCGAGTGCCCCATCCCAACAAGAGCCAGAACAAGAGGGAGAGAAGATTCAACTCGCAGAACAACGAACACAGCTCGACGAAATGTCCGACCTGTACAGATGGGTCAGGGCAGAAAGCGCGCTAAATGTGAGTATTTTTAGTCGAAAAAAGTCGGAAGCGACAAAAACTCGCGACAAAATCTCCCTCGAAAATGTTTGGGAAAGTGTCGCGAAGCGACAATTTCTGAGCGACGAAATTTCGAAAAAATTTAAGCCAATCAAAAACTTGTATTTGGCTTACCGGCCAATCAGTAGTCGTTATTTTTCGAAGTAAAATTTTGTCGCTTAGAAATTGTCGCTTCGTGGCACCTTCCCGAATACCTGGCTTCTGATTGGCCAGATGGGCAAATGAAGAAATCTGATTGGCTTATTTGAAATTTCGTCGCTGTTTTTTTGTCGCTTCCCGCTACCCCCAATTGCCCCTAATCGATTTTTATTAGAACATATGTAGATTCTGCATGAACCCTGGAGATAATCTGATTGTGCCTTGCAATTGCAAAGGATCGATGAAGGAATCGGGTTGAATTTCAAGCTCAAAGACAATAATAAAAGTAACGATAAACATTTATTAGAGGGGCCGAGACTCAGTTTCGTAACTAACATATCTTCTTTTCGTGATGCGAAATTTGATGGAAATTTGAATTTCTTCAAAAGAACAGGGGCGACCCTAGCTTGTTCTATTTTGACCATGACCTGATTTTAATTCGACTTTTTATCACCTTCTTTGGTCGAGTTTGGCCCCCGTGAGTGACTTTATTTTCATCACGAGATTCTTCTGAAAAGGTTCATTTTTGAACGATCCAAAAATTAATTTTCAGAAGAAAAATAAGGGTATCACTTTGTAAGATTACATAAAAGACAAACCATGTATTCACCTCCTTTTCTCGGCTCGGCAGCCTGTGTTGAAAACCTGAGTCAGGGTCTGAACCGGTCATAAAAGATATTTCAGACCCTGACTCAGGTTTTCAACACAGGTTGCCGAGCACACTTCTTTTCGATCAAAAAAGGTTGAAAATAGAAAATTGAGGTTACTCGTTTATTTTTGATTGATGGCTTTGTTTTCAACCCGTGCTAGTTTGTACACAACAGCTGTCTAATTAAATGGATCATCCACTCTGACAAGGTATTTTTTCAACTTCTGAAAAATGGAAAAACCGCGCTCTCTGTTTCAGAAACAATGCGAAATCTGCAAGTACGAGTATCAAATCAAAGAGAGCAGACGGCCCATCTATCTGTGGGGCTTTTCCGGTGTTTCGAGGGTAAGTTCTAGTGAATTCTAGAGCTGGGCTCGGGAAAAACCTGTGTTTAAAGCCTGAGTCAGGTCTCAATCAGAGAATCATCATTCCAGCTTTTCATTAAGGGTGTCAACATCATTTGCCGAAATCGATGGTGACACCCTTAATAATATATCAGACCCTGACTCAGGTTTTAACACAGGTTGCCGAGTCGCACAGTTTTTGAAATTCTAGAGCTCGCAATTTTTTGTAAACTTGTCTGCTAGACCGACATCCGTCGCTGCGTGCGTGGTATTTTGATGCTTCTGATCGCGCTGGCCAGTCTCGTGGGCGGCGTCTTCCTGATCTTTATGGACTCGGAGGAGGAGCTGAACTCGGCAGCGCATCCTGCAAACGTCACCAGCCCGACTCCGCTCGTCGAAAAAGACCGCGAAGCCTTCTTTGGCAAGCTGGCGATCATCGCCTTCACCCTCCTCGGCACTGCCTTCTTCCTCGTCGTCCAGTGCACCTGGTTCAAGAAGTTCTACGATAAACTAGCGCGCGTCAATCGAGAAATTAAAATTGACGCCAAAAAACAACGACTTTCAACGATAAGTAAGAGCGCTAGAAACCTGAGTCAGGGTTCAAAAGAGGAAACTGAAAAGCCGACTAGCGCCTTTTTCAGAAACGAAGCCGCGGAGCGGCTTTGCCAAGATACAGAAAATAAGCTAAAAAATTATAAAAAAACAGGAACCTGTGTAAAAACCTGAGTCAGGATCCAGAATTCGAATGAGAGATTGAAATGATTAAGAGCTCCTTGAGGACCCTGACTCAGGTTTTTACACAGGTTCCTGTTTTTTATAGATTTATTAGCTCATTTTCTAAATTTGGCAAAGCCGCTCCGCGGCTTTGTTTTTAAAAAGCCGCTAGTCGGCTTTTCAGTTTCTTCTTTTGAACCCTGACACAGGTTTTTACATAGGTTGCCGAGCCTTGTATTTATTTTTATTATTTTTTCAGTCGAAGAAGGGTCAAGCTTGCCAAGTTCGTGGAACAGCCGAGACTCGGTGGTTTCGAAAGCATGAGTACTATGAATTTAGAATTGTTCTTTTTCTTTTTCGAATAATTTGTACAATTGTTTTATATTTCTCATTTCACATGTGACGTTCAAATAAAATCGCAAAACAGACATCCATTTTTTGAAAGAAGAAACGAGCAGAATACAGTTTTTGCATTAATCCGAAGTTGCTTGCATTTGTCACGTGTTCCAGCTCCCCGAGGAATCCGCCGTCTCTTCTAGAAGCAGAAATGTTACCGTGATGATTTACGCAAAAATCAGTAATGTGATTTGTACGCGAGCGTTTGCAAATGCCAATTTCAGTTTCAATATTTGCTCGTCAATCAAATCCGATTCAGTGACGATTATTAGCGACTATTTCGAGTCGAATTCTAAAATTTTCGACATTTTAGGGGTTGAGGGGGACGATTTGTCGGTAATTTAGGGAATGGCTCTTTGGCGGAATTTCCTGTTCTGGGCTCGGAAACCTGTGTAGAAAACCTGACTCAGGGTCTGAAAAACCTTCAATTTTTTCAGACCCTGACTCAGGTGTTCTACACAGGTTTTGGGCCGAGCCCATAAAAGAAATTTGCACCCAAGAATAGCCCACTCCCTAAATTACCGACAAATCGTCCCCCTCGACCCCTAAAATGTCGAAAATATCGTTTTGAGTGCGCTTTACCATTCGTTTGATAAATCGGAGGAGCAGATGGCTCTGGCGCTTCGTATTCTGGCGGCGGGCCTAAACTCGACTGGTCGTAAGCTCTGTTCTCCACTCCTCCTCTTGAAGCATCAAACGTGTCTTCGTCGACTTTGGGCATTTCGAGCGCGTCGTCGTAGCTCGGAAGGTCGAGTCCCCAGTGCGACGGGTTCTGCCACTCCTCTTCCATCGGGTAGATTTGGTTGTTGGAGGCGCGCGCTTCTATTTCCGGCGTCGGCGTCTTCAAATTATTCATTCGTTCAATTCTTACGAAAATTGAAGAGCCTACCACTGGAATGAAGGGCCAGCATCCGTAGAGCAAGCAGTTGCAGCTCTTTATGACCGAATAGAACATGTAGCAAAAGATCAGCGTCAAGAGGAAAAGAAGACCGAGCCAGCGCGCGATCCACACTCCGCAAGGAAAACACTCTGCCGTGTAGGGAGTCGTCCAGCACTCCTTGTGCGCACTGCCGGTCGATGGAGCTGCGCACTTGTCCCACAAGAAACCGTAGCCGATGCAGATGCCGACGATTCCGCCCCACAAAATGAACTTGGAAATGTAACTGCGCCACTGAAGCCACCAAGTTTGCGAACGACGGAAAGCAGCTGTTTCGGTTATTATTACGCAACAATTTCGACGTGGAGGCACAGTATCTACGAAAAGTTACAGTGGCTTATTTTTGATTCACCAAATGATAAAAATGTATATTCTTGGGCCCAAGTGTTTAAGGGTGTCATCTTTGATTTTCGAAAAAAATCGGCTGAAAATCGAGCAGCCACGGCTTTTGCGGCTTAGAGTTGAAAAATTTAAGCCGCGCACGGCGCGGCTTTTCCATCTTTTTCGCTCGAAGCCGCAAAATAGCCGCGGCTGCTCGATTTTCAGCTGATTTTTTCGAAAATCAAAGATGACACCCTTAAACACTTGGGCCTGGCAACCAGTGTAGAAATCCTGAGTCAGGCTTTTCAATTTTCAAAGATCTTTTAAAAATTTCGACCCTGACTCAGGATTTCTACACAGGTTCCTGCCGAGCTAGAATCCAAGAATATTTGGCTTAATTTACCTGAGACATCCTCTTCCTGTGCATTTTCATTTTCTGTCATGATTAATTAATAAATAATTCCGATTGCGCTAGAATAATTTGGTGCCTTTTTCGGAAGAACTTGCTGTATAAAATCTCTTTTGTCTAATCTCGTGCCAAGGGGCCACGGAGCTTCGGAATAACATCACCGTGTGAGCAAGAGTCAATTATTTGCACAAGAGCATAAGAGCAGTGGGAGTATAATTATTAATCACGAAAATTTACGATTTCCTTTCCAAAAACTAAAAACGCAAAGTTAGATTTCACAGGAAGCGCTAGCAGAGCCAAATTCAAGCAAAGCTGATCAAGGACTCAGCAACCTGTGTACAAAACCTGAGTCAATGCCTGAAAGAACTGAAATGAAAAGCCGCGCAGCGGCTTTTTTAAATCGAAGCCGCAAAGCCAAAATTTCGCCAAAATTTTTGAATGATTGTAATGGTTATATTAGCAAAGCTGCCTCGCGGCTTCGTTTTTAAGAAAGCCGCTGCGCGGTTTTTCATTCCAGTTCTTTGAGACCCTGACTCAGGCTTTCCTTTTTCTTTCTAATAGCAAGAAGAGATAATTGCTATTCTGCAAGACAAATAACAAATAGTTTTCGCCTTCTCCAAAGAAATAAAAAAACTTGTCAAAATCAAATAAATGCTTATTCAAATCACCCTTTTGGCAAAACAGAAAGAGCAAATCGTAGATTTTTTTACTTTGCCTTGTGCATTTTTTATCACACAGAGATCAGCAGAGCTAACTTTCCGGCACCAGAAATGAGCGGCTCTGGCGATTTTGGCTTTGAAAATGTTGCTTATAAAGACGGATCAGCAAAGTCATTATGATGCGCTATATTTCTACTGTAGCTGGGCTCGACAGCCTGTGTAGAAAACCTGACTCTGGGTCCTGAAAAGGTTGAATTGAAGAATTGAGCCATCTTTCTGAACCCTGACTCAGGTTTTTACACAGGTTGCCGAGTTTAGATCAAATATACTCAGGGCTGGGCGAACTGTGTAGAAAACCTGAGTCAGGGTCCTGAAAAACTGCGAGAGTTGAATGGCAGCTTTCAATTAAAGTTCTTTCAAGACCCTGACTCAGGTTTTCTACACAGGTTTCCGAGGCCAGAGTATATGTGATCAAAGCTCGGCAACCTGTGCAAAAACCTGAGTCAGGGTTCAGAAAGATGGCTCAATTCTTAAATTCAACCTTTTAAGGACCCTGACTCAGGTTTTCTATGCCGGTCGCCAAGTTGCCCAGTTTGCAACTGGCACACAACTGTGGCATTAAAACAGTTGTTGATCGATGAAAAAGGTCGGAAACAAAGAAGGGGATTGGAACAAGACTTGTGCCCAAATCGGCTCCGCGAATAAAAAGATCAAAAAACTATCCTCCGAAATCGAGCGACTCAGCAAATGCATCGGCAGTTCTCTTGACTCGCCCGACAACCGCGAGCAAATGTAGCTCTCCTTCTTCAAAATTCGTTTTTGTCAAAATTGATTTCAGTGTGCAGTCGCAGACGAGCGCTAGAAACTTGTGCAAGGAAAACGAAAACAGTCTCAACGAGCTAAAAAGTAACATCCCCGCTTTTTCTTCCCGAGAAACGGTTGGTTTCAGAACTTTACAACGAAACAGCTCAGCATCAAAAATCACCGCCGCGCTACTCTGGGAAAATTGGCGAATGAGTTTTCCACTTCTTTGCAGTCTTTTCAAAGCGCTTCGGAAAAGGTTTAAAATCTATGAGTTGCGAAAATAAGTAAAATGTCTAGGCCGCCCGCGCGCTCCAAATGGCGGGAGACAACAACGACTCTTCTTTTCCGCTGCCCGGGAATTCGATGAGCGGTGGACAACTCGATCAGGAATGGCGATTTTTAATTAAAAGCCGCCAAATTTTCATTTCAATAAATTTTGAGCTTCTGGCGATGCAGCTTCGAGGTGAATGTCGCCGAATGTCGCCGAATGTCGCTGAATGTCGCTGAATGTCGTCGAATGTCTGTATTTAAAAAAGTAGCGACATTCGACGAGATTCATCGACATTCAGTGACATTCAGCGACATTCAGCAACATTCGGCGACATTCGGCGACATTCGGCGACATTTGGCGATTTTCTCAGTGTCGCCCGATTTTTTAGACTCTGACTTAGGTTCTCTAAAAAGCTTGCCAAGCCCATTTTTCAGTGTAAATTCTTAACTATCGCTTCGAAAAGCAACAAGTTCTGGCTCAAATGGACATGGATGGAATCCAACGCCAGGCCGAAGAGATGGCGCAGTTGGAAGCGGATATCATGGACGTCAACATCATCTTTAAAGATTTGAACGAAATGGTGATGGATCAAGGCACCACGCTAGGTACTCTTATTGCTTTTTGGTGATTTTTTGATGATGGGATTGAGATACGATCGAGGACAATGTCGGAGCTGCCGTGATGGACGTTCAGGAGGGAAACAAGAAGCTGGAAAAGGCGGTCGACTACGCGGTAATAAATCGATTAAAAAAAGAAATTCTAGTTTTGTTCAGAGAAAAGCGAGAAACAAGAAGATCTGTTTAATCGTCACAATTCTAGACACGCGTTTTCAAGGTTAAAATTGAAACCCAAAAGATTGGTAAAATGAAAAACGCTGGAAAAGTTGTCATCGCCGTGGTTTGCATGATTATCTTTATTCCAAAGAAATAGACTTTCAAAAAATAATAAATTCAATACTTTCAATTCAAGTTTTTCGTTCTTTCTTTTTCTTCAATTTTCAAACTGACATTGCTCGTTTAAAATTCAGCTCTTGATTTCGCGACGCAGTAAATACATTTTTCGCTTTTGAAGCAGCTTTTAGCAGAGTTTTTCTTTGCATTTTTAATAGAAAAAATAATAATAATTAAATAATAAATAAAATATATGCGATTGAAAAAGCTCTAGCTTCAGATTGACGACGGCCGGCTCGATTTAGCAGTTTTTCGTTGGCTTCAAAATGCGCCAGGAAGGTGTCTTTCAAGTAGTTTCCTTCCTCTAGGTGTTTGTCTTCAAAGCAGAATTGCAAATTTAGTGAGCTGAGTGAGCTGAGCAGTCTCTCAGCTCAGCTCAACTCAGGAATTTTCATTGGAGAATCTGCGCTGCTCAGCTCAGCTCAGCTCAATGATTTCTAAAATGGCCTGCTCAGCTCAATTCAATGACTTTCTAAGAGAACCAGCTCAGCTCAGCTCAAAATTGTGTCCGCTCAGTTCAGCTCAGCTCAGCAGCCTTCAAAAAAGGTCTGCTCAGCTCAGCTAAGCTCAATGATTTCTTAAAAAATCCAGCTCAGCTCAGCTCAATAATCGAAATTATTACTCAGCTCAGCTCAGAAAAATTTCAATCAGAATCAGCTCAGCTCAGCAAAAAAGACCAAATTTGCAACTCTGCTTGAAAGTAGCGCCATGCTATTAAAAAAAGTAAAGAAAAAAGCAAGAAGAAAAATCGGTCGCTACCGATGATGATTCCAATGATGATGGTGATTGTCAAACTGACGGAAATCATCGCCAGGGAAAATGCATCTAAGCTCGGGTTTTCGACTTTTTCCACTTTATTGCCATTTTCTTTCTCTTTTTTCGCTTTTTTCTGAAACCCTAATCTTTGAGCTGCTTGAGAATTCCTTCCAAAGCGCTTTGCGACGCTTCTTCGTGCCGTTCCTTCATTCTCATCCCTCTTTTTTCTGTTTCTCGAGTGTTTTTTTGAAAAGAAAAGTCGAAATGGCGAAAACGAGGATTATTTGAGACGCGGGGAAACCAGTAGAGGTCACAACTAATTAAAAAAGGAGAAGGACGATTACGCTTGTTCTGGACTCAAGAGTCAACTCGACGAACTGGGATTTACAAAAGTTACCTGAAACTAATTCAAAATATACTCGGCGTGGTCAGACAATAGTCCCCCAAGCCAGAGTTGCGAATTCGCTGAGCTGAGTGAGCTGAGCTGGCTGAGTGAGCTGAGCTGAGCTGAGCCGAGCGACTGAGCTGAGAGATTTTTGAAAATGATATGATCTGCTGAGCTCAGCTCAATTAATTTCGAAGATGATCTGTTCTGCTCAGCTCAGAAAATTATCACTTTGCTCAGCTCAGCTCAGCTCAGTGACTTTAACACAATTTTACTATTAAAAACATAGTAAAAACAACTCAGCTCAGCTCAACTACCCTAAAAAGGCCAGCTCAGCTCAGCTCAGAGAAATTTTTACTCGGCTCAGCAAAAATAAAGCAAACTTTGCAACTCTGCCCCCATTTTTTACACACTTTCTTGCTCAGCAAAGAACCAATGCCAGATAATTTGTTTCTATAATCTGAATCTCCGACCGGGCGCCTTTGAATCTTTGATTGTTTTTTATCAAAATTGCATCAGTAATTAGGAAGTCTTTGATTTCCTTCAAAGAGTGCTAGCTCGTACCAGCTGCACTTCCACATGGAAATCAACATCTGCCAGCAGCTATTTAATCATTTTTCTCTCCGGAAAATTAGAAAAAACGATGCCAAAAGAATCAGCCAAAAGACGAGTTGAATTCGAGCCCTCCCCGGCCAAGAAAGAAGAAGAAGAAAGTTCCGCCGCCGTTGAATTCGAAATCGAGTGGAATATTGCAGCAGAAGATCTCGTCGTCTTCCACGACATGGGAACTCAAACTTCGCCGAAAATTTCGCCCAAAAAGTCGACAAACGAAGGCGGAGGAAAAAACGCAAAATGGAAGAAGAAAAATCAACGAAGAGAAAAACCAAGCGGCAGAAAAATGATGATGATGAAATCGAAGACTGGCGAAAGGAACTTTTACAGCGCTACGAAGCTGGAGAAGTTAATAACATTTTAATCTGACAGTTCTACTGCTTTCTTTATTCAAAAAATAAACATCAATTCATAAGCTTCGTGGAAAGTTCGATTCAATAAAAATTTTCATTCTCAAAGTGACTTTTCCCCGTTTTGAAAAATCAACATCAATAGTGGTGCATTGTATTGAAGTGCGCTTTATACTTCTCGGGATTTTCGGTAGAGCCGGATCTGCGATTTTCCGTTTCTGCCACGTCGTGTTTCATAATAGACTTTTTCGTTTGATTTGAGGAAAAGAGGAACTTGGAAATGAGAATACACAGAGTGAAGACTCCGAGGAGATGGTGCGGAGTCTGGTTGTGAAGGATTCAATAACTCGTTTTTATCTTTTGAGGAGATAGATATCAAGAATCGAGATTTTCTATCAGACTTTTCTCTAAAAGTTAAAATAGTGACACCCTTATTTTACTTTGGAAAGAAAAACTTTAGACCCTTGTCTATTTCCTATGGAAGCTAAAATTTCGAATTTCAAAAATATTTCTAGGAAAATTTTTCGTCAAAGATCGCTAATTTTCCTAAAATGTTCATATTGGCGACAATCGCAGGTGTCAGATTTGCATTGTAGCACCTCGAAAGCTCAAGAAATCTGAATTTTTGGCTTCTATTGGAAATAGATAATTGTCTGAAATAAATTTCGAGCAGAAAAAATAAGGGGGTCACTATGTTAAAAATTTGCGAAAACACTGATCGGAAAACACGATTCTGGATATCTACCCCTTAAGGTGGTAGATATCAAGAAAAAAATTTTCCATTTTTTCGCCTCAAATTTTTTAACGTATAGTTTCGAGGTCAAGGAGAAATTTTGTAAGCAAAAATTTTTGATTGGACCACGTGATTTTTCACAAAATCGCTCTTAAATCTCGATAATTTGCCCGTTTTATAATAGATCGACCGATTTTTAGTAATTAAATAAGTTATTACATAGTTTTTGTCCAAAAACATTATTAAAAACCCCTGGGAACATTTATAGAATGGTTTTAATACTGCTGAATAAAAATTCAGAATTTTATATTTTCGTTGAAAATTGTGAAATACAGAAAATTGATTTTTTCTTAAAAAATTTTTTAAATTTTAAATTCTGGCCTTCATAGTAACTAGACACGGGTCTTATCTAACTTCTCAGAAGAGAATAAATTCCGCCCTATATAAGGTGTTCGAGAAAAGTCTGCCAAGAAAATGGTCATTTTTAGCGACTTCCGAGTTTTCAACGCCATTTTGTACGATTTTTTCTGGAAATTTAGAAATCTGCCTTCCATAGGCACGAGATAAGGGCCTCAACTCTTTATTAAAACAAAAATAATCATTGGTCACTATGTTAGAATTGGGAGAAAAGTCTGCCAGAAAATCCTAATTCTTGATATCTACCTCCTTAAGGATATAGCCTGTAAAATTCGACTTTCGTAGCGGCTAAACGCGAGGTCGGATCTTCTTCATTTCAAGTGCAATCCTACCTAAAAATGGACGAAGAATTCAATTTTGGTACTTTTTAAAAATTTTTACTCGAATTTTTCTCTCTAGAGCGATTTGAAATCTTACGATCGCGATTCCTCGAAAATTTTTCACTAAATCGGTCGAGTTTTTGGATAGATAGATTCTTTAGACCTTCATCTACAAAATTGACGGTTTAGTTTTCTCTAAATCCGAAAGAAACCGATTTTACAGCCATTTCCATGAGGCTAACCCAGCGCGCAGAAGCTATGAAAAGCGCTGCGCTCGGTGCTCGCTCTCTCGCCTCCTCTTTTCCGGGAGAGAGTGCGTGTTTTTGCGAGCGCTTTGATTGGCTGCACGCGACAAAGCGCGCAGGGAAGAAAAGGAGGAGTAAGAAAGAGGAGCATGCTAGAATAAAATTTTGACTGAATTTGAGAATTTTGTTCCCTCAATTTTCTAGCTTAGCATCATAACAACAGAGAACACGGTTTAGTTTTAGCGAATTAGTGGAAAAATTTTGAGAAATCGCGATCGTAAGATTACAAGTCGCTCTAGAGAGAAAAATTTAGGTGAAAATTAAAAAAATACCAGAATTGAGTTTTTGTGCATTTTTAGGTATGAATGCTTTTGAAATGAGAAAGATCCGAGCTCGCGTTTAGCCGCTACGAAAGTTGAATTTTACAGGCTATATCCTTAAGTTTTATGTTTTTCTTTGCTTGAAAAAATTGAAATATTGCATCCTTGTTTTCATATTTTACTGACGCTGACGATCTGGATCTTTCTCAAAAACGACAAGCTCTTCAAAGAGGTAATTTTCTTCGCCGATTTCTTCAAAGAAAAAATAGTCGGCGACATTGGCCGAGCAGTTGATCGTCGACTACCAAGGCCACAAGTTTCTACATCCGATGGTGGACCTAAATCAGCCCAAAATTCCCACTCAGCGGCGGCGGAAAGCGATGCAGCGACCCCACGTCAATCCTTCCGAGCCTGGCCAGGGTGGAGATGGAGTCGAACTGTCGGAAGAAGAAAAGAAGCTTCCACAAGTGGCTGCAGGCTGGAAGAGACATTCGTTCAACGAATTCGTCTGCGAGAAGATCTCGCTGCACCGGACGATCAGGGACTGGGCTCGGCAACCTGTGTAGAAAAGACCCTGAGTCAGGGTTCGGAAATGGCTTTAATCAAAACCTGAGTCAGGGTCTGAAAAATCATAAATGGAAACCCACGTAGCTTTTCAGACCCTGACTCAGGTTTTCACTAAAGCCATTTCGGAACCCTGAGTCAGGGTCTTTTCTACACAGGTTTTCGCGCCCAGATCAGGGACACCCGCTGCATTGAGTGCATCCAAGCCGAATACCTCGAAAATCTGCCGACTGCTTCCGTCGTCATTGTTTTCCACAACGAGGCGAAATGCACGCTTTTGAGAACAATCTGGTCCGTTTTGGAAACTTCGCCGGAGTCGATGCTCAAGGAAATCATTTTGATCGACGATTTCTCGGATTTGGAAGCGCGGCCCGACATGGGCGACTACTTGGACAAATACATCAAGAAGCACTTTCGAAACTACGTGAAACTGATTCGCCATAAGCAGCGAGAAGGGTTAACCCGCGCGCGCTTGACTGGAGCAGCCGCTGCAACGGGCGATGTCCTGATCTTCCTTGACGCCCACTGCGAGGCGATGGCTGGCTGGCTCGAGCCGCTGCTTGAACGCGTCGCGGAGAAGCCGAATGTAGCAGTTACGCCGGTGATTTTGAACATCCGGGATTCGGATTTCGAAGTACGACCGGCTCAACCGCAAAATGTCCAAATCGGCATCTTCACTTGGGGAATGACCTTTACCTGGGAGAGGTAGAAACAGGCAAAATTGATCTTGATTTTAGCAAAAATTCTAGCGCCTGGAATTTAGCGCGAGACGGTCCCTGGAAAAGCAGCGACAACACGAGGTGCATTCCGAGCCCGACCATGGCAGGCGGCTTATTTGCAATCAACAGGGAGTATTTTTACTACAGTGGTTCCTACGACGAAGAAATGCACGGCTGGGGAGGAGAGAACTTGGAAATGAGCTTTCGTCTTTGGCAATGTGGAGGGGGCATTGAAACTCATCCTTGCTCCCAAGTCGGCCATGTCTTTAGAATGTCCTCGCCTTACAAGATTCCAGAAGGAGCGCAGGTACGAGTTTTCATTACAGTAATATTACTGCTGAAAATCCAGAAGTCGCTTGCGGTTTCGAGTTCTTAAAGCAAAAGCCGCGCTTCGCGCGGCTTAATTTTTGACTCGAAGCCGCAAGCGGCTTCTCGATTTTCAGCAGCTATATTACTGTACAGATGAGTCATTAGTAATGACTTTCTTATGAAGGGATACAATCTGAACATGCGACGACTAGTTGATGTTTGGCTGGACGACTACAAGGAAATTTACTACGGGCGAACTGGAGGAGCTTGGGGAGAAGAAGGCGATCTGACTGAACGAGTTCTCTTGAAGGAAAAACTACAGTGCAAATCATTTCAGTGGTACATGGACAACGTCGCCACGACGATTGATTACTTTTTCCCGAAAAAGGACACGCGCACTGGCTTCCTAGCCAACGCCAACGGGCATTGCCTGGACGTCGGGAACCTTCCTTATCCACTGCCGCAGCAATGCGACGTCGGCACCTACCCTTGCCACTTTGAAGTTGGCGGCAATCAGCTGGTCATGTTCACCAGACTCAAGGGTATGCTCGGCAACCTGTGTAGAAAACCTGACTCAGGAGCCTGACTAAGGAACCTGACTCAGGAACCTGACTCAGAAGCCTGACTCAGGAACCTGACTCCGGAGCCTGACTCAGGAACCTGACTCAGGAGCTTAGATGAAAAGCCGCCACGGTGATTTTCATTTAACCTCTTCAGACCCTGAGTCAGGTTTTCTCAGAAAGTATTTTTAGAAATCCGCGTGCTCGCACATGGCAAAGAGCTGTGCGTAACTGCCTCGCCACTTGGTGCGGCTGGAAACGGCGTCCATTTCAAAAGGAAGCGTCTTTAATCACAATTATTTAATTATTTAGGGCAGTCTCTCTTTTATTTTTACTCCCCCTGTATTGAAGAAGATGGATTAAAACCGCTGTAACAGCTGCACCGGGGTCTACAGATACAACAAGAGCCCGGAAGATGCTCAAATTTGGGATTTAGGGCAGGATGGACTTTTCAGGAGCAGGCTGGAACCGAGCGGATGTCTAGAACATGATCCAGCGAGTAAGAATGAGAACGTTCTTGAGCTGTTTTAAGGGGGTAGACATGGCTAGGATGGGTTTCGGGTTAGAAAGATGAAGGTTTAAGCCGCCTTCTGGTCGGTAAAAATAAGGGTGTCACTACATTAACTCAAGACAAAAACGAAGCCGAAAAATCTAACATATCGAAGCCTACACCCTTAATTTTCAACACAAATTTAGCTTCAACAATCCAATTCAAAAGATGCTCCGGGGAGAAGACGCAAATTTTCGACTTCAAGGACTATGTCGAAAAATCCGAAAATAAACCATGAAAAAGATCAGAACCTCTTGCATCGTAGCCCCGTCAGTTTCTTCAAAACTTTCTGTATACTGAATTTTCTTATTTAGAATAAAAAATTAAATAAAAAGAAAGAATGAATATCGAACTTCTGGGCTCGGCAACCTGTTTAGAAAACCTGAGTCAGGGTCTGAAAAAGCTGAAATGAAAAGCCGCTTTCAGACCCTGACTCAGGTTTTCTACACAGGTTGCCAAGCCCAGTCGAACTTGAAAAAGAGTCGTTGATTCGATAATAAAGTAATTAATTCGTTGCGGAAATGAGGAGTGGCGAGAACGCTTCTCAAGAAAAAACGTGTGAAAAAAAGGGATGAGCGGCCAATAATGTCTTATCGCAAGCGCTGGCGACGAATCGAAAGGAAGACTTTGACCTTGGCTACTTTTAAAACGAAAAGAGAAACTTAAAATGGTCGAAACAAAAGAAAACATTCTAGGTAGTCCTTTTTGATCAACGAAAAGATGAATTTTTAATTTGAAGATGAGTTGACTGCCAAGCTGGGAACGCTAGAAGCTTTGCTAGACTCGCTTGAGCGCAATAAAGCACAGAGATCGCCGCTGCCCTTCACAGTTGGTCTTCCAACTCCGTCAACGTCCGACATTTCCAGCTCTTCAGATTTTTCGACTTCTTCTTCAAAGCTGGGCTCGGCAATCTGAGTAGAAAACCTGAGTCAGGGTCTGAAAGGGCTGAAGTAAAAAGCCGCGCAGCGGCTTTTTAAACTTAGCCGCGAAGCGGCTTTTCTAGAATTACCATATGGACCATATAATATGGTCCATATTATATATTAAATATAATATATTGTATCATATACAGTATATGATATTCTATATATTATATAATATTACTAGATAATATGGTAATTCTGGCAAAGCCGCTTCGCGGCTACGTTTTAAAAAGCCGCTGCGCGTCTTTTCATTTTAGTTCTTTCAGACCCTGACTCAGGTTTTCTACACAGGTTGCCGAGCCCAGCTTCCAAGTCTCGCCCGCGCAGTCCAGAAGAAGAGGAAGAACCAACTTCTTCCTTGTGCGATGTCCATTTTTCTTCCGCCCAGGCGAGCAGTGATTTGTACGAGCGAGACTCGTTGGAAAGCAGCTCGCTCTCCAGCCGCTCTAGCTCAACCTCGTCATTTCTCTCGAGCAGCCCTTTGATCAGCGAGAGCGCGCTTATTGAGGAGATTAGCCACTCCATAAATGAGAATGATCCTTCGCCTTCGCATGGACAGGGACTCACTGACCCCTCGTGGGAAACATTAATCAACTTTGATTTAGGGCTGAATGTTCACCCTTGATTTATCTGGAGCATTTTAATATAATGACACCCTTAATTTTTGAGCTTAACTAGACCTAACACAACATCGGAAAAATGAATTTTCTGGCTTTTTATCAGAAATTTACGACTATTTTATATTTTATTAGTATTCTAAAAACCTAGTTTGACTTTAAGATTTTATTTTATTACTCAAAATCAGAAGAAACTATTAAAAAATTAACCAAAATCTCAATCAAATACAGAGCGACTTGATTTTTCCAATTCTAGAAACAAAAAATGACTCTCTAGAACAGGTTGATTTTTAACTCAAGTTTTAAAACCACTTCTGCCTAGGTTTTTATTGAAACAAATCAAAATCCAAGCTATTAATTGGATCAAAAAACGGTTTTGAATTCAATTTTTCGATTTGTTGTTGAAAATTTCTTATAGAGAAAAATCACAATTCAAATAGCAAAATTATAAAGGTTTTTTCATAAAAATTTTCTAGAACAATTGAGTTTCTAAAACTGTGAATCGTATTTTTTTCTACAAGAAATTTTCAGCAGGGAATGGGAAAATTGAAGTCAAAGCCGATTTTTGATGCAAATAATTTCTAATAGAACAAAGCCCGATTCACAGTTTCAAAAGTTCAGTGGCTCTAGAAAGTTTTAATGAAAGAAATTTTATTTTTCGCTTTTTGAATTTTGATTTTTCTATAAGAAATTTTCAACAGCAAATCGGAAAATTGAAGTCAAAACCGTTTTTGATCCAATTAATAGCTTGGATTTTGAATTGTTTCAATAAAAACCTAGGCAGAAGTGATTTAAAACTTCACTTTAAAATTCAACCTGTTCTAGAGACTTTTTCTAGAATCGAGAAAAAACTGACGAATTGCGCCGTGGATCTCAATTTTGCCCATTTTTAGCCTTCAATTACGATTTTGAATAGCAAATCAAAAAATTAAACTCAAACTAACTTTTTCAAACAAATTCTAGTCCCTTCAAAAGACCTCCTTCTGGAACAAATGAAACAAGCCCCGTGGTGAGTAGTTTGAAAAACGCTTTCATCCGGGGCTCGGCAACCTGAGCAGAAAACCTGAGTCAGGCTCTGGAAAAGCTAGAATGAAAAGCCGCGTAGCGGCTTTTATAGAAATGAAGCCGCAAAATGGCCATATAGTTTTTTTAATCTTGGCGAAGGCTTTTCATTTCAGCTCTTTCAGACCCTGAGTCAGGTTTTCTACACAAGTTGCCGAGCCCAGCTTCCATCAAAACCAAGAAAAAAAGAACGTAAAGAGATAATTTAATTGCGTGTGCTGAAAGAGGACTCGTTCGACCAAATTCGCTATTGATTATTTAAACGTGGTTTTGCGGCTTTCGCTGTTTCACTCATTTCATTTTCGAAATTATTCGAATTAACATTATTCAGCTCCGGCAGCGAGCAGCTTTATCGACCTTGCCTCAAAACAGGTTCGCGTTGAAAAACGACTTGAACTTTCGACTTTTTCAAATTGCTTCTTTTCAAAGTTCAATTTTCAACCTTTCAAAAAAGAAACAGCAAAAGCAGTAACATTAGAACACGAATCGAGCTGGAGCTGGGCTCGGCAACCTGTGTGTAGAAACCTGACGTTGGCTCGACAACCCGAGTAAAAACCTGAGTCAGGTTCTGAAAAGCTTAAATGAAAAGCCGCGTTCGCGGCTTCGTTAAAAGCCGCTAGACGGCTTTTCATTTTAGCTTTTTAGAGCCTGACTCAGGTTTTTACTCAGGTTGCCGAGCCCAGAACCTGACTCAGGGTCCTGAAAAAGCTTTCATAAAGAGCGGCTTTTTGAAAGCCGAAACCGCACCGCTTCACCAATGCGGCTTTTTATGGAAGCTTTTTCAGGACCCTGAGTCAGGTTTCTACACAGGTTTCCGAACCTACTTCTGGACTGCTCAAATGGTGCTCCTTCCCGGCCTAACTTGGTAATGATGGCTCCTTCAAACTCTTCAAACTCGAATCTGAGGAGCAGTGCTAACAAATTGGTGCAAAAGTGCGATGCTACCTCGCAAAAACTAAGCAAGGGAGACCTTCTTTTGATGCATTTTTCGATTTTGATTATTCTTCATTTTCGAACTTCCTTGAAAAGAGGCTTCTACGAGGAGCGAAAAGAGCTGGACCGAAACATGGAGGAAATCTTCCAGCGTCTTTCGTTCTGGACGTCGCTGGAAAAGTCGAATCGCTACTTGATTCTCAAAGAAGTGGAAAACGCGCTGGCGCTCTTTGAACTGCATCATCAAGATCAGGTTTTGACCTTTTTTATTATTGCGCGCGTGAACTTTTAGGAGCTCGCCCTTCCCAAAATAGAAATATCACGAGATCAACAAACCATTGACGCCAGCAGCAGCATCCCAGCAGCAACTCTCAACCCTGGTAAAAAACAAGAAAAGAAACGATCCATCATTCAATTTTCAGACACGAACAGTAGCTCCTCGAATTACTACAGTACATGTTCGCATCAAACAGTTTCCTGGCTCTACTTCATCATCGCTTGCCTCCTGCTTTTCATCCTTTTCACTGGAATTGATTTCCACTGCCCCTATCAAATTGTCTAAAAATAAAATCTACAAACTCCTTGAAAAAAAGGAACTGGCAGCCGCCCAAAATTATAAATTATATCTTGTGACTACGAAACGTTTGCGGCGACTGAAGAGCAATCTGTTGAACTGATGTTCTTTCGTACAGTAGTTGTGGCTACTGTCAGTCTCGGGGATGTTTTACGGGAAAACGTAAAACATGTCAAATTATTTTTAATAATGGAGTCAACAACGATCACCAATTTCTGGCAATTTCTGGGCTCCTGAGTCAGGCTCTATAAAACCTAAATGAAAAGCCGCCTAGCGGCTTTTTAAAAGGTAGCCGCAGAGCGGCTTCGACATTACCAATCCAAATTGGAATCTCCAATTTATAATCTAATTCCGACGAAAACCTGAGTCAGGGTCTGAAAGTGCTGAAATAAAAAGCCGCAAAGCGGCTTTTAAAAACGAAGCCGCAAAGCGGCTTCGCGAATACTACCATTACAATCTATAAGAAATTCTAGAGAAGCCGCTTCGCGGCTTCGTTTTAAAAAGCCGCTACGCGGCTTTTCATTTAACCCCTTCAGAATCTGACTCAGGTCTTCTACACAACGCAAACTACATCTCTCTGTCTCCTTCTGAAAACAACAAAAAAAGAAGTGAGAAAGTGGCGAGGCGACAAGTGGCGTCGTCATAAATCGACAATTACTGCTCAATGATGTTCATTCTCACGGAGGCCGTAATACTATACACGGTCTGGGCACACATACACACACTCTTCTGCGCGGTCATCGATCAACGGCGTGTGCCCAAATCACCCACTCAATCTCGGAACGATTCTTTCTCTCCCAAAGAAAGAGAAAGAGAGCCCCTTAATCTCTTAACGAGTTACTTACCAAGTTACTAACTCTTTTCAACAACAAGAAAAAGAAAGAAAGAGAGGAGGTACTTCTGACGCTCTCGCTTCCTGACAAAAGGAATTAAATCAAGAAAAAGAGCGAAATAAATATTTATTTTCGCGCTTTGAAGAATTCACGAATTGAACGAAAGGAGAAAAAAAAGAAGGAAAAAATTAAGTGATAATCGTTGCGACTCGCTGTCGATTGTCAGGTCCCCTCGTTAGTTGACCCCCGAGGGGAAACTCGATCTGTTAAATGGTTAAATCAACCGTCGAGAAACCTGAGCAAGAAGAAGAGAGAGAGCTGACTCGACTGAAGTGGTGGAGGGAAAGGCTGGGCTCAGCAACCTGTGTGGAGAACCTGAGTCAGGGTCTGAAAGTGCTGAAATGAAAAGCCGCGTAGCGGCTTTTAAAGAACGAAGCCGCAAAGCGGCTTCGCTAGAATTTTTTACATTTTTCGCGAAGCCGCTGCGCGACTTCGTTTTTAAAAGCCGCTACGCGGCTTTTCATTTCAGTTCTTTCAGACCCTGACTCAGGTTTTCTACTCAGGTTGCCGAGCCTAGGAAAGGAAGACAGAACTGGCGACTGATAACAACGAGGAAAACTCAAAAGACAACAAGAACGGAGAGAGAGAGGGAGAAGCTCTTGAGCGAAGAGAGAGAAAAAGAGAGAGGCTTGAAGAGGCAGCGCTCGTGAGCCCAGAGCAGAGAGTAGCGAGCATCGTTTTTAGCGACCGCCATCTTTTGAGCCCAGCCGCTGCGGTTAGCCTGAGCATGCTGCTGGCGGAAAAGGAGAAACGAAAGATAAAAACGCAGAGCACGAGGAGGAGCAGCACAAGATGCTAGTTGGCCCATCCCTCGACTAGTAGCGCGAAGAAGAGAGAGAGAAATCAACGAAGAGATTATTTCACGCTCGGAAAGAGACTAAAAGAAAACAACAAAAATAGAGACGCTCCGCTGCTCCTGGAATTATTATCCCATCTGATCATCATCGTCGGCAGCAGAAGAGAGAAAGAGAAGAGCTCCTTCTTCCAGCTGTTTATGTGCTACAAGGTTCCAGAGCTATTCGAGCCAGTCGGCGACAATTCCTCAGAAGCCTGGTTCCAGTTCAGAGAAAAATTCTTTGGGTCCGGGCTGCTCTCTTAATAACAGGAGCGCGTAACTCGTAAACGGCGAATCCGATCCAATCGTAAATTCGAAATAACGCACTTTTCAATTTTCCGATTCTTCCTTTTTTCGACTTTTTTTTCCGAATTTTCGACTTTTTTTTCCGAATTTTCGAAGAAAAATTAAGAAATTCTTAAGAAATATCTCCTCTTCTCTTTTGTTATTTGTGAATATTTGAATATTTAATGCGCGCAGCTACTAATTGAAAGTGACAGCCTGCCCCGCACTTTATCAAAGGTTATGGCTGTCGTCTGTTAATTAAATGTCTCTTCTCTAAGCCCATATACCGTGTTGCGTACGCTGATAGGGCACATCCCCTCCTTAACAAAAGCAATTATTTATGCTCGCTCTGAGGAGCAATTTTGACACTCTCGGCGGCGCTGATATTGACCTTGAATTCGCAACAGACAAAAGAGCAATTTAGAATTTCTCTATTTCGAATCTTCTAACTTCAACTCAGTAATTAAAGAAGGATCAAAGTAAAGAAGAGCAATTTTCTCCGAAAATAAGCATACTTGGCTCCTGTCAGAAAACTTGAGTCAGGGTTTTGCAAAAGCCAGAATGAAAGCCGCGTAGCGGCTTTTCTAAAAACGAAGCCGCGAAGCGCCTTCGCCAAAATTACCATTTCAGTCTATTTAAATACTTGGCTGGGAAACCTGTGTAGAAATCCTGAGTCAGGCTTTGATAGATCAAAATAGATTGAATTCGTCATTTTTCTTAGCCCAGTTTGTATATAGACTGAAATGGAAATTTGGGTGAAGCCGCTTTGCGGCTTCGTTTTTGAAAAGCCGCTGCGCGGCTTTCATTCTAGTTTTTGCGAAACCCTGACTCAGGTTTTCTACACAGATTGCCGGGCGTAAGTGACACCCTTATAATAAGGGCCTTATTCCCTCATCGAAACTCTAAGCCTTGCCGCTTTTGCTTCTGACTACAGAAACTACAGAAATAACAGTAATTAAGGGAGTAGCCCGGTTAAAAGACAGGAGCAGTTTTGCGAAAACAACGACTGGAGCGGTAACTCCTCCGCTTCGCTCGACGAAAAAGTCCTCTGTTACCACAAAAGCACACATCCTTGCACCCTGATATTTTCGGACTGCTGGTGGAATGGATCTGGACAGACAACGAGTTTCACGGACAGCCTGGATTCGAGTGCTTGAAAAAGCGACCGAAACTCACAAAGAAGGTAAATGCTCAAGTATCGGTCAAGTTTGCTCAATATGCGCTCAAATATACGAAGAAAAAAGGGGCTATCAATTCCAAGTCAATTTTTAAAAGGCTCACTCAATTTTCAAAGAACGGCCGTAAATCAACTGTCACACTCCTTTTCTAATGTGACTGTTTTACGATTTTCAATCGGCAGCTCGTCCGGAACAATAACTTATTGAATACCTAAGGGCTAGAATTCAACTTAGCGCAGAATTTGTAGCTAGAATTCAAAAATTGATTGAGATGTCGATGTTTTTGCAGCTTCTAGGACCCTTACTCTGGGCTCGGCAACCTGTGTAGAAAACCTGAGTCAGGGTTCTGAAAGAACCACGAGGTTTTTATCGATGTCCTTTCAGAACCCTGAGTCAGGTTTTTACACAGGTTGCCGAGCTAACATCAGATATACTCTTGGCTCAAAAACCTGTCAAAAACCTGAGTCAGGGTCTGAAAGATCTCGCGCGGACCGTTTCAGGCCCTGACTCAGGTTTTTTAAACAGGTTGCCGATCTCAGATCAAGTTATTTTTTTTAACCTTTTTTCATTAAAAGTAACGAGAAAAAGCAACTTGAGAGGAGCATCTCTTCCATTTTCGCTCGTTCCACTATCGCTTGTCAGAAAGATGTCAATTTAGCTGGAAGAGAAAATGAGTGGTCCTAACGATTCTGGACTTGATTCAGAAAAGTGGAATGGCGATTACGCTCCGCCTGTCGAAATTGATTAATCCGAAGTTGTTTAGAGCTTGTTCGAGGACAGCAAATCGGACTTGAGCTGCGCCTGATCCAGGCGGACTACCAGTCTTTTAGTGCTCAGCGCTAATCTCGCAAACGCACGAAAACTGAACTGAAATCTTCCATTACCGAATATTTTCGATAATTTACCGCCCCAGCCCGTTTTTTAATTTCCGACCAGTGTCGATTTTCGTGGCTTCTCGTCGATCAAGCAAATGATCTCGCTCAATGAGCCGCGTAATAGAACAAAATTATTTTTTCAAAAAACAATTTCAAATCGGATTATCAATCAGATGAAATTGCCTTTTGGAAATTGATTGACGATTGGACTCTTTTTTAATTAATAAATAACCGTGAGCTGCTCAAATACCAGAAGCTCCCCCCCTTAAATTGTTGTTAATTTGTGCCCCAAAACTTTTGATAGAACGTACCCCCGTATTCTTTAAATATTGAAAATGACGACGTGACATCGCAAATGAGTCATTTTTGTACCATTTTAACGTTGTCACGTCGTCATTTTCAACAGTTTAAAAATACAGGGGTACGTTAACACAAAATTTAGGGGAGTAAATTGAGCACGAATTAACAACAATTTAAGGGGCGCCCTCTGATATTTCATCTCTTTTTTCAGGCTATTGCGACTACATTTACGACACATTCCACTGCATCCACCCGATCCCCGCCGGAGAAACCCTCTACTACCAATGTTCCTACGCCGACACGGCAATTTGCAACGACCCGCCCACTTTGACCCTTCCCGCTGCAAACAGCTCCTTTTGTCGAGGAACGGCGGCTGACAACAGCCCGATTCAGTATTATGCTTCGCGGAAGTGCTACGAAAACGCAACATGGGAACCGAAGGCTTACGATGCACTTTGCGACTTGATGGAGACCGATCCGACGATATTCCGAAATTCGACCTCGGAACTTGATCGTCACCAGACTCTCGATAAGATTTACTATCACTGTAGTATTTGGCCACCACTTCTGTCAGTTATCGTAAGTAACAAATCGGGGACACTGGTTATGTCGGCGAATGTCGTCGAATGTCGTCGATGTCGCCAAAAAGGCAAAAAGGCGACATTCCTGACATTTGCCGACATTCAGCGACATAACTAGTGTCGCCCAACAAATCAACACAGGCTGGGCAACCTGTGTAGAAAACCTGAGTCAGGTCCTGAAGAGCCACGCTGCTTCGCTTTTTCTTCAGGACCTGACTCAGGTTTCCGAACCCAAAATTGAACTGCATAAGAAACATCGTTTTTCTAGTGCTTGATCGTAGCGTGTTTCCTCTTCAACGTCAAGACACTGCGCTGCACGAGAATCTTCATCCACCAAAATCTCATCATTGCCTGGATTTTCAAGTACTCCCTCTCCATCATTGTCTTTCTCATTGGCCGAGGCATCACTGCTGGAATCGAAGAAACTGCTGCAGGAGACGCAAGTGGCTCCTCACAAATGTATGTTCAGGAAGACTCACAGCAGTATTTACCAGTTTATACTACCGGTAATGGAAGCTACTCTTACGACTACGCTGCTGATTATTACGCTTCATCCGGAAATGGCTATGGACCACCAATTTCTAGCGAAAAGTCCAGAAGCCCTTGGAATGATCCTCAAGTCGAAGCTTCGCTGAACATCATCCACCAGTACTTCTACCTCGTCGGCTCAGTTTGGTTCTTCATCGAAGCGATTTTCCTCCAGTACCAAATCGCCATGAACGTCTTCAACCCAAGCTCAACTCTCAAGGAAAGGCTTTTCGCGAAGAAAAAAACGAGAAATTCTTCTTTCTCTATTTTTCTGATGATAAAAAAAGAGCGCGGACGTAATTTTCGTCTTTTAATATTTCCAGAATCCGCTTCCAACAATTTCCTTCTTTCCCCTCGCTCTAAGAAAAAAGCCCGATTCGAGATGAAAGTTCTTGTCGCCGTCGCCTGGGGAGTTCCGATTGTGATGCTGGTTCCGTGGATTGTTCTGACCCACAGAAGACTCGCCATCTCGCATTTTGAAAATCGAGAGCAGTTTTTCAATACAACATGTAAGTCTGGGCTCGGCAACCTGTAACTAATCCTTTTTCTAGTGGCGGTGGTAAACTACAACGAGTTCATTCAGTCGGCCAAATCGTGGAGAAACGTAAACGACTTTGACGAGATTTTCGTCATTTCGGCCCTACAGCTCGCCATGCTCATCATTAGTTTTTTCATTCTTCTCAATATCGGTAATCTTTCTTCCCTAGAAAGTTGAAAACTGTCTTTTAAGTTCGAATCATAATGACGAAAGTGCGCGTCACAGCTGGAAACGACTTCGAAGTATTCAAGTGAGTCAAATTCAATTTTGAAATCAACAACGACACTTTCAACTTTCGACTTTCAGAAAATCCGTCAAGGCGACCTGCTCTCTTCTGCCACTGTTTGGGCTTTCGGTGATCATTGGGTTGTATCACAAACCGCAGAGTAGTGAGTCCTTGTTCCCGACGTTCCTCATTCTTCTTCAAAACTTACAGGTTCGTAATTTTAAGGGGGCGATTCCTGGGCTCGGCAACCTGAGTCAGGTTTTGAAGAGCTTATATGAAAAGCCGCGTAGCGGCTTTTGAAACGAAGCCGCAAAGCGGCTTCGCCAATATTTTAAAATAGAGAAAATCGATTGGTTGGCGAAGCCGCCTTGCGGCTTCGTTTAAAAGCCGCTACGCGGCTTTTGATTTTAGCTCTTCAAAACCTAACTCAGGTTTTCTACTCAGGTTGTCGAGCCCAGGCAATTCCACTAGTTAACCCTTCCCCTAACTTCCTTCTAGGGCGTATTTATCGCGACAATCTACTGTTTCATGAACAAAGACGTGCAGCGAATGGTCAAGTCGCGCTTCACCCGCGTGGTGCAGCGCCATTCCAGCGCCTTCTACTCCCAGGGAACGCAGCACTCCCAGCTCAGCGTCTCAGAGGTAGCCAAACGAGCGCGCAACTCGCGTTGTTTCGATGAGGGTTTTCAACTACTAACAAACTGATTTAATTAACAAAGAAAAGAAAAGATTAACCAGGAAATTGACCAGTGTGGAATCCTCTTTCAGTCAAGCTTTTCCGCGTGAAAGCGCTGTTCTCAAAGGCTCCCACTGGAGAAATCACTCTCCAAACCGAGCATGAACTAACCAAACGAAACTCGCATTTCAACAACTCTACTTCTTAGGTACAAACTTATTGACAAATTATTTAACAATTAAGGGCGTAGCCATCGGAGAACTCGATTTTCACGAGCAAAAATTCATTCACTTCAAAAAGTCGCTTCTATATTTTTGTGCTGGAACCTGTGTTGAAAACCTGAGTAAGGTCCTGAAGAGCCAAAATGAAAAGCCGCGTAGCGGCTTTTCTAGGAACGAAGCCGCGCAGCGGCTTCGCAACATAACCATTAATAATGGTCTATTATGATTTACTAGAATTAAAAAATCGTTGAGGATACCCTTAAAATTTTAGGGCCTTAAGAACTAGCGAAGCCGCTCCGCGTCTTTGAGTATTTAAAAGCCGCTACGCGGCTTTTGTAATCACTAGGAGTTAGAGTTTTCAAAACGTCTAAAACCGGGTTAACGAAGTCTACGTCCTTAAAAATCTCCCCAGCAATTATTTTACAAATTGCTTGGAAAAGTTCTGATAACAGAAAATGCCATGAAAAGAAGCTGATTTCCATTCTAGCAACTTTCGCAGCGATGGTCAAAAGTAGTGGCTCGGATCTCTTCAAATGGCTCCGGACGGCCGACATCGTCGCTGCTGGAGGCGAGTGAAACGGGAATGACCCCGGCGAATCAAACGAGTAGTGGCCTTAGCTCATCCCTGCACCAGCGGCCCGCAGGATCGACTCTTACTTCTATTTAAAAACTGACAAGAAAAACACCGATCAGAAAAAGACATGACAACTATAAAATTTAAAATTTGTAAAAGAAAAAAACGAAAAGAATGTTCCAATGCTTCTCTCAACACTTGCCAAATATCCAGTTCAAAACTTGCTATTTCAAAAATAAAAATAAAGAAAAAGACAGAAATTCCAAAATCGTAATTTATGTAAAGAAAAATCATTTCGTCGCGTAAAAATCGATAATCTTTCATTTTTCTCGGAGGAAAGATTCAGATTCATTATTCTGAATCTGATGCTAGGTGGTTTGATTTTTTTAATCGAAAGATTTTTTGAAAAGACTTTTTCAGAGCTGGTTAACGTTCTTTGCTACGTTGTGATAGGCACTATTTCCAGCTTACTATTGACGAGTTTAAACTAACTATGGAGTTTTCTACTAGTCTGGGCTAGGCGACCTGTGTAGAAAACCTGAGTCAGGCTTTGAAGAGCTAAAATGAAAAGCCGCTTTGAAAGCTCTTCAAAGCCTGACTCAGGTTTTCTACACAGGTTGCCGAGCCCAGCTACTAGTAGCTAATCTTACTGTACTACAATCTGTAGTGGAGCTTCCACTGAGCTCGGCAAACCTGTGCAGAACCCTGAGTAAGGGTCCTGAAAAGCTTTACTAAGCCTTTGTCAGGAGCCTTGACTTATACAGGTTGATCAATTTTTGGCAAAGGGATGTTTTTAAGAGAATAAACTCGGGTTAAGTCCTCATTTGGCCAATATGCCTCTTTTGCGACGCTTCAAGGTAAAACTGGAAAAGACGCATTATCAATTGATCAAAGGAGTTTCAACTATCTATCTAGTGCTTGAAATGCAAGAAACTCCAGGAGCGCGTTGAAATGAGAAATGATGATGAAGAATTCGGCGCGTCTTCCGAACGAAGCTCGATTCCCACGAACGAAAATCGGCGGCCGAGACTGGTAGATTCGCAAGTTGAAAATTCAAGCATCGTGAATTCAGACGCATCAAAAAAGTGTCGAAAGGCGCTTGTCAATTCCAGCTGGGCGCTCTGAGCAAATCACGTGCAACCGAATTATCGAAATTCAACAGAAATTCAGGTAAACTACAAATCAATCTCTAAAAAACAGCACTTAAAGACGAACCGACGAAAATCGACTAACACGAAACGGAAGAACGAGCAGGTCTCTCAGAAGGTACCCTTTCTTTCATTACAAATTCGATCGTTTATTTCACCTTTTCAGATTTTCCCAGGCCCTCGACTGCATTGACAAGGACATACAAATCATCACGGAATGATTGAAATCCTGCAAGAAAACAATAAAAATAAATCATCATCTGGGCTCGCCAACCTGAGTCAAGGTCTGCAAGAACTGAACTGAAAAGCCGCGCAGCGGCTTTTGTAAAAACGAAGCCGCAGAGCGGCTTCGCTAATATTACCATTACTATCTATCATAAATTCTAGCGAAGCCACCTGCGCGGCTTTTCTTTTTAGTTCTTGCAGACCCTGACTCAGGTTTTCTACACAGGTTGGCAAGCCTAGATCATCATTGAATTCGAGTTGTTTTGTTTAAAGTTTCAAACAGATAGAGTCAGGTCAAAAGAGAGTCAGTTCCATATTAAACGACGATTTCTCCTCGGACAGGCGCGTATTCTTTGTTGAGTTCTTGATTTGGCAGAGTTGAAAACGGGGACCCCGTATTAGGGAAGTTAGGGAAGAAATCATTGTTGGAAAGAACGGCCGTATCCGTAGCCGCCCTGGCCAAAGCCGTGGTGGAACGATCGCGCGCGGTTGAATTGCTCCTGAAAATTGAATGAAGAAATTGAAGAAGAAAACCAGTTGTTTTGAAAGTTACCTCTAGTCTGTTGTTGAGCGCCTCGCCATTCACTACGTTGTCGTGCTGTCTTTTTGCGATTCAACTTTGAACGGATTTTCAACTTTCTAGCGTTCAAATGATCATTAGTTAACCCGTTAACAGGCCCGTGGAGATTTCGTCTCCACGCGTGGAAATGAGTAACCAATCGCATGCGCGGATTCGTGATTTGAATCAATCACCGATAAGCTCTTGCGTAGGCAAAAGCCCACTGCCCTGTTAACGGGTTAAGAAGAACGAAAAGCCCGTGTTCCTTTCTTCGCGGCGAATAAACCCTTTGATTCTTTTTTCTTTCCGCCCAAAAGTCTGAAAATTCATTTCCATATTTGCAAAACGAAAATGCGCACCTCGCAAATTTGTTGAGTCTGGCTTCTCCGCCTTCTAGCGTCGCTCCTGTGTACTGCCCCATGTTGACTATGTCTTTTTTCAGCTCCTCTTTTTCTGCCTCTTTCGCCATTGATGCCACATCTGAAATTTTTTATTAATAAAACCCTACATCGGTTTTCGATAACGAAAAACTCTATCCGGCCTTCGCATTTGCTGATTTTCTGTTCAAGTCAACAGAAAATCAGCAAATGAGAGGGCCGGATGGAGTTTTTCGTTGACGAAGCAACACGCAGTAGAAATGAAAGCTCTAACCGTCCGCTGTGATTCTCACTGGCTCAACTGGTGGTGCCGCAGTTTCTTCCTCTTTCTCCGCCTCTCTCTTCTTTTTCTTCTTCTTCTTTTTTCTTTACTCACTTCTGGCGATTCTGGAGCCGGCTCTGGTTCCGGTTCTGGCTCCCTGCGCTTTTCTTTTTACTCTTTTGGGTGGCGATACTTCCAATTCCTAGCAAAAGAAAGTTGATTTTTGGAAAGAGTTTATTTTGATTGATTTTGAGAGAAAGGTGCACAATAGTATAATTGGATTTGGTTAGTGACGGCGGAATTATTCCACAAGTTACAGAGTCGCTTTTTCTTGAGCATCGAGAGACGCGCTTGATTCCGCTCGTTCAACTTTGAAATCAGATGGCTCCTTTTACTGGGGAAACAGACTGTAACTAAGAGTAAGTGATGAGTTCTTGATTTTTGATATCAACAAGGACTCATTCTGACAAGAATACTAGATATGGGTTTTTGGAAAACTAAACTGACTAATTGCCAAGCTTAGCTCGTTTTTGATTGGGCAAAGCGACAAATAACCGTTTCTGATTCGCTGAAAGACCCCACAGAATCCCATTATTGGAAAAAGATTATGGACATTTCCCTGCTCGTTCCGAAAACTCTATCTTCAAAATTACTCGTATCTTTTTCGTGCTCCAGAAAATTGACAAAGTTGAAAAAGGCTGCGGAAAAATAAGGTAGCGAGAAAAGCAAAAATCTCATTTTTTAGGTCACTCGTTTTTTGGCTGTATCTGCGCTCGGGCTTCTGTCTTATACGAACTCATGGAGAGACACGTGATTTATTTTTCATGGAATTTCAGGTGTTGACGCAAAGTTGAAAGTACCTTTTCAGGACTGGGACTGCGCTTGCGATCTTTCTTCTTTTTCTTCTTCTTGTGCCGCCGCTCATCGTCTAACGAGCGCGACATTTCTTCAAACTTTTCCAGGTTTTTTTCATACGATTCCTTATCTTTGCCCATTCTACAAGGAAAAATATTTTGCTACAGAGCTGCCGTTGATAACGAATCTTTCCATCACGCAATTTGATTGGTCCATCCCAAATCTTCGAAGTGAACCAATAAGAAAGCGCGATGAAAAGAGCTGCTATCAGTAGGAAAGTTTGAAGCGCCGACTAAACATTTTAGTCCATTTTACAGAAAAAGTCAAGAACAAAAAGTTACAGTCAGGCGCAAAGTTTGTCCTCCAGCTCTTCTTCCGTAATGAGCCCCTTTTTCCTCTTCTTCATAACGCTGTAGTCTTCGTTGAGTTCCTTCAAGTCCTTTTCGAAATCCGCCGCAATCAATTCCTGCTTCTTCGCCTTTCTGGCCCTCTTTTCCGCCTTTTTGTTTTTCGCCGCTTTTTGCTCGCTCCAAGCTTTGTTCTTTTCGCGCTTTTTTCGCTCTACTTCTTTATTTCGCTTTTCTAGTCGCTCTTCTTCCTTCATTGCTCGCTGCACTCGTACGCTTTTGTCTTTGTACTCAAGTGTAGCTAAACAGATGATGAATCTATTTGTAGGCTCGGCAACCTGTGTAAAACCTGAGTCAGGATTTTACACAGAGGTTCTGAAATCCTGACTCAGATCTTGTACACAGGTTGGTGGCCCCAGCAAATAATGAATAAAAACAGTAGTAGTAAAAGAACATGCGTACTGTCTGTCTGTCCCTGTCAGAAGCTGGACAGCTCGAGCGATAGTAGCTTACCTATATCAACGTCGCTGTTGGTAAAGCCAGTGTACTCCTTGTTCTTCAGCTCGGCCATTTTTGGCATTTTCAAAAGACCGAACATGTGCGCATAATCACCGATACTTTTGATCAGCTCTTTTTCGCGGAAGATGTATTTGCACTCGTGCGCTAAAAATCAATTTCAGAAATTAAAAATCTCCTACAACGACTTCTTTTGATAATGAATTTATCCATCAAGCTCCCTGATTGGTCAAAATTGAAATCTCCGATTAAAATCATTTCTGACCAATCAGAAAAGCGCCCTATGGATTTGTTATCGAAAGAACTCTCTGTAGAAAAGATTTGTTACTGTATTTCATTGTCGTAGTACAGTAGTTACCTTTGTAAGCACAAACAAAGCTCGGAAACGCCCTCTGCGCGTATTCAAAGTTCCTCTTGTCCTTCAACTGGATCTCTCTGACCTTCTCCAGTTCCAACATCTCGAAATCTTCCTTTAATTCGACCATGTCGCCGACTTTTGGTTGAGTTTGATGAACTCGAGGTAGTTTTGCTCGTGCTCCGACGGAGTCACGAAGACCAGGTTTTCTCCACTTTTTCCAGCGCGAGCGGTCCTGCCAGCGCGATGGACGAAGTTTGGAGCAAAGGTAGGAGGATCGAACTGGATGACGTAGTCCACGCCGCCGGAAATATCGACGCCGCGGCAGAGCAGATCCGTCGTAACTGTTACAATTCGCTACATTCAGAAATCATCAGAGAGTTAACATTATTAATTAACGGTTACTGATGCTCTGGGCTGGGCAGCCTGTGTGGAAACCTGAGTCAGGGTTTTAAAGAGATGCAGATTTGTCTTTAAACAACTCTATCAGGACCCTGACTCAGGTTGCTTAGCATAGCTAATGCCTATCCCTTTTAGTAACCCTTTATTGTGACCCCTCAAGCGGGAAAACTGTAGCAGATGACAGTAAACAACTGTATATCGACGGAAAGCACAGCATTTTTGCTACCATTTTCGTCCGCGAAATCACGTCACGTGACCCCTAAGAAAATATCTTTGTAGCGACTTTCCTAGAACAGCTCCGCCAGATCTGTCGGTAAATTCCTTGATCGCTTTCGACCTCAATTTCTGGTTCTTCTTCCCGTGGCACTTGATCACTGGATAGTTGACCAGCTGCCTCAGAACTTGGTGGAAATAGTCGACCTGGTCGGAAGTGAGAAAATAAACGACGCTCTTCGACTTTCGCCGCTTTTTCAACAACGAAACGAGATAACTGAGTTTGTGGCGCGGCTCGACGACAGAGAAGAGCAGTTTGAGTTCTTGAGGCGTGGACAGGTTCTCTCGCGCTTTTTCTTTGACCGAGACGGAGTGGGGATGACGCAGACCAGCCTTTTTCAGACGGAGGACGTTTTCGTTCAGCGTCGCGGAGAATAGACCGGTTCGCCGCTGTTTTGGAAGATTTGACAAAATGAAATTGATCGCTTTTTCGAAACCAATGTCCAAAATCTTAAAAAAGGCTTTGTTTATTAGCAGGAAAGGGTTCAAAACCTGGTCCGCTTCGTCGATAATCAACATCTCCACAGTCTTCAGCTTCGCCTTGAGCACATCGGAGCGTTTAATCAAATCGTCCATTCTTCCCGGAGTCGCGATGATCACATCCGGAGTCGACTTCTCCAGCATTTCCATGTCTTCCTGGATCTTTGTTACTCCGCCGATGCAGGTCATCGCCGTGTACTTTTCAAGAACATCGAGAAATCGCAGCAAAACTAGAAGAATTCCGATAAACGAATAAACCAGCATTAGGATAGGACCTGTGTGAGTTTGATTAGCGAGCTCTCTGGTCGGAGAAATAACGATGAACGAGATCTTGTCCTTTGCCCCGGAAGAGATCATTTTGTGCAGCGCGGGCAAAAGGAAGGCCAGCGTCTTTCCCGAGCCAGTGACGGCTTCGCACATCACATCTTTGTTTTGCAGAAAGATTGGGATCGTGTATTCCTAAGAATCATGCTAGTTAATTGTCTTGTGTTGCTCGAATTTTCTTACTTGGACTGTTGTCATGAACTCAAACTTCTCAACTTCCGCTAGAATTTTCAACAGAGTCGGATGAAGGGGCGGCTTCAGATCCGAAAATCGCTTGCTCGACAATGTACTACTGCTCATTCTTGAAAATGACAGTATTTTAGCTTTGAATCAATACGAAGAGTTTACTGTTTCGCTTGAAATAAAATGGCTGTGATAGAAATAGCTAAGGCGGTGTTTGAAGTGAGAAAGTGGCAAAAATTCAATTATTCCTTGAAAATGGAAGTGAAGAAAAGTGTCAGTAGTGAAGTAAGTTGCAATAAATAAGGCAAACAGCAGTCTAAAAACACTCAAACGAGAAGATGAAATTTGTTGCCGATGACGAAGCCAACATCGGATTGCCAAGGGAGGAGATTTTCGCTGTGATCCCGGTATTCAGGCACGCGAAAGTCCTCTGAATTTTTACGCATTTAGAAAAGGAGAACGTCTTTTTCACCTAGGTTTATTGTTGGTAAGGTTGTCTCCTCGTCGTCTTCTTTATTGATTTTAATGGATCGTTTTCGGGCTTTGGGGATTTTTGTTTGATGTCCTCGATCGTGAACGTAAAGACATCGACGTCGCCTATGATCGGTTCCCCAATCAATCGTGCACAGTTTTTCGACGAGGACGAGACCAGGTGGACGAAACCGTTGTTTCCAATTTTGAGCTCAATTTCGAGATCCTTCTGCTTTTGAATTTCCAAAAGCAGAGGTTGTTGAAGCAATTTTTGCCGATGAGGTCAGAATCGAAACGTCTTTTCTGCTTTTCTTCATCAAGTGTCCTAGAACAAAGAAAGATCTGTTCTCTTCTTCTTCTTCTTGATATTCAGCCCATCTTGAGTAGTAGACCAGATCTTCGTAAATGCCGTATTGTCTACAGGCTGGATCTTCTGGGAATGATGCTCTGGCGATTCGCGGAAACTCGTAAAGAGTCACCGTTTTCGTCTTTAAATCGCTGTGGTACACTTTTCCAGGCGGCGCATCATCATCGTCAAGTTCCGATCTAACAAAAATGAGCCAGTTGTTTTCGTCCAAAACCGAGCTTCCGTATCCCAGTAATTATCCTCTTCTCGCTGGGTGAAATCAAAGCTCCAGACAACCTGCTGCTTTCCACCAGAAAAGTTCCAAAATCTACGACGCGCTTCTCGAACGGACTGATTTCCTCCTCGCTTTCTTCTTCTTCTTCCTCATCTCCGGACGAATGAACTTCAAATAAATCGGCTTCCTGGATCATCGGGACAACACTCTTCGGATTCGTTACGTAATCTCGCCAAGATCGTTGCCGAGAGAAGTTAAAGTCCATCTGCTCAAAGCTTTCAGATTCCAAAAGAATCTTCTTTCCTTTGACGATTTCCGTCGTTACTTGGTCAGGGCTGAACAGCCGTTTTCTGAAATCCGGACTGAGAACCACTGAGTCAAGAAAAACGCCGTCGCGCGGAGGTAAAAATGCAGTTGCGCGAAGGGGATAGAATGGTCGCCGTTCTGGATTTTGCTGAGGATCGTGAGGGTGATAGTCGACAAGCTCGAACTTTGGTGAACGCTCCTCGTTTTCCCGGTTGATTTTGAACAGGAGAAGATTGCTTCGAGCTGCTCCCAAGTCAAGTCCTTGTGGTTCGTCATTCGTCCAAGCAAAAAGCTGAAAAAAGTCATTAGAATTTGAAAAGAGCGAATTTTTCTTACGAATGATCGACCGAATTTGACTTCCACTTCAGAAGACTTGAACTCGATCGTCGCCTTCGGCTCAAGCTTCTTCTTGTTGTACTTCATGTCGTGGCGTTTCTGGACAATCTTCATCACATCAGAGAGCCGGTCTGGCTTTGAATTGATCTCCGCTTCTAGTTCTTTGCCAACGAGCTCGAGAATCGTGTCGCGCTTGTAATGAGGATTTAGAAAGGTGCGACAGAAGAGAGGGCTCGTCATCGCATCGAAATTACTGCAGCCGTCTTCGTTGATTTGCTCCAAAACGATGGGGGCGATCCAAGTGAGCACATCCATCGGCATTCGTTCGAGAATCAACTCCGATAATTCGACGGAGCGGGGATGCTCTTGCATCTTTTTGAGCAACGAGCGGCGCGACTCATACGTCATTCTGAGATTTTCACTATTTTTTTAAGAAACCAACAATGAGAATTGGAAAAAAAGACAAGATTTGGGCTCGGCAATCTGTTTAACAAACCTGATTCAGGTTTTCTGAAAACGCTTTAACTTGGAGAGGATATCAAAATTGATAAGAAAGGTAATTATGCGGCTTTTCATTCATGATCTTTTAGATCCTGACTCAGGTTTTCTCCACAGGTTGCCGAGACAAGGACAAAATACATTTCGGATCATCGAAGAGTTTATTATTTTCATTTGGAATAGTAGTACTGTAATTAGGGACAGTAGCACTGTAAAGAATCAAGACAGAAGTAGAACAGAGGTATGAAATTCGTGGTTGAAGAGGTTGAGCGGAATTTATTTCTTCTTTGGCATTTTTCTGAGGACTTCTTGTTCGCAAGCGGCCTCGAGTTCGGGACTGTAGCCGAACATGAACAGGATTTCCATCGTTACGAAGAGCGGAGCGGAGAAAGCTAGAAAAGGAGTTGGAAAAGAAGAAAGTGGAGCTTGTTTTTACCTTGAAGAATATTGTCCATTAGCGCAGGTTTGCGGCCCTCGAAAACGCCGTGTCCGACGAATTGAGCGACCCAGCCGAAGATTTGAACTGCGAGCAGAAAGTAGAAGGTGTTTTCGTCGCCTTTTTGGACGAGAGGTAGAATGTAGTAGAAGTGGACGATGAGCGAGACGCTGGCGGTGATGAAGCCAGCAAAAGCGTGCAGAATCATGTAGTAAACATACCAGAAGCTCATGATGATCAAGGAGACGTTTACTTGGCGATCGGCGATTTCTACCTGGAAAAAATGATGATGATTCGGAGTAAGAGCTTTGAAAGTCGGGAAATCAACAAAGACTGATGCTTCTTTCAAGCATTATCAAAACCTCACCTTGCAATATTCGAAGAGTCCACAAATCGAGTAGAGAATGAGCGGGATACAAACGATGTGAATCCATTTATTCACAACATTGTGGTGGTAGGCGCCGTAGCCAGAGTAAAAATCAACGATGCCCATTTTCACAATTCTTAAAATCGCGAAAGATTAGTACTCGATTGTTAATCGGAAGATGGATAATAAATAATTGAAGAAATGAGTGTTAGTTCAGGCAGTCTTGTAATGCCGCCTCCATCTACTGTCGATTTGCTCCAGGAAATACGTTCCAGACTCGAGCGAGTCGACCGGACCAGAAGGCGAAAAAGCAGCGTTTTTTAAACTTTCGCTGCTGACTTTGTTCGCTGCTTCTCGTTTACTTGCGAAATCCACCAACTCAGCTGAATTCAAAATTAACGGTAGTTCCCAATTTTTAACTTACGACACGAAATCTGCGTTCTAGCGTTCAGCCTCTCATCTATCAGCCCCGTAATATTATTTAGCTTCTGTAACTTGTCCCCTGCGTGCACTTGAATCGTATAAAAAGTCGCGGACAATCCGGATCCATACGAAAAACAGCCTAGCTTCTCACCGCCCGTCAGTTTGCCCGTCGAAAGGAGCGATAAAATGCAACCGTAGAGACTGGGCGTGTACATGTTTCCGACGTTTTTGGAGATTTTTAAAGAGGGAAGACACATTGTTTTGAAAAGAGGCTTGGCGACTTTTTTCGGCATTAAAATTTTGACGATTTTTTAGAGCAAAATCAAAGATTATCTTTAGGCCGCTTTTCCTGTAGTTAAAGTTTTCTCCAGCGTTTTGTCCTTGAGAGAATCGCTACTCGAAACGTTTCTGTATTTTTCGAGCTGCTCAAAAGCCTCTTTGCCGATTTTGCTCTGGAGCTGCTCCGGGCAGCACTGAAGATCGCCGAAAAGCAACCTGGCGAAGGATTTTTCGACGAGCTTGGCGAAAGGCGCGTGGAAGCAGAAATAGTCCAAGTTCTCTAAAAACGAGAAAGAGGAATTCTTCTTTGTTTTCTGGCGCCAGCCAGAGTAGCATTTGTCTAAAGCTTCGAAGTAGCACGTGATTGAGAGGGGACCGTCTACAACTGGGTACTCGGAGGTCAGGTCGGGTTTGTAGAAGTCGTAGGTATGTCTTAATGAAGTTGAGTTATTAATAATACGTCTAGTGGCTCAAATAAACAGGGGACGGTTAATAGCCTAAGTAGAAACCTTAGTCAGGGTCTGAAAGATCAAAAATGAAAAGCCGCGATTAATTCAAAGATATTTTGTACTTCTGGCGAAGCCGCTTCGCGGCTTTTCATTTTTGATCTTTCAGACCCTGACTCAGGTTTTCTACTCAGGTTGCCGAGCCCAGATCGGACCGTACCCCCTTAAAAATTGGCCTGACATAAGTTCTCATTTTCCAATTCTAATGAGAAGAAACCGATGTCTCCTACCTCATATAATGCTGCTTGACAGGTTTAATTTCCAGCGGCGCGTCCGGCCCAATTAGCAAAGCAACTGCACCGACTCCACCAGTCGGCCTGGCTGCTCCCTTCCCGTAAATGGCGATGTCGGCCATGACGACGATTCCATAGCGCCCGTCCCAAGCGCTGCTCTCTACCCAATTCACAGTGTTGAAAAGCGCCGCCGTTCCACCATAGCACGCGTTTTTATTGTCCACGCCTTCCAGGTCAAAGTTCTCCGCTTCCTCGAATCGCTGCATCAAATAACTAAATATTGACTTGACTGACTGACACTAAAATTCAAAGAGAATAAAACTAGCTCGTCATTTTTCCTAAAAAAAAAGCTAAAAATCAAAAAGCCGCATGCGGCTTCGAGCTAAAATGACGGAAGAGCGGCGCTCTAGTTACTAGAAGCCGCAAGCGGCTTTTCGATGTTTAGCTGATATTTTTTTACTTTTGAAAATAAAAACTACCTTTTGACACTTTTGGACTTGTCGACCATCGTTTCCGTTCCGACTTCCAGTCTTCCAACATTCTTCAGATCCAAATCGTACGACTTGATCAATTTGTCCAAAACCGTCAATGCGATAGAATTGACGTCTTCGCGGTCAGAGACGATTCCCATTCGTTCTTGGCCAAGCCCGATCGTGTATTTTCCCTCTGAAACAAACATCTTCAGAACTGTCATTTTAAAGGGGATAGAGCTCGCTAAATGCAATTTTTAAACGAGAGTTGAGAAGCTCCATAGGTTTTCAGACCCTGACTCAGATTTTCTACACAGTTTGCCGAGCTCAGGCTTTTGTATTTTATCGATGCCTACCCCCTTAAATCGAACCTATAAAACAAGCTAAAAATGTCTTACCAGAAACTCCATCAAATTTCTCCAGTTCTTTCTGGTCGACAAAATGCCTTGGAAAGTAAACTTCTGCCGCTAGAATTCCGACTTGATTGGCATTTTGGCTTCTGCTCATTCTGAATTTCAAAAACTTTCAAAAGCTAATTTTTCTTTCTTCTGTTAAATTTCTTCTCGAGTCGAAAACGAAGACCCAAGAATTCTACTTTCTAGAACATTTTTACATCCTTTGAGAAACGAGAGCGATTACGTAATGCGCGCGCTGGAGTCCGAGCGCGAGCCAATCAGCGCGCGCGGCAGATTCCTTCTTTCCTTTTTCACAAAAGTCGGAAAATACGAATTTCCGCAGCGAGAAAAGGCGAAAATGACAGAGATTTCTCAAGAAGAACAAAAACCAAAGCCAGTTGGACTGCTTCTTGCCTTTTTATCTGCTATTTTCTTCAGGTAAATTGAAAAAAAGGTGAAAATGAAATTTTTCTTAGTCAAAATTTTTGATTTTTCCCAAGTTTTTTACTATTTATTTTTAAATTTTTAAAGAAATAATTAATTATTTAATCAAATTATTAAGTTTTTTTAGATAAATTAAATCTGATGATTTTCATTAATAAAATTTTGTAATAAAAATTAAATTTTCAGTTTCAACGGCGTAATAATCAAGCAACTGTCCGTTTCTCCGATTCAAGCCGTTTTCTGGCGCTGCACAAGTCAGTTCATCATGCTTTTTCCCGTTTGCTGCTACCGAATCAGTCAAGGCAAAGCTGACGCTGATCTTTTGGCCTTTTGCGGAAACGAGACATGCTTCCGGAGCGATTTCTCTGGCTTTGCTTCAGAGGCACCATTGGAAGTATTAGCATGGCCACGGTAAGGTTAGGTTCTTATTCAGAAACTGAAAATTATAAATTATCGGATTCCTGAAATTCCAGTAAAAGCGGAAATTGAGTTCCCAACAGAAATCCATGCCAGAACTAACGAAAGAAACCCTGATTTAGTTTCCAAATCTGCTGAAAAAATCGAGAAGAAACTTACGCTTTCGGGTCGAAGAAGACATAGGCTGTGCTTCGCGCGGCTATTCGGTCTTTTCGCCCGAAGCCGCAAGTGACTTCTCGATTTTCAGCAGATTTCGAGGCTTAATCAGGCTTTCTTTTCGTTTATTCTGGCATAAGCTAGTTCTGCTGGGAACTTAATTTTAAGCATTTACTGTATGTAGAGTTTCTGTATACAGTATACCGCTAAAAATACAAACTGTGTTTTCCAAGTTTTACATACAAAAAAAAATCTTATTTTTCTTTCAGATTTTCACGAGTTTCAAAATGCTTCCGATCGGCGATTGCTTCGCCTTGATCAACACTGGCGTCGTCTGGTCGACTCTGATCGCTTGGCTCTGGCTGGGCGACAAACCCCACTTGGTCGATCTTCTTTCTTTGCCGGTTTCGCTGCTGGGCATTGTCGTCTTCAGCAAGGTGCTTCAGATTCACTTATCCGTTTATATTTGAAATGTATGTATTTTTGACGCGTTTGTGTGAAAAATTTTTCAATTTCAAATTTCAGCCTTCCTTCATTTTCGCGGAAGAAAGCGACGTCAACACGGTCGGAGTCATCATCGCAGTCGCTGGAGCAATCGGAGCTGCTATTGCCCACACGACAGTGCGCAAGCTCGGCAAAAGTGTTCATTTCACCGTCTCGATCACTTATTTTTCCTTCTTTGGCGCGATTTTATCAGGTATTCTTGCGATTTAGGGCTTTCTATTCTTAAAAATTGGCCAGATAACATATTTTACTCAATAAAAAAGTACATTTTTCTTTCAAAAATCGTTCTAAAGCCCTGATTTATATATGAAATATGGTCAAATAAATCTATTTTTCAATCAAAATGGCCACGAAAAGGGCGATTTTGTCCAAAAAATGGTCAAAAATGCCCTTTTTCATACTTAAAGCTCATTTTTCTTGTCAAAAAACACCCCCAAACGCCAATTTTCGCCCTAAAAAGCTTCGCTAGATTCGAATCGTAAACACCATAAGAGCCCGTTTTTCGTTGCGAGTTTGGCCTTTCGTGAGCCAGAAGGAATTCAGTTCAGAGATGTCTGATACGCGCCATGTATCCAAGCTCACGACGTCATAGACAGGTTTGAGATGGGGTTTAGTTTTGACCGACTACAGTAGGAACCCAACCTGATACTAGAGATATCGAGAGAATTGATCCATGAAAATATATGCGCGAATTTTTAGAAGCCCCCCGACGGGCCTTTGACGGGGGCTTTTTTAAACTCTAACTCTTCTCAGAAAGCGACATTTTCGCGGCGACAAAACTTTGCGTTGGCGTCTTTTCGAACGCTGATTGGCCGGTCTGCCCCATTCAGCCATCTCATTGGTTAATAAACTTCACCTAAGAACGGATAGATATTTCAAGGCCAATCAGAGAGGAAAGATCCGCCCACGCAACTTTTGTCGCCACAAAAATGTCGCTTCAAGGGTCCTTCCCAAAAGCCCCGGCTAGTAATTAATCTCCTATTCAGCTGCGTACATCTTGCTTCTGGAGAGCGACCAGCTGCCCTGCTCCAGCGACATTCCGTGGCTGCTCTTTATCGGTCCAAACGGCCTCCTCGGACTGAGCTGCTTGACAATGGCGTTGCAGCGAGAGAAGCCCGGCCGTGTGACGATCATGCGCTCGCTCGAAATCCCCATCGCCTATTCTTTCCAAATCTTCATCTTCGACGAAACACCCGACGCGCTAACCATCGCCGGCGTTTTGCTCATCATGGCGGGCGGCTTCATGGTCACCATTAGAAAACTGCTCAAAAAGTAGCGAAAAATACCTCTTTTTTCAAAGTTCAAGCTAAAATTACGGATACGATTCTTTCTGATTTCACAGTTACAGTTTTAAACAGTTGCCTGTTACTGGGATCGGCAACCTGTATCCAAAGCCTGACTCAGGGCCTGACCTTTCACTCGAGGTATTTCAGGCCCTGAGTCAGGCTTTGAACACAGGTTGCTGGGCCCAAGCCTGTCTATCCTCGTTTTCTTATTTATTCAATTATTTCGTCCTTTTAAAATTCTGACTTTTGGACTGTTTAGATTGTCGCAAGTTAGGTCTCCGAATCCGATTCAAAATGACCCACAAGCGTAAGATCGACGACACCCCCGAAGAGGCCGCCAAAGCCGCCAAAACCACTCAGACCGTTGAGCCACTCACCCGAGAGGATCGACGACGAGTAGACGCTGGCTGGGGCCGCGTCGACGGACAGCTCTATAAACCAGCCAAACGGTCGGCCTTTGTCCACGTCGACCTTGATCTGGCAGCGAGAGAGTTCGCGGAAGAGGCGGAGCAAGAACCACTGCCGGAAGAAAAAGAACCAGAAGCACCAGAAGATGACGCGCCAAATGAACCTGCCGCTACTCAAGAAACGCAAAATGAAGAAGAAGACGAAGAAGTAGAGGTTGTCGAATTTCATGTGGCAGAAGAGGAAGAATCCGACAAGGATGAGGATGATGATGACGGCACTTATTCCGGATACTGCGGATACCCCCGTTACCAGTTTCCCAGACGCGCATACGTGATCGACCGCTCCACTGGCTACATCTGCGTTGTGAAGCCTTGCGACTGGATTCCCGACCATTTGGACTTTACGGATCGCGACATTCCCATTTTCGAAAAAGCACTGAAGAAGCACGGCCCCAAGTGGCAGGTGATCAAGGACGAATACTTCCCCAGAAGCAGATAAAGGATATTGTAATCCTTTACTACTACTGGAAGAAGAACGCCGCCGAATCTGATGATTAATAAGGTGAGCCCAGCTCATTCTTCTTTTAAAAATCAAGCATTTTTCTAGCCCCGAGTCGCCAACTTCTACTATTTTCGACATGGGCTCCTATTTCCCGAGCTGCCACTTATCAATCCACATTTATCTCCACTGTCGCTTCCCCAGCGCTCCCAAAAGGGCACTCTGCCACCGCAATTCTTCAAATTGCTGATTTTCGTTTTCATGAACACTCATTTTTCTGAATTTTAGGCAAATTTTGTTCGTGAAGTTCATTTTCTATTTCAAATTTTAAATCAAAAAACGTTTCTAATTTATTTATTACACAAAAACCGTTCAACCCATCATCTTTTTTTATATTTATTTAAAGCTCTATTTTTATAATTTATTCAACAAAAAATATGCTTCTTGCTAACAATACTACCGCCTATTTATTTTTACACCAAGTGTATAACCAAATCCGTCTTTCTGGCGAATTCCCTCAGATTTCTCAAAGAAAGAGTTCTCTACTGTAAATTTAACTGCTAAAAATCGAGTAACGACATGCTGCTTCGAGCGAAAGAGGCGAAAAGCCGAGCTCTCTTGCGCGGCTTACGCCTTTGTTTCGCTCGAAGCCGCAAGCGGCTTCTTGACTTTCAGCAGTTAAATTTTCAGTAGAGAACTCTTTCCTTTGTGAAGTCTGAGAGAAAACGTCGGAAAAAAGGTCGGATTTTAGCAAATCAAAAAACACAGCCGCTAATTTATTTTCTCATTTTTGCACATGTTTCTGTTGCGCGTTTCTCGTCTTTTTCTTGCTTTCTTTTTTTTTTGCTTGCAACTTTCTGCCGCAGTGACCGCCACATTCGTGCCTAATCTCTCTCACACACTCCTTTATCAAAAAGTCTCGTCTCTTTCATCAATTTTTAGAAGTTGAAAAATGTCGGACTGCGAAGAAATCGAGGACGGGCCACCAGCGCACCCAGCTACTTACCAGCTGCCGGATATTCCATTTGAGGAGATGAACCCGCTCCAGAAGCGATGGCACAAGATCAAGGCGATCGAGGAGTTCCCCGTCAAAGTTACCTACCTTGGCGACTGCGAGATGCCGCTCGAATACGTCGAGTACCTTTCCGAGGAGATGAGAAAACAAGCCTTAGAGGTTCGTTTCTTTTACGAGGTTTTGATCGAGATGGTCATTTGTTCTGTTAGCAAGCAGCGAACAAAGACATCGACATTGGCGGACTCGAAATCAAAGAAACGGAAGGAAAGAAGAAATCCCAATCGCGCGGCGGCCGAGGAAACATCAAAGCCAAAAAGAAGGCAGAGCCGCAAAAGTGAAAGTCGGCCGCGTCCCGAGAGGCCGAAAGAAGGCAGTCACCCACGTGACGGGACTCCACTCTTATGAAGTAAGAATTGAGAACGCAAGAGCTTTCTTTAACTTCCGCTTATTTCAGCTTGATCTAAAAAAGACAGCGAAGATTTTCGGATCGAAATTTGCATGCGGAACTTCTAGCAACGAAAAAGCCGACGAAATCGTCATTCAGGGAGACTTTATCGACGAAGTTATAGACCTCATTCTCGAGAAATTCGGAGACAAGGTAAATTTCACCTCTCTTTTTCATTATTTTCTTAAAATTGTAAGTCCAAATTAAAGTAGCCGCTTGCGGCTTGGAGAAATGACGATAAAGCCGCATGCGGCTTTTTTATTTCACAGGAAAAAGAGCCGCGCATAGTCAAATGAAACCTCAAATTCTTTTCAGATTCCGGCGGATATGATAGAAGACATTGGGGACATGAAGAAGTGATCAACCGATTCCAAAGTTCAAAAACTGTTGCAGGGAGAAAACAACTCGTCTTTATTTTTGTCGCTTTTACAGTTATTCCCTGGAACCAATTTGTTAGGCAATAAATTGTTGATGCTACTGCCCAGTACAAAAAGACTCTTCCTTGATTTCAGTCGAAATTGCTGGTATCGGGACTTTTCTCATTTCTTTGCAAATCAGGGCAGAAAAACTGCCAATAGAACCCAATCGCCTCTTGTTTCTTTGATTGTTTCTCGAAGTCGATTTTGAATTCGCAATCAAGGGAATAATTAACAACAACACTCTTTCTTGACGTTGAGCATTTGACATTCAAACTCCAAACAAACCTTATTGATTCTCGTCTTCGACAAGATGCATGCAAAACATAGTCAGTCGAAAAAGAGAGCAGTTCAGAGATCAAAAGGGCACTTCTTTTCAATGATCGAAGATCGAAGATTGAGATGGCCGATGATTTTGCTTTTTCACTTTTTACAGTTGCGCTTTTTCCGCGCCGAACAAATTGCACACGCGCCAAGACAGTACTTACTCGCAGTTCACAGTCGCAATCAGCAATGAGGTCGGTCAAAGCTATCAGCTAGTGCAGAGCAAGGTTCCAAAGCTTCGCAGCTAGAATGACTCATCTGCTCGGAAATTCAAGCGCTCGATTTGGAACCTTTTTGCAGAGGTTAATCAGCAAGCTACAGGAAGGATCCAGGCAGTTGTTCGAGGTAACGGAAGGGCGCACATTCATTCGAGATGCAGTGATTGTCGTGCCGAGTCATTGGAAAGAACCGGAGAGAGAAGAACTTGATATTACTGGCATCAGTTTCGATGGCGAAACGAGCAACAAGCACTTTGGATCGGCGGACATGCAGGTCTTTTCTTCCGGCAGAGAAGGTGAATGAGTCATCTTCTATTCGAGTATTTTGAATGTTAAGGCGGCTCCTTGATTTATACCGTGAAAACGTCTCCCTGCGAACAACGAGGAAGATCCATTCGCGTCTCTGAGTCTTATCTAAATAATGGTAGAGAAAATAATTTATAAAAATCATTTTAAACTATTTTTAAAAAGACGAGGAAAACTTTGGCGGGGATTTCGTGGCTCAATTCGCCAAGTTACGCTTTGGCGTTTTCGACGAAACCCCGATTAGCCCCAAGCACGAGTTCTATTTTGACAGCGATCGGAAAATTCAGGCGACCAAGTGCTCGGCTGATATTCAGGAAGGGCTTTTAAGTGGAACTTTTCATCGTTTATGAAGCTATTATGAAGCTCATTTCTAAGGGCAAAGCTGTTGGAAAAGAAGGCCCCAGTGGGTCTTGCAGTGAACGGGACAAATTATCCGGAGCCTGTTATTTCCAACCGGGCTCCAAACAGTCAGAAGAGGCGGCGTCGATAATGTACACTCGTTCCGGCGCTTTGAAAAGATTCTGCCGGGGAGAGGACAACGAGGACGTATCTGCGGGCGCGGCGCACGATCCCTTCGCGCCGACCATTCACAATGCTCACTGCGATGGCCGATCTGTTTGGAGCGTGATTGACTCCTGCCAAGATCTCAAGGGCAAATCTAGTCCGTTCGCCTTTGCAGAAATGTCAGTAAAAGTGATGAGAAAGACGCATCGAAACATTGTCCTGGCGATCGACACTTCGGAGGGAATGAAGAAACCTGCTCAAGGAGAGGAAATGAGCTTCGCCCGTTTTGAAGCAGTGAACAAGGCGGCGACGCAATTCATTCGATCCTTCTCGTCAGACACGCAGCTGGGCATCTGCACCTTCAACGAAATCGAAGTAGTGACGATGGCCACCCTCGAGAAAGTCTTTGACAAGATGGTGGAGCGCTTGCCAAAGCGGGAAAAAGTCGGCGGGCGGGCGAAAATGGCGGTCGGGGTCGAACGCGCGCTGCAATTGCTGAACGGCAGGGATGGCGAAATCATTGTGATCGTGAACGACGTCGAGGGCGGCGAGGCCAGTTTGAATAAACTGCTGCGTGAGCTGGAGACAAAGAACGTCCTGGTGCACGTGATCGCGCTTGGACCGGCCGGTGCCGAGCGCGGCAAGAGGATCGCAGACGCGACTGGGGGAAAGTTTATCTTCACGCCCGCTGCTCCTCGTCCGCCGGAGCAAATTATCGTTGGCTTGCAAGACGCGCTGCTGGAACAGTTCCAGGAACTGCAGGACGAAGTCGTCACAATCCTCTCCGGCCACTTTACTCTCAGAAACGAAGAACTCATCATTCCTTTCAACGTCGAAAGTTCCACAGGCAACTTTGGTGCAAATTTTCAGAAACTTTTTCAGAAAGTAGGTTCTCCTTGTTGATTTCAAATAATCAATTTTGCGCAAAAATTTCACCATGAATCAGAATCGATGCGGATATTTATGACTTGTTTGTCCGGAGAAGTGCCAACAGTTCAGAAAATCATCTTTCCGGACGGAACGGACGAGATCAGCAGCGAGTACGGTTTCAAGTACAATGCCGAGTTCAAGCGCTACTGGGACACCAACATCTTCGAAGTGCTCATTTCGAAGCCACTTTCCAAAACCGGCCTCTACAACATCGTCATTTTGCCATACTCAGAATCGACCGCTTCTTTTTCCGAATGGAAGGCGCGAAATCCGAGGAGGATCAAGTAGTGACTGTAATGATTACCGCTAAACCGTCGAAACTGTACGGGCAAGTCTCTTTGAACACCTATTCGATGAGAATTTCTGAGGAACGGGCGCTCGTTTTCGCGGAGCTCTCTGAAAGGATGAACGCCATTGTCTCGGCGAAAATCTACGGGAGGGTTCTTCATTCGGAGCTGGACGACGATCAATTGTCGGAAAAGACGATCGAGTTCTACGACGACGGGATCGGCTACGACATTTACGAAAACGACGGCGTTTACACGGCGCTGGTGGACTTGAATCAAGACGGCAAGCCCTCGATGGTGAGCGTGATCGCCAGTGGGCCCAACATCACTGCCACTGTGGACAGACAAGTCTACCTCGGCCACGGGCAGAGCTTCGAAGAGTCGCCAGAGCAGCGCCTTCGCAGGAGTGTCCAGAGTCTCATCCAGTCGAACACGCAAGTCGGAACTCTGAGCTTGAGTCCTTTCGGCATCGAGCTGGTGCATTTCCAGCGAGACAGCGAAATGACGATGCTGCGGGCGACCGTCGACGGCCGCATCCAAAACCGAGAAGTGTTCTTGCGACTGCCAAACAGCACCGAAATCCGCTGCTGCTTCGAAAAGGGCGAAATCTCGTTCAAAAACGACGCCACGCACGATCTAGTCGCGGCGGTTCTTGAGCAAGGCGCGCCAAGTGGCCAATACATCATCAAACTCGAAAACACAGAGGACATCACCAGAAACTTCCGATACAAGATCTTCTCGCAGAAAAAACTACCAGAGGCAGAATTATTGAATTTATATAAAAAAAACTTTTATCAAAAAATATTCATATATTAATCTCAGAGGAGACTTTTCTCGCCTAAATGAGAATAAGGGTGTCACTCACTTATTAAATTTTTCTAGAAAAGTGCGCGCAAAGATTAAGTTTATACCCTATTTAAAAATATATACATAATTTAAGGATATAGCCGTTCTCAAGGCACTTTCGTAGCGCCGAAATGGGGCGATAAATTTTTCATTTCAAGACAGGTCCGACCTAAAATTATGTCTAGAATTCGATTCTGATGTTTTTTAAATTTTTTTTCAAAGAAAATTTCTCTCTGGAGCGATTTGAAATCTTACGATCACTTTTTCTCGAAATACTTCAATTAAATCGCTAAAACTAAACCGTGTATTATTATAAATAACTGCTAATCTATCTTCCTAGGGCCTAAAAATTTCAAAACCCGAGCAAATTTTTATTCTAGCGTCTTCTTCTTTTTAGCTTTTCTTTTTCATAAATGCTGCGTTCAGGGCGCTCGGCCAATCAGCGCGCTCTTTCACATGCGCGCCTCACCGCGCGATGGAGGAGGGCGCCCAGCGCAGCAAACCAGAGCGCTGTCTGACGCTTCGGCTTACTCAAGTAAGCCTCATAAAAATGGCTCTAGAATCATAAATAATTAGAATCTATTAAACTTTAGACCCTAGGAATGTAGGGAAAGGTCCAAATTTTTAATTTATCAAAAACTCGACCGATTTAGTGGAAAATTCTCGAGAAAAAGTGATCGTAAGATTTAAAATTGCTCTAGAGAGAAATTTTTCCATTAAAAAATTAAAAAGAACACTAGAATCGGGTTTCTTTGGCAATTTTAGGTAGGGTTCCCTTTGAAATGAAAAATTTTATCGTCCCCTTTTGACGCTACGAAAGTGCCTTGAGAACGGCTATATCCTTAAAAATTAATAATAAGAAAATTTAATAACAATACAATAAATATATTATTTATTATATGTATATGTATTTAATAATATATCAGAATTATTCACAATAATAATAATTTAATAATTAAATTTAATTAAAAAAATAATATGAAAAATATATTTATACGGTTTAAATTATACCTAATTTAAGAAATATTTGAAAGAATATTTTCAGAAAAGAGCGCGGCATATCAGAAGCCCTGATATCCCACCAGAGAAAAGACAAGATAGCCGTCCGAGGGTACGTTTAGAGAGAAAAAATAATGTTTGGGATTATTTTTGATTTTATGAAAAATCAAAAACACAGCTGCGAGAGGGCGATATTTCCAGTGCAAATATCCAAGAGTGTTTTTGGCGAAAACAAGTTTCTTTTCTTTTTTGATGTTACGCGAGTTAATAGAAGCGAATGATTCGATTGCGCATTTAGGTCGAAGAGCTGCGTTTTACGAGATCGTCGATTACAAGTGTCGGTATGTTCCGCCGCCTCGTCGTTTATTCTCGCTAACGCGCTCGTTTCAGACGGAAACTACAAACCCTGCTTGGACCAGTTCGAGCACTACTTGGGCAAGTGCTGGCTTTTCGTCGGAAACGAGATGAATTACGAAGGAGCGAGCACTTACTGTCGACAGAAAAGCGCTGCTCTCCCTTTTGTCAACTCCTCGGACTCGTTTTTCGCACTTTACGATTTGGTCAAATACAAGCAGAAAAACAGGACAGGCTTTTGAATTAACTCAGTTAAGATAGCGATACCCTTATTCTGGGCTCGGCAAACTGTGTAGAAAACCTGAGTAGGGTTCTCAAAGAGCGGCTTTTCTCAGGTTTTCCTGACTCAGGTTTTCAACACAGGTTGCCGTCCCAGAATAAGGGTATCGCTATGTTATGTAAACTGAGTTAAAAATTGAGCCCAAGAAAAGCGATCCTCCTTTGGACATCACCATTTGGCTTGAAAAGAACTCCCTGACATCTCCCACAGAAGACGAGTCCAATTCCGTGGCCATTGCTGGCCAATACGAACCGATAGAAGAGCCCAGCTACTACAAAGGGAAGTGCAAGTTTTTCAAGGAAGCACCGGCCAAGCGCTTTCGACGACTCAGGCTTGCGACAAAAACTACATGTAAGATGAAATTTCTACTTTGGAAGACACTACTTTTGGCTTTAGGAGTTTTTGCGTGAGGGATGAAATCGACAGTATCGCGCCAAATCAAATTACGGACTTGTCGATCAGAGCCGTCGCAGGTAAACAAGCAAACTTCGCGGCCAAAATTCGCGGATCAAAATTCGGTCAAAAACGGCCAAAATTTCAGAAATTTCAAAAATTAGGCCAAAAACGGCCAAAATTCGCGGATCGAAATTCGCGGCCCAATTCGCGGTCTTTGATTGCTAAATATTGAAACTAGAAAAAGAGGAAAAAGACGTTTACATGGACTACGCAAGTGCAGATGGTAACTGGTCCTACATTTTCTCGTGGACGAACCCGGACGATTTCGGCGCGCGAAATGAAGAGCGCGAAATCGAGCTGCGCATTGCTTTGGTCGAGGAGGCCCCTTTCGAAGAATACCGCCTCATCGAGCGCGTCCAGACCATCGGCTTCAGCAACATCAACCGCACGGCCAGAGATATCACCAGCTGTCCCAAGAACTTGCCCATCGATCTCGCCATTTATTTGGCGTTTGAGTCGGACGAGTTGATCAACGCCACGGCCGTGCAGTTGCATTCCTTCTTCAACGCCGCCTTGTTTTACGGAAGCCAGGATTTTCAGGTAATTGAGCAGTTGTCATTCGAAACAATGCGGAATTTACTAACCAGGCGGAGTATTTTGGCTACCGACCTTGGAAACAAAAATCAGAAGAGAGCGGCCTCACCTCAGTTTTGGCCAACGAAACGACAGATTTCTTCGTCGAATTTGAAAATCCCGGAAGACGCGACAGATTCAAGTCCTTCAAAATACTCATTCATGACAAATCGTAAGCAAAAGACAGACATTAGAGAAGAGACTCTAGAAAAGACTAGACTAGAAAAGACTAAACACTTGTCTAGTCTAGTCTAGACTAGACTAGACTAGACTAGACTAGACTAGACTAGACTAGACTAGACTAGACTAGACTAGACTAGACTAGACTAGACTAGACTAGAAAAAAGACACTAGAGAAGATTATTATCCGTTTTATTAGATTCGGCATGCAGAATTATTTTTCAAACTTGGAGAAACCGTTGACTTTTTGGAAGAGCGCGCCGGTCGATGTCAGTATCACGCTGGGAGAGTCTGCCGACGACCGTGGTGCCGACTTTGTTGGTCAAGCGGACATCGGCCAAATTGTGAAAGACCTTTGCCAGGCGGCAGACAAGTACAACCGCTACATCAAAGTAGCAGCCTTGGATCCGGCGAAAAACGTCGGCAGAGCTTCGCGAGCGCTGATGATTCCAGTGAAAATGACGCCCGCCGAGTTCGAAGTCGAGCCGCCGCAGCGAAAAGAAGTCAAGGAAAAGAAAAGCGGGCCGAAATTGGGTGGTGCTATTGCTGGTGGTGTCACGGGTTTGGTAAGCATCGAATTTAATTTTCATCGAATTCGTCGATTCTTTTAAGCTGGTGCTCTTGGGCGGACTCACCGCCTGTGCGCTGTTTGGAGGAGCGCGCAAAAAGGGAGACAAGAAGGGCTCCAAGAAGAAGAAGTCGACGAAAAAGAGCAAGTCGAAGAAAACTGTCAGAAAACCGGGTAAAGTCAATCCCGAAACCGCGGCGAAGAAGAAAAAGAAAAAAGGAAAATAATTTTTTGATTTTTGTAAAATTATTTAATATTCTGTAATTTTTAACTATTTTGGAGTGAATTTGTACATGCTGGGCGTCGCGAATAAATCTGCGAAAATGTTGTTTTGATTCTTTTCTAAAAGGTCGACCTCGGCCGCAGAGTGAATTGGCGGCACCACCGAAATCATAATTTCGCAGATTGGAGCTATCACAAGCGAAATCTAACCACGTGCTCCAAAATCAGAATTCCAAACTTGACAAACCAACTTGAACGTTTTTTCGCTTTTTTATTGACAGGGTACTTATCGTAATTTTTGAGTAGTTCTTTTTTATTTTTAATTCTTCTGATTCTTCTGATTGTTGGTTGACCATTACCAACCGACAGTGACAAACTCGCCGATGCATTCAGAGTAGTCGCACTCCATCGAGACTCCTGGACTCGGGAGGATCGTCACCGGCTTCGCACCTGTCCTGGGTTTATATTCACGTCCTCTTTTATGGGGGCGGACCCTTAATTACAAGAGAGCCCCCTTTGTTCTTAAATCGTACCCCCTTAACTTTTGATATAACGTACCCCTGTATTTTTAAAGTGTTGAAAAGACGACGTGACATCGCGAATGAGTCATCTTCACGTTGTCACGTCGCCATTTTTAACACTTAAAAAATACACGGGTACGCTATATCAAAAGTACGATTTAACAACAATTGAAGGGGACCCTCTGGTAAGGGTCCGCCCCCTTAAAAAACTGTGGAAAACCCGGTCCTTGAATGCAAGCCCAGAGTTGCTCAGTGGTAATGTCGCCAAAGCCCTGCTCGAATCCCAAGTACGCCAGGTACTGATCACGTTTCGAGTTGGCAGTTGGATCTGGATTCACCTTGTCGGCCCTAGAAACCAAATTAACCCCTGTAAATAAAATTAATCAGAAAAAAAGTTCATGAAAAAAGGGATCGCCGAATCCGTTTATTCGGATCTCTCAGTTTACTCAAAATAAACGTTCTTGCTTGGTAGAGGTACTCTCTTTTCCGGCAATACGGCCGCCCAGGAAATGGAAAAACAAAAAAAGAAAACTTACGTGAAGCCGAAAGTGACGGAACGGTGCTTGGAGGCCTCGTCCTTTCGGTTTCGGTAGTAGAGACTCTTCATCGAGTTGTAGTTGGTGATTTCGCCCTCGTATCCTTAACGACTTTTAAGGATATACCCGATAAAATTGAACATTCATAGCGCCTAAATACGAAGTCGGATCTTTTTTATTTCAAAAGCAATCCTATCTGAAATTTTGCGTAAAATTCAATTCTGGTACTTTTTTGAAAATTTTCATTTGAATTTTTCTCTCTAGAGCGATTTGAAAACGAACTCTCTCGATTTCTCGAAATTTTTCCACTAAATCGCTAAAACTGAGCCGTGTTCTGTATTGTAATAATGCTAAGCTACAAAATTGATGGGATCAAATACTTTAACCCGAACGAATTTTCATTCTAGTGTTCTCCTCTTTTATACTCCTGGTTTTCTTCACTGCGCGCTTTTTCGCGTGCTACCAATCAGAGCGGTGCGCTCAACCACGCACTTTCTCGCAGAAAAGAGGAGTCGAGTGAGTGAGCGTCCAGCGCGCCGCTTTGTAGAGCTTTCACGCGCTGAGTAGCCCTCAGTGAAATGGCTCTAGAATCGGTTTTTTTCGGAATTAAGCAAAAGTAAGCCATCAATATTGTAGATAAAGGTCTGAAGAACTTATCTATCGAAAAAACTCGACCGATTTATACCAAAAATTTCGAGTAATCGAGAGAGTAAGATTTGAAATCGCTCTAAAGAGAAAAATTCGAATGAGAAAATATAAAAAAGTACCAGATTTGAGTTCTTAGTGCATTTTACGGTAGAATTGCTTTTAAAATAAAAATGATCCTACGTCGCATTTCGGCGCTATAAAAGTTCAATTTTATCGGGTATATCCTTAAAACGTTAAACGTGAAGGATGGTACCTTTGTCTCGCGTCTCCAACACAGTCATATTGAAGCCTCCTTCTCGGAAGAGAGTCAGGCCCGGGCCAGTGCAGACGTTCTTCGAAATGACCCAGTACTGCTGGTACTGCAGTACCGCATCCGTTACCGCTTTCGTCGCGATTTGGACCATAACGCCCTTGTCGCCTATGTACTTCATTTTCACCATTTGGCGATTTCCGAAGGAAGGTTCTGAGTAGAGCATCACGTCCTTTATGAGAGCTCGCAAACTACGGATTCCGGTGAAATTCGGACTTTGAGATTTTGAGCTTTTCCTGAACACATTCGCAGCTGCATGTTGTGTTGCAGTAATGGGGAAGAGTTGTGGTTGTTTCTTCCGCAGTTGTGTGGGGGATAGTGGTCGTGGTTGGAGCTTCTGTGCTCGTTGTCGAAGTGCTCGTGCTTGTTGTTGACGTGGTTGTCGTAGTGGTTGTGGTAGTTGTCGTCGTGGTTGTGGTGGTTGTTGTCGTAGTTGTTGTTGTTGTCGTGGTTGTCGTGGTGGTAGTAGTAGTAGTAGTAGTTGTAGTAGTAGTTGTAGTAGTCGTAGTCGTAGTAGTCGTAGTCGTAGTCGTAGTCGTAGTCGTCGTCGTAGTTGTAGTTGTGGTTGTAGTAGTTGTGGTAGTTGTAGTCGTAGTCGTCGTCGTCGTTGTTGTTGATGTTGTGGTTGTAGTAGTAGTAGTTGTGGTGGAAGTTGTTGTTGTTGTTGTAGTCGTAGTTGTAGTCGTCGTCGTAGTTGTAGTTGTTGTGGTTGAAGTAGTGGTAGTTGTTGTTGTTGTAGTTGATGTCGTAGTAGTCGTAGTCGTCGTAGTTGAGGTTGTGGTAGTCGTAGACGTTGTAGTTGTGGTTGTCGTAGTGGTGCTAGTAGTGCTAGTCGTACTTGTTGTAGTTTGGGCAGCTGAATAAAGTTAGCGATAGAAATTAAATTGAGAAATGAAAATCGCCGTAGAGAAGAATGAACTCCATCGCGCTGGAACTTTTTCTCCGGTCGACAATTTTCGTTTTTATTTTTCTCTGAAAAGCTCGAAAAAGACAGCGAGAGAAGTGTGCCTGAAAGTGCAGAATTCTCTCAAATGTGAGAAATTGAACGAGACGCGATTGAGAAAAGTTGATGCAAAATTCAATGACATTTTCGGAAATGGAAGAAATCAGAAATTAGACTTTTTCGCTGCTGAGAAAGCGCCTTTCCAATTTCATCGACAAGTAAGTTTAGTTTAGACGACGCTCTTTCAACAGGAGATTATCGTTTAGCATTAACGTAATTTCCAGTTAATTGTAGCTGTGTTGTGGTTTGGCACAAGCGAAGCCAAATCGCAACGGTACTCTCTGGCGCACCCGAGTTAGCGCGATCGCCCAAATATAACGGAACGTTCGCTGCTCCGCCACAAGTTACTTTTGGAATAGACCGAGAGTGACTACCGCTAGTCCAGCTGAATTCCAAGAGAGCAAAGATCATTATCGAAGATGAAGTCAGCCGTTTCATTTTTAGCGGCCTCGCTCGTCTCCGCCGGTAGAGCTCCGACCTCGGACGGGTTAAGGGAACTGGACATCATCTCCGAGCGCATCGACCGAGCCATCAGGTAACTTCGAAAAGGGATCGACATTCTAGCGTATTTTAGCTTCGGGGTCGAGCCCTTCCACCCGGAATACGCGCACTTCGACGCGAAGAAGCAACGGCTGGACAACCTCTTCCGGCGGCTGAAAGGACGAGCTAGACGAATCGACGGAGTCTGCTGGCCCGAGACACTTTTCGACGAAGAGGAAGAAGTCGAAGAAAGGTAAGAAAGAAACAGCTGTTCGAAATGAGCTGTTTTTCTGATTTGCTATTTTGTTTTAGATCTGTGGATGTGTGCACTGTTCTACCCAGATTGGTGAAAAGAGTCAAGCCACGTGGTTGCAAATTTAAAAAGAGATACCCTTAATTAAAGATCCCCATATTTTATTCGGACAAAAATTGAACCCGCTGAAAGTCGTGGACTCGCCGCTACAACCCCCACTGCCACAAAGAAGGACAAGCGCTGGAAGGAGTCAACTTCAACCCCTACTCCAAGTTCCACAGATTCAGCCACATCGAAGCCGTCGCCGCCAAACTCGAAAACATTTTCAAGCCTTTCATGAGACTCAGGCGCTGCTGAACCATCCTGCTTTTTAATTAATGCTTTCCCTGCTTAAATTTTGATTAAAATTAAAATTATAATTGTAAATAAATTAAAAACGAAAAAGACAACAAAAAATGTTTGTTATGAAATTTAATTGTGTGTGGTATAAAATTAGATATGGCAAAGATACTTTCGAAAAAAGGGGCAGAGCCAAAAATGGAAGTGATTTTCTGGATCAGGGTTTTGATTGACCGGTAGGCAAAATACAGCAATCTTATTGGTAATCCAAAATGCTCTTCCATTTTTGGTTTAGTCCAAAAAAGGGAGTCACGTACAGAAAATAATTAAGAAATCAAAAGCTCCGCGAAGATCTTCGGAATTTGCTCGGCTGCTTCTTCGTAGCTGGCAGATTGATAGATGAAGCCCTTGTCCAGCGCCTTCAGAGTCTCGACACTTTTTCGCGGTTTTTCAAGTTGAAAAAATGGAATTTAATTTTCAACTTGAAATTAAACCGTTCCAATTCGAGCTTCTCCAGACAACTGCGCAAAGAACGGGTTTGTTGGCGACTGCTTTGGCCACCGCGTTCGTCTTGAAGATCTTCTTCGCCGTGTTTCTGGTGAAGCGCACTGTTCGCAAGCCGATGATGCGGAAGTTGGAGCGGTTGAATTGGTCGATCAATTCGCCCGCGCGCTCGAGTTCGAAAACGAGCACGATGTTTTCTTGAATGCTGTCCTCCAAGTCGGCTTCGAATTGGCTCAACAGAAATATGATTACAGAAGAAAAGCTACAGGGCCTTGACAACCTGTATTTTTACTACAGAGACATCTTTTGATGACGATTTTTTCCATCGATTAGTGAAGAAAACCTGAGTCAGGTTCTGAAGAGCTGAGATGGAAAGCCGCGTAGCTCCGCGGCTTCGTTTTAAAAATAGCCGCAACGCGGCTTTTTATCTCAGCTCTTCAGAACCTGACTCAGGATTACTTTACTACTCTATGAAAAATTCGTTATCAAAAGACGTCTCTGTAGCAATAATACACGGAAGCTAAAAAGTGTGCCTGTCCTAGTGAGCCGCATTCAATGGAGATGTCATAATCGGTGGTTTCCTCTTCTGCCCCAGCCGGGCACAATCCAGACAGCAGTGCCTCGCTCTCCTCCATGTCCTTAATTTCGATTATTCCTTTGTTACTCCTTTTTGTGGCGATTTTATAATTTTAATTGGGGCTCTGTTTTGGTCAATTATCTGGCCATTTATCGCTCCTTTCCAGACATGCAATAAAAACACGAAAAGAAAGCAATAATGCGCGCTTTTAAATCTCTAATCGACTACTTGTATAATTAGTTGATTGTATATTTCACCAACAGCGCGTAAATTGAGCGCGAATTACCCTTGGCAAGTGAACGGCGTTGTTCAGCCGATCGACGCCGTAGCGAGCGCGGATCGAGCCCGGACAGCTGATGCGCGCTTCTTCCGGATCCGCCAAGCCGGCCCAGTTCGTCAGCCGGCGGAAGATGTCGGCGCCCCGGACAACGAAGAGAACAGAAGAGCCGTTCATCCAAATGTCCGCGCAGTTTCGCTTCACGTTTCCGTACATTCGTCGCATCACCTTCAAATTCGCTGTTGAAAGCGAAAACAAGACAGTTTAAAATTACCTGTGAGTTTTGGAAACGTTCTGGAGCTTCAAATTGTCGGGCGATCAGGTCGCCTAAATACCAATCATAAATAATTAGTTTATTAATAAATAATTTTATTTATAAAAAATCAAAATTGGCCTTTTTCCGTTCTCTCAACAAACAAAAATTATTAACAAAAATTTAATAAATAAATAATTAAAATTTTGATAATAAAAATTGTTGATAAATTTAATAAAAAGATAAATAAATTATTAACAAAATTATTAAAAACAAAAATTCTTAACTCAAAACAAATAAAAAATAATAATTAATTAAAAATAAGTTTTTCGGACCTTGATTTTCGTCCATTTGAGGAAACAATCTCAGCGAGACGAGTTCGCAATTTTCTACATTCTGGAGCAGGGAGAGCAGCACTTGCGAAAAGCAACTGTGCGCCATTGGGTTCAACAAGAAGGGCACCACTTGGGTGGGCACGCTTTGAGAAAAAAGAGACTCGGGGATTTTTCTTTCGATTCTGGCCAAAATCGAAGGTGGCCGCGGCAGGAATTGTCTTCTGAAAATTGAGCTTTAATTTGAAGTCGGTTTTGGCAGCTTAGGCTTTTACCTTCCAGTTCATGTGGGAAGAACAGGCAATTAATGGCCCGTCTGGTCCAGGAGGCAGAGTCGGTGAACGTCATTTTGATTTTCCTTTTGAGGAAAACGGATTGAACGTACTCGTCGACTCGCTTGATCGCGTCGATTCTTCGGAGCACCAAAACCACCAGCGGGTTTTCGTACAACTCGTTGATGCTCTCTTCGTAGTTCTTGTCGGAGTAGTCGACGTTCACCAGCTCGCGGGCTTGGTATTCCGTCACTTGGTAGACTTGGCGAATGGCGACCAGTTCGAAGCCGCCGTTGGGCAGAGAGGAAAGCTCATCGCAAAGTTGGTAATCGGAGGAACCGTTCTCGCCGCTGAATATTTCGTAGAGCGTTATAGCGACCGAAGCGGGAGCGTGAGGACCGGAAATGATCAGGCAAGTCGTCTGCTCGCAACTTTCAGAAAGCGTTTTGTACCAGCCGACGGGCTTCCAAGACAAGGGCTCGATCTTCGGATTCGAGCACATTAGATCACGGAGAGGGCGGACCATCTCCGCCTAAAAGACGGTTTTAAATAAGGTCTGCGGAAAGGGACTCACAGTAAGAGGCTGGCAATAGATGGTGTGCTGGAGGACGTCGTCGATCATGTCCGGTTTGTCGCGGAGAAGAAAGCCCAGGATCTCTTCCTTGAGTCTGTTCATGATCCCGACCCAGTGGAGTCCCGCGTTCTCGCGCTTGGCAATGACGCAGAAGCCTCCTACCTCTTGGCCGATCACTTTTTCAAATCCCTCGCCGAAGAGACTTTCAAGCGGCTCAACAAGATTTTTTCTTTTGAGAATTTTCTGTAATTAAATCTGTGTGTTTTTCTTTGAGCCAGTTCCTAGAGAGATTCGAAGACGCGGAAGCAGAAACTCTTCTAATGGCCTGGATGGAGCAGCCGTAGTTCTGCAAGTTTCGCGTAAAATCGCCCAAGTAGCGCAGCTAAAAAGTGCTTGTTTGGCGAAAAATAAATGCATCAAAATTTTACGAAAAGCGGAATAATAGCCTGTTTAGCGGCAAACACGAGCGCGCTCCAAAAAGGGAAAATATCGGATTTATGTTTATTTAAAATTATGCTTCCCAAACTGGCGTGTTTGATTTTAGCTATAATAATTGATTTTGGAAATATAGTCTAATCTGCTTCAAGAAAAGAACCCTTTTAGGGGTCTTTAGCTGGACTCAGGAACCTGTGTAGAAAACCTGAGTCAGGGTTTGAAAGAGCTGAAATGAAAAGCTGCGTTGGCTATTCAGAACCTGACTCAGGTTTTTACACAGGTAGCCGAGAATTTAAGAATTGAAAAGTAATTATTTTAAATTTTTCTATCAAAAAAATAATGATTCTTACAGGAAGTCGATGGCTGACGAAGAAAACAATGGAGCTTGGGTCGTGGTAAGAGCAGAAGTGGTCTCTGCACTCCGCCCGGATCGATTCGACAGTGAGTTTGTTCTTTTGAGGGAGTAGATGTGCACCTCGCCGCCGAAGAAGAGACTGTACTGCTCGTGGCTGCGGTTCGGGCTGCGCGGCGCGTAGAAGAGGCAGGTGTCGCTCACTTGGCTCATGAGCATTTCGCTCTCAGTGCGGATCTCTTTGAGCTGGTGGAGGCTCGCTTGCGAGAGATAGAGCTTCTGGAAGAGGTAGTCGCCGTGGTTCGCCGAGAGACTGTTAGAGTCGGTGAACTGGGCGACCTTGACGTTTCGCGGGCCGCAGATGTCTTGCCACATTTGGCAGGCGTTGAAGCCGCGCACTCCGATCGCCAAGGCCGGGACGAAGGCGTTGTTCCGTTCCAAGTTCTCGTCCGTGTAGGTTTGCGAGAGAGTGACGGCGTTGTACTCAGACTTGACGATCCAGACAAGGCGCAGCGCGGAAATGTCCATGCACTCGGCCTGGATGCGCAGAAACATCTCCATGATCGGCCAGCCGTAAGCGAAGGCGCCGCCGTGGATCAATCCAAACGCATTTTCAAGAGGAATCGCGCTCGTGTTGTTGATCTGGGAAATGTTAACCGGTGGCTCCCCGACGAGACCGAACTCGAGATCGTATTGACTGTTGCCGAAAATGCGCGAAATCGCATTGCTTTTTCGGCTTTTAATGAAATGTTTTATGTTCTTACAGCGAGTTCATCGGATAGTGAACATTTTCATCCGGCGTGCTGATTGGTCGAAGCTTCAATAAAGCCAATCGAACAGAAAACTTGAAAGAACTCATTGTAGTTACTTTCAATTGAGTAAAAAACAAAAATAAGCCGATTCCTATCAGTAGAAACTTGGATGAAATTGCCGAGTTTCTTCTCGCTCCAGGTGACATCAGTGAGGTTGGTGAGCTTGTGCAGCGTTGCCCCTTCCTCCGATTGCCAAACCGAGCTGACGACTTCCATGATGGTGACTGCGTTGAGGTACTTCTTGACCGTGTTGCTCAACTCGTTGAAGTACGACTGTTGCTTGTTCTTTCCCTTTTTCTGGCGCTGCTCGGGCTCCTTTTCTTTCTTGACGACGACGGAGATGTTGAGATATAAGTCGCCACCGCGGCCGCGAACGTCGAAGCCAAGTACGTTGAAGGGCACTTCGTCCTGAAGCGGGGAGACCGGCTCGCCTTCTGCGAAATCGTGATACTTGGGGACCAGCTGGAGCAGCCACGTGATCAAAAACGCGTACGTTAGATCGAACTCGAGCTTTTGAGCCGAGTGTTTAGCGTTTGCCTTTTGATCAGCAGCGGCGATTACGCCAAGTGCTTCGAGCCTGACAGTGAGCAGAATCGCGTGCTCCAGATTGGCAGGTGGCAAGCTTCGCGGAATTTCGCGTCCGGACATTTCAGGATCGAACAGAATCGGCAAATTCAACTCGGAGAAACTCGGTCGCGGGGGCTCCTCGTTTTTCGTATTTTTAGAGTTGTTGTTGTTGTTGTTGGAGGACCCTTTGGAGCCCTTCTTCTTCGATTTGGAGCTCTTTTTGGAAGCTGGCTTGGCTGAGTTAGAGTGGAACTCAATGCTCTTCGAGTTGGCCATCGGACTGGGCTGGTCATGCGCCACTTTGAGCGCGGAGAAGAGATTCATGCCAGCATTTTCTAAAATAAATCTAATTATACCTAGCGAAATTTCTTTCGCTTTTCACCAAACACACCTTCCACGACACTTGTTGATTACAAAAAACACCAAAAATCAAACCCTTTTTTTCGCTTGTCATATTTACTCGATTAAAAAGTAACTGCCCTCTGCTATTTTTTCCACAAGCTCCAGAAACTTTTCCAATTTTCTAAAAAGCCAGAAAGTGACAAAATCTTAATTTATCCTTGCAACTTTTGGTCTTTGCTACCTGTGTGTCAAACCTAAGTCAGGTTCTGAAAGAGCCTAAATGAAAAGCCGGAACAATATCATATGCGGCTTCGTTTAAAAAAGCCGATTCGCGGCTTTTAATTTTAGCTCTTCAGACCCTGACTCAGGTTTTCCACACAGGCTGCCGGGCCTAAAAAACGATGTTGTTGCTTACCAAGTGTTTTGAAAGCAGGATCTTTTTCGTCTTCAGTGTCCGGTCTGGCGAACATGAAGCGGGAAGTGGCGAAGAGTTTTTCGTCGCGGACGATGGAAGTGGACACTTTCTCCATTTCGACCATTTCGGGCGGCGTCGCTGGAATGAATTCTTGCTCCGAGTCGATGTCGATGTTCATCAGCGGCGGCTACTCTCGGATTACAACTAAGCAACCCTTTCAGTACTCCATCATCTTAAACATTCAAATTCGAGGCTTTTTTAAACAGGTCTATCTGGTTTTCTATCTACTGTAGGTGACAGAACTAAAGGTAATAGTAGTAATCCAATCCTTCTGAGAGAACTTCTCGGCGCGCAGCTTCACCAGCTGCAAACTCTTCTTTTTCAAAAAGTATGCACAGATTCTTCAATACTAATCTAAAGCTACGAAAAAAAAGCAGGAGATAACAACGAGCAGACTCTTTTCCTTTATGAGCGCGTGCTTGCTCTCGATCAAGAACTTCTTCTCTTCTTGGTAATTCAACTCGCTGTCGGACAGTCCTTCTCTCTCGATTTCCTTCAACTTTCGCCTAAAGAGAGAAAAGTGTGTTTACAAGGCTCAGATCTAGAATTTCCAATAGAAGGCGCATGAGAGGATCAATGCGGCTTTCTAGAGATTGGAAAATTGTAAAATTCTGAAAGGAGGAAAAATCAAGGATGAATTTTTCTTACTTGACAGCGCCGAGTCGCTTCAATCCGTTATTTTCGATGACGACGAGATTAGGTCCCCGCCACAAGGCGCCGGGGAAATCGAGCTCCTTTGGCACCTTGCCCCTGTCGTACATCTCTTTGAGGTCGAATTGGTCGTCCTCCGAAGATGTCTCGTCGCCGGTAGATGGAGTTCCCGGGTAACACTCCTCCTCGCTCTCCTCCGTTTCCGAGTCAGCTTCGTAGCAACAGTCCTCTTCCGTTTCCATCGTCTCTCCTTTCTCGAAATTCGAGCTTTCCTCCATGATTTCTTCATCACTCTCCTCCTCGCTGGAATCCTCCTCCTCACTGTCGATGTATCTCCACGCTCTCCTAATCGCTCTTCCCAGGCCAGGCAGCAAATAAGGGGGATTTGATCTTCATGGTCGAGCACATCACCCAGTGAGTGAAAGTTCTTGAGCATGATGATTTTCGAGCGGAAAAGGAAGCAGGCAGTGGTGGCGTTGTTGGCAGTGGTTGGAGCGCCAGCTGGTTGGATTTTCTAGCGCCGCTGCTTATGAATGACTTCTTTTTTGAAACTAAGATTGAAAATCTTGAAAAACTTGAAAAGCTTGAAAATCTTGAAAATTTGAAAAGAAATTCTAATCCGGAGATTATCCCCAAGTTCTTGATAAGAAGCCTTTCCTGAAGTAAAAGAGGGTTGAACTTGCCCAAGTGTTTGTTCCCACTTTTGAGATAAGCTGGTTTCTCTCTGATTTGACTGCTTGCGTCAGCAGCAGGACTGGCAGTGACGTAGAGGAGTGCTGCTCGATGCTGACCGCAATTAGCAGGTGTTGATTGGCGCAAGGATCAGACGGAAATGCCGAATTAGAGCCGCGCATTCCAGGCACGTGCCGCGGCCCAGCTCGACTTCCAACCAAACTTCCCTCTTCCCCCAGCTTCTCAAAAATCACCTTTTTTGGTGATTTCGTTTTTCAACGAATTTTTTTCGAATTTCTCGATTTTTTCATCGCGCATTTTTGAATTGCTCATCGCTCGAGCTACTAAATAGAACGCCTCAAACAAAAAGAAAAGGAAAATCAAACAAAAGCCTCTCAAAAAAATGCAAACAAAAAGGTGCTTTTTGGAAGGAATATATGAAAGTGCTCCTCGTTGATGCTCATTTTCTAGTCGTTCCAAAATGCTCCGAAGAAAGTGCTTTTCGCGGCGAAACTTTGAAAAGGGCATTGAATTAGATCTTATGCTCTTTTCGAAGGCGCCTGAGATGCTCGTCATTCAGGTTTTACCATTTACTTGGCGACCGCATTATGCAGCAGTTTGATGAATTGCCGAGTTGGGTATGCATGAAATGAAAATTTTCTTTATCAGTCGTCAAGAGAGCTGGCTATGAGAGGCAGCTTGCAGTTTCTGCTGCTTTTTCGCAGTCCAAAGCTGCTAGAAAAGGTAAACTAGAGGAATGATCCAAGATGATTAACCTTCTTTTCAAAGATGAAAGCGCTCGTTTGTCGGAATTATGGACAGCGGGGAAGCCGCGAAATTGCAATTATCAACAAATTCTGGACGATTTCTGCGCTCAGATGCATCCAGACGCGCCTGCCTTTCCCTTCAAATGTGCAAAGGCCAAGAGCAAAATGGTCGCACGATACGGCTTGAATAAAAACGGCGAGAACCCGGGCTGGCGATGTTACAGATACACCTCGATGTCGAACGAGACCGCCGCTTGTATCGGTCCTGATGGAGAATTGACGGCCGAGGGCTGCTCCGATCCGATCCACGGCGATGGGCACTATTGCAACCGCGTTGCGGAAATGGAAGAAGTGCTCAGGACAGCTTGCCAGTGCCAGTTTCAGCAGCGACTCGACGATTTCTGTTCGCAGATGTCGCCGAATGGAACGGGCGACTTCGAATGCCCACGCGCCGAGGGTTTCGAAGGAAACATGGTCGCTCGATATCACGTCAACAGGAAAGGCGGCGGCTATGCCTGGAGATGCTACGGAGAGATCTGGGACAAGACGACAATCGAAGGCTGCTTGGACGAAGCGGGAGAGATGACGAGCGAAGGGTGCACAGAAGTGAACCCCTGGAAAGCGGACTATTGCGCCCGATCGAAGGCCATGGAGGAAATCATTGCCAATACGGCATGTGATGCTACTGCAAACGTGACGACTTCGACGACGGCGATGACTTCTACTGCCGCGCCGACATGCAATATTCAACAGCGACTGGACGACTACTGTAAGTTGATGTCTCCAACTGGCGTCGGGAGCAATCTCTGCGGCCGTTCGAAAGGCTTTGAAGGAACCATGGTGGCGAGATACGGCCTCAACGAAAATGGAGGAGGACCTGCCAGCCTGCATCGCTGAGGACGGAAGTTTCACGGCTTCGGACTGCAGCGACCCCACTTCTGAAGGAGGCAGATATTGCACCCGGCCGGAGGAGATGCAGGAAATTATTGACGCCGCTCTAGCTGAATGCTACGACGAGCCGCTAGAATGCCCAGTTCAAGCGGAGATGGACGCTTATTGCGCTCAAATGAGTCCAGATGCTCCAGATGGAAGTGAATTCAAATGCAATCGAGCGAGGGGATACGAAGGGAGAATGGTCGCTCGCTTCGGACCGAACGCAAGTGGGGGCAATTATGGCTGGAGATGCTACGGTCCCCTTTACGATAGTTCCACCACAGAGGCGTGTATCGGCCTCGATGGCAAGAGAACAAACGTTGGTTGTTCTGATCCAAACTTCGAGAGTGGCTCGTTGTGCACTAGAACCGAGCAGCTGGAAGGAATCATTACAACTGTACTTACATCTTGCGCGATCTTTACAACAACTTCATCTTCCACGACTTCGACAAACGCGTTCTCTACTGAAACAACAACCGGCCCATCCGAGCCAGGCTGCGGTTCGTTCCAAGCTGCCCTAGATGACTACTGCAGTAAAATGTCGCCAGATGGAAGCGGAGAATTCTTGTGTAACAGAGCAAAGGGATTCGAGGGAATGATGAAAGCTAGATTTGATGTGAATGCAAATGGAGCGAATCCGATGTGGAGATGCTACGGGCAGTTTGAGAATACAGAATCTAATGCTTGCCTCGACGATCAAGGAGAATTTACAGCAATGTGCGCGGATCCAATCCCTTCCAATGGTAAATACTGTACGAGAGACGTGGAGATGAATTGGATTATCGGGAATCTTACCGCCGGCGACTGCCCTGAAATCACGACAACAACAACGACATCGACAACTACTACTTCAACTACTTCTACAACCAGTACGACAACTACTACAACTACTACAACAACAACCACGACAACCACAACAACGACAACTACATCGACTTCGACAACAACAGCGCCAATCCAGCCGTTTTGCTATCTCCAAGAGAAACTCGACGATTTCTGCGGTCAAATGTCCTCCTCTCAAACTGCCACAAGCGACCATCTCTGCGCAAAAGCATCGATTGTAGAAGAAAGGGGAATGAAAATGGTGGCGCGTTACGGACTCAATAAAAATGGAGCAGTTCCAGCTTGGCGCTGTTATGCCTACACTCGTTCGGACACAAATTCGGAAAGTTGCGTCGATGATTGGGGCGAACTGACTTTTGCAGCGAGCCGGTCGGCGAAGACGGTTTTATTGTGGGAAAACTGAAGAGATCGAAGCTATCATTGCAGGAAGTATGGGCGAAAGACGCTACCAAGAAGTACTCGATGATTACTGTAGCCAAATGAGTGCTAACGTGGATGATACGAGCGAGTTCTACTGCGCCCGCGCATCTGGCGTCGTTGATGGAACTATGAGAGCTCGATTCGGAGTCAACAAAAATGGAGCGAATCCAATATGGCGTTGCTATGCGTATTTCCATGACGATCTTGGAGATTTTTGCTTGGATAGTTTCGGTGAAGCTTCTGTTCCCTGTAGCACTCCTGTACATGTTGATGGAAAGTACTGCACCAAAGAATTTGAAATTCCAGAAATAATTACGTCCTTGCAAAATGGACTTTGCCCTGTTACGGCTGCTCCAACGACAACCACTACATCTACGACTACGTCAACAACGACAACGACCACGACTACTACAACCACGAAGACGACGACGACGACCACGACGACGACCACGACGACGACAACGACGACGACAACGACGACAAAGACGACAACGACGACGACCACCACTACTACCACGACTACTACAACTACAACTACAACTCTTGGAAGCGGATGGATCATCAACACGGGTGATATCAATATTTACTCCCACGATTGGATCAACACGCCGACAATCTACCCCGACTGTCCAACGAATCATAACAACGACAGTACCGTCGAGTCCTGGGAGACTGTCGAGTCCGGCTGGATCGACGCTCCATCGAATGCCGTCGTTAATTTGCTCAATAGCGCAACAGCTGACCAAGTTTGCGACGCTATAAGAGCCGAGCAGATCCCATTTGCGACTGAAAAAGCATCGACAGGGAAATCAGTGATTCCGCCTCTCTTTGGCGTTAACTGCACCCAGGTTACTGACGGTTATTGCGTCGAAGCACAGGTCAAGTTCTGCTGCTTGGCGCCGGCTCCAACAACCACTTCAACTACTTCTACGACTGAAAAAACGACAACTACGACTTCAAGCATTCCAATTCAACCCTACTGCCATCTTCAAGAAAAACTCGACGCCTACTGCTCACAAATGTCTTCAACTGGCGAAGGAGAGTTCTTTTGTCAAAAAGCATCGAAAACCGAGGCCCACGGTCTCAAAATGGTCGCTCGTTATGGTCTCAACAAAAACGACGCAGCGCCTGCGTGGAGGTGCTATGGCTACTTGAAAACCTCCTCAGCCGAAAATTGCGTCAATGATTGGGGAGAAATGACGTCCTGCTTGGAGCCGAATCCGGCAGATGCTGTTTACTGCCCTCGAACGGCCGAACTTGAAGCAATAATTCAAGAAAACGCCGGAGTAAGGCGCTACCAAGAAGTGCTCGACGAGTACTGCAGTTTCATGAGCCCAAGTGCGCCCGAATCTTCCGATTTCTTCTGCAACAAGGCGAAAAGCGTCGAAGGACAAATGAAGGCTCGATTCGGAGTGAACAAAAATGGACAGTTTCCGCAGTGGAGATGCTATGCTTACTTCGAAAATGATTTGAACGACTTGTGCCTGGACGAGTTCGGCGAGAGGACTGTTCCTTGCTCGACGCCTATTCATATCGAGGGCAAGTACTGCAGCCGAGAGGTCCAAATGGGCGACATACTCACTGCAATGAAGAACGGATTCTGCCCAGCCACGGCGCCTCCTACCACGACAAGTGAGAGTTTTGATTTTTCTCGATAATTTGATTGATTTTTTTTTCAACCAAGAGTCGTTTTTTTGCCGAAAATGCCATTTATACAATCTTTTTTTTGAAAATGCCAGTTTTTTTTCGACAAATGCCATGTTTTTTTTTTCTTTGAAATGATTTTCGAACTCTAAATGAAGCACTTCTACAACTACAGCCTCGACGACTTCCACGACAGCGAGCACGAGTACTTCTACGACCTCAACAACGTAAGAAAAAATAAATGACTCGTTTTCATATTTGAATTTAGAACGAGTACCACGACTTCCACAACAGCAACAAGTACGACCACAAGTACTACAACTTCAACGACCTCAACAACAACATCGACAACAACTGCATCGACAACAACCTCGACAACGTAAGATCCTGCTATCGGGAAAACATCTCTATTCTTTTCAGGACATCAACAACTACTTCGACGACCAGTGCTTCCACAAGTGCTCCAACAACAACTAGGGAGAGTTCGAAATTTCACAATTAACAAAAAAAAAACATGGCAAAAATGATTTTTGAAAGGCAAACAATAGTGATTTTTATGGCAATCTATTTTTCATGGCACATTTTTTTTTATCTTTTTTTCTTTCTTTTTGGTTCAGCGTTATGAACTTGGCTAGTGCTCCGATGAATGTAACGACATCGACAGCATCTACAACTACAACTACAATGGGGCCAGTCATCACCAACACGGGCAACATCGACATTTACTCACATGACTGGGTCAACACCCCGACAATCTATCCCGACTGTCCGACAAGTCACAATAATGACGGTACAGTCGAGCCTTGGGAAACAGTAGAATCGGAATGGATTCCTGCTCCATCAAATGGATTCGCAAATTTGCTAAATCAAGCAACAGCGGATCAAGTTTGCGCCGCGATCAGAGGTGGGCAGATGACATTCGACACAAGCAGATCTTTGATTCCACCGAGTTTTGGGGTTAACTGTACCTTGGTCGTCGATGGAAATTGCATCGAAGCGGATGTTAAGTTCTGCTGCTTCGCAACTAATCCAACAACGACGAGTACAACGATTTCAACTTCAACTGCATCCACCACTTCAACAACTACAACGACGACTACATCTCCCACAACAACAACATCAACGGCAACTACGAGCACAACAACAAACACGACGACAACGATGACGACAACCTCCACCACCACCAAAAATTCAACAACTACAACGTCGACAACATCTCCCACAACGACATCAACAACAACTACAATGGGACCAGTGATCACCAACACGGGCAACATCGACATATATTCTCACGATTGGGTCAATACTCCGACAATCTACCCTGATTGTCCGACAAACCACAACAACGACAGTACAGTGGAGCCCTGGGAGACAGTTGAATCGGAATGGGTGCCGGCCCCGTCGAATGGCTTCGCAAATCTATTGAATCAAGCAACAGCGGATCAAGTTTGCGGCGCGATCAGAGGTGGGCAGATGTCGTTTGACACCAGCAGATCGTTGATTCCGCCCACTTTTGGTGTAAATTGTTCCTTGGTCGATGGCGATGGACTCTGCATCGAAGCTGATGTCAAGTTTTGCTGCTTCGCAACCGATCCAACAACGACAAGTGCCACCGCTTCGACAACTTCACAAGCGGCGACTTCTACTACAGCCGTTTCAAGTACGACTGTTGGCGGAGGAGCGCGAGAAGTGGCTTATGCCAAGTACGACATGATTCCGGGCAGTTTGGAGTTCTGCTCCGACTTTGACAATCATTTCTCATCGTCGCAGCCGGCCCAGAAGTGGGAAGACGTGATCGGCAAGTCGAGAACGTTCAAAAATGATCTCACTCCTGTCGCCGACGCTTGGTTCTCCGATGACTCCTCCAGTTGGCCCTGTTTCTCGACTGTGATCAGCGACCGCGCAGTGATAACAACTGCACAATGCTGCAATTACGCCAAAGAAGTGCGCGTCTCATTCGGACCCTATTATTTCGACCTGGTTTCGTCGAAAATGGTGATTCACCCGGCGTACCTTCGTTCTCGCAAGATCAACGACGTCTGTCTCATCAAATTCGACAAGTCGATTTCGGAAGAGTCGTTCAAACACTGCGACTCTCGTTGTGTCGGTCAAGCCTGTCTTCCCACAGCTCCGATCGACGGGGGCGAGAAGGTCTACGACGTGGGATTCTTTAACGACGCTCTACTCTCGAGTCAGTTGACAGTGAGAAGCGCGCGCTGGTGCGACAAGAAGACGTGGCTCTACAAGAATCAGCAGTGCTACGCGAAGATGGAAGACGACAACGGCGCCGTCTGCAAGACAGAACACGGCTCGCCCGTTTTCCAGAGCAAGAACGGAAGACTTGAGCTCGCTGGATTATTTACCCGGTTGGATTGTTTTCATTCAAGATATTAAAAATTGCCTTTTTAGCGACGAGTTCGACACTTGCTACGAGGAAGGCAACGTCGGAGTACTCACTGGAATGCTGCCAATCCGAGACTGGATTGAAAACGAACTCTTACACTAAACACAGCCCTTGCCAATAAATCCAGATTCAGAAAATTTCTGTTTTTCACTCTTTTTAATTGAAAATTAATGCAAGAATACAAATAAAAACAAAGTAAGCTGTTTCCTATGAAGGAAGGCTTCTCCCGTAATTTTCTGAGGTTTTGAGAGGCGTAAAATCGTCTGATACTGCGGTGACCTTGTCTCATAAAAAGACAGATGTGGGCCATCCAAATGCATTAATACCTCTCATTAGGTGCCGATTTGATGAATGATTTATTCCAGAATGCACATAAAAGAACATCTATTTCAAGCAATTCTTCAAACAAAAATTATCCGGAGAAGATGAATTTGACTTTGTTCACTTTTGCCTTTTTCATTTTCGACCTGACAAGTGGCTACAAGGATCCGATGAAGTAAGTTCTCAAAAAGGCTAGAAATAAAAAGAGCTTTAGATTTATGAGACAACTTTCGAAGACGATCCACTCCAGACTGGGCTCGGCAACCTGAGTAGAAAACCTGAGTCAGGATCTGGAAGAGCTTAAATGAAAAGCCGCCTAGCGGCTTTTTAAGAAACGAAGCCGCTTCGAAAATAAACAATATAAATTTTCTTTAAACTCCTTTGCGGCTTTGTTTTTAAAAAGGCCGCTACGCGGATGTAGGGCGCGTAGGGTCTGCATGCAGACCCCGGGTCTGCAAAATGCAGACCGCGGGTCTGCACATGAAAAAAATGTATCAGAATTTTACATTGAACAGGCGCTTTCATGCGCTTCGCGCCTGATCTTAGAGAAGACTTCATCTTTGAACATTTCTAAATCAAAACGGGCCAAAGAAGCCAAAATTTTGCTCGTCAGTGCAGACCCCGGGTCTGCATTTGCAGACCCCGGGTCTGCATTTGCAGACCCCGGGTCTGTTTTTGCAGACCCCGGGTCTGGCAGACCCTACGAGCCCGACATCCCGCTACGCGGCTTTTCATTTTAGCTCTTCCAGAGCCTGACTCACGTTTTCTACTCAGGTTGCCGAGCCCAGACTCCAGTCATTCAGTCAAGAAGCGCAATTTATTCTTTTCTCGTGGCCACAATCCCATTTATGAATACGAATGATGAGTGACTTTCGCCTAGAAGTAGCAGAGTAGCTGAAATAAACTTTAGAAAAAATGAAAAATTGAAAAACGAGTTGTGTAATTGGGAAGTTGTAAATGCCGGTAGTACTCGAGTTCGATAACGAATTAGGTCATCGTCGCTGTGGGCGTTGGAGTCTTGTGAGAACGGGAAAGCTCTGAATCGAGATCGGGAGAAGGTGCACAGCTGGTATTCTTGATTGTCGCCCCGCCCATTAAAATATCGTGTCGCCGCCTGTGCTGCCCTTGTTTTATAGTGGGGCGGATTCGAGAGTCGGCTATTTTATTCGAGTTTTGATCATCGTCGTATCAGATCATCAGCATCATGTCGGACAAGTAAGATTTTCATGCAAAGTTAGAGAGCGCTTCGAAATTCTAGAGTCTTCGAGTCTAAAGTGGATTTCCAAGTTGATTTGATCAGTCAGGCTTCGTTCTTTTCAGGTTTCTGTTTACTTCTGAGTCGGTTGGCGAAGGCCATCCGGACAAGATCTGCGATTGCGTCTCCGATGCCGTCCTCGACGCTCACCTCGCCCAGGACCCAAATGCCAAGGTTGCTTGCGAATCCGTCGCCAAGACAGGCATGATCATGGTCTGCGGCGAAGTTTCTTCCAAAGCAAATGTTGATTACCAATCTGTAAGGAATCAAGTGCTTCTTCCTTGAAAACATCAATCCTACCCGTAGGTCATCCGAGGAGCTATCAAAGACATTGGCTACGACTCCGACGACAAGGGTTTCAACTACAAGACTTGCAACATCCTCGTCGCGTTGGAAGAACAATCTCCTGATATTGCTCAAGGTGTTCACATCGACAGGTAATGAATCATTTGAGACAAAATACTGATACGAAACCTGTGTAAAAACCAGGTTTTCAAGAGCATAAATGGAAAGCCGCCTAGCGGCTTTTTTTAAGACAAAGCCGCAAGGCTTCGTTTTCATTCAAATTTGAATACCTGACTCAGGTTGCTGAGCCCAGATTTCATCATAATTAAGAGATGGTAATTATATAAGTGACATGATCAGTTCGTGTAAAACCATTTGATCAGCAATTACATATTATCAAGTAAAAACATAACTTATGAAAATGAAAACACATTTTTATTACCAGTAGTGTCTGATTATGCCCTCAATAAAAAAGTCAAATTCAGAGACGATGACGATGTTGGCGCTGGTGATCAGGGCTTGATGTTTGGCTACGCTACCAACGAGACAGAAGAGTGCATGCCGCTGACGATTTCTTTGGCGCACAACTTGAACCGAAAAATGGCCGAGCTAAGGAAGACGGATCCCTCTTGCGAGTGGCTGCGACCTGATTCGAAGACACAGGTCACCTGCGAACACGAGCTGCGAAATGGCGAAGTCATTCCCACTCGAGTCCACACAGTCGTCATTTCCGTCCAGCACGCTGAAGAGATCACCCTCGAAGAGCAACGAGCCCAGCTCAAGTCCAAGGTTCAAAAAGACATTCAAAGTTTTTTCTGGTAAAAATTGCTTAGATCATTGACGCAGTTATTCCCGCTCATCTGATCGACGAGAACACGATCTACCATCTCCAGCCCTCAGGTCGATTCGTCATTGGCGGTCCTCAAGGCGATGCTGGCCTCACCGGGCGAAAAATCATCGTCGACACTTATGGCGGATGGGGAGCCCACGGCGGTGGAGCTTTCTCCGGAAAAGATTACACCAAGGGTAAGAGAAGCGTTCTCTTTGTTTAGTCCAATCTCGTAGTCGATCGATCTGCCGCTTACGCCGCTCGCTGGGTAGCCAAGTCGCTGGTCAAAGGCGGTCTCTGCAAGCGCGTCCTCGTCCAAGTCTCCTACGCGATCGGTGTCGCCCAGCCCACCTCAATCCACGTCGACAGCTACGGCACCTCCGAGAAGAGCAATGCCGAGCTCTCCGAAATCGTCAAGAAGAACTTCGACCTCCGACCCGGAGCCATCGTCAAGTAATCAATCGACAACAAGGAGGAATTATCTCAACTTTACTTTCAGAGCACTTGGCCTCCGCAAGCCCATCTTCCGACCGACAACTGCTTATGGCCATTTTGGACGAGAAGGATTCTCTTGGGAAACGCCAAAAACTCTCGAGCTGTAATTTTCATTTAGATTTTATTAAATAAACAATCATCAATTCGAATTTGAAAAGGATTAATCCATCTTCTGATTTTTGGATGAGCTTGAGCGATGCACTCCATTTCTGAATTTGAAAAAAATGATAAACAAAATGCAAAATCAAAATTAAAAAACCAACCCTTGAGGTTCTCGTAAAGAGCCTTGACTTTCGGATACGCGTCGATGGAAATGTTCCAGCGGTCGACCAGATTGCGAATTTGAGGAACGAAAGCAAAGTCCGCGATTGTCAAATGATCCCCAACGCTGAAATCATCTTGTTCTTCCTTTATTTTGTTTATTTTTACCAGAATTTTTCGCCGACAAGGGACTCGAGCGTTCTGAGCCCGCGGTTTTGAGTAAACTCCATGAACTCCTTCTTTGCATCGCCCTCCAGTCCAGCAAGCTGAGTTTTTATTTGAAGGGAAAAATCTAGTTATTCATTATTGACCTTGATCATGAAGGGATTCTGCAATGGCTGCATGCCGGAATTGACTATTTCCGTGATTTGGCGACATCTGTTTTTGCTTCCCAATTAAGATTAACTGAGAAGATTACTGTATAAACAAATCATTACTAATGAAACTGAAATTAAGGGGTCAAAGGGGAAACTCTTTCCTGGCTCGTTGAAATGGATCCTTGGGTAGAATCGGCTGCTCGGGATAGAGTTGATCAAGAAGCTCCATGATCGGGAGCGATTCAAAAGAGCCTCTTCGTTTTGAGGAAACTTTACGGCGGGAACAAAGCCCATCGGGTTGACCTTCGCTGTAAAGCCCGCGTCACCGACGTTGATGTCGATCATTTTCTCCTCGAAGTCGACTTTTTTGTAGATCATGGCGGCCCGCACGCGCCAGGTGGCGGAGGAAGCGGGGTACCCGTAAAGCAGGATTTTCGAGTTGCTCATTCTCTTTTCAGCAAAATTGAAAATTGAATTGGCGAAAACGAATTCAGAGCGTAAAGTAGCCAATCTGAGCTCTCGCAAACAAGCTCACTTGCCCGGCGAAAATCAACTCGCAGGACAAAAGGGGCGAACTCTTGTTCACGAGAAAAGCCTGCAAAAAATAAACGAGAAACATTTTTTTTTCTCAACGAGGAAAATTCCACCTGAGAAAAAATGAGGGATGAAGAGCTGTATTTTTATTCATTTTTGACAATTGCACAAATACTATTTTAACGAAACATTACTCGACAGAAATAAGCTTTTTTTGAACAAGATCGGGAACTTCAACAGCTAGCCAAGGAGCTAAACCAAGCGCCATCGCGTGTGCAATGCCAAATTTAGGGATGTTTCGTTGCCAAAGCGGCTTGAAATGATCCGTCTGAATGTAAAAGTTAGACTTTTCGAACGACTAGGAATCTGTTACCAGGCAAATTCGCCCGCCGCGGTACATCTTGGCAGTTTTTCCTTCTAGTTCGGGCAGGGTGATTTCGATGGCGGCTTGGGGATAGGCGACGGGGATGTCAAACTCGACTCGAAACTCGTAGCGCTGGTGCTCATAGAGGTACCAACACTTGCCCCACCATTTGGTTCCTTCCCTCAACAAATCATTCAATTCAAAAACAATTTAACCAGCATACTTGTTAGACTCGAGCTTGAACCAGTCGTTGTCGCGCTCTTTGTTTTGCTTGATGTACTGAATCAAAGCCAAGTACTCTTCCTTGACTCGCGTCACCCAATTCTCAGTATCTCGAGGGCCCGCATTAGTACTCAGACAAGGGATAGCTGCTACTTCCGCGCTTACTTCCGCCATTCTGAAAAATTGAAATCAACGAAGAGAAGCAATTTTCAGTCAAACTGTTATTTATTCATTTTTTGGCAGTTTAAGTTGATAAACGAAGTGATAATTGAAGTGAGGATTTGAAAAAAGCGGTGAGTGATGATCATCATTTGACATTCGTCCGGAGGAATTCCTCGAGCTGGCTTGTTTGAAGCTGGATTCTGATTTCTTGAGTGCCCTCGCCAATCAGCTGGTGATCCTTGAGCTCGACCAGCTGCGCCTTCAGAGCCGCTTCCGAGTTGACCAAGAAGCCCTTTCGGCAGAGCTTGTACAATTCTAAAGCCGAAAGTGAAAATTACGATTGCTAGAAGTATTTACCTTTGAAAGAAGGGCCGTCTTTCTTTTCCTTCATCTTCGCGATTTGGTCTTTGATGATAATCTTGAGCACTCCCTGGCCATTCTGCGTCAGCGAGTCGTAAACATGCTGCAGTGAAGCAACACCTGCAATTTCACTGTTTAAAAAGACATGAACGAAAAGAGCATTTTCTTACCAATTTTCCCGGCGCTTTTCGCCCAAATACTGTGGCCCGACTTTGTCTCGAAAACGTAGGGCATAAATGTGGCAGTCTCGATTGAAACAAAGTTGAGCTGCGATCTTTGGCATTGGTCAAATGCAAATGCTCCGTATATCTAAAAGCAAATGCTGTTATTTTATCATTCTTTTGCTCAAGACAAACCTTGTCCATCGTGGCGACGAGGCTGATCTTCTTGAGCATGACGAGCTCGACAAGAAGATCCAACGACCTGGCGATGCAGTTCGATTCGATGTTGTTGATGAAAATGACGAGATGATAGGCCTCGTCGGTTTTGTAGTGCTCGACGAGTCGTTCGATCGCGTTTTCAACCGAAGAAGATGGTTTCTCGTCCAACGCGTCGGTCAAAATCGTGTCGAAAAGCACCTTGTCGGACGCGTCTTCTCTCCATGCGTTGAAGAAGAGGCAGTCAAAGTCCTGTGCGCGCAGATGATTGTAGTACGCTTTCATTACCGGCAGCTTCGAGCCCAGTCCGTAGAGTAAGAGACTGTAATCATGGGCCAAGTACGCGTCCCAGCTCGGAAAATGGGCAGCAAAATCGCCACACGGAAGTGGCTTCGCCGAATCGCCCAAAATCTCCATTCGCTTTTGCACCTCGTTTTTGTCGATTTTGAGCGTCGCATTCGACGTTTTCGATCTCTTCGACGCTTCGAAGAATCTGTCGTGAAAGGCGATCGCGTCATTGTGCGCGAAATCCTCTTCCTCTCGCTCGCTCCCGTCCGAGTTCTCGTAATCGTTCATTCCCGCGTATTCTTCGTCAATCTTGACGTCCTGCAGCTGCGAGGCTGCTCTGCTCTTGGAAATAGCGCTCGCCAAAGAGCTCGTTCTCTCCCGCTCCTGTCCTCCTTGATCCTTTTTCGGACTCGTTCCAGTCTTGCCGCTGGAAATGCGCGGCACAGCATCGTGAGTGACAACAAACGCCTCGATTTCAGCCCCTTTCACTTTCGCCCGTCTAGTGCTCATTCTGAATCCAAAAATATCAATTTTTTTACAGAACTTTTTCTTTGATTATTTCCGGACAACGCTCCATCCTTCTTCCACCTCCATATCATCCTCTGGTTCCTCTTTCCGCGGCTTCGGCTTTGACTGTTGTTGCACAGGAGGACTCGTCGTTTCTTCGTCGGAGCTAGAATCCTCCTCTTCGTTTTTCGACAGCATCGAGCTTGCAACGCCGGAACACTTTATTATTATTACTTAATTATTAATAGAAGAGTTACTTTGGGAAGCTTCTCGCAATAATCAAGCAATTTCTGGTGGTCTCTTCTGTGCACTAGCCTCTGTACTTCAACCAAATGTCGCGCAACTTCAAAGCAGGAGTCGTCCTCGCACACCAGGTGGAAGTTTGAATCTAGAAGACCTGCCAGCCAGTCTTCCATTTCGTCCACACAAGGGTTGTCCCTGAAAAAACGATTATCGACTGTCAGTTTAGTGCTGCCTTCGGCAATCTGTGTGGAAAACCTGAGTCAGGGTTTGAAAGGGTCATTTCGGCATTTCACCAAAGATAATTCAGACCCTGACTCAGGTTTTCTATACAGTTAGTCGAGCCAAGGATTAGCCAATAATTACTGTAGCGCCTGCGAAATGGGCTCCGGCATCCACTGTCTAATCTCCATCTCGTGAGGATTGTTGGAAATCTGCAAGTCGAGCGCCGTCCAACCCCGAAGAACCAGCTCTACCGCGTCCTTCCTCGTCTGTTCCCAGTTAATTTCCATTCTGATCGAAAAAAATTGATAGAAATTGAGACATTTTTCTTTTTTATTTTTAAAAATCTAGGAAATGAGCCGGAACGCTCTACAGAAAATTAAAATTGTATTTTGAAAATTACAAAAAATTTTGAATTCTTGGATTGGATTTTTTGAATAAAAAATAAACGGAAAATTGAAAATTACGATTTCATGAAGATTAACGTTTTTTACAGCGACGATGACTGTATATTTGTTTGTTTGAGTTGGTATAAGTCGAGTACAGAAGGACTGGTTTACTGTCAGTAAAGAATATATATTTCGTTTGGATTCGTTATTGTTAGACACCTTTTGATAGGGAGCATCAATTCGATCAATTTGAGCGGCTAAAATCGAATTTGCATGTATTTCTCGCCGGCGTCGGAGTAGCCTGCTTTTTCGTAGAACTTGACGTTGTGCGGCGCGCATTCTAGCGTCGTCTGAAAGAGAAGCCATCAAGAAGGAAAGTGAGGGGGCGCTTACTTTGTAAACTCCAAGTTGCTTCGACAATCGCGTGCAAGCCAAAACTAAATACTTTCCAAGGCCAGTTCCTCTCGCCGACTCGTCGACAACAACCTTCAAAAATGAATTCCAAATGAATGAAACGAGAGTCAAAACGAACCTCTTCAACTCGTCCCTTGAGCGCGCACTGGCGAATGAACTTCTGCTCTAGAATGAGCGTCGCCGTTCCGATGATCTTCCCGTTTTGCTCGTTGTCCGCGACGACCAGGACGAAGTAGCACTTGGACGATTTCATCTGGTTGAAGCGGGCGGTGTACTCTTCGACGCTGATCTCTCCTACTTTCGTCAATTGGGCCAGCAGCTCGAAAAATCCGTTCTCATTGTCTTCGACTAAATCAAACGATTAGTGAACAGCGTTTTTTATCGTAAAAGAGTTATTGTGAGAACTGGGCTCGGCAACCTGTGTAGAAAACGCGGCTTTTAGCTCTTTCAGAGCCTGACTCAGGTTTTCTAAACAGGTTGCCGAGCCCAGAACGAGACTTACTAGTTAAGGGACGGACAACGAGATTCGGCGGCAGTTTGATATCGGACATATCAACCTTCTTCAGCAGCTTACTTTCAAACACTTCTTCTGGCATTCTGAAACGAGAATAATTAGCTCTGGCGTTTAATTTAGTCTGACAAGAGAATACATAAATTGAACAGGAAGGAACAAATGGGAAGAGGGAGAGAAAGAGGGATGAAGACATTTGATTTTCATGATTTTGGAGAAAAGAGGTTGTTTCACTCGACACTTCCGTCTGCTTCCGGGTTGATGGGCGTGATCTTGTCGGCTATCTTGCGCATTAGTTCCGGCGTGCAAGTGGAGATGATCTGCCGCTTCATAAGATTGAGCTCCTCGCCAGCCAGATCGCCAACGACGCCTCCAGCTTCAGTGATGATAATCGTCGGCGCGGCGATGTCCCAAATGTGAAAGTTTGCTCCAAAGTAAGCATCTAAAAAATGGCATTAGAAAATATATAAAATTTCAATTTGTCAATTTTCTTTTTGAGATGTTTTTTTTCTTAACGAACTCTACATGCGAGCTTCATTTGGTATATTTTCGTGCTGGCCGCTTCATTAAAAAATTAAAAGTGCAAGTTAAAAAGCAAGTAGAGTACCTCCTCTTCCAGCCGCGACGATCGTCATCGCGCAAGCCGTCGACCCGAGCATTCTAATTCCGATCGCCGGATTCATCAAAATCGCCTCGAGATTGCCCCTCACTTTCGCCAAATTCTCGTAATTGCGCCCCGACGTGAAACCGGAAAGGACCACGGACTCGTTCAGTTCCGTCGTTTTTTTCACGAAAATTTGGTTGCCGTTGAGAAAGCTGCCGTGGCCCTTGCGCGCGCTGAATAACTCGCCGAGAATGGGGTTGAAAACGACGCCGAAAACGGGCTCTTTGTTTAGCAAGAGGCCAATGACCACGGCGACGTATGGAAAGCCGGTGACGAAATTGCTCGTGCCGTCGATTGGATCTATCACCCAAGTCGGTTCGTTACTAAATAAAATACTTGTAGTGGAATATCTACTGGAAATGATCGGTCTGCAACATTATATACTGCACTAAATATACATAGAAATTTTTATTTATTTGTATTACAAATGGTAACCCTCGCGATGTTTTTTGCAGAGCTCTCGATGCATTCAAAGATTTTGTACAAAGAATAGTTTCATTTTAGTTTTCGTCAATTAGTTGCCACAAATTTAAGTAAATTTTGCTTAACATTTTGCTGTGTAATAAATTTTTGCTCCGCTTAAATACTCTAGAAAAAGCCCTTTAGCGCCAGAAATCGCTCCTAAGCGACCTTATCATCATTGATTATCTACCTTATTTCAGCAACTGGCGAAGTATGAAAAAATCTTTGAACTTACGTTAGTGTCAAACTCATAGGTCCAGTAAAGCTTTCTTCTCCGATAAGTTTGTGATTTGGGTATTTCTGCCGGATCGCTGCAAAAATATTCTTCTCGACCAGGCGGTCAGTCTCAGTGACAAGATCTGTCGGATTGCTCTTTGTGTCGACATTCTTTGGCTTGTGAAAGGCGACCTAATCTGAGCTGACCGGAGAGTGTCTTTCCAAACGATCGGGAATCGCAATCGAACTTTAAAATTCAACTCAGGCTTCCTTGACTATTTCGCCATTTTCTACCGCCAGTTTTTTGGCAAACTCGAATGCTCCCTCAACATCAAAATCCTCGACAACCGACATCCGCAAAGGGACAGCTCTCTCTCTCTAAAAGGACAAGTCTTGAAGCGAGTAAAAGTGCGGAGCTGTGGGTAAAAACGAAAATTTGCCTGCTCGTTAATTTTATTATTATTTATTGCTCGGCAAATAACTGAAACTTTGAAACTGCCAAAAGTGAATGAGAAAGTAAGCAAAACTGTTACTTTCTCGGAAACGACTCCTGCGAGGAACTCCGCCTTGAGGTCAATAATCATGAACGAATTCAATTTTTATTATAGCGCTTTCAGAAAAGTGAACTTTCAGAAAATGAGACGATTAATTTTGAATGATTGACAAAAGAAAGCATGCATTCCGGAAGTGACTCTTTCTCCAGCCGTTTGTTTGTAAATTAATTAACCTAAAAACCAATAATTACCACTTCAAGACAATAGATAATCTACCTAAATAGAAGAGGGATCGACGACGGTCTCTTCTTCCTTGATGAGTCGCTCGAAGACGGTTTCAACCTCGGTGTCGTCGGCGTGGTTCTCGTCCTGGTCGAGGCCGTCGCGGAGCGCTTTTCGGGTGGCGATAGCTTCGGGCGTGTTGAACTCGCGGAGACGCATGTTGTGGAAGGCCTTGAATTGCTCGATCATGACGCGGCGCTTCTCGACTTCTTCCTTGTTCTGGTTCGAGAAGAAGGCGCGGTCCTTGATCTCGAACTGGCGCGAGTAGTGTTTCATCTCCTTCTTGACCTTCTTGAGTTCCTTGTCCGAGAGCAGGGTCGGCATTCGCGGCCGCCAGACGAACTGGACAAGGCGGTTGAGTGACGATTCTTTGCGAATTCGTCGGCCGAGGAAAGACCAGATCTGGTACTCGTTGTCGTTCGGCCGGATCCACGCGGAGACGTAGGTGCAGACAAAGCGACCGGTTGGGTCCCACTCGACGTCCGTTGCGTACGGATGCTCGGTAGCAACGAGCTTGTAGTCGGCTGGGTTGGAAGAGTTGACACCAGTGTCGAGGAACATCATGCAGCCAGCGCCCTGTTGGAACTTGTTCTGCTGCAAGTTGAGGAGCTGTGCGAGGACGCAGTATTGACCGGCGGGCGACCAGAAGATACAGTCGATGGAGCGCAGGTCAGGAATGGTCACCAAAGGAGCAACCTTGCCGCCTTGAGTGACGTTGTAGATGGTGCAGGAAACGCGCTGAGGCTCGCCATGAAGCGTGCACAACTTGTTGCCTTTTGGCTCCCACATGAAACGCGTGACGCAGTCCTTGACCTCGATCGTGTCCACGGGCACTTCTTTCTCCTTGATGTGGAAGATCTCGAAGGAAGAGACGGTGCTGCTCTTTTTGCCCTTGACTGGTCGGTCCACTCGCACGGCCAAGTACTTGCCCTGATCTTGCCAGGCCATTTCGATGTTGTGGACGTTGTAGAGGTTCTTGACTCGGATTTCGTTGCGGCGGGGGATGCTGATAATGGTCACACGAGCTGGGGCCTCGCCCTGCTCTGGCAGCCAGTAAGCGATGAGGTTGTCCTTAGGGGACCAGCTGAAGCCTCGCACTTCTGGGCACTTGATGCTGCGCTTGTCGAGGAGGCCACAGTTGGGCACTTCGTAGACGGAGATGGTATCTGCCGTCTGCCTTGCAAAATATCGCGAGTCGCTGCTCCACTTGAGATGGGGCCATTCCATGTGGCCGCTCTCGCCGGTCTGGACGGTGAACTTTCGCTTCTCGCTCTGGCTCCAGACGTCGTGGATGATCACAGTCGAGTGGCCCTCTCCGCGCGCTCCGTTGCCGGTGCAAATGTAACGCTCGTCAGGTGAAAAGGCCATGTTGTCGACTTGGTCGTGCTTGAATCGATGCGAGCGGGACCAAATGCCTCGGGATTTCGACGATGCTCCGGCGAATTGTGGCGTGTACACCCAAAGAGCGATACCCTGGTACATGGTTCTAAATCAACTACTCTATGATGGACTTTTCTTTCCAATTACTTAGATTCAGAACCGTGCCTGGTCGTGGTAAGTGGCGATAAACTTGCCAGTTGGTGAGAAATCGACGCCCCGGTTGGTCCAGGATTTTCGGGAGTGAATCAACTCGATCTCCGGGCGTCGGTTGAGGTACGATTCCGTCTGTTTTCCGTCCGCGTAAGTGACGACGAATTGATCGAAGGCGTCCGGCTCTTCCATGTGTTGCATGAGATTGCCCAAGTCCTCGTGCTCCTTCCTGGTCGGTTCTTGCCACTCGGTGGGCGTGCTTTCGAACTTCTCGAAGTCGGTGAACAAATTCGCGCAGAAAATATGCTTTTTGTCAAAGGCGTACTTGTGCAGGTTCTCCATCGCGCGCAGAGCTGTTTCCTCGTCTTCGAATTCCAAGAAGCAGTAGCCCTTCGTATGCTCCATCATTTCTCCAGTTTTCTGAACGAAATTTGTCTATCAACTAAAAATGAATAAATTACCTTTTGCGGCGCCATTTCAGTGGGAAACTCTTCATAAATCGGCTCTCCAGCGAGTTTCTTCCAAATTCCATGAAGTTTTTCTTTCAACTTGGCGACTTTCTCCGTCTTTGGAATACCATCGATAATCACGACGTTTTCGATTCCATCTGCTTCTCGTGGAGCCTGAAAAGCAGAGTTTTGTAAAGTGAGAAAAAGACAAGTTTTTTTTACCTTGGCCATCAAATCGGGCAAAAGTTCCTCGTTGGAGATGTCATCGACGAATCCTTCCGGATCGTCAAAATCGGGCTCTGGGGCTTCTGAGTTTTCGCCTCCGGCGCGTTGCCAGCCTCCTTCTTCGACCATTTTCTGAAATTATTCACGATTATTACAGTTTTTTCTTCACAAATCGAAATTTCGCCGTTTTTCTGGCAAAGAAGAAAAATTAATATTTTTTTTTTAATTTCTAAAAAAACAGAAGATAAATGACTCATAAGTTGAACTCTCTGTATTAAAATTTATCTCTTATTTCCTGTGATTAGTCTTTTCGAGCCAAAACTACACGAAAAACGAGAAAAAGGCACTTTTTTTACAACTGAGCTGGCGAGAGAGTGGCGCAGCCAATCAGCGCGCGCTATTCAAAAATAATCCAAAAAAGAAGGATAATTTTCAAAAAACCATAATTTCTAACTAAAGCACGATAAATTTAAAATGGCGCCTCAAAAACTTCCTAAATTGACTCTTGAACAAAGAGAGAAGCTTAAACAGGCGAAAAGATATTGCATGAATGAAAGTATCAAGTTAGTAATTAATTTGAGTTTCCAGCATTAATTTGACTATTCGGCGTTTTATTAAAAATTTTATTCGAAAACGACAGCTTCAAAATCGAGAAAAAATCGAGAAATAAGAAAATTTCCAATTAAAAAAATGGAAATTCTTGAGAATTTTACAGTTCAAGGGTATATTCTAGCGATGAAGACAAAATTATAGCGCAAGAAAATCTCCGTCTCAACTGTAAAACGCTCAAAATTTTCAGTCTTTTTATTGAAAATTTTCTTATATCTCGATTTTTTGTTCGATTTTAGAAACGTCGTTTTCGAATAAAATTTTTATAAAAAAATTGAATAATTAAATTAAAAAAAAAAATATTTTATTGTTTTTAATCTTTGTACTTTGCCAGGCACTCGATGAAGAAAGAAGACAAGCAGCAGAAAGCGATCATCCAGAACAAGACGGCGGAGGCGATCCAGAAGCAGCAAGTGACGCTGCTGATGACGCAGTGCTTCATCGGCGGGCTGGACTACAACGTGGGCATGCGGGAGGTCCGCGAAGCCTTTGCGTAAATGCCCCCCGACTTTGAGACTCAAAACAATCAACGTTTCTTCGTTCAGTCCCTTCGGCATCCTCAAGGCCGTCAATCTCGACATCGACCCCCTCACCGGCAGACACAAGGGCTACGCCTATGTCGAGTACGATCTTCCCGAAGGCTCCCAGGCGCGGATTTTATTTAAAATCAACTTCCCACGAGAAATTTGTGGTAAAGTCGAATTATATAGCTTTCAATTTCTACCTTTGATTTTTCAATTTTCTGAAATAAAAATCCGATTTGAAGCTTGCGATCGAACAAATGTGTGGAATAAGCGTAAGTTTCTTCATTTGTAGAAAACCCTGTCCCTGAGCTCAGCAACCTGTGTTGAAAACCTGAGTCAGAAAGAAACAGGCTTTTGATAAAAGATCTTTGAGACCCTGACTCAGGTTGCTGAGCCCAGTCCTGTTCCTGACTTCCCTATTTTTAGTTTTCTAGCTTTGCCCATTTCTGAGGCTCCCTTTTCTTGAATTCATGCTTTTTAGTTGAACAACCGGCCGATCCGCGTTGGGCGCCCGACGAACACGGACGTCTACCAGGAGTTAATCGACAATTTGATAGAAAAGTCGAAGAAGTCGTCGATCATTTACGTTTCGAATTTGGCGCCTTCAGTCGTCGACGACGATCTCCGCGTCATCTTCTCGCCTTTCGGCGACGTCGTCAAAGCGGTGCTCATTCGCGACTTCGTTACTGGAAAGCACAAAACTTACGGTACCGCGGTTTTCTACCAATTTGAGCTTTAATCTTTGAGATAAGGCTTCGTCGAGTACACGACGGTAAAAGCAGCCGCGGATGCGACGGAATCGATGAACATGTTCGAATTGAAAGAAAAGCAAATCCGAGTGGGGCGAGCGATGATCCCGCCGCCGCAAGTGATCAATCCAGGACCAGTGCTGAATTTTCAACGCACCTCTACTGCCATGGTACGTTTCGACCAATCAAAATCTCCAAAACTATTATAGTCTTCTGACCAATCAGAAAGTCAAATGTTTCTGATGCGTTCTTTTCCGCTACTTCTTCTTGATCATTCTTTTGAAGGAAAAGATTCGCAGTTTTGATTTGCCAGAGAGGATTTTTGGAGACTTTGATTGGTCGAACCAAAGTCGGAAAAATCGGGGAATGTTCTAACTCGCTCTTTTCTAGGCAATCACGCAGGGAGAGACAGCAGATTTCGCGGCAATCGGCGCTCCTGGAGTTGCTTTTCCAAAACTCGCGCTCGAGTTGAAATGACCTCTCCCTTTTTTATCGTTTCTAGTTTCAACTGCCACCTTTCTACAATGTCCTGCAAGAGAAAGGTCTTGCTAGAACAGTAGCTACCTGTGACCTGCCGTTCCATGCTCAAGTAAAAGCTGCTCTTTCTCAATTTCGAGTTTCCTGTTTTTTATTTTTACTTTCAAATTCAAATAAAAAAAGCAAAAGACAGAAAAAAAACAACTCGTTCTTGATCGTTCAGAGCATCGTTTTCGGGCGCTATGAGTAAGGGATGAACTTTGAATGGCACTCAATAAGATGGAACTCGCCAACGGTCGAATGCCAGACTTGATCGACACGTCCGGCTCGGTCATCACCAAACACAGTCTTGCCGAGGCCGTCGAGGAGCGCAAACTACGCTCCAAGCAAAAGTTCAACTTGTTTGTCGAGGAGAGCTTTCCCGAACAAGACGATGTCGCTCGGCTAGGATAGTGTGCTTCCATTAATGATACGATTAATAATAATGATTTACAATTATGATAAATAATGATATCAAGGAAGACTCTGGACATCAGAGGAACAAACTAAGGTCTTCTACTTTCTATTTGTAAAAGAAAATAAGGGTATCAATACATAAGTTTCAGATTAATAATGACCTTTTAAAAAAACCTTTTCACGCTTGAAAAGATTACGACCATGCGACGCTGCTACTTATCAGGCCCTCTGCTGTGTTCAACCCGTCGAATTACGACATTGTAAATAGAAAAAGAACTCTTCTGCGAAAGCGAACGAAGCGAAGGAAACGAAAGAAACGACGAAAAATGAAAGTGCTACTGCCACTTCTGTGAAAAGCGGGAAGCTGGCGAAAGAAGAGGAGGAGGATGATGATTTGATCGATTTGGGAATGGTGGTGGCGCCGCGGCCGCTGCGACCTAGAAAGTCGGAATCGAAGAGTTCGGAAAGCGGATCGAGAGGTGGAGAGGCGGCGGAGCCAGCCAGGTTCAAGGACCCAAAGGGAAAGGCCGAACTCGAAGGTGGAATAACCGCGCGAGTGAGAAGGAGCTCCGCTCGACTCAGCGCTTCTCCAACTCAAGCTCCAAAGGGGAAAAACACAGCGGAGCCGGTTGCTTCATCAACTTCCCCGGAAACGCGGAGCGGAACGTCGAAGCGCAAGCGAAAGAGCTCCAACAGCACGAGCAGCGAGACCTCTGAAGCTCCTGCTCCAACGCAGCGCGTTTCTCGCTCATCTTCTCTTGTTACGGGATTTTTGTGTTTTGTCTTGACACGTGATCGAAAGTATAAAAGTAGAAGCGAATTGCAATTCTGCAATTTCCAATTGTAGCTTATTCCATTTTGAGTATTAGATGAGCTTCACTGCTCAATTCGAGCTTTGTTAATTTCGAAACAGAGGCAACAGAAAAGCGGCAAAATTAAGAAATCAAATGATAAGTATATTTACTCGCTTTTTTTTCTTTATTTTGACGTCAAAGCTAAATAACGCAGATAGATAAGAGCATACCTACCGCTTGGATCGATTATTAGAGCTACTTTTTTAAGAAATGACTTGTTTTATGATCGTAAATTTAAAATTGTAAATCATTTTAAAAATCCGATCTAAGTTCGAAAATCGAAGACTTCCGACTCCGCCGAAACTCAAAAGCGCTCCAGAAGCGTGTCCGAATCCCGGCCAAAGCGTGCCAAGGCAAAGAAGACTCTTCCGCTGCTTCGGAAGGCAACACGGAAAGTCAGCAAAAGCCATCCAAGTCTGCGAAGCCGCAACAACTCCGCGGAGTCACTGGTAAATCAAACAGAAGAGAGAGTGATTATTTTCAATTTCCAGGGCTGAAAAATCTCGGCAACACTTGCTACTTGAACACGATCGTGCAAGTACTCGCGTCGTTGAAATGCTTCCGCGAGGCGCTGCAAGAAGTCGAGTTCGCCGTCCAAAGCCCGACGCGCAACTCCTCCGACGACGGATCAAGTGAGCCGGTGGATGGACGCGCCAAGCGCAAACGCGGCGTCAACTCTCTGGAACGGCTTATTCAGAACTTTGAATTTATTCTTTCTTTAAGCGAGGCTCGCTTTTTTATTTACGCTTCAATGGATAAATTATTTTGGCCCCTGATCTGAATCCGAAAGTAGGACATTCTAGCGGGCTTAAAAACTGGGGGCTAATTACTGTAATTCGGCATTACAAATCGAACAGTTCAAAAGCCATCGATCAGACAAAATCGCTGCAGCAGCTGGTTGGGGAGCTCAATGCCGGCCGACGACTCACTGTGGAGCCGTCTTCGTTCGTCCAAGCAGTCCACGACCAGTTGCCCAACTTCAACGGCCACATTCAGCAAGACGTCCAAGAGTTCTTCTGCCAGGTACTTTTGCTCGCCCGACGTGCTCTCTTCTATGTCTTCAGCTTCTTTACAAGCTGGAAAAGGAGCGGACAAAGGGCTGCTCGGAAGACATTCTCAACTGCGTCGTCAATCGAATGTTCACCGGGCAGTGGCAGTCGGAAGTCATCTGCACCCAGTGCGGAAACAAAACCACCAAATCGAAAAGTTCAACACGCTGCCTTTGGAATTCCCAAATAAGTATTACAAGAATACTGGATCCGGCACCCAGGTAAATTTTCCCAGATTTGGAGCATTTTTTCAACAATTTTTGGTCAGCTTCAGCCTCAAGAGACTCAACCTACTAAGGTGCAAAAGTCAGGATTCCTGAGTCAGGACAGGTCAAAAAACAGGACCTGAGTTAACGACTATTTCAAGACAAGTATTTCACAAGCAGGGAGAAACAAGTACTTCTTCTTTCAGGAATGCTGTTGTCCTAAATCAGGCCTGAGTCAATAACACAGGGTAAAAAACAGGAAATTAGCAGGATGCATGTTTTTTTCTGACTTCGCTCAGGATCAGGTCAGGCTAACTTGCCAACGCCAAATCATTCAACCTTTTTTTTAAACTCAGAACAAAAACGTCTCGTTGGACTTCCTGCTGAAGATCTACACGAAGTCTGAGCGGTTAGGCCGCGTCTACAACTGCGAAAACTGTCGAATCAATCACAACTACGGGCGGACGCGGCGACAGTCCGTGCGAACAGAAGCGGACAAGCGTATTACAGTTCTCGAGTCGCCAAAGTGTCTCTTTGTCCATTTGAAACGGGCAAAATACAGGTTTCTGTCAATTTCCTTCTAACATACTATTTTAACTCTCCCTTCAGTCATTCATCCGGGCAGGAGAAGATCGCCTGCCACGTGGACTTCCCAGAAAAGCTCAACCTCACGCCTTACATGACGCACAAAGCGACCAGCCCAGAGTACGTTCTTCGCGCAGTTGTTGTCCACCACGGAAAGTACTTCAACTCGGGCCACTACACGACGTTTTGCTACAAGGACTCGGAGAAGAAGGACGGCAAAGCATCCGGCTGGGTTCAGGAGAGTTTTCAAAACAATCTCAAATTATTCATCTTTCATGAAAATTCTGGATCCTGCGTAGCAACCTGAGTCAGGGTCCTGCAAGAGCTTTGACAAAAAGTTAATGCTTTTTCAAGACCCAGACTGAAGTTACAGAGCGCAGAAGTTCTTTTGAAAAACTTGAAAAAAGTACAACGATTCGGAAGTAACTGGTGCAAACACTGCCGATGTCCTTGCCTCCCAAGCGTACATGCTCCTCTACGTGGACGTCGAACTGGCGAACGAGGAAGCTTGAACGATTAAAACTGCTCTATCTCTTTATTATTATTCTTTTTCTCTATTCGGCGCCAAAACCTCTCGATTATCATTAAAAAAAGACATACCGCTGTTTACCTCTTTTTTTTACATTTCTGCTGCTTTTGCTCAAGCGGCAGGAGATTGAAAATCACACAACCAAGATTTTTTTAATTCTGAAATTCAAATTTAAAAATTAAAAAAGAGAAGAGTTCTTTGTAAAAAATGAGCTTCGGTTCAAAATGAATTTGGGAGACATAGAAGAGAACGAAAAATTTGCTTCTTTGTTTTTTCTTCAAATCAACGTCCGTTCTTCTCGATTCTAGAGCCTAGACATAGATTAATTGAAAATTAAAAAGTTCATCGCAAAAAAATGAAGCAGAAATAAGCTTGCTTTTCTAAGATTGTCAATAATAATCGCTTGAATCGTCACCAAAGAGGTTCAAAAGTGACTTTTCAAATCAAGTACCCAACTTTTATCCCAACCTCGCGGTCTCAAATTAAAACTGCGCCTCTCATATTTGTTTTATCCACGGCATTATGATTGAAATTCAACTGGCCGCATCATAGTTAAACTTTTGTAAAGTTCTTTCAACTCTCGCAACTTGCTATTTTTCAGACTTCCTTTTTACTTCAATTTTACGCTTATTTTCTTATTGTGCACCTATCTTAATTAAAAGACTATCTCTATTTCGATTGTATCATCAAATGGAAACAACTATTTATTTATCGGTAGCACTTTAACAATTTTAAACAATCCAAAAAAGTGAAAACGAAAAAAATTAAAAAACAACTTAGGGACACTTGTTTAAATAACCAGTACAAAAGTGAACTGCCAACTGAAATTGTCTGGATTTTGTACTAACTATTCACATTCCTACTTCTTGCCTCTCTTTTCTTATCCGCTAAAATGCTTCGTTTCTAGATGCTGAGGCGCTTCCTGGCCATGTCCGCAGCAAACAGAAGTCTATCGATGTCGAGCACGATGCTCTCGCCGGAGAAAATCGCCGAGCTTGAGGACTCATTACAGGCATGTTTCAGACAGACAAAAGCAAATTTTTGATTACTTTATCCTTATTCATAGCTTGAGGAAAATTTTTAGCGAAGAAAAAATCGAAAAATTAAGGGAATCTCGGGTTTATTCGCGTTTGAAAAGTTTAACTCCCTGGTTCGTGAGGTTCTAGTCTTTCGCACGCGGGTTAACCTGTTTTGTGCCCTTTACCAATTTCTTGCCTACAAGATTATGCAAATCATTTTCAAATTTCTTAAGGGTATCTAGGCAATATGACTGAATTATCTGAAACGGTAGTCAGAACAACCCCTACTTCATCAAATTCAAAGACAGAATCGTGAAACTGAAGCAATCAGACCCCGAGACGTATCTAAAGCGTCTCGAGCTGATGCACCAGCAGCACGAAGCGCAGAAAAAGAAAGAAGCCGGAAATCCGAAGACGATGGAAGAAATGACGGCGGAACAAGCGGCTGCTTCAGCTGCGCAGCCAAGCTACGTCGCACCGAAAACTCTCGACAGCGTGATGGACTTGGAAAGGCTGAAGAACAAGGACGGAAAGGAGATTGGCGACATTTGGCGAAAGTATCATGCGCACAGATCGGCAGTTTTCGGTGAGCAACTGGACCTCCGGGCTCTTGCAGTCTAATTCTTCTTTTCTTCAGCGTCGATTTCGAAGAAGTACTGGGACTACATCGCCGCGATCAAGACGCATTTTCCCTCGTTTATCTACCCACTGCCGCGCGACGACAACAAGTGGCTCTTCTACATCGGCTTCTGGGGCGGAAACGAGCTCAACTTCACGACGCTGGAGCACTACAAGCTCAAAGGCGCCGATGCTCCAGTTCTCCTGTCCATGTGCCATTATCCAGACCTAATTGGTAAGGCAGAGCAGTAGGGCGCTCTTGCTGATTCTGTTTCAGACACGAAAGGAATCTGTTTAATGGTCGCAGATGTCGATGAAAGTCTAATTGAAAAGCAGGACGCTCAATTACTCGCCTACTACGCTCAGTACTTTCACACGGAAGCAAAAGGAATGAGCCTCGGTGAGTAAAAAACCAGCTGGTTGGAAGTAGTGTTAACTCAATTCTAGTGCAAACGTTTAACACGAGACCGCAGGATTTCAAGTACGAGGACGTAATCAAAGCCGTTGAAACGATTGGACAAGAGTAAAACTGACACTCACTTTTAAATTTATTTATTGAAGGCGAGAACTGCGCGCTTTTCACTGTGTAAAAGTTGAAACGAAAAAAGAATCGGCCGAATGAGTTGAGTTCCTCTCTTTTAGAATGTGAGTGATGAGGACTCTCTCTCGAGCTTTGCTCTTTCTAGCAGCGATTTTTGGACTTTTCGGCGTGGCGCTTGGAAAACCGGGGAAATCGCAGTTCAATCCAAAAACGCAGTTGTCTCTTTCGGCTGATGAATACAACATCACTTACGAAGGCCCCAGTCCCAATCAATTTTCCGCCAAATGGGTAAGAAGGAGTCAACAAAAAACCGAAAACTAGTCGCTTTCTTAGATTTCTTCGCGCTCTTCTTTGATCATCACTCTCGCCTGCGGTTATTGCTCACTCGATTCGTCAAAATCTCAAGATTCGAGTTCTGAAAATGACACTCCAATTTCCCTGAATATCAGCTGTTCTTCTGACGATCCCATTCATCAATTCAACAAATCGATCACCCATTGGAAGAACTCCAATAGATCATCCTCAAAAAAATCGACGATTTCCGGCTCAATCAAATGTGAAGTGAAATCAGAAACTTCAAATTTGGAAATGAGTTGCAGCGATTCGAGTATAACCATTGCCGCTATTATCTCGTTCTTGGCCATAATCGTGAGTAAAGCAAATGACCTCATAATAGAGATATTGCGTGTTTAGATATCTGCTCTGGCTTTGGTAATCTACGCCGTCAACTATCGCCAAAACGAGCAAGAAGCGCAGCTTCGTGGCTTCTTTTCGCCCGAAAAAGAAAAGCTCATTAATCGCTCCTCGCTGCGCCTGACTTCGAATTACACTCCTGAAAGACTTACAATCGTCAAGACCGTCATCGAGGGCGACTACGGTTCCTGCTTGATCGGCAAGTTCGAGCACGATGGCGAAAGTAGACGAGGTAGAATGGAAAAGGGAGGGAAATAACTCACTTGATTTTTTAGTTTTTGTGAAGAAACTGCGCGAAGTAAGCAACCGAGAAGAAATGATGGGCCGGGCGAAGATTTTCGAAAGATTGAAGCCCTGCGATCTCATTCTTTCCGTCAACATGACCAGCTTTCAAGAACGGAACTTCCAAGCGATGTACTTCCAGAACGTAGAAGGTAGTTCTTCCTTTCTCGAGACAAACAGTTCGACAATCGAAATCTAGGACCGCTGAAATGGTTTCTCAAGCGTTGCCAACTGCGAACAAATCCGTCGCATAGAAGTACAGTTAGCACTGTCAAACTGAAACGATTCACCTATCAGGCGGCTGAAGCACTCGCCTATCTATCGTAAGCGTTCTTGAACTACCGTTATATACTGCACCCGGGCAATCTTTTAAACCAGATTTGAAAACAACTGGTGATTCAGGTCGAATGACATCATCCACGGCGACGTTGCTTCACGCAACTTCGTCCTGGACGAATATAACGAAAACATTCTCCTGGGCGACACCGTCATCTCCCTCGAGCTCTTCCCGGCAGACTACTTCGAAGGACGGCCAATTCGTTGGCAAGCTCCAGAATGCATCGACACTCCCAACCACGCCAGTTTGAGCGGCGACGTCTGGGCTTATGGAATATTCGTCTGGGAGCTCTTCTCGTTAGCCCAAGCCCCTTACAAAGACATTGACTGTCTGAACATTTCCCAGTATCTCTCGGAAGGGTATCGCCTCGTTCAGCCAGATGGCTTTCCCGAGTCTCTTTGGAACTTGATCGGAAACAGCTGCTGGCAATACAGGTACTAAAATAAAACTTCTACAGGAAGCGATTCATTCCCTTTTCAAGCTCTTCAAAACGCAAAAACATCCACCAAATTCTTCAAGAACTGCAGCGTCTCCAAATTTGTTCCTCGTCTTCTCCAAACCTTGCTTCAAACCAACACACTCACTGACCTCCGATCTGTTCCCCTTTTTCTCCGCCACACTTCTTCCTTTGCTCTTCCAAAATCCAAAATCTCAAGTGCCTTGTCTGATTATTGATATTTTATTATGTAAATAAAGAACGCCTCTGATTCCAAAGAATGGTCTTTCGGCAGTTCACTAATCGCTCAAGAATTTTGTACACTGGCTGTTTGTGCTCCTTCTACGCAGCTAAGGCATCGTTTCCACTTTCGAAAGTGCGTAAAATTAAAATGATTCTAGGAAAGAGTATGGGAGAGGAAAATAAGTCTACGATTCTTGATTTTGTCTAAGTAGAATTCGAGTTACTTCCGCTAACCCTTCGCAGACTTCTCCTGCTCGTGAACGGGCACTCGATGGAGCCCACTATAGAACACAACTCGTTGATCATTATTCGCCCATTTTTCGCTGGAATCGAAAAGCTCTCTAAAAACGACGTGATTGTAGCTGAAGACCCGGAACAAGAGGGAAAGACTATTTTGAAAAGAATCACTCATTTGGCTGGCGAAAGAGGCAAATTCTAGATCAGCTGATTTTTATTTTACTAAATCGCCTACTGTAGCGTACTGGAGGCGGCGCGTGTATCTAGGTGATGGATGGGAAGATGTCGGGGAAGTTGAAGTTCCAAATGGATGTGTCTGGGTAGAGGGCGATAATAAGGAACGATCTATTGATTCTAGATTCGGGCTCTCATGCAGTCGCTTTCATTAAAGCGGGCCTTGTTTCCTGCGGTTTTTTCTTCCTTTGATCGAATGCGAGCCTATTTTCTGATCGTTTGGTCCGTTAGAAGAAAGAGCGATTTTTCAGAAGTTCATCGGAGTAATGCCCTTTGACGATATTTACCTTGACATGTTGATTGCTTTTCTGATAATATTCATTTGGTACTGACCATTGAAATCAATGCCGACTTTGGTTGCTTTAGAATGGATTGAGCCAGTTTGGAATTTGCTATGGGAAGATGTCGTTTGCAAGACTGTCTCTATCGAGGACAGGACCGAGCGGCACGGGCGTTGACTTGGGAGCCGGCTGAAAACAACGATGAGGACAACGAGGAGGACGAGAAAGAGAACGCGGCGAAATTGTGGAAGAAGAAAGACAAGATCAAGTGTTTCAAGATTTCGAAGGAGTGCGAAAGAAGTCGGCAAGATCACGAGTTTGGCACGATCACGTGCGAGACGATGATCGAGGACTTTCACGAGTGCCCGCTCACACGGGACTTCGACGTCGACGATTTCGTCAAGCTCGAGTTCGACGAGCGCCAGGGCAAAAGTAAGCAATTTTGTCAAAAACGTTTGGAATAATTTAAGTCCCTAAGGATGTCATCGAGAAGGTCTTGAAGCAAGGGGTGCTTTGCGAGGTCGACGGGCAGGGTGAATGTCTCTTCAGATTCTTCGCCTTTTCGTCGTCCCAGCTCCGCTACAAGATGTGCATTTTGGTCAACTACGACGCCAAGTGGTGGACAAGCAGGTGGCTCGAGTACGACAGCGGCAGACTCGACTTTCTCCGACGAACGAGACGGAAAACCCAGCAACGACGCTGTCTCATTTGCCCGTCGCTGATTTGGAACTACTTTGGCAAGTTCGCGGCGATCAAGACGGTGCCCAAGTTTGGCGCGAGATTGGGCCTTCTTCTCTCTTCTACACGCCACGCTGAGTTCATCGAAGACGGCAAATGGAAAATCGAAGAGGACATTCGACACCACGGTTATAACTTTACTGACGGTTGTGGACGAATGTCAACGAGTCTGGCCGAGCGGTTCACTCTCAACAAGCACTGCGCGCGGAGGTATTTTCTGTTTTATTGCCGTTTTCTTTATGAATCACTTTCAGATACTGCCATCAACCCTTCCAGGTTCCCTCCATCGTCCAAATCCGCTTCATGGGCTGCAAAGGCATCCTCGTTCACGACCCGGCACTTGATGGCAGTTCTCTCGAGCTCGTTCTCCGCGAATCACAGGTATTAACCATAACAGCACAAGTTCAACTCAAGTCTTCAATTCATTGAGAAAAGGGATTCAGAAAAAATTCGACTGGAATTTCGCCACGATCAAGGGCCGCCTAAAGTACACTGAGCGCAAGCAAGGGCGCACGGGCAGACTGCTGGGGATCTGCAGAGGCGGAGAGTCGAAACCATTCGTTTACGGGCGCTTGAATCGGCAATTTGTGTTAGTTTTATCCGCCCTGGGAATCGCTAACACGACCTTTCTCGAAATTCAAAACGAATTCTTCGACCTCGTCAAGTTCAGCCAGCAGAACATCTCGTCCGCGTTCGATCTTCTTTCTCTCTCGTCGAAAACAGAAGAAGCGGAAAAACTAACGCTGGAAAACATCGACTGCGAAGACGACTTTCCTCCGGACATCAAGCTCGCAGTGGAGGGCATCTACGAGTCGATATTCCAACGAAGCTACTCGCTCACTTCAGATGCAGATGCGAAGAAAGCCGAGTCCGCAGCCTTCTCTATTCCTCTGCGACACTCGAGGAATCTCTACGGCGCCGCGGACTTTGGCCAAACTCTGCGCAAAGGCGAGTGCTTCATCCAGTACACCGACTACGATGAGACCTTTCTTTCGAGCGGCGAAACGAGGCGATCGAGGAGGCGGCTGATCATCCGCAGCCCGCCGAATGGCACTAGAATCGTCGTCATGAAGAGCCCGACTTATTATCCCGGCGATGTGCGTGTATTAACCCAGCGTCGTGTCCGTTCCCTCGAACATTTGACCGACGTGATCGTTTTTCCAACGCATCAGTCGCTGGAGCGGCCGCATCCGCACGAAATCCACGAAAGCGATCTCGACGGGGACGAGTATTTCGTCTCCTGGGATCGTCGCCTCATTCCTAAAAAAGTGGAAGCCCCTTTGCTTCCCTGCTCACGCATTGCCCCGCCCGTAAAAGAAAACATCAGCAAGGACGATTTGATCGCCTTTTTTGCTCGTTACGAGTCCCCACTCGGCCTGGTCGACAAGAACTACAAAGTCTGGGCGGAAGAGGTGGGCCCAGACAGCGAGCAGTGCCGCCAACTTGCGAAAATCTTCTCGGAAGCGGTGGACCAAGCCAAGCATGGCGGAAGGGTGGAAATCCCTGCCCAGCTGCGGCGCAGAACAAGCAGTAGCGAGACGGGTTTTCTCCTCGAGCGGGATTTAACGGACGGGCAATTGGTGCACGCCGTGCTTCTTCGCAACTTGCTCAGGCAGCCGGCGAAGGAGGCGGCGAGAAACCTGCTCAAGCGGCTCTCCATCACGCCGAATGTGAAAACGGAGAAGGAGAGGAGCTTCGTTCTCGTCTCCAGCGCGCCGAAAACGAGCGATTACTTCGAAATGATCCGCGGCCGGGTGTTTTCACATCCGGAGCAACAACTTGTGCAATATTTAATCGAGCTATCTCAGTACAACTGCTTTTTCGATATCGAAACACTGATCTTCTTCTTCCGCCCGAGCGATAGCGACCCAACGAAAAAGGTAAAAATAACAGCAGCGCTTTGAATAATAACTCCTTGAAACAAACAGAGCATTTCTTGCGTTGGCCGCTTGGGCTCAAATGTTCGCCACGATTTCCTCTTCAACCCTTTCTCTTTCCAAACCTCTTGCTTCATCGAATTCGACGTTTTCTCGTGCTTCGACTTCACGCCCTCCCTTCCCGAACTGTCACTGTATTCCTCCGGAGATAATCTTGAGCAAATCCACGGTAAAGCAACACTTTCTTTCTAGACTAGAACAAACTAACTTTGTTTTAAAACTAGGCAAAAAGCTGTTGAAAGCGGTTTTGAGCGCATCGCAAAAGTCGGAAAGCGCGCTTTTCCACTTGGCTAGATGCACGGATTATTTCTCAAGAACTGGGAACCAAAAACTTCAAAAAATGACGCGTCAAAAACTAAGAAAAACATCAGAGAATCAAGAACCAAGAATGAGAAATCAAAAATTCTAACTGTTGCTTCTTCTTCATTGTCTTCCAAAATGCGGCTTCCGAAAAAACTAAGGGTATACTTGTAGTATATCGTATACTAAAAATACGCGGTTTTGCTCAGTCTTTAATTCTACTCAATTTCAACCACGGAGAAAGTTAAAACTTTCAGAAATAAAATCGTCACTAACGAAAATTCACTTCAGAATCCAGTTCATTATTTAACTAGTACAGTATTACTTTTATTACTCACATTCTTATTTAGAATTCACTTACTATCGACTGGGCTCGGCGACCTGTGAAGAAAACCTGAGTCAGGGCCTGAAAGATGCTTACATTTTATGAAAAGCTTTTCCAGAAACCTGACTCAGGTTTTCTACACAGGCTGCTGAGCCAAGACGAAGATATTTGTTCTTTCCTTCAAATTTATTTATTTGATACTATCATCGTTCATAGCTTCCATTTTCGATTATAAATAACAAAAGATGGCATTTTAAGAAAAAAGACGATTGATCAGTGATGCATTCAAAGAAAATGCAAAGATGGGCAAATTCGATCGGGCGATCTAGATAGCATCAGTTGCATCTTTTTTTGCCCTGCTTTTTTCTCTTTTCTGTTTTCTTGGTTCAAATCAAATTTTGAAAATGGTGACCGAACTGAGAGACGTCTCCAACTTGCTGCAAAACTTGGAGATTGGGAATGCCAGAGTCGAGGACTCCAAATGCTCCAAATGCAAGGGCGACTTCAGACACCCGCTAGAAATGCCCTGTCGCCATATTCTTTGCTTCCCCTGCGTCGTTGCCTGCTGCACGTAAGTTTTGTTTCGCATTAGTATTTTCCACTTTCTATTTTTCAAGAAAAGCGTACGCTGAAAACATCGTCTGTCCTTCCTGCCATTCAAAGGTCACCTTCCCACTTGGCTCGATCAAAAATTTGCCGCCGATTCTTGACACGCGCCAGCAAAGACTCTCGCCCGAAGAAATTGATGCTATTTTGAGTAAGTTCAATTTTCTTTGTTTCTTTGTTGATTTCAACGATTCAGAACAGGCGAGTCAACGGGTCAACCCGCGGCGCGTGATTGAGCTCGATGGAAGCTTCGTCGAAGATGAGTCGTTCGAGGTGATCGATGACGATAATTCTGATAGCGAGGATGGCGACTCCATCGCGATTTTGAGCGGCTCATCGTTTGAGGAGGAGGAGCCAGAAGAATCTGAAACCAAAACTAAAACAACAACGGAGACGGAGACAGAGTGAGTCCCACTTTCTTCATTACTTACTTCAATAACGAAATGTTTAGGAGCCGAGTGTTGTCTGATCTCAGCGAAGCTTCATCCTACGAGCAGCCCTAGAACTTCTCTTTCTTATTTAACTTCAATTCGAAATTGCGATCACTAAAATTCCCAATTCAATTCACTTTTACTCCTAGTAGATTCATTCACTGTCCTAAAAGATTAAGATTACTGCCACGAAGTTCAATAAACAAAGCTTCACATGTTTTATTATTTTCCGAGAAAAAATGATTTTTTTGGAAAGTTGAATTTTGGTGTTGAGGGTTGCTGTTTAGATGTCGCTCTCGGTGGACCGGGAGACGTTCTATCGGCGCATAAAACGGCTCTACGCCGGCTGGAGTAAAGAGGGATCCAAACTCAGCGAGGCGGATGCGGTCATCATAGCTGTCGGTAAAAATGACGAGGATCAATACAGGTAAACAAAAGGGCGAAAATTGAAGCAGTGTTATATTGTGACCGTTCAGTAAGTCGGTGACGACTCAAATCTGGCTGATGGGCTATGAAATGACAGATACAGTAATCGGCTTCACAAAAGAAAAGATGGTCGTTATCACGTCAAAAACAAAGGCCGAGTTCCTCCGTCCAATTATCGACGGAGCAAAGGCAAGTTCTTTTTTACTCTTTTCTTTTTATTTTTCTCTAATTCCAGAGCAGCGAGAACGCGGATGGAACGCCAGAAGTGACTGTACTCATCCGCAGCAAAGAGGACAACACGGAGAACTTTAAGAAGTTCTACGATGTGGTCAATGGCGACACAATCGGCTCCTTCACGAAAGAAGCCTTTGCAGGCCCGTTTTTCAGCCAGTACAAAAAGGACTTCAAAGTCCGGGCCAAGAAAACCGTCGACATCTCCGGTAGATTCCGATAAATTTTACTCATCTTTGATTTATTCGCGTTTTTTCAGTTGATGTCGGCATCATTTGCGCAGCGAAGGAAGAGCACGAAGTGAACTCGATGAAGAAGGCGGCGCGATTGACGACAGAAATCTTCAAAGAAGTCTACAAAACCAACTTGATGGAAACGATCGACGCGGACAAAAAGATTCGCCACGTGAAAATGTCTGCTTTGATTGAGGACTCGCTCAAGGACCAGCGAAAGCTGCTCGGAATCGACCCTCAGCATGTGGAACCTTGCTTCACGCCGATCATTCAGTCTGGTGGAAACTACACGTAAGACCTTTGTCGCCTTCTTCTTTGATAGTCAATTAACCTGCGTTTAGTTTGAAGTACTCCGCTCAATCGGATAAAGAGTACATCCACTTCGGCACGATCATTTGCTACTTGGGCATTCGATACAAAAACTACTGCTCGAACATGGCGCGCACGATGTTCGTCAACCCCAGTGACAAACAGAAGGAGATCTACACGACGGTAACTGAGTGCATGGATCACATCATGGAGAAAATGACGCCGGGTACAAAGCTTTCAGAGCTCTACGAAGCGGCAAAGAGCTTCCTGAAAAATAGCAAGAATCCAGAGCTGGCTGACAAGCTCGGCAAAAACATCGGATTCGGAATGGGCATCGTATTCCGAGAATCAGCCCTTGTCATCAGTCCAAAGGTAAGTTAACTCGTTTTCCGGAGAGCGACTCAGAATTGAATTCTTCAGTGCGACGAAACACTTAAAAAGGGAATGGTCTTCAACGTGAACTTGGCCTTTCCAGACTTGGAGAACGCGGAAGGAAAAGACGAGAAGAGCAGAAAGTACGCGATCTCGCTGGCCGAAACTATTCTAGTGCAAGATGGACCCGTCGTGAATCTGACGGCAGCGAACAGGCGAAAGACGAAAAACGTCTCGATCTACATCAAGGAAGCGTCGGACGATGAAGACTCAGACGACAACATTCAAATGCCGGAAAAGGCGATGGGCCGTGGAATGCGCCAGACAAGCTTGGCATCCAAGTAAACCTTTCTCTTTGATTGATTCTACCCTGTTTTCTAGCAAGCGAGATCATGACACAGCTGAAAGTCGGCGAAAGATGAACCAGGATAAACTGCACGACCAGTTGAATCAGGAAGCGAGGGAACGAATTCTCGAAAACAAGGATGGCAAAAAGGAGGAAAAACGAAAGAAGACCAACATTTCTTACAAGACCAGTGAAGGGTTCCGAATCGATAAAAGATGACAAGAAAGGCTAGAGTAGTCATTTTTTAAGTTTAAAATGAAGTTTTGAAATAGTGCGTAACCCAAAGCGCAGCGCTCATTTTCCAGTCGAGCGGGAAATCAGAGACGGCAAAATATTTATCGACAAGAGGTACGAGACGCTCATCATTCCATTCTTCGGAATGGCCACTCCATTCCACATCTCCACGCTGAAGAACTGCTCTTCTTCGATCGAAGGAGACTACACCTACCTTCGTCTCAACTTCTTCGTCCCTGGCTCGACCATTTCGGCGACGAAGAGTAACACCGACGGGCCCTATCCCGAATCTGCCATTGACGTACGAACTAACACCCTTTTTTCAATAAAAATTTGTCTCTTAGGGATCGTTTATGAAAGAAGTGACATTCCGGGCTCCAGGACAAACTGGCGCCGCGACCAACTTAAACAACGCCTTCCGAGGACTCAAGGAGCTTCAGAAGAAGTTCCGAGCCCGAGAAGCGGAAGCACGAGAGCGAGCTGGAATCGTAACGCAAGACAAACTCATCCTCAATCAGAATCGTGGAGCGCCCAAACTCAAGGATCTCTACATGCGTCCTTCGATCTCGCAGAAGCGAATGCAGGGATTCCTGGAAGCACATACAAATGGCTTCCGGTACACTGCGCAGCGAGGAGACAAGTGCGTATTTTTGGACTTAGAAAAAAGCTAACTGCTCGACTTTAGGGTTGATATTCTGTACATGAATATCAAACACTCGATCTTCCAGCCCTGCGACAAAGAAATGATCATGGTCCTCCACTTTCATCTCAAAAACGGAATCATGATCGGCAAGAAGCGCCACGTCGACGTCCAGTTCTACATCGAAGTCGGCGAAATCACGACCGACATCAACCGAACGAGCAACCTTCGTGACCGAGACGATCTCTACGCCGAGCAGCAGGAGCGTGAGCAGCGCCATCGTCTCAAGACTGCGTTCAAGAACTTTATGGAAAAAGGTAAAAATGGAAAAATCTCTCGCCAACAGACTTATGTTGCTTAGTGACGCACATTACTCGCGACATGGACTTCGACGTGCCCTTCCGCGATCTTGGCTTCTCTGGCGTGCCCCATCGTTCCACCTGTCTTCTCCAGCCAACCTCCTCCGCTCTTGTTAACGTAACAGAGTGGCCTTCCTTCATCGTCTCGCTGGAAGACGTAGATTTCGTCCACTTTGAGCGTGTCTCCTTCTCGCTCAAGAATTTCGACATGGTGGTCATCTACAAAGACTACGCGCGCAAAGTGAGCTCCATTACGTCGATTCCGATGACTTCGCTCGATGCCATCAAAGGTAACTGATTAATTTATCACTTGCGATTGCTTAAATTAAATCTCAGAGTGGCTGAACTCTTCGGACATCCGCTACACAGAGGGAGTTCAATCGTTGAACTGGGGCAAAGTTCTCAAGACGGTTCTCGACGATCCTGAGGGTTTCTTCAACCAGGGCGGTTGGGACTTCCTGAAGGCGGACGACAGCGCCAGTGAGAGTGAGGACGACGACGAGGACGAGAACTTCAAGGTGGACACTCAGAGCGGCTCCGACGAGGATGATGACGATGACGACAGTGACAGTGACTCGTACGACTCGGAGACAGAGTCCGACAGCGGTAGCGACGAGCAGAGCCTCGGCAGCTCGGAAGAGGAAGGAATGGACTGGGACGAGCTGGAGAAAGAAGCAGAACGGGAGGACCGCGGCAAGCGATACGACGAAGACGAAGTAAAATTCTCGCTTTCTCTTCTTTTTTCATCAAAACACATTTTCAGGACCGAGGCGGCAGCAAAAAGCGAAAAGGAGACAGCTACGGAAACAGTTCTAAAAAGCAACGACGACGTTGAACTGCCAATTAATTGAAAATTGAAAGAGATATTTTTATTTTTTTGAGCTACACATTTAGTATAATCCTGTCATTTATGGCACTGAGTTAGAAAATTTATTTTCACTGCCACTTTGCTCCATTTAAAGAACCCAACAAATGATAACTTATTCAAGCGTTTCTTTCTTTTCAGGATGTTTCGCCAGCAGGATCCGAACGATCTGCAATATGTTCGGCGAATAACGACTCCACACTCCAAGGAGATAAAGTACGTCAAAGCTGAGCCAAATGAGGTGAGAGAGATGAGAAATGGTAGATGGAATCGGAAAATACTCTTATTTTATTTCAAATTAAAAAATTGGCTATTTAGGAATTTCATCGATTCTTGGCGGAGCTGCAGCCCAACGACATTCACACAATCGATTTCGAAGAGCATCTTAATGTTTACTCGAAAGGGGAAGCGGTGGGCACGGTCGGGATCAGCGTCGACCTGCGGGTGGAAGACAACATCATCCAAATCGAGGCGGAGACGAACATTGAGGCAGCGGGGATGGAAAGCCGCCAGCAACTGCTTTGTAATTTGACGGCGAAGCTGGAGCTGCGTTACGAAAAACGCATCGAAGAAACCCTCCAGTTCGAGAAAACGACAGAGATCAACTACTTGACGGGGAAGGGATACAAGGTCACTCAGACGACGTATTTCTTCGACAGCGAAACTGAGCAGAAGTCGGAAATGTTCGTCAACGTCGAGAAGTGGCAGCACATCTTGTCCGAGGGCGCCTGCGTCGTTTTACAGAGACTGTTGCCGAAAGTCGGCGTTTATGAAATCGAGCTGCCGTATTTAGGTAAGAACGAGGCATCTTTATCAAAAAATGCAGGGATTCATTTTCAGATGTGGATGCAAAACTCATCTCGTTATCGTCCCTGTCATCGTTGGGCCACGGAAAGCAGAAGATCAACGAAAAGGAAGTCGAGGTTGTCGGCATCCGAAGATCGACACAAACCGCTTATGGAAAGAATGTAAGACAGCGCGCCTTGTAAAGTTGTGACGATAAATTTAGTCTTATAGATTGTGGCTCTTCGAGGACGGGCACATTTGCGTGCGAGAGACGGACCAGGGAGAGCTCCAGGCGAAGGTATCCGAAGTGCCAACGCTGGTGCAGGATAAGGAGGACAAGGTGCCGGAGTTTCCGGAGAAGCGAATCTTCTGGAGAGACGATATCATGCTCAGATCAGAGTACAGACAAGTAAGTTCGAGTTCTTCTCTTCAGGAAAGTAGTTGCTTTCAGAAAGCAGCGGCGATCCTTCGGCAGAACCAGCAATACCTGACGGAGAATCCGCAAATCGTCAGTGTCGTGCGCGACTTCTACACCGCAGTCATCACCGAAAAGCCAGAAGACATTTATGCCTTCGCGCGCGAGCACTTTTCCGCCTTCCAAGAACAGTAGTTTCCCCAATCCTTTTCTTTATTTTTATACAGTGTACACTCACCTTCGAGAAAAAAATATATTTTTATAAAAAATCGAAAAAAAAACATGGTTGTTTTCAGATTTTTCAGCATTTTCAATTTTCTATGTTGTAAGCTTGTCGATGCTGGTAATACGTAGACATCGAAATGGCGAATTTGTGTTCGAGGAGAGGAGACCTCCTCAGAACAATCTCCTCACGCTCGTCATCATGGCCCTAATGTTTCTATCCTTTCAGGTGTTCATCTTTCATTTTTCCGATTTAACGCTTTTCCAAGGCCAATTTGCACCGGCACATGCAAGCGCAACAAGCTGGCCATGCAGGGCACGCCTATCACGAGCGAAACAAGTACGGTGGCGGCCAACAGCGCAATCTGCATCCAAAGTTCCATCACAAACTCGAGCAAGAAGTGCCCATCAAAGTCAACGGCACCCTCCTCGTTGGCGTGAGAAAGGAAGATCGCAAACGCTATCTACCGGATAAAGATGCCAATTTCTTGTGTCTCGATGGAAAACAGACCGTGAAATTCGAAAAAGTAAAGAGCTCATTTTTTCGTTTTTCTGTAACTTATTTGGTGCTCTAGGTCAATGACAACAATTGCGACTGCGAAGATGGCAGTGACGAGCCGGGTACTTCAGCGTGTGATTACCACTTTTACTGCGAGCCAGAACACAGGTTCGTCCAAATATCTGCTGAAAATTGTTGATTTCGATTGATTCTAACTCGGTTGTTCAGGTATATCCGCTCGAAATTGGTAAACGATGGGGTGTGTGACTGCTGCGATGGTTCTGACGAGTGGAAGGGGCTAGAATTGTCGGAAGAAAACAAGCTTCCGAGACAGGGCGAAAACGTTCGCTTCACTCCCTGTTCTGATGTGTGTTACGATTATGAGCTTCAAGAATCTGCCAGACTAGATGTTATTGCACAAGGAAAAGAGCTAAAGGTTCGTTTCGCTGCTTTTTCGATCATTATAAAGGCCCCGTTTAGGAAGAATATGTAAAAGCTGCTGAGCACTTGGAGAACGTAGAAAAAGCAAACTACGGTCCAAATGGCGAGTTCTACAAACTCTCCCAAATCTGCCTGACGTACCGAAGTCCCTCTTATGTGTACAAACTGTGTCCTTACTCTGAAGCAAGCCAGGACGACGGAATGAAGGCAAATCCGCTCACTTTAGGAAAAGGCGGTGTCCTCAACCTTTCTGATCCAAACTCGCCAAAGGTAAATAACATCACTTCGAAAACGATCAAGTGTTCTATCAATTTTTAGCTACTGATGCCGAACGGAAAGGGAGACGGCTGCCCCAGCGGAATCTCCAGATCGGTGGAAGTCAATTTTGTCTGCGGCGTGGCGGATGAAATCTCCTACGTCAGTGAACCCTCTACCTGCCTTTATCGCTTCGATCTGACCACTCCAGCCGCATGCTGAAAAGTTCTTCCGTCCTTTTTTTATTTTTCTTACGCGTCTTCTTATTCTGATAGCAATCTACTGCAATTTCTTCATTCAATCAAATACAATTTATCCAAAAACTTATTTCACTTCCTTATGCTTCCCCTAAGAATGGAGAAAAGAATACTCTTCGGCTTCGCTTCCAAGGGAGGCACAGGAGCAGCCATGGCGGAGGAAGTCTACGCGTTGGCCTCGGAAGCCGTTGATGATTCTGTGGACCTTGTTTTGCCGGATGAACTCAATAATCTCGCGGGTAACTCTTTTTTCTCTAAAATGACTTTACGATGAATTACCATAAGAATTTTTCGGGCAAAAAAATTTTTTTTGAGATATTGGTATATTCCGATAGCCCGTAAAAATTTATACAGAATGACCAAATTCTAGGGTCAGATGACGTCATTATGACGTCATCGGGCTGATTTGAAAATTTTGTCTTTGGAACGCTTTTTCGAGCCGAAAACGCTTTTTAATTTTATTTTTCTCGACGGATTCGGATTTTCCATGAAAAACTACGTAGGAACCCGGGATCAAACCATTGAATATCAACCATTACCGACCGGTTCAATTTTTGAAACCGGTCGGTTCGAAAAATAAGCCTCGGGTCCCTACGTAGTTTTTGATGGCGAACAACATGCCATCAATAGAAAAATCTATTTCCAGCGAAAACCGCCTCAAAAAGCGTTCCAAAGTTTCATTAATTTGGAGCCTTTTCGGACATTTATTCATTATAAATGACGTCATAATGTCGTCATTGAGCCCTAGAAATTTGGGAATCGACTAATTTTTACTTGGGCTTTCAGAATATGTTCTTATCTGAAAAATTTTTTTTTCGGACAAAAAATTCTTATGGTAATTCATCTTACTAACATTCTCTAACAGAAAGCGTGATCAGCGAAACGATACCGACTCTTCTGGTCGTCATTGCGTCCTCGACTGGGCAAGGAGAGCTCCCTCCGAATGGTGCCCAGTTTCTTTCGAAAATCGAAAAAGTAGAGAAGCTGCATCAAACTGACTTCTGCATGCTCTGCCTTGGCGATTCGAACTACACGACGTTTATGGACGGACCGCACGGGCTTCTCAAAGCGATGCTCCGCGCTGGCATGAGACTTGTCGATCAGATTGTCGAAGCTGACGATTCGAACAACGATGCTTTTGCGGATGCCACAGACAAATTCATCGAAGGCATCGAAGGTCTCGTCAGAAAATGGGTTAACAATGAGCTCACTCAAAGTGTCGAGCCAGTTTTCCATCCCCTCTCGAGCACCAGTCAAAAAGCCAAGCAAGCATCTCAGTACGACGCAGTTATTGAGCTGATTCGTAGAAGCGATCATGTCGCCGCTTCAACCGCCTTGAAAATACCGAAAATGCCAGAACCAGCGTTTGAAATAGCTACCGACGATTCTCAGGAAACCTATTCTCCTCCTAGAAATTTTTCCGAGATTCAAAATGGTGCAGCTTTTGAGCCAGTTTCGTCGCCAATTTACGAATGCACGGTACTCAATGGCAAGCGGCTAACCTCGGTTCAAGCGGAAAAACAAGCCTGGGAAATCAGCCTTTCTTTGCCAGAGAGCACCCGCTGTGGAAGTGATAACGGGCGAGAGTTGCATTGCGGCGATTGCGTGGCACTATTCACGCCAAATGATCCAAAAGAAGTGGAGCTGGCGATGAAGGCATTTGGAGGGACGGACGTTGCTGTCTTCGCAAAAGGGGGAAAGAGACCAAGCTGGTTTCCCGAGCGCGCCAGTCTCAAAAATCTGCTAGAGTATCACGTGGAACTCCGCACGCCCGTTTCGAAGACCATGCTCGGCCATTTAATGAATAGCTGTACTTCTAGCGACGTGAAAAGACGCCTTGGAGAGTTTGTGAGTCGTGAAGGGAAGGAGATTTACCGCGCATTGCTCGACAATCAAGTTACATTCGTCGACTTGCTAGTGGCCTTTCCCCAGTTGAGCCCAAAACTGTCGATTCTCGCCTATCTCAAAAGACTGCAGCGGAGGTGGTACTCGATCGCCAACTGGATCGACTACTCTCAAGCTGTCGATTCAAGAGTGATAAGAATCGCTTTCACAGAAGTGTCGCTTCCAAAACCAGGCTTGATGACGAACCAATTGGCGCGGATCATCGACAATTTGAAGGAACATGAGGCTGGTGATCTCCCTTTTGGTCCCTGTAGAAATAAAGTGATTTTGGAATGCCGAGATCCGCCCCCAAACATGTTCCGTTTAGACGAAACGCCAAATGTGCCGATTCTGATGATCGCGGCTGGAAGCGGAATTGCACCCTTCATCGGCTTTTTGGAAAAAATCGCAAGCATTGACGGAAAAGAAGCGAGCCTGATTTTCGGATGCAGAAATGAACATTCGCACATCTACAAAGATTCGATGCAGAAACGACTAGAAGAAGGGACGCTCAAGAATCTATGGATAGCGATGTCGAGGGAAGGAAATAAAAAATATGTGCAGGATATTCTTTTAGGAATGTGGTTCATAAATGAAAGTTAAAAAAAATGAAGGAAAATTAGATTCCTGATTTTGCTAACAATGTTGATTTGTGAACCTCAAAAAGACGAGAAGGATTATGTGAAAGAACTATTAGAGAAAAACGGTCTAATATACATTTGCGGCGATGCCGCTGGAATGGGAATCGGCATTAGAAATTCACTTGTTGAAATTCTCGGTGACGCAAAGTACTGGGAATTGATGAAGAACAAGACGATACGAGAAGACTTGTGGAGATGATTTTCTTTTGTGAAATCCTTCGTTTCTATATTTCATTCCTTCTTGTGCTAATTATATTTAATTTCATTGATGAAAATAATGGAAATAAACAGAATCATCATTGTTCAATCATTTTCGATTTTTTTGAATTATGATCAAATGAACTTTGTGATGATAGAGTTGAGCGAGAGCCGTTACTAACGACATATTAGATCTGATAAGATTGGCAGGGTGCTACCGCTGCTTTCGCATCGCATTCAGTTAGTCTAAACGGACAGCGACATGCCACTTTGATTCTGTTTTTGCAGAGAGAGTTAAGCCGAAATTTTCAGTAATGGAATCGGTCGAGCTTGATAACTGGTCCTTAATTTGGGACAGGACAAACGAATGGATTCAACTAAGAGGAATCCAGGGCGAGTACGAAATCGAGACGACGCCAGTTGAATCTGCACATGGAAGTCATATCATCAGGACTGGAAATACAGAGGTGAGAGCTTTTATCGTTCTTCTGAAATCATGGAAGACTTTAGTATACGCTGGGGGATCCAAGCAAGAACGCTGAAGACTGGCTGGTCCCGGACGATATTCGACGGCGATTCATAAAAGAGGGATTTCCGAAAGAGTGGGTCGCCATCATCGTTGGTCTGCAAGAACGCCGCGTCACTCGCCACACGCCGAAAAGAGAAACCGGCCGTCGTCAGCAACGAGAAGAACTCGACACAAGACGAATCGGCTTGTCTGCAATCGAGCGAGAACGAGCGCACAAGTTGGAGAAGATCAGAGCGTTGCAGAAAATGGACAGCCATGATGGAAGATCTCCTCTGGTGAACATTCCCAAGCCGAGGAAGCGAGTCGCTAAGAAAGTTCCCGTCAAAAAAGCTGCCCCGAAAAAGACGAGCGCGGTCAAAAGTGTCGAAAAGAAGAAAAAGAAGCCCACTACAAAAAGTAAATCGGCAGGTCGGGGTTCCCTCTTGAATTTTGAAAATATTGAACCAATAAGAAGCAAAATAGATTTAGCATTTATCGAAAAGAGAAAGATAAGGGAAACCCTTGGCTAGAAAATGATTCGCCTGAAGCTGACGCTAAAGAAGAGGAAAAGGAGAACACTGAGACGACTCCTGTGCCCAAGAAAACGCGTGGGAGGAAAACTTCCGTGAAGAAAGTTGTGGCTGCTCCGAAACCGAAGAGTTCTAGCAGAGCCAAAAGTGCAGGGGCGAAAAAACGCACTCGGAAAAACTCGAGTAATGAGGAGAAGATCGCAGCTGAAAAGGAGGGGAGAGAGAATGCACCGTCGCCAGCGAAGAAGGCCAGAAAACCGAGATCAAAGAGCGCGCCGGCGAAGAAGAATGCGAGAAAAAAAGATGTTGGAAGTAAAAAGACGCCGAAAAAGACTGCGAAGGAAAAGGAGAAAGAATCGACGGATCCTTTGCTTTCGCCTGATCGTCCTGCTGGGCAAATGACGGCAGCACTACGGCTGGAAGGTCTGCCAACGCCGACCTTCAAAACTAACGAAAAGAAAAAAGCGAAAGCTAAGGCGCCAACCCAAAAAGAAAAACGAGAGCGTCTTCAGCGACTTAACGAGTTAAACAAGGTTGAAAAGCAGGTGATCACGCCCGTGCGAAAGCCAAAGGACTTTGTACCAGAGTGTGAGTCTGACGAGCGCTTTGGCAGTCCTCAAGTCGGCGGCAAAGAAAACCATGACCCATTTTCGACGCCTGCTGCGAACCGCGGTAATCCAAATCGAGGCTTTCAGACTCCAGCGATGGGCGCTTTTGCGACGCCCGGTGCGAGCTCATCAGCTGGCTCTCCTTCAGGTTTCTCGTTCTTCAAGAATTTACCAATTACTATCACCAAATTCAGGCTTCAGATTCCAAACACCAGGCGACGTGGACTTGAACACATCGAAAAAGTTCACGAGAACTCCTACCGCAAACATTTCCAAAAAACAAGCAGCAGATCGAGTTCGAAATGCAGAATTCATCAGAAAAGAAATGGTAAGCTTTTCCTTCAACAGAAAACACATCTTCAAATCTAAATTTCAGGAGAGAAAAGGTCTGGAAGAAGACCTGTTTGACGTCAAAAAGGGCAAAAAGCGCCGCGGACTTTCGAAAAAAGACCGAGTCGAGATGAGCGCTCTTCTTCCCGTCGAGGAAGCAGGCCCGGACGAGGACGAAACTGATGAATATTTCTAAGGGACAATGGTCCCGCCTTTTCTTTTTCCTTTCTTTCACATGTTTGCTTAACTTTCACCATTCCACATTTTCGCTACACCATTCTGCCCGTAAAAACAATATTTTCACAACCACTCAATAAAATATCACTAAAATATCACTTGAATGCCGACTATTTACTGACTTTGCAATCATGGAAGAGTAACTTATTTCTGGACTTTGAGCTTTGACAATTTTCCAAAATGCGAGTTATAATAAAAAATTTCACAGGCTTCGTCGTAAAGACGCAACGATGATAAATCGTTCAAAGCCTCTTGTTGTTTGTTTGTTTCCTTTATTCTATTTACGAGGCGAGGCCGGCGGGCTAACTTAACAAACAAAAAAGGCGTCCTCCGGCGTGGGCGACGTGGCCTAAACCGACCTTATTCCCCTTGACGCGCCCTGAGCCCTTTCATTCACACAAATCATTTAGAGAGAGCGGGACGCACCCAAAACGGCCAAAAGTCGACAAAAAAACCAAGCAGAAGAAGATGAAGTTGTCGGCTCTCTCGATCGTCCTCTCCGTCAATGCGGGCAGAATCGCCGAGCCTCAGAAATCTAAGTTAGACGTATGATCCAATTCATCCTTTCAGAAAAGTACTCTCATCTTTTTAGGAGAAAAAAGAAAAGCTGCAGGAAATAAACGAGCGGCCACTGGTCGCGGACATGGACCGAGACGACCCTGATTACGATCCAGCAGGTATAAATTGTGTTTTTCAGGAAACATCCCCTGGACTGATTTTCTTAACATTCTCCTCTCTAGCATTATGGCAAGACGAATTCAAGACTTTTGACGATCTGACGCACGAGGAAGCGCGCGACAAGTTGATGCTCCTCATTGAAAAAATGGACCGCGACAAAGACGGAGAAGTGACGGAAGAAGAGCTCACTGTTTGGATCCATTACGTGCAGACTAAGTACATTTACGACGACACTGAGCGACAGTGGGAAGAAAACGACACCGACAAGGACGGGCGAATCACGTGGGACGAGTACAGCAAACATACCTATGGATTCCTGACGGACGAACAGATGAATGAGTAAGTCTTGATTGTAGGGATGATTGGATTGAGTTCTTTTTAGGGAGGAAGAAGATGGTTTCTCGTACAAAGCGATGCTTGAGCGAGACGAAAGAAGGTGGAAAGCTTCCGATCAGGAGAAAAAGGGCTACTTGACGAAGGAAGACTTGACCGCCTTCCTCCACCCAGAAGAGTACGATCACATGAAAGAACTCGTCATTCTAGAGACGATAGAAGACATCGACAAGGATGGCGACGGAAAGATCAGTCTCAACGAGTACATCGGCGGTAAGTTTCCCCTTTAATTGTTGACCATTTTGATTTTTATCATTCTGGACCAAGCTGAAATGATTCTCAACATGAGTTCTAGACATGTGGATCGAAGAAGAAGACGGAGAGGAACCCGAGTGGGTGGAAGAAGAGCGCAAGCAGTTCCAAATGTTCCGCGACAAAGACAACTCGGGATTCCTGGAAGACGACGAGGTGCGCGACTGGATCCTCCCGTCCGAGTACGATCACGCCGAGGGCGAGGCACGCCACTTGATCGAGTCTGCTGATTCGGACAAGAGCGGCGCTCTCTCCAAGGACGAAATCCTCGACCACCAGGACGTCTTTGTCGGAAGCCAAGCGACCGGTAAGATCATTTTCCCAATAACAAGTCTAATTCTCGACTTTTAGACTGGGGCGACGCGATCGTCCGCCACGACGAATTCTAAAGAGCATCGCGTCCCTTTTTCTCACTTTGTATACTTTATTTTCTGTCTTCCGTACCAGATGTATCTCATTCTATCGTGCAAACGCAGTTCCTTGACGACCACCGCAGCCGGCCTTGAAAAAAAAAACTTATCACCGCGTTCTTATCAAAAACTCGCAATTCTAAACCTGTGCTTTCTTCAGTTGAGCAATGATTCAACCACCATCACTTTCCACCATCAAATGCCAAGCTTATTCAAAGTAGACACACATGTAACAACAAAGTAGAAGACTCGATTGAAAACAACAACGACTTAATATCAAGCATTACACTTTCCAAAATTGCAAAATAAAATAAAAAACTCGTTCAATTTTAAATTTTCAAATTTGTAAATCGAAAAAAAAACAATAAAAAAGCTCGTCAAGACAAGAAGTGCAAGTTTTTTTTTGTGTTAAGAAAGGCATAAAAGAGAGCAGTTGAAAGATGAATCAGGTCGGATTCAAAAATGCGGCTTCGGGGTTCATCCAAGTGCTGCAGGATAACTGGGTGTTGATTCTCTCGGCGGGCGTGTTGTACTGCGAGATTCGCAACCTGCGACAGAGCATTGAGGAACTTTGGTTACAAAAAACATGAATCAGCAGTGGATTCAATGAGCCCAAATGAGCGTTGTAGAAATTCGCCATATTCAAATCTCTTTGTTTGTAACCGAGACTAAGGACCTATCTCGCTCAATCGACAACTTGAGTGGCGCAAATGCTATCGCTCCAAGACGCTCGAGATCCCTTTCAAATGGTTTGTTCACTCTTTTCTTCCTACTCGCATTAATCACGTCGTTTTCTAGCTTCTAGCAAGGATGATTGGTTCAGTATCAAGAGCGAGGCTTCCTTGGAGTCTTTAGACGACGCGCAGACAGTTATTGAGCATCCGATCAATCCGGAAGACGCAGCTGTCGACGAGTTTCTCAAAGAAGTCGACGAGAAGCACTACAAGTCGGACGCGGGCATCGCCGAAGCCTGGGAGATGATTAAGGACAGAGACCATGCTAGAGATACACAACTGGTAAGATACAACGCCTTTTTTATGTGAGTCTCAAATAAATACTTTTTAGCTGATAAGAAAGACGAGGTCGCAGTGTTCCTTGTATGGGCAGCACAGGAAAAACGGGCCACTTGGTGAAAACTACGAGAAACGAAAGAAATACGCACACCAGGCGCTAGAATGGGCAGAAGAGATTATTCAACGGACTCCTAACGCTTCCGTCGGCCACAGATACAAAGGCAAGTCCAATGTTGAAAACTTTTAAAGACGAAAGATTCAGCTGCTGCTCTTGGCTGTTGTATGGAGTTCTTGGGCGTGACGGAGAAGGCCGAAAAGGGAAAAGTAATAAAAGATTCTCTGAGCGAAGCGCTGAACTGCGACCCAGGCGATTTGAAGGCGCACTACATTCTGGCCCGATGGCATTTTGAAGCTTCGAATCTTCCCTGGGCGCTGCGGGGAGTCGCCTCTAGGATGGGAATGCCGCCCTCCTCCGAAGACGACGCTCTGCGCCACTTCAACACTTCCCTGGGCGGCTCGGGGCACGACAAAGAAGTCCAACTCTATCGCTACAAGCTGCTGACGAAGCGAGGCAACCACGAGGAGGCGAAAGCGGCGGTAAAAGCCGGCCTGGCCCTCCCAATCGTCTTTAACTCCGACCGACCGGTGCACGAAGAGCTCATCAAAATTCAAAACTCTTTCTAGCGATGATTCTTCGTGAAAATGTTAATTTATGATTTCGATTCCGTGATTTTATTCCTCCTCGCCGTGATTCTATTTATTGCTGTCAACGGACAAACAGAGCCAAACTTCTTTCACAAAAGTGATTTAATTAATAATTTAATTATTATTTTATTCTTTTTCGCAATCAAAAAAGGCGCTAATCAGTATTTCCTTTCTACGCTGTACTTCTGTATCTCTAGTAGGGAAAACTATCTCTGTCCTTTCTTTTACGATACACTCACTTATCTTCAATACTGTTTACAACATTCGTTCAAGAGAGAATATTTTGCTTTAGAAAATGGCGGATAATAGCACAGAAGAGGAGCAAACCGTCTGGTGGCTCCGATGGTTAACCAGAGGAGTTGGCACATTAGGTACTGATACTCTTTCAACAGTGAAGAATTGTTCCATCTAAGCTTGTCCAATCAGCTGGCTGGATGGAGGATTTCGTTATCGAGAAAAATCTTGTAGTTTTCACTCTTTCACTTATCGCACTTTTAGGCGCCATCTCTGCTGGAATCGGCGGCGTTTTCATGATTTTAACCGGTTTCCTTCACATAACTTCGATCGTGGCTGGCTGTGTGATGCTGCTCCTCGCCTTCATCATGTGTGTTCTGGAAGCGACGATAATCTGCAGCGGTGTGTCATTCGCCCAGCCTCTAATTCAAAGAATCGACAGCATCAAAAACTGGCACAGGGGCGCTACTTATTGTGGGTGCGTACAACTGCTCTTTTCCTCGCCTTTTTGACGCTTTCTGCTTTGCCTAGATTGTCGGTGATCGCGATCGGTCTGGGCTGGAACTCGATTCTGACGGCGGTGGGTTCGCTGGCGATCCCGTTCGCGTGCGGCACTCTCTACGGAATGATGGCGCTTGGGAAGAAAGGCGACCGCGAGGCGATGATGAACGCCGCTTCTGGCAACAACTACACTCAATTCGACAACGAACCCTGATTGAATCCCCCCTTCTCTCTTTTTCTCGCTTTCTTCTCCAGCAATTTCATGTCGGTGAGTAACTGCATTTGTGGATAATCGTTTCTAACTCGAGTAGTATTCAGACTATCATTCTTCTTTCATCTTGCCTGTCTTGTTCACGAATATTTCCTGTTGACTGCTTTGCACCATTGCCCTCTGTTACCTTCTTATTTTAAGCCGTTGCAACTAGCAATTGTAGTCCGAATATATTATTTGCTTGAAATCGATTCTCTTTTCTTTCAACTACTAGAAGCACAACACAGGATACATAAAAGGAGTCCAAACTACAGAACACAGGAAATAGTTGTCCTAAAAGCAGAGTTTTTTCAGATAGTGACTCTGGAAAAAGGTTCATTTTTCCACATTTTTTTTTCAGCAGCATTTTTAGAATTACAAGCAGGAGAAATTCTTCCTTCTTCAGAATTCAATTTATTTCTTGAGATTTTTTCCTCGCTCAGTTCTTCCAAAAAAGGACATTTTTTTTTCATACGGAATTGTTCAAACATACCAGACAGTCTTCAATAAACTCATTCTTCTATTTTTTAAGAATGAGCAGGGATGTGTCAGGAACCTCAAGGCAGAAAAGAGCATACTCTCCTCTCCAAGAGATGATCAATAGCATGTTAGTGCCGATAGAAGATGACGCAGAGTCAATTTTCGATTTGGATAAGCAGAAAGCTGTGCCCCAATATCAGTTACGGTTTCATTTTTATTGCGATGGATTTTGAAAGCGAGGAGGACATAGAGATAAACGCATTTGATCAAAGTGAAACTCTGCATCAGCCGAAGCGAAGAGCTCTTCGTCCTTCTGCTAAACATCAGCGATCCAAAGCCGCCGAAGCACGACCTCAAGCTCAACGTGTCAATGTCATCCGAAACCATCCTTACCAACGGATGGCCTACCCCCAACCGCGGCAAGGAGGACATTACCAATTCCGACACATAGCTCCGCCGGCAAAAGACTCGCCTTTGCCGCGCCCTGTTCATCAACCCAGGCCTACAACTGGACAACCTCTCCTTCGAAGTATCCTTGAGATACCACAGCAATCCATCCAGCATTCACCTAGCCAAAATGTTCAAGGTCGACCCATTCACCCTTCGCATATGCAGCCACTGCCTATTCAGCGTCTGAGTCAGCCGGTTGTCAACGTTTCCCAAGTACCACGTCTACAAGAACAACAATTCCAGCGCCAGACATTGAAGCGCCCACCAACCCAACCACCCCTTTTTCAGGGCCCACCGGCCCAAAGACCTCTTCTTACAGGCTCAACCACTCAAAGAATCCGTTATCAGGGCCCAACGACCCCAAGAACCCCTTTCCAGAGCAAAAGTATTCCCCAACCGTCCCCCAGCCCTTGCAACGCACTCCTCTCGTGCGAGCAACCCTCAGAGATCAAAATATGAATCTCGCACCCACCCAAAGACTCCCTTTTCAGAGCCCAAATATTCAACACCCAACCGTTATCCAGCCCATGCAACGCACTTCTGTCGTGCGTCAACCCCTTCAAAATCACAATATAAAGCACCCACCTACCCAAAAACCGCCTCTTCAGGGTCCAAATATTCACCCAACCTTTACCCAGCCAATGCAGCGCGCTCCTGTTATGCACTCACCTCTCCAAGGTCAAAATCCTAAGTACCAACTTACGCAAAGGCCCCCTTTCCAGAGCCCAAATAATCATAACCGACCCGTTCCCCAGCCAATGCAACGCGCCCCTGTCGTGGGACCGCCCCTTCAAAATCAAAATATGAAGCATCCAGCTACCCAAAGATCGCCTGTCCAGGGCCCAAATAATCAACACCAGCAAGCCAACCAGCCCATGCAACGCGCTTTCGTCCTGCGACCAAGCCTCCTAGGTCAACATCTTCAACGCCAAGCAGTCCAACGTGCGTCTGCCCAAGCTCAACGCTGCTCTATTAAAAACTGCCAGAATTGCCAGAGCGCCCACCGCCAGCCCATGCAACAACGACCTACGCAGCCAGAGGAAGTGGTATTTTAAAAGTCTGATGTTTCTCTTTTCATTGATCATTTTTGTAGCCCAAAAGCAAATTGGGAGTCCCAATTGTCGGCCCTCGCCTGGATAATCTTCCTCCTGGATTTCGACATGCACCACGTCCGGATTATTCTCAAAAGATGAATCTACCTCTCAAAAGTCCAAGCACAGATCCGAAAAGCAAAAATCGCTTCATACCGCACCCACTAATCTCTCCAGCAAAGCAGGCTCCAAACGGAGCGATAATTCCTCCTGGAGTCGATCGACCCTTCAAGATCATTGTAAGATTGGCACCAATTTTCTTTTGTCGAGCGTTAATTTCAGCCAGAAATTCAGTGCAAGGACCCTTACCAAGCGCCAAACATTGCGGACAAGAAGCAGTGTGGCTATCTTTACGCGGAAACGTCGGTTCGGAATCTGAAAGGACTCGTGGACGGGAATAAGATGCTCTTGTCAGTTCCTAAAGGAGGTCCCCTCCAGGGAATGCCATCCCCACGAGGTGAGTGCCAGACGATTGCAGAGCCGTAAACTGTCTTTTTTCTAGATATTCTTAGAATCGTTCATGCTCAGGCGCCACCAGAGCTTAACGAAAACTTTCAAATTTACATGAAGGCCTTGAAGTCCCATTACCTCGCCTCTCAGGTAACCTTGCCCTCCTCCATGGAGCATTATATAGATAATTTTTTAGGAACGAGAAGCAAAAGAAAAGAAAGAAGAAGAAATGAAGAAAATAAACGATGAAATGATGAGGAAACAGAACGAAAAAGCGATGGCGTCAGGAAACGAGCCAGTATATTTTCCGATAAGCGACCCTGAATCGGAAGAAGAAAGATTGGTTATTGTGGAGGAGGAGGAAGATATTGAGAATCAAGAACCGTTAGATCTCTCCAAGAAGAAATGAATATTTATTTAAATTAACTCTTGCCAAGGTTATTTTAAACTGCCAGTTATCCTCTTTTTTTTCATTTATCAATACACATTTATTTATTTAATTGCTCGCTATCCGAGTGTTGCTTCTTTTTCTAGCAAGAGCTCGCTTTGTTTTTGTTTGTTTTCTTGCAATTATTTTCAATTTGAAAAAAGCAAAAGAAAGAAGTTGTCTGAATCTTCGTCATCGTCCTTGTGGCTGTTGTTGTGCTCGTAGTTGTTGTTGATGTTGCTGTTGGTGGAGATGTCGTAGTTGATTGTGTAGTTGTTGAAGTAGTGGATGCAGTTGAAGTTTAAATCGTCGTACTCGTTGTTGTTGGATTTTTATTAACTGCACTGGCAAGGCATTTTCTCGTCAATTTACAGGATCAATCATGAAAATTACAGCACCAACGCTTGTCATCTTGGAAAGCATCAATTACAGAGCAGCAGTTTCTATTTCCGCCCGAGAAGTGAGTCTGAAATTCGCCCGGGGCGCTCTTCCTCTTTTCGCGCCGCTGATTCGTCTGGACTCGTCTGAGCGCGTGAGCATTTGTTTTGTTCTGTTAGTTTTTGCAGGGAGAGAATGCCAGCTCGCCAGTTCTGGAACTTGGAAACCTGTCCGGTTTTGACGCTTTCCGAAGCGATCAAATGGAGCGACGATTAGGGCTCTAGAATTTTCTCGCGATTAATTTTTGCTCAAGAAAGATTCCTTTCTTGAATTTCGAAAAAATCGAGAGTCCTTCGAAGAGAGAGGCTCCACCAGCGTCCAGTGCAACCTCATCGCAGTCGTCCAAAACGTCACCGGTCCGACCCACAAAGCCAAAAAAGCGGATTCAAAGTCGAGTAAGTCAAAGTCCAATTTCCAACCCCTTCATCTGATTTTTCTAGCGTCGAGCTTTTCGACCGAATGCCAAACGGCGACATCGTCAAGGGCGCCATCAACTTCTGGTCGAACATCGAAGACGAAGTTTGTCCCTGGCTGGCTCCAGCGCTCAAGGGAAGGGTTCTAAATCCACTAGTCGATTTTCGACTAAAGTTGAAGTCGAGTCGAGTCTTAGTCGAAAAGACTAGCAAATTAAGTCGAATTTCGACTAAATTTATCGATTTTTCGAATTTTCGACTAATAAGTCGACTCGACTCGACTCGGGATTTTCAGCTCAGATTTAGAACCCTGCTCAAGGGTGGCGACATCGTTGTTCTCATTGGAGTGTCTGTGGGAATCATCGGCACTAAAATGGGCCCATTCGGCAAAATTCAATACTACGGTGAGCAAAAAACAAAGCATCAGAGAGATAGTTATTTGGTGAATTCAGGGTCGAACCGACGAAGACATGTGCTGGTCTACCAGAATGAGAGTCTTCTGACCAAAGATCCTGTCGCTTTCAAGCTCGGCTCCGCGATGAAGTTTGATCCCCATGATCCCGTGCTCACTGGGAGAAATTTCGCGAGAGAAGGAAAATTCGAGGGTGAGATCTCCAGCCGAGTGGAGAAACTCGTGGAGAAGCACGAAGAAGAGATGAAGTCGGCGAGGAAGAAATTCGTGGTCGGAATCGTGGAAGAGGTCATTTTCAAAAGGCAAGTCGCTTTTTTGATAACAAGGAAGAGTTAACTCTATGTCTAGGATGATAACTCGAACGTCCCGGCTCTTCTCCGCATCAGGATCGGGCTCCTCGGCAACCTGTGTTTAAAACCTGAGTCAGGCTACGCGGATTTTCATTTTAGCTCTCTTTAGAGAACCTGACTCAGGTTTGTGCACAGGTTGTCGAGCCCAGCATCAGGACCAAGGACTTGCTCTCGAAAATCTTCAAAAACGACGCGCCAGAAACCATCAAATTTTTCGAGCAAGAAATTTGGGAGGCGAAGATACAAGAATCCCTCCGCAAACGAAACTGCCGATTAGAAACTGCGCCTCTCAAGAACACCAAGCAGAGTAAGATGATAACTGGGCAAGTCTTTTACCTGACTTTGTCGGATCTGGCGAAAGAAGCGATCCCAGCTCTCAAAGGTAATTCTTGAAGCGATGACAGCTGGGCAACCTGAGTAAAAACCTGAGTCAGGCTCTGAAGGAGCTAATATGAAAAGCCGCGTAGCGGCTTTTAAACACGAAGCCGCAAAGCGGCTTCGCAAATAAACCATGTAGATTTTCTCTGAACTACTGGCTCCTTCAGAGCCTGACTCAGGTTGCCGAGCCCAGGATGCCAGATTGCTCAAGTTTTTTCAGAAAAGCTGAAGCCAGACACATGCATCATCCTCAGCCGCGATTGCATCGAGACAATTCGTGGCGGAAACATGCTCGAGTACCAGATGCGATGGGAAGGCGGCTCCTATCCAGAGGGAGCGATTCAAACAGGTCACCTCAGCGAAATGGCTTTCAACGCTGCTTAGATTTCTTGTCCGACTGGATAAGCCCTAATGTCACTGTCAGCATTTTTTTCACTGTCGAGTAAAAATAAAAATTGAAATCAACGAAGAGATCCACCAACTAAAAATTCTTTCCTTATACAAACATCGAATTTCAAAGCTTCGCTGAACTTGAATAACCTTTCCAAGAGCATTAGCAAATATGAAAAGTCGTTACAGTAACTAACAGCCGTTACAGAAGAACTGATGCAGAAGATGACTCAATTTTAAAAGAGGGAGAGTCATACACGCCCAAGGCCATTTGTGACGTCATTCCGCGTGATTCTGATCGCCTTTTTTATTTTACTTTTTTCCAACAAAAGGAGCCGTGAATTCTACTTTCCTGTCACAAATTCAAAAGAAAGAAAGAAAAAACGAAGAAATCACAGAAAAAAAATGACTTCAGAAACTCAAGAGAAAGTAGAAAAAGAGGATGAACAGACGAAAATTCAGAAGATTTATGACCACACAAGGAAAGATTTAGGAAATTTTACTGGCAGATACTGTATCTTCTGCTGGGCTCGGATACCTGTTTAGAAAACCCGACTCAGTGTCTGAACGAGCTAAAATGAGAAGCTGCTACCTGAGTCAGGATTTGAAAGGGCTATTAATTGTTGCCTTTATTGAATAGCCGCGTTTCGGTTTTTTAAACGCGGCTTTGCCAGAATTTAAAAATTGATTGGAATGCTAATTTTGCGATTTCAAAAGGCAACATAAATAGCCCTTTCAAATCCTGACTCAGGTAGCGGCTTTCCACTTTAGCTCCTTCAGACCCTGAGTCAGATTTTCTACACAGCTTGCCGAGCCTTTGAACTCGCGATGAACTTTTTTGTTTACGGTTTTTGCAAAAGGCGAGTAAGTGACTTTTTGAAGTATCGAATTTCCTAAATCCTGTGAGGATTATAACCCATCGCGAGCAGCGGCTCAAAGTAAACTTCCTGCTTCTAGGCAGCGGCTTCTAAAATCGCAAAATCCTTTATCTTGACTCGCTGTTTTGACACTGAGCTCATATTATGTTCTCATTCGATTTTAGAAGCCCATCGCCAGTCTACTGGTTTCCCGCCTATATCTACGACTACTGGCTTCAGTTTCCCAGCTACGACGGCGTCCATGTCTTTTCCGACTTTCTCTCCAACTGGGGACAGACCATCATTCTTCTTCACTTGCTTTTCTCGCTCTTCATGGACCTCATTCCCGACGAAGACAGGGACAGCTTGAAGTTTTATCACAACATTTTCACGCAAATCGCAGTTGTTCAGGTAACATTGGAATCAATTAAAATTAACTCAGTGACTCCCTTAACTTTTTGGCTCGGCAACCTGAGTTGGAAACCTGAGTCAGGGTTCTGAAACTCAAAATGAAAAGCCGCGTAGCGGCTTTTAAGATCGAATCCGCGAAGCGGCTTTGCCAAATTTGTGTTCAGCTAGAATTTGATCAGTTTTGAATGCTAATTTGGCAAAGCCGCTTCGCGGATTCGATCTTAAAGCCGCTACGCGGCTTTTCATTTTGAGTTTCAGAACCCTGACTCAGGTTTCCAACTCAGGTTGCCGAGTCCACATAAGTGTGTCACTATGTTAAGTATCTAGTAAAATCTAGTTTTTAATAATTTATGCTTATGTCATTAAATTCAGGCTTTCATCGTATCCGCTCTGTTCTGGGGACTACTCGGGGACCGACCGATGGACTGGCAGTCGATCCACGAGCATGCAATCAACGTTATCGTGATGATGACGTCCTATTTTGTCTCCGAAGTGCGATTCCGAAAGGTGTGTGTGTTTTTACGATCTTTTGAGGCTCTCGGTTGAGATTCGCGGCCACAAGGTTGACCAGAACTGCCGTTTTCGTGGCCTCCGCGGTCGCCCAGCGTCCTTTGCCGTGTCATTTTTTGCCAAGGCGGAGGCCAAGAGGTTCACTTTTCATTTCCCCTTTTTAGCGCGACTGTGTGATCTTTTACGGCTACGGGTGGCTCTACATGGCGAACACTTACTGGGCGTATTTGCGAAACCGCGACTCGATTTACTCGATTCTTGCGTGGGGCGAAACTGATAAGCCGAGTACCTTCCCTTGACTACTTTTCAACTGGCTTTCGTATCCATCTTCGGAGCTGCTTCTGTCCTACATGGACTTATGTACGTGGTAAGTACAAGAACATACAGTACCCTTCTTTGATCTAGGATTGTTGATGTAACTTTTAAAATAGAGCTCAAGATTGTCGATTTTCTGAAAACCGAGAAAATCGACAATCTCGGGCTCCATTTCGCAAGTTTCATCGACAATCTTGATCCAAAAAAGTCCCCATCGTCAGTTACAGTCATAACCGTCTGTTTAGATCGACAGAATCCGCTGGCTAGTATACGAACGAGCAGAAAAACGAAACCGCCTGCAACTGGCCATGGCCAAAATGGGCTCATGATCAAAACGAAGCTAATCAATCATTCTTAGGTTTTCTTCCCTAGAAAATTCACAGCCTTCACTTTACCTGCCTTTTCATTCAAAGTTGTTATTAACAAAACGATTAATAATTTAACGCAAATTAGACCTACTAAATAATAATTAAATAAACGACCACTGCTTTTTTGAAATTTTCTTGAAATTGTTGAATTTTTATTTATTAAATTTTAATATCTTTACAGAAAAAATAAAACGAAAGTACGTAGTTGGTATTTTGGGCAAATGAAGTTGAGTAAAGATGATTAAGGGTGTCAACAACGGTTAGGGTTAGGATCATCGTTGTTGACGCCCTTAAACTGGTCTCGGCAACCTGTGTAGAAAACCTGAGTCAGGGTCTGAAAGATCTCTAATGAAAAGAATTACCTTTTCAATTAATCTTTCTGACCCTGACTCTGGTTACCTACACAGATTGCCGAGCCCGGCAAAAATAAGTGTTGTGTTGAGTTAATTGCGGAACCGTCATTTTTTGTTTGAATTGATAAGGCATAAGTTGGATAGAAGGAGAAGTTGAACGGGAGGAAACATTGAAGAAGTTTCTAGAGTCGGCTTTTGCAGGGATTTTTCAAGTTGGAATTAGGAACTAAAGAACACGTCCTCGGCGGCGGAGGAGGACTCGAAGCCGCTGGTGGAGAGCTCCTCCTTGATTGGAAGCTCGGTCAAGTTGTATTTGGCGAAAATACGGTCGCGGACCGCGATGACCGAGGGTGGCAGAGGAAGCTAGAATGGGCGATTATTTCTTGTTCCTCTTTTGTCTACGGCTTACCTTTGGAAGGGAATCGCGGCGGATAAGCAACTCGTGCCAAGAGTGCAGTTCTTGAGAAGTCGGCCGTTTTGATGGAACTTCTTCGCAGCACTAGAATTGAAAGAAAACTGAGACCGCTTGGGGGTTGAAAAGTCTTACCGATCCGGCAATGGCGAAGAAGTAGTTTGGGCACATTTCTTTCAGTGCAAATTTCGTGTAGAACTGGGCAATGTCGACTCCAAAGGAACTTGTGCGCGGGAAAAAGTCTGGATCGGGATCGACGCGTCCGATTATTTCACAGAGGATAATCCCTATTTATAAACCGCGTTAGTGCTGTCTCCGAGAAGACAAGAAGCGTCTTACCGAGAGAGAAAATATCAATTTTGTTATCATAATCGCGCCCGTTGAGCATCTCGGGTGCCATCCAAAATGGGCTTCCGACGCACGAGCGCAGCTGCCGCTTCATCGAGGAAGACGGACGCGACTTTGTCCAGTGTGCCAGGCCGAAGTCGGCAACGACGACGGAACCGTTCTGAAGATCAAATGATTAATTTCAATTTGAAAATTTATCACTTTCACCATACGTCTGGGCTCGGCAACCTGTGTGGAAACCTGAGTCAGGGGTCTGAGCGGCTTTTTTAGCTGTTTCAGGACCCTGACTCAGGTTTTCACACAGGTTTTGGAGCCCAGAGTATATTTGATCTAAGCTCGGCAACTAGAGTAAAACCTGAGTCAGGGTCTTGAAACAGCTAAAAAAACCGTCCGAAACCCTGAGTCAGGTTTCCACACAGGTTGCTGAGCCAAGATTAGAGGGATGAAAACCTTACCTTTTTCAAAAGACAGTTGTTGGAATTGAGATCTCTGTGGGTGATGTTTCTTTTGTGAAGATAAGCAAGACCTGCAGAAATGTCCCTCGCGATTCCGATTCTTTTTGGCCAAGTGAACTCTTAAAATTAGTTTTTTTTCTTATTCGAGCTTGTTTTCAGTACCTTCGGGAGTCACTTTGTTGATTAGTTTTTTGAGCGTGCCGCATTCGATGTATTCGGTGACGAGATTCAACTCCCCGTCGCGGTAGAGGACGCCAATGAAGCGGAGTACGTTGTGGTGTTGCACGCTTCGCAGCACCTTTACTTCCTTCAAAAAGTTGGCATACGCTTCTTGGTCGATCGTCGAGTCGCTGTGCAGTTGTTTTACAACCATCACTTCGTTCGTGTCCCGATGAGTCACCTTGCAATTATCGTGAGAATCAGTTAAACATCAAAATTGTTCATAAGAGTGTCTACTCTCTTTGTCGAAAAAGAAATTCGAATTTCTGAGTCCAAGATTGTCGATTAAACTTCGTTAATTCGAGCCAAAATTGTCAATTTATTGATCAATTGATCTCAAAATCGACAATCTTTGGATCAATTGACGAACTTTAATCGACAATCTTGGACTCTGAATTTCGAATTGCTCCTTTGTTACTGTCCTTTATCTCTTACCTTGACTGCAGTAGCAAAGAAGCCAGTCCCAAGGGTCTCTCCCTTTTCGAGTTCGGCCTCGCGGAAGACCCTGCAAAGGGGGTATCCACTCTTGGTCGTGGCTGCGATGCGCATCGACTCGCTCCTGGATAGATCGCCCGCGTGGCAGCTGTAGCAGCTGTAGCCATCGCCTCTGTTCCCTGCTCTCGAGTGGTTTTGCTGGGAAGAGAGCTCGACCGATGATCGGCGCGTATCGCTGTTGCTGTTCAGATTGCAACTTCGCTGCAGTCTCTTTCGGAGTATCTGGCTGCCAGTTGTCAACGATCGATTGCGCTTCAAAGTCGGCGAGGAAAAGCGCGAGGAGGGAGGAACACCCTCCTTGTCGGACAAATCAGGCTGGAAGCCGGGCAAATCGGCGACCTCGGTCGACTGGGGAATCTGCTGCAGCGAGCGGAAGGGCTCGGGCTCGTCGGATGAGCTCTCGCAGCTGTCCAAGTTCGAACTCGCGTTTTGGATTTGGCGGCTGCGGCTGGCGCGCGACTTGAAGGACGATCCCCTTGAGTGCGAAACATGCAGCTCGCTTTTCAAGTTCCTCTGTAAAACAAGTTTTAACATGACGCTCTCTCTCTCTCTGCTCAGATCAGATTTGAAATGTTGTCTGAAGAGGAAGAATTATTTATAGCGCGAGGGTGCACTATAAATAATTTTACGCAGCCGTAAAGCGATTGCAATTACCCATTGTCGCACAAATGGCAATTTACGCAAACGTAAATTCCACAAGAAAAGAAGACTTACTGCTCTTGCTGCGTCGACGCTCCGCTCGTTCAAGCAGCCCAGCGATGCTGTCGAGGTGAAGACGCTGTCTGAAAAGGGAGGAAAAAGGGTTGAAAGTGGAAAAAAGTGTGGAGATGCCGGGTATCGATCCCGGTACCTCTCGCATGCTAAGCGAGCGCTCTACCATTTGAGCTACACCCCCGTGACGAAAATTCGTTCTAGAGGGAACTATATCACATGCATGATATCAATAATAAGGGTGTCAGTGTGCTTAGTTTTGAAATTAAAAATGATGATTATTGATGCTTATTTATTATATATATTATTATATTATATTATATTATAGATTATTGCTAGTAAAGTCTCAAAAATATATGTTCGAATGGAATATAGATCTACCAATATTTTTTCGATAATCAATTGAGAGCAGGCTTACCATTTGAACTGGGGGTTGAGTCCCTGCGTGCCAAAATTCCATTAACCATGCAGAAATGACAGTGGATTAGGCGCCCGTTCAGCACGAAAAAGGATGAGGAGGGCTGAAGCTTGTATCCGCAGCTAACGCAGCAGAAACAGGAGCAATGGTACTTGCGTGAGCCGAGCGGCTAAATTCAGAAGCTCAAATCACTGCAAATAACTTTGTAGTGAGCTCAATTTGAGCTGAGCGCGCAGAGCCAGCTCAAATCAGCTCAGTCTGAGCAGGCTCAACTTTTTTGGCTCAAACTGAGCTGGACTCGGGAATCTGTGTACAAAATCTGAGTCAGGTTCTGAAAGGCTTCAATAAAAAGCCATTTATGCTTTTCAGAACCTGACTCAGGTTGTCTGCGCAGGCTGACGATCTGAGCTCAGTTTGAGCCAAAAAGTTGAGCCGGCTCAGATTGAGCTGATTGAGCTGGCTCTGCGCGCTCAGCTCAAATTGAGCTCACATACAACTGTATTTTTGAGTTTACTTACAATGAGGTCGTTACTGTCCTTGATGCGCGTTTGGCACTCGTCGCATGTGACCAGCCGCAAGTCTCGGGAAGTGCACTCCTTGCATCTAAAAAAAGAAGGAAGTCTTGTTAATACGACGTCAGAGCCTTGATTGAAATTATCAGCAATTATGACGGTGCCACGCCGTGCTGGAACTCCAATGCTTATCTAATTGATAAATTATTGAGCTGCTTATCTAAATATTTTCATTCTGGGTGAGAAAGCGGCCTGCTGCTACTCTAAACGGAAGAATGCGCAAATTGCTCTTCTTCAAAGTTCCAAATTATGAAATTTTTCGCAGCGACTCTTTTTGCACTCGCCGCCGCCCAGGTCAAAACCTAACCCTTTGCCCCCTAATCGAATTTCCAGGCGCCCTCGCCAACCCAAGCGTGCAACAACTGCATCGGCTTCAACGACGCCGTGCTCAACATGTGCGAGTTGAACGACAAGATGCCCCAGACCTGGGCAAACGAGGTCCAGGCCTGGTGCCAAGCCAACGGAGGCAACAACAACGAGTGCACCATCCTCTACCCGACCTTCTTCACCGGCATTCTCGGCACTTTCCTCAACGACACCGCCCAGGCCCAGTGCGCTGAGCTCACTTATTGCCAGAACACTTACGCCCAGGCTTCTGTCTGTAAGTACTTTTTTAAAGCAAGATCGACTTCCTTTTGAAAAATTATCAAAAATAACACTTCCGTTTTTACTTTTCTTTTCTTTATTAATTTTGTAAAAATTCGTTTTCCTCCAACCAAAATGCTCACAAATGGCTTCCAGCCAATCAAAACGCCTCTTTCAGCTCCCTACACCCCACCAACCCCGATCGAGCACTGCACTCCTTGCCAGAGCTACATGACCGATCTCGCCAACATCGCCAAGGTAAAAGACCCTAACCCTCGTCCGTCCTGAATTCGGAATTGTAGTTCGACCCAACCCACTTCCACCAGATCTACACCGTCGCGATCAACTGGGGCTGCGCTGGACTCCCTAACTTCGAGCAGAAGCAGTGCTACGCCGTAATTACACGCCTCCAATCCCCCCTTGCTAAATCTTAATTCCGGCTTTTAGAAGTTCCGAAATGACGACAACGAGAAATCCATCACTGACTTCATCGCCGGTCTGGACCCCAAGGACGCCTGCGAGTGGCTCTACTTCTGCTAACTTCTTCTTCCAAGGGAATGGATATCAATAATAATCGAGATTTTTCCGGAGACTTTTTTCGTAAAGCTATCATATTGACACCCTTATTTTATTTTCTCAAAAGCAAGTCTAAACCATTATCGAGTTCCCTAAGTTCTGAAGGCCTTAGCCGAAAAAATAAGGGGATACCTGTGCTAAGTAAAAGAGAAAAGTCTGAGGAAAGATTTTGTTATTGATGTCCACCCCCTTAAGTTAACGGAGTATCTTCTGCCTGCCTTGAAAACAAGAGAGCATCATTTTTCTTTTCAAAAGTTTCATTAGCATCATTTGCAAAAATTCTAATTTATAAAATTTTTCTACCTGAACAAGTCTGAACCAAAATAAAACACAACTACGTCCTTACTTTTTCTGCCTGGGCGTTTTCTGAAGCGTCTTCGTCTCCCAAAATCGCTGCTGCTCGCGGAAGCGTGACATTTTCGGAAGCTGACCTTGCCCAGACGAGTAGTTGCCAGAGTCATAATCGATCACCTCGTTTTTCTGGCGCTCGGGCTTCGTCTTTTTAATCTTGCTTTTGCGCGGCTTCCGGCTCCAGATCGAGCTCTGACAAGAGCTTGAGATGTCGTACTCTGACCGCGTCGCCAAGAATTGCTAAAATTAATTAAGATTGCTTTCAAACTTTTAATTTGACTTTTTCAAAGAAAAAATTGAATTATCAAGAAAATCTTCAAGTGACAAATTAAACTTAAAGATCTGTAATGAAAAGCCGCATAGCGGCTTTTTTCAATATGAAGCCGCAAGACGGCTTCGCCAGGCTTTCAAAATTGATAAGAAAGATCATTTTGGGAAGCCGCTACGCGGCTTTGTTTTCAAAAAAGCCGCTTTGCGTTTTTTTCAAGATTTTTCAGACCCGAACTCAAGTTTTTTCCAAAGATTGCTGAGTCAGTATCTTCACTTTAGAAAAAGAAACCGCTTGTAAGATGATGCTTCTATTAATCTTTCAGCGCGTCAGTGGCTTTTTACTTTCTTTCAAAATTAATAATAAGTTGCCCAGAGTCTTTTCTGTGCATCTTTTTTCTTAGAAAAAGAATAAGAAAAGAGTGAATCCTCTTTTCGCGTTTTTAGAAAAGGCTGGTACCGAGCCTCTCCTCTTTTTCTTGTCTTTTGAAAATGAAACATGGAATGTGAAACTTACATTGACATTAATGTCCGCGTGGCCTCTCTCTTTCAGGCGCCAGAAGCGGAACAGATCCGAAAACTTCATTTCTTATCTTCTTCTTCTTTTATTCTTGCTGCGCATGTTCTTCTGCTTCTATTCATTTTCTGAATGAAGAATGCTTTAGTTCTCCTCGCATTCCCTCTCTATCGCTGCGGGGCAAAAAGAAACTCAAGAATAAATTTCGCTTTTTTCAAAAAAAAAATCCCAAAATTCCAAATTGACCCTGACTAAGGTTTTCCACACAGGTTGCCGAGGAGCCCAGCGCCTTTTCTGATAATTTTTTGTTTAGATCGTAAACTCGATTACTCCTTAGTTGCCCGTTAGGATCTGGACTAGTCTTCTTCTTCCTTGTTTACGGGAAACAAGAAAGTGAAAGATGAATTGGAGCTCTTTTTTATGTGGCGCGGTTTTGATTGAATCAGGATTCGAGCTCCTTCCTTGTTTGAAATCACAATTTTGAACAGTTGTTCCGTTCTTCCTAATTACTAAAACCAAAACAAGACCAAGAAAAAAGCTAACTTCGCAGCAAATTCAAACACGCTCTTCCCTTCCCTGGCCTCGGCAGCCTGTGTAAAAACCTGAGTCAGGGTCTGAAAAATCTCTGATTAAAAATCTTTCAGACCCTGACTTAGGTCTTCTACACAGGTTGCAAAAAAAACCTGCGGTTTCCCAAAAAACCATCTTTATTTCTTTAATTCCTGACTCAGGTTTTCACACAGGCTTTATTTTTTTCTTACCTCCTTTTTCTTGAGCATGCATCATTCTTCTTTTTTCTTCAATTAATAATATCTTCACGCAAATCTCTTTGAATAAAACAATTAAAAAACGACAGTTGTTGATTTTGTATGAGTTGTCGCTGCTCTTTTTTTATGTAAATCGGGTATTTTGTGGCGATCTTTTGCGCGCAAAAAAGGGAGGAATCGGTAAACGATGAAAAAGTGCCCAAGAGCGCCCTCCGCAGCGCGTCATACCCGTCCCAAAACGCGATGGAGAAAAAGACACGGCGAGAAGACGGTTCCTACATAGTTCTTGCATAACCTGGGAATACTGGTAATTATTGAAACTATTCGGAGCAGCAGATGCTAAAATCTTGCTCAAAGCTTTCTGGCCTAGGTTTGGCAGCCTGTGTGGAAAACCTGAGTCAGGATTTAAAACCTGAGTCAGGTTTCAAAACCTGAGTCAGGGTCTGAAAACTGAGTCAGGATTTAAAATCTGAGTCAGGATTTGAAGAGCAGCTTTTAATTTAAGCTCTTCAAATCCTGAGTCAGGTTTTCAACACAGGCTTCAAGCCTATTTTCTCTAAAAGTTTCTAAAAGAAGCATGCTTGCATTTTGACTGTATTAAAGAACGTAATTGTATTCTGACTGTAACTGTAAAAAGCAAGTAACTGTATGTTTGCTGACAGTATTAATCAAAGAACAGGAAAGTTCCAGAAATAATTTCTGTTCCTTTTTTGAGTTTTGGTTGTGTGTTTATTTATTTGAAATATAGTATTTAAACAAGTTAGAAAAAGAGGGTTGAATATATGAGCTGTTTTTGAATGGTGATTTCTGGAGTCTGTTTTCTTCAGTGGGAGGAGGTGACGCCCTGTTGCGATTTGTACTCTTTATTCTTCAAAAGAAAAGCTGCCAGCCACTCGACCGCTTTTTCAGAAGTGGGTGGCCGCTCCTAAATTGATAATAACTTAACTGCTTTCTAAAGCAAAGCGGTCTTCGAGCTCACTTCAGCCGAGCACCGTTTCCGCATTAATTTTCAATCAGTCTTTTCTTTTAAATTAGCGAGCTTTAACGAAGTGATACCCTTATTTTTCTGCTAAAAACGATTGAAATCTGTTTAAAAATCGGTATTTTTATTTCTCTGGGTTCGGGAACCTGTGTAAAAACCTGAGTCAGGGTTCAAAAAGAGCTCGATTCGGCCCTAACTCAGGTTCTTACACAGGCTCCCGAGCCCAGAGAAATAAAAATACCGATTTTTAGACAAATTTCTATCTTTTTACCAGAAAAATTAAGGGCGTCACTTCATTAGATTTTGCTAAAGAAAAGACTGCTTGAAAATCCGCCTTTTCGCCGATTTTAACCTACCTTGGTGAGGATGGAAAGTCCCTCAAGAAGAAGCGGAACGACCGTTTCATCCAAGTACTTCCTTGTTGGCAGCGATCGCAGCTCAACAGGATCCTTTGCTCCGATTTCCTGCTTCGAGTCGACGCTCATGTTCTCGCTCATTCTAGCGCCGCGATTTTTATTAAAAAAGAACATTTTATTTAAATAAAAGTTTATTATTTTCGTTTTTTACAGAAAATGAGTTTCTTTTCATTAAATTTTGGAAATTCCGGAAGTATAAAAATGATTTTTGACAATATAAAAATAAAGATCTTTTTTTAAAAACACTCTTGCTTTTTACAATTTGAGAAAAAGGGAGGAAAAATGCTCGGCAGAGTTTAAACTTTAGACAGTACGAAATATTTTTAAATAGAAGGAATATTTAAAAGTAGGGTTTCTTCTTTTTTGAGGTCATTGACGTTGTTTCTTTTTTGAAATTTTGGAATTTTGAAGGTTGGATTTTTCGATTTTCGAATTTTCTTATTAAATTCTCCGCAGCGGGCTGGCACGCACGTTCGAGTCCATTTCCGCGCGGGAGACGGCGTCAGCGACGCGGCTAAAAAGGGTTGAGACAGAGGAATTACAGACGAGCCACGATCGATAGCAATAAATAAACAAGAGAAGCGGCTTTGTGGATTATATTATTGAAATGCGCGATTCTCGCACTGAGGCGCTGCTTCTTTTTTCTCAAAAGAGGAAGTGTTAAAATAGTGAGAGATCAAGAACTGGCCCGAGTTTTTCCCTAAAGTTAATATACTAGCACCCGTATTTGATCATAAAATTTGAGAAGCCACTTGCGGCTTCGAGTATTACCATACTTCAAGCCGCACTACGCGCGGCTTTTTGAATAGTTTTACTCGAAGCCGCAAGTGTCTTTTCGAATTTTATGATCAAATAAAGCGGGTACCCTCCTTGTGCCGGGAAAAACCTTGAAATCCCGGCACAGGGAGGGTCAAATCCGAAACGTTCTAGAAATCCCCTCTCACCGTCTTTTTAAAGGTTTTGCTAAGGGTTCTTCTTTAATATTTGGTCAGGGTAAAGAACAATATTGTTTTGGCGATGCTTATCTATGTACAATTGCAAAGGATTTATAAATCTTCTATTTGGATAAGAATGTTGTGAATTTATATCCATAAAATAAGTTTTATTATGTTATTATATTGACTCTTATGTCCGTCAAGCAGATTATTTATTTTTTGACCGTATTCTTCTTTTATTTGGGTTAGGGTTAGGCGAAAAAATGATAAGACTGTCTTGAATTATATTTAACAATTAGTATCTCTTCAAAAACACACGATTTGAGGAGATTCTTGGTTCAAAATCACGGACTTTTTGAAGCCTCTAGAACGCCACCCTCCGTGTGCCGGGATTCTTGGCCAAAATCCCGGCACACGGAGGTTTTCCCGGCACACGGAGGGTATCCCAAATAAAGTGTTAGTATATTAAATTTAGGGAAGGACTCAGAGGAATTGATAGCTTTCCTTTCGCTAATTTTTGGGTGAAACGCCCTTTACTGATGTACAAATAGCTTCAGCTCACCTATAAAGTCCCTGGGTAGAAAGCAAGTCGGGTGACATTCGCCTTAGCGAGCTCCCTTCGAGCGGCAAGGTAGCTGACAGCGAGGAAGAGTTGAGCCTGTCGCTCGTGTTGAATCTGCTTGTTCCGTAGCCCGACGTGTTGCCCCCGAAGCTCTGGTTGAGATAACTCTGGCTGAGATTGTTGCGTCTCTCCGATGTCGCGAGTCTGTCTTCTATTTCCTTCGAAATCGGTAAGACGGGATCAAGAAAGAATCGCGATCTTACCATTAATCGCTTCCTCATCGCCGACGATTCGTGTTCCGACTTTTCCCGCGCCGCAGTTTCTTGCCTGTACAAGTCTTTGTACTTGGAGTTCTTTTCGTACTCGAATCCGAACGAATTGTCCCTAATTACAGTTACAATAAGTACCCTTACTTTTCAAGCTGTGTGGAAAACCTGAGTCAGGATCTGAAATCTGATCCTGAAATCTGAAATTCAGATCCTGACTCAGGTTTTCTACACAGGTTTCCGCGCCTCCTTTCTTACCTATATCTGGCAACCTCTGCTTCCAATTCCGCGATGCGTTTGACCTGGTACTTCAAGTCATTTTGATAATTTTCGGCTTTCAATCTGTCGAGCTTCTCATTGCGCAGTTGCTGCTCGTGAAGGAACTGGTTGACTTGAGCGAGTTTGTTTTCCAAATCGGCTTGGGACTCCTCCCGGTAGCGCTTTTGAATTTCCTCGATGTCCTTGATGTCGAACTTGGCCTTTTTCTAGATGATTCTTTTTAAGAATTTGATAGCAAGGAAGAGGAATCGCGTAATTACGAGATTGTCGTGATTCGGAGATTTCGAATTTCAAATTTTTACCTGGGCGACTCTAATCCGCAGCCGGTCAAGTTTCATTTGAAGTTCTTTGGAAACGCCTTGCGCCGTCTTTCGCGCGTCCTGTTCGACGCGCAGCTTCGCTTTCAACGTCTCCACTTCGTTCCGAAGATTGATCATCTGATCGTTCGCTGAGCTGTTCACACTTGACCTTAAAAAAAGACCAAATTAATAAGAAGCTTATTAAGACTCAACCACTCGTCCAAGCTCTTTTCAAGCTTTCGTCTATTTCAAAAGAAAAAATCGAGAAGCCGCTTGCGGCTTCGAGTAATTAACATCTTAGCCGCGCGAAGCGCGGCTATTTAAAGTTGTTGCTCAAAGCCGCAAGCGGATTTTCGATTTTTTTTTGAAAAAAGGAAAGCTAGCTTGCTTTTAAAAAGAGACTGAATGAGTGTGCTAACAAAATAAGGGTGTCACTTCGTTAAGTTATAAATTTACTAAAATCATTGAGTAAAAAAACTTACGTTTGAAGTTTGAGATTTTCGATTTCTCTTCTGAGCAGCTGCGTTTCTTCCTGACCGGCGTGACCTTGGAAGTTACCATTATAGGACGAAAAGGGCGTTTATGATTTATGAGCGGGAAAAGAAAAATAACAGGGGAGGGGTGTGACTGATTTACTCTAGCTTGACAGTTTATAGTTCTAATTCGCGTGCTTGTATGATTCTATCAATAAACGCTTGACTTTGATCGGGTGATTCTCGAATTTCTTTCCGCGCAATTTTTGCACCGCACTGTAGTACGAAATTTCTCTGAAAATGGCTACAACCTTTTTCTCTTTCTCTATCCCTTGCTACTTGCTAGACCAATTCCTAAAATGACAGTTCTGCTGATCTCTCCAACCATTTTCGAAAGATTCAAATGGCACGAGTCTAATTTATTCTCTGCTTATACGACTGGCAACAAAGACACTCGACGATCCAGTTTCCAATTCAACAAGGACAATTAAGCCTGTGTAAGCAGTTCGAATTCTTGACATGCCAAAAAATGCCGATTACATAAGCTTACTTCCTCCTTCAAATACTCAATCGGGGGGATATCAAGAATTTGATATTCCCCCAGCTTTTTTTCCTGAATTTAGGTCTTTTTACTGATCAAGAAAAATAAGGGTGTCATCGTGTTAATCAGAGGAAAAAAGGGCGCGGATAAATACGATTATGATTTATGACCTTTAAAAATGGAAAAGCCGCGCGCGGCTTTGAGATATAATGTGAAAGCGCGGCTTTTTCATTGTGTTTCTCAAAGCCGCGCGCGGCTTTTCAAGTTTTTAAAGATTAGAAATCAAAATCGTATTCATACGCGCCCTTTTTTCCTTTGATTAACACGATGACACCCTTATTTCTGTTTGTCAACAAGAAAATCAAAATACTACTACCCTCCTACAGACTTCCATATATCCGACAAAAATATTTATAAACTAAAAAAGAGCCAAAAAAATAAAAATGAATCACAAAATATAATAATCCTGATAAATGGGCAAATGGATAATCAGACAGTGAAGCGATCGAGAATGATTTCTTCGTTTTCCGCCTCGATTTGTTTCCTGATAGTTTGAATCTCAGTCAGAAGGGAGGAGTAGGACTTGACCAGGCGGTTTGTCGTGCGGGACACTTCGATCATCTCCTTTTTTAAATTTTGACAAAAATTTGGATTTTATTTAATTCTGACTTCTGATTGGCTGACTGCATATTTTGAGCATTTTCATTGGTTGAAAATGGGCATATAGGCATGTGCTTAGTAACATGCGTAGAAAACCTGAGTCAGGTTCTGAATAGAGATAAAATGAACCTGACTCAGGTTTTTTACACAGGGTATCGAGTTTTGATTTGGACATGGTCAAACATGATCTCTAGAAAAATTTGTTATCATCTTTTGAAATTTTGTACTTTATCAAAAAATATTAAAATATTTAATTTAATACATTAGAAGAATATTTTTCCCCGATCGTTAATTCAAATATTTAGTCATCGAAAAAGCAGATCAGAAAACAAAAAAAAATGAAGTGTCAACATTTGATTCCTTAGTGAGTTGTTCTTGGTGGAGCGTGGACTGCTCGTTCTTGAGTTTTCTCATCGAGTGGAATTTTTGCTGATTTTGGGAAATGTCTTTGTCCACGATGGTCGGCTTTCCAGTGCTTGACTCCTGCGCCCGTGGGCAGCAGAAAGCGCTCTTCTTCATTTCCGCCATTTTGAAAAGTGAGAATCTGGATTTTGGTTAATTCTCGACCGCGCTTCTTCTATCTGACTACTGCTCCATTTTCTGCAAAACAACAAAAACAAAAAGATCAAGAAAAAAACGTGAAAGTCTCCTGTAAAGAATAAACACTCGGAGTGTTTGGCCACTCTAAGAGGGCGCCCAACCAACAGAGAAAGGGTCATTTAACTCCCAGAACTATCTTCCTCCTCCTAATCATCAGCAACTCAACTCAACACAATAAACAAAAATATCCATCAAGCTGCAGTCAAACCCCTTTTGTCGCGGAAGCGACAATTTCCCCTGCGACAAAATCGCAAATGCGATTTCTTCGATGAAATTCTTGTTTTTCGCGACTATTTTTGCGACTCTTTTTCCGAGCGACTTATTTTTAATGCGACATTTTTGTCCGCGACAAAAATACCGATTTTGTCGAAAAATAGCGTTTTTAAATCCGCGACAATTTAAATTTCAGATTTTCAGCTTTTTTCCAGCGACAAATTTTTAACAAATAAGAAACTCGTATTTGGCCAAATGGCCAGTAGTCACCTGAAAAGCCACCCCCTCCCGAATCGCGAGCGACAAAAAAAATTGTCGCCTGTTTTCCCGTTTTTTTTTTAATTCAAAGAAGGGGTCATTTTTTACCTTTTTCTTCCTGAGCGATAAGTTGCCGATACTGTTTTTCATTGAGTCGTTTGAATCTGCCCAAGTCCTCAGATTTGGCGGCGACTTCGGCCTCGAGTATTTGTATTTTTTGCGCCTGCTCTGACGCGTTCTCCTTGACAAACATTATTTACGCGGCTGTCAACAGCGCAAACAAAGCAAAAAATGCTCCTTCCTTCTTTGAAGTTTAAAGGAATTTTTACCTTTTCCCTGGCCTGCAGATTCTGCAACTGTCGTCTGTCCTCGTTCGACTGGAGCTTGAGCTTGTGCAGCTCGTCGTTGAGCTGCATTTTCTCGCGCATCCATTCTTGCTCCCGCAGCGTCAACGAGCTCTTGCTCTGGTTGTCTTTGCGGCGTTTAAACAAGTACTCCTGATTTTCGGTTTTATAGAACTTTTATCCAATAGTATGGTCAGTAAATATTTTCAAGCAAAAAACTTTCAAGCACTTTTTCACATCTATTTGAGAAAATGAGATATATTTCTCACATAGATTTGGGAAAGCAAAAGTTGTTACTTTGAGTAAAACTGACGAAGCGACAAAAAATGCGACAAAGATTGCGTGGGCGGATTTTCAGCTGCGGATTGGTGGGCTGGTTTTAAATACAGGTTCTCGTTTTATCCAATCAGAAGCCTCTATTTGTCCAACTTACCGATGAGCAGTTGAGAAGCCGCCCACGTAAATTTTGTCGCAGTTTTTCGTCGCTCCGTCAATTGGTCTTTTCTAACATCGGCTAGTTTATTTTTCTTGTATTATTCTTTTTTATACTTGCAACATTCAAGATTTTTGAAAGAAAATATAAAGAACTGCCGAAATTAGAAAACTGATTTAGAAAAAAAAACAAGCTGAAACATGCACGCAGATTCGAGGTTGAGTAGCTCGAAACATTCGAAGCGCATTTTCAATAATTAGTAAAGCAAAAAAAAACGAAAGAGAAAAGAAACAGGCTAGCTATGTTACTGTAATAAACTCCATTCCTGAATCTACCTGTGCCTCGAGCTGGGCGATCTTTTTCGTCTGCTCGACGTCGACGCGTCGGAGCTGGTCGATTTCTTGCACCAGTTTGCGCGTCTCTTCTTTCATCTCGCTGTTGAGTGTGTTCGCGTTTTCAAGCTTGGACTCGGCAACTGCGAGTTTGTGGTCGTTGCCGTTCATTGCTACGTCGGAAGTCGCCTTCAGATGGTCGATGCTTTGGTTGGCCTTGCGCAGCTCCATTTCCAGATCCCTGCTTCGCGTCTCCGCCAATTTAAGCTTGTCATTCGCCAGGCCTAGCTGATTCTTGACCTCTTCCTTTTCGTTGGCCGTATTCAGCGCCTCCGTGCGGTAGTTGTCGCAGTCGTTGCGCAGCTTGAGCACCTTGGCCCGCTCCGCCGCCAGGCTCTTCTCGGCCTCCGTGTTGCCCACTTCTGCGCTGCGCATTTGTTCGACTTGAGACTGGAGCTTTGTCTCCGAAGCCAGGAGATTGTCCCTAAGCCGCTCGCTCTCTTCGTTAAGCCTGATGATTTTGGCCGACTCGGAGGCAGATTTTGCCTCCAAACTCGACACTTGCGTCTTTAAAAAGTCGATCTCGCGCTTTTGGTCCTCGTTGTTTCGCCGGAGCACCGGATCCGTGCGGCGGAATTCGAGCAGCTCTGCCTCGGCGTGCGACAATCGCCCACTCTTGTCAGCGATAACGTCCTTGGTGTATGCAACTTCTTTAGCCAGCTCGGCCTTTTCTTTCTCCAACTCGCCGAGGCGCGTTTGGAACTCGTGCTTCATGTCGTGCATTTTGTCCGTCATCTCCGTGTTCTGGCGGATCTGCTTGTTCTCTTCCTTGAGATCCTCGATCTGCTTCTCCAGCGTCGCCTGCTGAGTGACCTTGTCTGCCTCGACGCGCAGCCGCGCATTCGTCTCATTCAAAAGCGTAATTTCATTCTCGGCCCTGTCCAGCCGCGCCCGCTTCTCGTCTAAATCGCCGCGCAGTTTTTCAATGGCGATGGCGCGCTTCTTGAGTTGGTCTTCGAAGCTCTCGAGATTGCGCATGTTCGACTCGTTGATGCCGGTTATTAGCTCCCTGACTTTCGAGTGTTCGTTCTTTTGCCGCTCGTATTCCGCTTCTTTTTTCATCATTTCGTCGACCTTTTCCCGCAAGTCGCTCACCTCGATCGTCAACTGCAAGTTCTTCTGGCTCAGGTCCTCGTGCTCGGCGAAGGACTCATTGGATCGATTCGCCGCCCAGTTCGCCCGCTGCAGTTCCTTGAGATGATTAACTTCGTGCTGGAGCCCCTTGATCGACTCCTTTTGTGTCTTGATAATACAATCACGCTCGTTCAATTGATTCTGCGAGGTGAGATCTTTGTACAATTCCGATTGTTTGGCCAAGTACGGGTCCGATCGTTGGAGCTCGCTCTGCAACTTCGACGCGTTCTTCGTTTTAGAAATGTCGTCGAATTGGCGTGAGCCGGTCAGGTCTGTCATTGAGCCGATCGGGGTCACTCGGCCGAAGTCCGCAGAGGAAGTGATCGACTGGGCAAGATCCTCTTCCGCTAAATATTGACAGTTAATTCAGAACGGCGGAAAACTTCCACCAAATCAAGGAAAGATTTGCGGCTTCTCAAAATCTTACCTCCAAATGACTTTGACAATCCAGAGCGATGATCGATGGAAGAAAAGTTCGAGGCTGGTTTCACCACTGGCTTGGCGGGCTGCGATGACGTGCGAGATGTGGAAGTGACGGATCCGAGGGAGCTCTTGCTTGCCGACTTTATCGGCTGATTGTTTGAATACTGCGGCTGGATGGTAGGGTCTTTGTTCATCGAGGCGGCAAGGGGGACGTCCATCTTCTGGAACTGCTCCTTGCGCTGGCGCACGCAGATGTAGGGATCGTCATCGAGGAACTTGGAAGTGTTGTTTTCCGACGTTTCCATGTTGTCCAACTGCTCAGTGGGCGGATCTGCGACCAGCGCCGCGTTCGTGCTCTCTGCGGTGGCAGATTCCGATTCCGCTAGTTCCTCGTCGCGTTCTGAAAAGCGGAATTTAATTTTTATTATTCTACTGCTTTGCTTATTGTCAGCTGAAGAAAGCCACTGCTCCGGATGTTGGTTTTAATCTTTGGTTTGTTCCGTTACTTAGGGCACCAAATCTATTCTAACTCAAGTGAAGAATAAACACTCATTCAAAGAGCCATGCTCAGAACGAGAGTTATGCCTTCATGTTTTTGCGATAACTAATTTGGAGCTTGTAAAACACACGCGCCGCAATTCAAAAACTTGAAATGAACAATTTTCAGTTGAATTGAAGCGTTCTCTTAGTTGCTCTCTTACTCGCAAGTACTTGTTTTATTTGCGACAAAAATAATAGTAATAGTTTTGTAGGATATAATCTCGAGTATATATTTTCAATTTTCAAGTTATTGAGTAATGCTGATTATTACTATTATGGAAGGGCGTAATTCTAGTGTCAATATCTGAATTATTCATCAGCAGATTTAAATGAAATATTCAGTCACTGAGCAACATGTGTAGAAAAACTTGAGTCAGGGTTTGAAAGATCATTACCCCATTACGAGGCTTTTCATTTAATATCTTTCAGACCCTGACTCAGGTTTTCTACACAGGTTGCTCAGTGACTAAATATTTCATCTGAATCTGCTGATGAATAATTCAGATATTGGCACTAGAATTACTTGAATTCAAAGCACAAGTTGAAGAAAAAAAGACTCTTCTGAGACAAGCACATAATTTTTTAATTAAATATAAGTGCTACCAAAAACTTGTTCCGCGGTAAAGTCAGTTCAGCTTTTTTTCTCTCTTTTTTCTTTACATCTCTATTTTAGATTAGCAAAAGTCAAAAATGTGAATTGCGGCGCTCCAAAAATGTTTTTTCTTTTTCATATCAAAAAGACAAAAAGAGTGAAAGTTGGTATTGTTCTGTTGAAAAACGATGGAGCTTTGCTTTTTGGTAGCTAGAGTAGTGACGCCACGACTCTTGAGTTGTTGGCACACCGTTGGACTCAGTTGCATCTGGAGCGTAATTTTAGACGATTTACTTGCGCCGAGCCCTGTGTCCTCGTCACTCAAGCGCACATACTGAGCTACACTTACTCTGACTACCTTCTTTCTCTTGAGCTAACAGAGCGGCGAAAGCGCATCAGAATAAATCTCGAATCCGAAAAGATCGAGTTTGCCGAGCTGTCACTGAAGAGCCAATTCAACTATTGATAAATACCAACAAGTATCACTACCAGAAACAAACCAGAAATCGGAAATTTTCCGAACCTCAAAGAGATCATCTGGTCTCGGCAACCTGGGGAGAAAACCTCAAAGATTTCTCAGACGCTGACTCAGGTTTTTTACACAGGTTGCCGAGTCCAGATGATCAGAAAAACCGCCCAATAAATTTATACCTAGCAAAGAGTCGATGCTTTCGTAGAGAATTCTTCGGATTCCATCTCGCGAAAGAGGAAAAGACATAACGCTTTCTAATTATCTCTATAGAAAATACAACAACTGATGTTTTCGAAGAGCCCAGTTCAGTATCGCCTAAGTTACAAGATCGATAATTTTAATTCGCTCATCGAAGAGCCGAAAAAAAACATGAAAGTTTGCGCTCAGAATACTTGAACGGAGAGCAAACAGAGATTGTTAGCATAAGCATAAAAATCGTCAATTATTCCCAAAAATAAGAGAACTGCGCGGTGACGTCAATGACTTTTCAAAAATTTCAACTACTGTTAGAAATTTTCTTCCGCTTTTTGAAATCAACGAAGACTCACAACTGAGATTTATAATTTTTGACTTACCGTTTCGCTTGACAGTTGATTCTTCAAAGGTCGTCGTTTCAGGAAGAGGTGATTGAGCGGAGGATGAGGGCGTTCGTTCGCTTTTGTTTGTTTCTGACGAAGGTTGGGGAGACATTCCATCTGGCCTTGGAGAAATGACGCTCGAGTGAGGCGTCTCTGTTCTCGGCGACATGGGATTTGAGGATTTTTGGGAAGTGCCTTCTTTGTCGCTTCCGAAAAAATCATGGTTGAAGATGTTGTTGCTCTTCTTGACGTTTTCAATGTTGCCTCCCATCGACGAATCTGACGAGTCGGTCCATTCAGATTCCGAATCTGTCGGAATCTCCTCGTTTTTATCTCTCGCTTCCGACGGAGATCCCTGCACTGGAATGGGGTTGAAACCTGCGTTTTGGCCGGGCACATTTGTCTTTTCCTCTTTCTTGGTTTCTAGCGGCACGAGTTCGGACTCATCTTCTTCAGAATGAGGCTCGAGGGATTTTCCCATCGCTCCTTCTTCCTTCGACTTGGCAATAGTCAGATCATGTGAGGGCTGCCTGAGGGATGAACAGGGGGTATCATCCCAGTCTGACTCTTCCTCGATTTTGTTCTCTTCGTTGTCTTCACTTGCGTTTGTCTTCTTTTCTGGGGGATTTCCTGGCGGCTGTGGACTGATCGCTCTCTCCAATTGATCGTCAGAATCAGCATCAAAGTCTTCATCGGAAGAAAAATCAATCATAAACGGATCTTTAGTTTGCGGATGCGGCTGTGGTGGTTCAAGATCCTTTGCTTGGTACAATGTATTGACTTGTTTCGGCCGTTCCCCGCGATGTTGCAGTTCTTCTAAAATCTCGCTGTTTTTTCTCTTCTCTGCTTCTTTATCGACAAGGCCAAGGCCATGTTTGGCCACGATTCCAGCGTAGTCTACGTCGCCAATCGACCCGGTCGAGTTTTTCGCTAGAATTTCTGGAAGAACGAATTCTTGGGAGCTCTTCCAGTCGCTTTCCTCGCTCTCGTCGTTTTTCACTGACGATTTTCTCGACGCTGGTTTTGAGTTATTTGGAGGAGGAGGATCTACGCTTAGTTCTCGAGGAGGTGGGTCCACGCTAGAACTCGGCGGATCGACACTGGAGCTGGGAGGATCAGCAGTTTGTCCGATGAGGTCTTTGGAAATCTTCGTCTCTGCATTTTTAATGCTTTTCGTCGAGCTGCTCTTTGAGGAACCCCAACTGAAGCTGAATCGCTTCTTTGGCTTCTTCGGCGGTTCTGAAAACGATTCTGTCGTGTCGTTCCAGCTGCCAGTGTCGACGTTGCTTCCAGAGGGCTTTTGCTTGCTCTTCTTTCCCGTGTCGACGTTTGTGCTCGGGTGGGTCTTTGGCGGCGCCGCGGAAACTTGCGGAACTTGATTAACTGGAAGTGGCGGAAATCTATTGCTGCTGAAAGAATGCTCCTCGGTCTCGCTGCCCGAGTCCGACTCCGTCGACGACATTTCCGAATCGCTTTCGGAGCTGCTTGCAAACGCCGGTGTCGCAGGCTGCTTTAGCTTCTCTTCCTCCAGTTTACTTTTCAAATGGCCCGCGATGCCACCGTGACCAGCGATTTGCGCCAGTTTCAGAGCATCATTTTCATCCGCATCGCAAATATTTAGCTTAGCTCCAGCTGCTGTTAGCTGATTTACCACGTTGTGTCTTCCTTCTTTCGCCGCCACCATCAAAGGACTAAAAAAAACGATGATGACAAATTTGAGAGAAACCACTTGAAAGATCGAAAGCAAATTTTTATTTAAAAAAGGGGGTCAAAATGGGAAGGGCGGACTTTTTAGGGTGCGTAAATAAAAGGGACCTTTTTGACCTCGTTTTAAGGATATTTAACAGGGTCTCCAGCTCGAAAGATTCATCAAAAATAAAATGGAGCCCATGTTAAATTTTTGAAAAACAAACAAAAATCACCCGACTGAACGATTCAAATCTTAAAGAGGAAAAATATGAAATGAAATCAACATGATCCAAGATCCATTGTCAATGTGATCGCGTTATTTGGCCTACCGGCCGATGAAAACCCCAGACCCATAAAATTACTTCCTTTTCTTGGTTCTGCCCCTTATTTCTGCCTGAAAAAGACCTGTAACGGTCGAAAATCTTGCAAAATAAATGAATACTAAATGAAAAAACGCTTTCAATAATAAAAAAAATATCTTCTCACAATACTCACGTTAAACCAGCTCGATTTGGTTTGTTCAGCTCTCCATCGTACTTCAACAAAATCTCCATCAAATCAGCTTTGTCCTCTTTCGCAGCAATATGCATCGCCGTATCTCCCTGCGTGTTCGGTTCATTCGGGCTGAGTCCGTTTTCTAGCAGCTTTTCCACGACGGGCGAGAGCTTCTTCGCGTAGCAAGAGTAGTGCAGCGCGTTCGATTCGAATCTGTCTTTGCAATTGATGTTGCATTTGTATTTTATCAGCGTTTCCACTGCGTCGATGTTGCCCAATTCTGCGGCGTACATCAGAGGAGTCCGTAAATCTGAATTTTTTCGATAAACAAGAAAGTAGCCCCAAAAAGGGACTCACCAGAATCCGTGGCATTTAAATTCTTCTGCTGCTGCTTGCACAGCATTTCCAAGGCCTCCTTCTTTTCATAGATGACGGCAATGTGGATCGGCGTCCTGCCAATGTCGTCCTTGCTGTTTACCCCAGTCGCGCCCAGCTTTCTCAGCTCCTTTTCCATTTTCATCAAGTCGCCAGCTTTCGCAGCGGCATGCAGCTTGGGCAAGGGGGTATTGAAACTGTCCGTCAGCCGGAGGGAGGACGCGTCTTTCGGTTCTTGAAAAGCACCGTAAATACGCAGTTCTAGAAATCTACTAGTATCTTTACCTCCAGCCATCGAGTTCCTCCTCGAGTCATTTTTTGAGTCCTTCTTTCCGCCGAATACCTTTCGAAGTCTTTTCATTCTTTTTTAAATTCTGAAAAAAAGAGGAATGAATTAAGTGAGTCGAGGAAGAAGTTGGTAGATTTTCGATAGGCACCATGAGGATTTTTTCAGAAAATTTCAATAATTGAACTAAAAGTTGTCTTTTTAAAAACACAGAAAGCTGGGCTCGGCAACCTGTGTAGAAAACCTGAGTCAGGGCCCTGGAAGAAGGTTTTCAATTAAAGCTCTTTCAGGACCCTGAGTCAGGTTTTCTACACAGGATGCCGAGCACAAGACAGAAAAGAATGAGCTGCAGCGTTTGGACAAAAAATATTGCTTTCCGAAATTTGGAATTCCAAATTTTGGAAAAAAAAAGAAAAAAAGTCTAGATTTTGGAAATCCAATTGAAAGTTTTGTGCTTGAGTTTATTTTTTTTACTGCTCCGTTGTTTCGTCCTGTTTTCGTTCTCCTTCGTGTGAAAGGACCTTGTTCTTCAGAAGTCGATATTTTCCAAAGTGGACGTTTTCTTCCCAAAGAAAGGGGACGTAGAAGGCGCGGTAGAACCAGTGCGACTTGCTGGCGTCCAGGATTTCAAGCTCGCTTAGCGTTTCCCAATGCTCGACGGTCAGGTGGTAGAGCGGCTCCAGTTCGGACTCGACGCCGTAATCTGTGTCGATCAGGTAGTGACAGTTCTAGAGATAAAGAATAAATAAGGGCCTACTTTTTGCTTAAATTTAGAATCTAGACTAAAAGAATCGTCAATAAATAAAGGATAATCCTTCATGATAACGAGAAGCCCCTCATTTTCATCGAAACTTTGAAAACAAAAGTTGATGTTCCGTCAAGTACTCGGAGCTTTTTAACCCGTTCGGGTTAACAAATAAGCTTTCACGCTTGAACGACGGAATCTTCGCAATATTCGTTCAAGCGTTAATGCACATCCCATTTAGTATGAGAAAGGAGAAAAAATTCAAAATGAAAATGAAATTTTAGTGATAAATTTGGCTTAAACTCTTGGAGAAGCACAAAAGAAAATAATGAAATGGAATCGTTAGTGAGTTTGTTAATACAGTTATATGTGAAACTACCCTTTCGAGGGCTCATTGTAAAAAATGTCTTCTGAAATTATAAATTCCTGAGAATAAAACTCTGTCAAAAGCAAACATTTCTTTCTAACATCTATCTCTTCAAAACCGAACTTTACAAAGTAAGCGTGTTCAAGCAAGAAAAACAAAATGGTACCTTGTGAGCATTTGTCGGATTAGCGAAGTAACGGCCTGGTTCTTCCTTGTTCGCATCGTTGAAATGATCTGGAATGTCTGTGAGTCCTTTTGGCCACTTGTCGAATTTGGCTGGAAGCTGAGCGGCGAATTCGGATTGAATGATTTCGGCGGTCATATTTTCGTGCAAGAAGAAATGCGTGGGGAACTGGTGCCAGGCTTTTCCAACGCAGAGTGTGGTCGGGCCGACCCAGTGGTAGCCGTTTTGGAGCTTGGAAAAGAGGGAACGGTAGATGTCACTGGAAGCGGAGTAACCAGCGACGAGAGCGCAAAGCCGGGAAAAACCGAAAATGCCGGTGACGATGAGGGCTGCGTAGCCGATCGCGATGAACGGAATCTTCAGCTTTTTGAACAAGACCGCGGCGTAGACTTTTTGAATCGATCCGATCGCCACTGCCGTCGCCAGGGTGAGACAGGGATACATCGGGAAGAGGAAGCGTTCTTCCTTGTGCGCCTGGAAGAAAAAGACGAGGATCCAGCAGTAAAGCGGGGAGAGGAACCAGAGACCAAGGTCATAAACCGGCTGGTAGTGCTTGACGAACTTTGAAATTGTCCACTCGGAAAGGACGAGAATCGGCAGAGAAAACAGCCCGAGAATCCAGGCTGGGCCAAAGTTGATCGTCAGGTTTTTCAAATAATAGGAAATCGGTTCTGTTCCATACAAATCAGGCCCCTTTGACGAGAAAACGTTGTAGGTCAAGATATTGAGCCAGGCGAGCTTGGGCGTTCCATAGAACCACCAGTCAAAGGCCACGATCACCAAGTTGATGATGATGAAACTTTCGATGCAGTAGTAGACGAAGGTCGTCAGCTTTTTCTTCTTCAAAAGACAGTCGATCGCCAGCGGGATTCCCAGAGCAACGGAAAATGGCCAGGAGAACAGGGCGCTGAAAGCGCCGACGTAGACGGCCCAGTTGTACTTGCTTCGGAGCCAGAAGCCCATCCATAAACACGTCAAATACATGCACGTGGACGAAGGAAGAAAAGCTGTGGCGGAGATAAAGTTGCCAGCGGAGAGGCAAGTCAGCCAGAGCCAAATGTTCGCCACATTTCCACCGAAAACGACCTGTATCGACTCGCAAAGCCACAATTGACAGCAGGCACAGACGACGCCGAGAATGAGGCGAAGGAAGAAGAAAAACATCGGCGGCGGAATGATCGAAGTCGGCTACAAATAGAAATGTTAGATTTTCTCGGAAAAGTGAGTCAATCAAATAAGACAGGCAAAGAATACATCGAAGACTTTTTCGGAGCGTTTATTATTTAGGCTAGACAAATTAGCTGATGTTTTATTGCCTTCGTTTTTGGGATATAAAAAGGCATCGCGGGATTTTTTTTTTGCGTCTACGAAAATGAAATCAAAAAGGAAAGGTATTCCTTCTCCATAAAGACTGTGATTTTGGATGATACAGTAAATGCAGCATAGCGCGTGAATCTGGAAACCTGAAAATAGATACATCCCTTCGATTGTTATTCATACTCCTGCGAAATTCCTTACACTGTGGAGAAATAGAAGAATAAAATGAAATCAACAGCTTCCGCATCAATGAACGTACCACAAATTTCTGAGAAAAAACCAAAAAAATGAAGTTTATTCAATATCCCATAAAAAAAAAAGCATCAAAATGCCTCGAAAATGAAAAAATGAAAATAAATACATCTCAAACTTTATTATTCTATATCCTTGTTTCTGTGTTCTTACCAAGAAAAGCGACCAAAGCCCATGGCAAAGAATATAGAACCAACTCCTGAGTCCATATTCCGGCGAGTACTCCCAAGTCTGGAACCCCCCTCCTTTGATCAAATAGTACAGAGGCTCCCAATAGTTGAACGTTTCGTCGCAATCGTTGATGCCATTCAGAAATACCTAGAAAAGCAGGTTATTCTAACGTTGATTCAAAGCTTTGGGTACTTACAGAAAAGAGGGAGGCAGTGAGTAAAATTTTAAAGGTGCTTTTTCCTTGATCTCCGCTGGCAGCATTTGGATCTAAAACACGAAATAATCAATCGATCAATTAACCGATGAATTTAGGGGATGGACATCGAGATTAAGCTTTTTCCTCGCTTTAGGGATAGCGTAGTGATCCCCTTACTTGTTGTAGTCAAAAGATTTATTGGGGCAGAGGGAGCAATAACTCTTGAAATAAAATTGATGGCCCGTAGCGGCGATAACTCTCCATTTACGATCCCCGTCTGGTAGAAGCGCTTTTCCAGCGCAGAGGCTCGAAATGATAGAGAAAAATAAGCAAAATACTTAAAATGATCTCCGAATGGCACCTTGGACGTAGTGATTTTATAACAAAACCAACCTACTTTGGTCGAATTCACGACACTCACTATTTGTTGTTCCCAATGGGAACTATCATGGGAACTTCCCATGATATTAATTAATTAAATTTAAAAATATGAAAGAACTTTTAAATGAACGCTTTATGATGTCTGGCATGATTTTTAACTGTTTTCCGTACTTTAAAAATACGCAAACACTTGTCTGTTACTTGAGCTTGACCTTTATTTTTGGAAAATATTTTTACTATAACTGTTAGTTAGAAAAATTAATAAAAGAAGCAATAACTCATTAAATGAAATTGATAACCCGTAGCAGCGATAACTTTGCATTTACGATCAACACCAACAAAAAATCATTTTTTCGGGGAGAGAAATATCAGTGAAAATAATTGCTATTTGACAAAAACAAATTATCTTGATTAAACTTTTAAAATGAAAACCGAATTTTCCTTAAGCAAAAGGATCCCCAGGTTGGAGACTGCGTACGGTTTATCAAAGAATACTATTACCTGTAACTATTGAAATAAATTATAAAATGACCTCTGTGATATCAAACAGACCCTAGAGTTTTGTCGTCTTTTTCTTTCAAAGAAAATAAGGTTGTTCCTATATTAAATCCAAAAGAAAAGATCAGCAGAGATATATAAATGCTTGAGCTCTTGGTACAAAAAAATAAGGGTTTCAGTAGGTAAGTTAACTTGGAATACAGGTTTAATTACCGTCTATAGTGGAGGTCTGCGCATTATTTGGTCCAGAAGGAAAGGGCTTTCGATCGTCTTCGTCGTCACTCTCTTGCGGCGCGATTTTATCTTCAAAATCGCTTTTTTAGAAATTAAGATTCAAGAGCTGCTGCTTTTTTTTTACCTACAACGCCGAACTTTCTTTGTCTAACTGGACACGGCTGTTTGGGCACGGGCATCTGAAGAGCAACACGAGTAAACAAGGGCGATAACGATTTATGAGACGGTGGAGGCGAATGCTTTTTTAGATCTTTAGTTTTTGTGAATTTTTGAACTGTTAAAATTGAAGTATAAAATTGGAAAATGAAAGAAATTAGCTTTTTTTTAAGTACGAGCGCGTTTTTGAAAATAAAATAATTAATAATCATCATTCTTTACAAAATAAACAATACAGTAGTAGGCTAGAATGTCTTTATGTACAGTTCAATAGTTCTACAGTAGAAACACGGACTTGAAGAGGAGTTGGCAAAGAGAATCGGAAGAAATGAAATCAGAATTGAATCGGAAATGAGTGAGTTTTCGATTCCAGGAGGTAGAAAGAGGAACTTTGCGGATTTTGTAGGAAACAGGATCAAGAACGAAATTTTTGAAAATTTTTAAATTAGAAACAGAAATAGAAAAAATCGACAATCGGCAATTTTCAGACGATTTTCAAGTTTTGCTCTGCAGACTTTTTATTCGGTTTCATTCTCTGTCGATAAATCGAAATAGAGATAGACTGATGAAAACCATTCCTTGAAAGAATAGAGAGAAGCGTTTGAAATCCTCCCTTCCCCGATTCCTTCTCCATCGAGCAAAAGGCGTTTTTCGTGAATCTTGTCCATTTCGGACATTCTTATTTCCCTCGCGTGGTTCGCTAGTTTACTAAAAAAAACACTTAAAAATCACCAATTCAAGCAAATACTCATGCAAATGTCAGTGACATTATGTCACTATCTCTCTCTTTCATAAATGAATCGAGCAAACAAAGAAAAAGTTCAAAAACTTCCTTATTTTTTTCGAAAAAAAAAATCAGAGAATTTCTAACCTGTAAAAACTGGCGCCAAAGTAGACGAAGGCAATGCCGCCTGGCACTAGAAACGCGACAGAAGCAATGATCGCCGCTAGCATTGCCCCTCTGTGCGAAGGATTGTTGTTCGGCAAGTCCGATTCTGGCTCTATCGTCGTGGGAGGAGTATCGTCGGTCGTTTCCTCGACGCTCGGGCTTCCATGATCCATGATGGTCCAGAACTTGATCCAAATCAGAAGAGCCACTTCTATGAGGAAAAGTACCAGGCCGAAACCAGTTGAGAGAATCCACGCCACTTCGATTTGAGATTTGAACTTGTTGTGCGGAGAACTCGACCATTTGCGGATGCCCACTGCGGCTTCGATGTTCGGAAGAATACACGTCGCTGGAATTTGGAATTTTAAAAATGAGGAAAAAGAAGAGCAGCTACTTTAATACAGACGAAAGTCGAGAAGCCGCTTGCGGCTTCGAGACACAATATGGATAATTAAAGCCGCGCAGCGGCTTTGAAAACGATAATATCAAGAAAAAGACCGAAAAAGCCGCGATTCAACATGCTACTTGAGATTGAAGCGCGGCTATTTCATATTATGTCTCGAAGCCGCAAGCGGATTCTCGACCCTAGCTATCCAACTTACCGATCATAAGCGAGAAAAGATGGACAATGACGAGTAGAGTAGTAACGCAAGAAAAGAGAACCAGGAGGATTGAAGGATACGGAACTGCCTAAAAAGGGATAAGAAGGAAGAAAGCGCTAGAAAACGCACATTGTCGAGGGTTACTTCTACCATGGCCACCATGGCGAAACCGGCGAGGAGGGCACTTGTCTGCGCGATCGCTTTTAACTTTGCTAAAAAAAGAATCGTTTTTATTGAAGATTTGGGAACAAAAAGTTGATCGTTCATCAAATACTCGGGCCCTTTTCATTTAGCATCGACAAATTAACTAGCACTTTTTGACCTGTTTTTTGGGTACTTCATGATTTTCAAAGAAACAAAAGAAATAATAAAAATGAATGGCTTGTTGACTTAGTTTTTGGGATATTTAACTGGCCGCCGATTCCTCGGAATGGAAAAAATATAAAATGGAACCAAATTTTGATTTTTCTTCGTCACAGTTCTGATTTCTAAGCCACTTCCGTGAAAACCAAAATCAGTGAATAAAATGGAATCGTTAATATCTACGAATTCATAAGGCGTGAAGTAGAAATATGCCACCAAATTAAAATTATCTGAAAATAAAATACTTTCAAAAAAAATTCTCTCTTGATTTACTCGCAAAACCATATTCCAAATTTTCGGTCTTCAGGCAAAAAAGACAAAAAGAGAGAAGTACTGATAAGAGTTTACGTAGCGAACCGCAATAGGTCGATTAGCTCAAGTTGTTTGAATATTTTACTGCATAATTCTGGCTTGAAAGAAACGCAAATTTTGCTTTAAAAAAGTGGGTCAAAAAAGTTGGGCGGATAAATAATCGGAGGTAGCATTTTGTAGGGTAGGCTAATAGTAGAGTAGTATGCTGCCTCTTTTGATGACCTCGATTTGGGGTGATTTAAGCGGAGTCGGATCTCGAAATCTAAGCAAAAATAAAATGAAATCTAAAAAAATTGCGTGGCTAATCGAAAAGCAGGTTCTGCATGGTTAGATATAGAAAATGAATAAAATGATATTCGAAATACCTAAATACTCGTTTCTGTACTAAAAAATGTTGCTTTTATGCGAATTTCGACTACGTATTTCAATTGAATTTTGCCTTTTGCTTACAGTTATCTATCTGAATTTATTTTGCATAAAATGAACACAATAATATCTGTATAGCCTATTGCTAGTTGTTGGAACATCTGCCTCTTACTCAATAAAATCCCAAAAACGAAAAACCTGTTACCTTTTGAATAAAAAACTCTGTAAATCATTTCCGAGTTGGCGGCGCTCAAATCGTGGTCGGATCCATTCTCTGCTCTGCAGTTATCTCGAGCGGAAAGCATAAACTCCCCCGTATTGCTCTCCATTTTCTGAATTCATTTCTTGAAAAGACTCTTCTTTTCAAAAAGTCGAATTAGCTGCAAAAAGCGCTGCAACGAAATTATTCATAAACTTTTTGATGCTTGATTGAAGCTGTGCTCGGCAACCTGTGGGGAAAACCTGAGTCAGGGTCAGAAGCATCTCAAATCAAAAGCTGCGACTTTTTATTTGAGATCTTTCAGACCCTGACTCAGATTTTCTGCAACTTTGATGCTTGATTGAAGCAAAAACTGAGCTGTGCTCGGCAACCTGTGTAGAAAACCTGAGTCAGGGTCTGAAGTAACGCAAACAATTGAAAGAATCTTTCATTTGAGATATTTCAGACCCTGACTCAGGTTTTTTTACACAGCTTGCCGAGCTGTGCTCGATTTTTGCTTCAATCAAGCATCAAAGTTGTAGAAAACCTGAGTCAGGGTCTGAAAGAGCTCAAATGAAAAGTCTCAGCTTTTGATTTGAGAAGCTTCAGACCCGGACTCAGCTTTTCCACAAAGGTTGCCTAGCCCAGCGAACGAGAGTGTTAAATATTGCTTTATTCTAGTAAATAAGAACACAGAAATAGAATAGTAGTAATAAATAATAAAACTTGCCAAAACGAAATTGGAAATCACCGAATCCTTTCAAAGTGAAAAAAGTGATTGTACAGAAGATTTTTTTAAATAAAACTTCCAGCTCAAATTGAGAAAATGTCATCTAATAGGTAAGTTTGGGAAAAAAGGGAGGGCTCTTGAGACTGCTGGAAGTTGTTAAATATTTTTATCGATGGGTATATTCGCGAAAAAAAAAACGTTTTTGAGCGTGATGTATTTGATATTGCATTCTTCCGTTGAAGTTATGATAAAATGGAATTACTGATAACGGGATTCTAGAGAACGCCGAAATCGGTCTATACGCTCGGAAGTAGATTAACTATTCAAATACTGTGTGTGAGATTCTCTGGGCTCGACAACCTGTGTTGAAAACCTGAGTCAGGTTCTGAAGAGATCTGAGCTGTTCAGAACCTGACTCAGGTTTTCTACACAGGCTGCCGGGCCCAGCTGAGATAGAGTTAAAAAGAAATGATGATGATTGCACATAGTTATGTTGTTGGATGTATGGACAAGAAGACAAATTGTAACTAAAACGAGCTGAAAAGGAATTTCAGCTTCAACTTAAAATTTTGGATTCGCTAAACACAAAAAAATAGGAACTGTGACTTTTTTAAAAAAGGGAGAAAAGAAGACGAGCGGCACAAGAAAAATTCGTTACTTATTTTTATTAAAAATGGAGCGAGACGAAGGTGGATTTACTCAAAGTCAAGATCTTCGGAGTCAAGGTCGTCGACGTCATCTTCGTTGACGTCGATGTTGTCTAGCTCGGCTTCTAGCGCGGCGACTTCGGAATCGGAGATGATCTCGGCCGGGGAGGCTTGGTTTGAGCTCTCGCTTTGGTTCGTTTCAGCTGCTTTGGCGTCTTTCATTTTCGATCATAAAAAGTAATCAACAATTCAATCGTTGATTTGATAATCAACAACTCAAGAATCACCAAGAATAAAACACCAAACTAGCAACCAGGGTTCGAAAACCTACAGTTCTGGATCATTTTTAGATACAGTAAGATTGTGGTAGGCATTTTGCTTCATAGGGTGACTTTTGATTGGCTTGTGGACTGAATAAAGCCATCTGATTGGCTCAAAAAGCATTTCTGCTGTGGAGCCAATCAGAAAGCCGTATTCGGTCTATAAGGTAATCAATTGCTACCTTTCAAAGCAGCTAGCTCTTTCGCGCCCTCTGAGTCATAATGAAAACTAATAACTGTATCTACTAATGATTCCAGCTTGCTGAAGGCGCGTATTCGAACCCTGAGAGCATAGAAAAAAAGGGATGAAATAGAAAAGCGTTTATTTTGTACAGACACCGCTTAAAAGTTTAAAATATTAATATTTATTAAGAAATATCAAAGTGGTAGATAAATAGATACGTTTTTCGTTTATTGCGTTTTTAAAAGAATGGGAATAGAGGAAGTGGTTCATTGAAATTTTTAAGAACAGGTTTATTTATATTTATATTGCACAAACTCGCGTCTTGAAGTTAAAGTTTTCGCTGATTATTTTTTTTCTAAACGGAAAAAAGGAAGAAAGAGGCAGTTCAGTCCGAGTCATTCACCGAGAAAGAATTATGATCGCTTCCTGATTCATCTGCAGCTTCGTTTCCAACACTGGTTTCTTCTACTTCTTCTTCCTCCTCCTCATCGGCAGCAGCTTCTTCCTCTTCTTCTTCCTGTTGCTCGTCTTCCTCGATCTCCATTCCTATCGATTCCTCGATCAAATCGCGCTCCGTAATCGCCGTCATTTCCGGGTACTCAGAAGCAAATTCCCTCGTTTTGTTCTAAACCCATTTTGAACCCACTTTTATAAACCTTTCCCCACCTCGTTGTAATATTTTTCCGCTCTAAGTGAGTCTTCATATTCGCCAAAAAGATTTGCGTACTTCTCCGGCTCCGCGATCGCTTCTGCGTGTTTTCCGGATAAGCTTTCTGAACAAAGAAAAAATAGAGAAAGAAAAACATCAGACTGATTACCTTTCCAAAGAGTAGTGACTCGTTGAGCTTCGGACGGCAGGTAAGTTCTGCAGAACATGGCGGCTTCTGGAAGTCTGTTGGCAGAAAGAAGCAGGTTCAAACAAGCCGTCAAATTGCCGGTAAGCATGTGGCTCAAGAAGGCGACGTTGAATTTTCCTTCTGCTTCGGCGTCTGAAAAATGGTTAGGAAATAAAGAAAGGATGAGACTGACCGTTGGCGAGATTGGTGACCGCTTGGGCATCACCAGCGCTGGTGGCGAGAAGGAGAAGACCTCCATGATCCTTTGCTTTTCGAAGCGCTTCGGAGGCAAGTTTTAATTCGCAGTTCTTTGTCGCCAAATCGGCGACGCTTCGCCACTTTTCAACGGAGTCGATTTCTTTTGCGATTTCGACGACTTTGTCAAGCTCGCCGAGCTGAAATTTTGCTTGGAAAAGGGTCTGAAAGAGAGAAAAGAACCTGGAGGGCAAGGTCGAATTGATGCTCTGGATCGGTGGTGACGGCGAGGGCTTGCTTCTTGAAGCCTTGCTTTTCGAGGAAATGAGCGACTCGCGATCTAGCTGATTTTGGAATCGATGGAAGCACTTCGTTGGCAGTGTCGAAGTCTTGGCGCATCACAGCCGTCTACAAAACACGATGAAATTTTGTTCTAAAGAGGTTGATTGCGAAAGAGATCTATTTTTCGTACCTGATACTGAAGAATAGAAAGTTCGACGTTGTAGGAAATGACGTTGAGCTCCGCATCAGCGAGGAAGACTCGGTTGACATCGGGCAGGTAACCGAGGAGATAAAGTGGCTTCTCCAAATGAGCCACTGTGACGATTTCGCCGCCGACGTAGTAGTTCAGTCGGTTCAACGCGTTGGTGAAGATGAAGCAGTCGCCCACCCAGACTCCGGTCTTGACTGTTTCTTCGATTTCTCCCAAGACTTCGAAGGCGTCTGGGTATCCGTCCTAAAAGAAGGGAGTTCTAGAGCTGAATTAAATGATGATTTTCCTGACCTCATCTGGTTCTTCGTTGTGTTCAGCGTTGTATTTCAAGACGTAGAAAGATTCATCTGAGCAAAGCGCGACGAGATCATGGTTCTCGCTCCAGAAAACTTGCTTGGCGTCGATTTCGATTCTTCGAACAAGAGACTGGTCTTCCCAGCTGTAGAAGGCGAGCGAGTCGCCGCCGCGGACGCCCAAAATTGGACCGGTGAAGATCTGGTCGGCGCCGAACTCTGGCTTGAAGGATTTCGCGTCTTTGGGCTTGTTCATGTTGTGGATTTTGACGGTTTGGGAGGACTCTCGAACGGCGAATTCGGCCGCATTGTAGGACCAGACGAATTCTAGCGCGCTGCCAAAGGCCTAAAATAGGGGTGATTAAAAGAACGGACGGGTAAAGAGCCAGTTACTTTGTTTCTGAGAGCCATGGAAGTGTAAATGATGTACTCTCCATCGCCACATGCGACGACGAATCGTCCATTAGCGTTGTGCTGCAGTGTTTGTGGGAAGATTTCAGCCGCGCTTCCGTCTTTGACGGGAAGGACGATTCGTTCTCCATCGCGGACTGTGCTGAAGTCAAGGCCTTGCAGAGATGTCTAAAATGGAAGTGAGCATATTTCAATTCCATGTGGTTGATTTCTTACGTGGCAGAGCTCGGAGTTCCTCGACCAGATGATTTTTCCCTTGGCGTCCATCGTCACTGCCGGCTCGTCTTTTCCCATTTTGATGAGGATGGTTCCTTCGTCGTAACCGATCGCAACGGAGTTGGATCCCTTCATCGCCTGGACGCACCAGACGCGCTCCAAATTGTAGCTCAGCGTGTCTTCAAGTCGGTAAGTGTTCGAGTGCCAGATTCGCAGCGATCCGTCTTCAGAGCCGGACATGATGATCGGCTTCTCGGGGTGGTAGCAGACTGCTGTGACGTTTTGTGAGTGTCCATCGAGTGTTTGGACGCAGGTCTTGTTCTGGTAGTCCCAAATCTTCACGAGGCGATCGTCAGCGCCAGAGATGAGGTAAGGCTTGTCGCCACCGGAGTAGTAGTCGACGCAGTTGACTCCCTTCTCGTGCCCTTCAAGAGTGAAATTCGGCTGGTTGGAGCCCAGCTGCCAGACTTTGAGCGTTCGATCCAGCGAGGCCGAGCAGAAGGTGTTCGCGTCTTTCCTGTTGAAGACGACTTGCATGACGTAGTGCGTGTGGCCCTCGAACACTTGCTGGCACTGCCATTTCTTTTCCCAGTCCCACAGTTTGATCAGCATGTCGTCGGAGGAAGTTAAAATGAACGGCTGGGAGGGATGTACGGCAATACATCTGGAAACAAAAAATAATTAAGAAAAGCTGAAAACGGTCTTGCCTGATATAATCTGAATGGGCTTCAAAAGCGTGTTGTCTTTCGAGAGTGTTGTAGTTGAAAACGCGCACATGCATATCGTCTGATCCCGAAACCACCCAATTCTTTCTTGGCACGAATTTCGCCGCTCTGACTGGAAGATCGCATACTGAAACGTTACTGTCACACTCTGTTCTGTCTAGAGCCTGTTTCGGAAGCCTGTGTAGCAAACCTGACTCAGGGTCTGAAAGATCCTTCAATCTCTGAGTCAGGTTTTCTACACAGGTTTCCGAGCTTTTGGCAGGTCTAATTTTCTTTCTTCTTAAATTTTCTTGCCATTTTTTCAAATAAAAAGCAGCTGTACCTTCAAAGTTTTTGATAAGAGTAGAACTGGTCGTGTTCCAAATGTGGACCTGTCCGGAATACAAGGAGCAGAGCAGCCATGGCTCGGTGGGATGAAGATCGACCGATTTGACTCGTTCGCTTCGAGCGGTCAGTTCTCGACGGATGTCCAACCTAAGCGGCATTCTGAAAGATTCAATTCAATTCTTACTCTAGGAAAAAACAAGAGAATGAGTCGTTTTTGGTATTTTTCTTAAGCCCGGTAGGGTTTAAAAACTCGGGAAGGAGTCGCCCCCAGGCCACTCTAGTTAAACAAAAACATCAAAAAAGGGATCATTTTCGCCATTTTTGTGAAAAAATTTTACGACAGTTTCATTTTTCAACTAAAATTGACCGACTTTCTCAAAATTAATTTCCTTCTTCAAAAATATTTGAAAATAAACAAACTAAAATATATTTTCTGGCGGAAATTTATAATTTTTTAATAAAATATTTAAGAAATAAATAAATAAGCTTGAAAATAATACGATTACACTATTAGCAGCTAAAATTTAAAATTTCTCTTTATAAAAATAATTTTGAAATGAAAAATTATCGATAAAATTAAAAAATCTAAAATTCGCGCAGCGAAAAAGATGAAAGCGAAAATAAAGGGATTAGGCGTTGTTTGCTCGGATCCGGATTTTGAGTTTCACTCCGACGACGATTTTGATTTTCCTTCTTTTTCTTTCAAATTCGCCCGCGCCAATTGGCCCGCGCTGCTGACGTCATAAACTACAACGTGGAGCTCTTTTTCGAACATTTCCCAAGAAATCGACCATGATTTCGCTAGAAGTTGCATTTATTGGTGAATTGATACAGTAGATTCTTGTTGGGCGTTTTATTTTTCATTGGAGTCAGAAATTTTGATTTTTTCGTCCGGAAAATGGCGAATTTTTCGCCCGGCTCGAAAACCTTAGTCAGGGTCAAAATAATTTTAAACGAAAAGCCACGTAGCGCCTTTTTTAAACGAAGCCGCAAAGCGGCTTCGCAAAGTTTATTTTTCAATCAAATTTTAAATTCTGGCGAAGCCGCTTTGCGGCTTCGTTTTTAAAAGCCGCTACGCGGCTTTTCATTTATGATTAGGGCCGACGAGCAAAAATTCAACCCCAAGAACCCTTTGTGGTAAAGCCTTGAAAATTTGGGACAATATGTATTTAGGCCTAACTAAAAAATTGTTATTGAAATTTTTTTGGTCTGACCACGTGATCACGGGTTACAGACCCTCGAAAAGCTAGAAAAGCTTGCCGAGCTTGATCCCCTTATGGGATCATCTTCTCGTTAGGCCAAAAAGAAAGGTCTTGGTTTGTTCTAGTGGTTTAGCCAAAAAAATTCTTGGTGCCGTCTTTACAGGAGACAGTAGAAGCTATATAAGGACTCAAAACTAGCTAAAATTGAGGTAAAAATCCAGGTTTCACGGGTTACTTAGGCCAAAATACGTTGCAAAAAGGGCCATTTTGGACGCTTCAATTCCCTCTCGCGATTCATGAGATCTTGCCACCAAAAATGTTTTGGATTCTATAGGAAGAACTTTTTATGCTTTTTCATGTTAGCTACATTATGATCACATGCGGTCAGGGGATCGAGGTTGGCAAGCTTTTCAAGCTTTTCGAGGGTCCGTATCACGTGATCACGTGATCATACCAAAAATTTTCAATTACAAATTTTTAAGGTTGGTCGAAATACATATAGTTCCAAAAATTTAGGCAGTTACCTGAAGGGGTTTTAGGGGTTTATTTTTTGGTCGTCGACCCTATTTATGATCTTTTAAACCCTGACTCAGGTTTACTTCACAAGATGCATCGTGGAAAATGAAATTAAGAAAAACTACTACTTAGTTTTAGATTTTGATTAAACTTTGAAGAATTGAAGAAAAAATATATGGTTTTTGAATTTATTATCTTTTTTCAAAACATTGAAGTTGATGAAGCGAAGAAGTTGAACAAGCGAAGAAGAGGAAGGTGCTTCATTTTATCAAAAAGTTTTTGATTTTTGTTTTCACAGTTTAGTCGGGAAATTTCTCGATGGATACCTTCTGTATCTTTTTGAAATCATTTATGCTTATTGATTCTAAAGCCGAAATTCCGTGATTTTATGCGGATTTCGACCGAAAGAGGGCGCTTTCGCTCTCTCGGCGGGTGAGCAGCAAATTTTATCTTTGCTTTGAATCAATCTTATCGCTGCGAAATCTGTCTTTAGTTCTGACCTGCGAGAGAACAACTCGGAAATGATTTACAAAATCGATATATTTTTTATTATCAGAAATGCTTATCGTTATTTTTTCAGTAAAATTGTTCATCGACGTAGGACGAAATGCCAGGAAAAACATGTTACTCTTGATTCCATTTTATCAAATATTTATTTCTCGAGGATTTCTTGAAACAGTTGCACCCAACGTAACAGCAGCTATTCTTTATTTTGTTTCATTTCATTTTTGGTGCTTTTTGCAGATCTGAGTTCGTTTAAATCGCCCAAAATCGAGGTCATCATAAGAGAGGCAGCGCGCTATCCTAATATTTGAGAAGCCCAAAAATAAACTCCGATTATCAGTTTCAGTTCTCCGTCCGATTCGTCCGAATTTTACCGCGATCTTCAAATAATGCCATTTATTGCATTTACTATCAATCAGTTACAGTACTAAGCCTCAGTCTAGGCTCCGCAACCTGTGTGAAAAACCTGACTCAGGTTTCTTCACAGGCTTCAGTCTTCGTTGTCTCCAGCATCAGTAGAAAGGGACAAGATTCTGTCGACGGAGCAATCTATTTGTATAAAAATCTGAATGCGCAGTATTCAAGGATTTCTAGCATCACTTTTTGAAGCAGGTGACTTTTGAGTTTTATTGAGCTTGGCCGCTCGACCGGGAACTCGAAAGCCTGTCTCCCCAAAGGGCAGGAGTCTGTTCCCCTCCTTTTCATTCTTGCTCCGTTTTATTCCCGAGATTTTTCTTCCTTTCAGACGAAAAAAGAAAGAAAGTGTCCTCTTCAAACTATTTGATCAAGTGGAGCCTTTTAAGAGAGATTAGCACTTCCGAGTGAATTTTGAAGCCTAAATTTTCAAGTCTCGGTAAGTATTCTAGCAAAATCCTGACTTCCGCTTTTTGACTCAAAAGTCTGCTCGAGGCAACCTGAGTCAGGGTTCTAAAGAGTAAAATGAAAAGCCGCGTAGCGGCTTTTAAATACGAAGCCGCAAAGCGGCTTCGCCAAACTACCAACTCAATGAATATTTTTAAGTAGCGGCTTTTTTAAACGCTTTGCGGCTTCGCTACATAAAAATATTCATTGAGTTGGTAAGTTTGGCGAAGCCGCTTTGCGGCCTCGTGTTTAAAAGCCGCTACGCGGCTTTTCATTTTACTCTTTAGAACCCTGACTCAGGTTTTCTACTCAGGTTGCCGAGCACTTGGTGAAGTTAAGTGCTCCTTGAAAGCAGTAGATTAAATAGTAAAAGCGCGTTAATTTGAGAATTGGCGAATTCTATTTTGTTCTGGTCCAGATTCTCAATCGAGTAGTACGCTCTCAGTCAGGTGGAACGGACTGTTACTGATCTGAGTAATCCGCCGGCGGCGAGGTCTCGTTTTTCCCTTTCAGATGCGAGGAAGAGAGATGCTCCCCCTTTTTCCAGAGCAATGAAGGGAGAGAGCTAGAAGAAAAAGTCACCTAGAAGAGCAGCTGGCCTTTATCGGCTTAGAACACATGGCGAAAAATCGGAAGTAGGTAGATTTTCGTTGTTGTTTTCGATCGATTAATCCGCCGGCAGCGATTAGTTGCCCCTAGAGCGAGCTACTCTTTCATCCTTTCGGAAAGGGAAGCAGTCACGTGCCCAGGTGGTTGTGTGCCTAACTCGTGTCCGCTAATCGCTGACTTACGCCAGTAAGAACAGTGGCCGCCCTGCTGTGACCCCTCAACACCGCCGCCTTTTCTTCACCAAGCTTTCCCTCACAACGCATGCCCAAACAACAAAATTTTTTAAGAGACTAAATGCCACACAGAATGGTCTAACCGATGTTCCCCGCCTTCTATTCGCAAGTTCCTTGCTCAGTGGATTCGCTCAGTTCTTCTTATACGCACAATATGACGACTTCTCGATCTATGCCGAAGAAGAGTCCAATGATCCAGCAGAGAATACTCTACCTGTAAGTATCAGATCAAAATTTCAATAGTAAGATCATAGATTTGAGCTTCATCTTTCCATAAAATTAAGAAAATAAGGGTATCCCTTTCTTAAAGTCCATTTTTGGACTTAAATCATCATTCGCAAGCTTTTAATTATGACTTTTTCTCCTTTAATTAACGCGTTGACACCCATATTTCATTTTTACCAAGGGATAGTTCACACCCTTAATTAAGAAAAAAGGGTATCCCTTTCTTAAATCTTGAAGAAAAATCTACTTTTTCGACCGAAATCATTATTCGCAAGCATATATATTGAGACCTTTCTCCTTAAGTTAACGCTTTGACACCCTTATTTTATTTTTACCAAGGAATAGTTCACACCCTTATCTATTCGTTTCCAATCAAAATTTTCAGCAAAACATCAGCTACGAGCTAATCATCGGCAATGAAACGTACACGCTGGACAATCTAGCCACCTACAATGTTTCTGTTGAGCTGCAGCTTCCCGATACCCGCTCCTTGCGGCATCTGTTCATGTTGAACACCGCCTTTATCGACGCGGTTTGGCAGCCATTCGAAACGATCGAAGACTTCTTATTCGAGCTACTTACTCTCCAAGTCGACGATCATTTGGACTACGTTTCTAACAACTGGCAAAAGGTACGCTTTCTCAAAATCTTCTTGAAAAACCTTCCCTTACTAACTTGAATCAGGAGCACCAATTCAATACTACACTTCCTGCCAAACTCTTTCTTGCCTTCAAGGTTAAAAATCGTCTCTTTTACTCGTAAAAATGTCTCTTTTTTTACAAAAATTGTCATTTTTTCTCGTCTATGTCTTCAAAAATCAATTGTAGAAAAATACTCATTTCTCTTAGGTGGCCAAGTTCGAAACAGGCTACCTGATCTGCCTCGCCTTCGGTCTCCTTTTCGTCATTTCTATGCCCATCGTCGGTTTGATTTTCTGCTCCTGTCGATTGTGCAACAACTGCGGCGGAAGAAGATACCAGGACATCAAGGATGCCAAATCGGGCTGGCGAATATTTCATTTCCTCGCGCTGATGCTGACCAATTCCATCCTCATTATTCCAATGGTGTTCATCTTTTTGACGAATGATTGGATCGGAACTGTTCTTCAAGAAGCTGGACCGGCTGTTCTTGCGAATATTGATCACATTTATGGATATACAGGAAAAGAGATCGGAAATCATTAATAAAGTAACAGTGACATTCTGATTTTGATCTCGAAAAAGGTTCAATAAAGACGCAAATGGACGACATTTACAACAACTACAAATTCGTCGAAAACTTGACGACTCTTCAACTGGAAAACATCGGCAGCGTCCTCGGCGATCCGATTCAAACGGAGCTGCGAGCGAGTTTTAACCCTTTATTCGGCGAACTCGGCGAGTTTCAGATCGTCCTCGACGGAGTGACGAGCACGCTCTCTTCTGTGGATCAAAACTTGGCGAGGATTTCGAACGGCGTCAAGACTTTCGAAGGGACGCTGGAAACAATCAAGACCAGCATCGAAGCGGATCTGGCATTCGACAATTGCGACAAGAACGCGGCGTGCAGCATGCTCAAGGGATTCACCGCCAAATTGCAGCTCGGCGGCGACTTTCAGTCGGTAAGTTTCTGGACGAGTATTTACCCAGAGCTGCGACAAGTCGCCGACTTTTTCAAGTACATCTACTACCCCTTCATTGAGACAGTGAGTTTTATGCTCGGTGAGATCGATTTTCTGGTGTTTGAGAAAAACGATATAGAGAGATAAGATGGTGCGCTTCTTCTTTTGGTGAAAAAAAGATGATTCATTTGCAATATGAAAATTCTAGCTTCAAGCTCTCCCCGATTCTCCTCATTGATTTAAAAATAATTCTAGCTTGACGATATGTCGTTGGAAATAAAAGAGCTGCAAGATGCTCTCGCGCGATACAACCTCACAAATGTCATCATTCTCGGCGAAAACGCAATCAACGACATTCCAAACACAATCGACCGCTACACGAGTTCCATGATCAACGACATCATCGGCCCTGGCGGCATCTTCGAAAGCGTCGACCAGGACGTCCAGCGCGTGATTGACCAAGTAGACGACTACCTCGACGTCAACAACACAATCGACCTGCAAGAGCACCGGCAGACGGTGCAAGACATTGCCAACGAAATTCCAGAGGCGGAAAAGTACAGAAACATTATCGGCTTGACGATAGGCAGCATGGTAGCGCTTGTTGTCGGCGCAAACTCGCTGGGAATTATGCTCGGCTTTTGCGGCTACAAACGCGAGGCAACGCCGACAAACAGATCTTCAGCGTCGAATCTGGGCGGCATTTTCTTGATGATGTCGGTCAGCTTCAGCTTCATTTTCGGCTGGCTTCTGATGATGCTCTCAATTATCGCCTTCACTGTAGGCGGCCACGGAGAAAAGTACTTTTGCCAGACGATGCAGGAGGACTCTCAGGGCAATTTCACCGGCCTGGAGGTAAACTATCCTTTCTTTGATTAGTTTTATTTATGGCTAGTTTTTGCACGACCTGGGTGCCTCGATGGGATACAACTATCCCCTCGATCTTGTCCGCCCAGTCAATTTTACTTTCGAAAATTCCACCGAGAATGGGTTCATGTCGCCGACTGAATATTTTTCGTAAGGAAAAAAACACGTCTTCCTTGTTGTTTTCCATCATTTTTTTAACAAAAATTGTCGTACCAGAGTCCCCACGACCAGAGTCGTTAAATTTTGCCACATTTACCCCCTTAACTTTTGATAAAACGTACCCCTGTATTCTTTAAGTGTTTAAAATGACGACGTGACAACGTAAAGATGACTCATTTGCGACGTCACGTCGTCATTTCCAACACTCAAAGAATACAGGGCTACGTTATATCAAAATTTAAGGGGGAAGATCTCCTTTTTTTCACATTCATTTTTTACTAAAAAAACTTAGTTCATCTCACAGCTCGCAAGTTTGAATATCAGCATAAGCAGCAACTCGTCAATATCGTCATTAGATTTGTCCTCATCCTTATTGTATGTATCTGTGCAGGTCTTGAAAACCCTCTTAAATGGCCCAAATTTCAGGATGTGTAAAAACAACACGGGTTTGTACAAATTGCTCGAGCTGGACCAGATGTTCGACTTGGACGAGCTCTTCAACTTGACAAAGTACAACCAACTAGTGGACGAGCAATTCGATCAAATAGGAGCTGTGCTGAATGGAACTCTCGACGGATTTCTCAGCGAAGATGATATAGCGAATATTGAAGTGTTGAAGAGTGAGTCTCTCTTCCTTGATTTCAACTCGTGATCACTCATTCTTAGATGGTTCCTGGAGACATATCGACTACGCAACTTACTTGAAAGAAGTAAATAAGGGTCTCACATCGATCGATCTTGAGAGCTTTGCTGGGATGCTGAATGAAACATCTGTCGACATCGAAAACAACCCCTCGCCCATGACAAATATCGAAAAAGCGACTACTGTTGCTAAATTGCAAAAACACAGGTGAATATTATTAGCCAAAGCGAGTTTCGTTTCGGGAAAAAATTTCGACCTGTTCTTCTTTGGCGACACTGGTGACGTCGCCGAATGTCGCTGAATGTCGCCAAATGTCCCTGAATGTCGCTGAATGTCAAGACATTTCGGCGACATTCAGCGACATTCAGCGACATTTGGCGACATAACCAGGGCGCCCAGTCTTTTTCTATTGTTTTTGTTCAGCTACGATGTTCTGAATCTGTATCAAACGCAAATCGAGCCGCTGGAAAGTGCCCTCGCCGATCTGGAAAACGATTTGGACAATTTGAAGGACACGGCGGAAACTGTCGACTCTTCGCTCGATGCTTTAATCGAAGAAGCCCGCATTGTTAACGAAACTCTCATTACAGTCACGCCCGAAAGGTGACTTTTCGAAAAACCCATTTTTAAAATTCATCTCTGTTTCAGCTTGAATCAAATCGCGAGAAGATACTCGAGTGACATCGCCGGCCGAATTCAAACCTTCTCGTCCTGGCTCAAAGTCCAAGTGGAGGAAAACGTCGGAGCGTGTCAACCGATTTACGGAATTTATACAAATGTCATGAACATTGCCTGCTCCTACTTTGTCGACTCGTTAAATGCTTTTTGGTTTTCTTTGGCTTGGGCGACAGGTGAGCCTTCGTTTTTGAGCGAGAATTACAGTGGACAATCCTAAAATCGGTGCACACGATTTTCAGCCAATCAGATAGCGGCATTCCTTTTTTGGCCAATCAGAGCACAGAATAGAGAACTGGACTCGGGAACCTGAGTCAGACTCTTTTCATTTTAGCTCTTCCAGAGCCTGACTCAGGGTTTTTACTCAGGTTGCCGAGCCCATTTCTCTACTCTGTGCTCTGATTGGCTCAAAAGGAATGCCGCTATCTTATTGGCTGAAAATCCAGTGGGCCGATTTAAGGATTACCCACTGTAACTTCGATGAATTTTTTCGATTGTGATTTTATGTTTCAGTATTTTTGATCCCTTCGATGATTTTCGGCGCGAAACTGCACAAGTGGTTCCGGCGAATGAAGCAAGAAGAGTATTTCGACGAAGTGGCGCTGGGAATGAACCGCTCCGGCCAGTTCTATAACGAGTACGGCGGCAGGCGAACGCACTCTTACCATAACCCACCTCCATTTAACCCTCACTTCATCAAACCGTCGCCTAGCTGACGATGGTAAAGTAGCACTGCTAAATTAACGCGCTCGTTTAGGGGCTTTGACTCTGAGTCGGATTATTCCTACTCCGATTAGCAGCTCACAAATTTCAACGCAGTAAGATTCCTGTTGTCATTTTTATGCCATGTAACAAATGACTGTTAAATTTAACCTATTCGCGCGTATTTACCAATTATTTTGCAAAAGGGCTTTCTTAACCCATCTTATAACCAATAAAATGGTCGAAGATTGGAATCGACCAATAAAAATCACTTTTTCCAAAAAATTGGTAAAATGACTCGAAGAGGTTAAAATTTTAAAATTGCGAATTCTCATCAAAAAATAGTAACCAGCTGGCTTTTTATTAGAAAAGACACCGTTGTCGCCTAAAGAAGAACAACTTGCCAAATAAAAGAAAAAGAAGCCGCAGCGTCCAAAAGAACTAAATATTCAATTTCTGTAAAAAGCGATTCACCTCGACTGACCCTGATTTACAAATACAAGTTCAAACAAACTAGAAAACGCATCCAATTGCATAAAAGAAAGGGTTGAGAGAACTGATTCTATTTTCGCTTCGGAAACTTGGTTTGACTTCAAGTTTTTGATTTTCTTCTGAGAAATCGTTGTCGAAACGGAAAATTTTACTGAAATCAAGGAGGAAACGGAAGATTCAAAAATCTCTAGAACAAATTTTTTAATAACTAAAAGCTACTAACAATTTTTCTAGAGCAATTTCGAGAACAAAGCCGCGAAAATAAATCATTTTAAAAATTTTTTAATTAATAATTAATATTTAGAATATGTTTTTAAATATAATTAATATTTTCTATTAATTATTTAAAATTTATTTTGAATTTAATTAATTTAAATCATATATTTGTAATAATTTTTAATAATTCAAAAATTAAAATATTTTTTGAATTAATTAGATTAAAAAAATAATAATTATTTTTAAATTCATAAATAAAAAAAGTAGTAGTTTGTCGATTTTATTACGGGAAGGAATTGGACAGATTGGAAAGGGTAATGAAATGCTCGGAACTGACAAAAAATGATTGAAGGCGGCTTTGACAGATCTGAGATCCCGAGGTACTTTTTTCAGCGCGCATTTTATATTTTTCCTCGAGAGAAAGAGAGCGCGCGGAGGTGATAAGAAGCATGAGATTCTTCGTTCGCTCTTCTTTTTGCTTATTGGCACTTTTTGGGCCTTTCAGGTAAAAAGGGAAAACAGTGTATTGGCGTAAATACGCGTGCTAATCAGTAATCACATTGCGGCGCGTGTCTAATCCCAAGTTTAACCCAAAGCACCCGTTTTTTAAATCGTTCAATTTTGATCGTTAAAAAATAAAATTCTAGCGCCGCGAAAAATGCGAAGCAAAAACAGAAGGGTGCGCCAACTTTGAGCCCGTGTTCCTGGCTCTAGAAAAGAGACCAGGCAAGAAAATGAGAGCAGCATCAGAGTAGGAAGCAGCCGATTCCGGCGTCAGGAAATGGGCCGCTTTTCTACTTTTTGAGGAAAGAAGTTTCAAATTGGGGCTTAGCGATAATCCTGGCCGAAATCACGCCTCGTTTTTAAACTTTACAAAAAATTAACAAATTGAAGATAATTTTAATAATTTAGGAAATAAAGATGAGCAAAAACTAGAATCCAAAATTCAGATTTTGCCGAATTATCACTTTCTGTAATTTTATAGCTATTTTTCTTATTTTGACTTTAATAATTCAATAAAACTGAATCTATTTTACTCTGAGAATGAAAAAAATTGAAGGAAATTTTCAAACAATCTATAAAAATGAAATTTTATTGTTTTAGATTCTAGAATCTTGATTCTAGAAAATTTTACAACAAAAAATCACTTTTTCCAAAAAATTGGTAGATTGATTCGAAGAGGTTAAAATTTTTAAAAAATTAACCTATTCGCGCGTATTTACCAATTATTTGGTAAAAGGGTCTTAGTCCACCTATTAACCAATAAAATGGTCAAATTTTCAACCCCTTTATAAAAATGAAATTTTATTGTTCTAGAAATTATTATCTAGAATCTTGATTCTAGAAAAATTCACAACTTTTTATCTTTGAATTGAACTCATCCATGATTTAAAAATCCAATTTTTCTATAAGAAACTATCGACAGGAAACTAAAAAATAAAGTCAAACTAGAATCTTGAAGTAACTTAATCTTTAAAAATAAAAATTCCGAAATGAACTTCAACAACTTTGATTTTTAAAAAGTCAAATAATTTTTTCAGCAGCGCGGCACTTCGAACTCAGGTAAAAACAATATTTAACTGATTTATTTCTCGAATTCAGCTGTTCCGGGGAAATCTGCTGTTCCCAGGCGGAAGTGGACCAGCTCGTGGCTGAAATCAGCGAAGTGATTTTCGACAAATTCGAGCAGCAGCGCCTCTCCATTCAAAATGCTGTTCAGGGACTCAAGCTCTCGATTAAATCGCTTCTTCTTCAATTTGACGCTGATATGGATAAATTTTTTGCGACAGGAGAAGTTTTTAAAATTTTTTTTAAAAAATTGATTAAATTATTTAAAATTTCCTATTAAAAAATTATTATTTAAAATTATTATCATTTTTTTATAATATTATTTTTTTAATATTTAATTTATTATTATTATTTTATTAAAATTTAATTAGTAAATTTATTTTTTAATTTAATTGAATCGACAATTTAAGAAAGAGTTTAGTTATTGAAAATTAGCTGCTTGAAAAACTAAAAAAGCGTACGAGCAATTATTCTTCCAAAACAGAGTAATCTTTGAGTCGTTTCAAGCCGACCTCAAGGCGGTGGTTTTTTCTGTAAACAAAACGCTGAAATCTAAAATAATTAAATAACCGTGAAAGACAGTTTTCGACTCGTCCAAAAGTCCGAATCCGAAGCTTCCATTTCGCCGCCTTTTCGCGCGAATCCGACTTGAGTACCGCGAGTTTCTCGATTTTCCCGCCCAAAATTGCCGCTTCCAAAACTCATCAAAAAGCGAAATCAACAAAAAGAGAGAAAAAGCGTTTTCTCCTTTTTTAAACCCTTCATCGAGCAGCTCAAAACGTATTGAACAAAAAGTGGAAAACATCAGATCTTAATTGAGTTTTTTTAGCACCCGCACTGTTTTGTGGAAGCTCGAAAAACTGCTCAGATTTTGGAAAATTTGGAAGAAAAGGAAATCCTTCCATCTGCCGAGTGTCTCGCGCCAAAACGGTAAAAAATAATGTTTTTCCCGAAAAACCGATTTTCCGTCAATTCGCTAAAAACACGGTTTTTACCCAAAAGTTGACTTTCCGTCAATCCGGGAAAAGCTTTCTTGAAAAAAAGTTTTCATCGTCGAATTTTAGCCTTTGTCCGATTTGCACGATGGCAGAGAAAGTCGATAGCTACAGTAGCTGTTTGTTTCTCCACGAACGGGACGCGGAACTGTGTCTTCCGTGGCTGAGAAGTTGGACCCGGCTGGTCGAGTTTTGGAACGCACTGTCCAAAAGGACGCGCGGCAAAAGCGACTGGCGAGCGAATTCCAGCGGCTTCCCGAAAATTTGAGTTATGCCATCATGGAGTTTATACAAGCGCTTTCAGCTGAAAATGATAAGCTCTGTCGTCAGTTCTCGCCCAAGGTATAATCGCCGCCCAAAACTACTCATTCGTTTTTCACTTTTCCAAATTCTCAGTCGCGCAAGAGATCGTTACTAGCCGAGAAGAGGAGCACCGTCGAATTCCTCGATCTGAGCGCAATCACGGCCAAAGCAGCTGCTTTTCCTGGCGAATTAGGAGCCAGCATCTGTAGCAGTTCTTTACCAAGGGGAAGGAGAAAAGAAGAAGAGGCAGCGAAAAAGGACGGAAAAAGAAGTCGCACTGCTTTTGCTAAAAGCCCACCTCAAGTAAATCAAACCCTGAGCTCGGCAGCCTGTTTCGAAAACCTGAGTCAGGGTTCTGAATGATCTTCGCCAGAATTTTTGCTAGATTGTAATGGTAGTATTAGCGGCTTTTCATTTCAGTATTTTCAGACCCTGACTCAGGCTTTCTACACAGGTTGCCGAGCCCAGCTTACTCTAACCATGCTATCTAACTCGTGAATTTAGCTCTCCCTTTCGATCGAAGACATAGAACGAATGAATCAAATTCAAGAAGAGCTTGATCAAATGATGATCGACGATTTGGAAAAGAAAGAAAAAGCTGGAAGACATCGACAAATGGAAAATCCAGATGTTTCAGAAAAAGACGAAAAGGAGGAGGAAGTTTTAAAAAGCGAGATTCTGAAAAAGGGTTGTTTTCTTTTGACATCAATTATTTTCTGTACACGATTCTGGCGCTGTCGATTTGTCTGATCGTCGTGACTCCTATTTTGTACATTCGGCTGAAATAAAAAGAAGGCGGAATAAGTAGATTTGCGAATAAAATAGTATCTCAAGTGGGCTGTCGTAGTCTGACATCGCGCTTGTCGCCCGGGGTGGAGGCAGCATTCAGCGCTCTCCATTCAATTTTTGGCAGCTTCCTGCAGCGATGAACAGCAAATCCGGAATTCCTTCTCCTTCGAAGGGGCTGCTGACTTCTTTCAGTGAGACTGAAGGACATGCTCCTTGCAGCTCAATTGGTTCTATCAACTATAGGACCAGTTCTGAAGACTAAAGACGAAGAAACTAAGTGCTCTTTTGACTAATAGTAGACGCGTAAAAGAAAGATTGTGATGGTTACTTTTTGGCAACCTGTGTGAAAAACCTGAGTCAGGCTTTTTGAAGAGCTAAAATGAAAAGCCGCAAGGCGGCTTTTAAACACGAAGCCGCAAAGTGTTTAAAAATAGATAAGGGTCATTGAATTCCGAAGACGCTTTGCGGCTTTGTTTAAGAAAAAGCCTAAAATAACGGCTCTCTGATTTCCTAATTAGCTAATTGATTTATTAGCTATTTATCAAAATCACTTTTGTCTCAAAATCCATCTTCTTCTTTTTCTAATTGAAAAAAAGCAGTGGAAAAAAGGCATTGTTTTCTTTACCGAGAAGGTACAGTATAATCTTTGTCATTGGCGTTTTTTCTGACTTGGTGGCGGTGGTGCCGCGGGGCCTTTTCTTTCCCCAAGTGCGTCCGCGGCGGGGCGCTAGAGTGCACCCTTTGCGCGGCGGGTGGCGATTTCGGGCGGGCGGATTTTCCACTTCTGACAAGTAGCAGGTCTTGCCGTTTTTTCAGTCTACTTTGGGTCTTGCTGACTCAACTTTCAATACTAAAATCGCAAGCAATACAGAGATTATTTCCAACAAGAAGATTCAAGAGAAAGAACAGAAAGAAGAAGAAGAAGCGAAAATTAAAACAGAGATTTTTCAAGAAGATCAAAAACGAAACTTGAAATTTCTTCCGTCGAGCCATGCGGTAAGCAGTGTTAATTCTAACACCAAAGAGAGCTTCATTAGAAAAGCCGCAAAGCGGCTTTTTAAAAACGAAGCCACGAAGATTTTCAATACAAATCGCGCATTTTTACTTCCAATCGAGAAGCCGCTTGCGGCTTCGAATTAATAAAAAAGCCGCGCGAAGTGCGGCTCAAATGATAATTTCTCGAAGCCGCAAGCAGCTTTTCGATTGGAATAAAAACGCGAGATTTGTATCGAAAATATTGGCGAAGCCGCTTTGCGGCTTCGTTTTTAAAAAGCCGCTACGCGGCTTTATTAGTAAGGCCTTCTAGAATCTAGATCGTAGCGGCTTTGCCAAAATCTCCATTTCGAAATTTCCAATTTTCGAAGCCTTTTTCTATCTTTTTTGTCTTGATGGAACAGCGCTGGTATTTGTCAGTTTTTTCCGAGCTTGGTGGTGGTGGAGGAGCGTCGTTTTCTCACCCTTCTGCGTTTACGCGTGTTTCGCTTTAGAGCAGGCGCATCAAAGCGAAACTAGCAATTTGCGCGTTTTGCTATATTTAGAGTTATGTTGCAGGGAGCAGATAGTGGGGGCTTAGATTGTTTCGATGACAACCTTGGACACACACACAGACTCGGTCCGTGACGCAACAAAAACAGCACTGTTCTACCAATTCAAAATACAAGCACCGCCTGAAACTGTAGCTCGTGCCTTTGTCACCCCCTTATCCCGCCAGTTTCAAGTTTACCTGCAAACTACAATCTCCACAAGAAGAAAAAATGGCTGTATTTAATTTTGGCTCTAGAAAAATCAACCTTTTTTATACTTTTTCAAGCACGCGGCTTTTCATTCAAGACTTTTCAGACCCTGACTCAGGTTTTCTACACAGGTTGCCAAGCCAATAAAATACAGAAAATTTTTTTGAGACTGTTTTTCTGCTAGAAATTCATCTTTTTCAGATTTTTTCTTATCCGCGAGTGAAAACGGTAACAGCTCGCGAGTTGCTTTATTTAACATAAACACGCGCCCCGTTAGCCCCTCTCAGTCTTAGTAATTACGGAATGTTTATTAATGATCCCAAGAGAGAAGGAATGCGCACAGTTGGTAATTACTATTACGTGATGAGTTTGACCTCTGCAAAAAGCGAAAGAAAAGGCAAATTAACAATTTTGGAAAGAATTTTAGGATTTTTGGATTTTGGATTTTTTGGATTTTTGGATTTTTGGATTTTTTGGATTTTTGGATTTTGGATTTTTTGGGTTTTTTGATTTTTCGGATTTTTGGATTTTTTCCGGAAATCCGTTTCTTTTCTTGATATTTTGTTATTTGAAAAATGGTCTAAACCAATTTTGGGAGTGAATTTTGGATTACCAATAAGATTGGTGTATTTGGCCTACCGGCCAATCAAAACCCTTTCCATAAAAATTTGTTCCAAAAATTGGTTCTACCCTGAAAAATGATCTTTTTGTTGATGGCGTTGAATTTTGAAAATCGACCTCAATTTTCAAATTTTTCTCCGCCAAAACCACGATCTAAACACACCGGCTTTCGAACCTGTTAAACTGCATCTCATTAGCGCTTGAAATTGAACACCAGCCGCGATTTTACGAAATACGAGATTCATGCTTCATTCAAGCGCGCCTCATTATTTGAAATTTCTTCTTTTCGATTAAAAAATTACTGAACAGTCGATTTCGATCATCATCGGTGGTCACGCTTGTTCCATTAAAAAAAAAGAAGAGACGCGTGGGGAGAGTTTTAAATCAATGCTCGGAGACCTTTTCTTCCCAAAATGCCAACAACGCTGAGAAACTAAAGCTAATGCTAAAGCCACTCTCGCATCCGCCGTGTTGCTGGAGTGCGTGCTATGTTTGCTCCTTTTCCTCGCCCTCTAATTACTACTGTATGTTTTCATACTACACGTTTGTCATAACTCTCTCAGGACCCTGACTCAGGTTTTTACACAGGTTGCTGAACCTAGCCTCTGGAATTTCAAACAGTGGCCCTTCAATTCTAGCATGCTAGTTTTGAGAAAGGTGTTTTGAGAAGAACACTCAATTCTGGGCTCAGCAACCTGTGTAGAAATCCTGAGTCAGGGTCTGAAAAAGCTGAAATGGAAGGCCGCGTAGCGGCTTTTCAAATGAAGCCGCTTCGCGGCTTCTATATAAAAGTAGCTGCGCGGCTTTTCATTTCAGCTTTTTCAGACCCTGACTCAGGTTTTCTACACAGGTTACTGAGCTGAATCGAAACGAGGGATGGAATATTGAGCGAGAAAGAAAGTCTCCCTGCGGCGTAAAATTCGAGATCGGGCTCGTGAAATCAGCTTATCGAGCGAGCATACACAAAGCATTCGGCAAGAGTTTAAAATTCGCCGTCTCATATGCAACGAGTCCGCTGCCATGAGACTGGCGCATTAGTAGCAGCAACAGCATCAGTCTTCCCAAGACGAGGGCGAGGACACGGGCTTTGCTTCTTGCGCCATGTTTTAAAGCCAAGGTTGAACGTTTTTGGGCGACGAGTAATGCCCCGATAATGGATCTAATCGCCCATTTGTAGCTACGGCCTTCCTCGAGAAAGCCTCAGAACACGTCGCAACTTAAGAACCTCCTCTTCCAATCACAATTGCTTTTGTCGAAATTCTGCCCAGAATCGATTGTTTTTTATTCAGAAATAGGAGTAGATAAGGTAAAGAATGAAAAAGGCAGTGCAGATCAGAACTGTTCGATAAATAAGGGTGCGAATGAGAATTCTAGAGCCAAAGACAAAGACGAACTTTGCGATAGAAAAGTAAAAGTTGTCGACGGAGCGAATCAATTCTTCCATTTCTCTCTTCTTTTTCCTCAAAAGTGTCGAAAAGAAGTGAAATTTTGAATGATTTCGTTGATCGATGAAAATTCTAGCAGCTGTTCTAGCGCCGAGCTGAGGTGATTTTTACGATTTATTCCGATTAGACGATTTTCATCAAGTTGAAATCATAAAGTTTAATTTTCCTTCGATTCTGAAGTTCGCGTTTTCGAATTTCCAGTCGAAGCTGATCCTCATTTTCGTCGGCTGGCGGAAATAAGATCTGTCGGATTGCTTCTTTATCTCCGTCAGACTAGAAGGAAAAGAGTGGTTTGGAATTAATTGCGCTTTTTTTGAAAGCCTTTAAAGTTGGAATCGGCGTCAATCAAAAAAGAAGCTGCCAATTTTTGCTGCAATTTTGCGATTTTGCGACGGCGGGAATCGTAAAAGAGCCGCCGCTTCCTCAATTTTACTCCTCGTTAGAAATTACAATCGTAATCGCAGTTGCAATAACTTTTTTAAAGCAGATGGTTTTACGAGGAGCCAATCTCCGTAATTATGATTTTTATCATTCCCGATTCGTTTTTTCCATTTCCATATCGATTATTTAGGAATTAAGGGGGTAGACGTCGATAATAATATATTATATATAGATTATAAAAATAAGGGTGCGGCCCCCTTAATTTTTAACGAGAAAGAGGTCGATTTGGAATCGTTTTTGTCTGAATTAAGGGGGTAGACGTCGATAATAATAATTTATATCATATATATTATAATTTATTATTATCGACGTCTACCCCTTAATTCAGGCAAAACGATTCCAAATCGACATCTTTTCTTTAATAAAATTAAGGGGGCCGCACCCTTATTTGTATAAACTGCGAAATTAAAAGATTTTTCATTGATTTGGGCTTTATTGAATCTACTGATTTCAGAGTGGCGTAGTGACAAAATGCGGTAGGAAATTGACAATTAGAACAGATGCTCGCGCTTGTAAAGATTGAGTTTTATGTAATTGATTTTGCACGGAGACCACAAATTCTCCTATCGGCTTGAATTTTCCGCCTAATTTCCAAATCACTCTCTCTCTTTTTTTCAACACTTTCGGGGCTTGAAAACCTGTGTTCAAAACCTGACTCGAGTCTTTTGGTCGATTTGGGATCGTTTTTATCGAGAATTAAGGGAGTAGCCCTCGATATTCTCACTTTTCAGATTCAGATTTTTACAGCAGTAAATTTCCTGCAGAAATCGAAAAGCCGCTTGCGGCTTCGAGCAAAGACAGAAAAGCCGCGCGAAGCGCGGCTTTAGTTCTTTCTACTCAAAGCCGCAAGCGGCTTTTCGATTTCTGCAGTAATATTGCTGTTGCAAAAATCAGTCAGCCAAAAGTGAGAATATCGACGTCTACCCCCTTAATTCTCGATAAAAACGATCCCAAATCGCCTTATTTCTCAACTGGCGATGAGTGTACATAATTTGAAAGAGCAGGAAAGAGCCAAGTTAGTTTGTTAGTTTAACGCAATAAATGAGGAGTGAACTTTTGCCTGGCGGGTTATGGATAATGCATTTCTGGCCGAAAAGCGAGGCTAACATTATTATTTCCTGCCGAAAATATTCGAGCAGCGAGCTTCTAAAAAGGTTTGTAGGGTTGAGATTAAATTGTCGGCTTTGGGGAGGGCGGTTTAATGTTAATACGAAATTCGGGTCTAGCGCTAGATTAGAAGATCAGCTCAGAGAGCAACAGGTGCCATTTGCGTAGGGTGTACCCGCGTTCTCGTACTCTGGGTGTGTCGCTTTCCACGAACGAAAGAGACAAGCCGCTATTGACTGTAATTAATAATCCCCCTGCGTCGCTGGAAATTTAAAATTTGCCAATATTCAATTATGAATCATTTCATTCTTTTTGGCGAATCTAAGGGACTAGCAACCTGTGTTTTAAACCTGAGTCAGGGTTGTGAAAGAGTTTAACGAAAAGCCGCGCAGCTTCGCCAAAGTTACCGTCTCTTCACAAGATTTTTGACTAGAAAGAGCTGGTAATTTCAGCGAAGCCGCTTCGCGGCTCCGTTTTTAAAAAGCCGCACGGCGGCTTTTCGTCAAATCTTATCAAAACCCTGACTCAGGTTTTAAACACAGGTTTTCGGACCATTCTAGGAAGCAATGTTTTTAAACATTTTATTTGATTAATATTTTCAGATCAAACGAATGAGTTTGAAGCGAGCCGATGAGAGTGTTGGTGCAGTTACACGAAGAGGCGTCCGAGCCGAGCTAGCTGAGAGCGGGTGGTCGAGAAAGAATCATGGTGCTACTACTAGCCACAAAGCAAGCCACTGTAAAGGCACCACAAGTGAAAAGGTACTTTGAGGCGCTTTGAATTTTCTAGCTTGAAATTTTGAAAAATCAAGTTCTTCTCGCCTTTCTCTTTTTTAGTTTCGATAAAAGTAAAAACTCGGGGTTTGTTTCTTTTTAACTCTCCTAGGTTAGAGATTCTTGTTTCACGCAAGTAATCCGGTGGTAGTTTTCCATGGTCGTTGGCTGACCGCGCCGGTTCGTTACTCGTGGTTTGGAATAGACGGCCGATGCCACTTCCAATCCTCCAGTTTGGGCGCAGAGTACTCTCTCGCCCCTTTTTGTTGTTGTAAATTTGACCATTCGAAATTAACGGGATGGCCACTTTGGGATCAAATATTTAAAAACTTAAGTTGTTTTTGAATTGCTGACCAGAAAATTTAAGGGTGTCAAACCGAAATTGGGTTGAGAAAATTCTTAAAATATAAAGTTTTAAAGGGTTAGCGCATTCCGGGCGAACCCGTTGAACTTTGATACTGATCAGTGGGACGTTGCGCGCGCAGTGCCAGTCTCGGCTGGTCAGTTGTCTCTCGAATAAAGTAGAAGCAGCAGCTAAAAACTAGAATTGTTGTCTTTTATTCCCAGGAGCTAGAGTCTCAGTGGGAGAGTGTTTCCAGCAGTGCATTGACCCTTTAGTGGTGTCAGAGACTACGCTTCATTCGACATAGAGAACTCCCGCGGCCCCAGAACTTACACCTTCAACCCTCCACCTTGTCTACCGCTCGACACATCCATCTCATCGCTCCAAATTCTCCAAAATCAGCTGAGTACCCTACGATTCGACAAATACCACCCACCCTACCCAACTTTTGATCGTCTTCTACCCTGTCCAGCGTTTTTCTCCGCCCAAGGCCGTTACGAACCTGGATCAGCACTCGTGTACTTACTTCCGGTATTCGCCGCGTGTGGAAAAGTACCGCCGCGCCAACCGTTTTGCCACGTCAACTTGAGCAACCGCTGCGATTTCGATCTCGCGCCGCCGCTGACGCCCATTTTCAACGACATTTCGCGCTCTCCAAGTCCGTTATCTAACTTTGACCCTCAAAAGTCTCAGTTAGTCGGACCGGTCGAGGTAATTTCGCTCGAAAGCAGTAAATCGGCTCCTCTTAGCTCGGCAGCTCTTCCAAATCGCACATCTCCCGCCAAGTTACGACATCAATCGACTGCTACGACCGCTATTGAATCTTCATTTGCTCTTCAAACCCCGTAAATTTCTCCTAGACAATTCTTGTCTTTGAGAAACGGGTCGGTCAAGGTAGAAATCCTCGAAATCAGTGATTCGCCCGTTCTAGTACATCTCGGAGATGCCAAATCTCCCCGAAACCGTCGAAAGATGCGACGGCGCCCTGGAACAAATCGCCGACTTCATCGCTGATCTCAACAAGAAGCTCGAATCCGCTCCGGCTGACAAAGCACTACTCACAATGAAGGAAGAACAGCTCCAAAAAGAACGTGAGCTATTCTTGCACTACAAGGACCTGGTCCGAAAACGCAAATACGCCAATCCACCGGCCGAAAGTTCCAACAGGGAATACGACCAGCGCGAGCAGCACATCTGCAACTTGTTCTACAAAAGCTTCGCGTCAATCCAGCCCTTCAAAGGGAATAGCCCCGGCCAGTTTGTGGATTTCATAACAGCGATGAGGGTATTCAAAGACAGTCATCTACGCCGCGACGGCGACGAAAAATATTCCTCAACGCTCTTACCAGCAAACTAGCTCCGAACGTCGCCCGATTTATCGGTAACGATCTCCGCGCCTGTGACGACGTCGACGCCGCCATTGGGCTTCTCAAAAGCACTATGGCCCGAAAATCTCGCATTTTCTACTGATGCTCGATGTCAGCGACATCGTTTTTGACCGATCGTGCCCCGTGACTCATTTTACATCCGAGCTCGCTACAAAACTCGCTGAGGCAAAAGCCGCGTTTCTCGAAACCTTCAAAGCCGCTAACAACGATGCTGAGCCAAATGTGGAAGATATCCACGAAGCATGGGCAACAATGTTCGCTGTCAAAGCCCTCCGAGACCAGGAGCCCGACACTTACAATGCTCTTCTGAGCTCTATCGACAAGACCTTCACGCTTAATGACCTCGCACTCAAAGCCGAGACCAGTCGCCGAAACCGCGTTTCTTCAGATGTCATCAACGTCAACAAAACTCAACCCGGATCCAACAACAAACAGAAGCAAGGCTATGGAAAACATGGCGAGGGTAAACGCTCTTGGCACAATCGGGACCCGAATTCTGCGCAGAAAAAGGACGAGAAGTCCGAAAAGCCCGACCAAATGCAGCGTAAAAGCCACTACAATGTGGAACCCGATAATTTCGCCGATGTCCATGCCCTCTTCTCTGCAATTCCAGTGCACCTCACCGAAAAGGTCGAATCTCGCCCTGGATATTTTCTACGCGCCACATTTCAGTCAGGACAAGATTCGTTCGACTGCAACATCGAATTCGATACCGGCGCATATTTAACGATTCTACCTTCGCATGTCATCCCTCAAAACGTGCTACGAAATTTGAGCGCTCCAACCCACGATGTAGCCGGTATTAGCGGAGAAGCTGAAACTCCAAGGGGAACCCTCTACTGCAAGGTTAGATTCGACGAAGGCCCTCAGTTTGAGCTCGCCGCAACTGTGATGGATGGCCAATGCCGCCCAGCACTCTTAGGACGAGATTTTTCGCGCAACAGCAATATCTCTTCCTACTCGATAAACAATTTACTTGGAAACGTCAAGTTCGAGTTCACCGAAGCTTCGAAACTAAAACCCCAAGTTGTCAAGCTACGCCCACTCGCCGGAGACGCCAAAAACTCCAATGCAAAATGGAGTGGCCCCTCCACCCTCAGATCCACCAACCAGCAGGTCTGCCTCGTCGAAGATGCAAACGGCACCGTCGACCTCATTCACCGTTCCCATGTCGCCGCGATCGAGGAAAGAGTTCCTTTCCTTGATAACTTTGATCAAAATCTGGACTTGACCGAGTGGCCACACTTGATCAAAAACTTCAAGTCGAAAATTTAGCAGAACGATCATGTGACTAGGGGAGGTAAGGGTATCGAGTCACAATCTCGGTCACGCAAGCCCAAACCGCCCGAAAAGATTCCATCCTCTCTCCCTCCGATCGCTCCGCCAAAGCCTCTATTCGAAGCTCAAAAATCTGGCTCGGCGACGGATTCAACATCTCTGATACCATCTTTGCTCCTGATCCTGGCTTCGTCACAACCCCAAAGGTCTGCTTCCAACTCCTCGCCTCAAGCGGAATATTCGCCGTCCATCTCCCTCTCGCTGGATTCTACGAAGAAACAGTATGAAGGCTAGTGTTGGCAATTGGGTTTTCTGATGCTTTTGGGGATTGGAAGTTGTCTACTGCTTAGGATCAAAAATGTTTGCTGCTTCATCACCGTACAAAACCCTCTTCAAAAATCTGCCGCCGACTGTCCCAATTCTACCGATGTTCCTCCGAGCCCGAAAGGGACATTCTACCTGTATCTTACTTATTGTCGCACTGTTCTGTATCAAGGGGAGGTAAAGGGTTAGCGCATTCCGGGCGAACCCGTTGAACTTTGATACTGATCAGTGGGACGTTGCGCGCGCAGTGCCAGTCTCGGCTGGTCAGTTGTCTCTCGAATAAAGTAAAAGCAGCAGCTAAAATACTAGAATTGTTGTCTTTTATTCCCAGGAGCTAGAGTCTCAGTGGGAGAGTGTTTCCAGCAGTGCATTGACCCTTTAGTTTTTTTAAATAAAAATTACCTATTTATAAAAACCGCAACGCGGCTTCGGCAAAATTAAAAAATGGATTACTTAACTTATTTCTTAAGGGTATTAAAGCCAATTGCAGCGTCTTTTCACAGTTTCAATGAAAAGCCTCGTAGCGGCTTTTTTAAGAAAGCCGCACTGCGGCTTTGCCTAAAATTTAAGCCGATACGCGGCTATTCATTGAAGCTGTGAAAAGACGCTGCAATTGGTTTTGATACCCTTAAGAAATGATTACTCGTTCTTTTTGACTTTTTAAACTTTTCCGAAGAAAGTTTAAAAATTAAAAGTTTGAGGCCTTTGAATCAAATTCAGCAAAGCGAGTGGTGCTTTTGAGCTTTTGGGCTTAAGGGTTTCGAGCGCGTTTTTAGAATATACAGATAAGTGTGTGTGCCGGCGGGGGCTTTATTGCGAGCGTACTCGAATTAGATTTCACCTCAGAAATCAGAAAAGCCTAAAAAATGAACTCTTAGAAGCATCTGCCGATGAAGCCGGTGCAGCGCGAGCTGAGCAAGCGGGAAAAGAACCGAAAACGCGTGGAGGAGCAACGCGAGCAGCGACAGAAGGAATTTCGCCAACAGATAAAACGTGCCGAGTCCATGCGCCATGATTTGGCCATGGAGAAGATGAAGATTAGGTAATTCCGGCGGTTTTGGAAGAAAATAAAGAGCTAGCCATTTTCATTCTTTAGTTAAAAGTTTAAAAATTAAGGGTGTCAACGCGATAAAATTCAAAAAATTAAAGAGATGATACACTTAAATTCCTTTGATACAGTAATATTTCTGTATCAAAAATCAAGAATTAAGGGTATCAACTCTTGAAATATTTCTATTTTGCAGCCAATATTTTGATGATACCCTTAATACGAAAAATTTAAAAAAGAAAATATGAAGTTATATACTCAAAATACTTGATATTAAGGGTATCATCAAATATTGGCTAAAAAAGAAATATTTCATGGTGTTGAAATATCGCTGTACCAAAAGGAACTTAAGGGTATCATCTCAAAAAATTGTCGAAACTTACAACTATCTATTATCGGACTCGGCAACCTGTGTTGAAAACCTGACTCAGGTTATGAAAAAGCCTGACTCAGGTTTTCTGCACACGTTGCCGAGCCCATCTCTTTCCTTTAGTTTTCGATAAGCGCCCTTAGTAGCTTTTTTAATGAGCGATTAAAGTGTCCTACAACGTGTTTGAAAACGCGCTCAATTTTCTCCAAGAAAAATGTTAAAACAAGAGTTTTTTATTTTCTGTTTCAACAGCGCGTTGCCCAACTCGTAAGTCGAAAAACACGTGATCTTCCTTTTTCATTTTCTTGGAAAAATCGAGCACATGGGCTAATTGAACTCATTTGTTCGGCGGAATTGGGCCTAATTGAAAGAATATGCATCGAGTTATTCCAGCGCTGCGCTATTTCTAGTCACGTGGCTAAAGCAAATGGCTTTATATACGAAAAATTCAGAAACTATTTCTGCTCTTCAGACTCTTTTCTTTCTTTTTAGACACCAATTATGGTGTTTAGTAAAATTGATTTTCAGACGCGTGGCTTCTTTTGGAGACCATCCCCGTCGAGGCCGAAGCGAGCCGAAGCGCCGAAAGAGGTTAAAAACGCGTGGCGAGCGCAGCCGTCGTGCCGCTTCTGTCGAGTCGAGTAGGCAAAGTGGCCGAAGTGCCAATAAGTCACATGACAGTGGCATCGCTCTCAACGAGACCAACGACTCCTCGCTTGACGTTTCCGAGCCGCCGCACCTCCAGAACTTTGCCATCGACGAAGAGTCCGATCAGGTAAAAAAGAGTTTTTATCGAGTTATAATATTTTTAAAACGCGGATTATGGAATTATTCAGGGCGTTATTTGAAAAATTCGAGAAACTCGAAACTTTTCGAAAATTTCGAATATCTCGAAAAATTCAAAAAATTCGAAAAATTCTGAAAATACGAAAATCTCGAAAAATTCGAAAATTTCGAAAATTTCGAAAATTTTGAAAATTTCGAAAATTCGAAAATTTCGAAAAACTCGGAAAATTAAAAAATGCGAAAATTTCGAAAAATTCGAAAAATTCGAAAATTTCGAAAAACTCGAAAAATTCGAAAATTTCGGAAAACTCGAAAAATTCGAAAAATACATTCGAAAGAATGAGTCAAACAAAAAATTTATTTTGACTTATTATGATTGGGACGTTTCGACGTGCCCAAACCATTTATCATTCGGTGGCGCCCATCTGGCGATGACACCAAACAATGCCGTATCGGTAACCTCGGCGGCTCCAAGCCGAGTTTAAAGATGCGCCGCAGCTGCGCCAGAAATTGAAATTCCGAATATTCTAATTTCAAGAAAAGTTTCAATTCTTTGTTTTCAGAAAAACTGGGACTCTTCCGACGAGGAGAAACTGCGCCCAAGTATCGTCTCTTACAATGCTAATTCGGATCCCGATAATACAATCCGCTTTCGCGAGCAATTTCGAACCTTTAACGTCGCCCCCAAGCAGCCCGATAGTGCTTCCTCGAAAGTAAGTAAGCTTTAAGAAAGCTAGCAAAGATTAGATCACGAAATCGGAGAGTAATACCGCCGCTTAGGCCTTGCTTTTGCGGTCAATCTAAGTTATCTCCTCTTTTAAAAAACCCCGAAAACTTAAAAATAAAGGGATCTGGGCCCAGAAATCTGTGTGAAAACCTGAGTCAGGGTTGAAAAAGAGCTTTGATAAGTGATAATGGTTCTTTTGGCAAAGCCGCTTTGCGGCTTTGTTTTCAAAACCGCCATCGAATTTTGATCAAAGCTTTTGGACCCTGACTCAGGTTTTTACACAGGTTTTTGAGCCCAGATCCCCATATTCTTAAGCGTTTGGGGGTTCAAAAAGGAGGAGAGGGCTTTCATTTTGAACGAGCTCCGTTTTGGTTTACTAATCAAAATTCTCAGTTCTACCACAAATCGGATGGCGACTTGCTGAACATGTTCCGACCCTTGGAGCAAATGGCGACGTTCGACCTTGGCTCGTTGAGCTTGTGCGATTACTCGGCCGATGAGCAGCTCGACTCGGCCGCGGGATTGGACGATTCCGCCGTCTTGGCCAAGTTCGACGACTTGATCTCCCAGGTGGAGAAGAAACAGGCCGACTTGTCGAGGCACAAGTCGAAGAACGTGCGCAAAGCGGAGAAGAACGGCTGGAAGTCGGAGGCCGATCTCATGCGACCTGGATCGGCGCTCGAGCAACTGTCGAACTTTGCTGACAGGCTAGAGGCGCAGAAGTCGATCTCGCGGCACAAGAGCTTCGCTGCCATTAGCAACACGAAGAAGGAACACGCCTCGGCTTCGAAAGCGACGACGACTTTAACGGAAAACAGCGCCAGCAAAAGCAATAGCGCCAAGCCACGAAACCCATCATCGGAGGGAATCCAGCGCGTTCCCTCTCTCGCCCTGCCCGACCTGAACGTTATTCCACAGCTCTCTGAATCCTTCCGCTCGAAGCTCCAGTCATGGGACTCGTCCAAGCCAAACAGGCGACGACCTAATAGGAAAAGGGTTTCGAAAATTGGCTGGAAAAGATTGATCCTTTATGTCTCCAGTCTTCATTCAACGTTGATTGGTTTGCTCGAAAACCTGTGTAGAAAACCTGAGTCAGGTTCTGAAAAGCAAGAATGAAAAGCCCCATAGCGGCTTTTAATTAACCAAGCCGCAAAGCGGCTTCGATATCAAAAGCCGCTACGGGGCTTTTCATTTAAGCCTTTCAAAACCTGACTCAGGTTTTCTACACAGGTTGCCGAGCTCAGACTGTTTCATGTTATGACAACATCAGTCCGATTTCTCTTCTTTTGAACGTATTTTTTCTTTCTTTTCGAAACCGCGCTAAGCCTTTTAACTAAAATAGCATTAACCAACTGGTCGGAGAAGAAAGATTTATCACGTAAGCGCGCGCGTATTTATTTGAAATCGCAGCTTCAACAATCTATTTAAGGCGCTTCCGGCAGCTCTTTAAATTCCAAGTCGCTGGGCAGTGGCATCGGCGCCGCCAATTCGAATTCAAAATTGGCGACGGCGAATTCGACGCTCCGCTCCGCCGAGCTCAGCCAGCTTCAGATCGCGGAAGAAGCCGACGAAGTGGCCAAAGCTGCGAAGAGAAGGCGCGCGCGCTGCTGTTTCTTTTCCATTTGTACTTAACCCTCTATCTATTGTTTTGCTTGACATCCGCGTTTATGCAATTTCTAGCGATGAGCAAGGGAGTTCCCTTTTTCGAGTCGATTCCTCACTAGAATTGATCCAAAGGCGCTAGTTCTGGGCTTGGCAGCCTGTGTAGAAACCTGAGTCAGGTTTTGAAAAGCTTAAATGAAAAGCCGCGTAGCGGCTTTTGATAAAGAAGCCGCCTCGCGGCTTGGTTAATTAAAACCCGCAACGCGGGTCTTCATTCGATTTTTTCAAAACCTGACTCAGCTTTCTACACAGGTTTTTGCCGAGCTCTAAGAGTAGCAAGCCGAGCAAGTTTTCTGTCAGCGAGTTCAAGTATTTGTCATTGTATAATTGAATAAGTCTCTCGCACAATTTGAGAGAGACACTTACAAAACACGCATTCTTGCCGTTAACTTTTCTGTAACTCGACAAGCACTTGACAAGTCGCTCGGCTCAGCCCTCTTTCTCATCGCAAAAAACGCGTGGATTCGTGATGCAACCTCTCTTTCACTCGGCCCTAACCACCTTTACCTACTACGCAAAAAGTGTCGATTTTAAGTTTGACATTCCATTCTTCTTCTTCTTAGCCAGGCTTCTGTTGAGGCTTCTGATTACTGTAATACGCTACAGTCTCTCTCACCCCTTAACATGTGCTTGTTATCACTCTCCCTCACAACTACCGATATATAAGCCGAAATGTACAATTATTAAAATAAATAAACTTTAACACTGAACACTTTCTCATTGATCTGGGGAACCTGTCTAGAAAACCTGAGTCAGGGTCCTGACTAAGGAAAGAGCTTGAATATAAAATAAATAGATTAAGATCATCTTAATTGGTAATTTTGGCGAAGCTGATATCTCAGACCCTGACTCAGGCTTCCAACACAGATCTTTCTACTCAGTTTTGAATATTTGAAAGTTTATTTTTGAAAGATAAATGGAAATGAAAGATAAATGGGCAGTTGGTTGATAAATGAAAAGAAATAAATAAATCGGACGAGGGAGGGAAAGAATCTTCCTCCTACTCGTCGTCTTCGTTTTCGATCTTCGGCGCCAGGAAGTACTTCACGTGGCCGAGCCCTTCGATCTCGTATCCGACGACCATGGGCACGTCCGGCGAGATCTGGATGGTGACTTGGCGGGAGAGGGGCGTCGCCTTCGTGAAGAAGTTCAAGTACCTGAATTGTGAATAGTTAGACAAGGGAAAATCGCAGTGGATTCTTACCGAAGAGCGAAGTTGAGATTGACGGGCTCCTGGATGTCGACGGTGATGGCGTCCATCTCGTCGTCGACAGTGGCGCTTTCGGTCAGGTGGATCTTAGCATGGCCAATGTCGCCCTGAGCACTGAAGTCGACGCCGCCCTTGACGACGGTGAGTCGGACGTTCTCGCCGATGTTCTGGAGATCGCGGCAGATGCCCTGGAACTCCTTCGAGGGCATCTTAATCGTGCAGCTAGAAGGGTATCATTTAGAGGAGATTACCAATTGGGAGACATAGAGGACTCCTGGAGTCGAGATTGAAAATCTTCACTGTACCTGTATTCCTGCTCCGGGATGCCGAGCTGCTCGATGTCCAAATCCATCAGCTTCATTTCGTATTCCGACGTTACCTCCCCGTTCTGAACGAAATTGTGGATAGAATCTTAGTCGATCGAATTTGTGACTTACCGGACTTTCGAATGCCATGGTGAGAAGGTCCCCGTTATCGTCGGCGGTTAACTTGACGTTGTCGTCATTATTTGCACATTTCAGAAGCTTCTGCATTGTGTCCATATTCACTAGAAAAAATTTTGTATTAAATATTTGCTTTATTGGAATTTCTTACCGCCAAGCGCGAGATTCTTGTCACAACGGAACAATTCAAAGCCTTCCGTTTTGAGCGTGACTTGGACGAGGGAGACGTGGGAGCTGTCCATCGATTGGAGGGACAGACCCTGGGAGGAAACGTCCCAGACGGCTTCCTTGATGAGGTCCTTGATGGCGTCCATGGTCTGCTTGAGGACCTGAGCTCGGGGAAGTTGAGCCTCGAACATGCTGAGTAACGAAGGGAAGATCTGGTCTGAAAAAGAATTGATAGTTATTGCTAGAAATATTAAAGGAAGTCGAGGATACAGAGGCTATGAAGAATAATCGAGTATAAGGTTGTCTCTTTGGGTCGGTTTTCTCTTTGAAAGTTCTCTTGAAAAGCTAGAATTCCAGCTTTTGAAAAAATGCTGTTTTAGCAAAGTCTGACAAGTCAGTAAGAATGTCAGTAGCACGTGTGAGGCATTCAGCAAATGGCAAGTTGGATTCGGCCTCGTGGGCGTCGGGCACGAGCGTGGGCGGGCGCAAGAGAGTGGCGCTTTCTCGAGCGAGCGGTCTGCGAGACTCGCTCCATCAGCGCGCTCATTGGCCGGCGCGTGCTTCGACTCGAAAACATTATTTCTCGGATCGAAAGCCAATGTTCCGGCATTGACCCATCAATCATAACAGAGTAATTTAATCCAAGCAATCATTTTATTAATTGATAATTATAATAACAAATAATTGGCTTAATTATTGATTTTTAGACAAGCACCATTCTTTTTCCTTAAAAATCTTAGCCATTAATCGCAGTCCTCCTTGATTTCATTTCCCACTCATTTGTCTTCTCCTCAGTTGTATCAGTGTCTATCTGTATTTGTCCGTCCGCGTTTGTTTCCGTAATTTATCCGCGGCGAACAATGCGAACTTGGCTCCACATTGTACTAAAGTTTATTCATTTCCAGGCCACTTCATCAACGATACATTTCGTAAATTCGAAAATGCGCAGTTTGAAATCATAAAAGAGAGAAGCTGGCGACTGGTATGCAGCATACCGTATGCTCGCCAACCTTTGTAGAAACCTGAGTCAGGGTTTCGAAAGAGCTTTAATTGAAAGCCGCGTAGCGGCTTTTCCAAACGAAGCCGCGAAGCGGCTTTGCAAGTTTTAAAATTAGATTGAAAAAATTTTTGCGATTTTATAAAACTGAGCCGCAGCGCGGCTTTCAATTGAAGCTCTTTCGAAACCCTGACTCAGGTTTCTACAAAGGCTGGCGAGCTCATACTGTCGAAAAAGCCGAATCATTCTTCTTGAAAGGAGAAATTGGCGTCGATTCAAGTGCTAACGTGGTGAATAAGAAAAAGCAAACTTGGTGGAAACCAGCATTTTCCCCAACTTTACCAGCAGCAGCGGAAATTTCAGCAGCATCAAAGACCCCGAGACAATGGAAGAGTCACACGATTTCAATTAATTGAAATCAATAAGTAATTCAAATTTTCAAACAAGAAGCGACAAACTGCACCGCAGAGGAAGATAGATCATCGTTTTTTCTTCTTCGACCAAGTCAATATTAGTGGAGCGTCTTATCAGCAAAGAGAATTCCGTCCTTTTGGAATAGCAGAAATAGAGAATGATGAAATTTGAAATTTCCCGAAATTTTAAACTCCAAGCTCCTCTTGTAGGATTTTTCTTTCATTTACTAGGATTTACGATGATTCTAAAGAAGGCTGTTTTAAATTATTGGCCTCTTCGAGTGAATATAAAGTAGATACCGTAATTGTTATGTGAAGTTTTACATGGTAAAACAACACTTAAGGACCCCCGTCAACAATTTTCGAAAAATCTATTTTCGGAATCTCATAATTTTGACCCCGGAAATGGATTCTGCAGGTCAAAAAACGATTTTGAGGCTTCATTTTTGGGGGTCTATCTCGACTCTAACACCCTCAAAATCGCGTTTGAAAATTGGATTTTTGACGAAAAATGACGAAAAAGTCCCAATTTTGCTAAAATTCCAGCTTTTCATTGGACAAAACGTGGTTCGAACAAGTTTTTATGACGTATTGTACTTCCAGGCACACTAAGAAGCCAAAATACGGTTGTTTTGTAATTTTCGACTTTTTGAGGAAATTTGTTGACGGGGGTCCTTAAGGGGGTAGATATGATAAACTAAATTTTGCTTCGAGCTTTTCTCTTCAAGTTAATATAAGAATGTGACACCCTTATTTCCTTAGCCTTAAGCCTAAGAGATAAGGTAAAGGTTGAACTTCATTTTGATGAAATAAAAAATAAGGGTTTATTGAGAACATATTGAGATGGATAAAAACACAATAAGAAAGTGAGATCCTTATTTTTTGTTAATCAGAATGAAGTTCAAACTTTTATATTATCTCATAGGCTAAAGGCCAAGGAAAAAAGGGTATCACTTTCTTATTGTGTTTCTAATGTGAAGAGTCTATTAAATATAAAAACACCATAAGAAAGTGAGACCCTTATTTTCTATTTCATCAAAATCAAGTTCAAACTTTAAATGATAAGGGTGTCACTCTTATATTAACTTTTAGACTAGAAACGCCCTTAATTTCGATATTTTTTCTCGTTTCGTCGATTGCTCTTGATTTGCGAGACGAATTGGCGCTGGAGGCTCTTCAAATGTTAAAAACTCTCCCCGAGAGTCTATTTGCTCCATGATTAGCTTCAAATTTGGAGTAAGGGTAGACTCTAGTAGACTGTAAGAGAAAACGTCCAAGAGACAAAAGTTAAGTCCACTAATAATTGGGAGATAGGAACGCTCTGTTCTTTATTGGCTCCAAACAAGCCGCTAAAAGAGGCACTTGAAATTTTCATCGCCCGTTTTGAGAATCTTTAAAATCTTCAGTAGTAATGAAAATTGCTAAGTTTTAGATTGAAGAAATTTTCGGAATCAAGCGAAAAATGACGAGCGAAATCGTGCTGCGAGAATACACCGAGGATGAAATCCAAGAGCTCCGGGCCTCCTACCCCGACTACATTCCCATGTCGGTGATTATGGACAGAGAAAAGCAGAAAATACAGTCGGCGGAGTCTGAACGGCTTCAGATTGGAATCAGAAAGCTCAGCAAAGGTCAGTTTGACTTGGAAATTAAGGGGTTTCCGTTCTAAATGGCGATTTTCAAAGGCGAAGATTTAGATATTGATACCCTTATTTTTTATTTATAAAAATTATTATAAAAATAAGGGTGTCAATATGTTAGTTTTCGCCTTTGAAAATCGCCATTTACGACGGAAACCTCCTTAATTTTTGAGTAAAACCAGCGAAAGAATTTTTTCTTGAAAAGCGAAAATTCAAGAGTGAACTTTGCACAATCATTTGGAAAAAGAGCAGCTGCGGTAACATATCCGCTGCGTAAGAGGGTAGCTTCTCATGCCTAATGCCTGTTTTCAGAAATTACGATTCTGCACCGCGAACTGACGACGATTCGCGAAGTGACAGGGCCTGCCATTTGCAAGAAATGCGCGACTCTCAACATGGCCTGGAAAAAGCTCTCCTGCAGCCACATTTTGTGCACCGCTTGTATTCAAGGTTAGCGGATTGGGTCAATACCGAATGGACAGCTAAAGTTGTTAATAGTGATGGTGAAGCAGCGCCAGGCTGAAATCATAGAAGAGACTCACGAGCGACTAAATCTTGAAAACGGAGGGGTAAGGCACTCTTTTCTAAAGTGGATTTTTTTATCATTTTTCTAGCGAAAATTCATCTCCTGGCGCACAAAATACCCGAAAGTAAACGAGTCCGACCCCGCTGAAATTTGCCCTTTTTGCCGCCCGAAGAAATGAGAAACAAAAAACGGCGATGCATAATCACTTCTATCCCTGTAAATAAAAATCGAATCAAGAACATACTTTACGCAATAAACAATCATACTGTCACGTAACAATAAAATGTTATTTCTTTTCCAAAGTTTTCTTTCTATTATATTTTATTTGAATAGTATAGATGCATTAGAAAAATATTATCGAATGTTTCATTTTATAAAAGTCAACAGTTTATAAATGGTGTCAATAAAGAAACTTTCATCAGTAAGGATTCATTTCAATACTTTTTCAAAGCCAGAGATTTGCGTAAAAATAAGAGAGATAAACGAGTTTCATTTTGATGGTTTCTCTTATTTTCTGCTTATTTTTATGTAGCAGAGAGTCAGGTGCTGAGGCGTAAAATCAACCTGATTTTTCAGTGATTAGAATCGAACTCAGAACAAGCCACCTAGGAACTGACAGGAGATTCATTGTTTTTGTAGAAATCTATTTATACAGTATATATAGTTATATATAGTATTTATAGTTATTGAAAAAATATTATAGAAGTTTATTTATAGTTATCAGAGTTACAGGGATAGATATTTTTGATTCTACAACGCTCAATTTGGATGGCTTTCTGAACCTTTGATTGAGGCTGCTTTCTTCCGAGTGGCTTAAAATTTGGTTATAATTCTTGATATTTGGACACTTGTGAGGAACAAAACGACTTGGAATTTTTCGAGTTCATTTATTTGCACTTATGATTCTTTTCGGAGGGCGAGTTACAAAAGTTTCATTTTAGCAAAATTTTCTTAATCATTAGTCATTTTACAAATTTCTCGGTAATTGTTTCATTTTGTAGAATAAGAATTTTTCACATAAAAAATTCTCGACTTGGGCCTTTTTATGCGCCACAAAGTCACGTGCTGAGGCCCAAAATCAACTTGATTTTACAGTGATTAGAATCGAACTCAGAACAGACCACTTGCGAATGCATGAGAAATATTTTAACAATTTATGAAACAATTTATTTCAATATTTTTACTGAACGAAATAGCGAGCTAATGCAAAGTTCACAGAATCTAATATTTCTTCACTAGATTCATTTTAAGAATAACATCATTGAACGAGCTCTTTACGTAGCTGTTGTTTCATTTTTAAAACTATGGAAATTCCTCAATTTCTGGCTTTATATTGGCCTCCGGAGTCCGGGCGATGTGGAAATGCGTGAAATCCACCTGTTTTTTTTTCAGCGATAACTATCGACCTAAGACCGAACTACCCTTGTTCCGACTTCAGAAGAGAGAGAGTTGGCCAACTTTGCATGTAAATCAAGTTCAAAGTCCTATTTCTATCTATTTTTCAAGTCAGCAAAAATTTAAATTCTCATTAACGCATGATTGGGCGCTTGAATAAAAATTAATCAACTGCCATAAACGCCCGTGGAAACTATGCTGATTCTTGTTCCTTACCGTTCTGGCTCGTAGTAGTTGCCGAAAGGGCCGTAGACGCGTCCTAAAGAGGGTAGCTTCTCATGCCTCATGCCTGTTTTCAGAAATTACGATTCTGCACCGCGAACTGACGACGATTCGCGAAGTGACGGGGCCTGCCATTTGCAAGAAATGCGCGACTCTCAATATGGCCTGGAAAAAGCTCTCCTGCAGCCACATCTTGTGCACCGCTTGTATTCAAGGTAACCGAATTGGGTCAATAACAATGGACAGCTAAAGTTTTTTTTACTCCTAGTGATGATGAAGCAGCGCCAGGCTGAAATCATAGAAGAGACTCACGAGCTACTTAGTCTTGAAAACGGCGGGGTAAGGCGCCTTTTCTAAAGTGGATTTTTCATCATTATTTCTAGCGGAAATTTATCTCCTGGCGCACCAAATACCCGAAAGTAAACGAGTCCGATCCCGCTGAAATTTGCCCGTTTTGCCGCCCAAAGAAATGAGGAAGAAGAAAAAAACGGCAAGATATACACTTCTATCCCTGTAAATATAAATCGAATCAAGAGCGGACTATACGAATACAAACAATGTTACTGTTATGAGTCATAACTTATGACTCATGAAGTCAAAAAAGACATAATAAAATGCTTTTTCTTTTTCAAAACTATCTTTTAATATAATATTTTATGCCGAGATTTATAATTCCAGAAAAGTTAAATGTTTCATTTTATCAAGGTAAATGGTTTTTCAAGCGATTATTGTAGTTGTAGCAAAATTATCGCTCATATTAGAGAAAGGAGAAATAATGTTTCATTTTATCGAAGTCGACGGTTTTATAAATGCGTTAAAAATCCCAAAATTCCAAATCGTGTAGTAACACTTTTTAAAGCTATTGTTTCATTTTTTTTAAGTACACAGATTCCTGCATTTCAGTCCTCTTATATGCCCAGGTCACGTGCTGCCGCCTAAAATCCACCTGTTTCTCTGCGATAACAATCGACTTTAGAACGAACTAGCCTTATTTCTTCGTGTTTTTTTTTTAATAATTTATTTCAGCAGAATAGATTTTTGTCTGTCTATCGTTCTTCCGCATTTAGTACAGTCGCTCATTTGCAAATCATCGTAGCAGCTCCGGCAGATTATGTGACCGCTGTTTTCAAGGTTGGCAAAAATTTACATTTTAAAATTGATGAAAATTGTGAAAATTGAAAATTGGCAGCCTTGGCATATGAGAGCGACTTTGGCGCCGTCGACTTGGAGGCAAAGCTTGCAGATTGGAGCTTTGCTGTTGAGATCTGCTTTGAGGGGGCTGCTTTGAGGGTTGTTGCTTATGGAGAGGTAGTTCTGTTTGTGTCGCTCTATGTCTTGGCGGATTTGCTGGCCCTCGCAGCGGATCTGTTTTAGCAGCATTTCCGCCAGCATTTTCGGATCACTAGAATTCATAGAATAATATGGGTGGCTTTTTGAACCTTTGATTGAGGCTGCTTTCTTCCGAGTGGCTCAGATTTCCGACGGAAGTGGTGCTGATGCACTGATAAAGTCCCTTCTTCGTCGTGTTGTCTCCGAGCAAATCCATCTGAAAACTGGAAGGCGCTCGCGAGGAAAAGGTAGACATGCCAGTGTAGTAGCTTTCGTCTTCGAGCAAGAATTCCCAGTTGAAGCCGAGCTGGGTGATCCACTCTTCTTTGTCGTTGCGCTCGCACTTGCCGTCGAGATATTGCAAGCGGCAGTGGGGGCCGCCGACTGCGAAGGGAGTCAGCTCACTAGAATTTGGTTTATAAGAGATAATTTGGACTGTTTGTGAGGAACAAAACGACTTGGAATTTTTCGGGCTCATTTATTAGATCATGAAGTATTCGATTGTGTATTTCTCAGATTGAATCTTAGTCTCACATGTCGAATCTAAGGTGTTCCAATTTAAAAGTTTCATTTTAGCAAAATTTTCTTAATAAGTCATTTCACGAATTGTTCAATAATTGTTTCATTTTGTAGAATAAAATTTTTTAGATAAAAAAATTGTCGATTCTGGGTGTTTTATGTGCCATGGAGTCACGTGCTGAGGCCCAAAATCAACTTGATTTCACAGTGATAAGAATCGAACTCAGAACAGACCACTTGCAAATCGACAAGAAATATTTAAAAGATTATATGAAACAATTTATTTCAATATTCATACCAGCGAAGTCACATATATAGGGTTTTTCACGGGAGCGCGCGGGGCTCGGAACGCCTTCTCACCGCGATTTTTATCTTCACTATTTGTCTATATTTTTTCATGAAACTCACAGATAGTACCAAATCGAAGGTGTACATTAATAATTTAGAATTATAATTTAAGTTAATGTTGAAAAATGGCGAAAATCGGGGAATTTTTTCGGAAAATCGCCTCCCAAACACTGATCACACTTTAGCACACTCTTCATTTTCGAATATGATAAACTTTAGGCACTTAGTAATCACCTCTCAAATTTTGGAATAGCAGGATCTGGTAGGACACCCGGAAATCTGCATTTAACTAGAACTTTCTGGCATTGCGCGGGCGCTGGAGTCGCGCACGGGGTCACCGCCTGGGCTGAAAACGCGCATATTTACTCACTCCCCCGGAGAGCAGTCCGAACCTTTCTGTGGAAGGTGACGAAATAAAGTGGTTCGATGCAATTATTGGGAGATTTCCGATTCCAATATGATAATTTCATTGTAAATAATGTGACTTACCATCGAAAATTCCGAAAAAAGCTAATTGTCAATTAGTTTCTGAACATCGGTTTGCAACAAGGGTCAAGATTAACAAAAGTAAAAGAGCATATTCCTTCGGGAGAAGGAATCCAAACTTTCAGAGATTTAACAAAGAAGTCAAAGCAGACTATTCTTATTTTTTCCAGAGAATTCAGAGTCGCATATGTAACATATGATATGTTGTAAGATACAGATGTTTAATAATAACTCTTATTTAGCCAAAATAACTATGAGTATCGTGTTCACCATGTTCAAAAACCTATAGAAAACTATTTTGGGAAATTTTCACTGAAAAATCACCCTTGCACCAAATGCGTCAAGACAGCGCGCGCCGCACCACCAAAACTTTGACCAGCGCCTCTGATTTTTGTATTTTTGGAATCAGCGGGTCAAATTATGCCTACAGTGAAAATTTCAGAAAAAGTGATAACTACCATTTTCCCGTGTGACATATACATCGTTGATAGGTTAAGATTCATTTTGTTGGAGCATGTTAAAAGTAGACAAAGAAGAACTTAAATATTTTAATTATCATATCTTCTAACCGATGGGTGGACCAACAAGCCGATATGCTTCCGAATGATATTGTTTCATTTTTAAAACTATGGAAATTCCTCAATTTTTCCCTTTATATTGGCGTTTTACGCATCAAATCCACCTGTATTTTTTCAGCGATAACAATCGGCCGCAGACCGAACTATCCTTGTTCCGACATCAGATAGGGAGAAAGAGAGAGAATTGGCCTACTTTGCTTGTTACAAGTGTAAATCAAGTTCAAAGTCCTCTTTCTATTTTTTACAAGTCACCAACGATGGGTTAAATTCTCACTAGCGCATGATTGGGCGCTTCAATAAAAATTTATCGAACTGCCATAAACGCCCGTGGAAGAGCTCTGATAGTTGTTCCTTACCGTTCTGGCTCGTCGTAGTTGCCGAAAGGGCCGTAGACGCGTCCCTGCTCGGTGTGAATGCGAACCTCTGCCGTGACGTGATAACTCGCTGCCAGCCAGGTTAATCCTTTTGAACTGGTCGAAGGAAGAAAAAGAATTAACTCATCGCGTCCCTTCCTGTCAAAATCACTTGCCCGTAGAAGTCGCATGTCTTTCCCGTTACCTGCTGCACATGATCGCCTTGATGAATGTGAACGTTTTGTCTTCAATCAAAAAATTAAGGGAAAAAAGGAGGAAAAAGAGAAACCTTTGGTGGTCTCGGCCGGTTCCGTGCTTTTGCGAGCCGATTCCTAGTTTGATGTCGTAGTCGACTTTCACTGCATCCAAAAAGGCGCCGCACCACAAAGTTATTCGTCTCAATTTTGATAAGGAAGGTAATCGCAAACTCAATTCTAGTGATGAAAAACCATGTTTTTTAACAAATAAATTGGTAATTTTAGCATAGCAGGAAAACTTTTATTGAAATTTTTCTGAAAAATTTCATTGAAAATTTGAAGTTGAAGTTAAGATAGTGATACCCTTATTTTATTTCATGAATAGAAGGCCCACACCCTTATCTAACTTGTTGTACCCTTCAGACAAGTTAAATAAGGGTGTGAGCCTTCTATTCAAGAAATAAATTAAGGGTATCACTCATATCTTAACTTCGGGAGAAAATTCTTCTTAGAAAATCGAATAATAAACACTCAATATTTCTCGATTTTCTACGAAGAATTTTTCCAGAAGTTAACATAGATGAAATTAAAAAAGTCGACTTGAGGCGAAATTTTTCAAAAAATTTTTATTGGCTAATATGAAAGAGGATGAAATTCTGAGTCGAATGGTCTACTTCCGGCTCTATAATTTTATCAAATGACGTCATTATGACTCATTTTCCCTAAAAATCGTTTGGGGAGCTTTTGAAGGGGTTTCCGATGGAATTTTTCGGCGTTCTTGGGCTCAAAAGAATCGCCGTCGAAAATTGAGGGGGTTTTCGCGGATTTTGAAAAATTCCAAGAGAAACACCTTCAAACCGACCGGTCGAAAAATGGTCAAAAATTTTTCTTGAGTTTTTTCAAAACCCTTTAAAACCCCCTCAATTTTCGACGGCGATTCTTTTGAGCTATAGAACGTCGAATAAGTCCAACGGAAACCCCTTAAAAGTTCCCCAAAAGTTTACCAAAAATGCCCTAATCTGGACTTTGTTACGCAATTTTTGTGGTCAAAAAGTCAAAATTTTCGGGTCAAATCTAGCCCAGGCATATTAATTCGCTTGGCGATTTTCGCCAAAAGCGAAAGCGAAGCGAAGGCGAATCGAAAATTTCGCTTTCGCCCCCGAAAAATGACACCCCTGATGTTCGCTTCGCTTTCGCTTTTTGTCCCCGATTTTCGCCAAAAATTCGCTTTCGCCGAGGCCTCGCTTTCGCCAAATTTTCGCTTCTGGCAAATCTTCGCCAAAATTTCGCTTTCGCCAAGGCCTCGCTTTCGCCAGGAGTTTGCTTTCGCCAAAATTTCGCCAAATTCTCGCTTTCGCCAAGAGTTCGCTTTCGCCAATATTTGGCCGAATCTTACTTTTGTCTTTCAAAGCGGTATAAATAGGGAAATCACTTATAATTGAGCTCTTTTTCTAGCTTAGTAGGGTTTAATACAGTTTTAGAACACCTAGAAGCTGGGGATCATTTTGCTACTGATAGGTGGGGGTTATCTGAGGGCATTTAGGTACCTCCGAAGCTGGGGTCGGCAAGCCACCAAGCGATGGTTCGTCACCAACCGTTGGTGGAGGTGGGTGGGTTGACAAGAAAATCAAATTTTCACTGGTGGGGGTGGGTGGTGGTGGGTACTTTAAGGTAGTGGTGGTGGGTGAATGGTGGGTGGGTGGTGGATTTTTTCGTAAGCGTTTTTGACCCCAAAATTTATAGAATAGGAGTTGATTACACCGATTCTTCGGTCATTTTTAACCAACAGAAACTGATCTTTTTGAAAGATTTCGCCAAAAAGTTTGGCCGAAAAATCTTTCCCACCACTTCCCACCATTTCAGATTTTTGAGACTTGAGGGTGGTGGGTAGGTTGGGTTAGCGTTAGGGCCCCACCATTTCCACAAATTTTTGCCGACCCCAGCTCCGAAGTCCCAAAATCTGGCCAACTTCGGAAATGACTTTTAGGGGCTGCCACCTATACTCGATCTAGGCTCTGGCTGTCATTTTGAGCTCTAGAAAAGTGGTGAGGGGATGGGGTATCTTGGGAGCTAGGTAGGGCTGTGATAAGAAAAATTGCCCAATTCTAGGCTCTTGCAGTCGGAGAACTCGGCAAAAATTGAGTACTTTTTCCAAAAGTCTTTTTGTCGATTTTAATTCATTTAAAAATGTTGAAGTTGTCATTTGGGGTCATCTGAGGTCAGGTCGGGTCACTTATCAGAGTTTTCTGAATTTTCAATTATTCTTGACCTAGAGTGACCTCAGTTGACCCCAAACGACATCTTAAACACTTATAAATGAATAAACGTCGATTAAAAGAATTCAAATCGTGTACATTTTTCGAGTTCCCTAACTTAAAGAGCCCCTAGCTCCCCAGATACCCCACCCCCGCCCTACTTTTCTAGAGCTTTCATTCGGACAGGTATCCCATATCAAAGGGTCAAGCCATTCATGGGACCGGAAGTTCCGAAATCGGAACTAGATCTCTTCAATCGAATTTTTGAGTAGCGGGAAACGGCTCAACTGAAAGCTCAGCTTCTGGGTCGAACTTTGGTCTTATAAAATCGCGTTCTATTCAAATTTCTTTCAATATCTTTCAATTTCGGCGAAATTTCGCTTTCGGCGAATATTCGCTTTGGCGAATTTTCGCTTTCGGCGAATTTTCGCTTTTGGCGAATTTTCCCTCTTGGCGAATTTTCAGTCCTGGCGAATTTTCGCTTTTGGCGAATTTTTGCTTGGCGAATTCGCTTTCGCTTCGCTGTGCAAGATAGGCGTTCGCTTCGCTTTCGCTTCGCTTTTGGCTGGAAAAATTTTTCGCTTTCGCTTCGCGTTCGCTTTGGGTTTTCGAACGAAATTTATATGCTAGATTCTAGCCCATTCGACTCAGAATTTTCCGCTCTTTCTTCTGAGCACGAAAAAAATTTTATGAAAATTTGCCTCAAGTGAAGTTTTTAATTTCATCATAGTGATACCCTTATTTTCTTTCGCGAAAAGAAGGTTCAAACCCTTATTCAATTTCCTCCCAAAAGGTTATTTTTGTGCCTTCCTTATCGGTCTGCCTTTGTACTGAACATCTGACCACTTGCTTCCGTTATCATTTCCAACAAACTGGCTTTTCCGAAGATGCCCAAAAGTTCTCTTAATTTCGTATCTCTTGCTTGGGCGATCCGACCCTGGCAAAATTGTTCTACTTCGTCGATCGTTTCTTCCATTCAAAAGTTCCTTTCTCTAGCGAAATCAATTTCTAGCGAAAATTCAAGAAAGTAAAAAAAGAATACTTTGCGTTTTATCTTATCATCTCTTTCTCTCTCTCTTTCTCTCCTTCTCATAAGGGAATTTTATTAAAGTGCTCATTAACACTCTGTCACAAGCACTTTTCGAAGCCTGGCTCCCCTCTTTCCCACCTAGCGAAAATCACAACTCATTTTTTCTAGCTTCTTTTCCGTCAAAATTGATTTTTAAAAATGGAGAAGCCGCTTGCGGCTTCGAGCTAAAGAATCATTATAGCCGCGCTTGATATTTTTGGCTCGAAAATTTCCAAAATTATTTATTAAAATCGAGAAGCCGCTTGCGGCTTCGAGCTTAAAAATATCAAAAGCCGCGCTTCGCGCGGCTTTAATGATGCTTTGGCTCGAAGCCGCAAGCGGCTTCTCGATTTTTAATAAATAATTTTGGAAATCTTCTTCCAAATTGGAGGGATCCAGGAGCTATCAATTAAAAGCACATCGTTTGCGCATTAATAGGGCACGTGCCTGGAGGCATTATCGATCGAACGCTCTCCCGTTTTGCTTGAACTTGTTGCCGGCGTTTTTGGCATTTCAAGTTCACGCTTCAATTTGATCGGTTTGCCGGGTTTTGGACCGTTTTCTTTTCGAATTAGCGAAACTTGTTCTCCATGCGACTCTCAGATTTGATCACGTAAATTTATTTTTATTTAACATTTTCAATAAATTTGTTGGCAATAAGATCAATTGCCGACCATAGGATTAAGTGAAGGTAGAAAAGATTCATTTTCAAAAATATAAAAGAAATCTCGAATCTTGGCCTTTTTATGCGCCAGTACAGCCCACTTTACAGGCCTAACACCTGCTTTTTCTGTGATAGTAATCGACCTCCAACCGAACCATCGAAATTATTTCTGCCGATGATTGATTTTTTCGCCTGAAAACCGGGCACGTCCGAACTTGAAAACTGGTTTCTTCGTTGTCTCCACATGGCGGCAGCGCTGCGTTGATCCACAAAAGGAGCCGCTCGACTTTCTCATTCGCCGAAACGGATACGCAAAATATCAAAATAATACAACAACCTTTTTTTACTCATAAATAGCTCATAAAAAGGGAAAAACAGAGAAAATGAGAGAAATTGTTCATATTCAAGCTGGTCAATGTGGAAATCAAATTGGGGCTAAGGTATCAGAAAAATGCCGAAATACGAAAAATTAACAAAGCGACACCCTTATTTTATTTCACAAAAAGAAAGCTTTAACCCCAAGAAATACCACCATCAAAACGGGAATTAAAAAAAATTTTTTTTAAACAAAATTATCTTCAAAGTAACCCCTCTTTGCTAAATATCCATTTCCGCTTTGATATAATTGCCCTTTTATTTCTTCAGTTTTGGGAAGTAATTTCCGACGAGCACGGAATCGACCCCACCGGCGCCTACATCGGAGACAGCGATCTCCAGCTCGAGCGCATCAACGTCTACTACAATGAAGCATCTGGCACCAAGTACGTTCCGCGCGCTGTTCTGGTAGATCTGGAGCCGGGAACGATGGATTCCGTGCGCTCCGGTCCGTTTGGCCAGATTTTCAGGCCGGACAACTTCGTCTTCGGCCAGTCCGGCGCTGGAAACAACTGGGCAAAGGGGCACTACACGGAGGGAGCTGAGCTGATAGACTCGGTTCTGGACGTAGTGAGGAAAGAAGCAGAGTCTTGTGATTGCTTACAGGTGCGTTCTAGTTAGTAGTTCAAGGGCGGAATAAAAATTCAGGGCTTTCAATTGACGCACTCGCTCGGGGGCGGAACTGGATCTGGCATGGGCACGCTGTTGATTTCCAAGATTCGCGAAGAATACCCAGATCGCATCATGAACACTTTCTCGGTTGTTCCTTCGCCCAAAGTGTCGGATACCGTGGTTGAGCCTTACAACGCTACTTTATCAGGCGCGGGTCAGTTTATTCACTTTATCGCCCTCTTCTTTTTTGAACGAAAATGGTGACCCGGGGGAAAGTGCATCAGTTGGTGGAAAACACTGACGAAACGTACTGCATCGACAACGAGGCCTTGTACGACATTTGCTTCCGCACGCTCAAGTTGACGACGCCCACTTACGGCGACTTGAATCACCTCGTCTCCGTCACAATGTCCGGCGTCACCACCTGCCTCCGCTTCCCCGGACAGCTCAACGCCGATCTCCGCAAACTGGCAGTCAACATGGTTCCTTTCCCGCGTCTCCACTTTTTCATGCCCGGTTTCGCGCCACTGACATCCAGGGGTTCTCAACAGTACAGAGCTCTTACGGTTCCGGAACTGACGCAGCAAATGTTCGATGCCAAGAATATGATGGCTGCTTGTGACCCAAGACATGGCCGGTATTATTTGTCAAACAGTCATTTTTTCTAATGAGAAAATTAAGAAGCCGCTTGCGGCTAATCTCAGTAACCTGTGTAGAAAGCCTGAGTCTGTGTTTGAAAGAGCTGAAATGAAAAGCCACGTAGCGGCTTTTTAAAACGAAGCCGCGAAGCGGCTTCGCTAATATTACCATTACAATCTATCAAAAATTCTGGCGAAGCCGCTTTGCGGCTTCGTTTTAAAAGCCGCTACGCGGCTTTTCATTTTAGCTCTTTCAGGCCCTGACTCAGGCTTTCTACTCAGGTTGACAAGCCCAGCCGCAAATTTTAGCTCGAAGCCGCAAGATTCGACTTCTCGATTTTAGAGTTTCGAATTTGCACTACAGTAGCTTTAACCCTAGCCCGCCAAAGCCAAAAATACTGAATTTTCAAACTCCTTTTATGAGCTTCTCGCTTTATCATCAATCTTATTTACTATTTATTCTTGAACATCTCTAAGAGACTTCTTGTTTGACTATTTTCCGTTGGAATATATTCGACTGAAAAAAGTTACAAAGGGTTGAAAATCTTTAGGTGGTGTTTTTGGCGGGCTAGGGTTAATTTGATTTCAGTTATTTGACAGTGGCGGCGATGTTCCGCGGGCGAATGTCGATGAAAGAAGTGGACGAGCAAATGCTGAACATCCAAAACAAGAACTCTTCGTATTTCGTCGAGTGGATTCCCAACAACGTCAAAACTGCAGTTTGCGACATTCCTCCTCGAGACTTGAAAATGTCAGCGACTTTTATCGGGAACTCGACGGCGATCCAGGAACTCTTCAAGCGAATTTCAGAGCAGTTTACCGCCATGTTCCGGCGAAAAGCATTCCTTCATTGGTACACAGGTAAATCGGCAACCAATTCTTCTCAAGCATGGTTCTCTTGAGGCGAGGGAATGGACGAAATGGAATTCACAGAAGCGGAGTCGAACATGAATGACTTGGTCTCCGAGTATCAGCAGTACCAGGCGCGAGTTGTAAATTTAGAAACAAAAATCTAAATCTTGCGGTGGAAATTAATTCTTGAACAAATTAATTTACAACCTTGGAACAAGGAAGCGACTGCTGACGACGACGATTTCGAAGAAGAAGAAGAGGAAGAGGACTACGAAGAAGAAGCTTGACTCTTCAAAAAATCATCATGTAAAGATTAGTTACTGTAACACACCCGCTCGTGTCCGGTTTTCTGTACTAACGCTTGGTGATCTTGATCTCGCTCGATTTTTTACAAATAAATTTTCATCAAGAATTTTTCAAAAAATCGATTTTTCTTCGAAAAGCATGACCCGACCTTTATGGCCGTAGCGGAACAAGCGACTCATGTAGCTGTCAAGTCGCTGCTCTCATGTGGGGCACTTTGTCATCCCTTCCATCCGAGACTCGGCCGTTGAAGAACTAGCCCTTGCCCCGTCGCAGAATTGACATAATCCAGCCACGCGCGCAAAAATCGAACTGATGATTTTTAACAAGAAAAACCTGTGTTGAAAACCTGAGTCAGGGTCTGAAAATAATTTGAAAGATGATTTTGCGAAGCCGCTTTTTGCGGCTTTCGTTTGAAAAAGCCGCTATGCGACTTTTCATTTGAGATTTTGAGACCCTGACTCAGGTTTTTCTACACAGGCTTCCAAGCAAAAACAGTAATGTTCTTGTGTTTCGGAGGAGTAGAGCGGAAGTACTCGCGAGTGTTTTCGGAATGGCCTGGCTGAAAGAATTAAGAGCTGACCTTCATAATGATGCGGTCAGGGAGCGGTAACTACTGCTGATAAGATAAGCGTCTTCTAGAGCTTATTTTAGAGGCGTTAGCGCTGCTCGGCAGTGCTCTTTCCAGCTTCTAAAGTCAGAAGAGAGCTCAAAACTTCCGGAAGTCGAGGCACTTCTATCGCACTCGCCGCGCACGTAGCTTAGCCTTCCTTTCTTCTAGCACCAGCCGCATAAATTTGAATACAACCTCGGAGATAGATCCTCCCAGTTCCACGGAAAATCGCACTATCACTTCAATAATTGAAGTTCAATTTGTATACAGAAAAAGGGATCTTCTGAGCTCGGCAACCTGTGTAGAAAACCTGAGTCAGGGTCTGAGAAATCTTGGATTAAAGATCTTTCAGACCCTGACTCAGATTTTTAACACAGGTTGCCGAGCCTAGAGCAGAGCAGTTTTTTAATGGCACTTGTTTTCCCGGGCGGCGGAAGTAAATCGAAATCGCGGCGGACAGGACCAGGGCGGAAATATACGAGCAGACTTCCAATGCAAAATGCTAACGATAAATAAACATTTTGATTTTTACGGAAAAGATGTTAAAAGGTCAGAAGGTTTTACGGCCTCTAATGGATCTTGTGGCACTTGCGTGGAAATTGTATTCGTTTGATCGCTCATTCGTATTTAGATTCGGAAGAGTTGCGATCTAAAGGTGAGTTTTTGACGATTTTTTCACAATTTTTGGGATTTTTATAAGGCTAAATTTAGTTGAGAGAAGAACATTCTTAAGGGTATCACAATCTTAAGGGTCACATCATCTTATTCCTTGACGAAATTAAGGGGTAGCCATTGATAATCTAGAATTAAGGCCCTTCAGACAAGATAAAGGATTGAGACATTCTTTTAGCAAATAAAATAAGGGTATCACTATTTTAACCTATTCTGAGGAAAAATTGCGAGTATGAAAGTCTACGCCCTTAATTTAATTATTTCTTCGCCGAGGATTAAGGAGGACTTCTTTTATGAAAGTTCTTTCTGATTCTTAAGGGTATCACAGTCTTAAGGGCCACAGCATCTTATTTCTCGAAAAATTAAGGGGGTAGCCATTGATAATCTGAAATTAAGGCCCTTCTGACAAAAAAGACATAGGATAGAGATTTTTGAAAATTGAAATAAGGGTATCACTGTTTTAACTTATTCTGAGGAAAAATTGGGAGTATGAAAGTCTACCCTCTGAATTAAATTATTTCTTTACAAAGAAAAAGGAGAACTTCTTTTATGAAAGTTCTCTCTTATTCTTAAGGGTATCACAATCTTAACGGTCACAGCAAATTATTTCTTGTCAAATTTAAGGGGTGGCCATCAATAATCTGAAATTACCATGCTTCGGGCAAGATAGATAAAGTATTGAGATTCTCTCTAGAAACTTGAAATAAGGGTATCACTATCTTAACTTATTCGGAACAAAAATTGCGAATACGAATGTCTACCCCCTTAAGTTAGTCATTTTTCACCGATAAAAAGGAGAACTCCTTTCATTGAACAAATTTTATGCGAATAAAGAGAAGGTCAAGATAGCGCGCTGGGTACCCTTAATTCTCCGATCTAACCTTCGATTTTCCAGCGACAAAAAGCGAAAGACCGGGAAAAATGGCATAAGAGCGTGAATCAGCAAATCCCAAGTTATTAAGTTGTTTCTGCTGCACCTGTAGCGCGTGCCAAGAAAATTTTTCGGGTTGACTAGTTTTTTTGAATTTGATCGTCTCTTAAGATGATCCTTTTATGTATGATTAACAGCATGGGGCTTGCTTGTTTCAACTCTGCGATTCATTTTTTTCATTTCAATCTCAGTTACAAACTCACTGTGAGAAAATAGAAAAAAACTAGAGCTTTTAAATTTTAAAACGTTATTTTTTCCAGTTTTTTATTTGATTTGACGACTCGTCAAAAATAATAAAAAGAAGCGCTAATTATGGCGAGTCCTGAAAACAAAAAGGTACAGAAATTGTTGTACGATACTGTATTGCCAATCTGGGCTCGGCAACCTGTGTGGAAATCCTGAGTCAGGGTTCTAAAAGAGCTGAAATGAAAAAGCCGCTTCGGGGCTCCTTTTTATTTTAGCTTTTGAGAACCCTGACTCAGGTATTTCACACAGGTTGGCAAGCCAATAGTTGAACCTGTGTAGAAATCCTGAGTCAGGGTTCTCAAAAGCTGAAGTAAAAGACGCCCCGAAGCGGCTTTTTCATTTCAGCTCGTTCAGACCCTGACTCAGGTTTTCCACACAGGCTTCCGAGCCCAGACTGGCAATACAGTATTGGTAAATACAGTAAAAGTGCGTCAAAGTAGAACGGAAAGCTGGCTGAACAAACTGTTGATCTCCGAACAAAAGACGCTAAAATCACCGATAATTAGCAGTCATAAGCAATTCAACGAATTTCGACAATTTCGACGATTCAATTGAAATTTTTATTTAATTTTTCATGTTTGCTTTTTCGAGAAAGAATATGCAACAGAAGTATTTTTCGGAACAGTAAATATCAAGCAATATTTTTCCCGCAATCTGTATTTGAAAACCTGAGTCAGGGTTCTGAAGAGCCAAAATGAAAAGCCGCGTAGCGGCTTTTTAAAACTAAGTCGCAAAATCGATAAGAGTGATTGAAGCGCGGCTTTGTTTTAAAAGCCGCTACGCGGCTTTTCATTTTAGCTCTTCAGAATCTGACTCAGGTTTTTACACAGGTTGCCGAGCCCAATGAGGAAATGAGGGTGTGAATCATTTTAAATTTATAACGCTTCTTCCGTATTCGTTTGATAAATAATTATCGCTAGGTAAACTTATCAACTCGGTCAAAAGCGGGAATAAAGACGGTTATAAACGGCTTTCCAGGCGAAGGAAGCGCAGTTTACTACCGGCTGTTTGTTGCTCCTTGTCTGAAGACGAAAATATAATTGCGCGAGGGAAGGGCCTTTTAATGCATTTACAACTGCCCCCACGTGCCATATATAAATCAAAATTACTTTCTAGGAGGCCACTTCTTCTTTCTCCACTTTCCAGAAAGAAACAAGGAACAGAGATTTACGATTAAACGAATAAAATCAAAATAAATCTACAGACAGCACTCATCTGGGCTCGGGAACCTGTGTGGAAAAAACCTGAGTCAGGGTCCTGAAAAAGGTTGAATTTAAGAATAGATCCGTCTTCTTGAACCCTGACTCAGGTTTTTGCATAGGTTGCCGAGCTTAGATCAAAGATACTCTTGGCTCGGCGACCTGTGTTAAAACCTGAGTCAGGGTCTGAAAGCAAATTTTGAGGCTTTTCGCTGAAGATTTTTCAAACCCTGACTCAGGTTTTCTACACAGGTTGCCGAGCCCTGAGTATCTTTGATCTAAGCTCGCCAACCTGTGCAAAGCCTGAGTCAGGGTTCAGAAAGACGGCTCGATTCTTGAATTCAAGCTTTTCCAGGACCCTGACTCAGGTTTTCCACACAGGGTGAGCTCCATAAGAGATGGTCTTATATTTCTTCGATTCTGTAGAGTTTTGTTTGAAAATCTCGAGCTCAGGAGCATGTCGAACATTTTGGACGAAAAGTTCAAAAATGTCAAGAAAGAAGCTGGCACCCAAATCTGGCGCATCGAGAATATGGAAATGGCCGAGGTGAAAACCGACGACTACGGCGTCTTCTTCAGCGGCGATTCCTACATTATTCTCAAGACGATCGAGAAACGAGGTGCGTTTTCGAGTTGTCTATTTATTTTCAGCGCTGCTTTAGCTGGCACTGAGCGGCGCATCCACTTCTGGCTGGGCGAAGAGTCCTCCGTCGATGAAAGAGGAGCGGCGGCGATTTGGGCGACGCACTTGGACGACTGGTTCGGCGGAGAGCCCGTCCAGTACAGAGAAACGCAGAACCATGAGTCGGAAAAGTTCATGGGCCTCTTCGCCAACGGCGTTCGTTACAAGAAAGGCGGCGTCGCCGGAAAATTCAAAAAGATCAATCCAAACGAAAACACTCAGAAAACGCTCTACCAAGTCAAAGGAAAACGACGCCCCAGGCTTCAAGCCAGAGTTTTTAAATTCAAAAAATGTAGAACTCGGCAGCCTGAGTAAAAACATGAGTCAGGGTCTGAAAGATCTAAAATGAAAAGCCGCGTAGCGGCTTTTGAAACAAAGCCGCAAAGCGGCTTCGAAAACTTACTGCTTTTAAATTCTGGCGAAGCCGCTTTGCGGCTTCGTTCTTAAAAGCCGCTACGCGGCTTTTCATTTATGATCTTTCAGACCCTGACTCAGGTTTTCTACACAGGTTGCCGAGCCGAAATTGATTTATTGCGAAAATTTTTTGAAAAATTCTTTCGAAAGAAGTGGACATCAAGTGGGAGAGCTTCAACGAGGGCGACGTTTTCATCCTCGAATACAAGAACTGGCTTGTTCAGTGGAACGGCAAGGCCGCCAATCGATTCGAAAAGCTCAAGGCTTGCCAGACCTTGGCGGATATGGCGGCGAAAACGGGGCGGCCGAAGAAGGTGATTGTCGAACAAGGAAGATCCCACGAGGCTCTTATTGGTATGTGGCTGGAATAGCAAATAGTTGACTGAATAACATGATTGAATAATGAAACGATGCTCCTAGAATGTCTGGGCCCGCTTCCAGACACGTACGCGCCCGGAACTGACGACGTCGAGTTCGAAAAGGCATCTGCTTCCAAAGTAAGTCAAAGCTAAGCAAGTCTAACCCGATCAGAAATAAGGGTGTAAGCGCCATAATATCACTTTCTGCTTGATTTTGGAAATCTTGCTGTTTTGAGTTTTAGATGATCAAATGCTTCTTTACAAAAGAAAACACCATGGTTACACGGGTGACGGAATAAAATTAGGGATTCAAAAAATTCTTAAAAAAAGCTAGAAAAAAGACAAGTTTCGACTTCTGAAAAATTCTGTCAGACTCCTGTGTTCGCTGTAAAAGTATTATGCAAATGAGTCGACCGTGCGGATTTTCAATCAGCCATGCTCGGCCACCTTAATTGCCTTATCGAAACCTTATCACAAGGCGTACGTGTCCGCTCCACAATATGCGCCGCGCACCGTGTGCACTGTATATTTTAATATCCTTCTTTGTATCCTTAATTTCAGCCACCAGCGCTGTATTGCGTCGAAGACAACAAGAAACTCGGCGAAGGCAAAGCCATGAAGGTCGAGTTTTAAATTTTTAAATTAACGAAGTGACACCCTTATTGAATTTTCCATTCTTTTCTGAAACTCGAAAAAGCAAGAAATGCTCCTAACGACGAGCGCTTTCTACATTGTGGACAACCTCAAGATCTACACCTGGAAAGGCAAAGAGTGCCCCAAAGAGCTGAGAAAGAAAATTCTTGTGGGAATTGACGAATTCTTATCGGCGATTGGATTCAAGGTAACCGCTCGGCCCCGCCGATTCCAGGGCGCGCAACAAGAGCTGCCCTCTTCCCACGAGAAAGGCGGCCTATTAGCTCGATTCCGGAGAACTTAGGGTCTTTGCTTTTGAGTTATTTAAGGTCATCACTCCCTTTTTCATCTTTTTAGAATTACTTTTCCTTGCTTTTTTGAAGTGATACCCTTAATATTTTTTAACGTTTTGAGTCGAAAATAACCGCAGTTTGTCAAGGAATCAGTAGTCACTCTCTTTTCCGAGTGGATACCCTTAACGTTTAAGGATATCCAGAGCAATGTTGTATTTGCAGTGATACCCTTAATAAAATTATTTCAAATTTGAGCTAACAACTCTCATTCTTCATTTTTTATTGTTGAAAAATCTGTCTTTCCGAGTGGATACCCTTAACATTTAAGGATATCCCTGGCAATGTTTTTTTGCAGTGATACCCTTAATAATTTTCTTTCAAAATCGAGCTAACAATTCTCATTTTTCATTTTTTATTGATGAAAAATCTATCTTTCGGAGTGTATACCCTTAATCAAATTAAATGAATTTCTAATGCAAAAACGTTGATAGGTACATACGTATTTATGTATTTCGTGTGTACATAAAAATAAACTCAACTACACGAATCCGTGAGACTCCGTTTTTCAAGAAGAGTGACCTCAAAACATCGAATTAAAAAAGTACATTCAGGGTCAGCCGCAAATAGAAGGCCTGAGCCAGGGCACGGAGACCGCTCCTTTCAAGCAGTTGTTCGCCTCTTGGAAGGTGGCTAACCAGGTGAGCCAGGATCGCCAAAACACGATTTGACGCTTCGTTTAGACGCAAGGAATTGGAAAGGCATACGTCGAAAACTCCATCGCTAAAACTATCAAAGGTAAACGGACTGGCCTTTTTCCAGAAATCACGAATCAGGAATCTGTCCAGCTCCTGGCGGTTTACACGTGTCTAAAGTCGGAAGTGCTTCTCTTTCGAGTTTGTTTTTCTTTTCAGAGAGTCGCGCTCTCTCTCTGCCCCCAATTTACGTACACTCGCGCTCACTACTGATAATTTATCAGCAGCTCTTAACCGCTCGTCTACGTTTTTAAGCACCCGCTTTTAAAAGCATTCCAAAAATACTTGAATGAATCACGCCATTACTAGAATCTCAGCAGCCTGTGTCGAAACCTGAGTCAGGGTCATATAAAAGCTTAAATAAAAAGCCGCGCAGCGGCTTCGCCAATACTTGAAAATACAATAAAATAGTTAAAGGCGAAGCCGCTTTGCGGCTTCGTTTCTCTAAAAGCCGCTGCGCGGCTTCGGTTTTAAAAAGCCGCTACGCGGCTTTTTATTTAAGATCCTGACTCAGGTTTTAACACAGGCTTCCGAGCACCAGAGTTGCAAATTTTTGAAATTTTTTCTGAGCTGAGCTAGCTGAGCTGAGGTTGAAACTGAGCTGAGCTGAGCTGAGCTGGCTCCTCATAGAAAACAACTGAGCTGAGCTGACCCTCACCTCAAAATTGCTGAGCTGAGCTGAGCTGAGCTGAGCTGTAGCTCAGCTATCTCAGATAGCTCAGCTCAGCTAGCTCACAAAATTTGCAACTCTGCCGAGCACTGTTCGCTCTTTTTCTTACTGTAACTTTCGAGTCAAAAGTTACATGTTATTTTCCAAATGCGACGTGCTTGTTTACGGAAGGTAAAATCAGTAAACGGTGAATTTAGGGATCGAACATGTCGACATTGACGGAGCAATGCGATCTAATTCGCGAGCTTCGACCAGCGATGCGCCCAAAATCGAAGGACTGGTTTTCTGGACTCTGGAGGGGGCCTCTCGTAATTGGGCCTCGTTATGGCCTCAAATGTGACCCTTCCTTTGCTCTGCTGGGAAATCTAAACCGGGCTGAGCCGGAAGCTGCTCCAGTGCTCGGCAGCAGCGAATTCGTAAAACCCAGCGTTCCCAAAACAGTAAATAGAAAGTAAAGAAAAAGAGAGAGCGGAGCAGCGTGAAATAGAACTGGGCGAAAATAGAATTATCCCCCGCTGCAGCTCGGTCCAGGCAGGTGACAGCCACTCCAGCGGTTTCCCTCCCTCTCTCTTTCTCGGTTTCGTGAATTAAGAAAATGAAAAATAAAAACAGTTGAAGGAACCACACCTGTATCTGTGAACTAATTTGCTCTCTAGGAGATTCCGATTTTTGACCAAATTTTTGACTCAAGTTTCCGAAAAATTGGGTAAAATCCGAGAAGCCGCTTGCGGCTTCTTGCTTATTCAGTAAATTAGCCGCGCTACGCGCGGCTTTTTAATTTAACTCGAAGCCGCAAGCGGCTTCTCGGATTTTACCCAATTTTTCGGAAACTTGAGTCAAAAATTTGGTCAAAAATCGGAACCGGTCAAAGTTTTGAAATCCAAAAAAGACGATGGTCGAGGAGAAGTGGAAGTCTACCGAATCGAGACCGGCTCGAAAAGTGGCTCTGAAATGGCGAAAATCGAACGCGACGATTTTGGACAATTCTACGGCGGCGACTGCTACATCATCGCTTACTGCAATCACAAGTACGCTCGTTTTTGGCTAATTGCATCGTGTTTTGAATCAAAGCCTGGCGGACTTTGTTGCGAAACAAAAACGGGCAACGTTCTTTTGCGGCTCAACCTTTTCAAATGGAAATCTTTAGCGCTTTGTTTAGGACTCGTCCAAAAACTGAAGTTGTCTACTTCTGGCTCGGTGCTAACTCCACTATAGATGAACATACAGGAATGGCTCTATCATTTTTGTGTTTATCGATTTTTAAATCGTTTTGAACTTCATTTTTTTTAATAAAATAAGGCAATTTTTCAATTTGATTTGGTCTAATAAAGCTTTAAACTTCAGGATCACAGGAGAAAATAAGGGTATCTCTATCTTACTGTATATTTAGGAAAAAACGCTTCTTGGAAGTTGGGTTTCTAAATGTCTTCCTTATTTAATTATTAAGGGGGTAGACATCAGTAATCGCGATTTTCGAGCAGCATTTTCTCCTTCACTTATCATAGAGACGCCCTTATTTTCTTGTGCAAACATGAAGTTTGAAGCTTTATTCGACCAAATCAATCAAAAAATTCTGTCTTTTACATAGTGACACCCTTAATTAAGTCCAAAATAATGGAAGTTTTGAGCTTTTTCTCGGCTTATACATTGGTTATAAATCAGTATTTCTAATTGAACATGTCTTGGAGCCAAAAATCTAGCTGCGGCGCACCACACAGTTAACCTGGCGAAGGAAAAGGGCGGCTGGCAGCAGGTGCGCGTCCAACAGGGCAAAGAGCCGCACCACCTCCAGAAGATATTCCAAAACTTCATTATCTACAGGTTCGTTTTCGTGCGATAGCGTTTTTCTAAAAGCGCTTTTACTGAATTTTAAACGCTCGAGCTCGGTATCAGATTCCGCCTCAGAATTTTTACCCTTTTCTTCTTTTTTTAAATTAAAAAAATTATTTCCAGGGGCGGCACGTCGCGAAAAGGCGGCCAAACGGCGAAGCTGAACCCGACCATGTTCCACTGTCGCTCATCGATCCACGGCTACACGAGGTAAAACTGACCCAGCTTGTCAAAACGAACACGTGAGAACGGAATCGTACACGCATTTTTCTTCCGGCATTCCTGTCTTTTTCCAGACGGCCGGGAAAGAAAATACACAAACTCACATGAGAAAAAGTTCATGCAAAAATATAATTAACATAGTGACGCCCTTAATATAAAAAAATGGCTAATTAGCAATTAGCTAATTAAGTGGTGTTCAATTTCATTCTTGAAACTATAATTCTACCTCGGATAAAATAAGGGTATCACGATATTATATGGTGGTACTATATGGTGATACCCTTATTTTATCCGAGTAAAAATTGTAATTTTCCCGGAAAATGAAATTGAACACCACTCACTTAGCAATTACTAATTAGCTATTATTTTTATTAAGGGCGTCACTATGTTAACTCTCAAAATTCGTAAAACTCCTAAACAGTACTAACTGCTAATCGGATTTCCGGAATCCGAATCGATCAAGCCACGTGATCGAAATGAATCAGATCAAACTTTTTTCTAAAAAAGAAAAATGATCAATTCGCTTATTGTAACTGAGAGTGCGGCGTTCCACTCTGCATAGCTAAAATAATTACACGAAATCGAACACGCGCGATTCGTGAACTGACCGCCTTTAAAATTTTAGAAATGTGGAGGTCGCCGTTACCGCCGAGAATCTCAACTCGAACGACATTTTCATTCTCGTCAAGGCGCGGTTTTCGCTCGATCGAGAGTCGCGCTAGAATTCGCAAAAATTCAGCAAATCCGCATCTTGCGCTGCATTTATTCTCCAGCCCCCAAGCTCAGATACAAACGTTCAATTCGAAAGAACAATCTAAATTCTTTGCAAATCGCGGAATTCCGCGAAAACTGTAAAAAGGACAAGAACTGCTGGATGTGGAAAGGAAAGGGCAGCAACGCGGCCGAACTCACCGCCGCGGAAGAAGCCTTGGACTTGGTCGTTGATGGATGCAAGATCAAGCAGATTGAGGAAGAAAAAGAGCCCCAAGAGTTCTGGTAATTGATAATAGAAAAAGCGATTCTCATTTTGATTGAGTTGTTTTCCCTGGAATTTTCCGAATATTACTATTAAAATCGAGAAGCCGCTTGCGGCTTCGAGTCAAATGAGACTGAAAAGCCGCGCTTTTCACAAAACAAATTTCTTCATTGAAAAATCCGATAAGCCGCTTGCGGCTTCGAGCTAGTCCAAATTAGCCGCGCTACGCGCGGCTTTTCAATATTCTTACTCGAAGCCGCAAGCGGCTTATCGGATTTTTCAATGAACCAATTTGTTTTGTGAAAAGCGCGGCTTTTCACTCATTTGACTCGAAGCCGCAAGCGGCTTCTCGATTTTATTTGAGTAATATTCGGAAAATTCCAGGGAAAACAACTCAATTAAAATGAGAGTCGCGGTATCCAATTCCTTAATCCATTTTTTCAGGGACGCAATCGGCGGAAAGAAAGAGTACGCGAAAATCGACGACGCAGATGCAATCGACAACGCGAAGCTGTTCGTCTGCTCCGACGCAAGCGGAAAGATGCAGGTGGAGGAAATCGGCGAGGATTTTACGCAGGGCGATTTGATTCCCGAAGACGTGATGATTCTGGACGGAGGGGCGATGATCTACGTCTGGCTGGGCAAAAAGCCAACGCGAATGAACGAAAAGACGGGCCAGAGTGAGTTTCAGTTTCGCTTGGTATTTTGCTTGTAGAAACGGAAACGAGTTATTCTCGGAGAATCTAAGATAATGGTAGAGGAATTACAAGTAACGATAAATTATAGGATCGCGAGGAGATACGCCGCCGGCTGTCCCGGAAGAAAGAAGCTTTCCATCATCGAAGATGGCAAGGAACCGCTCGCATTCAAAGGTTAGAAATGCACTGGGGCGCAATTAAGGGGTAGAGCTCTTAAATCGACGAACGTAGATTCCAGTTAGATAAGTCGCGCTTTCAATTTTTCTTTTACCTAATAAATTAAGGGTATCACTAAGTTAATAAGAATAGAAAAATTCTATCGAAAATTTGCTCTTTTAATGACCCGAGTTAAGGGAGTATAGTTCGTTAATGACAATTTTTCAACAGATTTTTCTCCAAAAATTAACACATTGACACCCTTATTTTTCTAACCAATAAAAAGGTCAGACCTTTATCTAGGTCCTCAAGAGGTTTGAATTTCACATTTCGATGGTGACACCCTTAAAATCGTTTCTTTTTCAGGCTTCTTCCAGGGCTGGGACGACAAATACGACGCAAATGCTGTCTTCGAAAGCATGAAAAATGCCCTTTGATTTTTCATTTTTTACTGTCATTTTCATTTCTACTGCTTTCTTTTTGTATAAACTGAAAATAAATTTGAAACTTCTAATTCGACTATTCTTCATCTCCACAAACTTGTTCTTCAATTTGTAACAAGCTCGGAGCAAGATTATTTTTGTTTCTTGTTGATCGAAAAGAGAACTACTCTTTCTCTTTTACACTCTTTTTCGCTCCTTTGCGGGTCATTCCTCCTAGTCATGTGATTGTTTACAGGTCGGCTTTTCTTCCGCATCCACGGCTAATTCCGACCCTTGTCCGTGCACTTGCAACTGCTCAAACAATTATTCTCCGACGCACAACTCTTTTGTAACCATTTTTCTTGAGGAGAGAAAGGCTTGTGACTCCCTTAAGGGTGTCCCCAACGATTTTGCTAAATCATGCTCGGCCTAGATCGTTGGGGACACCCTTAAATTCAAATTGCTTTACTACCTTTTTGAACCTTCTTTTGAAATGGAGAGTAATTTAATTTTGCTCTAATCCGCGCTAGAATTAACGACTTTCGAGGAGCGTTTGAGATTTCGGTTTATTTAACCTTTCGCGAGTTTATTTACAACGCAAAAGATATAAAATATCTTCGCGGCTCAGCTCAAAAACTCAAAAAGCACTTCCTTTTTCAATTTTTGAGCGTGAATTTCGGATTGATTCGGATTTTTACTGAAAAATTTCGCGATTTTCTCGTAACAAATCGTGGCAATAATTAGGATGTGTATATTTTAGAAGAGTTGCGCGTATGTTTTGCTGGCTCGCTCGGGCGGCAGGTGGCGATGGAGGGGCGCGCTCTGCCCGCTCAGGTGGCGCTCGCGAGGCGCTTTTCGCGAGTGCTGATCAGGGAAAGAGGTTGCGAGTACTCCGCCCACGCGTGGAACCGCGCGGTTATTGGCTACCACGAGGAACCAGCTTGTACCATCGATGCAAGCTGCCCCAGCACACAAGAGACTCGGAATCCTTCGCTGAAAAAACATAATTCTAGAGAGCAAAGTTGAAAAATACGAAATCTGAAAAGGAAGAAAGAGCTAAAAAACGAAGATTTTTACGAGAAAAGAAATTTGAAAAGAAAACTTGAATTCGAAGAAAAAAGAAAGCTGAATTGAATTTTAAATCATGGCAGATCTTTTAGGTACAGTAATTAACCTTTTAAAACTGTTAAATAACTGTATGAATATATTTAAAATTTTTTGTGTAATCATACTTTTATCAGAAAATAAAATTATTAATAATTTACTGGAAAAGTCCCCTGATCTCCAATTTTAAATAAAGGGAGTAGACCCCGATAATTTTTTTCTTTCTCGAATAAAATAAGTGCCTCACATTTATTTTAATCAGAAAAAATAAGGGTTTCACGACTTAAAATTAGCAAGAAAAATACCAAGAGAGAAAATCCTGATTAACGATGTCTACTCCTTAATTTTTCCTTGTGATTTTTCCTTGCCGTTTATTTCGATCATGACCTTTGCGCTAGAATTTGTGCCCTTTGCTGGGCGAGAGGGTAGATAAACCGAATTAAGAAGATTTTAGAAAACCCTTTTTTTGTGAGTAGACCCCCTTAATCATCCCTTTCCTAAGTCGAGTTGAATCAGTAATTAGTCATTTTTTTGCAATAAAAAATGCGGAATTTTAATTTATTTAAATCTTTGTTTTGGGAAAAATAAATAATTTTCTAATTCATTTTTTTCTTTTGAATTGCTGAAAATATTTTTTAAACTAAAAAATCAAGGCTTGAAATCTGGCTTTTCGCCAGCACGTCAAATTAAAGATGGGGAGATCAGGATAATCAGGCGGAATTAAATTAAACGCTCATTAGCAATTTTAAAACGGGAAAAAGGAAGTTTATTTTTTAATTGAAAAAGAACTGTTTCTTTTTTGAGAGTTTTCGTTTTACACGTTCTCTGTTTCCATGTTTTGAAAATAGCGATTGAATTAGAGATTGTCTCAGTTTTGGAAATAATTTAAAATTGGCTGCTATCGAAAATAATACCAAGCACGTTTTTTCTGGATTTTTACGTCATAAATTTTAATTTCTACGCGCAGAATGTTTTTTTCGAAATTTAGCAACGTGATACCCTTATTCTAATAGCGATCAAAAATAAGTGATTAAAAAAATTGTCTTCACGTTTTTTTTGAGAAAATGTATATTAAGGATGTAGACCTCGTTAACTAGGATTTTGGCTGAATTTTTTCTTGAATTTATCGCGGTGCCACCCTTATTTCAGCTGGTCAAAGTGAAGTTTCAATGCTTTTTCTTGAATCTCGCTTTTGAAATAAGGGTATCACGTTGATAAATGCAGGTTTTTCTAAAATCCTGGTTAACGAGGTCTACAACCTTAAATTTTCTCATTTTTCAACAGATTATCAGTTCAATCTATTATCAAATACCCTGAGTCAGGTTTTTCACGCAGGTTGCTGAGACCAGACTGGGAGGAAAGAAGTGATGAAACAACGCTTTTAGAGCTTGAAATTCAATAGAACAGCGCTCAGTCAAATAACGAATAAGTGTTTCGTCCTCAACCTTACACTTACTTTTTCGAGTTTCGAAAAAACGAACGTTCCAACAAAAAATAACTCCAAAATCAAATTAATTCTAGCGCTAGAATTTAGAATTTCCGCAGCTTTTTAGCTACTAGAAAATTTAAGGGTGTAGACCTTGTTAAACAGGATTTTGAAAGAGACTCTGTATTTATCAACGTGGTACCCTTATTTCACAAGCTCACATAACGACGAAGATCGACTTTTGTCTCTCAGCCAATCAAATGTCTCGAAACACTTGGTGGCGCTTCTCGGCAAAGAGCAAAAGTCAAAAATTCAAAAAGCATGTTCCTGTCCGGGTTCGAACCGGAGACCTCTCGCGTGTGAAGCGAGCGTGATAACCACTACACTACAGGAACTGTGCCCGACTCCCTCACTTGTGCTCGTTTAAATCGTAATCGTACAGCATCATACAGTAGCACTCTTTCTCGAATTGATTTTGGTCGAAAATCGGAGCATCAGAGTTAGTTTTTCTGTTACGATTTTCCTCCTGGATTAAGGGTATACCCTCAGATATCGTTTTTTGAAAACGTCGATGATTGGTCCTTATTTTGAGCCATAATTCGAGCAATTTAGAATAAGGGTATCACTAGAATAACGCATCAAAATCTGTGAAATTACGATTTTCTACCTTGATTAAGGGTGTCTGCTTGGATATAGTTCTTTGTTTTATTGATAGATCTTTATTTTGGGCGATGTTTGAAATCATCTAAAATATGGGTCTCTCAAAAAGCACCAGAAAAGTTGCAAAGTCGAAATTTCTACCTCGCTTTCTCGCTTTTTTCACGTGCTCTAATTGTAATTTCATCAGTATACAATACAGTACCCTGCTCACGTTTTTCCCCACCCCTCTTTCTCTCTTCATAAGTCCTGACTCAACTTCTCGTTTCTTGTTTATGCCCTGATTCGCGGGTCCGATTGAGCCGTAAATTGCGCGTCCGGGCACCACCAAAACTTTGATTAAAAAATTATATTTCTCGCTAAAAGCGCTGCTAATTACTGTTGCTGCTAAAAAGCCGTAAAACATGCTTCAAAATGCTTGTTACAACTTTCTCACTCCTGGCTTCGATCTTCCGCCCTCATAATATACATGTTGCGCGTCCAGTCGTTCGAATTTAAGGGGGTAGACGACCTTGAATTGGATTTTTAGTCAGACTTTTCTCCTAGACTTAACATAGTGACACCCTTATTTTCAAAAGAAAAAATCGAGAAGCCGATTGCGGCTTCGAGTTCTGAAATATAAAAGCCGCGCGCAGCTTCGATTTTTGGCTCGAAGCCGCAAGCGGCTTCTCGACTTTTTCTTTTGAAAATAAGTATGTCACTATGTCAAGTTCAGTGTTGAGAAAAGGCTCGGCAACCTGTGTGGAAAACCTGAGTCAGGGTCAGAAAGAGCTTTTCCCAAATCCTGACTCAGGCTTTTCTAGAAGTAACACAGGTTGAAACATAGGTTTTCGCGAAAATTTCAATCAAATTTTGCGCCCTTTTTTTAGAAACAACGTGAGAATGCGAGAAAGCAACTTAATTCGCAAAGCCCATAACAAGAGTCTTAAAGTCTCTGAACTTATTAAGCCCAACGCTAATCCGTCCGGAGCTGGCTAATCTCAGCGTATCGACGTGCCGCAAAATTTTATGAAAAATTTGCGCAAAAGTCAAATGCCAGGTCAAGCACCGTCGCTGCGAAATTGCAACAAGCCTTCCAAAATTGAATTTAATTCATCCTTTTCTCCGAAACTTAACATAGTGACACCCGTATTTTCAAAGAAAAATCGAGAAGCCGCTTGCGTCTTCGAGCTCATAAAATCGAAGCCGCGCGAAGCGCGGCCTTTTATTTGTGAACTCGAAGCAGCAAGCGGCTTCTCGATTTTTCTTTTGAAAATAAGGGTGTCACTATGTTAAGCTGAGAGTTGAGAAAAAACGAGGAATTCAGATTTTGGAACATTGTTTTTCGATTATTAGCGACCAGAGCATGAATATCACGGGTCAATGCGGCCGCGCAGATTTTGCCAGCTCTGCATAACTCCTATTTTCTATTGAAAAAGAGAAAAAGAGAGAGCAAAGATTGTTTCTAAAACAAGCAAATCCAAACCTTGCGAAAGGTAACTTGGTAATATTATGAAACAGTTAGGATTTCAACGTAAAAGATAAATCCAGAACGTGAGAATTAAGAGCCAGAACAATCATAATCATAATTATAATTATAAATTTTAGGAAGTAAGAAAAAACTTTTGCAAATATTTTCCCATACAAAACAGGCCCATTTCTGTCCATTTCCGTGTTTTTGTGAATATAAACTTCCTCTTTGATAGATCAATTTTCATACCAAATTCACTCTTTTACAAAGCAATTCGATTTTCATCCAGAATAACGGAGATAATTATCCAGAATTAGTATAGATAAACCCTTAATTTATTATGGACAGAAAGCTCGGCTCGGGAACCTGTGTAGAAAACCTGAGTCAGGTTCTAAAGAGCTAAAATGAAGCCGCAATATACCTGATGAAATCCGATAAAATCGATGTTGACACCCTTAAATCTATAATTAATTACTAGCGGCTTTTAATTTTGGCTCTTTAGAGCCTGACTCAGGTTTTCTAGACAGGAAGAACAGAATATTCTTGTAATAAAAAGATCCGAAAAAAGGGACGAAAATAATCAACAGAAAAGAATCCAGGTCCCCTTAACTCATCAGCCGCATGTTTAGTTAAAACTCGGGGAGATGAAAGCTGCCGTTTTTCGTTTTTTCAAAAATTGCCGGGCCCGTTTTCACTGAAAACACGGTTACGAGAAGGTAGTACTCGGATTATCGAGTTTTTAGTTTTGAGTTAGTTTGCGTAAAAACGTAAACGCGTTTCGTTTTTCCGAGAAGTGACGAATTTGATCAATTGATCGAGTTAGCAAATATTTCCGAAATACCGTAATGAATCTAATTTCCTGAAATTAAGGACTCTTCACATGATTCACATGATCAGAGTCACATTTCGAGCCCAGAATTATGGGTGTCAACAACGATTTCAAAAAATCGATCCAAAAAATCGTTGTTGACACCCTTAATTCTGGGCTCGAAAACCTGTGTAGAAAATCTGAGTCAGGATTTGTAAAACCTTGAATAAAAATCCTGACTCAGGTTTCCTACGCAGGTTTTCGAGCCCAGAATTAAGGGTGTCAACAACGATCCAAAAAGATCGAAAAAATCGATCAAAAATCGTTGTTGACACCCTTAAGTCTCTTTTTCGATCTCAAAGTTTCAATAACTCTTTTTGTTCAGAAAGTCTTCCGAAGGATCCGACAGAAGATGAGATCCAATCCCTTCTGGCGCAGCTGGAAACGATGGAGGACGTAGACAACTGCGAAGAGCTGCAATCACAGATCATGGAAACGATCCAGGGCTACCCGGAGCTGCTGCAGGCGATGAAGCAGTTCAACAACGAACACGCCTTTGAGAAAGAAAAGGTCGAATTCGAGCGGCTCAAATTGGAGGAGCAAATTTCGATGCTCGAAAAAGTCATCGAAAACGGAATCAAGCAGACGACCGATCTGCAGGAGATCCACCACGCGGAGGTCGACGATCTCCACAACCAGGTAATTGACTCTTTTTGGAGCTGCTTTTTGTAATTAGACGCTTTCGTAGATCATCAATCTCCAAAAACAAGTGGCGGCGCACGTGCGTTTCATCGACGAGCACTGCGTTGACTCGGAAGAAATCAGAGCCGAAATGCAACAGGATATCGACAGACTCGTGGTTGAGCTTGAAGAACAGACAAAGGTACAGTCACAAACCCATTTGTATCAATTAAATCTCAGTGAAATTTTTTCTCCTTGATTTATCTTGGAGACATCCTTTTTTTATCCAACAAATGTTTTGAAATATTAAGAAATGCTTGTTTTCAGGCGGAAAAATAAGGGTGTTCTCATGATAATCTAAAAGGAAAAATTTTAATAAAAAATATTGACCCCTGTAGTTTGCTTTGGAAAACGAAATTAAGGGAGTCGACCGCGAAAAACATGATCTTTTGTACAGTCATTTCTCATCAATCTATCACACTAACCCCCTTAATTTATCCAACTAAAATAAACTTTAGAGCTTCCTTAATCTTAATGTTTTAATTTACAGCTAAAAAATAAGGGTGTCATTCCGTTAATTTTCTGAGAAAAGTGAGAATGAAAACAACGCTCTAACAGGAGCTAGAATTACTAAACAATTTCTCCTAAAATTCCTTCTCAATTCAAGGTTAATTCGATTTTCTCGCCCTCTCTCTCTCTTTTCCTAATCGTTTGTAGTAAAGTTTTTCCTTTCGATAATTACGAAAACAGCGCGGCGTGAGAAAGTCGCGCAAAAGTGAAAGTTTGATTTCAAAACGGGAATTACGCCGCCGCTCACTTTTTTCAAGCGCAGCTAGGCAAACGTGTTTCTACGCAGATTTGATTTTGCAGTTTTGAAATAAAATTCCAAAATCGAGAGTCGAAATTGAATTAATTTTCGACGGCGGCTTTTTGGATGCCTCGCCGCTTCAAAATATAAATATACACTACTACGAGTAGTTGGGCTTTGCAAACCTCAGCTTATCATAGTGACACCCTTATTTTCATAAGAAAAAATCGATTTGGACGGCTACCTCCTTAATTCTTTTATAAATTTGCCTTCTTTTTTCAGACAAACCGAACGACAGACTCGCTCCAGCAGCAAGTTTCCCGCCTCGAGCAAGAATGTGCCCAACTGCGAGAACTATTATACCTGGCCGAACAGAACCAAAAGCGAGCAGAAGCCCTTTTAGAAGCCAGAACAGAAGAAAAACGGCGGAAGTCGAGGACATGAACTCCCAAATCCAGTGGTTCCGCAACGAATACGACTCGCTCCTCAAGAAGGTAAAAAGATTTCTTGTTTTTGGGTCAAGCAAAATGGAAAAAAGAACAGTTCCGCTATTATCGGATCGTTTATTTCTAAAAAATTATTCAAATAAACAAAGTTGCTAATCTCCGCTTGTTTCCACAATAATTCTCTCTTTTGCAGTAATGCCATAATCACTTGGCTTTCCTTCTGGCCTCGGCAACCTGAGTAGAAACCTGACTCAGGGTCTGAGCTTGAATTTTAGGAATAGATTGAGATGGTAGCTTTGCGGCTTCTTTTAAAAATTAAGCCGCAACGCGGCTTTTTATTCAAGCTGTTTTATCTGACTCAGGACCCTGACTCAGGTTTCAACACAGGTTGAGTCCAGTTTTAGGCTGTTTTTAAGGAAAAAAGATGAATTAGATTCTCCCTCCTTTTTGGAATTTTGGAATTAATCGAAGCTTGATAATTATTCTCGGAACTTAGGTGGTGTCGGTAGAAGAAGAACTGGCGGTGAAGAAGTCGGCTCTGGAGGAATTAACAGCCGAGAACGCTAAGACGCAGCTTCAGATCAAAGAACTCGAGCTCAAGTCGAGCGGATTACAGTCTCAGGTAATTATCCGGCCACTCTTGCTTACTTTTGTCTTTTTTAAACTATCTTCTCTTCGGCGCCATTAAAATCACTTTACTTCTTTTTGGAACAAATGATTTAACCGGTCATTGCTCACGTGTCCCAAAAATGGCCAATTTTGACCTAAGATTGCTTAAAATCCTTAATTTTTGGCCTTTGTAGAAAAGGAATCCTGAGTCAGGGTCTTGCGAAAGCGGCTTTATTTTTTAGCTTTTGCGAGACCCTGACTCAGGTTTTCTACACAGGTTGCCGAGCCCTGAGTATATTTGATCAAAGCTCGGCAACCTGTGTGAAAACCTGAGTCAGGATTCAGAAAGACGGCTCAATTCTTGAATTCAATCTTTTCACGACCCTGACTCAGGTTTTTACACAGGTTTCTTAGCCCAGGGTTAAAAAGAACAGTTTTTTCTCTTGAGATTCGAAATAGAGATCTTATTATAATAAAAACTGGCGATATGAGATCTTGTGTTTCAGAAGTGTCATTTTTTATCTTATCATTTGACTCCAAATCCAGTTATTAGCATAAACTCGTGTCATTTTGCCCTTTTCTTCTTTTCTTGAGGGTTGTTTTAGCTTGAAGACGAAGAAAAACGCAGTGCGGAGCAACTTCAGATGCTGAAAAACAGCCTCTCGGAAGAGCAAAAGACCTCTTCGCGCCAAAAGTCGGAGCTGGAAAAGATCAAGACGGAGCTCGAGAAGCTCAAGTCCCTCCTCGCAAAGAGCAAGAGTGAGAACGAAGAGCTCGAGAGCGTCAAATCCGAAAACTACTCCTTAGCCACCGAATTGGAGCTCGGCAAATTCATCCAAGAAACGGCCAAGAACTGCGACTCGGAGGCCGATACCGCAGAGAAATTTGCGTAAGTCAACGATTTTTAATCTGATTAAGGGTGTAACATCAACAACGCATTTTAATGTCAACGTATAATCATCAACACAATTTATATTCAAATCGAAAGTTTGAGTCCAAAATTGATCCAATCATCATTACTGGGCTCGGCAACCTGTGTAGAAAACATGAGTCAGGGTCCTGAAGAGCTTGAAAGAAAAGCCGCGTAGCGGCTTTTTAAAAACGAAGCCGCAAGGCGGCTTCGCGAAGATTATCATCATAATCACGCGGCTTTTTATTTCAGGTCATTTTGGTCTTGATTCTGGTTTTTGACACAGGATAATTTTACTGTAATAAAAGTTGTGTAACAAATAGTCTTTCTTTTTGCGAAAAAATTGCCCAAAAATGTTGTTTTCTGATTCTTTCGCGGTGAAAATGCAAAATTGATATCGTCGTCATGTACGATGTAATCTGCAAATAGCTAAATTGACGTGTCCCTCTTTTCTAGTTTCCTTCAAAAGCAGCTCGAGCGACGCACCGCCGCGTACGATGATCTTCGTCGAGAAAATCTTCGTCTTCGCGAAGCAGCTGATCGCCGAAAGCGCCGAGAAAAGCTTCACAAGAGTTCGAAGAGCTCCAACGTCCTTTCGAGTGAGTCCTCCGACTCGCTTTCCGGCTACAGTGGACGAAAGAATCATTCCAAGAATCAAATGGTGTCGCGAAGCAGCCAAGAAGACGGCGGATCCAACTGCGAATCGGAAGATGGCGGCTATTGCTCGTCCCTTCGATCGCTTACAGTAAGTAAAGGAACCGCTTGGATCGGAGACCTGTGTAGAAACCTGACTCAGGGTCCTGAAAACGCTGGAACGAGTTCTTTCAAGGCCCTGAGTCAGGTTTTCTACACAAGTTTCCGAGCCAAAAGTATATTTGATCTCTGCTCGGCACCCTGTGCAAAAACCTGAGTCAGGGTTCAGAAAGACGGCTCAATTCTTAAATTGAATCTTTCTCAGAAGCCTGAGTTTCTACACAGGTTGCTGAGCGTAGATCAAATATACTCTCGGCCCAATAGCTTGTGTAGAAAACCTGAGTCAGGGTACTGAAAGAACAAGATTCAGCGCTTTCGCGACCCTGACTCAGGTTTTCTACACAGATTGCCGAGCCTTAAGAATTGAGCATTCCACATGCTTTGTTTAACCTTCGCTCGAATTAGTGCGTCTCTAACGAGTCTCTTTAGCGTTCGCTTCAAAGCTCCTCAATGATGAGTTTGGACCAGAGCGGCTTGGAATGGCGCTCGCAGTCGTTTTCCTCGCTGCTTTCGTCTTCGAACTCTCCTTGCGCGAGTTCGACGCCTCTTCGCTCTCCGCGCAGATTGGTGCACTCTTTCAACGACTCGCAGGGGAGCATGGAGGAGCTCTCGGAAGACGAGGACAGCGGCGAGAGGATCAAAAAGGTCTACGTCAAGCCACAGGTAAGTTCGGGCCGAGCACGTGTCCCCACGCGCGATCAAGGCTGCCAGGTTAACACCGCCGCCGCCGCCGCCGCTCCAAGACTGATCAGCTCGAAAACTCAAACGAGCATTTCGGAAATTCCCGAATTGGGGGGAATCGCGCAAGACTCGAATCTGAAAAGCGCGCGCTCAATGAGCGACATTCGAATCGTCTCCGACTTCGACACGTCGAAATATTTGACGCCGCTGCGCATTCGCGAAATTCACTCGTCGCGAAAAACGACTCGCAATGGACACGAAATGACGGAACGACTCAGTCGACAGCTCGAGGACAAACGTGAAGACATTAGGATCGGATAAAAATAATAAACGCGGTTTTTGGAAGGCGCGAATGAAAAGAAAAGACAGCCGCGCTGGAATGATAACATTTCGATTTCTACATACCTAAGATATTTTAAGGACCCCCTTTTTCAATATCTTCGAAAGGGGGTTGTTAATTTTTTAACCCTAAGCCGTCAGAAGGCTCAAAATTTGAAGCAAACGGCTTTGATTCGAACTGGGCTTGCCAACCTGTCTAAAAACCTGAGTAATGGTCTGACTCAGGATCCTGACTCAGCGTTTTACTCAAGATCCTGACTCAGGGTCTAACGCAGGACCCTGACTCAGGGTTTTACTCAGGGCCTGACTCAGGGTCCTGACTCAGGTTTTTTGACACAGGTTCGCCAGCCCCATTTGAATCAAAACCATTTGCTTCAAATTTTGGGCCTTTTGACGGCCTAAGGTTAAAAAAGCGCCGTAGTCTAGTAATGAGCCACGTCTTTAGAGTAGAAACTGCATCATTTTATTAGATAGCGTGCGGCTTTTTTCGATGGCTTGGCGCACTTGGATCACTTGAAAAAAGCGCTTGATAAAATGCGCCAAGAGTATCCGATTTATTTCGCGCGAGTGCGTCCTTCCGCGAAAAGACATTATTCTTATCTGCGTTCGACAGACTTCTGCGAAAGATGATTCGAGAAAAGGACGAGGCTTTGGCGGCGAAGTCGGCCGAGTGCGCCAACTTGAAACGCGAACTGCGCGCGTCTTCCTCGTCTTCCTCCCTTTCGACTCCCGGATCGAAGATGGTGCACAGCAATCTGCTCAACTCCGACCTTTCTGATCTCAAAATCAACTTGAAGGATGAAGGCGATCCAGAGCTTTATGGACACATTGACCAGGTAAAGAAAAATTCAAAAATTATCTCTCGACCAATCAAAATGCTCAAAACAGAGTTCGGGCGAATCAGAAGCCTGGAATTTTTTCTCGCATTAGCGAAACATTTTTGATCATTTTTGGCTCGAAAAATTTCAAATTCAAAATTGAAAAAATAAAAAATTAAGGGTATCCCTTCAATAAACCATTTTTAGATCCGACCCGGCCAAATCCAAGAACTGAAGACAGTGCGAAAGACGATCAAAGACGTCGACGGAAAACCAGTGAAATACTCGACGAAAGTGTCGGTCACGTGCAACAAGGTCGCCGTCTTCTTTTAAAAAGATGATTTTCAAAACGTGCAGTTTTCAATCAAAAGCCCTGATTTATTTATGAGAGTCAAAAACTCGTGCAGTTCAAACCAACCAAAAAACGATGACCCTTCTCTTCCACTTTCCTTTCCTTTCGTTTTAACCAATTTCGCCGAACCACCAAAAATGAAAAAAAAGATGCCTTTCTAACAATTTCAAAAATGCAAAGAACACTTTTACATACAATCAACTCTGCGATTTTTAACTGAATAAAGATGCACCTGTACATGATAAAACCAACTAAAATGAGTGTCTTCCTTTTCTTGCAAACGAAAATCTAGGCAACTTTCAAATTTCGCGATTTTTGTTTTCGCATTTTCGCATTTTACGCATTTTTTTCGCAATTTTTCGCAATTTTTTCGCATTTTTTTCGCAATTTTTCGCATTTTTTTCGCAATTTTTTCGCAATTTTTTCGCAATTTTTCGCAATTTTTCTCAATTTTTTCGCAATTTTTTATTATTCGCTAAATTCTGTTCTTTTTCAAGTTTCTGGCGATTATTGCGTCGGAAATGTATGTTTTGCTAAGAATTCTGAAAATTGCAGTCGTCTTATTTTGAAAGAATTTCGCAGCGAGACGCATAATTCTAGTGCTTGAGAAATCGATGCGATTTCAAGAAAAAAAAAAAACAGCATTTTCTCTCTTTTTTTTCCTCGAAAAATCTATTTTTCAAAACCGTGATTTTTCTCTTACACGTATATTCACATCAGCAACAGCAGGTGAGCATTAGCGATAAGAAAAATGACGTGTCAACAAAAGTGATAAAGAAAAAAGTTAAGGTGGGCGAGTTTAATTAAGGATAACAGGGATTACGATGAGATTTGATCTTGAGCGCCGTCTGGTTGGAGCCCAGAAACCTGTGTTGAAAACCTGAGTCAGGGTCCTGAAAAAGGTTTAATTTAAGAATCGAGCCGTCTTTCTGAACCCTGACTCAGGTTTTTGCACAGGTTGTCGAGCCTAGTTCAAATACTCTGAGCTTGGCAACCTGTGTAGAAAACCTTAGTCAGGGTAACTCAGGTTTTCTACTCATTTTTTTTCTGAAGAAATCTCGTCTTTTTTCTCGAAAAAGGGTTTGCCAAAATTGAGTTGGTCAATTACGTGAGCGAAGAAAGAACGCTGGCCCTGGCTCCTCCTCTTCAGTAAGAGCATTCTAGTGCGGTCGCGCGAATTCCATCAGCGCAGGGCGAAAGCTACCGATTTACAAAAACAGCGTAAGCTACTTTCTAAACCGCCGCTCCCGCTCCCGCCGCCGCCAGAATCGAAACTCAAAGTCGTCTTTTCGACTCAGCCAGACTACTGTGGTCTTTGCACTGCCTACCTTTAGCTACCGTCGCCAGGGGAAGAAGAAAAGAAGGAGCTTTTTTAAGACCACCTTGGAATCAAAACAAGTCATGAATGAAACTACGCAGAATTTTTCTTCAAGGCTTTTTCTTTAAAAAAATAATCATCTTTATCCAATTTTTATTTTGGCGATTTTTCGCAAAGTTCTCGAAAAGCGAATCTTGCAAAGAACGAAGATAGAATTTTTCGAATTTTTCGCACTGAAAAAATGCGGAAAATGATCAGAATTGCGAAAAGTGCGAAAACAAGAAATGCGAATTTTTCGCAAAATTCTCGAAAAGCGAAAGTTCGAAAGAAGCAAAATTTTGAAAAGTACAAATAATAAAAAATTGCGAAAATCCGAAAAAAAACGAAAAAGTGCGAAAAATAGCGAAAAATGCGAAAAAAAAACGAAAAAGTGCGAAAAATATCGAAAAATGCGAAAACAAGAAAATGCGAAAATCTAACGCAATCTTTGAATTTAGTGCGAAAAATATGCGATTGCGAAATTATCGACACTTTTTAGCCTTTCAAAAAAGCCAGAAATGTTTAGTTGTTGTTTTGTGTTTAGTTTAAGTTTATTTATTTTAGTATAGGGTTGAATGAATCTGTAGCAGTGTGAAAAAAAGGGAATTTCACTCAGTTTTTTGGTTAGTTGATTTTGGACTGCTTTCGAGGCAGAATAAGGTTAGGTACAGAACGGCACAGTCGTTGTCCAAAAAAGGGAAAACAGATTGATACAGTCGGAGTTAGTACTGTCTCACTGATGCAGGGTCTCGGAAATTCGGAAGAGCGGAGTCTCGATTCGCGCAATTTTAGTAATCACGTGACTGAAAAAAAGGCGTTAGACTTTGAAGAAAGGGTTGAGAACTTACTAAGTAGCTGGAGATTCGAGAGCGCGAATCGTGGTCTTCCGAGTATCGCATAGAAACGGGGCCAGACATGTGAGCGTCGCGGTCGGAAGACTAAAACAGCTGTTAGCAAAGAGAGACAAGGCAAGGTAGATCGGTAGATAGATAGGGCATTTAACAGCCAATCAAGATGGCGAAAAGCGTTGAAAAAGCGCCATCACCTGGACGAATTGTGAATAAATAGAAGACAGAAAGAAATGAAAAATCAAACGATAAAATGATTCAGCAAATTCTTATTTTTCAAAATGCTTGATATGTCCGAATTGAAAAATTATTGGTACGATAAAATGAGACCGAATCATTAGAACCGATCAGTAGAAGAATTCGTCTAAAAATAACTGTGAATAAATAATAATACAATGAAAAATTCTTTTATTACAGAATCGTTTTTCTACGAAAAATTTTAAATCTTGATTAGTAGCTTGATAACGAATCTACCCTCAATATCCCGCTGAGAAGCAAGCGAACGTAGCGCCCTCTTTTGGATCCGTTTTCGAATAAATAAGAGTTCGAAAATTGGAAATGCACCAAAATATAAAATGAGAAGCACAAAAGTCACGTGGAAATTGACCGCGGTCGAAAGGTGAAAAAATCTGCTCGTACCTTACTGTAAGAATATCTGTTTTTTAAATCATTTGAAAATATACTTTGTTAAAATTCAAAATCTTTCGTTACTTACATGGGCAAGTCGGGATTCTTCGCCTTCGAGGAGTTTTCGGTGAATGTTGATTTCGAAGTCTAGCGCCAATTTGACCGCCAAAAGCTCTTGGTACTCGTGCAGTCGTTCCGTCATTTCCGTCTTCGTCTTGTCCAGCGCGTTCGTCATATTGCTGATCTGCTCTTGGTAGGAAGTGATCTCGCGGCGGTATCTAAAATCATAATTAAAAAAAACGATTGAAAAGCGGTGACGCGCGATAAACGAGAATGAAAAATTGCCTCAAAAATACGTTTTTCTTTTTCTCGAGAAATTGGTATTTGAAATTCAATATCGAAGCAGCGAAATAACTATAATTTGCGGCGTCTTTCCATCTTTCGATCTGCGGATTCGCGCGCCGAAGATTTGAGATTGAAGCGATGAGCAGATTAGAAGTGATTTTTAAAATTTCACGCTTTTCGTGTCTTATCGCCCACAGAAAAGATCGCCTTTCATTTTGGCGAGAAAGTGTCGCGTTTTTTTTTTGCTCAGCCCCTCAATCACCTACTGCTGCTCGTTTCTTTCTTTTTAGAACATGTTTTTAAGGATTTGCGCAAAGATAAAAGAGTGATGAAAAACGCTGATTTTTCAAAACGCAAGATAGTGATGTCTACCCCCTTAAATCAATTCAAAACTGACCCGAAAGTACGACCAGACGATGGCGCTTTTTTCGGGGTTTAAGTCACTCTGATTGGCTGTTGCGGAAAAAAATTTAAAATCAAAACTGGGTTCGGCAAACTGTATAAAAACCTGAGTCAGGGTCAAGAAAAAGCCCCAAACCTACCATCTCCATTTTTTTAAGCCCTGACTCAGGTTTCTACACAGGTTGCCGAACCCAGATTCGATTCTGAATCTTTTTTCTGCAACAGCCAATCAGAGTGGCTTACAACCCGGAAAAGCGCCATCGTCTGGTCGATTTTTACAAATATCTGAAACTGACCTATCCTCGACATCGGCCAACTGTCGCTCCAGGTAGTCCTTGTTGCTTCTGAGCGCCTCGATCTGCGCAGTGAGTGAAGAAAGATTGTTTCGATATTCGGTGAGTTCGGACTGCGACTCTTTGAGCCGATTGGCGTCGCGGGACACTTGGTTGTTGAGGTCGTTGAGCTAATTCAAAAAGTAAGAAAGAAAAGCGATATTCGGGGAAATACCTTTGAGTTGTACCAGGCTTCGGCTTCTTCTCTGTTCTTTTTGGCGGCGCTTTCGTACTGCGATCTGATGTCGCGCAGCAATTCGGACATGTCCGGTCCATGAGTGTCCACTTGCACCCGCACGTGGTCCGTCACCAACTGCGCCTTCAGCTCGTTCACCACCTAGAAACAAAGAAATAGAAAAAACAACCATGAACCCCCTTTTCGACCCTTATTTCTAGAACCACGCGTTTGATAATTATGCAAAAAGCATAATCCATTGGATTTTTTACTAATTTGCTTGTTCATGCAAATTTTCATAACGAATTTTTAGTCATCCAGTATTCCTTTTTGAGAAAGCTCCTAAATTAAGGGCTTCACCGTCCTAAACTAAATTTTTCACTCAAAAGTCGACGAAGATTCTGAAAGTCAAGAAGCCGCTTGCGGCTTCGAGTTTTGAAAATCAAAAGCCGCGCTTCGCGCGGCTTCAGTTTTTTGACTCGAAGTCGCAAGCGGCTTCTCGATTTTCAGAATCTTCGTCGACTTTTGAGTCAAAAATCTAGTTTATGACGGTGAAGCCCTTAATTCAGATTGACAATTTTGATCGTAAAGCGCTAGAAATCGTTTTTCGACTTATATTGTCATCCCAAAAACAAGCAGAGAGTTGTATATAAATTAATTTTGATTAATTAGTTAATTATTATGTTCCAACGTTAGGCGGCTCTTTTGTGACAACAGAAACGCGCTATATTTTTGGCGAAGGAGGAAGAAAGTGGGTTTATACTTTGAGAGCGGCGATAAGATCTGGCTCTCTTCCGCTGTGTCACAATTTTTGCACAAAGTGCTTCCTCCCTGTTTTCCACCTTTTCGGATTTTTAAAGAGCGCGATTACTCCAGAACAAAGCGCGATAAGGCGAATATTTGGAATACGGAAAAGCGTACGACTTTTGGTTACTTGCCTCCTGGTGCACCATATTTTCAAATTCTAGTTCCTCGCGGAGGGTGAGCAGCTTCCTCTCCAGATCGACGCGGGTTAAGGTGCACTCGTCTACGTTTTCCCGCAGATTGCGCAACTCCCGTTCCAGTTCTTCCCGCTCGCCCACCGCCGAGTTGTGTCTGAAAAGATAATTTTTAAGGGGGTACGGCTCGATAATAGACGTTTTTGAGAAGGAAGGATCTTGGCGAGGGATTAAGCTATATTTTGATGAAATAAATTAAGGGTGTCAGTGTGTTAATTTTTGAACAAAAGCAAGTTCGAAACTTAAATTTTTTATAGAAATTTTAAGGGGGTAAGGCTCGATAAACAGTTTTTTCTGCATTTTAGTGGAGAAAAATCCTTGAAATAATAAGGGTATCATTCTGCTAACTTTGGGATAAAATCGTCCGGACAATAAATTGCGCTTCTCGTTATCTATGTTCTACCCCCTTAAGTTAGTGTCTGGCAGCCAAAAAGCTCGCAAGCCGATAATCATTGAAACACTAGGTCTCTCTTAATTTGAGGAGGTCCTTAATCCAGCAAGCCAGGAACAATAAACTTCCACCCCAAATTCCATTCTTGAGCCAATTATTTAAGACGTTTTTTCCATAAATAATAGCAGTAATCCAATAACCCCTTCCCCGAAAGAGCATGCTCTTTTTTGCCGGAAATGTGAATTTTTTCATGAAAATTGAATTTAGAAAGAAGGAAAAATCAAATTGGGCCGGTGTGGGGGTTTCCCTGGCCTCTACTTTGAGACTCCAAGTAATTTGATCAAAATGTCACCGCAAGCGGGTCCTGTCAGGGGACACGTGATGTGACATTTTATTTAAAACCAGCAGTGCCCATTATCAATCCTGAACTTTGTCAAATTTAACCTGTCAAGACACAGCTGTACAAATTCCTGGTCCTTTGAAATCCATGGAAATTATTCAAAGTATCGATTTTTGTTGAAAAAATAAGGGTTTTAGAGGATTTTGCTAAAGGAGTAGGGATGAATAATCTCATAATTCAAGCGAAATTTATAATACTATAATTTTTAATACTAGAGTGATACCCTTATTTTATTTCGCCAAAAGAAAGTTTACTCTATTAGCTTTCAAATAGTTAAACAAAATAAGGGTATCACTCTTCTATTTTTGTACTAAATTTAAGAAAAATTTACTGCAAAAAATAGTAGAGTGATACCCTTATTTACCTATTTGAAAGCTAAAAGAGTCGACTTTCTTTGGCGAAATAAAATAAGGGTATCACTATCATAAAATTGGATATTTTAACCTTGAAGATAGGTTTTCGATGAATTCTTAAGGGTATCAAGTGGGTAAAAACTTACTCTTGTCTGAGATCGAGTACATCAGATCTGAGTCGTTCTAGCTCCGCTTCCAATAAGCTTTTGTCGTTGTTGAGCGTTTCCGTAATCTGTCTAAGTCGTCTGAGCTCGTTGACGTAGATTTCCGGCAAGTTGGAGTCGTACTTGACGGTGATCTGGCGCAGTTGCGCGTCGAGCAGCTTGTTCTGCTGCTCCAAGTAGCGCACGCGCTCGATGTAAGTAGCGAAACGATTATTCAAATCCTGAAGATTTAGATTTACGCCGGCAAAGCCCCGAAAGCAGCAGTTACTGAAGCAAAGAAAAATGGCGAATCAAACCGCACAATCATGTCAAAAGTCACGACCCTCCCTCTGCGGTAACGATTAACCATGTTAACATGGGCGGAAGTTACCAGCAATGTTCTTTCCCCATTATTCCTGGAGCCGGTGACGCAACATGGTCTGTATTTAACCACGAGGGGCCGGGACTCGGCAACTTGTGTAGAAAACCTGAGTCAGGTTATAAAGAGCTAAAATGAAAAGCCACGAAGCGGATTTTTAAACGAAGCAGTAAAGCTTCGCGGCTTTTAATTTACTTCTTCAGATCCTGACTCAGGTTTTCTACGCAGATTATCGAGCTCAGCCAGGAGCGAAATCTATTTCCCTGTCAATTTTTATCGTATTTTGAATGTGCTCAATTTTTCGGTCAAGACACAACATGAATATTGGTGATCATTTTTCAAAATCATAGTGAAACGTTTTTATCAGTTATTTTCCCCTGCGCGCTCTCATTATGGTTATTGAATCGCAGTAGCGAGAAATACGCCGTCAAGAAATTCGATCAATTTATTTTACAAAATTGATGATTTCGATAAAATCGGGTTCGGAGAGTATTTTTTCATAGAATAAACCTTACTTCATGGATCATTTAAATACTAATATTATTGACTCATTTCTACAAACTAATCCAACAAATTAACTAATTTTATATTTCAGTTTTTTCTCTTCTTATGGTGTTTGATTGTTACCTTGAGTTCTTCTTTTTCTTCATTTCGCATTTGTCTGAATTCGGGGCTGAGTGTTTCGGCGAGTTCGGCGAGGTCCTTTTCCGAAATGTAGCCGGCTGTGTTATCCCGCGAGTAGCGAGATCCAGAGTCACTGTCATAAGATGTCTGAACCAAAACAGTTAGTATTACAGTAATAAAAATCAAGTCTTTTTGGAAGTTGCGATAAGCAAGAGTGCTTTTCTGCTTGTTTTAATCGATTCCGTCTCAGCATGAGCGCCTGCCGAGATGATAAGTTATCAGCAGCGCGGGTTTTTATTCCTCTGTTTACGGAATAGCGAATTCTGACAAGCAATTTGGCAAGCCACCGCAAGGGACAAACCACGACGCTTTTATTTAACCACCCGGTCGGCGCCGAATTATTTAACTCGATCAAATGCCGGCTGCGCTTACACACGTGCTAGAACTTCTCTAAAAATACAAATGAAAAGTCATCCCTCAAACTCTAACTTTTGAGGCGCTCCCTATTGATAATTTCCTCGACCCAAAAATATATGACTTGGGTTAAATTTTGGGTTAAAAATCTGAAGGGCGACATTTTTGACTCAAAATTTCTTCAATTTTTAGCCCAAAATCAACCCAATCCATTTTTTGGGTAGAGAAAATTATCATTATGCTTAAATTCTTAAGGATCTCCCTATTGATATTTTTCGACCCAAAAATACGGATTCAGTTAACTTTTGGGCTTAAAGAAGCGAAATTTTTCTTTAATTTTTAACCCAAAAGTTAACCCGCTCCATATTTTTGGACCGAGGAAAATATCAATAGGGAGAGCCTTAAAAATTTGAGTCAAAGGTTGAGGGATGATTTTTCTTAATAAATTTTATTTGGGACTCCCTTTTTAATGGGGGACCCTTAATTCTGTAAAAATAGCCGATTTGAAAGGTCTGAAATTGGAAAAGAAAGTGTCGCCCACGATTTGAAAATTGAGGATATGCGCATGTAAAAATATTATTATTCTGCGATTGGGAGATTAGGGGCGCGTCTTCCTGCGGGGCGCCCTGTCATATCTCTCCGGATCCGTGACCGGGATGGAATGTCGGGTACCTTGAGTAATCCCTTCCCCGGCTTCTCTCTTTTTCCTCTTTCTAGCGCGGCAAGGTCAAATCGCTTTCTGACAAAATACTTGACGATGATCAAATCGGGCATCTTTTTCCATTTAAAATTTTCGCTTTCAGTTTTAAAAGTTGAAAAAGTTGCTAATTTAAAAACGACCGATTTCTAGCTCCGATTTTAGCGCTAAAAAACAAGAGCGGAGAGCTAAATTGGCGGAAAATCCGGCGATTTGGAATAAAACCTACTTTGGAACCGATTTTGGACGCTTTGCTGGTCGCCTTCTTGCTCATGGCGGCGTTGGCGGGGAGGGGTTCGGACGAGACTGGCAAAACTTGGCGAGGAGATGCTTTTCCTTCTCTAGAAGATTTTCTCGCAAAAGACAGAAAAGGGTCTGAGCGGCGAGCGCAGCGACTGGCCCGGCCCGCGGCCACGTCAGAACGCAAAAAGGGATTTTTACGAGTCCCTCTTTCTCAATGTTCCACTCTAATCATCTGCCAATTATTTACCCTACCTCGCACGTCTTAACCCGCAGCCTCACGCTTGCCCCAAAAAGCGCCCCTACGACCCCATTTTCTTCCTTGATTCCAAAAATCAAAAGGAAAATGAGTTATTTTTGAATGTTCAATTTTTGAGCCAAAATTTTAAATATCGGAAAAAATAATCATTTAGGCTATTTAAAAAGAGCTTAAATTTAAGGGAGTAGACACTAGAAATTTCTCTCGAAATTTTTTTGTCTAAAAATTAAGGGCTCTGCTTCAATTTAAGCCAAAAGATAAGGGTATCGCTCTACTAAATAAGACTAAAAAGTCCCTTTAAAAACATGATTTATTGATGTCCACCCCTTAATTCGAAAAATCGTTTTTGTAAATTTTGTGCCATTTTATCATTTTTCTTGGAAAATTTAATTATTTTTGATGGGAAAATAACTTTAAATTTTTAAAGTTTTTTAAAAGTTATTTTTATAAAGTAAACTCACCGTCATAAGAAAGAAAAAATAAAAAAGAAGAAAAAGTGAAAAAAGCGCCTCTCGAAACTCTTGAAATGGCGGCGCTTAGAACGAAGTTGGACAACGTTAAACAAGCGGCGATAAGGATGGAGCAGCTGACTTCTTTCTTCCGCTTACCTTTCTGCGGTGGATTGGGCGATGACTACCGCGGCCCAGAGTCGCTAAAGAGTCCATACTCTCGCTTCTAAAGTTAGACGTTCAGTAATTAAGTGATTTTTATGAAAGAAAATATCAGTCCAAAGTACCAGTTGTCCATGAGGGACCGGTTGATATAGTTATTGCTCAATTTTATCAGAGTTTCCATCTCTGCTCGAGCTATGAAAATCAAAAAATAAACTCAATTATGGTTTCTTCAAAAAAACTCCCTAAATAAATATCTTCAAAAATTTACAATCTACATTCATTTTTTTGGAATCTGGAATCAAAAAGCCTGAGTCAGGCTCGAAAAGAGCTTGAATAAAAGCGGCTTCGCCAAAAGTTTGAAGTAATAAATAGACTGAAATCTTGAGGTCGCGGCTTTTTTATGAAAGCCGCAATTATTACCATTTCAATCTACTTCAAACTTTTGGCTAAGCCGCTTTGCGGCTTCGTTTAAAAAGCCGCTACGCGGCTTTAAATTAAAGTTTTTAGGAGCCTGACGCAGGTTTTTGACTTTAGACATCAAAATTTTAAATGTAAAATCATTTGTAAAAATTTCTTTTTAGAGTTTTTTCGAAGAAACCATAACTGAGTTTATTTTTTGATTTTCATAGCTCGAGCAGAGATGGAAACTTTGATAAAATTGAGCACAATCCCCAGTTAATCTTGGATCGGTACCCAAAAGCCGGTAGGCTCTTAGAGCCTGACACAGGTCTGATTTCAACCCTAATTTTAACCCAAATTTATTGATATCATTGAAGCTAATTAAAAAGCGTGAGACTGGGTTTCTTTTTCAACTTCTAATTTTAATCCGCGCTTGTTGGCAGCGCGTTATTTATATTATTTATACTGCACCTGTTTCGGAGGGTAAACATTTAATTATTTTCTCTCTGAGCTGGCTTCCGTTCAAAATTAAAAAAGAACGCGTTTTTGACTCTCGGCGGCGAAAAGGGATTTTTCAAAACAATTTGGTCGCAGCTCTCTTTTTCGTTTAGCTTCTTTTTCTAACTCAATTTAGGCTTCTTGCCGCTTGTTGTTGCTTCCTCTTCCCATTCCGCCAACCCGGCCAACCCGCATCTGACCCATCTACTTGGCCGCATTCTTCCCACATTGATATTTCTCAGAGGCAGCGAGCACGTGAGCCCAGTTCTTTACTTTTAAGGGGTGGATGTCATTAACCAGGTTTTCTTCACCACTTTTCTCGGGGATTTAGCATTGTGATACCCTTATTTTATTTCGCCAAAAGAATGATCAAACCCTTATTTAGTCTGTTTGGAGGCCAAAAATTTCGATTTTTGACCAAATTTGGACCAAAATTTCCGTGAAAAATTCTTAATTTTGCGAAATTATGCAATTTTATTTGAAAATTTTTGTGAAAATTTTATTCAAAATATGAAATTTCGGTCTTGAAATGAACTAAATAAAGGTTTGAACTTTCTTTGATGGAAAAAATAAGGGTGTCACAACGTTAACTCGAAGAGAAAAGGACGGCTTTAGATAGGCTGCTTATCGAAGGCGGCAATTACGGACAGTGCTCCGTGCTCAGCGAAAATGAGCTCTTTGTCTGCGCCGGAATGTGTTTTCGTGGACGAGCCACCGCAAACGAAATTGCGAAAAATTTTACGTTCTACGCGCCCAATTGATACACACGCGCGGCGCAATCTGACGTGGACGCAAATTATTATCAACTGCTGCTCCCGGAACTGCTTGTTTTTTCGAGCGAGAGCGGAGTTCTTGCTTCAATACTTTTCCAGTTAAAAGCGTGTCAAAAACCTGAGTCAGGGATTTAAAAAGAGCTTGAAATGAAAAGCCGCGCAGCGGCTTTTAAAAACGAAGCCGCAAAGCGGCTTCGCCAGAATTACCATTTCATTTATTTTAAACGTAAATTATTATTCTAGCAAAGCCGCTTCGCGGCTTTATTTAAAAAGCCGCTGCGCGGCTTTTCAATCAAGCCCTTTTTCCCAGGCCCAGCCAGAAAATCCATCAAAAAATGAAAAAAGAAACGTAAAAAACCGGAGGAATTTTGAATCGACCAGAAAGTGGCACTTTTGCGTCTTGAAATAAACAGTTCTATTAGGACGTGCGCATAATTATGGGTTGAGTCTTCTTTGTTGGTATATTTAGAAATGTGCGAATGATGATGCGTTGTCGCCGCAAAAATAGCATTTCAGAAATTCAGACATTCAGAAACGCGCGCGTTTTTACATGTTCCGAATACTTCGTTTTTATTCTTTATTCTATTTTGAAGTTCGACAAGAAAAAGGTCAGAAAAGGTCTGATCTATCATCGAAATGAACGAGTTTTAAAGATATTTCAAGTTTCCCTTTTTTAATTCATCGCGAAAGCCGGAATTATTCGCTCAAGCTTCAATTTTGGAGATTTTTTTATTTGAATTGAGTTTTTTGGTAATTTTCTTTTGCTGAGCCGTTTGATACTGTAATGGAAGCTCGTGATAACGGAAGAGGATTTTTTCAATGTAGGGATACAATTATTTTATTCAATAGTCATATAATATTATATGATAGTACGACGTTCTCAATGGTCAAGTGTAGAACTAGATCCTTGCGAGGATACTTATACAGGTGCGACAGTAACCGAGTTTGGTGGATCTCAAGGTAGCTCAACTGCAGCGACCCAAGTTACAGAGTTGTAAATTTGCGGATAGCTAGGCTTACCGGACTAAATTTCGGCCCATATTTCTAGCTTAGTTGGGGGGTCATATGATACAGTGTTAGAAAGCCCAGAAGCTGGGCTTTCATTTGGGCACCATATCAAGGGGTTTGGGTCATGCCCGGAAGGCAAATTATGGGACCGGAAGTTCCCAATTCGGGACAAGAACTCTTCTACCGGTTTTTACGATGGGTTTGGGATATCTAGAGCAAGATTTTAATGGTTCTAAAGAAAGCTCAGAGTCTACACTTTCTTTTCATCTATTTTCCATTGCTCTTGAGATCCCAAACCCATCGAAAATATCGATCGAAGAGTTCTAGTGCCTATTTGGGAACTTCCGGTCCCAAAATTTGGCTTTCAGGCATGACCCAGACCCCTTGATTTTGGGCTCAAATGAAAGCACAGCTTTTGAGAATTCCAAATATGTGCCATAGGACCCCGACTACCCTAGAAAAATTGGCCGAATTTCAGTCCGGTAAGCCTACGGATAGCCTGGATAGACTTAGCCAGCTCAAATCGATTTTTTTCAATAAATTTGCAACTCTTAAAAGGATCTCAACAAACCACAACTAACGGTACATCGCTCCAAGATTCTCGCCCGAAATTCAAATGCCCTGCTGTCACCAGTTGTCGCGCAGAGAATCTCTCCAGTGATGAATACTTCCTTGGATCCTGTTGCGAGAGAGCTGCTACCTGGACCAAGCCGCTAGCAAAATACGAACGTTTCTCGATTGTCCAGAAAATCTACGAAGAAACAGTGAAAGAAGAAGATGCCGCGAAATGTGAAGCTGAAAATGCCGAGAAAAAAGTCAAGAAAGCTGAAAAAGCCCTGACTGAAGCGAAAAGGGCTCTTTTTTCCGCTAGAAAAGAAACAGTATCAATTCAAAAAAAGCTCACTACCAAAAAAGAATTGCGAAAAAAAGCACAGAAACGAATGCGATTTTGCGCGAATGATGCGTTGAAAGAAGAAAACAGCAACAACGGTATTTCAACAAGCAATTTCACAACTTTTCAATTTTGCAAATTTTCATAAAAGTCATGATATTTCTTACAGACGCGTCGATTTCCGCGACCTGCTCTTGCTGCTTTGAGACCTTCGGCAACGAGAACCGCGCGGCTGTTCTCGCAACCTGTGGGCACATGGCCTGTCTCCGCTGCATCTCCTCTCTTTCGCCCAAGAATTGCCCCACCTGCCGGGCCATGTTTACTGACGACAAAATTATCAAGGTTTTTAACTGACACTCTCTTCTCCTCTCAATCCTCTCTTAGTTCTTCTTGCATGCCTCCAATTCTATTTCATCAAAATTTTCCAACGACGATTTTTCAATTTTTCTTTTTTTCAAATTTCTTCAATAAAATCCAAAAAAACCCGAATAAATATACTTTCTCGATAATTTATTTCATCGCGAATCAGAAAGGTGTATCTTTGGTCAGTGCGCGTACCAACTGATGAAATTCTGATTAGCTTCGTCAATTCATTAAATAATTAGTTTAATCGCCGAGTTTTTCGTTTTCTATTTTTCTTGTTCCTCTTGCGTCGTCTTCTCCCGTCGCTGGCGGATTTAAGCCGCAGCGGAACAGAATTTTCCAAGCCAAAAGGAATCTCATCAATGTCACTGTGATTTCGACAGGCGCTGGGGATCGCAAAAAAACCGCCGCTTTGAAGCTCGAAAATTTCATCTTCATGTTCCAAGCAGGAGCATTCGATCCTAAATTTCACTGTCAGCTAGAGTTACTCTAGTAGATTAGAAGCCGGGTTGAGTTAAGTTACCCTGTCTTTATCGTGTTGCAAATTCTGTCCTCGCCGCCGCAGCTGTGGACGTACTCATTTTCGTCGCACAAATCGTTGAATTCGTCCTCCATGCAGATTCGCTCAGCGATCGAGTGCCACGAGCCGCCCAAGTTTGCCAGTGACTCCCAAGTCTGCAGCATATAAACATGTTTCTGGGTCACATCATCTGGATGCTTGGAAACGTCTCTGGTAACCAGAGCCGTCCAGGATTTCCGGGTTGCACGTAGCTCCCATTTATGCGCCTCGCTTTAGAAAGAAGGTCCCTAATGACGCTGCTCTACTTTTCCCGCGATGAGATAGAGGACCTGTGCCTGATTCCGACGCCAAAAAGCATTCGCGCGCCCGCTTGCTTGAGCCTCAGCCCGACGCGTTTGAGCTCCGCCCTGAAAAAAGCAACGTGGCTAGGGTTCAAAGTTCCCAGCTTTATTTGTAAATACCTCTCTCCAGCAGGATAAGCCATCTCGTCCGAGACAATTCCCACAATCAGTGGCACTCCGATTTGACGACGTCCTTGCAACTGGTCTTTTTTGAAAGTTACTTTTTTGATTTTCAATCATTTTTTCGGTTTCGCAAGATTTTTAACCCCTTCGCGGAAGCGCGTCAATCCCAGTGTCGCGAGTTTGAACCGCGATAACCAACCATCCACAGCTTTCCACAAACCGCCAGGCTTTTCTTTATCGCCCTCTCTCTCTCTTTTTGAACACCAAAAATACCAAAACATTGAAATTGGGTGAGCTGGATTTTTTCCCCGCGCGAAATCACTGATCAAAAGATGTAACCGTTCCTGTTTCCAGCAAGTTCGATAGATCATCCAAAGCTCTGGTTAAATTGTGCTGGCTGGTGACTTCTTCGTCGAAGTAGTCGGTCCAGTCTGGGCCTCGCTTTCGCAGCTGGTCCCATAAAAAGTCGATGAGTTCTGTTCTGCTTTTTTGGACTGGATTGAGAGGAATGATCGTCTCGCTGCTCGCGCCGTAAATGATCAGCGAGACTTGAAACGCGTCCGGGCCCATTTCGTCGCCGCTTTCAAAGCTGAGCAAAAGCTGCTCCAGCCAGAAAAAGAAGTTCTTCAAGTTGTCCACGCCTTCGTCTCCCGTTTTTGACTGATGCACGAAAATGACCAAGTCGAAGTAATCGTCTTGGCAGCGCTCTTCGCACGGGAAGTCGTTGCACACTTCGACCAGCTTCAAATTCTTGCAGTCCTCGGCGATTTCTGACGTGGTGTAATTTGCGAGGCAGGGATGGGGATGGCCGATTTGATGGCCCCCGCCGCATCGGGCGCTGCACTTGTCCCAGTGGGAGATGATTCGCTCCACTGGAGGAGGAGGAGTGGAAATAGATGATGTAGAAGTAGTTGTTGTTGTAGTAGTTGTAGTAGTCGTCGTCGTCGTCGTCGTTGTTGTTGTTGTGGTTGTAGTGGTAGTTGTCATGGTCGAAGTAGTCGTATTTGTTGTTGTTGTGATGGTTGTGGTCGTTGTTGTAGTCTTAGTTGTTTCCGGAAGCGTTTTCGTCCGCGTTGAAGTCGTCACTATCGTCGTTTCTGTGAATGTCGTTTCTGTGCTAAAGAAAAAGACTAGTATCACTTTATGCAAAATTGGGTTTCATACGTTGTGATCGTTGTGAACGGTTCTGTCGTCAACTCTGAAGTGGTCGTCTTCATCGCCGAAGTTGTGGTATCTTCGACCTTGTTAAATGGACAGCGCTGATTGCACAGTGGTTTGTCACAGCAGCAGCGGCACACTTTTCATCGAGTTTTGAAAAATGGAGGAAAAATGAGAAAATGAGATTGAAAGAAAGAAAGAGAAAACTCGTTGCTGAGTTCTTGAGATACTGCGGGTTCGGATTTTTCCAGGTTGGGAAGGAGCCAGAATCGCCAGCGACGCCGTACGCGGCCATGTTCTGACACTGCGTAAAGGGAAAAGCGGGGCGGCTGTTTTGGATCCAATTGTTGAAACACGCGAGCGGTTGCTTGCATCCTTTTGAAACGGCCACAGAGCGTCCTTCGTTGTATACGCGTATTGTGGTCTGAAGCACGAGTTACTACTAGTACTACATCCGCTTATCTACTCGCTAAATAACTAAATTACTGAATTACTGGCTCTCGAGTCTTTTGAATTAGTTTTTGCGGGGACACGTGGACTACATAAGTCCAGCGTTTTGATGTTTAAAAAGTGGCGTATTCGATTTGGATAACATAATCAAATGCAAATAATCCGCGTTTACATGTCTGGCTAAAAACTGCCCCAAAGAGTCAAAGCCTCGTGTTTCCCAGCTCCGGATCGGTCCCGTAAAAGGCTATTTTTAAATGCTGCAGTTTCTCGCAAAAGAACTGCTTTTTAGATGAAGCTTTTTTGAACTTCCGATTTCGGCTCAAGTTTGAGTCCTGAGAACTTGTTCTTTCGAGCACTGAAAAAGGCTGAGTGATGGGACAGTTTAAATGATGGGGGCTCGTTTTTAAAGTATTCACTGTCCGACTCGGCGCGCGAATTCTGCCATTAGCTCTTTTTCCCCGAATCAGTCTATTTCGCGAATTTTTAACACGACAGCCCAATTCGTTTGCCATTTTCTCAAGAACGCTTTATTCTGCTAATTGTTTGGAATTTTCCATTTGCAACGGAAAATAGGTGTTTTTAGGCTGCACCTGCAGCGGGAGGCAAATTTGCGTGTTCTGAAAACATGCTCAGACTCAAGGTCTCGACTTTATAAAACGCATTTTTATAAAAAAATGTCAGAGAGTAAACCCCTTCGCATTGTTGATGTGATAGTTTACGAAGATGTTCGCAAATTCGCTCGTGACACTGAAGCCTCCCTTCAGGATTCATATTCCAAAAATCGCCGTGATGCTAAAGGGGGGAGATGAAAATTTTTACAATCGGGATTATAACTCGAAATATATTGTTTGTATTTTTTATATCTTGAGAGTTCTTGAAGATTTTAACAAAAACTTCGAAGCGCTGAGGAAGAAGGCCGAAGATAAGTTAGAAGCTGTTACTCAGGCTTCATTCAAGTTGCGAGACTTGAAGAATGAATATAGAGATGCAAGGATTGGTTAGCTAAATTCTACGTTCGCTTTATTTTTTTATCTTCTATAAAAGTTTAATTATAAAACTATAAACCTAAACCTAAACAAAAGAAATGAGTTTCTTGCCTATGGTGAGGCTCATCCTCAGTTTGCCACTCGTGAAAGCATGGCTTTGCGAGATTGTGAGTCTATGATTGATGATGGCAATTCAGATGATGAGTTTAAACGCCCATCTCCTTCCTACAGCCCGACATCTCATAGCTACAAACCGACGTCTCCTAGCTACAGTCCGACATCTCCTACCGGCTACAGTGCAACTCGCCCATCTTTTTTCCCAGCTGCCCCTCAGTCAACTCCTTTCCCAAAAAATGCGAGCCGTAAGCGAAAACAGAATAACGCTCCTTCTGGAAAAGCAAAACGAACTGCAAATTATCGAAACAACTTCAAAAATGCCATCAATAACTGAAATTTACTAGGATTTTACGAGATATTATTTAGCTTCGATTTTGATTTCTGAATTGATAATCATTTTTGAAATAAACTAAAAAATATCTCGAATTCGTTTTAAAAGCATTCTAAAGGGCATTTAAGCATGTTACATAAAACGAGGGAAACAAGGGCAAGCGTGAAAATTGCGGTTGTTTAGAAAAAAAAAAACGGGCGGAAATTGAAATGCACTTGTTGGACAGACGAAATTCTCACCTGACAAGAAAGTTCGTTGGAAGCGCACGTTACGATATTATGTTGCCCGTCGCATTCTTCTTCCGAGCCTAAATTCAGTTACGTTACCCAAGCTCCAGGCCTCCCATTCAACGAAAGAGAAACGAGTCCACCTTTTCTGGGTGGAGCGCGTTTTTTCCTTTTTAAAATTCAAATTCAAAGGAAAATGGAACGCAGAGGTCAATTCACGAAAAAAACGGAGAAACTCACTTTTCCGCGAAAATGAGCATTATTTTTGCTCGGGAAGCTGTGTAGAAATCCTGAGTCAGGTTCTGAAAAAGCTAAAATCAAAAGCCGCGCAGCGGCTTTTTTCTAAAACTAGCCGCTTTGCGGCTTCGGATATATAACCAATTCAATGTCTTATTAAATCCTGACTCAGGTTTTCTACTCAGATTTTTTCTTGCCGAGCTCTAGATAACTAGAATCATCAAAAATGAGTGAAGCAAGAAATGTAAGAATGTCGTTTATGCGTTCCTTTCCGCGAAAAAACGGCGAATCTCTTTATCAGCAGCGTCTCTCAATAATCTTTACCCGCGTTATCGCATTTGTAGCATTCAAGATGATAGCCGGGTTTTCGGAAGTTGGGCACTTGCCACTGCCGAGCCCGAGTTGCCATCCAAAAAAGGCTGAAACAAAGCAGTTTTACTTTCTCTTGTCCCATCTTTTTGGGTTGATTCAGGATTTTAGCGCAACTGTCGAGTTTTTAAAGGAACGCGTGAAATTTCGCCCAGACGGAAGGGATCAATGATTACGTATGTTTCGCCAAATCGACGTAGCTTTTTTTGTGACGTTTTTTTTTTCAAAAAATTCGAAAAATTTTCGAAATTATTCGAAAATTTTCGAGAAATTCGAAAAAATTGTGAAAGAGTCCGAAAAAATTTTAAAAAATTCGAAGAAATTCGGAAAATTTTTGTGAAAAAAATTTCGAAATATTTAATTCTAGCGTCACAAGAACTTATAAAAAGGTCTTAGCCTTCTTTTGACGAATGAAATTAAGGGTATCACTCTTTTTTTTATTTTTCCGGAAAATGGGAAAGAGAGATGTTTGATTAGGGCGAAGAAATTGCATCTTTTGCGGCGATCATAAATTATGGCGAAATGTGATTCTTAGGAAGGAACTGAGCGGGTTTATCATTTTTTGACTCTAGAAACGTGCTTCGCCTCGGTGTACTGAGATTAGACGCACTTCCTCCTCCTGACGTCACAACCTTTTTCTAGAGCGAGGGCAAGATGGCTTTTCATTTCAGTTTTTTCACTCCCTGACTCAGGTTTTCTACACAGGTTGCCGAGCTCAGGCCTTTCTGATCATCGAAAAGGGTATTTTCTCAGAGCTCTTTTACGATATTACGATATTTTCCCATAATGGGAAAATCGGCCTCTTTTTCTGGTTTCCTTTCGAAGCACTAGAATATTCTTCTTGCCCAAACAAGCCCTTCCGTATTCGTGATTCATCGGGAAAACGAAGCTCTTGCAAATCCAAAATCAACAGAACCACTACTCAGTACCAACAAACAAACACGTCATGAGCAGCTCCCCAATTTTCGCTAATCACTAAGCACGAACCAACAGTGGAAATTTGGACCCGTTCAATCACTATTTGCTCAACATAAATATAAAAGGTCTGTCGCCCTCCTCATCTGCAACCCATCAATTCCACGACAACAGCACTCGTAAATTTTCTTTTCAGAAAAAGATGGAAATGGAACTTTTGAGAAAAAGCAAAGTCAGCATTTTTCCAGGTTTGGAAGGAGAGAAAAGAGGATAGAATAAACACGTGATTTACTAGATGACTGGGAGCCCGAATGCGACAAAATCGGAGGCAACGCTGATGGCTCTTTTGAAGCGGATGCCGACGACCAGTTTTTTGTCTTGTTGATTTTGGCTTATGTGCAGCTCTCTCTTCCTGCAGTCACGCTGATTGCCAGCTGTATTCAAGCTAGAATGGAGGTAACGACGACGTTTGAAAATTAAGGGGATAGACGGCAAACGAGAATTTTTTTCAAAATATTCTTCGTAATTTTACGAAGTGATGCCCTTATTTTACTTTGCTAATAGAAAGCTAAAATTTATGTCTAGGTCAGGCTCGGCAATCTAAGTAAAAACCCTGAGTCAGATTCTGAAAGATCTATATTTGAATTTTCAGACCCTGACTCAGGTATTTTTACACGGGTTGCCGAGCCTGAACTAGATAAAAGTTTAACCTTCAATTAGTAAAGCAAATTAAGGGTATCACTTCGTAGAATTCTGAAGAAAAATCCTCGTTTTCAATTAAGGGTGCCTACCCCCTTAATTTCCTTTTCTAGGGGTCGAAGTACAGTCTCTCTTCGAACATTCTTGGACTGGCTTCCATCGCTGGCGCTTCCTGCTACCTGAGCTTTTACTACATCGGTATTTACGGCTAAATTTGTTTGAAACCGCACTCATTTTGCTTGAAGACTGGGATCCAACAGAAGAACAACAGACCCTCTACAAAAACCTCTTCAAAAGCTCAGTCGGCATTTCGATGGGAATCACGTGCATCGGCGGCCTGATCCTGCTCTTTTTCACGCTTTACTTCCTGGCGCAGCTGCTCTGCCGCGACTGCGAATTCGGCAACAGGGCCAAATCCCTCGTCTCCTTCATCTGCGCCAGCGTCGGTCAGTTGCTTATTTTGCTCCGCCGCTTGCTTGTTTTCGAAATAGCGCTTTATAAAAAAAAACCCGTCAATCGGATTTGTACTTGTGCTTTTTAAAAATTAGCGATCGTTAGTAACGCCACTAGACGCAGTTTTTTTTTACAATTTCGCTTGGCGAAATTTACAAAAGAACAAGAATTCTCTCCATTTTCCACGCTCAGCAAGCTGTGAAGAAACCTCAGTCAGGGTCTTGAAAGATCTTTGATGAAAAGCCGCGGAGCGGCTTTTTTAAAAACGAAGCCGCTCCGCGGCTTCGCCAAAAATACCACCATGATATCTTCTTTCATCTCTTTCAGGACCCTGACTCAGGTTTCTACACAGGTTTCTGTATTAACCATTTTTTCGTAAAGTGTTGCCCCTTCTATTTGGTGAAATAAAAATAAGGGTTTCCCTTTGCTAAACTCGATCTAAGCGAAAAAGAATGCTCTAAAATGCTCGTTTTCAGTGCTGGTTCTTCTTATCTCCGCCCCCGCTGGCACCGTAATCTTGGGCTGGAAATATGCCTTTGGAAGTTGCGATAGCGTTCTCGACTGCATCGCCGTTCACGAACAAAACTGTACATTACTCGTAAAATCACTGTAAATAATTAAAGAGGCCTTTTTTCTCCAAAAATGCAAACAAAAGTGAAGATCTTCACTTTTGCTTGTTTTGGAAAACAAGTTTATTCCGTGAAAGCGGCGGAGAAAAAGTGCCACAGAGAGCACTATTTAGCAGCTTAGCGTTTTTTCTTATTCTAGAGGCGACTTTCTAAATCGCCGCAGCGAGGTCGAAACTACGCGACTCACTTGGCATAGTTGGCATGACGAGCTCATTCCAGCCCTTTTTCTTCTTGAGAGGCTCCCACGCTCTCTCCTTTCTACCCCTCCAGCTCAAGTTGCTCCAGAAAGAAGCAGGACTCAGACGAATTCGAAATTCCCACTCCCCAAAATTCCGAATTTTCTAAATTCCTTTTTCCAATTTTGGGCTAGCAGGAATTTTTTGGAACTTTTTATTTTTAGACGAATTTCGAGGGATTTTTCTGGGTCGAAGAATTTCATGCATTGCTTGTCTCACTTCGTGCGGAAATTTTGCTTGTTTTGATGTCACGTGATGCGTGAATCAGTCGATATTTAAGGAGACCCGCCGATTTCAATTTTGAAGTAGAAGAAAAACAGTCGTTTTTAAATGAAGATTCCAGCACCTCTTTTCAGATATTAAATGAATCATATATTTAATAACAACATGGCTCCTAAGACTTTTGAATTTTTCTATTCTCAATAAAATGACTGATCATGAGTTTAGTCGGTGGATTCGGAACTTACCGTATAAAAAGTAAAATGAATACATCATCAGATACATCCTCTAGCCAATTCGTCCTGAAAATTTGTGATAAAAATTCTTCGATTACTGTTAAAATTTCCAACCTCAAAATAAATTTAATATTTGATGATTAGTAGCTTGATTGTTGGTATTGCGAGTTTGGATCTACCCTTGGCTGACAACTCGTCAAGGCGTATATTTTGAAAACGTCATGTTTCGGGGAAAGGTGCCGTCCGCCATAAAGTATCTGATAACTTCCTCATCCCCACTGCGCAGGTAACTATAACACAGACTGGCGCTTATCAGTCTCCTGCTGGGTTTTCGGCCTCGAGTCCGAAGAAGGCCAACCCTGTCAAAAGCGGGAAGCGCAAAACAAGATCGCTATCCTCTTTTTCCCTTTTTGCTTGTAAATTTCGCATATGTCCAGAACAAAAAAAAACGAGAGTACAAATTTCTTATCTTCGCGACCTTTTTTCATCCACGTTTCTGAAGATAAAAGTGCGATGAATAATCGAAAATTCTAGTGCTGAACTTCTCAAAGACCTGTCTAGAAAACCTGAGTCAGGCCCTTAGTCAGGAAAAAGACTCTCATCTCAATCTATTTTTAATTCAATTTTTTGTCCACAAAAACCGGTTCTGGCTGCTGATTTTTCAGAAAAACTGAGAAAAACAGCAGGGGCGGTGGAAACAGGGGATTTTTACGTAGCGGAAGAAACTGTTCGCCCGGCTATTTTCGACTTCCTCCAATTTTCGGGACTTCGGGGAAAGGGCTTTTTCAGCTTGTTGACGTCGCAAACCCACGTCACTTTCTCTTTTTTCTTTTTCGTAACTAGAATCGCGAATTTCTGCTTTTTTGCCGAATCTTTAAATTTTTTAATTTTTGATTTTTTAATTTTTGATTTTTCTAATTTTTGATTTTTACAATTTCTGCTATTTTTTCTGGAGAAGAAAAACGATGATTAAAGCGCGATTACGAGAATAGCTGAGTTTGTTTTGTGTTTATTGTTACTCTGTGTCGTTTAGTATACGAGAGAGCGAATTTAGCAAACGCCACGTTATTCGATAAGGCGACGCATCTTCGCGAAAAATGGACTAACTCACTCGCTATTTAGAACATTAACAACTCTCCTCTTTTCTGCGTTTATTCTTGCGGGAGGGGTTAAAAGTCAATCATCGGCAAAATATGGCGCGTTAGCGAATTTCCTCAACTCTGAATTTTGGCCTGTTGGGCGACAAAATTCCAAAGCCATAAAAATCGTCTAAACGCGGATAAAAGTATCTCCAGCTAAATAGTAACTCCTTGACTCTCTTTGACAGGCAGAGCAAATAATTCTCCCTGGCGTAAGTTTTCCAAATCTTTGCAGAATTTTGGGAAGCCGAAAAGAATCACCCGCCGAAAATTGATAAAAAAAGCGCGAGAAAAGAGTGATTTCGATGGGGGAGAAAAATAAAGCGTTCCAAGGTCAGTTTTTTATTTCCCGCTTCTGTTCGATTTCGATTCTGACAGCTTTTTTACAATTTTTCTTACAATAAAAAGTGCTTCGTAAAATGCTCAAGCAAATAGAATGCTTCTTTTTCTTGAGAAGAAACGATAAAATTACGATTTTTTGCTTTATGTATAAAAACGTTTATTCAAAAGGCGATTTGCGCGCCGAGGACATGCAAGTTGCCCCGGAAGAAAACAAGGAAGAGAACCAGGAAAATCAGGAAAATCAGGAAAACAAAAGTTCCAGGAAAAAGTCCGGAAATAACGAGAAAAAGAGGTCATTTTTTTATGAAAAAAGAGAAGGTCTGTCATCCGAAAATTTCAAAGATCATCCGGCTGTCTTGTCATTTCGTACAGTAATTGCAGTACTTAGATAGTTAGGTCTGCTTTCTTTCCTAAATTACATGTTGCCAGGAAAAAGGGCTGCCTTCTGGGCTTGGAAACCTGTGAAGAAAACCTGAGTCAGGTTCTCAAAGAGCTAAAATTTAAAGCCGCAACGCGGCTTTTTAAACTAAGCCCAGACTCTAACCCGAATTCCGAGACTTCCAAAAAGCAGTAAATCGTCGCTGACCTACATCTTCATCGGCGTCGTAGCAGCAGCCCGAATCGCCCATGGTTTTTCACCTCCATCACTGGCCCAACTCTGCCCAGCCTCGCCTACAACTGCGACGTTTCTGTCGCAGATGTTTCATCTGTTTTTCGTGGAGAGGGCTCGGCAATGTGGTTGGAGCGATCGCAGCTGGCATCATTTTTCCGAGGCTTCCGTCCGGAAAGGTCAAATTGCTCACTATCGGTGGCACGCTACTGTTCAACGGGGCGTTTATGGCTGTCATGCCCTTCGTGACGGAACTCTGGCTGCTCGGAACTGTGGCCTTTGCTACCACGCTCACGAGTTCTTATTTCAACACGGGCTTGGAGTCGCTTTCGCTGAACATCTTCGGCGTTGGCGGATCAACTTGGGTCATCGCCATCTACCACGCGTTCTTCACTATTGGAGGCTTTTTGGCGCCCCTGCTCGTTCAGGTTTTCAAGTCCAATGATCCCCTCAAGGTAAAAATTTCTCTTTCTTCATTTTCTTCATCAAAAACTTTGAGGAATGCGTCACCGGCGGCGACAACTTCACCGACTACGGCAAGAACTACTCTTCAGGCAATCACTTCGACCTCAGTAAGAAAATCCTCCAAACATCCATTTTCATCCCTTTTTCAGTCGATGAAGACGTCCTCCCACCATATCTGATCGTCGGTGCAATCGTCCTCGCCAGTGGAATATTCACCTGTGTTTGCGCCGTCTGGAAGCTCATAGAAAAACTGACCACTGCCAAACATGACGAGGTTTAGTGTTTCATCATCATCAGCAATAAAAGAGAGAATAGGTCGATTTGCGCGGAGAAGATCCCTGGCAAAAACTCCTTCTTTTCTTCATGTTCACGATGCTTATTCACGCTTGCTGCGGAAACGCCGATACCATCTTCCAGGTAAAACTGAGCTCGACAACCTGTGTAGAAATCCTGACTCAGGGTCTCAAATAATTTTACGCGGCTTTTCATCGGAAACCCTGACTCAAGATTTCTATACAGGTTTTCGAGCCGAATTCTAGCTCTTTTCGAGCCCCGGGCAAAAATACAGTCAATAACTCCTATCTTCCTTTTAGTCGTACATCTACTACTACGCACTTTGCGCGGAAGCGTTCGACTGGGATCCCGTAAAAGCCAACTACATCAACATGATCTTCTGGGCTGCCTTTATCGTCGGAAGATTCAGCGGAACGTACGTTGCTAGAAAGCTAAAACCGACCTTTTTGATCTTGATTTATTTCACTGGCTCTACAATCGGAATCAGGAAAAGCAAGAAAAATAATGGCCAATGAGTCATTGGCAATGACTTTTGCCATTTTTGACTGATTTTTTCATGCTTCAACAAGTTTGATTCTCGGAGTGGACGGCAATGCCGGCGGAAGTTCAAACGACGCAATTTTATACACAGCTACTGTCATTTACGGACTGTTCGTTTCTCAAGTCTACGCCAGCTCCACCAGTCTCTGCAACAGCTTTACTAATCTCGGCCTCACCTACGTCTTCATCAACAATCTCGGCTCCTCGATCGGCACCATGATTGCTCCAACAGTCACTGGTCGGAAATTAAACGCGCTCAATTCCTGATAATTTCGAATTCAGGAAATTACATCGAAGAGTCGCCGATTTCATTCGCCTGGGCGTGTTTCGTCTTCTGCACGGGCGGTCTTTTCTTTGAAGTCTTTGTCCATCTCGAAGGGTTTAGGATCATGGATGGCACTTCCTACGCAACTACGATGAAGGAACGGTCGTATAGAATTTCATTTTCCTACTTTTCAAATCGAGAAGCCATTTGCGGCTTCGAGGAAAAAGTGAAAAAGCCGCGCTTTGTGCGGCTTAAAATATATTTTGCTCGAAGCCGCAAGCGGCTTCTCAATTTGAAAAGAAACTGGGACATTTGGGAGAAGCTCTGAGGAATAATCGAAATTCTAGATGTCAACCCACTTATGCCATATAAGGACCATAACACCGATGGTACTTTTGCGGGTCTGGCTCAATTATAATCATTCTTCGTTAGCATGCCTCACACCACTTTGCATGTCGCGGTGGTGACCGCAACGATTTGAGTAAAACAGGGTCCAAGATCATCGAACTATCTAATTGGACGAATTTTTGTAGCCTGGGCACAGGCTCGTATCCCTCAACCTCAATCTGAAATCTCGACCTTCTCGAAAAGGCATTCTTCCGCTGCTCGTTTCCAGTAGAAGGCTTTGGAGAAGCAGCGCAAAAGCCAAGCGAAGAGGTTTCCCCTGAAATCAAGGAAGAGAACAAAGCTGAAAAATACGACGCGGCGGATGACGAAGCGGAATTTTAGAGAATTTGAAAAAATGAAATATGAATTTTAAAAACTGCTGTCAAAAGATTTTTGATACATGAATACAATTTTGTACTATCGTGTGAAATTTTCGGTGAAAATCAAAGACGAGTCATTTTCGTTTGCTTTGGAAAGCGAGGCGGGTTTTATTGTCGGCGACAAATGATAAGAGCTGGGTCCTGCATATCGAGGGTGATATTTGCCGGTCGATTAAGGGGCCCTAAAGCGGACAAATATTAACCTGGTTAGTTCCAACGAGCAGCGGAAGCGCATTTGACAAGCCGCGCAAATCACCCGCGTCTGCTCGCGAACTGCCTCGCTGCCCCCAACACTGACCTTTTTCTTAAGTTTTCGGAGAGCTTCGGGCTCCAAGGCAGGGAACTGCCCAAGTTGTTGTGTTTTTCGCGGCTGCGCAGCTTTTGCTTTGATGTTGTTTTATATTTGCTGGTTCTATATTTGGCTTCTGGCGACTGTGACATTTGAAGGTCTCGCCTGACAATTCTCGGATTCATGAATCAAGATTTGTTAATAATTTATGGGCGGCGGCTCTCTTTCTCTCTTCTGATAAGAAGCCAAAAGGCCTCTTCTTTCAGAACCATGTACCATGGTGCTCTTCTTCTCCGTTGCCTCGCTGCTTCTTCTTGTTGGTGTTGGTTACATCAAACTGCTTTTAATAATTCATCGCGCATTTCTTGAAGATTTGATGAAGAAATCGTCAAATAGAAAATCAACTGGCGCATGAAATTAGAAATAAAATAGAATTAATGCCGTTTATTCGAGAAAAAACGCTTCCTTTTCTTCAAAATTCAGAAAAAAGCTTCAGTGGCGAAAAGATACAGTCTCGCGGCGGAGCATTCGGGAGCCATAAAATCTCGAAAATCTCCCTTCCTCAGTAGGCTTCATACGTCAGCTGTCTGTGGGGTGTATTTAGCGAAGCTCTTGAGCGAAAGAGTTCGCCCTCCTTTTACGGGCTCGTTTCTGGCGCTTTTATTGAAGCCAGATGAGGCCACCTTGACAGATCTTACTTCCCCTCTCTTTCCAGCTCTCTCAAAAGCTGACTCAAAGATTCAATCAAAAGCCGCGCAGCGGCTTTTTCAAAAACTAAGCCGCGAAGCGGCTTCGCCAAAATAAACATATATATTGTATTAATACTCTGCGAAACCGCTATGGATTTGGAGCTTTTACAGAAGCCAGCTAGTCCCCTTAGAGCAGTTGGGCTTGAACGGTGGTTTATGAATTGATATTTGTCGATTTAAAGCTATTTGAAAAATGATATTTGATTTGGAATTGCGCGCCGATTTGCACAATTGAAATTGGCAATTGATTTTGCGACACTCTCGAAATTTAACCGTCCACCGCTGAGATAGTAAATTACTTCGATCCCAAAATGCCACGAAGGCTTTGCGCCCGCTTTTTGATTAAGGGTACCCCGGCTGATAATAAAAACAAAGCCGGAAAGTGGCTCCGCGAAAACTGCCATTTCAATCTTTCTTTTTGGACCCTGACTCAGGTTTTTACACAGGTTTTTGACCCGAGCGCTCAATGCCAAGGACAGGGTTAATGAATAAGTTAAGGGTGTCAGGTTAATAATGAACAGGAATTCCCGTCTCCCCTCTCTCTTTTTCAAGAAATACAACTGTTTTAATCCACTACTGTATAATTACTATTAATCACAAATTAAGAACTTCTTTTCCACAAAAAAGAGCGCGTAATTATAAAGAACGAAAAGAGGCCCTAGCAGAATAAATTGGACGGTGTCAGGAGAAGCGGCGGGTAAACAGTCACTTTTTATTTTCACAAATGCATCGTCGCAGCGATTTCAGCGGCATAACGACTCCCAGTGAGAGAATACATACAGGCAGGGACGTAGCCAGACGCAGCTTCAAATGAGAAACAAAAAAAAAGAGAGAAAAAAAGAGGGAGAGACAGAAAATTAGCAAAGATTAGATGTAACCCTAACTCTTAAATTCTTAAAGAACAGGACTTGACAACCTGTGAAAAAAACCTGAGTCAGGTTCTGAAGCAGCAGAATCAATTTCATCAGACTTTAAGGACCCCTCCTTGAATATTCCTTAAGGGGGGGGGTCCTTAAAGTTTGATAAATTGATCTCTTCAGACCCTGACTCAGGTTTTCTACACAGGTTGTCGAGCTCAGCTCAAGCAAAAAGAGCTGAAACTGAAAAAAAAGCTTGAAGCTGCTTGAAATTGGCATTTATTGAAATCGGCGCACTGGAATCACCTTCGCCGCACTCGACACAGAACATCCCAATTTTTTTTTTTAATAACACTTTTTTTTCTTTCAAATTTAAGTTTTTCCAATGTTCAATTTTCTAATTCAAAAAGAGAAAAAGAAAGTAACGGTGAAAGAGAAAGAGATAGCATTTTTCATGCTTGGGCAAATCTCAGGTTTATGGTAATCACACAAGACTATTTTCTCTTGTCTCACGTTCAGCAGCACCTGTATGGATCGCCGCACATTTCTATTTTTGAAGAATAATTCCAGAAATTAGAGATTTGCCACGATTTCTTTCATAATTTTTGACGCTGCAGACAGATCTAATTTAAGACCACTCTTGAGAGCAGGGTTCGGTAATTTGAGCTCAAGCTAAAACTCATTTTGGCTAGACGCTCAAATTTCCTCAAATTGAGAACTCAAAGTGACTTGAGAAATCATTTTGAGAAGATTTGAGATTTTGAGAGTTTTGAGTTTTTGGGAGATTTGAGAGTTTTGAGTTTTCAAAACTCAAATTAAGCGAGCGCTTCCTTGATTGGCTCATGGATCGCCAGAATTGATTTCTCATCTCTGAGTTCTCAAAACTCAAATTAAAAAACGTGAGTCTCAAGCTTTGTTTCCTTGAGTTTTAGCGTGAGCTCAAATTACCGAACCCTGCTTGAGAGAAAGGAAAAAAACAATATTTTGAGCCGATTTTCGAGTCAAAAACGGGTTCAAAAAGCAAGATTGGATTTCCCGGAAAATAGGTTTTTTCGCGAATCAGCTTTTCCGTGAAGTAGACTTTCCGCAATTCACGGAAAAGCTAATTTTGGGTAAAATCCTGTTTTCACCGTATTCTCCCAATTTTTCTATTTTTCTGTTATTTTCGATTAAAAATTGAAAATTAATGCATTTTATTAATTATAAACAGAAATAATTTATATAAATTGTATATTTGTTTCCTTATTTATTTTGAAAATTGAAAAATTGGGAAATGTAAAATTATTCATTTAGAGTTAACATTTAATTGGGGCGGCGAGAGGTGTCTTATCGATACTCGTGCATTAAATATAATTTCAATACGCATCAAGAAGAAGGAAAAAATGAAAATGCGACATCCCCAGTTTCAAGACAGAGACAAACAATATTGATGGCATTGCTTGGCCGCTTCTTTTTTTTTTATTTTAAGCTGAGAAGAAGATTTGTCAGACCCTGAGTCAGGTTTTCTACACCGATTTTCGAGCCCAGAGAATATTTGATCTAAGCTCGGCAACCTGTGTAAAATCCTGATACATGGTTCTGAAAGAGCATCGATAAAAAGCCTCGTAGCTCTTTCAGAACCCTGACTCAGGTTTCTACACAGGTTGCCGAGCGTGCTTTCGCTTTTTATTCGCTTTCTAGTAGGGTAGCTTCTTAATGCGTACTTAAATGGCACTGTCTCGTGAATCATGAGGTGGCCACTTAAGTTATTGAGTCGTAAATTCCTCACGCTGACTTCGCGATAATTGCTTCAATTTGTCTCTTATGAAGACTTTAGACTTTCTTTTTTTTTTTTCTATTCTGATCGAGATCATCAACGATTCTGAAACGATTCAAAAAGACCTAGCCCTTTTTTAATCCCGCTAGATTTTCACTCACAGAGATCGCAGCTCAGAAGAGACGGGAAAGGGTTTATTGTTATTTACTGTCACTTCAGTTCTTTTAGTTCAAAACAGTATGTTGGGTTTTATGAAAATTTTGGGCAAAAAAATATCGATTTTTTGCCCAAAATTTTTTGAGCTAAAATTTCAAGCTGGGTTCGGAAACCTATGAACAAAACCCGAGTCAGGGTTTTAGACTCCTGAGTCAGGTTTTCTGCACAGGTTCCCAAACCCAGCTAAATTTTTGCCTCAAAAACGTGCCTTTTTGAATCGTTTATTGAAGCATCTTTTTTCTCTGGAAAATAACTGTAGAAACTAGTACAGTAACTTATCAATTTTAGACTGATCAGACTTGAAAAGTTTCGAATCTCAGAATCGATTAAAAAACAACAAGGAAAAAAAAACAAAAAAAAACGAAGAACCTCTCGATTTTCTTTCAAAAAGAAAAATCAGCTTCTTTTGAAATCGCTACTTTTTCTACTTTTTGAAAAAAAGATGAGTGAAAAAAGCGAGAAGTCGGAAATCAAGCTCGACGAGGTCAAAAAAGAGCTCGAAAAGACGACCGAAACTGTCGAAGAGAAAACTGCCGAAACTGCCGAAAACGCTGAAAACAACGAAGAAGAGGAGGAGGAGGGAGAAGATTCCTTTCCTGAGCTAGTTCCAAAGGTATGGCGTCTTGTTTTCTGTGATTACAGTGCTTTTTACAGGCACATGACAAGTCCCACCAGACGAAACGGAGAGGAACGGGCTTTGTTTTCGACGAGAGCGCAGAGGAAACAGAAAAACAGAAAAAAGGAACGCGCTAAATTAAATTTCAAAATTATGAAAAAATAAATGTATAAAAAAATTAATATAAAAATATTTGTTTATCGATAATTTATTAGCGCGATAAAAAGCTCTTCAAAAAACTTTCGAAAGCGCGAAAAATGAAATTTTAGAAGAGGAAGAGGAAGAAGAAGAAGAAGTGGAGGAAAAAAAAGAAGAAGAGAGTAGTCCAAAAGAATCAAGTTCTAGCAAAGAAACAAGCCAAAATCCGAAATCCAGCGCGAATTCTTCTGAATCCTCGGTACTCATTTTTTCATTAGCGGCTTTTATGTTCTTTCTTGGCTCATAAGCCTGTGTCGAAACCTGAGTCAGGGTCCTGAAAAAGCTTGAATTGGAGAATCGAGCCGTTTTTCAGGACCCTCACTCAGGTTTAACACAGGTTTCTGAGTACAGAAGCTTGTATCATTGATTCATGAATATTCTAATATTCGTATACCTAAATCTGTATATCTCTAGGCATCAAAATCATCTGATTCGGCGAGCGAATCGTCCATTAGCAAATAATTGCCGATAAATATTTAAGGAATGTGGCCGATTTAATTATACAAAGTAAATGTCTAAAAAATGAAGCAATCTAAGCCGGGCTTATTTGATCCGGGCGCAGTTTTATTATTTGCGCCAAACGTCACCAAAAATCGAGCACTTTCAAGAAAAGTTTAAAAAGAAAAAAAACTGAAATCAACAAAACCAACAACATCAATATCAACAAATATTGGAAACAACCGACTCCGAGGAAAAACAACAAATATCTGCGAGAAAAAATTTTAAAAAAAAAATCAGATCAATTTTTCAACTTTTAACTGTACGCAAACAAAAATATAAATACGATTATAAAAAGAACAGTTGCTCGGCTCGGCAAGCTGTGCAGAAAACCTGAGTCAGGGATCCTGAAATTGGCTGCACAGCTCTCTCAGGACCCTGACTCAGGTTTCTACACAGGTCGCCATGAAATCGTAGTGCTGAATTACTAAGAAAGGTACAGTACTACAGTTGTGGTTAGTTTCTCTACTTGGTTACAGATCTCTTTCATCAGCAGATTTTCTATTGATAAGGCGCAGCGGGAGTTCAACCTCAGCCCGGAATTTTCTTCATTTGGCGCCCTCTTTTGGACATTTTTCGACATAAATATGATTGTTTTTTTTTCGAAAATATTCATAAAATGAAACGAAATGGATTACCATATCTAGTTTGAAGATATTGAATGAAACCTGATGACTGCCGAGACCGAGACTTGCTGAAATGGTGATATTTCTGTTCAATAAATGAAGAAATTTAAGATATCTTGTTTTTTGTATTCGCGATAGACTGGCAGAAAGTTGAACGAAAGGACTTTACAAGGGTCGAAAATGGAAAGTTTGCATACCGAACTGAATTGACTTTTTGTTCTTATGCATTCTCAAAACACTCATTTGACGAATTAACACATGTAACGATAATAATTGACTTTGATGTTTACGAAGAAATCGGCTTTTTCTCGTAGAGTTCGTCAATCTTCTTTTGGTCGTCGGAATCGATCGAGTCGTAGATTTTCTCCCGCTCAGCTTCTTTTTTCGCCCCTTCTTCGTCTTCTAGCGCTTTTTATCGGATTTGAAAATCGAAGTCGAAAGTCGCGATGGAAAAAGAGATCGGAAAACGACATCCTCTCTTCCATGATTTCCGAAAGGCGGGATTATTTATTTTTAGCGCGGCGTTCAATTTCAGCTTCGCGGCCTTTTTGAACGATTTTTCTAAAATTAGAACAACTGGAAAACAAGCGGGCACCGTTTCCGTGTTTCAATCCGATTCCTTTCAGATCCGCTGGAGTGGGTTCGGCCGGCTTCACTTTTTCAGCAGCAGCGGCGGCGCGCTCCTCCGCGAGTTTTTGCTGCTTGGCTTTTTCCTCCATCGCCGTTCGGATTTTGGTCACGACGATCATCAACGCTGCGATGACGCCGATGCCAATGGCGCCCTTGATTGCGTAGCCTTTGACCACCTGGAACTCGGCGTCCGCCTTGCTCTTCTCCATCTCGTCTCTTTTGTTGAGCGTTTCAGAACTGCTGCTCTAGCTCCAGCAGAAAGGCTGGAGAGTTGTTTGAAAGGCTCTTTCCTGATGCGCTGCTCCTCGCGGCGTCGTTCCTGGTCTGTCATTCCGCCGCCGCCGCCGCCGCCTCCTGCCGACTTGAGATTCACGCCCGGACGTTTCATCGGCGGCCCGCGCTGAAAAGGGCATCATCGAAGCCTTTCATCATCGCAATAACGAGTTCGAAACGTACCTTTGGACCGGCTCCTTTCCCTGGCGCGCCTAAGAGCTGCTTCGGCGGCTTTCTTTTCGCTTCCTTGGCCCTTTTCTTGGCCATGTACTCGGCGTCGTTGGCGTTCGCGCTGTCCATAATTTTGGCCAATTCTTCGGCCAGACCTGGATTGTGCATCGCCATGTAGTCTACTGTCGGTTCCACGTCTGGTTTTTTCGCGCCAACTTATTTTTTTATTTTTAAATGAAAAAAAGAGCTGAAATTTTTACCGTTTTTTCTGAAAGCTCCATATTTGTTGATTCTACTGACGACTCGTCCGTCGTTTCCCTTGACGATATCAGCCGCTAGAAGAAGTTTTTGAAGTTATGGCTTTTTTTTTTGGAATTTGAAACGTAATTAACACATGTTTTACACGTTTAACCACAAACAGGGCGAAATTATTCACGCTTTAGATGCTTCTTTCCGACTCAAAAAGATGAAATTTTAGTATGACGGGCTTTTACTGAACAAAAATTAAACAGTTTGCCCAAAATTCCGCCGCTTTTTTATTCAAAATTTCAGGAAAAGCGGTGGAAATTTTCGGCTCCAATTGTTGAATTTCGGAAATTCCGTTATGTAACTGTAGGCTTATTCAAATATCTCAATATATGAGGGCATTTTACTGTATAATTCTTCAGTAAAAACTCGATTTTCGCGGTTTTCACGAAAATTTTCGCGTTTTTTTCTTGAATTTCGGGTTCAAAATCGGTGAAATTTTTGTTTATTTTTTTGATTTTTGGAAGATATGGGAAATCATTATTATTTTTTTTACCATTGGCCGCGCAGATAGAAAACCAATAAAGAATTTTCATTTTGTTTTTTGGTCTTCGAGTTTAGAGCGTATCTCTCTTTCTCTCTGTACGAAGTATGAAAATTCGGTAAATAAAAATGACTCGTTGTAAAATTAAAGAGAGAAAGAAAGTGGGCATTGACAGGTCAAACAGCTCCCCATGAGATTCGTTGCACCAATCGGCACCTCCTTCGATTACCATTGCTCCTGGTGGCGCAGCAGTAGATCTAGAAGAGAGAGCCCCGGGCACTGCGCGTGTGCTAGGGTCAACAAGGCGATTGTACCACTAGAATTACTGTCCGAATCTGTCTCCATGCCCATCCATCTGATTTAGCCTTGTTCTATTCTTTAATAATTCTAAGCGATTGTCTTTGTCGAAAACCTGCGAAGCGGCTTCACCAAAATTTTTAAATAGATTAAAAAGATAAAATATGCGAAGCCGCTTCGCGGCTTTGTTTAGGAAAAAGCCGCTACGCGGCTTTTCATTAAACAAATTTCGGACCCTGACTCAGGTTTTCTACACAAGTTGCCGAGCCGAGCAATTTTTTGTCCCACCCTAGAACGACCGTCATATACTGGCTGGATAGCGATAACATAAGTAGGCTCGTTGCTGTGCGCATAATTATTCTAATCTGGTATTAGTCTAATCGCGCTCGGGCACTGTAAACACTCAATGAAGAGAAGACAGAGAGGCTGGGTGATTGTTTTTATTGCTTGCTAAAAAGAAGATTGACAGTACTTTTTCATAAAAGAAAAAAGAAAGAAAGACTATTTTTTATTCTCAGACTTGAAAAAGAGGATAAGCAAGGAATCGTTTTTTCGATAAGATACATTGAGTATCAGCTCGTATATCTTATGTACCAAATAACATGCTCCAGAATATGCACTCCAAAGAACGCTTAATCACCGTGTGATATTCACATAAATTAAGACCTATAAAAAATAGCTAAAAATAGATAAGTTTATGAATTTATGATTTATGATTATCCTCTTTCCTCATTTTTTCTTCTCATTTTTCCGGTAGACTTCTTCCAAATGCCGACAATCTTGCCTTGAATATCTCTCGATCGCTAAAGTGCCGGGTAATTGCGCCGGGCAAATTAAAAGTTACGTACTGTTTTAGAAATTTGAAAGGATTTTGAAAGCCGCCTCAACAACGTTTTTCTTTCTCGCAACCAGCATTTCCTTCAGATTTTGTTTCTTGAACTGGTTGGGCTGTTTTTTCTTCGAGGAGATGTTTTATTGTCGAATAGAACTGAAAAAATATATTGTTTGCTGCACAATAATAAACTAACTAAATGACTTATTTTTTGCTGGAATTCGTATTCTTGCTGGATTAAGGGTGTCAACAACGATTTCGCCAAATTTTTTGACAATTTTTTTGGATAGTCGTTGACACCCTTAAAACGAGTGTTGAAAAACGAGAAGCCGCTTGCGGCTTCGAGGTAGATTAGACAAAAAAGCCGCGCTTGCAAAAATTCGAGTTCCAGCAAAAATAAGTCAGTCAGAAATGAAAATCGCGGTACTAACATGTTCGTCCAAGTCGTCATTGTCTTCTGGTTTGTAATTCTGTAAGTTTTGGAGAACTTCGCAAGGCAAAAGTAACTCAAAGAAATGAAACGTATCTGAACCGAGATTTTAATGCACCATCTCTAGAACGCTTTGTTATCACCGTTGTTGATGAGATGCAACTTCTTGTGCATGGATCGCAGCTCGGACGCTACCTTTTCCAACTCCCCTTGAAATCGAAGTTCGGGTAGCTTCGATAAACACTCGCCGTCTCTAGTTTCCTTTTGATGCTGGGCATGGTCGACAAGGCAGCGCAAAAGTTGCTGTTTTGCGCACAGCAAAATTCGTTTTCCTCGTCGCTGAGGATCTTTGCCAGCTCAAATTCGTGAGCTCGATGTCTTGCTCGATCGTCACAGAGTGATAGTACTCTTCCTTGCTTTTTCCTTCAAAATCGACTTTTTCGGATCGAAAAGGTGCTTTTTATTCAAAGATTCCAAATGGAAAAATATTTTTCAAAATTACTCGAAACAGGGAGTGAGGGCCCTTCTACAGTAGTTCTACAGTCTGTGCCCTTACTGTTCATGACCCACCGTCATGGCTAGAAACAGAAGACACAAGTATAACAGGCTGGATTGCCACTGAAATGCAAGGTTTTTGAACCAAGTATTTGTCCAAAGTTTTTATCAATTCGAATAAAGACCAAGCATCAACCTTGAAAATCCGTTTCTTTCGCTTGTAGCAGGGCGTTCTTTTCCTCCAGCTCGGCCAAGGAGTCGTTTTGCAAGTCAATATCGGCTCGTAATCGTTCTCCTGTGCTAACAGCTTCTTCCATCTTCGCCAACTAAAAGACAGTTTTTCAATCAAAAAGCCAAGAACTCACGAGTTGGACATGTTCGTCGATGATGTTTTTCTTGGATGGAAATTTCTTCGATCGCGACGAACGAAGCGACATTGTCGATGATCCAAAAGCTCTCGCATCTCCCTTTTATTCGATTCCACAGACAAGAAATCTTGAATGAAAAAGATGTGAATCGAACTTTTCTTGGAACTTATTCCAGCGAAGGAGTTGCTCAGCGAAAGAGTTTCGGCTCTTTTTTCCGTCAACTTTTTCCCGTTTTATTTATGAAAAAATGATAAAAAAGATGTTGAAAAAACTGTCCTTTGGAGTCGATTCGGATGTACTCAATTGCAAAGTACTTCGCTTTGGCAAAAACATTTTCTCGGAGGAATCCTCAATTTTCTTTGAAACTGCCTTCATCCCTCTTTTTCGCACTAACCCTTCGTCTCTGGGCGAAGAAGAAGAGAACGATTTTGGCGTTATCATCGACAGTGACGTAGTCGATCCTTCCCAGCCTCTTTTTTAGAATCTGAATTCTCACGTAATTAATGTTCAATTTTATTCCCAAGCCTTTTCAAGCAACAATAACGTCAATATGAATTAAAAGAAGTCAGATCAAAGAATTTCTCCTCCGAATATTCTCCCCAGCCATCTGCTAGTGCTAATAAAATAGTGCAAAAGAGGTTCAATAAATAGTACTCTGTAGAATCTTTCGATCGGTAAGTTGGAGATTTGTGAGAGGCGTTTTGGAACGAGTTTTTAAAAGGAACAGAAGTATGGCACCATACTATAGAACTGACGCTCGCCTCTCTTCAAATTACGGCCTGAGCGGAGCAGGATGACAACAATCATGTGCGCTTACTCCAACCCTCGCAGGTTGAAAATGAACAAAACAAAGCTCAGGTTCACCAAAAACTTCCTCAAGGCTCGACAACCTGATTCAGGGTCAGGAAAGCATTTTAATAAGCCGCAGTGCGGCTATTTTTAAAGCAAAACCGCGAAGTCGGCTTTTATCAAAGTTTTTCTGGACCCTGACTCAGGCTTTCTACTCAGGTTGCCAGCCCAGCGCTTTCTACTACTCATCAACCGCTACTACTCTTAGATCAATCTAAAGAAAGAAAAGAAGAGACAAAAGACAGGGCCACCGATATCGTTTTGAAATTTTTCATCGGTGGCCCTGAAGTAAGGAAGTAGAGGAAATTGATTTTATTCAGGGTTGAAACATGTGTGCGACTTGGTTTTCAAGAAGCTTAAAAGCAAGAGGAGAGAGGGTTTCTCCCTCTTTTGCCATTTTCGCTCATCATCTTCCCTTTTCGCGGATGATGATGAAGTAGCAGGCGTATTTCGCTTCTTGAGCCAAGTTGCACCGTTTCTCGGCAAATTTCCGCCTCTTTTCTCGCGCTACGGATTCTGAAATCAAAAAATTTTAATAAAAAAATCGCGAAAATGCGGCTAATTACCTTTTTATTGCTCCCCGCGGACCGTGAAAGTCACGAAAAGTGTCTGACTGAGGATCTGCATTTTGCCCTCACAACAACTTCGATTCTAGAGACACTCGAGAAAAATTTTCTTCAACAACAACTCAGGAGCTCGAGAGAAGCGCCTTTTTGCATTTTGAGTCGAAAATAATAAACTTCGACCGCTTCTCGAATTTTTCAACCGGTCGCCTAACCGCGGTTAATCGCGGTTAATCGCGGTTAATCGTGGTCAAAAATTTTAACCGTAAAAAATCGAAAAGAAATCGATTTTTTCTTTTGAACAGAAAAAGAAAAGCATCAACCGTTTTTCAAATTTTTCAACCGGTCGGTTAACCACGGTTAATCACGGTAAACCGCGGTTAAAAATTTTATCCACTCAAAATCGAAAAAATCGATTTTTATAGGGAAAAATGCTGATATCTTTTCTGTTACCACATTACTGTAAAAATCACAGTAATACTGTAGATAACTTACAGTTGTGGCCGAAAAAGAAGGGCGGCGATTAGATTCGCCGCGAGATATCAAGTCTCATGTGCCCGTGATCTCAAAGTTTGATAAATCGAATGACGCCTTGAAAGACTACTGTCTCAGCGATGTCCAGCGATACTTTAATAGCACATCGAGTTACCTCACTCTCGAATTATTTCTTCGAATTGTGTTCAATCGTCCAATTTCGAAAAAATATCCCTTACTAAACTAACTTGCCTCTATTACTGACTCCGATTTCAACTTTGGAAAATTAAATAACAAATTAAATCGAACCCTCTTGTTTTCCAGGAAACCTGACTCAGGGTCCAAAGAGCAAAAATCAAAAGCCGCGCAGCGGCTTTTTTTATAAAACCAGAAATCAATAATAGATTGAAATGGCTAGATTCGCGAAGCTGCTTTGCGGCTTCGTTTGTAAAAGCCGCTACGCGGCTTTTCATTTTAGCTCCTCAGACCCTGACTCTGGATTTAGACAATTCCTGACTCTTTTATGATAAAAAAATATATCAAAAACACGGAAAATAATTACGATTGAATTTCAGATAATTATATCCAAGAAGTGAAATCATCCAAATCATGACGCAGAATAGCCGAAATGACTAGAACACGATTTTGCTGCTAAGAAGGGGTAAAAGAGGACGCTCTGACTCGCAGGTCTCATTTCCAGCGGAGAGGTAGAGCGCAGCAGTTTTGCCCGGGCACAGCGCCGTATAAAAACCCACTGCTCGATAGAAACCGATTATTAACTCCGACTGCTCGCCAAAAATCAAGAATGCCACGAAGGAGGCACTGCGCGGCCAATTGTCTCAACAACGGGCTCTGCATCGAGCAAGGCTCTTCCCAAATTTGCATGTGCATTGGGGGCTTTACTGGCCACCGCTGTCAGGTACAGTCTTTTTACTGTCTCCCTAGTAAACCTTCTTTAGTACAAATACTTTTCTCCGCAAATGGAAACAAACGGGGGCGATGTGGGGGATGCAATTTCTGGCTCTAGAATCGGCAGCGGTCAAATTCAATCGATCGTTTTTGGCTACCAGTTCGTCGTGCTCAGCCTCTTCCTCGCTGTAGTCGGCTTGTTCGTCGCTCGAAGGAGGAAAAGGTAGCTGCCAAGGAAGCCACAGTAAATCCATCACAATCATCGAAATCGAATGACGTCGAATTGCTGGTCGAAGAAGCGTCCCGCAGCGCGCGGCCCTAATCGGCACAGGTCAACTGGAACATGTGCCCTACAAGCTACTGCGAAATTACTACTACTAGTCTAATTACGTGTCAATCCATTCTTGTATATACCAATCCTCTCAATCCTCTGTCGGCAGAACTCCTCCTTGATTTCATCTTCAATCTTTATGTTAAACAATATGTAATCGAATAAACTATTATATTATAAAAGTAACTTTTCCTCACATCGTTTTTTTCAAGTAAAAGAAAGAATAAGGGTACTATCTTGGATTTCCCCAACTTGTCGGTCAAATAACTTCGAACCTGTCAATGTTAGCAGAAGTCACGTGAGGTCTGTAAGTAGATATATTCTAGATCTTTATTTTTACAGAAGGATTTGAATATTTCTCAAGTAGAAACCTTTCCGGTAATACAAGACAAAACAAAACGGGAAAAAACAGCATTATTATTCTCAAAATTAGAATTCTCAGATATTTATAATGAAATACATAGACGGTGAACCGACTTAATCTCGCAATCGAACATGTTTTTCAACACAAAATTGATAAGGGAAAGAGATGGTTCTAGTTGAGCAGTTTTCTTCAGAGGTTCACACGATGACGATCTTTATATTTTCCCATTTTTCTATCGGAAAAATCTGATAATCCTGTTTTAACAAGTTGTATTTTGAAGTGAGGAATGATGTCATTGCTTTGATATCAATCTTTTCTTATGAGAGCGTCTTGCAGAATAGAATACGTCTTTCGGAGAAAAGAGACTATATTTTGGTATTGATATTAGTAAATAACTAAATTGCGGTCAAAATCGACCTCACTACCATCGAAGCAGCCCTGGGAGCCCTGGGAGCGTGGAAGGTGGAAAATGTGTTAAAAAGGAGGAGACGCGGCGGGAGAGCTGCGGAAATGCGATCTGGAGCTAAATCACACATACGCTGGATTGAGCACCCATCAGGGGCCCATCGGGTGCGCCCGCTTACAACCCCTATAAATACTACTCCCTTTCCACCAAGGTTAATCGCACACACTTACAAGAAGGCAAGAGACTCAAAAGAACTCAAAACTTACAATCATGACCAGGCACTCACACTCAAACTCGGCAAAAAACGCAGACAAGAAAATGCAAGATCTAAGTGGAGACGAACTTCGGTGAGTTTTCTTATTCAAAAGTCAAGCTGAGTCAGGGTCCAAGAGGGCTTTTACTAAAAGCCGCGAAGCGGCTTTTAGAACCGAAGCCGCAAAGTGGCTTCGCCGAGTCGTAAAAAGAGATTGGAGCAGTAATTTTGCTGACTAGTAGAAGTACAGGTGTTTTGTTATGTCAGTAATGGCAGCAATTTGCGCAGAAGTGTTCCGAATTTACCCTGATTCTATGTTTAGATGTTCCAGAAAGACGCTACTATAGTTAGATGAAATCGGATATTTTTGACATCAGTGATATCGCTCCTTAATCAGATTTTAAACTACTCATTCTAATTCAATTTGCACGCATATCGCTACATGCATGATTCCTTTAGCTAGAAAAGCTACAATCAGCTGACTCAAACTACGTCAGATACAGTAAGAGCAGTAGCCAGTAGCGCGAGATGTCAATAAAGAACAAGATATGTTGCTAGGTGCCCACGGACATTTAATCTGTTCTAACTTCCTCCGTCGAGCCTCGTGGGGAGCAATTACTTGAAACTAAGCACAGTTCATTGAATCTCCCCGTGCCCAGTTTTCTCCCTTGAAAATGAACCCTTCTGACTCTCTCTTTCTTTTTCAGGCTGAAGATCAACGAGCGCGAGCGGCGACGAATGCACGATCTCAACTCCGCCATGGACGGGCTGCGCGGTGTCATGCCCTACGCGCGCGGGCCCTCTGTCCGCAAACTCTCCAAGATCGCCTCGCTGCTTCTAGCGCGCAACTACATTCTCCAGCTGCAGTCCCGCGTCCGCCAACTCGAAGCGGAACTGGCCCAATCCGCGTCAAGTCCACCGGCCAATTTCAACTCCAATTCCACTTTTCCCAATTTCGAAGCTTTTCAAAGCTCCAGTCTCTCAATCTCAAGTTCCGATTCGGATGCATCAACAAGCAGCTCGATCGAAAACACCCGCCCGGGACTGAAAAGGCAGCTAGAATCGATGAGCCCAAAAGGCGCGCTGAAGAAGCCACGGGTCAACTTTGCAGATATCAATACGCTGGCGTGACAATAAATCAGCCAAACTCGCCCATCTGTACGAGCCTATGTACGAGTATAAATCCAAAGAGTTACTATCCGTCTACTGTAACTACTGACCCTTTTCTCACTGTACAAAAAAAGAAAGAAAGGAATAAAAAACAGCTCCAAATTTTCACTCTTTTTTGGCTCGGAAACCTGTGAAGAAAACCTGACTCAGGCTCCTGAAACTTCCTTTTACTTATTCAAGACCCTGACTCAGGTTTTCTTCACAACTTTCTGCCGAGCCCAGTTTCTAGCGTCGCTAATTGAGACTTTGAGACCTTGAGAGATAAATAGAAGTGACGAAAAAACAAAAGAAGAAAGCGATACTGTTCAGCTGCAACTCACGTCATTTTTTTCTTTCTATCTTTTTTTTCGTCACTTGGCAAATTTAACTTTTTTTCTTGAACTTTTTTTTTGATCGAGATTTTTTTTTCAATTTGAAAGAGAAAGAAAAAAATCTGAAATGAGAGAAATTCTGTAAGTTTCTTTCGCTTTTTTGCGTGTTTTGAAAAAGATGTTCTAGTGCTGCAAGAATTGCGTGCGCGCGTTGTAGCTATTGTGGCAGCTGGTGTCAGGTGCAAGGCGTTTTTTTTTTCTTCTCTTTTCTCGTAAAACTAAAACGACAGATAGCCACAATAAACCAGCAGCATCAAGCAAGAGCCCTGAATCCTGCATCGCCAGAGAAAGCTGCTAACATCCTTCGTCGCCTTTTTTTCAGAAGATTTCAAATTTTCATCTTTGATTGAAATTTTCGATTAATTTTGAGGAATTAGAAGAAGAAAGAAATCAAGGAAGAGAACCGGTCATTTGCGTTCAAAGCTCGGCAACCTGTGGAGAAAACCTGAGTCAGGGTCTGAAAAACCTCAAGTGAAAAGCCGCGTATTGGATCAGTTATTTTGGGATCTCGCTTCGCGGCTTCGTTTTTAAAAAAGCCGCTACGCGGCTTTTCATTAGAGATCTTTCAGACCCTGACTCAGGTTTTCTACACAGGTTGCCGAGCCTTGTTTGCGTTTATTATCGAAAATTTTGCAAGATTTGGCATTTTTTCGGAATTTCAGATTCTTGATTTTAATTTTTTTGGGAATTTTTTTATCACCAATCTGAGTACTAATCAATTCGAGACCAATTTGGAGCTGTCGAGAAAACGAGAGCTATCCAATAAAGATGGACTAGGCGGGCCTGCTCGTCTAGACGACTTGGAATCGCCCAGCACTGGTACAAAGAAGGTGCTTAGCACCGGATACACTTCTTTTCTGAAGCGCGTGAACTTTATTGCGCCCGGCTGTCCAATTCGATACCGTATTTTTGCCACTTAGCTTTTGCAAAAAAAGAAGAACTAGAACCAGTGGAATTCGAATTCGAATTCAAAACGGAAATCAAGGAAGAACCTCTTTTAAAATTCCAGGGCGGAATTGAGCTCGGCAGCCTGTGTAGAACCCTGACTCAGGAAAGGGCACCAGAATCGTTTGTACTAAAGGTTACGTAGCATGCGGAATTCGAAGAATTTGAACTGCCACTTGAGGAAGCGGCAAAACTAGTAGTGTTTACTTTCTTTCCTTCAGCGGGTTACTATGGATGGAATCTCGCTTTGGCCAGGTTCTCGTACAGTTTCAGCCCGGGAAAGGCGTCTCCAATTGAAATTGCTGCGTCTAAGTCAACACTCTCGAGTCGGGTTTATTCAAAATCGTCTTCCCGGGGAGTTGGAATTCAATTAGAATTAATCAACCGATTCTGTTTCTTTTTTTTTGCTCTTTGGCGATTTCGATTTCGATTTGTTGCTTTATAACTTTGTTTTTTCGCATTTTACGCGGCGCGGCGTTTATGGAGATAAGTGAGAGCACAGGGCAGAGAACGCACTCTTCTCTTCATCTTTCTTCTCTCCATCATCCATAAAAAGAAAGAGCGTCGCGAATTCCCACGCGTGGGAAGTAATCCACCCAGACAACACAGAGTACTACACGATAATGCGACCGCCGCAGCCGGAATTCTAGAGCTTCAGAGAGCAGCGCGCATTCGTAAGGAGACTATTGATTTAGGCATAGATTTGTCCCCTTTTTATTAATTCCCTTGAATTTTTCGTCAAAAACAAGCTATAACTTTTGCCCATATTGCAGAATCAGATGCACTTTGGCTTATCAAGAAAATATAGTTCCAGATATTAATTTTTCTCCGAACCAAAATTAAATTATGGTGTTTCGGAATTCAGATTTCTCAAAAAAAAAAAAAATTTAACCCCCTGAGGAACAGAGAACCAAAAATTTGAGTGTTAAAAAAATTCATGTTTTTTGGTGAAAAAGTTAATGAGGGGTCCTTGAAAGATAGAAAATAACCCAATTTCCAATGCCATTATTGCAGTAATGGTAACAATCTAGCTTCAATTTTATCAGCTATAGTAGATGTCCAGATGAGAGTTTTTCCCAAAGCCACAATTCAATCATGGTGTTTCTTAATATTTGAGATCAAGGAGGAGAGCAAACGTCTTTTCCTCCTTTTCTTCTTTTTTTCTTCCTGGTCTGAGCGCGCGGGGGCTGGCTGATTGATCTTCCTCTCGCTAGACAGAAAAAGTACAGGGACCGTCAATCGAATTTGATTGAGTCGGTCTCCGATCGGCGCAATTTTAATCGTTTAGCTTCGCTTTGGCCTTCACTTCGGACTGGGCAGGCTCTTTAACGATCAATCAGTCTGTCCGTCCAGCTCCTTTAACTCCGAAATTAAATTTTCCAGTTTTGTCTTTCAGAAAAAAGCTTCTTTTCAGCACGAGAGAGCGGCCAGAACTCCTAGATCGAGGAAAAGAGACGACAAAGTAGCTATCAGAGCTTTTCTGGCGCGGTGACGTCAATCAACAAAATTCGATATGCATTTCAACCTGGCGGAAGTGGATGTCCGTCAAAGTCACCTCAAGGTCGTCACATGACGTAAATTCGCAAGAAACGCAAATTTACTGAAGAAGACACTTTTGGAATTTTATTCCAAAATTGAGATTCTTCAGAGAGACAATTTGACGAAATTCCTTTCTCCAATCAGTATCAGCCTTAGGAAAGTAGCCAGAGCTAGAAAAGCTACCTGTGTAGAAATCCTGAGTCAGGGTCCTGACACAGAGCTTTTATCAAAAAAAAAGCCGCGGTATAAAAGATATTGGCAAACCCGTTTTGCGGCTAATTCCACGCGGCTTTTTATCATAACTTTTTTAAGGATCCTGACTCAGATTTTCTACACAGGATCCAGAGTCTGATTCTGGAAGAAAAAAAATTTTTTAAAACTTTCAAAAGACAAAGAAAAGAAGGTCAAAATGACCTTTTCCGCTTTGTCGAGTTATTTTTATTTTTAGCCAGTTATGAGGGCTAAACCCTTATGAAGATTATTTATGCTTGTTCTCCTCGTTGATATCATTATGCTGCGCGAAGGTGCAATTATGGCGCGTCGTAAAATACAACCAGCAGTATATTTTCACAGCGCTAATTTGCAACATGCAATTTTTATGATTTGAGCTGCCTGATCATAATTTGCAGCATAATTATAACAGGCATCATAAAACAAGCGCCATTTCTGACTCGCTCATCATTTTTCTTTTCCACTCGTTTTCTCTCCATTTTCAGGTCTTTTCGACTTTTTTTTCTTCCTGTTTTTTTTTCTCTCTGCGATTTTTAGCTCTTTTATCGTGGGAGCTGCTTTACGTTTTTATTTTTCCGATTTCTCAGATCGAGATTGATCATTATTGAATTTGACCAACCATCATTATAAAATTCAATCTTCGAATCTTTAATTTTTCCGCCTGACTTCGTCAACCTGAGAAGAACCCTGTTTCTCAAAACCTGAGTCAGGGTGCAAAATTCTTCAATTCAAGCTTTTTCAGGAGCCTGACTCACGTTTCTTCGCCAGAATTTTAAAAATAGATTGAGATGATATTTTAGACCCTGACTCAGGTTTCTACACAGGTTGCCAAAATAAGCATCTCAATTTATTTTTAAAATTCTGAGTAAGCCGCTTTGCGGCTTTTTTTTTAAGAAAGCCGCAAGGTGGCTTTTATTAATGCTCTTTCAGGATCCCAACTCAGTTTTTTTACACAGGATTTTTTTTTGATGAACTCAAGTTTCTAAATTTCGCGCATTTTTGTTTAAAAAAAATTAGCGATGAAAAATTCTGCTTTTGAAGCAACTTTTTTTTAGGCCGCTCGTACTGTCTGTGTCTTTTTGCAGCGCGGCCTAACTGTATTTCGAAAGTTACAGGGTTGAACGTGATCGCAAATAAATCTCGTTCAGACTGTGTCGCTAGCGGAAGAAGAGCAACTGCGATCCAAGTCGACCCAGACCTTGCTGTAATTTATTTCAAGAAACGAGCAGGATCCCTATTTCGCCCGAATGACAAAAAGTTGTACGAGTCGGAGCAGAACCGAAAGCAGATAACAGCAAAAACAAAATAATAGCGAGACACACATGATCAGAGAGACTGTGTTTCTACTGCTAAAGGTACTGTATTCAAGGCTGAGCTCGAAAACCTGTGTGAAAACCTGAGTCAGAGTTCGAAAATTCATCGAGATTGTTAATCCTGACTCATAAACCTGTTCAGACGCCTGAGTCAGGGTCCTGAGTCAGGATTAACAATAAAGATGAATTTTCTAACCCTGACTCAGGCTTTTACACAGGTTTTTCAGCCCGGTATTTTTTGATTGTTGAATTGAATTTGAATTGAATTTGAATGTTTAGCTTTGTGTTGTTACATTTGCTGAAACGAAGAGCTGCCAAGACCGGTACAGCTGCTGCATCGAACAGTGCTCCGCTTTTCCGATTCTAGCGAAGCCGGTCGAAAGTGGCGAAAGTAGCGCCGCTGCTTTGAGCGACTTTGAAAGTCGAAATTCGGAAAACCGCGTCGTCTCTTCGCTGATCGATGATGCTAGCCAGGTAAAAGCGAGAGAAGCGTTGAAACGTTTAAACCTATCGAAATGAGACCACCCTCGATTCCCCTCTTCCCGCTTCCAATTAGAGATAATGTAGCGATTCCCGATTTTATGGTCGATTTCAATTTCAGGAGCCGAAGTACTTCAACTTGGCGAACAACTGCGGCATGCTCCGCGGCGATTTCAAGCTCGACGACGAGCTGATTACTTTGAACAGGGGGCGCATTCTCGGATCTGAGCGGAACGAGCACATCGAGGGACTCGACAGGCGCTTCGATTCCATCTTCATGGGAGCGCTCAATGACAGGGTAAGGAGTTGGGCTCGGTACCACCTGTGTAAAATCCTGTGTAGGATCTGATTTTACAATTCACCGGATTTGAAACGCCAGCACTTCGCAAGCAGCCGTCTTACCGACCTAGCCAGGCGATTTACAGTCAAGGTCTGTCCTACTGTAGTTAGTAGTAGTACCTTACGTAAGTGATGAAATGAGCCTTTTCAGGTCTATTTTTAGGCGGCTCACGTACTTCCAAACTTCGCCGGCCACCGACCCGCCAAGAACAATCGAGACATCGCAACCGGCTTCTCAGAGGCGGAGTTCTCTCGAAACACAGTCGACGACCCAAAGATGCGCAGACGAAGAGAATCGAGAAAATCATCAAAAGTAAGGGGCTCAAAAAAAGCTCAAAAATCAGCTCAAAATATTTTAAAGAAATCAACAAAAAGGAATCGCACAAATATTCGCCCTGGCATGTCCATATTGAAATCACGAAAATCACGACGAAAAGTCGAGCTTCCAGAGATTCCTCCATTAAAACCAGGTAGAACAGCTCTCAAGCCAGCTTTTTTTTTTGACCAGCTTTAGGACATGCTTCGGAGTGTTGCTTTCGTCCTCTGTAGTAATAACATCGGCGCACTGCTTCAAGCGATACAACACGTCAACAGAGGAAGTCGACACTTTTCTCACCGAAAACGACTTCATCTCCATTTACGTCGGGCTGGAACATACCAACGACATCGGCGCCCCCGAAGAGAGCTCGAGAAATGAAAGGGTTCAAAAAGCACAAGCTACGGCTCAGGAAACGGTTCAGTTTTTTGGTTCTCTTCCTTGATTTCAAAAAAAAATAACCGCCGAAAAAAGGATGTAATCTTCCACCCTCTTTGGATGACCCCGTCGCACAACATCGCAATAATCAAATTGGATCAAAGTCAATCCAGCCCGTTCCGGCTCTCCAGCCTCGTCCACCCAATTTGCCTCGGCGCAGAGACCTTCGAGCTGGAGACTTCTGCCCACGCGCTCATCTCTGGCTACGAAGTCAACAGAAAATCCCCGGATAAGGATGAAAAACTGCAGTTTTCGCTTTTGCGAGTGACGTCGCCTTCGGAGTGCCGGAAGTTCGGAGCGAGCAGGAAGAAGGAAGACTACTTCGATGATGAACAGGCGCAGTTTGACTTTTCCCAAATTGTTACTGCCGAGAGCGGGAAGCTCTATTGCGTCACTGCCAAAAAGAAAGAGCTTTGCAAAGGTAGGAAAAGCTTCAAACCCCCTTCCAACCCTTTCATCCCTTCCAGGAAGCCACACGAGCTCACTAATCGCTCCCTGGCGCTGGTCAAACGGAGAAGCCCGCTTCGTCCTGGCCGGTCTGGCCTCGCGCCGCAGCTCGACCAGCGAATCCAACTGCGGCGAAGGACCAGAAATGTTCATCAAAGTATCCCGCTTCAACAAGTTCCTGGACGAGTTCTTGACCAACTGGTCGACTTGGTCAGAGTGGTCCGAATGCGACCAGTCCTGTGGCGACGCGAAAAAGCATCGAGTGCGCATGTGCGAAAGCTACTCGAACGAGCGCAGCTGCGAAGGACTCTCGCACGAGTCCAAGTACTGCCGGGTGAAAATGTGTCCCCAAGTGAGTGGCGACTGGAGCGAGTGGAGCAAGTGCTCGAAACAGTGCGGCGGAGGGCTGCGGACGCGGAGCAAACAGTGCGAGCCGATCGACTTGTGCTACGAAATCGCGGAGCAAAGGGAAAGCTGCAATACCAATCCTTGCGAGTCGAGTTGGGCTTGGTCTGCTTGGAGCGATTGCCAGTGCAGTTCTACTCTTAGGACGCGCATTTATCCGCAGTGCGTCTACAAGGTAAGGTAGATTCTTAGAACTTCCCCCCTTCTTGGTAGCCTCTCATTCATTTTCTAGGGACGAGCGGTCTCCGATGAAACTTGCGCATCAGCCGGGCCGAGACCAACTGAAAGGATAGAAAACGAGCCGTGTGAAAAACCAACGAACCCGGCTACCTGTCATTTGATGATAACAGGAGGCATGATAGACGGAGGCATAGTCCTTCAGGACTCTCTTTTGACGCCTTTTTTCTCACCGTCCAGGATGAGGATATTTGCTCCGCTGCTTCTAGGTAAGCTCCCTTCCCTATCTTTCCTCCCTTATCATTTTCCAGGCCGATTGAGTCGGTAAAAGACGCGTTGAAGAGCATGCGTTTGACTACCGACCACACTGGCAAAGCTGAATGCCAGCAGGGCGAGAGCAAGTACAGTTGGACAGACAGTAGTCGATTCGGACACTGTATGCTCACGCTTGACAACAAGCTGATCATCTTTGGCGGGAGAAACGCGGGCAGTCTTTGGGAAGGAGATCTGCTAGTGCTGAACCCGGCGAATTTGCGATGGGAGAAGCATCCTTTCGGAGGCATCAAAAGGGCGCACGGTTCATGTACAGTTTTGAGCGGGCGCGCTTGGATCTGCGGCGGCGAGGAGCACATGGAAAAGGCGCGCGCAGGGCGGCCAGTTTCTAGCTGCCACTCGTTCAGCTTCAAAGACGGCTGGAGGGACGAAGTGAGCATGCCCGATCCGATCATCAACCACGCCATCGCCGCCTTTCCGAAAACGAACTCGATCTTCATCATCGGCGGGCGATACAACCATCGCGACTGGAGCACTGTGCGCTTCCTCGACGCCGCCTCCTCCCCCACCAGCCGCTGGGAGAAGGCCGCCAACTTGCCCGAGCGCGTCAGAGAGGTAATAACTACTCGCCCTTTCTTTTTAATATATTTGAAGGCGATCGCCTTGACTTTGGACGACTCAATTTACGTCTTCGCCAAGTCTGCTTACAAATACTCGCCGCTGGCCGAGCGTAATTCATGGATTCACTTGGCTTTGATAAAACCCAGAAATGAATTTTTAGGTAATTTAATTCAATATTCATTTCTCATATTTTCAGCCGCTCTTTCAATCGGGCCGCGAATCTGGATGATAAGCGCTGCCCAGTCAGCCAGAAGCAGCGGCCGCCTCACCATAGAACAATTCAACACAATGACCAACCAAACACGTAAGTCCGCCATTTCCTCTTCCTTGATTCCAACCCGTTTCAGAAAGCTTCGACTCGTTCCGATTCGGCGAGCGCGCCAAATTCGGCATCGCGCTGGTCCCTCCCGTCTACGAAAAAACGCTCTTCCGCCAAATTACTTCGCGGCAGGACAGCTACGATGCCTGGCCTTGAATTTACAGCCTCTGTAAGTTGAAAAACTGGGCTCAGCAACCTGTGTAGAAAGCCTGAGTCAGAGTCCGGAAAGAGTAATGAAAGCTCTTTCAGACCCTGACTCAGGTTTTCTGCTCAAGTCCCTGACTCAGACCCTGACTCAGGTTTTTCACACAGGTCGCCGAGCCCAGCTCCAAAAGAAATTGAATTTATATTACTTTTAGAAAGAAAAAGCTCTGTCCGAAAAAACGCCGCAATTTGCAAAAAAGCATCTGAGAACGAAAAACCTAGGGCAATATGCAGTACGAACTTACACGAGATCCATTCTACCTCAATTCAATCTTTGAAAATAAAAATATAAATAAATGCAAAAACCAAGAACAAATCTGTTTCCTTTCTTGTCTTCTTTTTTTAAGAGATCATTTCTTATGCTCTTGTATTGACCCTGAATTAATAATTCAAAATTGAAGGAAAAAATACAATGACCAGAAACCGCCAAACTTCTTTTTCCAAAAATAGCCTTGAAAGGAAAATTTCCAAAAAATCAAAAATTTCTCCGGTAAGAAAATTGACAAAAAGAGAAAGGCCCACGCGATCGTAAAATTTTGTAGAGGAAACAAAAGAAATGATTATTATGAATAAAAAACAAAACAAAAACAGTAGAAAAAGAAGAGAAATGTAGCGGAAATATGAATATTTTTAATAAAAAGAGATATAAGCTGGGCTCGGCAACCTGTGTAGAAAAGGTCCTGAGTCAGGGTTCTGAAAGAGCGGCTTTTCCAAAATAATATGGTAATATTATATATATGATATGAATCATATTCAATATATAATATGACCCATTTTATATATAATATTACCATATAATATGGTAATTTTGGAAAAGCCGCTCTTTCAGAACCCTGACTCAGGATTTTCCACAGGTTGCCGAGCCCAGGACATTAGTAACCAAGATTGAAAATGAAAAAGTAAGAAAATTTCGAACTCCAAGTGTGGAAGTATAGAAGCAGGCATATAAATTTCGTTCGAAAACCCAAAGCGAACGCGAAGCGAAAGCGAAAAATTTTTCCAGCCAAAAAGCGAAGCGAAAGCGAAGCGAACGCTTATCTTGCACAGCGAAGCGAAAGCGAATTCGCCAAGCGAAAAATTCGCCAAAAGCGAAAAATTCGCCAAAAGCGAAAATTCGCCAAGACTGAAAATTCGCCAAGAGTGAAAATTCGCCAAAAGCGAAAATTCGCCGAAAGCGAAAGTTCGCCAAAAGCGAAAATTCGCCGAAAGCGAAATTTCGCCGAAATTGAAAGATATTGAAAGAAATTTGAATAAAACGCGATCTAATAAGATGAAACTTCGACCCATTTTTCATATTTAATATAATAATTATGACACAGTTTTGGAACACCAAGAAGCTGAGCTTTCATTTGAGCCGTTTCCCGCCACTCAAAAATTCGATTGAAGAGATCTAGTTCCGACTTCGGAACTTCCGGTCCTATGAATGCCTTGACCCCTTGATATGGGATACCCGTCCAAATGAAAGCTTCTGGGCTTTCTAAAACCGAGAATTTTGATGGCCCAGGCTCTGGCAGTCATTTTGAGCTCTAGAAAAGTAGGGCAGGGGTGGGGTATCTGGGGAGCTAGAGGCTCTTCAAGTTAGGGAACTCGACCAACATTGAGTACTTTTTCCCAAAAGTAGACGATTTGAATTCTTTTAATCGACGTTTATTCATTCATAAGTGTTTAAGATGTCGTTTGGGGTCAACTGAGGTCACTCTAGGTCAAGAATAATTGAAAATTCAGAAAACTCTAATAAGTGACCCGACCTGACCTCACATGACCCAAAATGCCAACTTCAACATTTTGAAATGAATTAAAATCGACAAAAGACTTTTGGAAAAAGTACTCAATTTTCGCCGAGTTCTCCGACTTCAAGAGCCCCTAGCTCCCAAGATACCCCATCCCCTCCATACTTTTCTAGAGCTCAAATAACAGCCAGAGCCTGGGCTAAAATCAGTATAGGTGGGAACCCCATAAAAGTCTTAGCCTTCAAAAATTCCCATTTCCGAAGTTGGCCAGATTTTGGGACTTCAGAGCTGGGGTTGGTAAAAAATGGTGGAAATGGTGGGTGGGTGGATGGTGGGTGAATGGTGGTGGGCAACCCACCCACCACCTCAAGTCTCAAAAATCTGAAATGGTAGGAAGTGGTGGGAAAGATTTTTCGGCCAAACTTTTTGGAGATCAGTTCTCTATCTAAAATGACTTACCTCTACTTCGTTTTCCTTCTGTTGGTTCAAAATGACCGAAGAATCGGTGTAATCAACTCTTATTCTATAAATTTTGGGGTCAAAAACGCTTACGAAAAAATCCACCACCCACCCACCATTCACCCACCACCACCAGTGAAAATTTGATTTTCTTGTCAACCCAACCACCTCCACCAACGGTTGGTGACCAACCATCGCTTGGTGGCTTGCCGAAACCAGCTTCGAAGTACCTAAATGCCCTCAGATCACCCCCACCTATCAGTAGCCAAATGATCCCCAGCTTCTAGGTGTTCTAAAACTGTATTAAACCCTACTAAGCTAGAAAAAGAGCTCAATTATAAGTGATTCCCCCTATTTATACCGCTTTGAAAGAGAAAAAGTAAGATTCGGCCAAATATTGGCGAAAGAGAACTCTTGGCGAAAGCGAGAATTTGGCGAAATTTTGGCGAAAGCAAACTTCTGGCGAAAGCGAGGCCTTGGCGAAAGCGAAATTTTGGCGAAGATTTGCCAGAAGCGAAAATTTGGCGAAAGCGAGGCCTCGGCGAAAGCGAATTTTGGCGAAAATCGGGGACAAAAAGCGAAAGCGAAGCGAACATCAGAAGTGTCATTTTCGGGGGCGAAAGCGAAATTTTCGATTCGCTTTCGCTTCGCTTTCGCTTTCGGCGAAAATCGCCAAGCGAATTTATATGCCTGTATAGAAGTGCCTAACTGAGTAAACAGTAAGTCTATTGAACGTGAGTTAGCCACATAAGTTAATCTCGGCCTAAAATAACAACTCACTCGAGGTTTTCACGTCCACCGCAAAATAGTATCACCACTAGCCAAAATATCACCTCAGCGCACATTTAGTAGCTCGTCCTCATTTTTAAAAGGAAAAATTCTCAGAAAAAAATCTCAAAAAACCAAAAAAATTTTAATCAAAATTTTTAAAAATTTCCAGCTTTTTTGGAGATTTTTGTCAATTTTGATCAAAAATATAAAAAAAGAGGAAAAAAGATGGAAAGCGAAAATTTGATTTTCGTAAAAAGGTAAAGGTGTTTTTGAACAAGAGCTGGGTACAGAGGGAAGCCACCAAATGGGCGGAAAATTAACTCTCCTATGGTGGGTAATGCTAAGAAGGGATTAATTTTTGATTCGCAACGACAAAACCATGCATAGATTTTTGGCTCTTCAGTTACTATTCTTTCGTTTTTTCCTTCCTCTCTTTTTGGTTTCTATTTCTACATTACTGTTACTGTCATTTGAGTAACAGTTAGTTTTACAGAAGAGGGACTGTAATAGAAAAGGAGAGATTTTAAATTACGAAGCGAAAATTCTCAACTACCCACTCAAGGTACTAAAGTCTATTTAAACTAGCCTGTGTAGAAAACCTGAGTCAGGGACCCTGACTCAGGGTGTGAAATAGATTTCGCAGTCTCATTTTTAAATTCTAGCGCTAAAATGCTTTGCGGCTTCATTCTTAAAATAGCCGCTAGTCGGCTTTTCATTAGAGTCTTTCTAACCCTGACTCAGGTTTTCAGGAACCTTCGCCTTGGAGAATAATTGATAAAAGCTCATGTAAAACGCGCGAAAATAAGTATTTCATTTTTTCTTTCAAAATCGCAAAATCCAAAATTGATTTAAAAATCGGATTGCCGGCAAAGTGGGCAAAACCACCGGGATGTGGCATATTGTGATCAGTTGTTTATCCTCACTAAGCCACAAACGTTGTGTGTGTGTCAAATTGATCAGCGCGGCGCTCGAGGAGCGCACTACTATCTTCCCTTTCTCGCGCTCGCTCTCTTCTTTCTGTCGAGGCCACTTGACAAATTTTCAAAAATCTCGACCTTTAGCGAGATTCACTATCGCCAACACTGAAGACTACTACTCATGTCTAGGGTTCTTTTTTGAGAGAAACAGAAGCAGAAGTTGAATTTCGACTGAATTTTCAAGGGTAATGATTTTTTACTTATAAACTGGGTTCGGCAGCCTGTTTGGAAAATCTGAGTCAGGGTTTAAGAGAGCATGAATGAAAAGCCGCGTAGCGGCTTTTAAAACGAAGCCGCGAAGCGGCTACCCGAAGAAAACCATTCAAATCTTTTAAAAATCTGTTTAAAAACTGACTGGAAAACCTGAGTCAGGGAATTTTGATCTTTAAATTTGATAGTCAGCCTGACTCAGGTTTCCTACGCAGGCTACTGAGCGCAGATCTACTGGAAATAGTCAAGAAACCCAGCTGGCTGCTTTTTCGACAAGACAATTTGCGCGAAGCTGTTTTTATGTTTAACATTTTTCCGGACTAAAATAATTTTCGTGAGAACAAATCAGTTTGGCCTTTGCCTTTCCTCAATTTAAGAATATTTAAAATTTTTTGATATTCCTGAAGATGAGACCGGAAATTCAAAATTTGATGATAAGATACAGAAATCTCAAATTGAAGAGAGAGAGAAAGAATACGGTACTTTTTGAATTAAATTAATTTCGAAAAAAGTGAAAAAAACCTGAGTCAGGATTTGAAAAACTAGAGAATAAACCACAAATCTTCGTAAATTAAATCCTGACTCAGGATTTTTACACAGGTTTTGAGCTCAGCTACCTTGTAGATAAGAGTTTCAACTTTCTTTTGATGAATTAAAATAAGGGTATCCCCATGTTATTCAGCATCAATCCAGGAAAAAGTATAATTAATGCAAATTGATTCGGAACAAGCCCCAATCTAAGTCTAATTTGCGCTAAACTTTGCTTGAAAAGCAAATCATTCAAAAAATCTTAGATTTCGAAGAATGAGCTGACAATCAGAAAAATGAAGGAGAAGGTTTTGCTCCTGCTGCTCGCGCTCATCGTCCTCGTCATCGTCACTCTGAGAATCGACAGAAACGTCGTCGATATTAAACGTAAGTATTTACCGAAAAAAGATGCCGCTTTTTCATTTTTTATTATTTTTCATCCTTTTTTTGTGGAATAATGTGGGTACTTTTACAAATATTTAATATTATCGGGTTCTTTCCTCGTTAATTATTCATTGCGATTCAAGTGGTTTTCTGTCAATCTGCTAATACTGTCAAGAATCAAGTACTTGGGGCCAAAGGACTCGGCAATCAGTGTACAAAACCTGAGTAAGGGTTCTTTAACCAAATAGATAAAAAAGCTGACAAGCGGCTTCGAAAACATTAGGGACGCACTGACTATGCCTCCTAATGTCTCACAATGTCGTCAAATGTCGCGAAATGTCGACGAATGTCGACATTTGTTCTGATCAGTCAGCGACATTTGGCGACATTGAGAGACATTCGGCGACATTAGGCCACATAGTCAGTGCCAGCTAATAATCTCAATCAGGACCCTGACTCAGGCTTTTTACACAGGTTGCCAAGTCCAAATTAACTATCTCTTTTTTGAGGGTCAAGGGCGGATGGTAAATTGAGTATTGGGGTATTTTTGGCAGCTGCTTTGGGACGAATTTCGCAGCCACGAGGGACTCGTTTCGGGAGAGAGATAAAAATTGATTTAGACTACATTGTGCACGACTACTCAATTGAGGGTGATTTCTCGAGTGGCCCTTCCTCTTTCTTGGAGCCCGAAAATCAGCATCCACGAGGAGGAGGAACTCTTCTCAAAAAGAGGAGCCGAGGAAGGAAGTGCTGGAAGAATTTGAACAGGAACGGATTACAATCCTCTTCCTCGTCGCCAAGAAAGGTCTCTAAGACGGTTTAAATAACAACAAGACTCTTGGTAATCCGCGGAGAAGGTCAAAAGCGAAAATGCTCAAAAGCAGCGCTCAAAAGGTCCTGTCAAAGTGCTGCTGATTACGGCGCACCGCTCAGGTACGCGTTAAAATCAAAATTACCGTCGCTGATTAGAGGAGAAGAAGCTGCGCGACAATTAATTAATGCAATCAGGGGCTAATTGACTTTTTCGCGCACAATGAAAAATGGAGCGCCTTTTTCTCAGTTCAAAGTTCTGAGCGATTTATTATTATTGCCAGCCTGAAATTCGACTTTCCCTTTTTCACGCCTTTAATTAACTCAAATGACCTTGAACCGGAACTTCCAACCGGAAATTAGGTGTAATAAAGAGACTAAATGGGCCCCGGAAGTGAAATTTTTGGAGAAATTCCGAAAATCACAGTTCAAAATCGAGAAGTCGCGACTTTTGCGGCTTCGAGTAAAAGCTTGAGCCGCGCGGAGCGCGGCTTTTCTTCCGTTCTACTCGAAGCCGCAAAAAGTAGCGGCTTCTCGATTTTGAACTGTGATTTTCGGAATTTCTCCAAAAATTAATTATTTCTAACTTATTTTATCGACGAATCTAGGTCTAAAGGTGCTAAAGGCCAAATCTGAAATGAGAAATTTCAAATTTGTCTTTTTCTTTTTGTTTCTTGAGTTTAGTCTTAGTCTCCTCCTCTAATAACCCGCGAAATCAATCTGAGCATAGAAAAATTGCGGCGAGAAGTAGTAGCGTCTAATTCTCTTAATTAGGAAGCACATTCTTGGGCGAGCTGTTCAACCAAAACCCGGAGACTTTCTACCTCTTCGAGCCGCTAGCCGGAATTCAAGGAGAACACTCGACTCTCGGCTGCGCGAAGAATCCGACAAAGAAGCTCTCGCTGCTCAATCGCTACTTCGACTGCGACACGCCGAGTTTCTACCAAAGCGTGCCCGTCCTCGATCAGCAGACGAAGAAACTCAAGTTGGACAAGAACCGAATCATTCACGGCGGCAAAGTCAAGTCGCGCACTGACGACTTGCCGCGCGACGCCATCGAGATGGAAATGCCAGAGCACGGCCGTTGCGCCAGGACGAATCTCTGCTTCAGGGAAAACCACAACTGGAGCTGCGACTCTGGAATCTGCAAAGTTCCGCAGGAAAAACAAACCATCGACAGGTACTACCATATGAAAAATTTATATTCAATAAGGGTCTCTCTATCATAATTATAAAAATTTCAAACTGACTATTTTTTGCTGAAAATCAAGAAGCCGCTTGCGGCTTCGAGTATAAAAAAAACTATAGCCGCGCTTCGCGCGGCTTTTTACTTTTTCCACTGGTAGCCGCAAGCGGCTTCTCGATTTTCAGCAAAAATAGTCAGTTTGAAATTTTTATAATTATGATAGAGAGACCCTTATTGAATTTAACCACAGAACGGAGAATAACATTTATGCTCAGATTATCGGGCAAAAAGACGGGCGCTGCAGTTGCACCCCGCTGGATCCCTCGCTAATGAACCAAATGTGCCACAGCAAGAAGATCATCGCGCAGAAAGGTGAGTGGCGTAAGCCTTGTCTTCCGCAACCTTCTTGTCCCTTTGTTGATCGATTTCAACTGCTGCTTAGTGATCCGATTGTGCGACATCGATCACATCGCGCAACTGGCGCACGATCAGCCCGAGCTCAAGGTCGTCCTCTTCTTCCGCGACCCGCGGGGCATCTACGGCTCCAGGCGCAAACTCGTCGGCCCGCGCGTTCTCAAACCTTCCGTGAGTCCAAAAGCCGCAAATTATTTGATGAAAATCGAGAAGCCGCTTGCGGCTTCGAGTAAAAACAGCTTGAGCCGCGCGTAGCGCGGCTTTTACATCTTTTGTTCGAAGCCGCAAGCGGCTTCTCGATTCCTACATCAAAACTGCATTAATAATCCATTTGATAAAAAATTTCAGATCAACATGACCTGCACATATTACGAAAAAGCGCTGGATTTTGCTTCCTCCAAACCCGCCAACTTCGTCGCCATTCGCTACGAAGACATGTCCTGGCGCCGCTGGAAACCGCCCGAAAGATTTACGAGTTCATCGGGGAGCCCCTCCCGGAAGCGCTGGAAAAGTGGATCAAGGTTCCGTCCTCCCACGACGAGCAAAAGTCCAAGTCGGCGAAGAATCCGTACTCGACGGAGCGCAACTCGACGTACACTGCCACCAAGTGGAGATTCGAAAACAGCTTTTCAGCCGTCGACTATGTACAGGTCCGTCCTCCCCTTCCTTACCCTAATCCTATCTTCCTCCCTCTAGAAAACCTGCCAGTCAATGATGCAAAAGCGGGCTACAACTTCGTCCGCCACGAATCCCAACTGACGGACGGGTCCTTTTCCGTCTTCGATCGCTTCCCCATCAGCTGATTTATTTTTCAAAAAAGACAATCTTCCAAAAAGACCCTTTTCTTCTATTTATTGAACTTACGAGCTGTTCTTCCTCCAAAGAGTGGTGCTTATCTCTTTCTGCAATTTCACTTCACTTCAATTTTCTGTCAGCTTTTTCTTTACTGTAATCTTTTGTAATTATTATTATTATTTCAAATATTTTCTTCTAGCCAATAAATTATATAACTATCAAAATTATTCAATATTTTTATCAATAATTGGCTTGAAATCAAGGAAGAGTGCGGGAAACACCCAAAAGTCGAGAGCGCATTTTTGGCGTCTCTAGAATTGTTGTCGATGTTAGGCCTTTTTGCCAAGAACGGTCAGTCTTCGGATTTTCCGAGTCCGGCGCACATCAAAAATAGGTAAGAATCGCTGCTGAGTGGATTTTTTGACAAGTTTTTTAAGAAGAAGAGTATGTCCAAAAAATGTCTGAAAAGCCTGAAAAGCTCCGGAAAAGGACGTACTCTTCGCAATTCTCGACGAACCTCGCCAACAACGAGGACAACACGCCAGATCCTTGGCGATTCGAGTCACTGGAGGAATACTCCTACAAGTTCAAGGCCTAGTGTCAAACACTAAGGACACAAGAAAAATGATGGAAATAAAAACCAGTCTCTTACAAAAACAACTCTAGAATCGAATAAAATGTCAAATACTCCGAAAATACCCAAAATGTCTTGTCTCTTTTTCTCCTCAAATGCGGTCCAAAAGTGTAGTCAGGATGTTGGAAGTAGAATTGGTAGTCTTTAGTGCGGTCCTGCACCGGCAAGGATCACCGGTAGTAGTGGCTCTTTTCCTAGAAGTATTCTATGATTTTCCTGCAATAAATGACAAACACGCAAATCCCGATTTTATCCCTTTTCGAACAAAATCTTACGGAGAAGTTGAAATAATAAAGTTTATTTGAATGTTTTTGGAATTCCCTTTTCGGAAAAAATCTAGTTGAGGCTGCCTTTTGCAGGCTTTGTGACGCTGAACTCGTACCCTTTTGGTTTTCCTCCTTGATTTCACTTGTCTTCAGCGGGGTATTTTGTGCTACAAAAATTGATAAAATTTGACTAAAATTGAGTTATTTACCTGGAAATGGGCATTTTGTGGACCCGGAATTTCCGAATTCCGGAATGAATTGAAATGCTCAAAACGGACAATCAATAAGAGATGTTCTAGAGACGCCTGACCTTGACTCAGTTTCTCTGCACAGGTGGGCCCTCTACACATGCTAGGAAAAGAGAAATTCGCGAGAAAGTCGCTTCTCTTGATTCTAAATCGACCATGAAACCCATGAATCATGGGCCATGATGATGGTCTTTTTACTCTGTGATCATTCAGGCATTTTACTGGACTTTTGATTTCAAGTTTGAGCAAGAAGGTTTTATTTTATCTTGTCAGGATTCGGCATGACTCAGGAATAAAGAAATAGGGCTAAATGGAATTTCTGCGCTTTAGATTTTTTCCTTCATTGCTGTTCTCCATAATCTCGTTCAAGAAGTTGGGAGGAAAGTATGTCCTCAACGGTGGATTCGGATTGTCGTCGACAGGTGACTCTGCTCGAACAGAGCCAGTCGGCGAATTTTCTCGGGTTCTCTGGCCTGGAAGTAGCTCAGGCGGAGTATTAGCCGTCAAAATTGACTCTGAATATATTCGTCCAGTTCTATTCAGTTCCATTTGGACATCCATTTCATTGTCAGGACTCTCCCGTCCGGCATTCTGCTCCCGACGAAACTTTATCTTATAGCCCCATCTGAACAAAAAGGATGAGGAAGGTATATTCAGACAAAAGGCTTTAGATCTTAGAAATATATACATACTTGTGCAGATATTTCTGCTCGAGCTGGATTCTATCCGCTTGAACATTCTCACCATCACGAATATGCGCTTTCGGAATAGGATCTGAATTTCCATTTTCATTCACACAGAACCAGTTGTAGGGTTCCGCACGATTGGACCAAAATTTTTATTTTTAATAAAATTTGGAGATTCCACCAAAATAATGCCTAGAAATTCATTCCTGGCCACTGTTTTCCCAGAAAATCCCTCCTTCAGCCCTTTTAGGGCTTCAAATTATATTTTGCCAAAGAGGCCTGCTGCGCGCTGATTGGCTGGCGCTCTTCGCGGGAATATGAATCGAGTAATGCGCTGCGCTCTCGCACTGGAGTTGGCAGAGTGGTGAGCGCTTCTCTTCGCACAGAGGTGCTGGCGAGCTCGATTCCATCTCGAACCCACTTTTTCTTCCAGCCCCGTTCCTTGATTTTTAGATTTAAGGGCTTGACGGCCCTTCGGGCCGTTTCAGCCCCGTTCCTTGATTTTTAGATTTAAGGGGCTTGACGGCCCTTCGGGCCGTTTCAGCCCCGTTCCTTGATTTTTAGATTTAAGGGGCTTGACGGCCCTTCGGGCCGTTTCAGCCCCGTTCCTTGATTTTTAGATTTAAGGGGCTTGACGGCCCTTCGGGCCGTTTCAGCCCCGTTCCTTGATTTTTAGATTTAAGGGGCTTGACGGCCCTTCGGGCCGTTTCAGCCCCGTTCCTTGATTTTTAGATTTAAGGGGCTTTTCATATAGATATTTCTTTCAGCAATTATGGCTTTCCATATAACAAGGGGTTAATTTTTTTTATAAAGAAAGAACTTCTTTTCAGTGAAAAATTTTCACCAACAACGACAAAGTCGCGGAAGCTTAGAATTATCTTCCTTCAAAATTGATTTTTGAGAATGTCTTCCTCTTCAGCCAATCAGAGCGCGCCTAGCTTTCTCACGGCGATTCATAACAAACTGCTAGAATTAAAACTACCAGCACAAGAAAACGGTGAATTTTTAGAGAAACTTTCAAAAAGAAAAATGATTTATTATTTTATCGCTATCATAATTTGGCAACGCGAAGTTTGTGCTGCCACTAGAAGTATGAAAAACCGAGAGAAATCGGCGATTCCGATGGTGAATCGGAATATTTATTTCATCATTTTTTTCGCCGTATTCGAAAACCTAAATTTTATAAAAAGTCAATTCTTAATACAATAAGGATTTGGAGTTTGAAAAATAAGGTCCTCCAATCGTGCGGAACCCTAACCAGTTGGCAGTGTCTGCGACGATGAAGTGTTCATTGTCCTCGTCATAGCGGTCGATGGCGATGGCATGATAGACTTTTTCTAACTGTTGTCGCTCATTCCGATGCCAAGCGAACACAACTGCGAGAGCTGGAAGGTTTTCATTGGAGCAGTCGTTGAGATCCACTTGAAGGAGATTGTTAGATTCGGGCTCAGGAAGGGCTAACTTTTACCTTTGTCGTAATCCATGGTGATTTTCGGAAGATTAGTTTTCGAGTAAAATTGATGAAAAATGATGTCCCATCCAGAGTTTCGAAGATAACTTGGCTGCGTCATTACTTTTAGCAGTTCTTCTGGATCGAAGCTTTGCTCATTTCGACGCTCTTCCTCGCGATCGTGGTTTCTGTCGAAGCCAGCTGGACTTGTTGGGATGATGATCATGATGATGGTGAAGAATAAAAACTTGAACGTCAGCGTCTTCAGAACAGTGAATTCGTTTTCTTCCTTGAAGCGTTTTTTGAGCTCTGTTTCTATCAGACTAGAGACAGCTTAACTGGGCTCGGCTATTTGTCGAACAAGGCAACCTGAGTCAAGGTCAGGATTAATGCGGCTTTAAATTTGAGATACTTTTGACCCTGACTCAGGTTTTCCACAGAGGTTGCCGAGCCTAGAAAACGAGAATTCCACCCTCTATTTTAGAGCCAGTAAATCGCCGAGCCCAAGCTAAAAACGCGCAGGCAAATGTCTTTCCTTGTTTGCAAACTCGCGCTGGTAAGTTGTATAAATCGACCTGAGTTCTTGAGTAAGAAAGAGTGCCCAGCAAAGTCATCATATCGATTGATTGCGAATATCTATTCCGGTTGTTGATCAACTCTGTAACGAGAAATTCGCTTATGTTAACTCCTTGAATTCGGTTTACGTCCATGATCCCCGTCAATCGCCTCGTAATTTCAACAGTTGGGTAGGCTGTAAAGCTGCGAATTTGCTTGATAAAGCAGTCAGAGTTGTCAATGATTGCATTGACACTTTTGGCCATTTCATCTATTCTTGCTTTTAGCGCTTTGCCTCGATCATCCTCTCCGATGGGTTTGAAAAGCAGGTAGAAGGCAGAGTGGTAATCGGAGAAAATCAAAGTGGAAAGAGTCGTCAGTGGACCAAGGCAATTCTCGAAGCCGTGAATTTGCTCGCCATGGCAGAAGCCTGGAGTTCCCGCCTCTGAAAACGGCGATTTTCAAGCTGTTTATTCTTTGAAACTTACGGAGTGCTTTTGCGTCCTGAAATCGGCTACCTCGCCGAACATATCCCATTCTCCTGTAGCCTTCCTTGTCTGGGCTCGGCAATCTGTGTGGAAAACCTGAATCAGGCTCTAAAGAGCTAAAGTGAAAAGCCGCATAGGTTGCCGAGCCCAGTTCCTTGTTGGAAACGTCGACAGCGAGGCCGAAGTCGATGATTCTGACGCTAAAGGATCCATCGCCCAAGTTGAAGATCAAAATGTTTTCCGGCTTGAGGTCGTAGTAAGTCAAGCCGATACTTCCAAGATACTCGTAGCCAGAAACAATGCCCTCGTAAATCTTTTTCTAGCTTCAATAGAAAGAGCGTCGTTGCTTCTCATTTTTCACGCAAAGTCGCATTTCCATAGTCCATAATGGTGATCCAGCCGATCGGGTCTTCAAGGCCGTGATCCTGTCCGTGAAAAATCTCAACATTGAAAAGGTGTTCGATTACATTCGTGTGTCGAGGCATTTCTTGGAATTGGACGAGCTGGCCGAGGCGCTCTTTTTGGCAGTTTTGAATTCTGAAAAAATGATTTGTTGAGTACTTCTTTTCCTGGGCTGAGCCCATTTTTTCGAGGCAATTTGCTTACTTTGAGCAGCGTTGATTCGTATTTTTGTGCTTTCCATGGGCAGTTGTTTTGTAAAGAGCCAAGGATCGAATATTTGAATGCGAATTGCGACCTTGTGCATATTTTCTTCACTATCTTTGATCTTGGAGAAGAAGACCATAGCTTCTCCGCCGTATTTTGGCTCGTGAAGATCATGTTGGCGGGAATGAGCTTCGAAAAAACGCCTAGTTCGGTCGGACCAAGAATAGTCTTCCTTTTTGATTTCATTTCTCTTCAAGTAGACATCGTTCAAGTAGGGATATCTCGAGCGCAGAAGAATGTACTGGTAGTCTGTTATTTTCCACTTTTCTAAGAGTTCATAACTCCTCTCGCCACTTGCTCCTTCTTTGCTTTTATAAATCCGTCCAAATTCATAGTTGAAACTGCAAAAATCCCAAAGAGCTGCGTTTTCTTTATTTTTGAACGTAATTCTCTCGACAGAAAGAATCAGTCGGCATTGTACATCTCTGCCTTGACCTTCAACTTCAATTCTACCTCTCTTTTCGCGCTCTACATTTTGAATTATTCCATCTGGTTCGTCAAACTCTCTCCCTCGCCCGAACAAAGAATTGCGGACATTTTGGGACTTGAGCATATTTTTTAAACTCGTTTCAGCTCATTTTATGAAGCTCCGTTATTTACCCATTTTTCTTCTCTCACTCACTCAACAAAGAAAGCTTTGGCTGAATCATTTTCCTAATAAACGGTTTCCCTTTATTTTCCTTTTACATTTTTTTTTATTGACCGGCTCGTCGTAAAAATGCTTGTAAAACTTGCCCTTCGCCTTTGTTTGTTTGTTTGAAATCAAGAAGGAGAAGCTTTGACCGTCGCTGCGGTCGGCAGTGGCAACTTCCAAAATGTCAAAATGGCTAAAGATGCAGCGATTCTAGCGCGATTCTACTTATTTTTTAAAAAATCATGATTTTGAAAATACTGATTTTCGTTCAATTGGCGCAGACTCTTGAGCAGTTGCCTTTTAAAAACGCAACATCGACGGCAAAACCAAGAGAAACTCCATCGCTACCTGCGGACTGGAGGGCTGAAAGCAGAGTCAACATCTCCGTGGCTCAGCCGCCAAGAAAACGAGTCAAAACTTTGGATAGACAAGCCGCATTGATCAAGAGATACAGGTAAATTCGTGCAAAGTTACTTTTCCAACCTTATTTTTAAAATTAGGCAAAATCAAAAACTGAGAAACTCAACTTTCATTTCCGAAGAGCAAGAAGATTTTTTACAAGCAGAAAATTCTTCAGTCAAGATTTTATTTCATGCGTTTTTTCTTGCTTTCCTGCTTTTTTTGTAGAACAAAAAGTTCCGAGCCTAGAAATAAAGTCTCATCCATTTTCGTTGTTTTTTTTATTGTTTTCTCGAAGTGCTTGATTTTCATTTTGGGCACAAAGTAAGTATTTTTTAATTAATGATTTGTGGAAAAAAAATGGTAACGAGGACTGTAACTGTTTTTGTAACACTCGATTAACAGATCAAAAGAATTAGGTAGGAGTACAGAAAGGTCGTAGTCTCTTTTTAAAATTTTCTAGGGTCGACTTTTTCTTTCGAGTCTTTTTTTAGACTTTCTCGCTGCCAGTTGGGATGGTCAGTCGTTTTCCGGAAAGGACTAGGTTTGGGTTAGATGTTGGAGGAGGGATTGGTCTGAAAGTACCTTTGGTGATGTACAAGTAGAAGAAGTCCAGGTAGAGAACGGTTTGAATGCAGCCGGCGACGACGACGATCTTGTCAAAATACGCCTCGTTGTGGTATCGGTAGAGCCAGTTGCCGAGGTAAAGGAATCTGAAAATCGGATCAAAAGTTGAATCTTTGGGACGGCAACCTGTGTGGAAAACCTGAGTCAGGTTTTTATTGAAGATTTTTTCAGGACCCTGACTCAGGTTTTCACATACAGTAAATACCGCTGGTCTGGGACGGTCCTAATTCACGAAAGCGTCCCAAACCAGCAGGATTTTCGCTTTCGACTCTCGGGCGCCACTTTCGCTTTCGGGGTAAAGCGGTCAGTTTGAAAACACTCGCCGTGGGCGCTTGCCTTTGATCCTTATTTCCAGGATTTTTGAGCGTCCCAAACCAGCGGTATTTACTGTAGGTTGTTGAACACAGGGCTCAGTAAATGAAAACTGCCCGAACATCGTAGAAAGAAGATTTACCTGTAAATTCCGAGGAAGAAGAGGTAGTGACTAGTGATGACTTCCGCCTCGCCGGTGTCGGCGATCATCTGGAGCTGGGGAATGATGGCGACGGACTCGAGATAGATCGAAAAGGTCCAAAGCACTTCCATCGCCGAGAACTCGTGGTGGATCAAAAAGGCGAGGCCGAGGGCAGGAACGATGATGAAGATCATTCGGAATCTAATTTCAAAATGAGCGAGACGAGTCAAAGTCTCGAAGGCTTACTTGTCGTCCTCGCGGTTGTGGGTCGAAGCGAACTTGCCGTAGATGAAGTAGACGGTGGCGACGGAGAGGAGAATGTAGATCACTTTCATGCAGGTGTTGTAGATGGAGATGTAGCTGGTGAAAAGGTCCAAGTAGCGAGACAAAAAGACGACGAGGAAGAGAAGCTGGAAAATTATTGAGAAATGAGCTCTTGCTTTTGCGATTCTGACTTATTTTCGCTGGAATTCCGACTGTTACTGTAGTAAAATTACTGCTGAAAATCGAGCAGAATGATGAAATTGAGCAGTAATTTTACGCTAGTATCAATTGGAATACCCGTGAAATAAAGGAAGAGAACCACACTTGTGATTAAGGCTACTGTACTAGGCATGACGCTACTGACAGTAGCCTACTGTACCTGTGATTTGCCGGAAAGACCGCGAACTGACTTCGTCGTCCAAATCTTGGAGATGAGAAGGATCATGGCGAAGAGGTGGCTCATGTCACCTGCGAGCCGGAAGACGTTCATTTTCTAGCGCTTTTTTCTTTTCTCTCCCAATCTGAAAATGCGGAAAAGCTGAAAAACAGGGTCGAGTGAGTTTGAGTTTGAGTTGTGAAAATATAATAAAGGAGGTTGTCAAGTGGCGAAATGGCTCTTCACACCAGGACACCGAAAATCCCCCGCCAATTTTAAAGTAGACTGAAAAATTGACTCTCGGGAAAAAAAAAGAAGAAGACTCGTAAAGAAACGATTTCGTTCCCTGACGGATTAGACTATAATTGCTCTTTGCGAGCAATTACTGCCCACTGGGCTCGGCGACCTGTGTAAAAAACCTGACTCAGGGTCTGAAAGATCTTCAAGGAAAAACCGGGGCTTTTCATTTTAGCTCTTCAGAACCTGACTCAGGTTTTCTACACAGGTTGCCGAGCCCAGTTGATCACCTTGCACGTGATCAAAAATATATACTGGCTGTTACTGTAATTAATAAATTTGACACTTCGTTTTACGTTTTTTCTCTTCCTTTTTTCGAGTTACCATTTTTAACGGGCAAAAGGGAGAAAATCGAGCGGCGCGTTTTTTTACGATTTGTTTGTTTGGCTAATACTGGGAAAGAGCGCTTTTGCCGCTCAACCTCTCAAATATCACTCAGGTCCTTTTTTCTTTGTCTGAAGGAAATCTGCTTAGAAAATAAATAATTTGTTAAAAATATTTTTTTCGATTGCAATTTTGAGTCCATTTATTTAAACTTGAAAAGCATGTTTTGGTTTTTTTTTAATAAATTTTGATAAAGAATGTATTAAAAATAATTATTTAAAAAAAGAACTTTGATCATGAAATTTTAAATGGCACTCAAATGTTCATTTCTTTCAATTAAATTTCTTTTTAATTTGTGGGTTTCTTTCTTTTTTTAACTTCTCTTTTTTTGTAAAAAACGGGGATGGAAGTTGCGAAGCGGCGGCTAAGGCCACGCCGCCTTACCTAGAGGCGATGTCAAATGAATGGGAGCTCTCTGAAGGTCGACTCTTTTGTCCATTTTCTGAATTGATTCTTCCAGCAAGTTAATATTTAGCTTTACAAGCTGGGACGCTCCCATAATTATTATTACTATTTTCATTTTAAAAAGCTGCCTGGGCTCGGCAACCTGTTGGAAATCAGTTCCTGAGTCAGGTTCGACCCCTTAATATTCTGAAGCCGCTCATTTTCGCGGTTTCGTTTTTAGTTAGATAAAATTTTCCGATTTTATTAACAGAAAGAAAAATGAGCGCCAGTTGGAAGAAGCGACAATTCTGTCTCGATCAAGCTCTGGTTCTGAAGCCCGCTGAAGCTCTGCCAGTTGACACCGTCCGGCGGATAGATGCCGTTTTCGCTCGAGTTCCACATCGGCGCGTTGAGATTTGCAGCTGAGCAGCGATTGAACCACCAGCCAGATTTTTCGATTTCTGAATTTCAAATGTACGGAAACCTGTGCAGAAATCCTGAGTCAGGGTATGAAAAATCTTTAAATTTTAATTAATAATATTTCAGACCCTGACTCAGGTTTCTGCACAGGTTCCTGAGTAATTACCTGCGCAGTTGCCGGAGAAATAGTCGTTGTCGCTGTCCCAGGCCGAAAAGAACATGCCGTCGTGGTTGGTTTTTGCGATGTTTCGAGCGTTATAATTTGAACTGTAAGAATCTCCCTGAACAAGAACTAAATAAATTCAACTGTTCTCATTTCCCAGATGATCGTACCCGCAAAGAGTCCGGAGCAGAGCCACATTCAACTTTGGATCTTCCAAGTCTTAGTCGGAACAAGTCGTTTTCGTCGGATATAAAAAGGCTTTCCAGCTGGAAAAATGTAAAATATGGGGTCCCCATTTTATGGGGCCCGAAATTGGGCTCTATTTTCAATCTGGAAAGCCTCAATATATAAGTTTCTTTATACGAGAGCGCGGCAACTTCGCCATTTTCTCTCTTGAGTTTCACGCCGAGTTGTTTCACGCCGCCTTCCGTCAATTTGTTCAAAAAGGTGTTTCCGATCCAGAACTCGCCTTTTTCGCACTTTTCAAAATCGAAGCCAGCGCCGAAGCCATTTGCGTATTCTGTCAATTCGCGCGAGTCGCCCAATAATTACCATTTTTTAATTCAGAATAAAACTTAATTGGAAAAACTTTGACGACTCTTTCCCATGTCCGATCAAAGCTCATTCCCCCTCCACTGAAACGGTTCTTCAAAATGAATGATTTCTTGCAATTTCGAATTTTCGGTGAATTAAAATACCTGAATTACCAATCTTTATCAAGTCATTATTGAAGTAAGAGGGTCCTTAAGGGTGTCAACAACGATCGAATAAGGGTCTCTTTTATGATTCGACCAATTAATATCTTTTTATTTAGCTCATAAGGACTCCAAATCTTTTTTCAAAACTTGTCTGAAAATCGGTTGACACCCTTAATGAATTAAAATCTAAATGACTCTTTTTCCTGCCGTCGGAATGGCAAAAAGCAAGCTTTGTCGGAAGTTTTTCGTCAATTTTTAACAGAATTGGCGAGCCCTCCTTTGGCTTGGCTCGGCAACCTGTGTAGAAAACCTGAGTCAGGGTCTGACGGATCATTTTTGATCTTTCCGTCCCTGACTCAGGTTTTCTACACAGTTTGCCGAGCCGGGTCCTTTGGAATCTTCTCATTCTGCGCCAATTCGTCGCAAGACTTCATCGCTCTCGCCGGAATCTTGCAAATTCGTCTTGAAGGTCCAGAACATGGAGCGCTCTCTTCGCACTCCTTTTCACTCCTTTCAGCTCTTCCTTTCGCGCCGCGAATTTCCCTCACGTCTTTCCGCACTTTTTCTTTGATTGTCAGCAATTTTTCAAAAACAGAAGCCACATTTTTCAAGTCCAATTTCATCTGCTCGTGATGTTGCTCCAAATTCTCAAAATTACTTTTTTCCAAATTTTCAATTTTCTCAGTCGCATTTGACAGCTGAAAGGACATTTCGTACAGCTCGTTTTGCAGCGTCAGTTTTAATGATCGTTCTTCAACTTTTGTTTTTAGCCCTTGCCACTCTATTATAAGGTTCTCAATGTCGAATATTACTACAGTCATAAAGCGAGAAGCAGCTTGCGGCTTCGAGTTAAAGACAACTTTAGCCGCGCAAAGCGCGGCTTTATTCATTTTTTTCAAGCGTCTTCGTCGATTTTATGACTGTAAAATACCTCCCAATACTACCCCCTTATTTTAGCTAGGTCACAGATCCGAGAAGCCGCTCGAAAAAAAAAGAAAAAAGCCGCGATTTGCGCGGCTAAAATTGACTTTGACTCGAAGCAGCAAGCGGCCCCTCGATTTTCCGACTATAAAATTAACCCTAGCTACCCCCTTATTTTGATTTCGAACCTTACTCTTCCATGATTCTCTCGGAAACATTTCTAGTACTATCCCAAAAAAGGTTGTTCCAGACCTGGCAGTTTGTAGGGCAGCAGGTTTCATAAGTAACTGGAAAAAGCATTCTTTAGGAATAATGTTCAATTTTCAATTTTCCGTTTTCCGATGACTGAGTTCCAAACCATGTCAATATTTAACATTGATTGGTAAATACAAACAACGGCGTTTTCCTGTTTTTAGTAGGATCATTTCCCTGCAATGGTAATTAAGGGATCAGGAGTACTAGAATCGAAGAATGGTTGTTTTGGTTGATTTTGACTGATTCTGGTTTGGCTGGGCCGGGCTGCCCCGCGGCGGCGACTGTGAACCTAACTCACGTTTCGTTCACGCAATTCCCGGCGTCGCACAATTTCCTCCCTTTTCGGCCCAAGTCGTATTCCGAGTCAACAAGCGCCCAAGGTCCGCCCCCTCCATGGGCACACCGCAGTAGAGAAGTCGACAGGAGCGCGTGTCCCAACCTGGAGTCCAACAACCTGAAGTCCGATCCGGCAAAAGAAGGCCTTATCAGCAAAAAGCCCAAAATGGGACGGATAAAACGACACAGAGTCGTTCCGCTCAGATATTCAAGTTATTGGTTCTCAAAAAAATATTTCAATTAAAATTTTATAATAAAAAATTTAATTTTAAAATGAAAAAACAAGATTTTTTCTTCAACTTTTTCATACTGTTTATTTTTTTTTTGTTTTTAATATAGTGACTCCCTTAATTTATGATCTAAGTCGGTCTATTTTTTAGATATACGAATTAGATTATAATTTTACAAAAGAAATAAGGGTGTCAATACCATAATTTTGGCTAAAAAGAAAGAATAATTTTGTGAATCGTAAAAAGCTCGCGCGATTGGAACGACGTGAAGCTCGTGGTGGTGATTCTGAGTCTGCTGATCGGCGCCAACCTCTACTACTTCAAGCCCTACAATGGCTGGAACTTCACGAAGCGGCTGCAAGCGATGACGCCGCCAGTGTTCGGTGGTCGCTTCCACGGCCTCGACAAGCCAAAAGTGCCTCTTAGCGCGCCTTCCATCCCTGCCAAGCCCGTCGTGGAGATTCCACAGCCGCCAGACATTCCGAAAGTCGCCCCGATCATGCAAGGCGAGTAACATTTGAAATGTTGATCGATGATGATTAAACAGCCTCTTTCTGAGTCAGGGTCCTGAAAAAGTCGGGGATTAAAAAGAGAGTTCAGAAGCTGCGCCCGTCGCGCCAGAACCAGCAGCAGCTGTGGAGCCACAAGAGCCGCCAGCTGAGCCTGAGAAGCCGACAGAAAGCGCTGCACCCGTGGCTCCCAACGGGCAGCGACAATACGTAGCGGTGGAAGATCCAAACAAGCCGCAGTTTGACTTCAAAGTCGAAACGGCCGAGACGCTCTTCAAAGAAAAGGAACCGTTCCGAATTTTTCTTATAAAAAGGATTTTCATATTTTTGTAAAAAAAATTTCCTGAACGAAAAAAAGGACTGGAGCGAACCGCCTGTAAATCAACGCTTCATCTTCCACAACAAGATGCCGAAATGCGGTTCGACCATGTTCCAAAAGCTGCTGCACAAACTCTCCGTCGTCAACAAATTCACATTTATGGACGTCTACGAGCCTGGAACACGTGATCAGGTGAGAGGGGCAACTTGAACTTCGGGACTTTATGTTCTTTTGTTTAGGATCTTGTTCTTGTGAATAAAATTCGTGGCAATTTCAAGCCCCCAATGGCGATTATGAAGCATCACTTTTGGATGAACTTTACCAAGTGAGTTTTCATGAGTTTTCATGATCAGCTGAAAATCGAAAAGCCGCTTGCGGCTTCGAGTCGAACAGAAGAAAAAGCCACGCTAAGTGCGGTTAAATTTTTTATTGATCTCGAAGCCGCAAAAATGGCGGCTTCTCGATTTTCAGCTGATCATTTTTGCACTTTTTAGGTATCATTTAAAAACGCCGACTGTAATCAACATCGTTCGAAACCCGGTCGACTGGTTCGCCAGCGAGTACTACTTCTGGTTTGCTTTAGAAATTATTTGAAAAGAAGCTAAAATAGTTTATTAGTCGGAATGGCTGGGAAAGAAAGCCAGACTACAAGGGCAAGGAGTGCCAGGACATGTCGGAGCACGATTTGAAGATGACGCTGGAGGAGTGTGTTCGCGCGAAACGGCCTGAATGCAAAACACCAGATATCGAATACATCGAGGAACGGTGCTTAATGATTTTAAAGGCCGGGGTGGCCTTGATGAGCCTCAAAACTCGTGCAAATGTCCCCTTGTTGATCCTTCGGCCACGTAGCCTTTCTGGATGAACAAGGGTGCATTTGCAGAAGTTTAGAGAATCAACAAGGCACACCCTATTTTCTCGTTTATGCAAAGTATTAAAAAAATATCACCGCCGAAAGTTCATTTGCGGAAACCACGAGATATGCAAAGCTAACCAACAGAATTATCAAAAGAAGAGGTTAGCGCTGGAAATGGCGAAAATCCGCCTCCTCAAAGAATATTACATCGGTAACGATTCTTGTCGAAATCGTTTGATGCTGATTGTTGATGATTCTTTTTAGTTGGGACTTTGGAGAAAATTGAAGAAAGTTTGCGACTTCTGGAGCACACGCTGCCGCAGTTTTTTAGCGGCGTTTTGGGTGTCTTTAGAGAACAAGGTAAAAGTCGAAAGACATTGGGCTCAGCAACCTGTGTGGAAAACCTGAGTCAGGGTCTGAAGGATCTTTCGCGGCTTTCTTTCAGACCCTGACTCAGGTTTTCCACACAGGTTGCCGCGCTCAGGGAAAGCAACTTTCCCTTTCTTTCAATTCGTAAATCGAGATTTCAGACGTGCAAGAAGTCATCAACTCGACTCGAACGCTAGAAAAGCCGCAGCTGTCGCAACACTTGCGCCAGGAATTGGCGATGGATTCGCTGCGCTACGAAATGGAGCTGTTCGCGTTCATCCAGTCTGTCTTGTATAAAAAGTACACGTCGTTTGGCTTCCACCCCGAAGACTGGGATCCCAAGTTCCTGTTCTAGAGCGGCTCTGAGGAGAATTTACTGCCACTTTTACAGAACGAGAGTTCCGGCGAAGAACGACAGAAGACCAAACCTACAGAACGTCAAATTCAAGCAAGCAATATTGTATTTAATTTATATTCTAATAATTAATAGTAATCAATTAAAAGCATCAATCCAGCATCAACAATAAGCTGAAATTTTTCCCAATTATTATCCAAACTGCACATTTTTGAAAATTTGAAAAATTTGAAAAATTTTAGGCTTCTTGCTCAAAAAACAATTAAAAAAAATAATCTAGTAACTGTAAAAATTATTCAAAAAAACCTTTTTCAAAAGACCTTTTTTCTTTTAGGATAATAATTAATAACCAACTCGCCTTTTTTTTACAATTATGACCCTGTATGTCAGAATATACCGTTCGTTCACTGTAGCCTACAGCCATTTCTTCATTCATTATTCACAATTTTGTCCACTGACCAATAAAGATTAATCTGTTGAAAAATATTTTGACGTCCTCCTTGATTTCAGTGATAGAAAAATGCATTTTTTAAAAGTAGGAAAGTTTTATTCACGAAGTTCGAATGAGGGTCAGTTTAGAAAAGGCGCATTTGTTTCTTGAGGTTATTTTGCTTCCATTTGGGCAACAATTTGAACTCGCTTTTGGTCATTTGGAAAACGGCAACGAAGTCGTCGTCTAAACTGGCATTGGAGAAAAGCGAGAGCAACAGGAGCGTTACCTGTCAAGTGAGCTTCTTTGGCAGTAATGTCGATTCCAAATGCTTCATCTGGACTCAGATTGACCAGTTCTTCGTAGGACAAGAAGCGGGTGGCGCCGCCGTCAAGCACTATTCGGAATCATTATTTTTTCTTTTGAGTGATTTTCGATTAGCGATGAGGAAATAATGAGAACATTTTTCATTATTAAAAACGAGGGTAAATGTGTTTCTAAATCGTTTTTCGAATCAATGAAATCTTGATTGATCGAAATTTTAAACATGCATTTGTTTAAAAAAAAAGTTCGCTTGATTATTCGCATTCAGCAAAATGGAATGAGTCAAACCGGGGATAAGGTTTAGTAAGTCTATTCCGCCTCCTTCTACTTTCTCGCTAGCTTCGCCAGTACTGCACGTGTTCAATCAACTGTAGCAGCTACAGAAGTAATCAATGGAGATAGTCAACTGAAAGTATTGTTGATGAACAGTTCCTTAAATCCTCCAGCGTTATGGACCGGAAAAGATCGTCTGATCCCATCTCAGCTTTAATCTGCTCGTAAGTTTTTCCCTCGCTCCACATGTTCGGGTCCCAGGCCATAAACCAGCCGGTGAAAGTTGGCGGTTCTCTTCCTTGTTTCACGAGAACGATGTTGGTTGCTGGATCCCGCCCAGCTGGATCGGTGTTCAAATACTCGTACTGAATTGATAAAAAGGTTTTTATATTCCAGTTGTTGTCAACTTTCTTACCGCTGCAACGATGGCTTGTTCTTTTTCCTCCTTGAGAGCTCCCGCTCCGACCCAAATAAAGACCTGCGACCAAGTGTCTTAAAACAACAATGAAAGCAAAAAAGACCTTTTCGCCTTACCTAGTAGCATGACATCTTCGGTGTCCAAATCAGTTTGCGAAAAGTGGAGAACCTCGTCGCAGATGAAAGTGCCACTGGCATTCGAGCACTCGAACAAGCGAGGCTCGAAACATCCGTCGTCCTTAAAGTGATATTCAGAATATCATATTCTTTAACACTCGCTCAAGAGAAAAAAATAACCTGGAACTCTTTGCCGGATGCGTATTCTGCTTGGCCGCCCAGCTCGGCCCAGAATTGATGGGTCTCTTGTCCTTCCGCGATGATTTCAACCTCGATTTCGCCAGTCAATCGCTGCGCAACAAGACGGCCCATTTCTCGCTCATCGCCGCTGCAACCCCGCCCGAACCACAAGAAAGCGCTGTTTGTCTGAAATTCATCATCAGACGATTCATTCACCTTCCTACTAGTAACAAGTCATACTCTTTTTGATAGAAGAACGAAGACATCGTTCGAGTTCAAGCTCGAGGCTGTCGGTGGAACTTCGAAGGCTTTGGTCGACCACTCTTCTGTCCCGCGAACTTGGAATAACTGTATTGGCGCGCTGTATGCTTCCACCTGAATCATCTAATTCAAAATTGATGAGTAAGGGTTGAACTCGCCTGATTTCGGCCAGTGCCACCTTCGTAAACCAGCATTTTGCCCTTGAACATCGCCATGAAGTGCATTGGTTCTTTTCCCATTGTGACGAGAACTTGGGTGGGCTCGTCGTTGAACTGCCTGTCCAAGACGACGGCTAGATAAGCGGAGGCAGTGACTTCGTCCTGTCCGGCGTGGCGACCCTGCCAGATGTAAATTATGTAATTGGGAACGTTTCCGGTCATGTAAGTGTAGAAAACAATGTAGCAATCGCCGCCGTAGAAAATTCCTCGTTGATTTTCGGCGACTTCGGCGAGCGAGTTGTTTTCGACGCGATAGACGTCGACTTGGCCGGTGCCATCGTCGACCATGCGGTGTTTGGCGGCGACGCCGGGCTTTTCGTGCATTGATTCGACGTCGAATTTGGTCGCCTTGACTTTGGAAATGTTCGAGCTGGAGTACGATTTGGGCGAAGGAGCCTGTGGGCTGGAGACGGCGTAGGGATCCTTCCAGGTTTGAAAGACGGATCTGAAAAGGGCGCTTTCGGAACCATCGTTGACGATTTCGAGGGGCGTAGTTTTGGGGTACCCGCGCGCCTCGATGTACTTAGTCGCCTTTGAAAGCACGCCGGACTTCTCCTCTGCCGTGGCGCCGCGTCCTTTCCAAACAAAAATCTGCTGACCTCCGAGATCCACGCAGTAACAATCGTTGTGATCCAACATCTTCTGCACGAGGGGTCGCTCTCCAATTTCCGTCACGACCAATTGCCCCGACGCGCTTGAAACGTGGTAGAGCTTGATCTCCGAGGCTGCTTTTCTGTCTACTGCGTCGTCGGGCCGGGCTTTGTGGAGTTTGTCCGGCTTTGGTCCAAGGAGCTTGAAGATGATTTCTTGGCATTGAGGGTAGTCTGCTTCTTCGCCAGCGTCGATCGTGACGATTGGAATTCTTCCACCGCGCTCGCGATCTGAAAATGACAATGAAATTTGAAAAAATTGTCAATTAAAGTATTTGAAAAGAAAGAAAAACGTCAAATATTGGTAGACGCTTGTTATGTCCCCGAATGTCCCGAATGTCCCCCAATGTCCCGAATGTCCCCGAATGTCCCCGAATGTCCCCAATGTCCCCAATGTCTCCGTCGAATCTTGCAAAAAAGTGCAAAGTAAGAACTTAATAACAACTTTTTCGTCTCTAGAACGTTATTGTTTTGGCAAAATGTCAAAAGAAGGAAGCGCTTCGCGCAATTAGTGGTAGAAAACTCATTGAATTTAGCAAAATAATCGTCTCTAGAACAAAATTGTTATGAAAAAATTCTTTTACCTATGAAAAGGTTTTTCTTTTTTTGGCCTTTTAAAAAAAGTCGGGGACATTGGGGACATTGGGGACATTCGGGGACATAACAAGTGCGTTCCCAAATATTGACTCTGGTTAGTCCATTACCTCTGATGTTACGAGCGAGCTCAGCAGCCTTCAAGCGCTCCTGGCGATTGGACTTGGGCGCGTTCCACTGGATCAGTCCCTGGCCGACGTCGAGGATGAAGACGTCGCCGTCGTTCATCGAGTTCCACGACAGCGGCACCTCGCGCGCGTGAACATGTTTCTTTCCTTTGACGTGGAGCAGTCGCCGGATCGCGTAGTGGTTCGTCTCGACGTGGTTGAAGCCAGATTTGACGCCGCCCTCTTTGATGATCAACGATCCCTTGAAATAGCCGCGGAAGGCTTTGGACTCGGCGCCTTCACACTCGCGATGCTGAGTCGGCAAGCCACGGAGATAGTCGTCCAGCTGAGTCGTCAGAGCAGCAGCAGCGCCTTGCTCGTCTAAAATCACGATTTTAAGAGCAGGTCAGTGACATGCTATTTGCCTCGCTTTGATGGTTATAGGAAGAAAGCAAATGTTAGTGAAGCGAAACTGTACCTTGCGAAGATTGCGAACCGATCCAAAAGTGCAGATCATAAATTAACGAGTTTCCAGAGCGCTTCGTGCACAGAACCAAATAACAATCTCCGTTGTAGAAACTTCCGTGCTGCGATTTGCTGATCAGATTCAATTCGAAATCTTCGACGCGCCACACTTGTAGGCCTTTTTCCAGTTTTACTCAAGTTAAATTCCAATCTTAAAATTACAGCTGAAAATCGAGAAGCCGCTATTTTGCGGCTTGGAGCAAAATAAGACGAAAAGCCGCGCTTAACTTCGCGCGGCTTAAGTTTTAGCTCACTTGAAGCCGCAAAGATGGCGGCTTCTCGATTTTCAGCAGCAATTTTACTTCAGTAACAATCGGAGCCGGACTCGGCAATCTGTGTAAAAACCTGAGTCAGGGTCTGAAAAAACTGAAATGAAAAGCCGCTTCTTCAGACCCTGACTCAGGTTTTCAACAAAGGTTGCCGAGCCCCGAATCGCATTTTCAGCGAACATTTGTCAATAGAAACTGATAATGTTGGTAATAGGTAAAACTATCCTGGTTCTTTGCCGGCGGTTTGAAATACGCGATTCATGATTTTTGCTCTCTGGTTCTTCTGATTTTCTGTCCGTGGCCTTTTTTCCAGCGAAGAAGTAAATTTCTCTAATGCGGCGAGTTCGGAGGAATTTTCAAACTGCTTTAAGATCTGTTTGCTCTCTAGTAGAGTAACTAAGCAAATTCGATAGGACTTCAAACTGTAGCTAAACTCGGGATAGAGCTGCTCTACAAAGAAAAGCAGCGTCGGCCGTGTTTGATCTCAACTCAGAGTCATTATTTTAGATTTTTTTCAGGAGAAAAAGGCACAATGCAGCAGGTCCTTGACAGTTTTTACAAGAGGAGTCGCTTCTGAAAAAGCCGATTAGCAATTCATGACTTTCTTTTTTCGTTGATTCTTTTCTTCTTTATTCGAGTAGCAACCTTGGAGAAACCTGAGTCAGGGTCTGAAAGCCGCAAAAGTACTAATTTAATCAATTTAAAAAAGAAGAAAATAGAGAAGTTCCCTTGTTCACCCTCTAAATTGCTGCAGGTGTACCCTTGTTCGTCCTCAATGCCACGGAGCAAGTTAACAGAAAGGCTTTCTTCTCCTTTCAGATTCGCTCATTCACGGGCTAAGGTTACGTGGCCCTGAGAATCAACGAGGGTACCTAAGCAGCAATTTCGAAGATGAACAAGGCCAACCCATACATTTTCGATTCTGACGAAGCCGCGTTGCTTTTCATCAAAATCTTTTAGACCCTGAGGGTCCCTGACTCAGGTTTTCAAAAACACTACCCATTAATAAAATAGATCCAATAGAGCATTTCCTTCTAACTCTATTTTGAATAAAACAATAAGTGGAAAATGATGGCTACCAAGTGTTTCGTACTTGTAGCAGTCGAAGATGCTGAAAAAGCGGCCGCTTCATCTGAAATTCATCGACCACTCGAGCTGTTTTGATCGACAACATCCTTTCAAAATCGCCTTCCTCTCGAAAAATGACGTTTCTCGAGCTTAATTCATCCATTTTGAACGAATTAATATCATCCCACATGCGTGTCCTTTTTTCTTATTCTGATCCAGTAAATTTTATTCTTGAGTAATAAACAGTAATAAGGACAAAAGTAAAAATTTATTTCGGGATAGCATACGCACAGGGTCATTTGATTCATTTTGTGGAAGAGTAAGAGAACAATGTAAAATTGAAATTATTATGTCTAACAGTAAGAGGTTAGCTAAAATTCTTAATAAACCGCATCGATAAGGAGTTTTCATTTTATGCTCTTTTTTCATTTTTATGAAGTCTTCGAAATCATAATTGAAGCAATATTTGAGATCCCAGGCTGAGTTTTATACAGCAAGATCGACCAAAACAAGGTTGGTTCGGTTTCAAGTATTTGAAGAAGAAGTTGACTTTCAAACAAAAAGAAGGTTCTTCAAATTTTCAAGACAAAGTTTTTATTATTTTATCTCTGGACTGGGCTCGGCAACTTTTGTAGAAACCTGAGTCAGGGTTCTAAAAGAGCTTAAATAAAAAGCCGCTCAGCGGGTATTTTTAAAAACGTCAGAATGGGCGAAATCGTTGTTGACACCCTTAAGATTGAGGAAGTAATCTTAGCGACCCTGACTCAGGATTTCCACACAGGCTTGTGATTCAGATTTTGGCTTGATTAGAATTGTAATAGATTTAATAACTTCGCGGGCGGCAGTGGGGTCCCGCGCGCTCTGATGTATTAAAAATTAAGTATTGGGATACTAGAATATGCGATCACCATCAATCCGACTGTGTCTTTTTTTTTCCTCTCCTCGCAGCTGCTCATTTTTGATTTCCCGAAAAAAAGAAACACACACAAATGAAAACACCTTTTTTCGCCTTGTTCTTTTTGGAAGTAGAGAGCTTCGGCTACTGGGAGAAGAAGGTCAAAGAGTCGATTTCCGAGTTGTACCGTTTTTCGAAGCAGCTGCAGAAATGCTCCTGCGGCGATTTTTACAAACAGTCGAGTTCGATTTGGACGATGTTGGCGCCGAGCTGCGATTGTTGCTGGGAGTCGACTTGTCTCTGCCCGATGAAGACGAGCTCGCTGGAATCGGTAGAGAGGATGCAGCAACTGACCAATGCGACGGATAAAGAGCGACTGTACGAAATGAGCACCAGCGAGTTTAAAAATTTTACCAAGATTTTTGATGATTTACAGGATTTTCTGGCTCAAAAAAGGAGAAGATAGAGAGTTCCCTTGTTCATCCTCTAAATTGCTACAAGTGTACAGAACAGAAACAGAAAGTCTTTCTTTTCCTTCCCGAATCGTTCTAAGTACACGTGGCCCTGAGAATCAACGAGGGCACCTAAGAAGCAATTTCGAAGATGAACGAGGCCAACAAAACATTTTCTTGAAACAATTTTGAGCCAAAAAAGCACAACATGCTGCAAATTTTAATAAATGGCGTGGAGAATCGAAAAAACGGGCAGTGCTGGAAATGTAGACCGGTCGAACCGGAGTGTCGTTTTCCTCCACAGTTTTTGGAATTAAACGCTTCTCGAGAAGGTAACCACAAAAGCAAATTTATCCATTTTCAATGATTTATGAAGTAGAAAAGCCAAAAGTCGACTCCTTCGTCAAGCCGATCATAATCGATCCTCCTCCTGTGATGCTCAAAATGCACAAGGTACGTTTTGCTTTCCGAAATTCATTTGAATCAATCGAAAAATAAGGAGGTAAAGACGAATTTGGACGAAAAACTGATCGAAGACCTGGCCCAGCGATCGACGCGAGACACGACTGCAGAAAATGCGGGAGCATCGGGAGAGGGCGCTGTTCCGACCAGCACGGTCCAATCAACGACCAGCACTCGTGAATACGGAGACAACGAGGACTACCTGGAAGAAGCAGTGTCTTCGTCTCCAGCGGGTCTTTCACTCACCGCGGGCAATTCTGGCGTGTTACAGGCAGGGTGCGCGACTTTTATGCTCTGCTATTGCGAAGGGATCAAATTTAATCCTCTCAATCTTTGTCGTTTTCGTTGTTGTTTGTTCGTCATTTTTTAATCCTTTTATCCCTGTTTGAGCGTTATAATTCTGGTAATGTGCGGACGGCGTGCTCGGCTCGACCTTGAAGAAGCGGCGCGATCCAAGGCGATAAGGGTAACTAACGAAGCGATAAGGGTTTCTTGAGCTTTTTCTAGCAACGAGTTATCGAGCGCCGCGCACTTTATAATGCCCTATTCGTTAGTAACTCGCATTCGCCATCCTCCAAAAGGAAATAAACAAAGACGAAGGAGGTGAAAGTGAAAACGAAAAGAAAGAAGCTGTAGCTTGTAGTTCAGGGCTCACTAAAAACGAAAAATTTTTTTATTGAAAAATTTCGATAAATCGAGCCCCGAAAAGATTAGTTTCCAATTATGATTACGCCAATTCCTCAACTTCAAAAGCAACACTGTCTCTTCTGATCACCCTCGTTTGTGTATTCTCCTTTTCGCTGTAAAAAATATGCGTTTTTTTATTTTGCGAAGAATAAACTTCTCACTTCTGAAAAAACTTCCGTGTTTTTCAAAAAAGAGAGAAAATCATGGGAGCAGGCGACTGCTGCTTTGTTTTTTTGAAAATCCTCGCTGGCTTTTCCAACTTCATTTTTCTCGCTGCTGGAATCACCGTCGCCGTTTTCGGAGGGATCTTTTGTCGAAGTTTTCCGACTTTACCGATTTGACAACTGACAGTTACGATGCAATTCCAATCGCGATCATTGTCATTGGGGCGTTTGTTTCGCTCATTTCGTTGATTGGATTGCTCTCACTTAATTCTGACGGAGGGTGTGCCAAGTTCTTTCAACGATTCTACAGTATCATTCTTGTAAGCGGGCATTGAAGAATTGTCCAATTTTGATTCTGTTTTTAAGATCCTACTTGTAATTCTGGAGCTGTCTTGTGGCATCGCCGCGTACGTCAAAAAAGACAACATCACGAAAATCCTCAACGACGAAGCTTTGGACTCAATAAATGAAGACTGGGAAATCGAAGTTCTTTCGGACGATGGTTCTTGGTCTTTAGGTTTTTGGAAAAATATGAGTTAGGAATTAAAGTGTTTTGAAGAGAGAAATCCGACCGCCGTCGCGTGGCAGGTTTTGCAAGAAGAGTTCAATTGCTGCGGGTTCAACAATTACACCGATTGGAATAATGCCACTTCTTCCGGCTTTCCGCAGTACGTAGAAGACATGCAGTTGTGGCTGTCGACACAGAGCTACAATCTGACAGCGATTCCAGGCCGGGCTCGACAACCTGTGTGGAAAACCTGAGTCAGGGTCTGAAAATCCATCATTGAAGATTTTTCAGACCCTGACTCAGGTTTTCTAGACAGGTTGCCGAGCCCAGATTTTAGTCCCAGGAAAGATTTTTTGATTCGAAAAATCTGAAGATCTGACCAATTTTTGGCCACAAATAATTCGAGTTAAAAATCTGAGAAAAAGACTCTTGCTGCGACGTAAATGAATTCGGCTGCGGGTTAATTTACTCGGCGGAAAATATCGAAGACGATATCCAAACTATTGGATGCAAAAACTCGGTTTTCCAACTCAAAATAAACCTTCTTCTAACTTCTCTTTTGAAAAGGTGGAGTCGTTTTTGACGAGCAACATCGCCATCATCGCCGGAGCTGCTGTCGGGTTAGCCGTTTTGCAGATCTCACTGATTTTCATCTCCTGGCGGCTCTCAAACGAACCCAAATTCAATGCCTAGCGAAAAAGTGAAGAACCATGAAGAAAAACGAACTTTCGGAGCTGTTCAATTAAAAATTCAATAAATGATTTTCGCACTAGAATTTTTTATTGAAAACTCAAATTGAAAACTCAAAATTAGCAAAATCTCTCTTTCACGGATCCTGACTTGTAAGATTGTCGGAAAGTTAAACAAGAGACAAAGAAAGAAAGCTAAATAGAGACTTGTCAATTCAAAGTTTCAAAGTTTGAGAAATCTTAATTGAGAAATAAAAACCGCGGAGCAGTGAATTTTGAAAAGGTTAGCCAAATTTGTTTCTGGGGCTGGTTTTGGCTTTATGTTTATTTTGCTATCTTCCTTGCTGAGTCACTTTTTTGAAACTTGGCAAAGAGAAGAGTCTCAACTTCACAAAACTGATAAGAAGAGTCCTCTTTTGCTTCAACAAGTTCAGTGAAAATAGAATGCCACAAAAGAATCTGCCCGCATTTTTAAGCAAAGTTTTTCTCGTTGTTGTCGGAGTGTGGATTTTGCATGGGCTCGTCCAACTCACGAGAAACATTCAACTTCGACTTGATTTTGAAAATTTCAACCCAGCAAGAAAAACAAGCAGAATAATAGTAGATGAGAAGAATTTAAAAGAGAAAGTCGTTTTGCTATTGACGGATTATCGGACTGGGTCTACTTTATTGGTAAGCAGCCTGTGTAGAAGACCTGAGTCAGGGTCTGAAAGATCTCAAATGAAAAGCCGCGTTTTCATTTGAACCCATTTTAAAAGGCATAATTTTCTAGGGCGAGATTTTCAGCAGACACGAAGACGCGTTTTACATGTTCGAACCTGACCACGCTGTTTTGTGGGATCCAACAACACAGGTAACTACAACTCAAGAAGGACAAAAATCACCATGCTCGGAACTTGAAGGTCAACTGGCTGATGGAGTACTTTCGCTGCGAGTTCGTGAGCCTGAGCGAGTCCAAGATCGAAAACAACGAAGTGAACTGGAGTAAACACCGCGATTTCGTCTTTTCGCACAAAACTGCTCGTCTCTGCAAGCCGCCCTTTTGCGGGGCGGATTTTTCGAACGACGTTTTCAAATGCATGAAATGTCAAAAAGTAGATGTTTCGTTGGCGCGGGAGGTTTGCAAACGCAATACTCCGGTAATCAAGACTGTGAGGACCAAAGACATGGAGAAGTTCAAAACCGGCTTTTTGGAAAATCAGCTTGAGCCGCGAATCGTCATTAACGTCCGAGACCCGCGAGCTGTTGTCCATTCGAGAAGGCAGCTCGCAGAAGTGGCGGGAGTCAGCTTGGAAAACATGAAAAACTACTGCGAGTACAAAGTAAAGCAGAAAAAGATGGTGGAGGAGGATCCCTGGTTCGGGGAAAAAACGACGTTTGTGAAATACGAAGAATTGGCCCTCGATCCAGTCAGAGAAGCGACCAGAATTTACGACTTTACTGGTTTTGCGCAGTCATCAAGGAAAAGAGCTCGAAAATTTATTAAAATGATCATTTCTAACTCAATTTCAACCTTTCATGCTCGAAAAAGTGCCAAGAAAATCATGGTCCAACTAACCCACTCGAGCCACAACAACGACGCTTACGGCACTGTAAGGAACGCTACAAAAACTGTCAACGCCTGGCGAAATAATTTAAACGAGGAGGACATTTCACTGATGAGAAAAATTGAAGACGTCTGTTCAGAAATGATGCGGTTATTCAAATATGAGCCTCTAATAAAGAGTTGATTCATCAAGCTTAATTTCTGCTGGTCTTTTGTTTCGTCGGAATCTGGGCTCCTCAACCTGTGTAGAAAACCTGAGTCAGGGTCCGAATGCGGCTTTCCATAAAGATCATTCGGACCTTGACTCAAGTTTTCTGCTCAGGTTTCTGAGCAAATTTAAGATTAATTTCTTTTATTTTTCTTTCTATTTTTTAAGTAGGGCAAATGCCGAATTTACAGATATGGCAACGACAGAAGGGAGAAATGAGTGAGTGAGAAATATGGCAAGAAGAGCGAGATCGATTAGTGGAAGGAAGAATAAGTGAGGTCGAGGGGCGCAGCAGGTGACTTTTTGGGGATGGTGGATGGAGAGAAGAGGAGAATAGGTAAGAATGAATCGTGATGGGTCTTAGTTACAGATTGGTGTATTTTGAACTTTTGTTAAATCGTCGGTGAGCGAGGCGGTTTTTGTCGGCGCGAATAAATTGATCTGCTTTGGGTGTGGAAGGGGCGTTATTGCGGGAGACAGAGTCGGCTTTCAGCGATTCAGAAGCGGCCGTGCTCTCTTGATTCGGGTGACTGAAGGCCCGGATCGAGGAGAAGGTGGCGCGTTTTTGCTGTTTTATTCGAGCGAGATCAGCTGCGAGGCGCTTTTCATCGTGCTCCATGCTCTGAAATGAAGGTTAAAAAGGTAAATCAAAAATATCAGTACCTCCTCGGGCTCGTTCTGCGCCACGGGCGCTTTGCTCTGATGTCTGCTGACTCTGATCGAGTGTTTCATTTTACTGCGACGGACTTCTTTGAGGCCGCGTTGCAATTGACGCTCCTTGGCGTCCAGCGCGGAGAACGAATTGAACTTTGTTTTCAGCACTTCTAGCTGGTTTCTGATGATGATTTCTACTGCTCGTGTCGTTGCTCCGATTTGCTGGGCAACTGAAAGCAATCATTTATTTAAAATAAATTATTTTTGAAATTTGAAATTTCGGCCTTCAAATGAACCATCTTGTTTCCCTTTCTGTTTGTCATTCAATTTGGACAACCTATTTTTCGGTTTGAATTTGTGCTTATTCAAATACTGGAAACCGAACCAGCCTTCTTAATTTAGCCTGTTTCTGCTGTATAAAACGGAGGCAAATGTTGTTTTTTTGCGATTTTGAAAATAAAAAATGACTTTTTGAAAAAGATGAAAGAGAGTATCAAATGAAACTTTAACCGCTGATTCTTATACTTCCAATTCCATCAATAAACAAAAATGAAACCAAAAAGTGTCAACCACCGTTAATTTGTTTTTGTGCATACCTGTAAGTGGTGGAATATGATCCGGAGCGCGGATTATACAAGGCGCAATGATGATCGCTAGATTCTGAGGATTCATCTTGTTGTCTTCGGACTTTTGCGCGACGCGGGCGAGGTGGAAGACGACTCTTTCCAAGGTGCCCCGGTGGTGCCGCGGCAGTCCGTTGAAAATCGAAAGCAGCTCGTCGGAGCATTCTTTTTCCGGAAGAGTCATCGCGCGCAAAACGTTGTCGTAGTACTAAAACGCGAAATAGTCAAAAATCGAATTGAAGAGTCTCCAACCTCAAAAGGCACGAGTGGATCGGGGAGCTTTCGGAGGAAAATTTTGAAGATGCTGGCGACGCAATGAACATTGTAACTTTCGAATCTGACTTTTCGGCAATAGGGGTCTTGCTCCAGCTCCGATTCGAGCTTCTTTTCTTCGACTTTGGCGCCAGAGACGCGGTAAATTCCTTGCTTGAGAATGCCGTTCAGCTCGAGATAGGAGAGGACCTTGATCACGAATTCTGGCGTGTCTTGGCCGTCTTTGCACAGGCACTGCAGCGGAACTCCAAACAGTTTTAAGTCTTGTGAGGTCTAAAAGCTTTTATAAGCGACGATAATTTATAATAATTGATGATGACTTCCAATAATAGTAAATGCTTACCAGAGAACATTGAGGAAGCTTGGGACTTTTGATACAGTCTTTGTGGACGAGGATTTTGCAAATGGAGCAAAGTTGAACTTTATCGATCATGAAGAAGAGCCGCTGTTGACAAACAGCACACACATTTGGCTGGATGACTTGGTGACGCGAGAAGTGGTGGCCTCGGCAGTCTTCCTTCTCGATCTTCTTGGGCCGGGGGCGGCGGATCGGACGCAGCGATTTGTTCTCTTTGACGAAGTCTTCTAGCGTCCCGCGGAATGAATTCATGAACATTTGGTACTAAACATGTTAATTATCAAATTAAGAATTAAAAAGAATCAAACCGGAAGAGTTCGCTTTTTTTCCTCGTCGCCGGCGCATGATCTGTGGATTTGGGACTGGAAGGCTTCAGAAAAGTTCTCCAGTAATTGATCGAGCAATAACTCATTGTAGCCTTGAACTGAAAGCGAGCGGAGGGTGTCCTTGAACTCGTTCAGGGCGTTGCGCCAAATGTCGTTCACAAGAGTCATCTCATCATTGCCAGAGTCGTCTTTCTCCAGCGTCGAGTTGAATGATTTGACGCGCTCGTCCAAAAACGCGATCAGATTTTCTGGCCCTTCTGGATCGCTTTCGTCCAGCACGATGACGCGGGGTATTACTTCTTTGCGAGGAATGACGCTTAGATTACTTGTCGCTGGGGCTTCTTTTTGCTTGTTTCGTTTGCGCTTGAGACGGTTCTTGAAGACATGGACGATGTTGGAGGAGCGTTTGGAAGAGGAAGAGCTACTTGTCTCTGGAATGGGCTGGATACTCTGGTAACTAGGCTCCATTGGCTTGATCTCCGTTTTCGAAAATTGACTTGGTCGATTATTGACAGGCATATTCAGCGGCGCCAATTTACCATCTACCACAAGTTTATCGTTGTTTTCCCAATCTGGAATCTCCGCCTGCCAATCACTCTTCCCTTTCTTGAAAATTCGCGAGTTGATATTTTCCGTAGTCGTTGTTGTCTCCAGCCGCTCCTGCGCATCTAGCGAGTTGCTTCGATTTCTACTGCTGCTGCTACTCGCTTTTGCGTGCGATTTTCTCAACAAACGCGTCGAATGCGGAACTTGCCGGGAGTGGATCAGGGCTGGGTCAATTTCCAGATTCTCCCGATCGCTTGATCGGTCGATTTTCTCTGAATATGAAAAGTGATAAGAGTACGCGCTGGGAGGAAGAAACATTTATTTAAATTTTCCCATGAGAGCTCCAAAAAGCGCGCCAAAGGAGAGGCGCCCGCTCTCTTCAGTATTCTATTTGCTTTATCCCTTATTATATTTCCGTGACGCACGAAAGAACCTTTTTTGAAAAAACTAGAGGAAGTTCTTGACTTACCTTTTACGGATTGATGTCTTTCAACTGGAGCGCGTCGCTGGATGATTTTCGCCGGCGGAGGCACTTCTCGTCGTTCTCTGAAGATAAAAATTGAAATGAGGGAATCAAGAAATTCTAGAGCCGTACCTAATTGAGTCGCGCCGTTCTAGTGGCTGGGGTGAGGGACGGAACTGCGATTTAACCCGCTCTGACTGTTCGTATGATCGAGGCGTTAGAACGAAACTTGCACTCGTCCGGGATCCATCAGGGCGGAGCTCTATCCTCTCGTGAATCTTGTCTCGCGGTAGTATGGCGGATGGCGGTCTTAATACAAAATTCTAAAGCTGAAACGAAGAGAATCAAAGTATGATGAGATATTTTGGGCAATATTTGGGGAATGAATTACACTGGACTGACCTCTCTCGCGGGCGAACTTTCTTCTCGAACAAGATCTGGTCGGGAAGGTCAGCTTCGCTCTGTCGCCGATTTTGGGATGACCGCGAACGGGGTCGCCGCGAGTTTCGCATTTTTGGGGCCTCGGATTCTTTAGAACTTGGATCTTTTGGCGGTAGTTGTGCGTTCATCATCATTGACTCCTGTTCTCGTTTATGTCTCCTCGAAGATTTCTTCGACTGCGGGGGAGGACTACTTGGACTACCAAGTTCGCTCACGTCGCCACTGAAGTTAAGATCGGGCGTTGGAATCATTTCCATTTGCTCCATCTCCGTCCACGACGTTTTCGATCGGCCGTGCTGAGTGGCGTGCAGTTGCGAACGCAGTGTTTCTTTTCTCACCAGCTGCACTTGGTAGGGCTGATTGGAGCCATTTGAAGGCGGGCGAACAGGCTTCGAAAGCGGCGTTGAACTGACTGCGGGAAACACTGGCTTTAGAGCAACAGTTTGATCAGGCACAATCCACTTTTGCTCGGGGCTCTGTCTTCGCCGCCGTGGAGAAGTAACTACTTCTGTCTGTTCAGGAGTGTAGTTGATCGCACTCTCGTTCGGCTCAAGCTGACTCATTTGCGAACTCGAGCTGTCCATTTCGACAAACGCGACATTCAACTGGTCCATCGGGTCGAGATTGGCCACCGGAGACATCAGCTTCATCGTTTTAAAACGCTCCTCGTTTCCGTCGAAAAGCTGACTCTCCCGCTCGTTTCTTTCCGCTCTTTTCCGCCTCCACCAGCGCTGAATGACTTTCGCCGAGTCAAGCCATAGTTTGTAGCCGTCCTGCACCTCTTTCAAGCGCCAAGTTCGTCGCCACCACTGCTGGATCACGATTGCAGCGTCGTGTTCGATCTTCAAGCGCTTGTGAATTTCGACTTTTGCACGAGCGATTTTCAACTAAAAAAAAACTCAATTCATCATTCTATTGCTATTAATCAAGGATTTGGTAACAAAAAAAATAAATTTTGACATTTCGGAAATTTTTGAATCGCCATTAAAATTACCTGTGCAAGCTTCTGCTTGGCCAAATATCTTCTCGCAACTGCTTGTAGCGAGGTGATAAACTCCTGCAATCGTAGATACCGGTCGCGTTTCATGCACGCCCTCCACCATTGCTGGATGGTGACGGCGGCGAAGAGGCGGAGTTCGCACTGCTCGCGCGCTGAAATTGCGAATTTACTAATTTTGAAATTTTCTTTCATCATTTGAGAAAACGTGCTAATCTACCAGGCGTCCACTTACCGCAGAATCCTCGCCAATGCTTCTGAATAACAATCGCAGCTGCGTGCCGTTTCAGCTCTTCTTGAAGTCGCGAATTCTGGACCAGGGGCTTGGGCTGCTTGATCCACTCGCGGACAGCTCGTTGGATCACGCGAACTTTGTTGATCACGGCGAATTCGAGCTTCTTGTCCAAGTCGGCTTTGGCAGCGTCTTTCATGAAGATTTGCGTTTTGCCGACAAGTGTCGAATTCGCCAGGCCGAGAGAGTCGACTGCTTCTGCGAGTTGAGCGCGGCTTGGAGTTATGCGATTGGAAAGCAATGCTCCATACTGTCGTAGAAAGCGCATATGCTCCAGCCGAACGGGATAAGCCGATTGTTTGATCTTTACTGTCTCCGTCATTCCCGAGGACTTGAGCTGCTCGAGAATCAGCGTATCGTCGAAAGTAAGCGCTTCTTGGCGCGCATTCGTCCGCACGCACTTGACAAAGAACGGCATCGAGTTGCGAAGCGAGTCCATCAGCCCGGCGAGCGATTGCTGGTACTGCAACGATGTGGTCGTCCGCGACTGTGACTTGTGCGTCTGCTCGAGTGCTGGTACGAGCATGCTCCGGACCGAGTGAATCTTTTGCATTCGCTCGGCGCGACTAATCTTTCCAAGGACCACTTCTTCCATGTCTTCTCCGTCGATGGAGGAGTTGAGCTCCGGCAATCCACCGTCGAAGCATTTTCGAAAGGCAGAGCAAGCCTGAATAACTCGATGGAGCTTGCGCCAGCGCCAGAATGCTCGCTGGCTCTGAGCAGATGCACAACGAAGGAGCCAGCAACTGCTTCCTCGCAGAATCTAAATCGCGATTTAGGATGACTCTTTTCCATGTCTCAAGTGATTTACCTGCAAGGAAGTTGTGGCTACCACGTCTCTATTTTTCTCAACAAAGCCTTCAATGTTGTACTCGACCCAGCCGGCGTAGTGGTTGATTGCGAAAGCATCGACCATTTCATTTCTGCGGTAGACCGGCTTCAGCTCCATGTTGTTTTCATCAAATCGATTGAGAAGAACGATATCGTTCAGACCTACAATCAGGCATCAACAACGATCAGCTGTCTCCGCCAAAATACCTGGGATGTTCTCGTTTAGGAGACAGAAGAGACCCTCCGGACGTCTGGAATAGAGCTCGATGATAGCCTCGTTGTCAGAGAACTGGACATCGGTCCAGCGCAAGTCTTCCTTCTCGTGCTCTTCTTTTTCCAGTTCGAAGATGTGTTGATTCGAGAAAAGCTGCAGCGTCTCGTTCGCGTAGTTGATGCAAAACTGCTCGAAAGAGTTGCCCTCCTCCGCCTTAGCAAACAAGTTAAAACATGATTCTTTCTCTCTTCTATGTCTTCAGTTTTGCAAAAATAACAATACCTGTTCGAATCCGAAAATGTCCAAAATGCCGATATTCCTGGCCGTTTGGAGGTGGTAGGTTTGCTCTGGTCGATTGGCCGCGTTGAGAGTAAGCAACAAAAAGTCGAACACTTTTCTATATGCTGCCTTGGCGAGCCCGTCGCGTGCCTCGTATGCTAAAAAAGAGGGGGCCAATTAGTTTGATTGTCGAGAGTCTTGCTTGAGAGGAACAGTCAGCGGCACTGATAGCCTGGCTCGCTAACACCCCGAATGACGTCCTACACAGAATCACAATAATACTTAATTATCAATTATCTAGCGATAGCGATAGCTCGAATGCACCGGCACGTGCCGTATCGATCCAACGTATAATAAACTCAATGAAATGACGAAAAAGTACTCGTCAGCAACTATTTTCCAATCCTCAAGGTCAAAAATGCGAAAATAATTTGGCTAATTGACTAACCCGTCGATTTTAAGTCCCTTTTTCTTCTTTACCTTTGGCACAGTTGTGTTTTCTGGTAAGAGTTTCGATGTGCGCTCCTCGCCCGATCTTGCTGCTTTTCTCGGTGAGCAGGGAAAGAAGACTCTTCGGCTTTATAGAGAGCAAGTGTGCCGCCTCCTCGAGCCATTCCGTATTCACAATTGAAGCTTGATCACGGTAATCTGACTTGAAATCAATATTCCCGAGGGCCAAGATTCCAGCCATTATTTGGAAAATCCTGAAAGCATTAGTTTCAATTTCAACAAACAAGTATTTCAGAAGTTTTTACTGTAACTACTTTTGGGCAGAGGAAGAGTGAATGGCGTTTACCTGTATTGAGATGAGTCGAACAGAGCAATCGAGTCTAGCGCATTTTGAAGTTTAATGATTCCCCTTCCGTCGGTTTCCTCTCTTTCTTCCACAGGCAGCGCGTTGCTGTTTCTGATGAAGGCGTAGTCGTCCGGGCTTCTGAGGCCTACTCTCTCCTTCTCCGCGGGCGCCAGGCCATAGAGCAGCGTGTAGAAGATATGGAAGTTACGCTCTTGTGGATGCCTAAATGCAAAGGTCAATAATCATGAATTATTCAGAATTATTCGCATTTGACAAAGGCAGCGCCTTGATTCAACCATTATCGAATTTAAAAAACAAAATGTCGATAAATCACACTTTAACACCCCCAGCGCAGCAAAAGCCTTTTTTACTTAATTAATATTAAAACAATCGTATTTTCAATAAATAATTCTATTCAATAAATTGTTATTTTGGAATACGAAGAGAAATAGGTTAGGGTAAGGTCTCCTTTTTAACGGATTTAAGGGGTCCCCTATTTAACGGATCTTCTGAAATTCCTCTTGAGGAAAAATGAAACCGTTAAAATGGGGACCTCCCTTTTTTATCTCGCGGTTACCTTTGAATGATCCTGGGAACTTCAAGGAGATACTGCTCCAGCTTGGCGCCGGTAAGTCTTCCAGCAGCGGCGAAGCTCAACGTCATGAATTTGCCGACCCTGGAAGAGTTGACGTTTCTCCGCGTCTTCGCGTGCCCAAAATTCTCCAGAATCGGACCAGCCGCAACGATTCGTGTTTCATGCGAGCGCACAAGCGTCAGCAAGTGTTGCACTAAGATTTCAGTGCAGAAACTTTTTCCAGAGCCGCTTTCGCCGGAGACAACGATCGAACACGACGAATGTTTTCCCTGTTTCTGGTTTTAGAAAAAAGATAAGAAATCAGCTCTCAGACAAAGAAAAAAAAAGTGATTTTGTTTTGGAAAAAAGTAAAGCAATAGCTCTTTGAAGCTCACTTCTGATAAGAGTTTTCCACTTTCTCACGCTAAAATGGAAGAAAAAAGGAAACTATCTATTCATATTTATAATTGGTTTATCTTTTCTTTTTCTTAATCCCGTGCCTTATTAATTGTTTCAAAGGCTGCGTCGGCAACTGCGAAGACATGAGCTTTGGTTTGAAGACCTCGACCGCGATGAAGATGCTGCAATCGGGGGCCGTACAGATTCGCGATCTGGCAGTAGGGATTGAGGGAGACAAGAACGGGGCCAGCCCAGGTGTAGATTTCTTGAGATTCGAAGCGCTTGCGCAACACGCGCAAAAGGGAGGACGGCGAGGGAGAAGAGATGTTGCACAAGTCTTGGGGAGTCGAGTCTGCGCTGGGAAGAAAACCCTTCAATTCGAGAAGTTGTCTGGGGTTGAGTCTGCTCTCCGCCTGTCTCAGGGTGAATTTGTACTTATTGGCCGTGTATTTGGCGGACTTGGCCTGGCTGGGCCACAGGAGAAAACGCTCCATGGGGAGATCGTCGGGCTCCATCACGCTCTCGCTGTTGTCGGGTCCTTGTTCGACCAGCGTCAAGTTGTTGAGGCCAAAGATGCCGAGCTGGGCGGCGGCTGCTTTGGCGACATGGGCGGCCGTCGTCCGCTCATCGACGCGCACTGGCAGAAAGACCGTGGCCGGCTGCAGCTCGCCCGGGTAGATCCGGATCATAAACGACGCCATTTCACGAATTCAAATTCAAAGAGCCGCCGAATTTATGCCACCGAAAAGCGTACAAAGAAAGAAGCGCATCTCCTTCTTACGAGCTCTTCGCGTGGAATGCTCTGAATACAGCAATTGTTAAAGAAAACGTCAGAAAATTGAATTATATACAGTCGAAGGTTGAATGGGGGACAGCCTTATTGGCCCCTATTTTCGGGCGAGTACAGATATATCGGAAAAAGACAGCGAGTTGTTTTTCAGCTTTCATCCTCGCTAGAATCGCTGTAGTCGCAAATAAGCGCTGGTTTACAAGAAGGAACTGCTGGAGCTGATTCTTTTGATTCAGATTCTAGCGCCGAGGATTTCGCGCGTTTTGATTTCGTGACGCCGAGCTTCGCCAAAGTTAGAGTTCTTTTTGCGCCACTGAGTTTGTTTGCCGCTTTTTTGCCGCCCGAGCTGGCGGATTTTACTTTCTGGGCCATAATTACTTTCGCCATAGCTTTTTCTTCGTCAGTGGCTTCACTCTCATGCATTTTTGCGTATCTTAAACCCGCCCTAAGGGCCCTGTTGAGTTTGAAGCTGTCGCCGTGCTTCTTCGCATTTTGGATCTTGAGCTTGAGCAGCTCGGGCTTCCGCTCGTCGTGCACGTTCTTGTCGTTCTTGCCCTTTTCCAGCGCGAACATCGGGTCATTGTCCAGTCTTGCGCGCTCGGCAGAATCAGTGAAGCTCACCTGAAAACATTTGATGGCCTGGTTTTGTATTTAATCACCTGTCCGTTTTCTTCCATGTCCCAAGAACGAACATCCCTCCTGCAGCCAGAAACGCAGACATAGTCAAAGTTGGCCGGGTCGGTGCGCATTTCGTGCATTTGCGGACACTTGTGGCATTTCATCTTGAACTTGTAGACCGGAGTCGAAAGATACTTCCCGACGCAGAACTTTTCGGCAGTGTAGCGCGTCGCCAGCGCGAATTTGTTGTTGCATCCTGAAAAGGGGAAAAGGGTTATCTTCTGAGGATCTATTCAAAGTTTCTCACCTGTGCACCAAATCGGAAAGGGCAGTTCAATCCTAACAATAAGGATTCCTTCTTTGATCTTCTTCGCCTGGTGTGTCAAGTGGTGGCTCCCTGAATATACAGATAATTACAGAGCTATCTGAGGAAAAATATCTGACCGTGCATTTTGTCGAGACTTCCCATTTCCGGCCGCCAATTCGGCGGGTAATACATTCCATCTGCCTGAGCAGCTTTTAGCGTCGTCAACTGCGCCGCCATTTTTCTTGTTTTCTGAAAAAGAAAAAGGTTGAAAAATCAGTCGTCTTGCTTGAAGGAAGTTGTTGCTAAATGAACAGAAAAAAAGATAAGCGTATCCGTGTCAGTAGTATTGTACAGAATTGAAAGACGCACGATGCGGGATTTCAAATTTCCAGCGTCGAAAACATAAAATTAGGAATATAAATTAAAAAACGCCGCCCTATCGCTCTGCGGCTGGTAGTTCTCCAGCGCCTCTTCGAAGTGCTTCTGGAGAATCGGAACTCGCAATGAAGCCTTTTTGGGTTCTTCTGGCGCTTCCGCTTCTGTCTCACTGCTGCTCGTTTTTCGTGCTGGAAGAAGACGACGTACTCCGTTTAGAAATTGCATTACTGAAAATATTGGCTCACTCATCCAGCCTTTTTAAAAACAAGAAGCTATTTACGGCTTTGAGAAAGAAATAGCCGCACTTTGCGCGGCTTCTCGGCCGCGGCTTTTCGATGAAATCAAAAACTAACCTAGAGAAGCAGATGTTTCCTTCTTTACTTTAACTTCTGAAGAACGAGAGTTCACTTTTGAAGGACTGCTTGTTTCCTCTCCCTTCGTAGCTTCTTCGCTTGTTTGACCAGAAATGATAATTTGCTTGATTTCCTTCTGGAGCGCCGTGTGAACGTAATCACTGAGGCTTTCTCCTAATTTCAACTTCTGGCTTCTCTCCTCGACGAACTCGTGGACAGCAGAGGTAACGGCGAACTGAAGTTTAAAATCTTTAAATTGATCATGACTCATGACTCGGCCATTTTCAAAAGGTGAGAGCACAAAAAGGATTAATCGACCCCTACAGGGCGGCTTAAATGCCCTTTTCTCTTCCCACGTGATCACCAATTTGAAATTCCATTTTTCGAAAAAGCAAAAAAGTTACCTGGACGAAGTTGTGTACTTTAGAGCAATCCCAGTTGTTCATTTTTTCGATCAGCTGGACAAAGTCGAATTTGACGTCGAAGTCTTCTTTGGGAAGTTTGCTCTCGATAATCTGCCGGATGGTCTCCGAGTTGGGAAGAGGAATCTCCACCTAATCGATACAATAGCCCAATCCTAGGGTAATTTATGCTCGCTCCCCTTCCGATCATAAAGCAACCCTTCCCTGGGGACATTACTCTACTTCTAGTAGATCTACTTTTCCTCTGACGAAAAAAACGAGAAGCCGCACAATGAGCGGCTTTTTTTTTGATAACTCGAAGCCACAATATCTCGACTTCTTCTTGTCATAAAAGCATCTACTAATCATTGACTGAAATTGAGATTAATGTCAATAAAATTTCTCTCTGTGGTGAAAGTCGAAAAACTGGCTCTAAAGTGCTCTAGCTAGAAAAAGTTAAAAGTGACTTTGAAAAGAGATAGTTGAGTTGAGTCATTTTGATTCTCATTGAGTCGTTTTTTTGAGGATCAAGCGCGGATAATCCAACAATTGATTTACTCTGAGATTTCATGAGCCGGACATGGTTACAACCACCCACTCTCTCACAATGACCTTTATCGACAAAGACACTCGAACAATCAAACAAGGTGATAACAATCGACATTCATGTCAATACAACTATCCAGCCACGTAAATTACCCAGCTTCAGAAATTAATAAATTTAGTTTCTCATAATTTACTACTTACATGTATTCATGTTTAAAAAAAACTTAAAATAATAATTTTGGCGAATCTTTGGAGAAAGATTGGAAATTAAAAGATTTCTCTCTATTAGCAAATTGACTTACTTTGATGGGGAGGCGGCGGAGAATAGCCTCATCAAGAGTGTCTTTTCTGTTTGTCGCGCCGATTACGACGACTGGGGCTCCCTTGTTCTGATCGAAGCCGTCCCAGGCAGTGAGAAACTCGGCAATCTTGATTTGCGTGTGCTCGTGGAAGCTTTCGTCGTTGCGGTTGCCGAGGAAAACGTCGATTTCGTCGACGAAAATCACCGTTGGAGCAAGCTTTTTCGCGACAGAGAAAAACGCCTGTTTCAATGAATGAAGGGAAAGAATAAGAGGGGGGTACTGAATTGTGCCGCTCTGCGCCGCCCTGCGCCGCCTTGCGCCGCCCTGCGCCGCCCTGCGCCGCCCAGCGTCGCCCGGTCCGAAACCATCCGGCTCTCATCCGACCCAACCATGACCTAAGAAACAATTCTGAACAAGAGCGAGAGTTGGGCCCCGCCAACCCAATGAGTTCTTTACCAGAAAATGCGCGCGTAAGGGCCTTTGGCCCGTCGCGTGCTCAATAAATAAGTGATTTTATGCCAAAATCTGAGTTTGGTTGAGAATTACTGTACTGGCACCCTAAATTATAGGTTTACCTTTATTTAATTTTAAGACAATATAAATATGTCAGAATAACTAAGTTAACATGAAAATCTAAATTTCCAGCTTTTGAAAGACAAAATATCTTCGGATACAGCGAGACCGGGCGACGCTGGGCGGCGCAGGGCGGCGCAGGGCGGCGCAGAGCGGCGCAGGGCGGCGCAGGGCGGCACAATTCAGTGTCTCCCGAATAAGAGAATTTTATTCTGACCTGGATGAACTTCTCTGACTCGCCGATCCATTTCGAATTGACTAAACTGGGCTGGACGACGAGAAAATTAAAGCCAGCTTCTCTTGCAATCGCCCTGGCGAGCATTGTTTTCCCGCATCCCGGAGGTCTAATCACGCATGAATATTACTTTCTTTCTTTTTTCTTCTTTTTTTTTATAACAGTAGATTTTGCACAAACAAAAAGGCTATAAAGAGAGAGAGAGGCAGCCTTAATTAGACAGCGACAAAGCTCGCTAGTAGCAAGTCGCTACTAACTAAAAAAATATACTTTTACTGCCAGCTTAGATTTTATCTTCGATTTTTTTAAAATTAAATTTCAAATTATCATTTATCAGAATTCTCTCTCAAGCAGAGCAAGACTTAAGGGCCAATATTCAACCGTGTCCATACATCAGCAGTCCTTGTGTGACCTTGACGAGCTTCGCAAAGTCGGGATTGGCGGCGACATTCAGAGCGAACTTCAGATTCCTGTTGATCGTTTCTTTTTCCTTCTTGAGCCCTTTCACCGCCGCCATGTCGTTCAGCTCGTCGGAGTCGGTGACAAAGTGTTCGATCACGGCCCATTCGTGTCTCGGAGCAGAGCGCAAAAAATCGGCCGCGAATTTTTCGCTGTAGCCCATTTTCTCCAATATTTCCGCAGCACGAGTCTTGTCAGCATCCATCAGCTGCGATTGCATAAACTTCATAGTCAGCATTGTGCTTTCATACGCTACAAGAAACCATCTTAGCGACTGCAAATGAGGAAAAACTTCGTAAAAACTCGCTTCGATTTCTTACCGAGGTAAGCAGCAATAAGCCTGACTATCAAGTCACCAACAACATGCAGCAGCTTTCCGTTGTCCTGAAGCAGCCTCTCCCAGAGCTTGTCCCAGCCCTCTCTGATTGCTTTCAACATTTCTAACCGCTGCGAAAAGAACAACACTTTTTGTTTATTCTGTTATTAAATCGGCATTCTAGACATTCGAGGTTGAGAAAGAGAGAGACAAACACAAGTTTTATTTAATAATTTAGTAGTGTATTGTTTTCTCGAGCAAGATCAAAAGAAGATTATCGGGCAGGAATTATATTTTATAATTTTTCTATTTTTTCTTTCTTGCGTTTTCAGATTTTATTCGCCTAAATTTCAGCCAGAAGCGGGTTGAGTTACATCATGCCTCCCATTCCGCCCATTCCACCGCCCATGCCTCCCATGGGGGCATCGCTGGAGCGTCTTCCTTGATTTCAGTGATGATGCATTCAGCAGTCGTCATCAAAGAAGCGACTCCAGCAGCATCTGTCAACGACTGCTTCACAACCTTAACACCGAGTTTACTGCAAGAAAGCAATTATAGCAACTGACCTTGGCAGGATCAACAATTCCATTAGCAATCATATCAACAAACTCGTCCGTGTGTGCGTTGTATCCAGCCGCACCGGCCATGATCTTTTCAACAACAGTTCGTCCTTCAACGCCAGCATTATTAGCAATCGTTTCGCATGGTTTTCTGAAAACAAGCTTTTAGTTTTGTCGATCTTTAGCACAGTCCGTAGCGAGAAAGAGATAAAAAATTGGTGGCTTCTGTTCAAGTGTAGAGTCGTCTTTTGCTCGACTCCTGAGTTGTAGTAGTAGTATGGAAGGAGTCGAGCTCAGACGCTTCCGGTTTTCGTCATTAGCCAGGATTAATCAATTCCAAGATTAAAAACCGCGGGTTTTCCGCTGGAAACACTGATATGGTAATCGCTCTTACCTGATCGCTCGGCTGATGATGTCAACTCCGATCTGCTCGTCCTTGTTGTTAACTTCGACATTGGCGAGGGCGGGAATGCAACGGAGAAGGGCAACTCCACCGCCAGGGACCATACCGCCTTCGATGGCGCATCTAGTCGCGTTGAGAGCGTCCTCGACTCTATCCTTCTTCTCGCCCTGTTCGACTTCGCTCGCACCGCCGATCTTCAACGCAGCAACGCCGTCCGACAATCGGGCCAGTCGCTCGTTCAGCTTCTCGCGCTCGTACTCGGAGGTGGTGTCTTCCATCTGCTCCAAGATCGATCGGCAGCGGTGCTCGATCTGGTCTTTGTCGCCCTTGCCGCCCAGCATCAATGTGTCGTCCTTGGTGATGGTGACTTCGGCGACGTTGCCGAGATCCTCGAGCGTGCACTCTTCCAGTTTCTTGCCGACTTCGGTGCCGAAGACGTGTCCGCCAGTGGCGCAGGCGAGATCCTGGATCGTGTTCTTTCTGTTGTCGCCAAAGCCGGGCGCCTTGACCGCGACGACCTTGAGCCCGCCTTTGAGTCGGTTGAGCACGAGCGCCTGGATGGCCGATCCGTCGATGTCCTCGGCGATAATGATCAGCGGCTTTCCGGATCTAGCAGCAGCTTCGAGGGCGGGAACGAGTGGCTGAACGTCGGAGATCTTCTTTTCGCTCAAAAGAACCATCGCGTTCTCGTAAATGCACTTGAGGCCTTTGGTTTCGGTGACGAAGAAGGGCGAGATGTAACCCCGGTCGAACTTCATTCCTTCAATCACTTCCAACTCGTCGGTCAGGGTTTTTCCGTCCTTGACAGTGACGACGCCGCGGGGTCCAACTTTGGCCATAGCAGCGGCAATTAACTCGCCGACGGAGGAGTCGCCATTTGCAGAAATAGTCGCGACTTGGCAAATTTCTTCGTTGGAAATAACTTTTAAAGGGTTGACAAATAAAAAGCTCCTCTGGGAATTCGTCCTTCTCAATTTTTTCAACCCTTTTGCCTGGAATAGCCATGTTGTCCAATTCCTGCAAAACGACTTTTAGCGCCTTCTGAACTCCTCTTCGGACATCAGTTCCATTCGCCCCGTTTTCGATTTTCTTGAGTCCTTCGTTCAAAATCGCGCGCGCCAAGACCGTGGCCGAAGTAGTTCCGTCTCCAGCGTTCTCGTTCGTGTTATTAGCCACGTTCTGGACGAGCTTGACGCCGATGTTCTGAGTCGCGTCTTCCAAATCAATCGCTTTTGCCACTGACACGCCGTCCTTACAAAAAAACAGTTCAACGAAAATCATTTTTTGAAAGAGAAAATAGAGTAACGAAAAGATGCACTAAATTAGAATAAAACTTAGTATTACTGATTTGTTTTGATTACGATAAAATTGGAGTCCCCTCTTTTTACGGGGAAATTCATTTGGGGGTCACCAAGTTAACCGCCAAGGTAACGTCAAAGAGAGATTGGTGACCAGATATAACAGAGAGAATTTGCCCGTTAGAATGTCATTTAACAATGGAGACCCCTTATTCATTTTTAATAAGTAAGAAAAATATCTTGGCAACTACTCAGACTTATATGACAACAAATATTAATTAAAAAACATTTGAAACTAACCTTGGTAATTTTGGGTCCGCCCCAGCTCTGTTCGATGATGACTGTATTTCCCTTTGGCCCCATGGTCGTTTCGACGGCATCGGCGAGCAGATTCACTCCAGCTAGAATTTCCTTTCTTGCGTCTTGTCCGAAAACGAGATCTTTGGCCCCTCGAAGCTGCGAAATTCGCTGGACGACTTTTGAAGCGCCGTTTCGAAGCATTTTTTCAAATCTAAAATCATTTCCATTAAATTTTTTCTCCTATTTTCGCATTTAAAAAAAAAGCCTCTGAAATGCAATTTTCTCTTGCTGGTTTTTGGAAAGGGGGCGCTGGCCAATCAGCGCGCGCTGGGGAAAGATTTTCCAGTTTTTACTCGATTGTTTCGAGAATTCGAGAACTCGCCAGAAGTACACAAGAGAACCTTTCGTAAACGGACGAGAAGAATGCTGCTCTGGAGGAGGAATTTGAAGATTAATCATTTTTCGTATTCAAAAGGTAATTTTTTGTATAAAGAAACGACGAAAATTCTGAATTTTCGGACCAAAATCCTGACATTTTTGACTAAAACTTCGACTTTTCGACAAAAAATATCGACTTTTTCAAATATTGGTCGACTTTTTTTTTTACTAGAAAGTTCAATTTTCGACTAAATTTGAAGAAAATAAACAATTTTGCTTTTGGAGGTCCTTTTTCTACTCTTCATTCAAGGTCTCTCGTTTCCGCTTCTGTACCTGATCATTGGCTTTCTTGTGGTCTTGGTCTTGCCACTGCTGATCATCTATCACGTGGACCAGGTCAATTCCTCGATAACGACCGATTTCGTCGCTCCGGAACTTCAGCACTCCAAAGAATCAGTCCTCCTTCTTCACACTTTTTCAGGAACGGAAATCCACAATTCCACACATTATTTTTTCTTGAAGATGAAAAATTGTGTATCGCTGTTTTGAGGAGAAAGTGTAATCTATTCCCCTGGCGTCGCAGACTTGGCTGATTTGAGTGACAGAGCTCTTTGCTCAACCACCATCCAGCCTGATTACAGCTACCTCTCCAGAATTAAGGCAAGCTACTACACTAGAGAATACTTTTTTGGATCTATATTATTATTGAAATAAGAGGTTAGCGCCACTCGAATAATTCTAACTTCTAAGCCGCAAAATCTTGAAGCCGCAAAAAGTCTCGTTTTCAAGATTTTCGGCTTATATATTTCGGCCTTTTATTTTAATAATAAAATGAATCCGAATTAACCGAATTAAGAAGCGCGAAATTTTCATCGTCGTTTCAGGTCTCCTACTCGTGCTCAGTCGGAGATGTGATCGGTTTCGAGCTGTACAGCTACCTGAAAATGAAAATGCCTGGCTTCTCAAAAGAGAGCGAATTTATCAATCAACTTATTCTTACGTCTGACTATTCAAACAACCCGTCGATAAGTGCCGAAACGAATTCTCACATTCGCCTAAACCAATTCGCCACTTCAAGAGAACATCCAAATAGGTAATTTATTAGCATCAATCACTCATCGAAGCAGTCTTCTCAGCAGGGCTCGGAAACCTGTGTAGCAAGCCTGAGTCAGGATCAAAAAGAGCTTTGCTTCAAATAGTACCATTTCAATCTATTATACAATATCTTATTATCAATTTTATTCTACAAACTCTTAGCGCCCTGCTGCCTGCCAAAGGAGTAAACATCTCGCCTGCTTTTCTCCCATCCGTTTCTCCTTCTCTTTGGAACGGAGAAGAAGCGTTGAAGAATCAAACAAGGAGAAACATCAGATTCGACGAGTCACATCATCAAACCCGCTGGACTGCTGGCTCAGACGGCTCTTTTCAGCTTACAAGTAGGACTTTCTAGTGGTCAAAAATTCACTGCAAAAGTAAACATAAGAGCGAAATCCTGTGTAGAAACCTGAGTCAGGGTCCTGAACGATTCAAAAGAGATAGAGATGATTATTTTGGCGAAGCCGCTTTGCGGTCTCGTTATTGAAAAATAGCCGCTACGCGGCTCTACATGAAACTCTTTCGAGACCCTGACTCAGGTTTTCACGCAGGTTCTCGAGCTCAGCTCTCGTTTAAATTACGAGATTAGAGTTTAATCCTTTTTATTCTTCTTTATGTTCGTGCTTCTAGAACGCATTGTTCTAAGTACAGTTATTAGTCAACCTTGCGAGTATTAGTGCGTTTCTAACATAAAGTTACAGTGAATTATGAATTGGCCACCATGTCCGTCCAGCGCGAAGCCAGTACTTGGAGCTCGATTAAATATAGATTTATTCAATACATGGCGTTTTTCACAGGTAGCATCACAATTCTTTTTTGTTAGTCTTCTATGTCTTCAGTTTTCGCCTTCGTCTTCGACAAGCTCAACGACTTCCTCTTCCAATGCGGCGTATTTGCCAGCTTTTCGAAATTGGAGAAAATCAACCAATTCAAGAAGGATTGAAAAAAATAACTATTGAGAAACTATTTCTCACTGCCCTGGGCTCAGAACCCTGCGTAGAAACCTGAGTAAGGGTGCTGAAAGATAACCATTGTATTTTTAAAAATCTGCTCTTTCAGGACCCTGACTCAGGTTTCCACACAGGTTTTCGAGCCCAGTCACTGCCCCTTTCTTTGATATTCATTTTCTATTTTTTTAAGAACCTTTCTGATTATTATTTTTTAGCAAAATTAACGATTTTCGACCTTTTCTCTATCATTTTATTTTTTAGACTGCTAGACACTTAAGATCGCTAGACTGTCTACCAGACAGACAGAATTGAACTTGGTCGTCGAAAATCGATACATTCCATTTTCGCCAGAGAAGAAAAAGAAGCGAAAGTTTTAAAACTATTTATTATTATTATTTTTTTCCGAGCGAGGCGAGAAAATGAAATATTCATGGCTTCGTTTTATTATTTTTCTTCTGTTCCATTTCTATTCATTTCTGACTGGCCCGAATTATCGATTACTGATCGATAATTTCGCAAAATTCCGATCTCCGCCAGATTTTTTTTTTAATTTTATATCTTTTATTTTTTGATTTCAGAGAAGTTAAATTTGACAACGGAAGAATGGGGCTAGCGACTTGATTCTTTCGGCGATGAAGCCATCCAAACGAGCGCCCAGAAAAGTAAGAACAGTCTACTTTGAAAAGTTGGAATTTTATTCGCTCGTTTCAGGCATGGGAAGTGTTTCCGGGGAAGAACACGTTCTACTGCGACGGGCGGCTGATCACGGCGAACGACAAGACCGTCTTGTGCATCACAGCATCTCTTATTAGCTTGACGACTGGACTCTTCCTCTTCAACGACTACCGCATTACTCTTCGCGATCAACCGGTCGGTGAAACTCAATTTTTGATTGATCAGTTCTCTTTTGCAGTTTTCAAAGTTAACAAAGTAACACCCTTATTTTTCTCCATCTTATAACTAGAGAACCCGCTTGCTGGTGGAAGAAAATAAGGGTTTTACTTCGTTAAATAGGAGGCAAATGCAGTTCTTGATTGTGACCACAATCTGACAATTCCATTTAGTACGGCGTGTACATGCTCTTCGCCTGTCTGCTGCTCTACTTCTTCGTGATGCTGATGTTGTTCCGGACTTCGTTTTCTGACCCAGGCATAATTCCACGAGCTTCCTCTTCCCAAAGCGCGCAAGTCGAGCGCCAACTGATCGACGCCGACGTGCGCAAAAACGGCTACACTGGCTACAAACCACCGGTAATTCAAAACCACGCCTCGAAATTACTTCAAATTTCTGTTTAGCCGCGCGTGCAAGAGATCGAAATCAACGGAGTGACGATGAAGCAGAAATACTGCTTCACTTGCAAAATCTTCCGCCCGCCACGGTCTTCCCACTGCTCGATTTGCGACAACTGCGTCGACAGATTCGATCATCACTGCCCATGGGTGAGCTACTCTTCATCTTCTTCTTGAGAGAATCTGTGAAATTTAGGTTGGAAACTGCATCGGCCGCCGCAATTATCGCTACTTCTATTTATTCCTCGCCTCACTTTCGCCACGGGTTTTAAAAAGTACTTCATTTTGACCAATCAAAAGGCTCGATTGACCAAATGAGCCAACCAGATATCGAATAGCGCTAAATTCAAGTTTTGTTTGCCCGAAATTCGAAACCCGATTCTAGTGCCTATGCTTATTAATCTTCTCCTGCTCCTTGATGAACTTGATGATTCTCTCGAAGGACAAGTACGAAGGAGAAATACTCGCCGCGCTTCAAGAATCCTGGCCTTCCGCATTTGAAATATTCGTTAGCTTCTTTTCAATTTGGTGAGTTTTATTTTTATTTGAAAACAACGAGGACTGTTCCAGTAAAAGAAACGAAAGGGTTGTTTTTTTAGCTAAAAGAGGGTCTTCGTCAGATTTGAGACTGAAAGTTATTCAAAATTAGCAATGGTCTTAAAATCTGGGTTCGGCAACTTGCGTCGAAAACCTGAGTCAGGGTCCTGAAAAAGCTTTTTTACGCGGCTTTTGAAAAAAATCAAGCCGCAAAGCTTCCGTTAGCGCCGATACTAACATATGTCTTTCTGGTCCCTGACTCAGGTTTTCTACACAGGTTATCCAGTTCAGTTCAAACCTGTATTTTCGTTGACTTCGAATCCGAATGAAAGTCCGACTGCGTTCGGCTAGCGTTGCTTGTGTTCTATTTACCGGCTTCTTTACGAATTCAACTATTGTTGATTTAAAATAATCGAGAAGCCGCCAACCGGAGTGTTCATTTTGTCGATGAAGGCTTTGTAGCAAAAAAGAATAACGCAGGCGATGAGCACCCCCGCAATGGCTGGAATCGCCACTGCCAGCGGTGCCGAAATTTCTCTGAAGACAAGTTTACGGGAAATCATTTTTCGCCTTCCAAAAATTCGGCCAGACCTGATAAAATCCGAAAAAGCGCTCTCTTCATTTTCACTATTTTCAACTTCGTAGTTCCCAAGTTCGTCTATGTTTAAAACTTCCTCTGACATGGAAATAGCTTATTTAGCTTTATTCACTTTTTTTCTTTTTTTGGAAAAAAATGTTGTTTCTCGAGTTCATCTCATTAGCATCGATCGAGTCAGTCCTGCCGTATGCCAGGCCGAGCATTAAGGTCAATCAAAGTCGGAATTTACGTCTTTTCCTCTTCTGGAGTTTAAAATCACAGAATAACAAATTGCTAAATGCAAACTTTTCAGGTCTGTGGTCGGCCTCACTTGTTTCCACACCTACCTAACCTCCACCAACACCACGACCAATGAAGACATCAAGGGATCGTGGAAGAAGAACAGAGCAGCCAGGGTAAGAGCTTCAACTTTTTCGTAAAGCGTACCCTTACAATCAAGAAGCCGCTTGCGGCTTCGAGCAAATAAAAAGTTGGAAAAGCTGTGCATTGAGCGGCTTGAGTTTTCTTTTGCTCGAAGCCGCAAGCGGCTTCCCGATACTCAGCCAATTACATATGCTATCTTATGTTATTATGATTGAAAAGTCAACTGCTAGAATCCGTTTTCCCGCGGCTCCTGTCCGTCCAACTGCATCCACGTGCTCTGCGCTCCTTTACCAGCGCGCAGCTTCAACCCGCGCGCCCCTGCCAACATCGACCAGCACGAAATTTACAACAAAGTCGCCGAGCTCCGAGACGGCAACCGCAACAACCGCCATGACTCCCAGGTTCAGATTCAAACGCTTTCGAATTTCCCCAATTCGATTTAGCTGCGAGTATAGCTGCTTTTCCCAACAAGCGCACGAAAAAAAAAGAAAACACAATTCCTCGAAAATACACTTTTTGCACTTTTCTTCAAAGCTTTTTCTGCGAATTCTTCACAAACTGAACCGGCGTATGAAATACATAAACACTTCAAATTTCCTCTCCCGGTCAGAGCGTCAAGATCGCTCTTTCTGGAAAACAAGAAACTATTACAAACAAGCCATAAAACTTCGAGAAAGAAACAAGAGGCGATTGGGTTGTATTGGCAGTTTTTCTAAGTGTGTTTTTTCGTGCAGTGAAAATGAATATTAGCGTCTTTCCTTTAATTATTGTCCAGGAGTCCTTCTTTCTTTAGCTTTTCCGTCACGTGGGTGAGGATGTGTTCTCGGAAGATGGCCTCCACTCTGCTCGTGAATGTGCAGTTCGTTCCTTCTATCCGTTTGCAGCTGAACTCGCGGGGAATGAGTCGAACTCGCTCCTGCTTTGGCGCCGGTTCCAGCAGCTCGTCTTCCTCGCTGAAGTCATTTTCAGTTCAAATATTCGAAAGCGAATCTTTCAAAAGCATCATCGATCCGGCTTCCCAAAAATAACAAAGGCCTTACCTTTCATTTAAAATGCTACTCATCGTTTTCGATCGTTTCATTTTGAAGGGGCAGTTTTTGTAGAGTTCTTCCATCATTTTCTCGTGGTTGGCTCTTTCGACCTCTGGGCGGCGCGGTCGCTTGCGCTGAAGAATCGCCAGACAGTCTGCGTGTCGTCGCTGATACTTGATTCCGCACTTCGGGCAGGTCTTGCTTTGGTTTTGACTTTCAGAGGAAATCGTTTGCAGCGGCTCGCCGGGAAGCCGCTCGGCCGTCCGTGGAGACGACCTTCGTGGTGGAGCAAGTGCTGGTCGAGGAATTCGCGGCGCGAGAATTCCACGTTTCTCGTGCAAATTGGGCAACTGAACATTACACTAGAGAAACTTGCTCTTTTACGCGTATTAACCTGTAGGTCTTCGGAGTTTCTTCCTCCTCCTCGTCGTCGTGAACATGCTCGATTTCGGATCTTCTCTTCCTTTTCCGCGAATTAGTGATTAGCTGTGGACTTCCGTTCGTCGCTTCCGCACTTTTCGACTCTTTCTTTTGCTCTCTTTCTTTCTTTGCAGCCTTGCTCTTTCCGATTTCTTTGACGAATGAGCCTGCTTTTCGACCTAAAAGGCAGAAATAAGTCTAATTCCAAGGAAAGCGTACCTGTATGAACTCTGATGTGCGTTTTGAGATCTTGCGCGTCTTTGAAGAATTTTCCGCATATTTTGCATTCGTTCGAGTCGCCAGAATGCACCGTAGTCAGGTGATACTGCAGCGCTACTTTTTGGATGAAGCCTCGCCCGCAAATGTTGCAATCGAAAAGACTTTCGCCTGGGACTCTTTGGTAAATGAAAATGTGAAAGTGGATCTGGTACCTGTGTGGATTCGATGGTGGCGGCGCATATTCGAGTGCTGGGAAAACATTTTCCCACAATCGGGACATTCGAATTGCGGCATCTTTTCCCAGTTGACGTCCGAGTGCTCCGCTTTCATGTGTTCCCTAAAATCAGAAATCGACCCATCGAGTCGCTGCAGTCTACCTGTATTGAGGAGCATCGTTGAACCGAGTCTTGCAAAGGGAGCAGGTGCGAATCAGCGTTCCATTCATATTCGTGCCGATTTCGCTTTCTTTCGAGCCCGCTTTTTGTTGGCAAGGAAGAAGGACTCGCCAGAAAGGAGCTTCTCTTCCTGATTCGAAAGGGAAGTGTCGATCTCTTCGATTTCCTCGCTTTCGTCTTCTCCCTCGACGCCGTCGAAGTCGAATTTGACGATTTCGACTTCGTTTTTGACGCTATTCGACTGATTTTGGTTTTGCTTTTGGCCGTTGGAGATTTGAAGCTTTCGCTTGAATTTGAATTTTGTTAGAAGAAGAATTAAGACTGTAGCTTACCAGACTTGAGATGTTTTCTTGGGAAAGAGACTTTTTCGACTTTCTGTCGGATTTTCTCGGAATCACGAAGTTCTCTTCTATGTTTTCATTTTCTTCAGAGTGGCTTTTGGAATTTTTTAAAAAGGGGATTATCGGAGAGAGTATTAATCTTCACGAATTTCATAAAAAACTAATTTTCTTCGTTGTTAAAAAATTTGAAAGCCTTTCCTTCAAAACTCGGCGCCTCGAAGTTGGGATTGTCCTTGTGTCTTCCAAACGCGTCAAAGATCCAGTAGTCTTTGTGCGTTCTGGCCATGTGCGTGGCCAGCGTCCGCGGATCCGGATGCTTGCTCTCGCAAACGTCGCAAGTCTCCGTGCTCAGCATTACGTTGTAATCGGACTCGAGGTGGTTCTGGCGCCAGTGTCGCTTCAAGGCCGCCTCGTTGTAGAGGGACAAGTCGCAGAAGCCGCAATACGTCATTTTCGGATTCGTCGAAGAGATGCGTTTTCGCCCTCTGCTCTTTTTCCCTTTGCCGCGGCGGAATATGGAGTGAAGATTTCCTTGTCTGAAGCGGCTTCTTCGTTTTCCTCCACTTCTTCATCTTCATCTTCTTCCTCCTCCTCGTCTGAATCTTCGAATTCGCGCTCTTCTTCCACTTCTCTTTTTCATCATCATCATCATCGTCCTCGTCTTCCATTTCATCGACATCGTCTTCGCCATCTCCCTCGTCGGAAGAGGAGGTTCTCACTTCATTGAGCGCAATGCCGTTCTCTTGCGCAATTTTGGCCCTTTCGACTGCTCTTCTGATCGAGTTGTGGTCCATGCTTCGATGCGTCTCTCTCAGGTGCCGCTGAAGAGCGAAGGTGCTTCTGTAAGTCCGCCCCTCGCAAATGTGGCAGGCGAAGGTCTTGCCGGCTTTGACGTCGTCCTCCATGCTGCGGTGGATTTTGGTGATGTGCACACCGAAGTTGCGCAGATTCTGGAAGATCTTGTGGCAGCACTTCAGGTTCTCGATGTAGCAGCCTTCGATGGCCCGGCATCTTTCTATCAGCGCCGCGTATTTCGGCTCTTTTCAAAGGTTTGAAATGGAAATAACAAAATGCCCCTTTTCCAAGGTTTCAAGCCTGTTCCTAGTCGATCCACGTCGATGACCTGCTTCGCTTCTCTTTTGTCGTCTGCGAGGACGTAGCTGGTCGTCCGGTTGGAGCGCTCCATCGCCCCTCTTCTTTTCGCCTTTTAAAATAGTAAAAATAGTAATTTAGTAATTTTCGACGGTACTTTTCTGCGAGTAGTGCGCGCCAGAGCGAGACAACAATCTCGCTGGATGCATGACGGCGTGGGTTCGCCCTTAGGCCTTATTCTTTCCAAAAATGAAGAAAAATACTTTCACTTCGATAAAAGGCTGATGCTCGAATTCGCAGTCTGCGAAAAAGCAAAAATGATTCATGCGAATTTTCTCGCGAAAATGGCGTTTTCGAGCCGTTTTTCTAGCTCGAAATTAGCTTTGAAATTAAGTCTTAAAATTTCAGTAATAAATGTTACTGACTGTAACGAACAGTACTATCAATCGCTGATCTTCCTGTAGCTCAGTTACTAAAACCTTTTTCGACTCGAAAACGAGCGTTTTCAGAAAGAAGCGCTTTTTCTTCCATGATTCCCGTTTTTGCTCGAAAACGAGTCGAATTCTCAACAAACCAGTTTAAAAGTGCTCCTTACCTGGCCAGAGTTGTCAGTTCACTTTTCGACTGCTCGAGAAAAAGAGGAAAACTTTACTTTTTGTCGAGATTGAAAAAGAATCAACCGCCTTGATCGCGAACTTTCAAAATGGCGCATATAAAACCAGGTGAGCCGGGCAAAAGCCACACTTTTCGAGAGAGAAAAACGCTAAAAATGACAAAAACCGACGAAAACAACAATTTAGTAATTGCCACTTCCCAAACTTCGAGCGGACAAGACGACACCATGCAGGGAATCGCCGAAATTGCCTCTTCTCAATCCACATTGTCTTCCGCCGAGACTCCTACTCCATCTACCGAGAATTCATCCGTAAGTCATTAGATTTGAGCTAATTGAAGCCCTGACTCAGCTTTTCGAGCCCAGAAAGAGTAAGCTCTAATACTTTTCTTTAGGGCAAGAATAGCAACTCCGGCCCATCCACGACTCCTTTCGGCGCTGACAACAACAACGAGAAGCCGAAAAGCCGAACAACTTCTAGCTTCAAAAGAACGCAGAAAACAGCGGTTCTGAAAATGAAAACTTGGTCGAAGAAGATTCTCAGGGCGGTGACGAGGACGGTCCAAAAGCCGCTGCCTTTGGGGACGAGCAAAACGGTAAAATCGAATTCAACTAGCGCTCCTTTTTAAGAGTTTTTAAGGCGATGACAATAATAATCGAAAAGCCGGCTTCCACCGAGACGAGCACTTCCAGCGCCGATTGGATTTCTTCAAAGACAAGGAGCACCCCTGGATCTTCGATCGAGAGTACACTTACAAGCACGAAGAAGGCCCTAATGCCGGGGAAAAGGTCGATCTCGCCTACTTCAACGCTCACCAAAAATTCCTGGAGAAAAAGAGGGCGATGAATAGTGCTAAAGGCGGTGGATTCCAAGATGTCACCAAAATTGGCGAAAACTCTGGCGCCTCCTCCGAGGCAGACGTTCCTTCTTGCGGCTCTGATACAGAAGAAGACGAAACGGACAAAGAAGATGCTGGCGAGATGGGCGCTCCCCAAAATCAGCTTTTTCCGGCGAAGAGAAAAAGGAGGATGAAGACTCCAGCGATCAGAAATCGGAGAAATCCGAAACCAAGCCGGAGAAGAAGAAAGGAGGATTCGGGAATGAAGATGGAAGCGATGGCTCTTCTGAAAAGCTGACGGAAGCGGAAATGAATATTTTCAATCGACTCATGGACAGTAAGTTTATTTAGATCAGAAAAATTTGCTCAAAGTAGAAGTTGAAAAAATGAATCGACAAACTTTGATTATAGACAATCGGCTCTACAGCGGGCACATTTGCCACGCGCTTGAAGACAACGAGGAGCTGCACAAAAACAACGATCTCGGCGAAGAACTCGAAAAGATCGAAAGCCTCCATTTCCAGGTCACCCAAGCTGTCAAGGACGAGGTCGAAATTATCGCCCCGGAGAAGTATCTCTGCAACTCCTTCGACGATCTCACTCAACTCAACGAGAAGTTGAAGAGGAACCTGAGCGTTTACGGCTGGGAAAAGCCGCTTCTCGTCCAGCGAGTGTCGATGCGCCCGATTCAAGAGCAACAGGACATTCTCGTCAATGCCCAAACCGGCTCTGGAAAGACGGGAGCGTTCTTGATTCCAATCATCAACCACATTTTGACCAACAAAAGGTAATCATATTCAGTTTGAACGTTTTCAAAAAGCCACTTCTTTTTCAAGAGAGAAGAAATTCCCAAACGAGGACGAATCTGGAATTCCGGGCGTCGATGTCATCGGAATCGACCCTCGAGCGTTGATCATGACGCCAACGCGCGAACTGGCGATTCAAATTGCCAAGGAAGCGATCAAACTAACTCGTGGACTCGAGCGTAAGTCCTTTTTCTGATCTCTCTTTCGAGCAATTACTTTCAGGCGAGGAGATCAAGATCTGCAACCTCTACGGCGGCACGAAGCGCTCTACCCAGCGCTTCCACGCGTTTGGAGCGGACATCATCGTTGGCACTCCCGGCCGCGTCGCTGACATCTTGTTTCCAAGCGTCGAAGGTGCAACTAAGGTGATGAGCGATCAAATAAGACTACCCCTTAAAAAACTTGTAGCAACACTTTGAGAGTTGCGAGTTCGTCGTCCTGGACGAAGCAGATCGAATGCTGGACAACGGCTTCGGCGAACTCAACAACATCATCATCAACAAGATCAAGGAAAAACGCAGTAGCGCGGGTCCAGTCAGCAAGGTCCTTACTTCCGCTACCTTTCCCGCTGAAGTGCAGGTTTTCGCCAACAAGTTTCTGCGCCCAGATTACTTGTACGCTCAGTGCGGAATTCTCAACGCTCCATGGTAAAAACGCTCCATCTTTTTGTTCTTTTAATTGAACTAATTTTTTAAAATAGCGCGTCCGTGAAGCAACAAGTGATCAAAGTCGAAGGGCTGAACAACAAGTTCGAGCAGCTCAGGTCCGTCCTCGAGGAATTTCAAATCGGCAGCGGCAAGAAGGCGCTCGTTTTCGCCAACACAAAAACGCGAGTCGACTACTTGGGCTGCATGCTCTCCGAGTCCATGGATTTCACTTGCATGACGATGCACGGCGATCGATCCCAGGAGCAGCGGGAATTCGCGCTTTGGACTTTTGCCACGACCAACTGCCACGTTTTGATCGCCACTAACGTGGCCGCCCGTGGATTGGACATTCCCGCGGTCGACTTGATCGTCAACTTCGACTGCTCCGACATCGAGTACTTCCACGACGACTTCATCCACCGAATCGGGCGCACTGGACGCGTTGGTCGACCGGGCACAGCCGTCACCTTCATCCAAGAAGGAGGAAGATTCAGCGACGAGAAAAAAGTCCCCATCCTCGTCAAACTCATGAAGGTAAATTACGAATACTGGAAATCGTTTTCAATCAATCTACTTAGGACGTGAAGGCTGAGGTGCCAGAGTGGCTTCAAGAAATGGCCGACAACACTCCCGATTCGGACGAGGAGGAGAAGAGCAACGACGCTGCCAGCGTTACCAGTCGAATCTCGTCGAAAGCTGCTTCCTCCAAGTCCTGCCCGACGCTCATTGGCGAGAGCGACGATGAGGACGAAAACAAGGAGGACGACTCTCCCGAAGCGCAAGAAAAATTCCGACTCGCTCTTGGTGGCTTCGACGAATCCTAAAATCCAAGAGCTACTCATCTTACTGCTTTCTTTATTGATATTTCCTTTTGAATTATTTGAAACCAAAGTTCTGCTTGTAACCATCAGAAATTGAGTCCATCAACTATTTACTGACAAATAAAATTTTGAAATAAAACAACAATCGAAAACTGAATTTTCCTTGTACCATGAGTAGTGAACAATTCTGAACGCAGTCAAGCTATTATCTAATTACTGTCTCAGGTTGTCAAGCCCAGTAATCAAGGTACTGAAGGATAGCCCCAAATTTCAAATTCCGCAGCAAAAAATTCGAGAAAATCGAATTGAAAAAAAAATACTCATCTATGATTTCAACGCCGCTGCCCGCGCTGCTCCGATTTCTTCGACTCAAAAGTGTCCAAGATAGCGATTGGCTCCAGACCTTGCTGACCACGTGTTTCGAGGCGTATTTAAACGGTCGTGACTCGTCCGAAACCATCATTTTCCACATAAAAAAATATGGAGAAAATGCCGAAAAAACGAGCTGAGAAGAGAATCAATTTTGCGGGAGGAGGAACATCAACTGCTCAGATGATTCGCCCCTCCAAACAAGGTAATTTTAATTTCCAGCCAATTCTAGAGAATTTTAATTCAATTTTTTCAGAAACAGCGAAAGAGTTCCTCTTTCAAAAAACGCCGACGTCAGTCTACGTGTCGAGGCGATTCGTGAAGAAAATGCTGGTGATTGGAATCTCCGAAGTCTGCAGGCAGCGACTCGCCTTTGCGGAAGATGAGTTCACGTCGAGGACTGCGGGAGACATGAAAGTTCAGGTTCTCAATCCATTCGAAGAGAGCGGAAATGACAATGCCGATTCTATGAAGGGCTGGCTTCGCACGATTTTCAACTTGGCGGAAAAAGGATGGCTCTCCAAAGTCTTCATTTGCATCGGAAAGGGGGTTAGTTCGAAAATCATGGTTTCATTTCTTGAAAATTAAATTTCAGAATGCTCCAGAAAAGAAGCCGCTGGAAGTGTACGGCTTCGGCATCAAAGAGACGGACATTTGCAAAGAAATGGACGAACACGCGGTGATCGACTTAACTGAAGACGAGGACGCGCAGCTGAGAAACGAAGCGGAAGATCTTCTTCAAGGAATCAAAAAGAAAATTCCCAAAACTCCGCTCGACGACGTGAAATTCTCCATCGTAAGTCTTAGATTTCCAGTCCAGAATCGATCTTCTTCTTTTAGCAAGTGGTGCTCAACGATCAGGCGCCAGAAAAACTCGACTTAGAAGACTTCCACTCTTCCAGACAACCAGAAGTGAAGAGGGCAAGGACGCTCTTCGAGCGGGGATGCAAGACGCCCTTCCACAAGATTAGAACCATCGGAGTTCAGGCCGGAAAAAAGGAGGACGACGGCGACAGTTCTCCCTCTGGCTGGTAGTTTTTTCACTGTTTCTACTCCTTTTCCCTTTTTTATTGAATAAATAAACTGATAAGTTATCAACTATGAGTTAACAGTTATGAAATTTGAAGGATTGTTACAATGAAAAATATGCGTATTACTGTAGAAAAGGACTGAAGCTGGGATCAATTGTTGGGTCAGCTAGGCTGCCTGTGTGGAAAACCTGAGTCAGGGTCTGAAAAGTAATTTTGCGAAGCCGCTGGCTTTTCATTGAAGATCTTTCAGACCCTGACTCAGGTTTTCTACACAGGTTGGCGAGCTCAGACCCGCTGGCTGAGTCGATGAGTCATCGCAGCGCATGGCTCCACGGAGCTCTTTCTCAGCGCGGGAAATTTTAAAAATTTCCGACTTCCTCCCTTTTTTTCATCTGCTACGAGAAATTGACATTTTTACGAAAAAAATGCGTGCTTTATTATTAACGCTCGAGTCATTTTTTAAATAAAATTAATTTCTAAAAAGCCGTTTTTTCAGAAAGCGGCAGAAATGAATTTATTGCCGAAGCGTGGGACCGATTTCGCCAAGAAAGACTACTGGACCGACTTTTTCAACAAAAGAAAAGACCCCTTCGAGTGGTATGGCTCCTACATGGAACTGAACGAGTACTTCATCAAATACGTCAAGCCGGAAGACGAAATCCTCATGGTCGGCTGCGGCAATTCGGAACTCTCCGACGAGCTGCACGACATGTAAGACAGATTCTTCGGAAAGCGCGTTAATTCTCATTCGATCAGGCAGAAGTGCAAACTCATCACCAACATCGACATCTCCGAAAACGTCATCAAACGAATGCAGAAAAAGGCCGAAGAGTCGAAGCGACAGATGATTTACGAAGTCGGCGATGTTACTGAACTCAAGTACAGGTCTGGGCTCAAAACACAGGCTTTCTTTAGTAAAAAGGATGCCCTGACTCAGGATCCGGAGTGCGGACACAGGCTGTCGTGTTCCATGAGTTCTTTAAATTGAAGATTTGAAGGGATTGAGCCGCGAAAGAGACCAGCAATTCAACTGCGTGATCGACAAAGGCACCTTGGACGCGATGATGGTGGACGACAGCGACGAGACGTGTCAGCTGATCGCGCGGATGTTCGACGAAATCGGCCGCGTGCTCAAGTCTGGCGGGCGCTACATCCTCATTACTCTGGCGCAGGAACACATCGCCAAGTTCGTGGCGCAAGAATTCGAGCTGCGCAAAGGCTGGATGCTGCGCCTGCACGAGCACATTCCCTCGGGCAGCGAAGACGGCGTCATTCCACTGCCCGTCTTCGTCATCGTCCTCACCAGATTGAGATACAAGGACGGAACCGCTCCGGACAAGCTGATGGAGATATTCCCAGCGGTGGAAGCGCACTCGAACCCTAAACCGATGAGAGCATACACCGCGGATGAAATCTCGGACTTTTGCAAAAGCAGACAAGAATGGAGCCAGCTCAAGGGCTTGGTCTCGAGAACGCTGCAGTCAGAAGGTAAATCTACTTTCTTTTTTGTTAGTGGAAGTTTATTTTTCATTTTATTTTTTTTAGCTTTTTCACTTGCCCGGAACTACAGCTTCAGTTTCATTTTTTATTGTACGTTCTGTCGATATCATCATAATTTTTGAAGACCATTTCTTCGTACGACAAATTATTGTTGCCTCGTTTTCGGGTTCAGTTTCATTTTATTTTATTTTCGATATAAAAAAGCTCAAAGCTCCCTTTTTATACCTCAAAAATCAGCCGAGGGCGCTACTTTTGCTAGTAAACATAGTAAAATCTCAGTTGGATATTTGCAAAGATGCGATTTTTGTCGTCAAAATAAATTATGATAACCTACTTTCGCGCAAATAGAGAATTAGGCTTCGTAAACAGCCCAATTCTTTTTCTATTTCTATCCGTTCTATCTATTGATCGACAGAAAGAGGTAATTCTTATTTAGTGCATTTCTCGATGTACAGCAAAGGCAGCGACGTGCCTCGCTTCGACCTGTACGTAGTGGACGACAGCCGAGGAGTGAGAGACATGGCTTTTTTCATCGTGGCGGCTGGGCGCGAGTTCGACTGGAGCTACAGTAGTCCGCAAGGGCGAAAGCAGTTTCTGAATGAGCTGAGAGACATGACAGGCGGCGGTTTCAAGCGAATGGTCTATGTTTTGAAGAACATGGTCCACTCGTACGGAAACAACGATCAGGTCAAGGTTGGTAAGAGAGATTTCCTTTTGTTTTCTAGTTTTGGTTTAGGAAGAGCTCTCCTGGCTGGTGAAAGAACTCAAGCACAGAAAATGCTACGACCGGCAGATTCCGTTTTTGACGGAGGGCGAGGACCAGGCGAGGAGCTACGTCGCTTCCGGCAAAAGCGAACTCTCCGGCGAGTACATCATCGAGGAGTCGAAGGCGAGAGGGCAGGACGGAAGCGAGTGCGCCTACAGAAGACTCATTTTCAAGAACCAGCCCACTTTGGTCCAGTCAGAGTGCAAAGTAAAGATGGAGTTTGAACGCGTCAAAAAAGGCAAAAAGAAAATAACGGTGCGAAATATTTCTTTGAGAATTGAAGCAATTCTCTTTTCAGAAACTGAGAAGGATATTCGACAAGAGCTACGTCGCTTCGGAGTACTACTACGGACTCGTCTCGGCGCTGGACATGATCGCCAAGAACGTAAAAGAACCGAAAGTGCTGGTAATCGGCCTTGGCGGCGGCGTTTTGTCGAACTTCCTGGAAGCGCGATATCCGGCCGCCGCGTTGACTTCCGTCGAAATCGACCCCGTCATGGTGAAAATTGCGAGAGTGTACTTTGATCTGCCGGAGACCTGCAACGTCGTCGTCGCGGACGGGCTTAAATTTTTGGAGGAAAGGAAGGAGCAATACGATCTGATCATTTTGGACGTCGATCAGAAGGATCCCTCGCTTGCCTTGAGGTAACAAACTTTGCTGAACGAACACCATAATTTCGATTCTAACTTGAGAAGCCCAACTTTCTCGTTCCTCTACTTATCTAATTATGCATAAAGTCGTCGGGGCGCTCTCTGGGGCTGCTACTTCGTCTAGGGCCTCTTTCTTTCAACCCTAACCCACATCACATGTGTACCCTCCCGACCTCGGGGAGGCACCGGGGCTTCCAGGGCGCCGCCTAAGGAAGTCCCGCAATCTGAGGTTGAGTGTCCCCGGCGACAGATAACGCGTTTTTTAGCTAATTTTTTACGCCCGACTCTAACGGGCCCTTTTCCGAAAAAAAAAACAGAACCTCTTCTTTGAACAGCGTCACTGTCGAATTTGGGCTCTTTTTGCAGCGATCGTTTCCCCTTAAAAGAGGTGTTTTAGGTGTCCTCCTGAGCCGTTCATCACAGAATCGTCGCTAGAAATGTGGAAAAACGGGCTGCGCGAAGGCGGCGTGCTGGCAATCAATCTCGTCTGCCGCCACTCGGAGCAGCGAGTCGAGATCGTCAAGCGCTGCGAAAAAGTGTTCAGCACGGCGATCGTCGGAAACTGCACAGAGGGCGACATCAACAAGACGCTCCTGCTCTCGGCGAGCAACATTCGAAAGCCACTCGCCGAGGCTGTGAAAGCAGCGACGTGGCAAAGCGAGCAGGACTCGCAGTGCGTCGCCAGAATGTTCCAGAGTTTGCGATTTTAGACGAAGGAAAGTGAAAGAAACGAAAGAAAAATAGAAGAATAAGAAGCGCCGTCTTTTCCTGAAAGTCAATGAAATGCACAATTTTCCACTTTCAATTAAAGTTCAATTAAAGAAAAAGAAAAGCCCAAAAACACTTTCTTGATGTTCGATTTTTCTTTTCAGAATTTTGAAAATCGCTCGATCAGAATGTCGGGCTACGGCCACAAGGTGCAGAAGGTGATGGTTCAGCCCATCAACCTCGTTTTCCGCTTTTTCCAGAAGAAGATCCGCGTCCAGGTATTTCACTCGTAAATTCGTATGATGGAAAGAAGAAGACTCTCAGATCTGGCTCTACGACGTCGTCAACTTGAGACTTGAAGGAGTGATCGTTGGATTCGACGAGTACATGAACCTCGTCCTCGACGACGTCGAAGAAATGCACGTCAAGGTATGCCAGAGTTATTTACAGTCATCTTCAACTTTGATTTCCAGACTCACTTCAAACGAAACGTCGGACGAATCCTGCTCAAGGGCGACAACATCACTCTCATCCAACAGGCGCCCCAATAAAACACCTTCTTCCTCATCTGAAGCTGCCTTTTCCAATCGAAAGTTAATAATACTGTGTCACAAAGATTACTGTAGTTTGAAGGCCGACGTAGCCTTCGAATGGCAGTTTATGACTGTTATTTCCATTCCTTTGAGTAAAACGCAAGCTCCTTAAAATTTCCGGAGAGACAGCCTTGAAATTCATCTGCTGGGAATAAGGCTGCCTCTTGTCTAACTTGCTAAAGTTCTTTTGCAAAAAAAGACTAGACGATTGTTGATTTATCCGACTGCAAATCGCGACAAATCAAAACTTGGCAACTCGAAGGGCAGAATAAATATATTTTGGGGAATTATTAGAAAGTTCCTCGAGGACCAACATGCTCGAATTTTCCGGCGCCGAGTCCCATCGCAGAGTTGCTACAAAAACGATAAAAAATGAATAAAAAAGTGAATCTTACAGGGCCATGGATTGATGAGACCAGGAGTGGGTCTTTGCAGCGCGCTCGCCTTCGAAGTTTTTGAAGATTGCCAAGTTGTAGGGACTGGTGTAGCCGTTCGAGGGCCAGTACTCCGGGTTGCCGTTGTCGCCGATTCCGTGGCCGCCGACCTGAAATTTTAAAGCTCAATCATAATTCGAAAATAGCCTTTGTTTCGGCCAAAAATGAGATCAATGTCTACCTTCCAGGTTGGGTCGAATCCAGAAGCAACGATGTTGACAGCTTCACCTTCCATCTGTTCTTTCAAAGACCTAAAAATGACTTAAACAGAAGAACGCTATTGAATTTAATACCTGAGTTCGTCTCTGTCGATTTCGGCCTCGTAGAGGGGCATGCAAGCCATGTCAATGTTCTGTCCCTCCCAGAAGGACTCCTGTTCCCACTGGACGCGTCGGGAAGTGACAGTTCGCTCGAGCCAGTAAGCGACGAAGCCGGCGACGAGCATGTGGATGTAGCTCATTCCTCGGTGGGGAATGTTGCGCCGCCAGGGCATTTGAGGATAGCCGCCTGGAGGAGGCATGTCTTGGCGGTAAGCGGCGCTTCGGAAGAGCCGAGCGCAGGTGCTCCGGGAGCACAGCAGTCGGTTCATCGCTTCTACTTTTCGATTTCTAAACTGAGCGAAAAATTAGCTTTTCTTTCTGAAATTGAGAGAGGAAAATGTGAAGTATGAAATGTGTCACAGGTTGCCGAGCCTTTCTGGAGATTCTGGAGAATTTTATCGAGATTTTTAATCAATGAATCGCATTCAAAAAGACTAAAATCTAGAATTATAAATAGAAAAACGAAGTTTTAGATATGATGCTAGAAAGCAATGGATTTTTTTATAATTCATAAAAAATAATTTAACGAAACAGTTTTTCACTTGAAATAATTTGAAATTTCCTGGTAATCGATAGCGTAAAATATCTTTTTACTAAAAATAATATTAGAAAAGAATTCGATCAATATTTTTTCTTCGTGAACAGCAATCTTCTTGGGACGATAAAAATATATTTTCTGAGAAATTACAAAATAGCGTGTTTTGACCCTTTTTGTTTCAAGCTTTTCGAGTACTATCAGTGCTCAACTATGCTTCATAATGTACCAAAAGAAAGCTCGTAGCCTATTCTAGGGGGATTTGAATAGAAAATTGAAAAAAATAAATTGTGGAACTAACAAATGAAGCCGGAAGTACCCTTTAATCACCGTCAAAGTAAAGTATCTAAATAGTATCAAAATAATTTTTTAGGCCCATTATTTCTCTTTTTGAATTCAAATCCCCCTAGAAGAGGCTCTAAGCTTTCTATTGGTATATTATGAAGCAAACTTGAGCACTGATAGTACTCGAAAAGCTTGAAACAAAAAGGGTCAAAACACGCTTTTTTGTAATTTCTCAGGAAATATATTTTTATCGTCCTTGTCTGATCTCTCTTCCAGCTCAAAAACGCTAATTTCGGTGCTTTGGATGAGTCACCGTCTTCTCGAGTGAGTCACTTGGCGTCGACTCAGCTCCAGCTCACGGCTTTTGATTGGAGCATTTTCGTGTCCAACTGAAGCTCTCCGAATTCGAGAAATACTCTAACTCCGATTTCACCTCTTTTACCGGCTTCTTCCCGAGATACCCAGAGATTCAACTTTACTTTCGACCATGAGCCTTTTTTCCAAACCCGTTCGCGCTAGAATCAACCCCCCACGAATTTCGCGCCCCACTTCATTTCACTAATATACCCCAAAAGAATTCTTTTTTTTTCATTTAGGCCATTATTAGCATTGCTTTTCACAGTAAGAAAAATGATCGGTTTTTCGAGTTCAAGATTATTCAAGAAAATTTATTTGGTTTGTCATTAAAAATCGCGAGAAAACAAATTTTATTGTTCTTTTTCATTTTGAGTCTAGATTCATCTGGATCTTTCACTGGCGCCTTTATAAAGCCAATTACTGTCTTTTATTTTTCATTTGTCAAAAACGTCTTTTCGATTTTTCTTTTTCTGAGAAAAACGTTTTCAGAGTCGTCCAAAAACCTCCAATTCGCCATGGCTGACGAAGACCTCTTAGACTACGACGAGGAGCAGGCCGAGGAGACCCCAGTCGCAGCCGTCGACGAGAAGAAGAAGGACGGCAAGGGGCCTGGCTACGTTTCCATCCATTCTTCCGGCTTCAGGGATTTTCTGTTGAAGCCTGAGCTCCTCCGAGCCATCGTCGATTGCGGTTTCGAGCATCCCTCGCAGGTAACTATCTAAATTTTCAAAAAAGCCTCTTTTCGTCCAAAAATGAAAAATGAATTTTCTCTAAACACTCTTTTTAGGTGCAAAACGAATGCATCCCACAGGCTGTTCTCGGCATGGACGTTCTCTGCCAGGCCAAGTCCGGTATGGGAAAGACGGCTGTCTTCGTCCTGGCGACGCTGCAGCAGCTCGAGCCCGTCGACGGAAACGTTTCCGTGATCGTCATGTGCCACACGCGAGAACTGGCCTTCCAGATCTCGAAGGAGTACGAGCGCTTCAGCAAGTACATGGACAGCATGAAGGTGGCGGTCTTCTTTGGCGGCATGCCCATCGAGAAGGACAAGAAGGTGCTCAAGGACAACTGCCCTCACATTGTTGTTGGCACTCCCGGACGTATCCTCGGCCTCATCCGCTCCAAGGCACTCAGCCTCAAGAACGTCAAGCACTTCGTTCTCGATGAGTGCGATAAGATGCTCGACGCATTAGGTAACCAACACGCAACAATAGACTGGCCCTCTTGAAGAATAAAAAGACCATTCATTGCTCTAACTCATCGTCTAGATATGCGCCGAGACGTGCAGGAGATCTTCCGCCAAACTCCGCACGAGAAGCAAGTGATGATGTTCTCGGCCACGCTGTCGAAGGAAGTGCGACCTGTCTGCAAAAAATTCATGCAAGATGTAAATACCTCAAATTCCACAAAAGCCCAAAATCCAAATCACCCCCTCCGGGCCTCGCTCCGGTTGGCCCCAGTCTAAGCCCGTACCAGCCCTCCAAACAAGCCAAAAGCCATCAAACAAAACCAAAAACCTCTCGAAACCAAACTCAAAAAAGCAAACTCGAACCTGGGAAAGAAATTTCTTCAAATTCCAGCTCGCGCCTGTACCCCAATTTTCGGGCGATAAGAAAAGACAGACATTGCTAGGACCGGCCAAAAACGCTTTTCCCTCCCATTCGTAGATCGGCGCGAGCTGTAGCCCTAGAACGAGTGTGGAACCATTCCGCTGTGGTTCCACCGGAGGCACCTTTACCCCTGGGGAAGCCGGCGCGTCTAGCCAGGCGGGATGCCCTTGATCTAAGTGGGAACATGTCTGCGTTGCGCTCTGAACGATTACTGTAATCGATGCGAATGCCTCATTCTTGCGAAGTTACGTAACTGGTTCTGTTCGATGGTGGAGCTGCTCGATCATCTCTCTGATCACGGTAACCTCTCTCTAACCGGCGCTCCCTTTGTAGCCCATGGAAGTCTTCATCGACGACGAGGCCAAGTTGACCCTGCACGGCCTCCAGCAGCACTACGTCAAGATCAAGGAGAACGAGAAGAACAGAAAGCTCTTCGACCTGCTCGACGCGCTCGAGTTCAACCAGGTCGTCATCTTCGTCAAGAGCGTGCAGAGATGCATCGCGCTCTCCACCCTCCTCAAGGAACAGAACTTCCCAGCTGTCGACATCCACAGAGCCATGAATCAGGAAGAACGTCTTCAACGGTAAACCCTCAACTTCTTCTCTCTCTTCCTCACTTAGCGCTTTAGATACCAGCTCTTCAAGAACTTCCAGCGCCGTATCCTCGTCGCCACCAATCTCTTCGGCCGTGGTATGGATATCGAGCGAGTGAACATCGTGTTCAACTACGATATGCCCGAGGACTCCGACACCTATCTGCATCGAGTCGCCCGAGCCGGTCGATTCGGCACCAAGGGTCTTGCCATCTCCTTCGTTTCCGACGAGGAAGACGCCAAGACCTCCCAGTCCGTCCAGGACCGATTCGAAGTCAAGATCACCGAGCTCCCCGAGGAAATCGACATCAGTACTTACAGTAAGTCCTTACTGCTCAACCAAGAGCTTTGCTGACACTTTTCTTTCAGTCGAAGGACGTTAAACACGAAAAAGATAGAAATCGAAGTTAGTCCAAGTCCTGTTACAGTCCCTTCATTCTGATCTTGCGACATCATCCTAACTGTCCAACGACACCACCCCTCTTTACTGCCGTAAACAAGTCAATGTTCGGAAATAGATCAATTACTGAATTAGTAGCCCTTTAAATCCTCCGTGTCTCTTTCTTCCACGCAGTAGACTCTAGAGTCTAGAATGAGCGAGTTTCTAGTTTCGAAAATGAGCGACGATATGCTCCTGACGGCGAAGCAGCCAGGTTTTCTGCCTCGCTACGGAGTTACGTACTTTATCATTCAGCAGGCAGCAGCAATAGGTGGCTTTGTTGGAGGCTTCGCAGCGATGCGTTCTGCTCCAGCGAAGCGCTTTTACGCTAGAACTAAATTGGCAACTGTTGAGGCAAGCATGATTTGATTGTTGAGCAGCGAAAAAGTAACTGGTGTTGCTAGAAACTTGCGAAAATTGAAGCAGCGCATGTAGAAACGAAGATGAGCTTTGTAACGAAGCGCAAAGTGAAGCTGTTCAAGTTGTACGCCGGCGAGTCTGAAATGATGAAGAAGCTGCCCTTTTCGCAGGGATTTATCACTGCCTATATTGGAGGGATGTTCGCCAGTGAAATTACAGTCATGTTTCCGATTAGCATTGTTTGGATCGTTATTTCTTTTATATGACGCAGCGGATGTCGCAGAAGTATCAAAATTGGCACGAAAAAGGTTTCTTTTCTTTCCAGAAAAAGCAAGTCGTTCACGTGATTGTTTCAGAACTCCTTTATTACAGTACATCCAGCCGGCAGTAGAAAACGCTAACGAGTGGGATTGGGTAAAGTCCATCCACGAAGTTATCCACGCTGAAGCTTCTTCCCGACAATTAATTTAAAAATTGCAAAATTTGAAAAGAATAATAAAGAATCGCTAGTTTAGAATGAATCGTATTTACGAGACACATTTTGGCCCGGAGGTTGAGACTCGTGCTCATTTGGGATGTAAGACCGCTTGGTCCAACCAGGGGCTCATCGCCTACACCGTAGAGCGGATGCTCAACGGACAGACCTTCATGGAGATGCACATAAAAAACTCGGAGGTGCCCTGGGTCGAGCACATTATCCAGTTTCCAGTGGGAAGGGAGGTCACCGCGCTCAAATGGAACAATACAGGTTTTCGAAAGAAGCAAGCTTGGCGATAAATGATCGAATCTTAGGCGACAAAATCCTTGTCGGCGACTCCCACGGGCGAATATCGATGTACACCATGGTCGAGAACTCGAGCACAAAGTGGAAGCAATCTTTGGTGATCGAAGACCGCTGCGACCCGATCATCGCCGTCGGCTGGTACCATCCGGGCATCAAGTTCGAAATCCACATCGACAAGGTCATGACTCCGCCGGGCAGCGATCCGCCCAGCTTGAAGGAGAAAATAACCAGGGAGAAGTTTTCACCGACGCTTGCCACTCGCGGTGGAAATGCCTACGAAGGTGCGTCTTTTTTTGTTTGAGTCTTTTTCATTTTTTAATTAGGCGTTTTTGCCTTGACAAAGCTGGGCCGCTTCGTAACGAGCCTGACGGAGTCGAACGAAGAACCAGTCTGGACGAAAATCGGAGGAATGATGAACGTGAAATTCTGCGGCTATGCTTACAACGCTGATGGAAAGATCACCGTCGCCATGTCCTCTGGCTTGATCAACGAAAACGTACGCATCGTGGATGTGAGCATCGAAAGAGTCGTGAACAGAAGAGAACCACGATCGCGCAATACTAATCAGTTGCTGCGTTTGAGTCACATCGTCGGTAACAGTTTGATAATTCCAAAGGATCAGACGCTTCAAGAATTCGGACCTTACAGTTATGTTTCTCAGCTTCTGTTTCCGCACGAAGAGTACGCCGACCAGATTCTATTATGTTTAGGGTTGAGCAAGAGCACGATAAATCGTCTTTAAAAGGCCTTGAGCATTACTGAACCCAATAAAAGCTACAGCAATGACCGCAAATCGTGCGTCTCCTGGTGGATGAAAACTCGGCAGCACAAAGTCCTCCCAAAGTTTCTCGGCGGCGGCTGCAACGTTGTCGATTGGATGCAGTGCAAATCGACGCAGCTGCCGCGTATTTTTCATCTGACTTCGCAGAACTTTCCGCTACTCACGAAGAAGATAACTCTGTCCACTTTTTCGTGTGGGGATCTGTTGGCGGCAACTTGTCTCGATGGGAACTTGTATCTCATTCAAAAGCTGAGTCTGAAAAGGACGCTGCAAATCGAGCCCAGAAAGGATCTCGTCCACCCTGGAAGAGCGACCAAGGAAGGCCAAGAAAACATGATCACCTACTGCTCGATAGCTTTCTCGCCCTCCGGATGCGCCTTGTTAGGACTCGACAACAACAGCAATCTTTACGTTTCGCAAGGTAACCTTTTTAAAAACTTGAAAAAAGATTACTTTTTCAGTAAATCCGTGGCTAGAAGCGGAACTGCCCGTGCAAATGAAAGAAGAAGCTATCCAACTGTTCCTGGAGTACAGTCTTCTCTCGGACACTGACTGTTGGGACGCACGACTGTTGGTTCAAAATCACTCCATGGCAAACGCCTTGATCACCAAGCTCAAGAGCTCAATTGCCGCTGACCCCGAGTTTCACGTTTTTAATCGTCGTTTTGACGCAGAGTGTCTTCTTCTCTGGTCGCTTTTCCCTTCCTACGAGCCGGAGTATTCGTCGAAGATGTCCACGGTTAGTCAAGCGTTCTTGCTAATTAAAGTTAACTTTTTGCTCTAGCTTTTGACGACAGCTGTTCTGGAGCTTTTCATAAGTTTCCTCCGTCCAACGGGAGCTAGTTTGAATGAAGAAAACTTTGACCTTCGCGAACGGCTCTCGCAGATAGCAGACTCGAACGAGAACCTCGACGACTTGCTGAACGTAATGATGAATACCTTCGAAACGAACATGCGCATTCTCCAATCTGTTGGCCACCTAATCCAGTGGATGGCCACGCACATCATCTCCCAGGTCACCAAGCTCCGCTCTCATTCGTTAAGTAAGTTCCTTACTAGACTTTCTTACAAAAAGCATCAATGTTTTTAAATCAAAAATGCTTCAGCGTCGAATGAGATTTCAATTTCGCGGCGAATCCTTCTTATCATGAAGCTCTGGACCACTCTGCACAACAACTGCAGTCCCCTCTACACGATCAAAGACGTCAAGTGCGACCCGCTCTCTGAATCGTACGCTATTCTTTCAAAAGCGGCTGCGGCCCAACAACTCGGCGAAAACATTCCAATGTAAGTAACTTTGCTTTTTCAAAGATTCTGGTTTACGGATTTGTTTCAGGGAGCTGTACGATTCGTGCGAGCTGTTAAAGTGTCGCGTCTCGACGGGAGAAGTGAGCATGAAGAAGCCGCACGTGACGAGTCTGAAGGGACGGACCTTCCAAGTGGGCAAGTCGGAGACGAAACGGGCCGCCTTGATGGTCGTGGACACCGATTTCGTGCGCCGCACAATTGTCGGCCGCGAAGAAACTCGAGATCTAAGGCACTGCTCGCGCTCCGGAGCGTATACCTACAGTAAGTTCGCTTGCAGTCTCTCTGTCGCTAACGTAACTGCTTGCAGATCGTCAGGAATCGCTGATTTCGGGCTGGGACCACCGATTCCTCAAGCGCTCGATGTGCGGCGGCCTGTGGACGAACATCAGCTCCAGCCCCGTGAAAAAGCCATTCCTTCAATCTTCTCTGAGCCAGGAGTTTCTTTAAAGTTTCAAGTCCTTATAAACGCAATTTTCCAATATTTTCCTAACACCCTCCTTTCTTCTCTTGTACATATTTCAGCCATTCTATTTCCGCCTTTCCGCTTCCGTATATTTCTGAATATTCGATACTGCCAAACAATTTCAAATGCTTAAAAACTGCTTTCCTAAAAATAAAATTTGCAAAATCAAAAGAAAAAGTTTCCGACTTCAGAAAAAAGCAAGTAAATGCTGACCAGAGTGTGCCTTTTTAGAAGTCTCTCTCGAACCATGGCTCTCAGCGCGGCCGAGCTTGAGGCGCGATCCGTCGAAGCCGACAAGATCATTCAAACACTGACGGAAAAGATCGCCGCGATCAAGGCGATGGGCACGCTTCCTGCTAACATTCAGGAGACGATCTTGAAGCAGGAGAACTCCCAGCTCAGGTAGGCTTATCATTAACGCCTTTTGTTAACAATCGTTTCAGAAAACAAGTCGAAGCGTTGAAAACGGAATTGACAACCCTTGAGCTTCGAAATGGAAAGACGCAAGTCGCTCTTCCGAAACCACCGAAGAAAGGAGCGGCCAAGAAAGAAGCCCCGAAGAAGGCCGAACAGCAGGAAAAGCCGAAGAACGAAAACCAGAAAAAGGACAAACCCAAGAAAGAAAAGAAGGAGAAGAAGCCTCAGCCAGCGAAAGCAGCCGAACCGGAAAAGCCAGTCGATGTTTCGAGGCTGTTGATGAAGGTGGGAAAGATCATCGACTGCAAGAAACACCCAGGTATTTGAAAAATGAAATCATTTAGTTTTCGGGAAATTATTCGCGAAGTACCTACTCTGCTTGATGTTACATTTAGTCATCAAAGAGAAATTTTATTTTTCATAATGAATCCTAATTGTGGGGAAAGTTAAGGTTTTCATTTTTTAACAACTTATAGTTTTGGTCTTTGAAGTTGAATGATTGTAAATTAGAAAACTCATAACTTTTTTATTTTCCTTTCTAAAAACAGATAAGCTTATCTCTAATTGAGAGGCTCTAAAGGAGTTCTCTTCAAAATTTAGCCTAAATGATTCTCAAATATCCAAGATGTAGTCCTGCTGCAGGACAATAAATCGCTCAAATGACTCTCTTTTTTTTCAGACGCGGACGCTTTATACCTCGAGCAAATTGAATGCGGAGAGGTATTGGGATCTTAGATTCGTTAGACTCCCTCGTCCCCTAAGGTCACTTGCTTATCTAGATCGAGCTTTGCTCGGTCGCCGCCGTGTATTTCTCTCCATTCGGTAATTCACGCAGTTCGTGAATTAACCTCTATTTTACTCCAGCTCGAAATACAGACGTCAAAGATACTTTACTCGTTTTCTTCACTCGTCCAGATATAGAGAGCAGGCAAACTACGCTAGAAGTGGGAGATTCAGCAGAAGCTAGGATCCCTTCAGTGGTATCAGAGTAGTCCCGTTGGAGAAAAGATAAATTTTTCCGCCATCGACAACCGAAGTTTCGCAACTTGGACGCTGATTGGCCGTCAGCGGAGTCGAGGGGAACCGAATCACCAACCGCCACCGCGCCGCCGGAGAAACTCCACTCAGAGAATTTTCCGCACCACACCAACACCACCCCGAGCGAGCGCCACCGCACGAGCGCCACCACGACCCACGCGCCGAAAGTCGCGCCCACGCAACCACGCACGCACGCCGGGGAAAACCTAAAATACTGAGAAAAACATAATTCTTTCGCCACTTTTCACCAAAAATCGAGAGAAGTTTACGAAGAATCGACCCTTGGACCAGACCTTGAAATTTCGACAATCGCTGGACAGAGAAATCGTCGGGCGTTTGCGCAAAAGGCACCTCAGCTCATCATATTGCGACTTTTAGTCGCAGTATTTTCTGAGGGCCTGAAAGGTAATCCAAGGCCCATAAACCCTTACTGCCGATATATTTCGAGCTATGGCGGCGAACAAATCACTGCTAGAAACCGTCACCGAAATAAGAAGCATAAACGATCGAGTAAACTACCTCGAAGAACAAGTGCGAAATGACGAATCACTAAAGCCAAGCCTAGAGCCCTTGATCACAGAAAGCAGAGTAAAATTAGAACAGCTCAGTACAACGCTTCTTACCTGCGAGCTCGATCAAGGAAAAGACTCTACGAATGCGACAATGAGAGAAGAAGCATGGGTGGCCACTACCTGGTCTCGTCACGTCCAAGACTTGCCGAAGCTGGACGCCGCATGCAACACATCTTTCAACACCTTCTTGGGCAGAGCCGACATTTATCACCGCGCCTACGTCCGCGACAGACCTTCACGTGAACAGCCTTTCATCGCAGCAGTGTACAGCCACTTCGACTTGAACATCGAACGCTCACTTGGAACCGAATTTCTGAATTGTCAAGACTGGAAATCGGCCAAGGCGCTGCTAGAGAAATCATTCGCCGCGAAGAGTCACTACTTACTGAAGCTAAGCGAAGTTTTCGACGTCGAATACGACCATTCGAAGCCGTTTGCACACTACACCGCCAACGTCTTGCAAAAGATGAACGAGGCGAAGCAAGCGACTTTGAACTCTTACCGACAAGAGAAGTCAGCCGACGCCGGGGTCGATGAAATATTTGACATATTCTCGACGATGATGCTGTACTTGAATCTTAGGAAAGAAGAACCAGACGTTTTCAACGCAATCCTTCCAAGCCTATCAAAAGTTTACGATATCAACGAACTCTGCCGTCTCGCCCAATCCACAAGACAGAATCGAGTTGACAGCGCGACCGTCTCCCAGCACTTCAACAGAAATAAGAACAAAAAGAAGAAGAATGCTAAGCGCGCCAGCAACGATTCTAAGGATGGGAAAGACGATAAACAACCAGAATCCAAGAAGATAAATACGACTAAGAACGTTGAAGATTTCCAACCATTCGACGTTCACTTTTACACAGTGAAGAAGAAGCGACCAGGAAAGGCTTATTTCGCTTCGGCTACCATCATTACGGGCTCTAAAAGTTTTGACGTATCGATGGAAGTCGACAGCGGAGCCGAGTCCTCCTGTCTGTCCGCTGCTTACGTTCCCGACGAATTTCTCCAGATGCTGAAGCCCTGTCCCTTCAAGGTCACCGGTTTCAGCCCAAATATTCCCGCCGAGCAGCCGATGGGTATCCTTCCCTGCCGCTTATCATTCAATGGTGGCCCTGCATTCTCCCTGAATCTCACCATTATGCCAGGCAGTAAATACCCAAGTCTACTGGGCCGCGATATACTAGAGAATGCGATGACGGACAGCTTCACAGTCGACAATAAGAATCGTACTCTCTCATTTTGCTACAACGAAGCCTTCACACAAACTGAGACTCAAGTGGTGAAGCTGGACGGAGTGAAGCGGACCAAAATCAAGAAATACTTGACTACTAGATCAGCGGTCAAGGATAGCGATCGATCCCGCACTCAACCGCCACCAAAAGTCCCAAAGCTGGACGCACCTAACAAGAACGCAGCCAGGTGCCCCATTCAGCTAGCGAAGCAAAAACTCGGAATTACCCTACCAGCAAACGCCGACCCGGGGCAAAAGAAGGTGGTCGCCGAGCTGTGTTTGGATTTCGACGACAGATTCGGCTGCGACGGTCAAAAAATGGGTGAATTCCCATTCGAGATCGAAATCCCGACTGATGGTACGAGTCGAAACATCAGTCAACACCCTATTCCGCAAGCTTTTCATGGCCAGGTCACTGATCACATCTCCGAACTGCTCGATACGAAAATAATAGAAGAGATCAAGGACCAGAAAGGGTTTAATAGCCCCGTTCTGCCAATCCCTAAGAAATCTGGGGAAATGCGCTTCTGCATCAACTACAAGAACAGCTTGAACAAATGCCTCTCCGACAAATCCGACCCATATCATCTTCCGAGCATGGAGGATACGATCGCGAACATTGGACCGGGCAACAAGTATTTCGCCACAGTTGATTTGCGGAGCGGATATTGGCAGTGCCCTATTAAGAAAAGCGATAGGTATAAGACTTCCTTCCAGTGGGGTGGGAAATCTTACGCCTTCTGCAGATTACCTTTCGGTTATCGATGCTCGGGGAATATATTCTCGCGCGTCGTAAACACGATTCTCGACTCAAGCCCCACCAGGAAGAAGATGCTTTCTTATATCGATGACATAGTATGTTTTGGGAAGTCTTTCAGCTGCTATTACAACACTCTCCGAAACCTATTCATCGCGCTCCGCAAGTTTAACGCTAAACTCAAGGGCGAAAAGTGCTCTTTCCTACAATCAGAAGCTCACTTTTTGGGCCGAATCATCAACGAAGAAGGAATCAAACCGGACCCTGCGCAAGTCTCCGCCCTTCGTCAGATGAAACCCCCACGCTCCCAAAAGGAGTTAGCTTCATTAATCGGGTCATTGAATTGGATCCGAGGTTTTCTAGAAACAAAAATGGGCGAAGCTATTTCATCCGGTTGCTTCTCGAGCAGAATGAAACCCATAAACGATGTTCGAAATTCGGCGAACGAAACAAATTGTTTCAAGTGGACCAAAGAAGCGGATTTGGCGCTCAAGGAAATTCAACGACGACTCTCCGAGACTCCTGTCATAAGCTTTCCTAACTTTGACGAGTCTTTTCACCTCTACACAGACGCGAGCCTGTACGCAGCGGGTGGTGTTCTGCTACAAGAGTATGGCGGGAGAGTGCACCTAGTAAGCGCGATTTCCCACACCTTCAACAAAGCTGAAAGAAAATGGAACACTTCAGAAAAGGAAATGTTTAGCATTGTCTGGTGCTGCGAGCGACTGGAAAAGCTCCTGAAAGGTAGATTCTTTCAGATTCACACAGACCACAGATCTTTGATCTTCCTACACAAAAAGAAGTTCAAGAATTCTAAAATAAGCCGATGGCAAAGCCGATTGGAAGAATTCGATTTTCACATTGTCTACATCAAGGGATCAGAAAATCAATTCGCCGATTTTATGAGCCGCAGACCTGGCGAGGACGACAAATCACTTGGATACGACTCTGAGTTTCCCGTTGGTCGCGAGTACGAAATCGACAAGAATTCACCAGTACGTGTCTTCGTCCCTTTCTGGAACGAAAATCAGTTTCCGGAGAAAATCACTTTATCAGAGGTGAAGATACATAAGGTAAACGTCAAGGCTATCGCGGCGCCAATGGAGATTCCGTTGGTGTCAGCGAATTATAATAACATTCTGGACTATCAAAGGGAGGACTCTGCTCTGAGTGCAATCATCACTTTTCTGGAATCTGGTAAGGAGCCACTGGACATAAAATCGCTGGTGAAGGACTCCGACCACCGACAATCGTCTCTACTCAAGATGGAAAAAGCTCTGTTCCTGGATAACACTACCGGGTGCTTGATGTGTCAATTCAAATCTGGCGCGCGGGCGGTGGTACCGGAAGCGGTAAAAAGTCACTTTCTCTTTCTAGCTCACGACTTGTCCGGTCATCTGGGCGAGCCGCGGACTTTAGAGCGATTAGAGGACGTTTGGTGGCCTTCATTTCAAGACGATGTTTCTAACTACGTCCACAGCTGCGTCCCTTGCCTACGCAGAAAAGGATCTGCTGGAACTCGTACCAAACCGCCACTTGGAACCCTTCGTCGTGGAAAAACAGCTGGCGAATCGATTCAGATCGATTTCGCTTGTATGCCTCCCGCTGGCGGATTCAAGTATTATTTGGTGGTGGCGGACACTTTCTCTCGCTACACTTGGTGCATTCCGACGCGGTCCGACACTGCTATCTGCGCTGCAAAAGCGCTCATCTACAAGGTCTTCCTTCCCATGGATTTCTTGCCGAAACATCTACACAGTGACAGAGGTACCCACTTCTGCGCAAGCGTGATTGACGAAATGTGTAAGCTTAACCAGATAAAACATACAATAAGTACCGCATTTCACCCTCAATCAAACGCTTTCGCAGAAAGAGCGAATCGGACTATCAAAAACAGTCTATTCTGCATGGTCAACTCATCTTCCGGTCGAAAAACTTGGGCCGACTGCGTTCCCCACGTGATGCGCGCGCTCAATAGTGTGAAAAACAAAAGCACGAAAATTTCACCGCGAGAAGTTTGGTTTGGCCGAAAAAGTACTTTCACCCACTCTACTGGCGCAGAAATGACAGCGGAAACACCTCAGGTGTTTGGTCTCAATGTGGGAGCTTTAGCGAAATCGGCGGAAGCCATTGTGAAAACTGCGATGGAAGCTGCTGACCGAGCCATGGAGCACAGGCTGAAAAACGAGCCTAAGCCGAGACCAATCCCCGCTGGCGCTGTCGTGTACATTAAGCGAGAAAACCTGACCGACGCTAAAAGCAAGAAGGAACGCTGGGTAGGTCCCCTGAAAGCCGTTTCGAGCAACGACTGGGTCGTCATGGTCGAAGATAAAAAAGGACAACGTGATTTCATCCATCGAGAACACGTGGTTCACGCCGCAGAACGAAATCACGACTTACGCTGGATTGATTACTACGAGGCCGAGTACGTATTCCCACATTTAACCGAAATCGTTAAGTCGAAAGTCCCACAAAAATCGCCTGTTCCTACTTCCAAACCGATGGAAAAGTCCGGGTCGAAGTCGCATGGGGGGAGGAAATCTTCTCAGGTCGCGTCGACTCCGATGGTTGCTATGGAAAAACCGCCAAGATCATCTCTATCACCTATTTTGGAAAGTAGACGCCGATTGGACATGGAAAATCTGGGAGATACAACCGCTACATCTATTTTGGACTCGTCGGTAGCTCCAGCCGAGCCGTCAGATCGCTGGTACTCTGGTGGTACTCTTTATGAAACTGCCGAGGACATGTCAGCTGATGCTACAGTGATTTCGGAGGTTGCTGCGCCCGACAATAGCCATATGTCAGTCGATAAACAATATTCAACAGTAGTTGAGGGCTCAGCAACTGAAAACAGCAAGAAAAGAACCCGTCCAAAGTCTTCACCAGATCGTCAATACTCAGCCGGCGCCGATCCGAATGCGACTTTAACCGAAGTTGGAGCAGCTCATCTCCCGAAACATACAAAACGAGCACACCGTGAAACGAGGCCCGTCGAACCTCTAAACATCGGCACAAACTCGGGTCAGTCATACGACTAAGCGCAAGTACTGCCCCACTCAGGTCCCCTATTCATCGACCGGGGCCTGAAAAGGTACGGAAATTATCACAGTTTACCGTCGCCGACGTATTTTGAGTTCTTCTACATGTGCAGCTACTCCTTCATGTCATCACCGCTCGGACATCACGAAAACTTCGCATCTGATTCAAGCTTTTTCCCAAAAAAGGGTTTTTTAACGCGAATCAGACTGCCTCGACGTTTCGAACCTGCCATGTTACTCATCTTACGCTTATACTCCTGCAAAAATCACACACTTTGGCCTTAGAGGACGTTTCAGTCTCATGGGGGGTATTGGGATCTTAGATTCGTTAGACTCCCTCGTCCCCTAAGGTCACTTGCTTATCTAGATCGAGCTTTGCTCGGTCGCCGCCGTGTATTTCTCTCCATTCGGTAATTCACGCAGTTCGTGAATTAACCTCTATTTTACTCCAGCTCGAAATACAGACGTCAAAGATACTTTACTCGTTTTCTTCACTCGTCCAGATATAGAGAGCAGGCAAACTACGCTAGAAGTGGGAGATTCAGCAGAAGCTAGGATCCCTTCAGAGGATAAACCACGAACCGTCATTTCCGGCCTTGTCAAGCACGTTCCCTTGGAAGAGATGCAGAACAGAATGGTCGTCCTTCTTTGCAACCTCAAGCCGGCGAAGATGAGAGGAATCGTTTCCGAAGCAATGGTCATGTGCGCTTCTACGCCAGAGAAAGTCGAGATCTTGGCCCCGCCAGCTGGAGCAGTTCCGGGCGATCTTGTCAAAGTACCAGGCTTCGAAGGTGAGTGTCTTCAATGATCTCAATTTGAGAAACGTTTGATTCAGGCGAACCCGACGAACTGATCAAGCCAACGAGTAAAAAAGCAGTCTCCGTGTTCGAGCAAGTCGCACCAGGATTAAAGACGAACGACAAATGCCAAGCCACATTTAACGTAACTACAGTTGGGTTTAAACAAGTCCTAAAAAGCTCTTTCAGGATGTCGCCTGGGAAGTTGCCGGAAAGGGCTTTGTCACCTCCGCCAGTTTGACTAATGTTCAAGTCAAATAAGCGATCCAAAGAAAGACCGTCAAATCACTAGGCTGCTACTCAAAATACTAAATAGGGACAATTTGAAATCAATAATGACCATCTCTCTACTTTTAGAATTTCAATGAATCGAATCGTTTTTCGTCGAATCGTTCCTTTCGCTAGTTTATCATCGATCCAGGTAAAAAGAACGATTGGATTCGAGGTGATTTTAAAGCGTTTTAAAGCTCTTCTGGAACGAGAAGGAATCGAGAAATGTGTTGGCGAAAGATAGAAGCTACATAATCGAAGATTCCTTTGGAACGATCGAATATTGGAACTCGTACAAGAAAGTGCGTTTATTTGGGTATTTCGGCTGTCCTTACTGCGCCAAAGTAAGGGCCTATCTTAAATTTCGAGGAATTGATTACGAAGACGTCGAAGTCAGCATTGGCAAGCCAGAACTCAAGGGTGTTATTGAAAACTACTCACAAGGTAATTTGCCTGTTCTTTTTAGCAAATAAGAGTCATTTTTAGTGCCCGTTCTTGCCTTCTACAATGATAACAGTAGCGAGCCCGACGCAGTGCTGAAAGACTCCGGAGCGATCGTATCGACTCTGGAGCAAGTGCTCCGAGGAGTGGCCGAGCCGATGAACGAAATCACCAAATACTACTTCGACGAGAAAGGCAAATTCATCAAGAGCAAGGTGCACACCGATCCCGATGAAAGATGGACAGATCCAGACAGGAAATTCGTTCAAGACGGAATTCTTCACACGGTGGCGCCAAATTTGTACCCCGCTGATTTAAGAGCCATTCAAAATCAGCTCAAATTTCTGGAAAGATCCGACAATTACAGGTTGCTGCAGTGGCGGATGCTTGATGATGATTCTGACTGTTTGTTTAGAGACACGTTGACTGGCAAAGTATGCGCTGTTGCTGGTGGCCTTGGACTGATGTTTATTGCTTGGTTCTGCATCTTCCGCGTTTGGAAAGAGTTTCCAGAGCAGACGCGCGAGCAATACTGCCAAAGCCAAATTGCTAAATTTCTGGAGCGAAAGGGAGAAGAGCGTTTCCTCGGCGGAGAGCGGCCCTCCATCGCGGATATCGAAGCTTTTGCAGTAATCAACTTGACGGAAGGAACGAGCGCTTGGGAGCAGTACGAACAGAGCCCCGAGCTGATGCAGTGGTACTACTCAGTTCAGCACGCGGTCGACACTCATCAGGGCATGCTCTAAGCTCTGGCCTCAATGAATCACTTTTAGACTTGAAAAACTGTCCAAACTCCATTCTTCAAAAAGATAACTAACCAAGTAATCAAGACCCAAGCTTGTAAAATTACTAGATGTTTTGAATGCGTTGATGGTTGATTTTTACAAGCTTTGAAGCTGTTATCATCTATGTCTTCATTTCAGAATGTCGAGCAAGGTTGCTAAAATCGTTGAAGAAAACAAGAAAAGCAGACACTACAGTCTTTCTCTCAGCGACAAGAGCATCACCCAACTGACGCAGATTTCTTCCGACTTCAGCCAACTGCAGCACCTCTCCGAGCTCATTCTCGCGCACAACGGCCTCAAACAGCTCACTGCTTCGATCACAAACTTGAAGAATCTCAAACTCCTCAACTGTTTCAACAATGAGCTCGTCGAGCTTCCCGGAAACTTGTCGGAGGTGAATTCAAAAGCGCGATTCTTTTCTAGAAGCCCTTGTTTTAGCTGCAAGAGCTGAGTAATCTCAATTTGGGAATGAACAAGCTCCAGCGCCTGCCGAACAGCTTCCACAAACTCGCCAAGCTCGAAATACTCGACCTGACGTACAACAACTTCAACGAAACAGTTTGCGAGCAGTTTTGCGAGCCCCTCTCCAAGGTAACTCTCAGCCAGTCGCGTTTTCCCTATTTTCGTAGTCGCTGCGCGCGTTGTACGTTTCCGACAACGACTTCCACCATCTTCCTTCAAAAGTGGCCCAATTAAAGAGGCTTCAAATACTTTGCGCTAGAGATAACGAGATAACGCTCATTCCGCCGGAAATTTCACTGATGGACAATTTGACAGAGCTTCATTTACAGGTGCTTGATTACTTCGTTTAGAATCGAATTTCATTTTGATCTTGCAGGGCAATTTGCTGAGTCTACTTCCGCCGCAGCTTCCAATGCTCGTCGGGAAGAAGCTCAAAATCCTGAGACTGGAGAGGAACTACTTCGTCCGACCGATCGAAGAAAACAGGAAAAAGGCCAACAAGCGCTGATGGACTATCTCCGCTCCGACCGTAAGACAGCTCTTCTTGATAGGCCTCCCTTTGAGCGCAATTCAGAGTACTGCATCTTCTACAACCGCGAAGGAGGCGACCAGAACGCGGAGCCTTCTTCCGAGCGCCGCAAAGAGCGGGAGAAGAAGCGGCAAGTCACCCGCCCAGTCCAGGCTTGATCTGATTCTGTACCTTTTTGCATGTTCTGTCTGGCAGCACTTCCAATATCCACCACCGCTACTTTCATCGTCATCAAAAACCCCCTTCAGTGCACTGACCTCTCTCTTCTACGCTTGATCATTCTAACTGGCCAATGTAAGGAACTCCCGTTGAAACTGGCCCACTTTTGAAGAGTTGCTGGGGAGTTCCTTAATTGGCAAATGGTTCCTTTTCTTCTAACAAATTCGGTTTCTTCAAAATATTTTTACTTTTATTCGTATTTTCAGATTTGGCGATTGAAATGAGCCATCCCTTTTGTTTTTGCGAATATTGAGAATGATTCCTGAAGCAGGAATTCAACGAGGAATTTACTGGTCTCCTGACTTGTTGTCGACCAAGTTGTCAAGCATCTCAAAGAAGAGAAAGGGTACGAGACATTAGCAAGGAACCAACAACCTCGACAAGCCGCCTTGCAAGGCAAGACGAAACCATCACTGCCTATTTTCTGAGACAAGAACTACTGAACCAAGACGACAAATAGTCTTGTACGTTCTTTGAATTCATTGTTGAAAATAAAGCGCATCCATTTTTGTTTTTAAAAGATTGATTTTTCATTTTCAACTGTCTATTTGATGCAGATGCACGCAATCTGATTTTTGGCATAAAGCGATTGAAGCTTTCTTCGACTTTTTTCGTCGATATTTTTTATAGAGATTTTATTTCAATGGTAATTGATAGAATGGAATCGGGAGCTTTGCAGGAGCTTTTACATTGCCTGCATATTAAACACCCCGACAGGACCAAAGCGATTGAAACGACAAAATCAGGTACAAATCTGACCAGCAGGAATTCAAACAATTCGTCAATTTAAGTGTTCGTCGCTTCGAAACAATGCTCGACAACTCTTCTGAAGGAAGATCTAGCGAGGCGCATTCCGCAAAGAAACTACGCCGTCTTCGAAAATATGTGGAGTCGTGTGCAGCCGAAACTGACTCGGCACGCGGCCGTCCTTGAGTTCCTGAAAGACATGGCCAGCGCGAAGGAAGACGAAGACTCAGCCTTCCGTTCTGTCATGTCGATGGACAAGTCAGCGTTTAGCCGAAATGAGCGGAACAAAGAGAACCTCTCGCAAAACAGTGTAACGGTTACTTCTATCTCGTCGAGTAGATCGCGGCCGATCTATCAATCGACGCCAAGAGATACAACGCAGGCTTCGTTGTTGACTTCAAAAAGAAATACTCTATCAAGGTCACTTTTCTCTGCACAAAGAATGCTTCCAACTTGTTTTCAGTACACCTGCGAAAGCAACATGCTCTGGCGACTACTTGAACGTCTCTCAAGCGGATCTCATTCGAGACACTCTTTTTGCGATGGAAGACATCCCCGGCACTTTCATTTGCTACGACGACAACGTCAATTCACTTTACAGATACCGACTCAAGGAGAAGTACAGAGTAGACAGTCGCGATCGATCAGATGTGGAGTCGCTGGGCGCGTTGGGATTTTACGTTCGCGAAATCAGCGCCTTTATCGCGCAGCACGAGAAGCAGGAAGGCTTTGGGATGATTGGAAGCGCGCTGGTGCGCAGCTTGTCAGCGGAATTGGACGAGTATCGCTACGCCCTTTCGAATTTCAGAATCCTGCCGGAGCTCACTTTGATCTATCTAAAGAGCGCCACGGAGAAATGGAGAACTAGACTAGAGAATTTATACCTATTGGTGAGTTACTTACTCAAAAACACTCTTCCATGTCTTTTGCTTTAGGTCTTCAATGTGCAAAACAAGCGCGGGGGTGAGATATTGTCCGTGCTGCACGCCCTGGTCGCCCATGGACACCCGATGATCCGGCAAATGTTCACAAACGTCTTCGAAGCCTGTTCAAAACCATACATGGTGCAGCTCAACATGTGGATGTACAACGGCGTCCTGCACGACCCTTACAACGAGTTTCTCATTGCAGCTGATCTCCAGCAGCCGATCGAGTATTTCTGGACTTTCCGATATCACCTCGAGGAGAAGTTCCTTCCGTCTTTCATCACGAAAACTCAAGCCGAAAAAATACTTTTGATCGGGAAGTCGATTAATTTTCTGGTAAGGTCACTTTTCTCTGATCACTTCTTATGCAGCGTATTTTAGAGAGAGGTATGCAAACAGTCAGAGTTCCAGCCATTCCAAGAGAAAGCTTCTGATCCAAATCTGAACATTGTTGAGCAAATTGAAGGCAAGATAAAAAGTGAGTCTTTCGCTTTTATAAGACATCAAAAGGACTATTGAATTTAGATACATACGAGTCCACTTCTATTCGTCTATTGTCGGTTTTGAACGAAGTCTACAACTTACCGCTTCACTTCCAAGCGATGCGAAACTACATGCTCCTAGGCCAGGGCGACTTTGTTCTACACTTGCTCGAGAGTTTGCAGCAAGAGCTTGGAAAACCAGCAGACGAGCTCTTCCGGCGCAACCTCGCCGAACACGTCGAGACAGCTATCAGCTTGACGAACGCGCAGTACGATCATCCGGACGTGTTGAAGGCGATCGACGTTCGACTCCACGGAATGAACCCCGGAGACGTCGGATGGGACATCTTCTCGCTCAACTACAACGTCGAGGGGCCGCTAAAGACGATATTCCCGACAGAAGTGATGAAAAAATACATCAGGTAGGATCCGACAAAAGAAAAAACTCACATCGAATCGATTTTAAGAGTTTTCAATTTCATTCTCCGATCGAAGCGAATGGAATTCAATCTTAACCAAAACTGGGGCATGATGATGTCGCTGAAGCAACACTCGCGGGAAATAAGCGAAGGTACAAAAGAAATAGAATTACTGTAACTAATGAGCTGTCTAGTGAGAGAAGTGTTCTTCATCAGCAACATTCTGCAATTCGAAATGATCCACTTCATCGGCCAGCTGCAGTACTACATTCACTTCGAAATCATCGAAACATCCTGGGGAGTCTTCGCCGAAAAGGTGAGTCCTTCTTGATTGCACCAAACCAGCTCATTTTCAGGTCGAGAAAGCAAAGGACCTGGACGAAGTGATCATCGCGCACAATGCCTTCCTCAACGAGCTGGAACAGGGCTGTCTGCTCGCGGACTCTCTCTGGGACAAGATAAAATCACTCAGGTGCGTCGAGGAGAAGCCAATTCGAGATTTTAATTGCTTTGAAGGTCGATTTTCGACCAGATTGTGCGCTTCGAAAACATCCAGAAGAAAATCTTCGAGGCCGTCCAGCAAGAGTCAGAATTGCGAACAGCTTTTGCCTCCATTGCCAAATCAAGTGCCTTTTCCGAGGATGATGAGCTGCTAGAGAAGGAACGCAGAAACACCTTCAAGAACGAAATGTTCAAACACAAGGTAATTAAGAGATTCAATTCAAAATGTAACGATTTTGCAGTGTTCGGTGACCACCTGCCGGACGACTTACCAGAAGATGGTCGGTGACTTCCTCGAGTCGCTCAAGGACGACAAAGTCCAGATCCTGAGCTGTCTGGCCTGGCGACTCGACTACAACAGTTTCTACGAGAACTCGCAAGTCTGATCGTTTTTTCAGTTCCATCACGTTCACTCTCTTTTCTTATTATATCTACTGTATTACTACTGCATACATTCTCACGTGCATCACTACTGCCATTTTTCAAAATAAATATTCAGAGATATTTTTTCATTTCCCGCCTAATTCATCTTTCTTTTTAGTTAATGTAGCACTGATACTGTAACTATGAGCTCGACAGTTTCCTTGTTCGAGTTGGCAATCGAAGCGGCGGTTAAAATCCCTGTAAGGAGCAAAATAGCGTCTGTAAATTGTGAGATAAAAGTTCAGTTCAACGAAGTGGACGAGTTCTTCCTCTCGCGCGGCCAGCTCGTACCAGAGGACGATTTAGTGATAAAATGCGCCAACGCGACACTGCCAGATCTAGCCGTCATCGAAGCCATCGAGTTCGACGCTAGAAAAGACGAAATAACGGACTGCGAGTGCGCCCAGTTCAAGAATGTAAACCAGAGCGGCTTTATGATCTTCGCCACTTGGAGGTACACTCATCCGAGTTCTGGAGCTCTTTACTAGCGACTGCTTTAGCTGCCGAGTCCACGGAAGCGGCACCGTCAGCGTCAAGTGGTCCCAGCGGCGCGTGACGAGTTTCTCCTGCCACTGCACTCCCAGCCAGTCTTTCCTCTTCATGTGCCCACACGCGGCGATGCTGCTCAAAAGAAGAATACAGAAGTGCCCCTACAGTGTCGACAAGTAAAGTAACACTCGAAAAGCTGGAAGTTTAATCTAGTTTTTTAGTCAATTAGCGCCCCTGACGAATATTTTGATGAACCTCTCAGTTTCGCAGCTGCAGGAAACGCTGCTGGAAGTGACGCAGTGGGAAATCTCTGGAAAGGACATTTTCGACCTCAATTTCGATATTGACGATCCGATCGAGGTAGAAGCGGCTATTTTTGAGCGCCCTTCAATAAGACCGTTTCAGTGTATTCCAGACGTAACGATGGACAACGAGTCGGGAATGCACGAGCACTGGATGTTCTTGAACAAAGAAGTCAACTTTTCCAGCGAAAAACAAATCGGCCAAACCTCAAAGGCGATTTTGAAACTAGCGCGGCTGTCTTCTTCCTTTCCCGAAGTCGTGTATTTGTTCAAAGACATCGTCGATTTCTGGTGAGTCTAATCGAATCAATTGGAAGGACTCTTAACGCTTCTGGCTAGTGACACGGCAAACGATGAAATGATGAAGGTGTCGCATAGTCTGTACGCGGCGCTGCTCGCTCACGAGCCCCTCCACTCTTTGGTGGAGCAATTCGAGCGCCTCTTTCCCGAACTGCGCCTTTCCGGCTTCCGAGAGAAGCTCGAGCCCAGATGCGCGTCACTCTTCGCAGCGGAGAGCCTTTCGCTGACGATGATCGAAGTTGTCGACTCGCTGCTGTCTGCCGCCTTTCCCAGCGTGGAACTGTTCTTTTCCTTCCTCATTCCAGCCCTGGTCGTCATCTACAAGCGGGAGAGCGAGAAGCCCAGCTCGTGGCAGCTCTTAAACTACATGCAGCCCTCCATTCTTCACCTCGACGCCCGAGAACTTTCAAGAGTCAAAAACTGCCTTTCCGTTGCCTTCCCTTGATCTACTCTTTGTGTTTCTATTTATCTTCATTCAGCGTGTTCCGTTTTATTCCATTTCCAATTACCTGCGTCCCAGTTACCTCCTCCCAAAACTCGTTTTTCTTCAGATGGCGGATGCTATTCGCGAGCTCACTAAGACTGCTCGTGAGCAGGCAGACACTATTTACGAACGGGCCTTTACTCAATTCGAAAATTATTCTTTTCGCGCTTTTTAAAATTTGCTAAAATTAAATTTTCGTGAAAAAGTGAGGATCCCTCCCCAGCGCGACTTTCTAGCCCAGCAAAACTATGAGACGCATTTGAGTCTGAAAACGTTTGCGCCCAAACTGCGCATCTCGCTAGTCAAGATCTACGAGGAGGACAAGCCCTTTCTAGCGGCGCCAGTTATAGCCAGGCTTTCCGAGTCGCCTTAGAACAGGGACTTTTTACTATTTCGCCGTTGTTGAAATTCGAGCTTTCTTTTCTTTTTGTCTGAAAAGTGGCAAAAGTCTGGAAAGCCTGTTGGCAGGGTGCCTGTTGTACACTGTTCTCGACCTGTTGCAAGATCACTCGAAATTCTCGAAGCCGAAGCGAACGCGGGACAAGCTCCTGGACATGACTGTATTTACCGCTTTCGGCTTCTTCCTCGCCAAAACACTTCCCTTCACATTCGACATTTTCAAAATCAAGCCCAAAATTTAACTCGAAAATAAACTGCAAATGATTCAAAATTTCGAACTGAATAAAGACGAGCGCTCTTTATCCAAGATCTTTGTACGCAAATTTTAGAAATGAAAGCAGGGCATGATAAATAATAAAAAAGGAGAATTGTTGTAAAATGATAGACGGAACAGAGCAAGGGCATTGTGCAGCCTGTTTCGGCAAAAACATCCTTCTGCGGCGTTTCTTTCAAAGACGGAAGTTCACTTCTTGAGCATGAGCGCAGACTTTTTCAGGAAAAGAGAAAATCAACCAGATCTACGCAGAACCCTTTTCAAGCAAGCATTTCAAATTTCTTAAAAAAGTCGCCTCGCCGAGCGGCGGAAAAAGTTGACGTCAGCCGCTCTTGACAAACGCATGCTTCTGGTCAAACGGACTGGGCGAGAACTGAGCCAAGACATCTCCGTCATCGACCGTCAAAGGAACAGTTTTGGCTGTAAGGTCGTTGGGTGATAGCGAAATAATGAACTGAGGAAAGAGTAATGCGCCTGTCGGAAATCGACGTTCAAAAAGTAGACGTTCTTAGGTCAAACATTTTTTCTCTTCCTTGATTTCAAACCTATTTCCAGGGAAATCAAGAAGATCAAGCGAACTACTAACAGAGCTCTCATAATTTCAGGCGCTTAGACTCTCTTATGACTACCGAAAAGAACTCCTGTTCGAAAATGAGTTTTTGCCATTTTTAAAGGTTGGAAATTATTCGAGCTCTGATTTAGCGACAAAGAAAAGCCCAAGAAAAAGCCATCGGCTGCGATCAATTCAGCTTCGATTGAAGACAAGTTGGCGACTAGTTTAAAACTGCTGCTCCAAAATACAGATAAATAAACTCTTCTTTTTGTAATTATTCATTCTTCTGTTTACGAAAGCACGGAGAAGATTTGCCACTCAATCGTAACTTTTGAAAGTTCGCTTAAAATTTTTCTCCCGAAAAATAACCTGGCAGTTCATTCTTTATAAAAAAAAGGTATTCTTACTTTCTAAAGCTCTTTGAAAATCAAAAAAGAGCACGGGCTGTCCAAAAGGTTAACCGAGGTTCGCTGCGCTGCCAGATTAACTCCTGCTCGATTGGGGACCTAAAAGACCTCTCTAAAACGTAATCTCTTTAATTTCGAATAGATAACTTTTGTTTGGGCGGAGCCAACTATTTTCGCAAAAACAGGCAAATGGAAAATCGATTAAAGCACCTTTTATTTTTTCAAAAACACGTTTTTCTTTAAAAGTTTGAAAAATGACCTTTGTCACTTTTCCACAAGGAAAGACGGGTTAATTCAAAGGTTTTATTGAAAGACTGAAAATAGTTTCAGAAACGTAGTATCATCCTTCTTTCCTGCAAAAACGATCGATCAAAGAAAAGAGTCATCCATTTCGAAAGAAAAATCTTTGAAGGCCGCAACGACATTTTTGGAATGTAAGACATGAAGACACGTCCTTTCCAAACTCTTCTAGAGTTGAACATCAGCCTTTGTTTTAACGAGCTTGGATGTAACATCTTGTCCGAACTTATAAACCTTAAATTCAGCCTGCAATAATATTTCAATTTTCTTAAAAAAATGTTGTGGCGCGTTGGCTAATCGTAATCGCATGTTTTTACGCGCGCTTACGTGAGACGTCAGACGCACCAACATTTAATTTTCATTCCTGCGTTTAGTTTTTGTTTCTTTCGGAAAAGAGGTTTGAGAGGTTTATTCAATTTCAATTTTCAAGATTGGTTTCTGCATTTCGGACAGACAGACAAGCAAACATTCAAAATTCGGATAAATAAATAATCTATAAATACAGTTCAAGGAGAGAATACGGGAGTTCCTTCTTTACGACTTGAAGCGGTGGACTTTCTGGTCGTTGATTCCAGAGTGCAGCGGCGCGGGTCGCCGCTTATGATTTTTTGACACTTGTGAGACTGGCTGGGAGGAGGCGAGCACGGGGCTTTCGGAGGTGGTGCGCTCGCGCTTCTTCTGCTTCCGCCAGTAAAAGACCACGCAGCTCAGGCAGCCCATCAGCAGCACGGCCAAGGTAGCGCTGACGAGGAGGAGCCAGGGCTGGCTGAGCAAAGCCGGCGAGTTGGAGGAAGAGGGAGCGGCGGGCGTCCGAGCGAGGAGGACTGGAGACTGGTCGAAGGGCGGCCGAGCGATGCTGTTCAACCGCACGGGGGGCAGGGGCCGCTCCATGTTTTGCCGCAGCTTATACAAATTCGCAGCTGAGTCGATCTCCGACACATGGAGCTGCCCGTGCGCCAGGCGAGCTTCCACGGACTCGAAGCTGATCTCAAAAACCGTCGGCTAGAATCACATTTAGAAATTGAGCCGGTCAAAAGGGCGGATTTCGAAGCTCAGAATTAGCTGGCCTCTGGCTTACCTCCTGCGACTTGGACTTGAAAACGAGGTCTATTTGGTGCTCGTCCGAGTAGATTTCGAAGTATTGCCGATCGGAGCCGCAAATTGGCGCCTTGTGGTAGCCGCCTTCCAGTTTAGACGCGTCCCGAAAGAAGAAAAACCCATTCACGTTCTCGCGACAGTCGACGCTCATTTCCTCGAATTTGAATCTGAACAGTTTTTTTCTTAAAAAATATTCGAATGAAAAATCTCATTTTTATAATTTCAAAATTCAGAAAGCTTGATTTTTTTGTTTTCTAAAATTGCAATTTTTTCTCGCTAAACTCGATGAAAATTGACAAGCTCTGAATTCAACGCCGATAATTAATATTTTCAAAAACCGCCAATTTCTGTACCTGATAACGTGTCCCGGCGTGGTGGTGATTTTCCACTTGCAAAAGTCATTTCCCCAAGTCGGCTCGCTGCGGATGGAGCTCTTCTCGCCCGGATGGATAAACTCTCGGTCTTCTTTGCAAGTCAGGCCTTTTCTAGGCGGCATGGTTTTTGGCGAATGAAAGTAAATGCGCCGCCGCGAGTGCTAATAATAAAAAGAATGGTTATGTAAGGCGGAGGCGGCGCAAGGAAGGGCGACACCACCAGACGCCGACCGCGCAAGGCCCGACCTTGTACAGCGCTTGTTCGCTGTTGAGCACACAAACTAGAACACGAAAATCAAAGCGAGGAAGAAAACCTATTTGCTGCAGAAAGCGTCTTTTTGGACGTCTTCTGGCTTTTTCTTGAAGAAAAAAAAGAGCGTTTTCTTCAACTTTGGAGTTCGAAAATCCACGAATTTCCAAGTACAGTGCCTTTTAGTTCAGTCATCAATAAAAAATGAAGACGCTAGAAAACGAACAATCAGCTGCTTTATGAAAAAATCGATTTGGAGAGTCGACTTTCAAAATTAAGTGAGTGTCAGCGCTGTCGTCCAAATCGACTTCATATTCTAATTAATGGCCATTTAATTGACCGAAAATGGAGAATCCGGATTTTGGACAATCTTTGGAAGCCAAAATTGCTGGTTTTCAATCAAAAGGAGTGGCCTTTTAGAAGCGCCAAAAAAAGAGAAGGCCACGCGCTGGCGAGTCGGAGCGCCACTGGTCACGTGTTGGAGCGCGCTTTCTAGAAACGTATGCAAGCTTTGACGTGGCTGCATCATGTGACCTAGTACTTCTTTGATGCAAAACAAAACTTGGGCCGCAGTCAGCGACTTTGTTTGGAAATAAAGAAACTCGAAAGCTGACTAAAAGTGGCGGCTTACTAAATAACCAAATTATTTATTAACAATTATTTATTTTCAGTTTTTTGCTGATTTTATTCAATCAACTTCGTGAAAAAAAAAGAAACGACAATTTCAAATTCGGCAAAAAGATGAAACGCAAAGATGGAAAAATCAGTTTCGCTTGATTTAGATCTCCGATTTTAATGAAAAAAAAAACGTATTTGAAGATTCAGCCAGCATTCAAAGTCAGAATCGAGAAAGAAAGAGAGAATGCAGTGTTTCCTTTCGCTGCTCGTGGCTGCTGTATTTTCGGCGAGTACTCCCACTTTGCAATTCGAAGCTGCTCATCCTTGCAACGCCCAGCCTTGTCGCAACGCTTGCCAGGTAGTTTTCCAGCTTATTTCCGAAATTTTACAAAGAAAAATTCATTTTACGTTTTTTGGCGAGTAGACATCGAAAAACGCACATTTTTTCAAACTAACTTTGTGAGATTTTAAACTTTTATCTTTTCTTGAAATTTTTGAATTTTTAACAGCCGAAATTCTAAAATTTCAAAAATGTAATCTCATTTTTTCATCGAAATCCTTCACTTTCTGCATAAAAGCGACAAGAAGCTCCTTAAAATCGAAAAGAACTGGCCATTCTGAAGAGTTTTTCAAAAGTAGTTATCGTTTTATTTTGACAAGAAGTGTCAAAAATATTTTGCGCCGAGTTGTTATCTGAGCGAATTCTAGCGCAGAGCAGTCATCAAGTTGAGTAATGGCCGGGGTGAAATTTATTCGCGCGGACACGTTTGTCATCGTAATTCAGCGGCCACCCGCTTTATCGAATTCGAGTTGCCGAAGTCGACAGCTTTTTCGATCGCCAAAATGAGAAATGATTCTAGTGCTTTCCGGCGAGTCTGAATCCAGCCGACTACGTTTGCCGAACTGCGCCTGGAGGAGCGCCCTTCGTCGGCAAAAACTGCGAATACGCGCTAGGTACAGTTGAAGGCGGAAAGGCGATTGATGGTTTTAAGAGGCGAGCTGCGACAAGTTTGAGATCGAGCTGAAGATTCCGGAGCAAGCAAACATCCACGATGTCGGCACTCAAGGTCGCGGAATGCCAAATACTCGAACACCTGCGCATAGTTTTTACATTTTCGAAAAACACTGACCTTTGGTTTAAAACGAGCAGACAACATTTTTAAAGCAGAAAATAATTCTCAGCAGACATCGTTTCTTTTCTCACGAGAATCATTCTGTACTGTAGTTTATTTTGCTAAAAAATTAATTTAAAAATTTAAAATAATAAGAATCTATTTAAAAATCAATTAATTATGTTAAATTAATTAAATAATAAAATAAGAATTTAATTAAAAAATTATGAATTTTAATTAATAATTAATTAATGACAGTCTTTTTGGCTTTAAAAATTTATAAAAGTCACCATGAAAAATCCGCCAAAATACTCTCCTTGAAAATCTGGTTTCACAATTTTCCAGCTGCATTTTTAAAATTCATGTTTTGCAAAATCTAAGTTGAAATTTCTTCGAATTCGCGACTGATTCAATTTCAAATCCAAACTATTTTGCGCGCACGTTTTTGTTCTCTTCGTTTGCGTTTGTTTTGGAAAGCGGAGTACTGGACACGTACGTTTTGGGTAAACCCGCTCCTCGTTCATTTGCATCCAGGCCAGTTCATCGAAAGCGAAGGCCCTTGATCGGTTTAAAGACAAGTTTATATCGCGAAAAGGCGGCTTCCCGGTCTCGAAGCAGCGGGGCCAGCATGGAGAATTAGTGGTCAGGACAACGTGCCAGAAAGGATATCTCAAAAACAGGCGGCGGGGATCAGCTCCTTCCGAATTATCTCAAAAGAGGCGATGAAAGTACTGATCCCTTCTTTGAGCGAGTTTCTCTGCTCGGACACCTTTTGACTCGGGAGAGCGAGGAGGAGCCCGGGAACCCGCTGGTGAACGTCAACTGCGCCATGGAAACGTTTTCCGTCCAGAACATCGTCCAGGTAATTTTGCTCTTATCTTTACAAAGCTGATAAGCGCCAAATACGCCTTTTAAAACGATTTCTAAACAATCGCTTCAGTCGACTGTTCGCCACCCGACTTCCACCGACTTGTTCTCGCAATGGCAGCCGATCATGAACTTTTACACGACGAGTTTTGGATCGGAGGCGCCTTTCCTTTGTCCAGCGGTGGCGGACGGAAGCGGCTACACCTACGTCGTCGGCTCCAAAATCCACGTTGTCATAACTGGCGCGCTGAATGGAGAAGCACCGCTCGAAGAACACACAGTGAAGATTCAGCACTGCAACATCTGGAACCCGGTGGACGACTCGAAGATCCGGCTGATCGCGTACGGCCAAGCGGACAAGCAGAAAACCTCTGTCGGAGTGGAGCAAAATCCGGGCTTCATCGGAAAGAGCGTCACGTCGTCCGCGCGCGGAGCCGCCTTCTGGTTTCAAGTGTTTAAATTCAAGAACTCCAACCGGCTCAATTTGGAATGCTCAGTCAGATTCAACAGAGCGGGCGAACTCAGACGCAGACGCTCTCCAAACGAACTCGAAGAGATTTCTATTCCGTTCATCATTTCCGAGCAAGGAAAAGTCAAAGCTATTTAATTTTTCCACTAGGAAAAAGTAAAAATTGCAAAACTTAAAAAGTCGGCGAAAAAGACGAGCTGCATTTCGAGTCGTTTCAAATCCCGACAATCACCGTCAACGAAGCAATAACCAACCACATTGTGCACACAGGTAAAATTAACCCATCGCGAGAACGCGGTCCGAAATGCGCCAACCGAGTTTTTCAGAGTGCGAAGGAGTCCTCTGCGCTGCCGAGTTCAGTCGCCACTACGCCTACGTCGGCTACTCTCTGCTGGTCGTTCTGATGCTCACTCTAGGAAGCGGTTTAGAAGCGCTACTGTTTGAATTCTATTTTGCCTCAAACGCGAGTTTCTAAACTGCGCCAGCGACAATCATGTTTTGCCTCAACCGAGGAATCATAACTGCCTATTGCTTCAACAAAAACCAGCTCGCCTGAGCCGCCCTTTCTTTTATTTAATAAAGCTGCTCAAAACATCACTTGTTTCTTTTCTCGCTGCTTCGTGAAGAGGTGTTTCTCGCGGTAGATGCGGCAGAACTGCGCCCGGCGAATTTCGACCCCGGTCGTTTTGATCGCTTCCAAAATCGAGGCGTTTTTCTTGTTGATCTGCTCGATCGAGTTTTTCAATTCCGCGATCGATCTTCGTTCCAGAGGCTTTTGGATCTGCTCAGCCTGCTTCAAAGCTAGGAAATTGATGATTCTTGACGTCACTAGCTTGTTTTGAGTGAAAACTTGTGATATTGAAATTGAGGCCCTTTTTTAACCAGAGGATCACTTAATTCGTCCGTAATCAATCCTCTTGTATATAAAAAGGGCGCTTCTCCAATTTACCCGAGGATTTGAGCTGCGGAGGGAGCGCGAAAGGCAGCGGACATCCATTGCGCCTGGCGACGATCAAATGAAAGACGACGAAAAAGTCGGGCAAAGAAACGCGCTGCTTGGCGTTGTCGATCTGCGCCAGTTCCCACACAATCGCCAGCTCTTCCTGGCGCAGCTTAGAACGCTAATCGGCAGCCTAAACTCTCTCTGAAGCATTTGCGGCGGCTATTACTTGAAATAACTGAACCGCCTTCGCCAGAAATAGTTGCGACTTTTCGCCGCATTCCAGTCGGTACGCCTCGAAGTAGAACTGCGCTTGTTCGTCCTCGATTCTCCAAATATCTAAATTGATTTTCACTTCTAGCACCGGAAAAAGAAACAGTTTTAAAAACCTGTTTTGGCTTTTGATTTCTCTGCCCTGCTTCTCATCAGAAATTAAAAAAGCGAAAGTCGAAAAAGGAAAAAGAAGTTATTGAATTGCTTTTTCGCCAGAAGGAATCGATTTCTCTTTTGCTCCCTCGATTCTTAGAGGCAGAAAAAGGCTCCTCGATTGAATAAATAAATTCCCATGTCAACACCCCAGATTTATTGATTTTTACTTGCAAAGATTTGGGAGACAACGAAGACTCACTCAAAATTTCTCCGCTAAACAGTCTCAAATTATGTTTTACGAATCAATAAATGGACTTTTCTTTGGACGATTCAATCAAAATTTCGATTGGAACGAGTTTCATTGAAAACGAAATTTGTCTTGGGGCATAATGAATTTCTTATCACTCTCAAAATCGGACTCAGTTTTGGCGAGTTGTCCAGTTTGAAATAATGAGCCCTTGAGAAAAAAGCGAAATGTTCAAAAAAGAGAAGGTTTGTAGAAAATCGAGTTAAATTGAGAGTGAAAAGGCTTAAGAATAAAAAGATGCAGAATTTGCACGGAAACCCGCGAGCGCTGTTGAGGGCGAATATCGAGAGGAAGAGAGCCAGGTTCTCAGGAAAGGAGCAAAAAGCATAAAAATGAAGGCATGGAATTAAAATTAGTTTCTCTTGCAAAGTCCGGAGCTACCTGCGCGCGAGTTTCGACCACTGGCTCGACTGGAAACACAATCACCATTTTGAGGAACACATCGAAAAGACCATTCAGGAGAGATTTCAGTTTCAAAAGGAATTCTTCCTTCTCGAAGCCTGCTAGAAATCTGCGAGAGACCATCATCTGCATTCTGGTCGTCGTGTTTGTGGCTTGGAAATTCACCTGGATTTTCAACTACATCGAAGGAAAACTCGCCCTTTTCAAAGAAGTACCTCTTTTTCCAGTTAAAAAAAAATGAATCTCTTCAGTTTATGCCCTGCTACCAGAGCCAGTTCTTCATGCTCGTCGACTTCTTGGCATGTTTTGCAACTAACTCTTTAATTTCTTTTTCATTTCAATTTCAAGCACATTTGCAAAACAGAAGAAAAGACGCCGCTCTTCGCAGTGATCTGGCTGGCGACGCAGCTGTGGCAGCACGACTGGCAGTACAACAAGCGCTCGATTCACTCCTTCGAAGAGCAACTTCTCCACTCACCTTCCAAGCCGCGATACATCTGACTCACTCTTTAGCTCACAATAAAGTTCAGTTCATTTTCATTTTTGCTTGTTTATTGGAAGATTAATGCAGACCAGTCTATTTAAACGAGACGTTTGGAATGTTAGATAATAATATTCATAAAATGTACAGTCAGGTAAGCACTGAATTGTCCACTGTTTCTTGAGATCAGTAGCTGCGCGTATCTTGCTAGAAAATTAAAGTCGGGAGGCGAGTTGAACTAGCTCCCGGAAAACGGTCGCTAAAAGCGTTGTGAGTCTTTCGCGCTGGCAACAGGTGAGGTAGCTGGACCAACAATACGATAAAATAATAAACAGGAAGCCGAGGTTGAACTTTGATGAGGTGAGAGTTGAGAGAAAAGAAGTGCGCCAACGAGCAGCCCCAGAGTCGTCTCTTGAGTCTATAGGGTCATTTGTACAGGGCCGCCCGCTGCATTCTTGTATGCTGTGATATGCGTTGGATTCGGGGGCAACGGAGAAGGCTAGATCTCCGTGCCGGACTTGCTCGCCCCGCCGAGGTCGTTGTGGATCGTCACGTGATGATCGCGGGAGGAGAGGATGTTCCGCGACGGCTTCACAGAAACGAAGTTCTGGGAACGCTGCTGCTGGAGGCCGTTCATGTTGTTCAGATGGTTCTTGAGTTTGTTGTTGGGCACGCGGTTTTGGTTCACCAGTTTGCTGTAGTCGATCTTTTGCTGGAGCAGACCCACTTCTTCCGGCGTCAGAGAGTTCTCGTCATATGCGCTTTCTGAAGGGCTTCCACGACGGGCAAAGATGAAGGCGCCCATCGCAACAACGAAGAGAACGAGACCTCCAATGCTTCCAGCGACTATTCCCGCCGAGGCAGAGTGAACCGGCTCGTCTAAACAGGTTAGCTTATCGAGTATAAAAAAGTAGATCAAACCTATATTGAGGATTCCCATGTTGGTTCCGTTGCGCGCAGTTCCAGGAGCTGCCGCGCGTCGCGACATGAAATGATGGCCAGGCTCGATCGCGGACCGGCGTACTCTTCCTTGATTTCCTTCGATTTCGTAGAGCACCTGAATGTACCACTCGTGCCCGGCGATGATCTTGTAAAGTGGGTCCACGGAGAAAGCGAAGCCGTCAGTAGAGGGGTGCGAGGAGAGCGCTTTGTACTCCTCGTTGTCATCTGCGAACTCCGCTTCGAAGGGGATGGCCTAGGAGATGTTTGCTTGAGTATTTTGTCTTTTTGACTTTGAGTTTACCTGGAAAGAAAGATCTTCTGCGTCTCTGTTGCCTCGATCGAGAATCAGGAATCTGCTGGAGATCTCTTTGATCGGCTTGATGCATCCATACTGCGGCCCTTCGCCGTACATTTCTCCTGTAGGATCGAAAGTGGGGATGTAGCCGTTGCTGCCGGTGCAGATGTACACTTTTTCGATTTGCAGGTTGTACGCGCTCTAAAAAAAATAACAATTTCTTCTAAAAATGAATTTCTACCTTGAGATCTTGCTGAGATTCCCACATGATTCGCGCAAAGACCTTTGATCCCTTCGAAAAGGTGCCCTTGTAGTCCATCTCTTCGAGGGGATACTCGCCAGGCGCGCTGAGGAAAATCTGTTCAGAGTTTGTGATGTGGAAGTGCGTGTTGAGACTGTAGACGACGGGAACGGGCCGGGCAGACTGTTGGATTCCGATTTTTACGGAAAATTCTGCTTTCTCGTGCGGCGAGCAGACGCTCTCGGGCGTTTGTCCAGACTCGAAGCCTTGGGTCGGCTGCACCGTGCAGGGAATAAGGTTGAGCATGTACTCGCCGGTGTAGTCTTTTCGGCTGTATTTGGACATCGCTTTCCAGTGCTAAAAATAAAAGATTCGTCAATTGGCAACAAGGCACGCTTTTTACCTGTTCGGGACTGTCGAAAGTATCTTGTGACCAAATTAGCTCAAGAGTGAAGTTAGATCTGACGCCCATGGGAGCAACAAAGGTGGATTCTTCTTTCTTGAGGCCGGCTTGCTTGTCAGAGGACTCCAAGAAAAGACCTCGGAATCGCGTGCGCGTTCGCAGCTCAACAACGAGTCGACCATTGGCGTCGATAGAGACTCTAGTCAGCGAAATGTCTCCAGTCAGCTCCGAATCCGTCTTGATGCCAGATTTCCACATCACATTGCTGAACGAAGAGATAGCCTTTCGTAGCTCGAAGTTCTCTGTTACCTGTAATAGAAACTGACGCTAAACTCTGATCTGTGCTCGAGAGCTGCCCAGCCAGTTGGAGCTTGCACGTAAATGTAGGAAACATGGAAGGGAACGCGGACGGTCACGTGGCTCTGGTCCTGGGTGGCTAGCTCGTAGTCTTTGTCGATTCTTCCGCCGCAAATGTCCTTTAGCTCGTCCATGGTGTAGTAGGAGTCGAACGTCCAAGTGCACGTTTTCAAGTTGAGATATTGATAAAGCGAAAGTGTCTTTTCCGATCGCAGCTCAGTGTCAAACTAGAACATTTCAACTTCAAAATACTCGCTGAAGAAGTTTTTACCTGATGAGGGCGGTCGAAGCCAGACATTGCTGGCACTCTAGCTGCGTCGTATGAGTCCAAGAAGCCGCGCTGTCCTTCTGTATTCGGCGCTTCCTCTGGAGTGAGCATGTTTGAGCAGACGTGCTGCTGTCGGAAAACTCGGTCGCGAAGGAGGAAGTCTAATAAGTCGGTTTTGGAGCTGAAGAAATTTCTGAATTTTACCTATGTTGTTGATCTGAGTGGTGGAGACAAGAGGCAGCAGTCCGTCTTCGTGGGGCACTTCGACTGTGATGTGAATCGAGTTGGGGTGGTCAGGATGCGTCGAGTCCAGGTATTTCAAGTTTGCCTGGAAGTTCTGTGCTTGGAAGCCGCTTTCTCCCGCGACGAGCGGATTGTGGCAGATTCCTTCCGAAGACACTTGAGCAGGCTGAGATCGAAGAGGGGTACCGCCTTTGAATGGATCTTTTAAAAGAAAAAATGACGAGAAATATTACCTTTTCCTTCGGGAGAAAACGCTTGAACCCGACATCTGATTTTAAACTTGCGAGAAAAGTAGATTGAATCAAGCACTTTGCTCTTTGGGCTCGTCCACGGAGTTGCATCGTTGATTCTCTTGAAATTGGACTTGTCCGGCGTCGCTACTTCCCACGAGTACTGGATCAGGTCGTTGTCGATGCCAGCTTCCTCGCAAAGCGATTGAGTTTCGTCGAAATTCGGATGTTGCGGGTCACAAGGAGTCAAACAAAGCGCTGGATAGCCCGGAAGGAGTTCTTCGTCGGCGTTTGCAGCTGCGTCAAAGTCCTTCAGCGAAATAACCGCCGGAGGAGCTGGTAGAACAAGCGATCCAGACGCTTCTTTGTCAAGAATAGTAACAGTCATCGCTGGAAACTCGCCGAGGACGGCATTGACCGGCTCGTCAGGGCCCATTACGAGAGAAAAGGTCTTGTGCCAGGCCGATTCTTCGTTGCATTTGACGACAACGGTGAAGGTGAGAGATTGTTTCTCAGGGCGGAAGCGCAGCATCTCAGATTTGGGCTCGTAATCGACGCCAGATATAGCGGAGCCGTCGCGAGTGGACACACGCACTCTTGAATTGCCAGTTGTATCTCCGTAGCGATGCACGGTCACGGTGACGTCCTTGGTCTCGCCGGGCTTTGGCTCCCGAACGGAGACTTCTGACTTGGCGAATGTGATGGTAGGAGTATCTTCGGTGTTGGTCAAGGTGATCTTTGTCTCGTCCAGAGCACCGAGGCGAGCTGGTGAGCCAGAAACAGATTGGGGATCTTTGAGTTGGAGGAAAAGAGTTTCAGAGGGCTCGTGCTCTTCGTCGTCGATAAGCACCACATCGCAGTTCTTCTCAGTCTCGCCGGGCTCGAAGAAGATTCTGTTCACGTCGGAATTGATTCTCTCCCGGAAGTCGGAATCGATCTGCGCCGAGCCTTGCAGAGTTCGGCAAATGACACTGGCCGGACCAGAAGTGTCTCCATGCCGGATTACAGGAACGGAAACAACAGGGTCCGTCTCGGCAGCCGCATACTCAGGCGCCGCGAATTCAAAAGTCGGACTATCTTCGTCCTCGTCGTCGATCACAATTTCGCTCTCGATCAAATCAGAGAGCACTGCTCCTTTGGCGCCGGAGAGGTAGACAAAGAAGTTTTCCTTGCCTTCGACGACTGGGTTTTCTGAATCGTCGAAGATGGTCACTTCGCAACTGGCCACTTCTTGGTTCACTGCGAAGATCACGTGCTCGTGAACTTGTTCGAAATCTTCGCCAGGAGAAGCAGAGCCGGCCCGAGAGTTGCAAAAGACCTCGCTTTCTTGGCTGAGATCGCTGCCAGCACGGTAAATCTCCACGGAAACAATCTTCGCCGATTCGCGCACTTCCAGTCTGTTCTCAGCCATCGAGATCTGCGGCAAATCATTGGGCCCGTCAATCACGACTTTAACGGTGTCAATGGCGCCGATTCTAGCTTCAATATTTGCCTTGTCGAGCTTGACAAAGAAGAACTCTTCGCGCTCGAACAAAGAGTCGTCGATCAAATTAATCGTGCAAGAAGCGTCGCGCTGGTTGTACGGCGTTCCTTGGAACACGAGCTGATCGTTTTCCCGCGGCTCGCGGCGCTCAAAGTCGGCATCGCCAGCAGAAGCAGCTTGGGTGTAGCAGATGACTGTGGCTGTTTTGGAGGCGTCGCCTTCTCGCCGGACAGGAATCACGACTTGGCGCTGCTCTTCTTGAACGTGGATTTCGTCGCTCAAGAATGAAATCGTAGCTTTGTCTTCCGGGTCCGTAATAACGATCGACATTGAATCGCGTTTGCTAGAAGTTAAGTTAGCCTTGAATGATTAATTCAATTTTCGTAAAGGCGCGTTTCAAACAAACGTCGTTGAATAACAACGCGGCGTTTGAAGTTCAAGTGCGAAGTGGAAGTGAAAAGGAGGCGCACTTTGAACCTGTTGAGCGCGCATTGTCGAGTTTGACAAAGGCGGACTTACCCGAGCAGGGCGTAAGACGGCTCCGCCAGTTGTAGGTCGAGTTGTTTTTGGCCTTGGTGGCGGTCGTCTTGCTGGAGTGGCACTACGCAGGGCTTGCGGTTCTCGCCCGGCTCGAATTGAACTTGTTGGTTCAGCGCTAAACGAGCTTGTTTTCACTGCGCTTCCGGATCGAGGCAAATACAGTTTTAAGCGCTTACCTATTTCCGAGATGGATTTGCAAGTGACGATCGCGTAGTGGTTAAAATACCCGGTGCGCGAAAGCCAGACCTTTATCTCGCCTTCTGTTTCCGCCACTGTGATCCGCTCCTCTTCGAATTCTAGCCGCGAGAATCTAAAATAAACGGTGAAAAAGCGACAAAGTGAATTTGAATTAACCTGATGACGAAAGTGTTGTCCTTGAGCGTGGTCTTATTGTCCGTCACTGTGAACTTGAACTCGTCGGAGTGCTGGGCACTGTCAGCTACAGTCAGCTCGTATCTGATCCTTCCCATGTCTACATCGTACTGAGAGAAGCTTGTGACTCTTGTATTGAGCTCGGTGTTGATAATCTCGCCGAATTCGCATTTCTCGGTGACTTGGTAGATCAAGTCTTCTGGCTGCGTGTCTGGATCCGTCGTTTTCAGCGTGCTGGAAGTGATGATTCCAGCGGGAACGTTGTCAATGTACTCGAGGTAGAGCAAGCCAGAGTTTGACGTGAGTCTCGGAGTGCCAGTGTTCAAAAAGTCGACGATGATGTTGAGCGTCACGTGCTCGGAACTGGCGAATGCGTTGCGCAGCTGGAGGACGCAAGAGTCCTGGCCCGCGTTTCCGCCAAAGTGACTGTAGGCGACGATGCCGTCTTCGACGTCCTGGTAGGTGAACTGGTCGGTGGCGCGCCACTTGGAGCCGTAGAGCCGCTCCAGCTGACCTTGTTTGCACTCGCGCGAGACACTCAGCCGCAGATCCCCCGACTAGTGACAAGATTAGCCAGTGATAAGTCTATTTCTGAGGCGAAATCGAAATAAGGACCTTGGCACGTGATTAACAGTCGAGCTGCTCGAGATGATCAAAGATAAAAGACAGTGATTACAGTACCTGGCTGTAGCCGTTGTCGTCGGCGATGACGTCGTTGGAGGTAATGATGCGCCGGGCGGACTCTTCGCAGTGGATGGTGTTCAGGCGAAGAGTGGGCTTCTGAAACAGTGTTACAGACTGCTACGCTTAATGATATCGTGTAAAATCAAAAAACAACTCGATTAATATTGTGTAATTTTGGTTATCACCGAACGTATTGTTCATTTTGTTGACCTTGGAGATGCGCTGCTCGGCCGCGCCCAAAAAGGCAAACTTCGAAAAAAATCAACTCGTAATTTTGAAAACTCGCTAAAAATTTGGCAGTGCGCGTATGAGAGGAAGTGCTGCCAGTTAAATGACCTCAAGAATGTCCTCTTTTTTGAAGAAGAGCGGGTGTTTTTGGCAGCTGAAACCTTCCGCGCTTAATTTTTAGCTCTGTACTTGGTATTGACAATTCCGTATTGATTAGCGATTGAGTTTTGACAAAGTGTGTTTTTTTGTTAATTTGGCGGATCGATTATTTGGCGCTTGGCGGTAGAATAATATTTATAAAATCGCAGGAGCAAAAGGTCAACCCTAAGCTTCAAATTTGGGCTCCTTGGGCAAATAATGCAAATAATGAGATTTGCCCTTGACTCGGAGTAAAATCGAGAAAGAGTGGCACGCGTTTGTGTTTGTTGTCGAAATTAAAGAGAAGGCACTCGGCCTTCACGCATAATTGAGTTCGGATGGATCTGCACCAAATACACTCGAGCTTATCTGGCTCATGCGGTGCTCCTGATCCCGGCGCCGATCATGTTCGAGATGGCCACTTCTTGGCGAAACTGCTGCCAGCAGAGACGCAATCTCGACACCATCGGGACAAGGGCTTAAAACTAACACGTGACCTTCAACTCTTTTTCTTGGCCGAAAAGTTTTGGGGATGGTTCATTCACCTGAGAATCTTGGCCCAAGTTCGGGGCAAAGTACTCGTCCTCAATCATTGTCTCTAGTTCATTATCGCCGTATTCGGAGTACTCGGTGAAGTAAGAGCTCTCTTCCGGGGCAAAGGCATTAATCGCCTGTGCATTGTCGTACGAGCTGACATAGGCGTTCTGGTGCGAGTAAAAAATCTGCGGCGCGAAGTCTTCATAAAAGTCCGTCTCTTGCGCGTTAAAAAAGCTTTCGTCGTCTTCTGAGCCGCGCACTGGCAACTCGAAAAGAGCGACAAGTAAAACACTCAGATACATCAGGCCGAAAACACTCTACATGGGCTTCTAGCCTCTTCAAGGGGCGCATCCATAAGCCTAGCCCTAAAAATTTCAGCTCAGCTCGCGCGCGCCCCCGCCCGCTAAATTTTTTTTTGTTCAAAAGAAAATATTTTCCGGAAATGGGAAAGAGTTATCGCCCAGCTCTCACGGGACACTTCAGACAGTCGTTAGGCTTGGAGACAATTAGAAAGAGTTTAAGACCTATAAAGGGTATTTATTGCGGCAGGTTTTGGCAGCAGCATCTCCAAAATCGACGCTTTTTTCTTAAAAATATGGGCGAAAAAGATCATGGAAATTTTCATTTATTAATTTTTGAAAATTCGGAGTTTACAACGATTTTTAACAATTTTGAGCTGCGAAGTTTATGTTTAGTTTAAATCTTTACGAATACAAATAAATTGTTGTCTTAAATTTAAGACATGGGAAAGGTGGTTTGTGAAGGCGTTGTTGCTTCAGTGCAATAATGCCTCAATCCTCCTTGTTTTCTCCTTTTTGTGTGTTTAGCGACTCTCGCATCGAGAAAAGTGGACCCATCAAAGAACTTGCTCGTCATTGAAAGTACTTGGAAAGACACTAAAACCGCGCTGCTTTGATCCTACACATTATAAAAACCCCTAAAAGGCTTCTGCCCTTTCGAGCGATTGAAACTAGCGAAAGTGTGCCTCATCCTCGTAAAAAGACGAAAATTCAAACGCGCGTTCAAAGTCAATCATTTCGGCGGTTGATTTATTCCGGCGAAAAAAGTAGTACTGCGCAGATTAGGATTGGAATATACAACTGCCTTTCATGATAGCAGCTTGCTGGCTTTAAATGCTAAGCCGGCGTTTTGGTGCGCCGCCGCAAAAGTGAGATTTCGGAGTTAGGAAACAGTTCACTTTTCTCCGCCCAAGTTTAAATATTTTGAGCATGGGCGCTTTTGAAGCGGGCTTAGAAAGTGTCTTCGAATTTACTTGCTCAAACGAAAATACGCCCGGTGATAGACATTGTTGTGGTTAATTTAAGCGTATAGTCATCGAAATTGGTCAGTTCTCCAATTATTAATCTGAGCTTATTTTTAGGATGCCCTTAAAATTCTGAGCAAAAAACTCTTATAAGCCCCTGAAATTGGCCAAATCGACGACTATACTCTTAATTATCACAAATTCGGTGAGTGTGTGTTTTTTGATTTTTGTTAGAAATAAATTGATTCGTGAAAGAGTGAGGTATAAAAACATGGTTGAAGTCGTTTTGTCGTTTTTGTTTCTTTCTACTGGAAATAAAAAAAAGGATGAAATGTTGAAAATTTCGCGAAATAGCTTTTTCGGAAATTTTGACAAATGAATGACTTGTTTCTATGTTTTTATACTCACGGGCCGTCGAAAACTTGCCACAAGTGGAGAGCCAATAACTGCACTCTGTGAGGCGCCCCGCTCGTCACCGTCGGGGTCGAACTCTGTGTCTTTTTCATTCTCCACCTCGGAGCCGGGCAGCGAGCGGTCCAGCGTGTTCCCCAGCGTAAAGTCTTCTACTCGGATCGTCACTTCGCCGAAGCGCTTGAACTGCCCCTCGCCGAGCGTGTAAGAGAACGAGTCTTCCCGGATCGAAAAAGTGTTGACTCCGACGCCGCCAGTGCCTTCGTAGCACAGTCGCCCTTCCTCCACGTCCCGGCGCAGGAAAGAATCGCCAAAAGACAGAACAGAGCCGATTTCCGACCCTGCTTCGTCCAGCAGCTTCAGATATCCTAAAAGTCATCTTCACTCGATCGCCCTGATTTTTAATTTTACCTTTGCTTGGAGGAGTGTCGATGGTAAACCTGGTCGAACTGTCCGTGTCCGGCAAAGTAGCCAATTCGGTAATGATTTTGATTTTGTTCGCTTGAACTTCGATCGTGTTTTTGACGCTTGGAATTCCAACGAAACGTCCTTCTTTGCGGCTGGCAGGGCTCTCCGGGGATTTCTTTCTCGAGTTCTCGAGCTCCAAGAATTCCGGCGTCGCCAAATTCGGACTGATGAGACTGTTCATCTCGGACTGCGAGTCGATCTCTTCGTTGAAGTAGCCGGAGTACGTGTCCTGCGAGGAAGAGGAGAGATAATTTGCGGAAGAGTCGACGTACGAGTCCTGGGAATCGCCGACGACTTCGACGGGGACTGTGATCGTCTGAGCAGCTCCTTCGTTGTAGGTGAGGTAAACTGTGAATTGGACTTCGTCGGAGCCGGCTTTCGCGCCAGATTGAAACACGATCTTTCCGTCGATCAAGTCGGCAACATTGGCAACGACGAATTCGCTTCCGTCGTCCGCATTGAGCACTTCTCCCAATCTTGGCGCGACCAGCATCTCAACCCAGTCAGATCTCGAGGGAACAGCGATTCCTAAGTCGACAGGATGGAGAATCCTTTTCTCGGAAACGCCAATAGTGAACACGGTCGGAGTCGCGAAAGTGGAAATTTCATGGGCGCCTTCGAAAGTGTCGAAATTGTCGAGCTGCGTGTCAATGTCAAAGAACTCCAAGTCTGGCATGATGGTTGAGACTTCGTCCGCTATGCTGACGTAAATCATCAATTTTTCTTGAACTTGGTGGCCGAGCTCATCAGTCACGGTGAGCTCGACGTAGTCGGAAGGATTACTGTCCGATCCGTAAAAGTGATAGTAGATCAATCCCTCGTCCACATCCGCCTGGGAAAACGTATTGCCCAGCGCCATCGAGGAATAGCCATTGCCCACGCGTTTTTCCAGCAATCCCCAAAGTGGGTCCTCGTTGATTTTGTACTCGATAGAAGAACCGTCGCTTGTGAACCTGAGCGAGGAAGAATGTATCTCTTGTCGAATGCTGCTCACATCCAATTTGAGCGAAGATGCCAGCACAGGTCCCAAGTTGGAATCATCGATGAGAATCGAGAGGCGAATGTCCTCATCCTTGTTTCCAAAGTAGGACGTCACTTGAACAGAGTCTTCAGACGCTTTGACAGTTCTCTCTGTAGCATACTCCACTTTTGACGAAAGCAAGAAGCTCTCTCCTTCGCTGACTTTCTTTCCATCGACGAGAATGTCGCCAAAGAACGGAGCTTGGCTGAGAATGTAGAAAGAGTCCTTGTCTTTGAGTGCTTTGGGGTGGATTCCAGCTTCTTCGACCGACAAAGCTACAGATTTTCCGGCGCTGACTTTGAAGGTCGGCGACTTGATGGTATAGACGAAGGGCTCCATGGTGACGCCTTCGTTGTCGGAGACGTAAAAGTCGAAGGTCAGGTCGTGTCCCGGCCAGGCTTCAGAGGTGGCGACGATGACATCGCCCCGGTCGAGATCATATTGCGTGAACTCGGAGACAGGTCCGTAGGGGATGCGCTCGATCGTAGCAAAGCCAGGCGGTAAGCGAGAGTTCAGTGAATAGATGATATCTGGAAACAAGTTAAAGCCACGCTGAGCCGGCTACTTCCGTTCCCACTCATTTTCAAATTTCGCCAATTATAGAAATAGTTCAATTCAGAGAAAATGAAAATGAAAAGAACGGAAATCAAAATTACCTTCAGAAGGGGTTTCTTTGGAAGAGGAGAACTTCATTCCAGTGAGTTCGCGAGTAGTTCCGGGCGGAATCACTCTGCTCAGTTTCGCGTTTCTATCTGGCTGGATCACTCCCAAAGCGTCGTTCAGCAGGTCCAGTGTCACTGAGCTGTCTTCCACTAATTGCTCGTTCAGGTAAATTTCAAAGTCTAAATGGTCTGTCTCCATGTCTGCACTCGGCCTGTACCACGCGTTGTCCAAGTCTTCGGCGGTGAATTCCAGCGTGTCAACAGGAGACGGGTAAGAGGACGAGTCGTCCAGGACGTACATCGGCCAGGCACCATCCATCGGGTTCTGGAGGAAGAGTCGCCCGGCGCCGGAGTTGGAGAACTTGATCGTGTACTTGTTTGACTTTTCGGGCACGTCGACGATGTTGGACAGGCGCAGTAGCTTGTTCCTGGGCAGTTTGTAGTGGACGGCGCCGCATGCACCATTTTGCGGCTGGCCAGTCTCGGGAGGGCACTCGCGCTTGCAGTTGCCTTCGTACAGAAATAATCCAGGGGAACACTTTTTACATTTCTGGCTGGAGTAGTGGCACTCCTCGCAGCCGGTCTGGCAGGGCAAGCAGATCCCGTCTACCTGCGAGAAGCCGAGCGAGCAGCTGGGCACGCAGTAGGCTCCTTGGAGAAGCATGCCCGACTCGCAGAGAGTGCACTCGTCTCGTGTCCAGCACTCGACGCAGTAATCTCCGCACTTGAGACATGTCTCGCGCTCGAGGTAGAAGCCCTCGCTGCACGCGTTCACGCAGACTCCTTCCTGCGCGAAGCTGCCTTCCGCGCAAGACTTGCAATCCTAAGAACGGTTAATTCTAAGACTGAAGATGAATGGGGCACTTACATGTTCTGAATTGCAGGTGTCGCAGTTTATCGGGCAGAAGTGGCACTCTCCGTCGCGTTCGAAAAGGCCGTCTGAGCACTGCTCCACGCACTCGTAGTTCTGGAGCACGGAGCCGGGCTCACAGCTCAGACAACTGCCCAGATCGTCGCATGTCCGGCAGCTGGTGGGACAGGCACTAAAGAGCTCCTGTGTTCGCGCGAAGGATGAAAGTTGTCCTAGCAGTCCCCATTTGACGAAGCCGCGCTTCCAACCCATCCAACGTCTAGCTCATCTAAAATAGTATTCGATTACTGGCGCTCAATTATTCAGCTCGAAACGATAAATTCTTAATCGGCCTACATTTTCAAAGGCTTTAAACAATAATTGACACATTAGGGAGTTTGTCGCGCAGGACGGACAATTTGTCTCCAAAAGGATCAAAGGCTGGCACTACTCAATTATCCATCAAACGCGCCCAAAATGAGCGTCTTTTACGAAGTCGAAGTCGAAAAGGAAGAATTCTCAAAATGCAAAAACTAAAAATGCTTCTGTTTCCGGGCGCTTGAAATCATAGAAGACTGCTCTCAGTGGAGAAAATAAAGTGTGGGAAGTTTGGGTGCTTGCTCGAAGTTATATGGTGAAAAATGCGACTTCTCTGAGTTAGGTGTGTGATGGATGGACTCGTAAAGGTCAGCAAGGAGCAGAATACAAACAAGAATGATTATTGAAAAGCGGCGTAAAAGGTAACGACGCTGTAAAAAACTTATAATCAAAGATAATCAGAAGAGCTGATAAAGCTGTCACCGGCTAGTTTTGAACTTTTCGTTTACAACCAATAAAGACTTGCATTCTCTTGGCAAGGAAGGGCGCTGGGAAAAATACGAAAAAAACGCTGGGTGCGCTTACTTCCCTTTCACTGCCTTTTCCCATCTTGCGCACAAAGCGGGGTCAAAATCAAAGCTGATTCAGGTCACTAAAGTGGCGAGGCGATGAAAGAAAGATACCTTTGGGGGTTTCTCCTTCTCTAGAATCCAGAACGCGGGCTTGGTAAAAACGCTGCTGGCTGCGTGTACTCAATCAAGGGCGCGTGTGCTAATCCGCGCGAGTTGCGATGAGTCGCTGCTTGGGACCCCCAACAGGGAGCCCGCGAATTCCATCGAGGCACTTGAGCCTGGCTCGAGCTTGGGGGCCATCTCGAGTGGCGAAAGGCACGCTTCCCGGGCACAATGAGTACTTCAGCGAGTGCGCGAGGGCCACGACGCCCGTCCGTCTGAGCCACGCGCGGGGAAATTCGAAAGGAAGCGCGATTGAAAGAAGACTCGGACTGAGCAAACTAGAACTACCAGCGAAACAGGGCCGGGCTTTATGACGTAAGCGAGAGAGTGACCCTTTCTTCGGCTTTAGCCAACAAAGCGACATCCTTGTTCTTTTGATTTGGCTGCACAAATCGCGGCTGTCTTGGCAGGACTCGAAAGCGCGCTAGAAGAGACTGTATAGAACTTGTCTCAAAATAGCCGCTGTGTTGCGAGTTGATTTCTGGCTTTATTTTTAACCGCTCCGTGTTTGCGCAAAGTGAATTAACTCATTACAAGTAGCTGATTTGACAAGGTGGCAGCTGCTCGCCCCGCCGCCGTAAATATAAAACTACTAACGCGGAGAAAAGAAAAGGCCACCTACTTTTTTATACATTTTTATATTTCAAATGGGCCATAAAACGCGCTGCCGGTGCTCTTCCGATCCAGATGCCATTAAATAAACATAGAGCGCTTTAATTTGAACACGAAAACCAGCAATCATCACTTTTCATTAAGATTGCTGAGTGAAGTGAGAAGACTCGAAAAATGGCAGACAACTTCAAACGCGAAAATTGTAATTCAGAGTGTCCTTGTCACCACTACGCGGATGCCCATACTGTTGTCGCCCTATTTCTGTGCCTACTTTATGCCAAATACTTTGCTATGACTCAGGCGCTGGGGACGAAAGGGATCAGAAAAATATAGTTATGTACCAAAATTCATTCGCCATTCGTAAAAGTGCTGAGCTTGAACTTGGAATCTGAAGGGAAATGATTCACTCGAGCCATCGGTAGCATTTTGTGCACGAACCGGAAGCCAAGCCAAAAGGTCACCAGCTTGGCTAATTGCTCCATAATTGAGCAGCTTTTCGCAGCGCAATAAATTTTCTGCCGTGAAGGAGATTTCTGATTCTTGGCAGGGCAATCAAAAGGCCCTCCCTGTAAGCTCGTATCGCTCGTCTGGCTCAGTCGATACTGTAGCAGTTGCCCAAACTACAGCACTATCAAAGCACAACAAATGGCTCTGGAAACAAAACAAGAAGAGCGTTTTTGAAAATTGTCAATTTGATCCGGAGATGGCGAAATTGCTTTTCAGAATTGTCAATTCGAGGCGATCGTCTTTCGCCGTCCTAACCCATCGCTGCGTGGCGGCCCGTTTAATCCCCTCATAAAAATTTCAGCCTAGAAGTTTCTCATCCTCAATGATTTCCGCGCCCCTTTGTTTCCAGCGCTTTGATGATGGCAAGGCTGCTTTAACGGCGCGTTTAAAATCAGTCCTTCCGGAGGACCTTACTACTCCTTGGCCCTTCTCCAGCCGTCTACAGAATCAAGGGTGCCACTCTCTTTTTCCAACTAACCAAAACTCGCGGAAAAACGTTCTTGAACGTTCCGGAGTTTTTTAATCGGATTCGTTCCGCCTCAAATGGCGCCAAAATAGGAAAAACATAACTGTCCGCAACTGTCTTCCCAATAATTAACCCCTTCGTGCAAGGAAAGCAATTTTTGAACTTCAAATATCAAAATCTGCAATATTGTCTTTCTTAAATTCTAAGCATCTAATCTGTTTAAAATATTGCTGAGAAAATCAGTTTGAATTGTACGAAAGCTTACCCCTAGTTCACAATACAATTCGTAATTGTTTCCCCGCGAAAATAGGTTAAAAGAAGGAAAATTCAAAGATGATAATTTATGAGCGCAATTTTCTGCGGATTAAAAATGAAAACAGAGCAGAATTCGAGGAATAAAGGAAAAGAAGAGTACCGGCGATTAGGATTTTTGAAAGAAGTCGAGAGAGTGATTTTGCGATGTTGAATTTGAGGCACGATTGTCCATTGTCGGCCGCGGCGATCAACTAAATCTCATCTTTTGCTGCGCTATTGTCCGAGTGATCCCCGTCTAATAGAACGAATTTCCCAGCTGCAGCGCTCACAATAGCTGCGGAAATATCCGTGGGAAGCGGCCAACACTTTAATTTTCTAGCCCTGTTCCCAAATTTTGAATAATCAAACAGTTTCGATTAGCGCCTTCCAGCGCCTTAGATTTTCGCTGCCGAGCAAACTGGGCGGCGGCGGAGCGAGGCTGGAATTCTCGGCCATTCTTTCAATTTTTCAAGCGAGCAGTTGTTTTGGGCATTGTTGAACTTGTTGAAAACTCGCGCCTGGAACGTCACACAATAGTGCCTCTTCCTTATTCTTTGGAAGCGCGGCGAGTATCCGGCAATATTAGTGTCACTGGCGCGCTCTTGCTGGAGCACCTGCTTGGAACTGATTGAGAGCGCGCATCCGGGCAGCTAGCCAAGGCGCGCGTCCCGCTCATTACGCAAAATGCAAGAGATAATACCCACCGATCGGCAGCACGAGAACATTGCATCTTGGCAGGCCAGGCCACTCTTAATCCCTGAGAACTCAATTATCCTCGTAATCACACCCAAAATCTTCAAGCGCCTTCAGAAACCCAACTTTTATTAAAGCTCTTTGAGGACCCTGAGTCAGGTTTCCACACAGCCAAATCATCACCAGCTTTCATTTTGAAATAGGTTTATCTTCCCATGTTTACTGAAAAGCAGCTTCATTTTTTCAATCCAAAAGAAAGTCTAAACCTTGGCCAAACTCCTCGAGTTCCTTTGAATTTTCAAAAAGACTTCAGAAAAGCTTGAATTGCCAAAGAAATTTTCGAGAAATTCTTTGTCCAAAAGTGATGCCATTCCCACTTTGTCGAAGTACTTGGGAAGCTGTTGTGCGAGGGTTCAGTCCTGGCGCTTGTCCAGCAGTTGGGCAAAAAGAAACTCGTCGGAGAGTGTTATCTGGCAATTCGCATCTTTGCCTATCTTTTTTTTTTGAGATTGGAAATGCGGAAATTCCAATTTTCAAAAATCGCAAAACTCGAAAAATAACGCTGAAATGAATTGTTGCATAATTCGGAAATGTTGGCCCAAGGTTGCAGTTTGGCCGCAAACACGGCCAGGAGAAGTGTGAGGAGGACAATGTTCACAACAATTAAGCCAGTTCAACTCAACACGGCCTCGCCGCCGCGTTACTCGTGTTTCGCCGCGTAAGTTACACTTCACAGCGTCGAAAAGAGCAATTTACTGATAAGCGACAATCTGAGTTGGCGCGAGGCGGAGATTGAGGAGGGACACGCCTCGCTGCTCGAGAACTAGCGAGGAACAAGTTGAAAGTTCAAAAGATGAAAGGAGCGCATCCGGAGATGATCCGACGATCAACGCGCCTCGTAAAAATATCTTTAGTTTACATTTACAACGCTTTTTTTTTCTTTTTCGCTTTTGAGTTTTCGATTTTCGATTTTGAATTTTCGAAAAAATTGTCGAAATTGATGAATTTGGAAAATGAGTTGATAAATGCTCGCTCGATTGATCGTCTGCTTGTTCCGCTAATGCGCAAATTTGGAGTCAATTAGAAACTTACCAACTTTCCGGAAAGACTGAACGGCTTGTTTTTTCTTGTTTTCTGTTAATCTCTCTTTTCTTTCTTCTTTTGCTCTCTTTTAGACAGTTTCTTTCGGAGAATCTTTTTCTTGGATCTCTACTTGTCCATATTGTCCGAGGTTCTAACGGCAGCAAGGTCTTACTAAGTCAGTTACATGATAGAGTCCTACACGGGCCACCGCGGGGCAGAGCGGAGCTACAGAGCGCAGCAGCGGCGGCGCTAAATCGCGCCCTCTACACATCAATCCCCACATCGTCAACTCGGCCCTGCCCTTCACCTTCAATTCTCAGCTACCTTTATACACTGCTTGATAAAACAACAAGCACCTGCGCTCGGAGATCAACAGATCGCGAGTTTTTCCAATCTCAGTTTTGAAATCAAGGAAGAGTACTCTCCCTCTAGCCATCAATTTACAGTTAACCAATTCTTTCGCAAAGTTCTTCAAGAGACAAGCTCTTTAGAGATCTGAGTCAGGATCCTAAAGCAGCCATTTTGGGTGGAAAAGAAAGTGTTCTTGATAGGTTAGCTTTCAACTTGCTAAAAACGCAAAAAGAGTAGATGCTGATTTGGCTGGGCGAGCTTTTCACTTGCCACGCGCGAGTAGCTGCTAGAGTACTGTGAAAGAGTGATTAATTTGAGCGCGGCTGAGATTTCCTCCGCGAAAAAGGGATAATTCCGAGCTCAGAATTCAACGCTTTCATTTCTTTAAGTTTGAATGCCTACTTGTCGACCAGGGCGTTATTTACGGCGGCAGTTAAGTTTAATAACCGAGTACAACAGATAGTAAATTTCTTGATTTCTGTTCTTGCTTTTTTGAAGTCCGAGTTCGAATCTCAAAGAAAGGAAAAAGCGCTAAATGGACTTATCGACTGGGTGAGTTTAAACAGCGATAAAGCAGCCCAGATTTCGAAACGTTATTTTCAAAAGCGAGCGAAACGGTTTGTCACTTTTGAAAAGGAGATTTTTACATTCTTCAATTTGAACTTTTCAAAGCGTTGTTTCTTTTCTTGCTTGATTATTTTTGGGGCCGGAGGAAATAGGCTTTTTTGGGGGTGAGTTGGAGCTTTGACATTTTCGAATTCGCCAAATCGGAAAATTAAAAAAGGAAAAGTGTAATTGTTTGGTGACTTCGAAAAGAAGCGTTTTTTCGAAAATGCGCTCAGCCTCGTAAATCTTCAATGGACTTCTGATTTCGTTTGATTCGCGCTTTAAAACATATCCGCTAATCATCGCTCTATAAAAGCGCGTTTACTGGCAGTAAAGGCATTCCTTAACAAGGGACGCAACAAAGCGCACCAATTTGAAAGGCTTCAAGTGCAGATAACAGCAGATTACTATCGCCAGCTCTCGAAAAAGTGATCCCGCCCGACTTTGAAGTTGAGCCGCTAATTAGCTAAAAAAGGGATGGCGACGGAAACATTCGCCTAAGAGATCATCTTCATTAATTTTAAAAAGGATTCTTGAAGAACGAAAATCATCTAATAGCGGAATGCGGAAGAGCGGCATTGTCGAAGCGCGCAAATTACTCCTTCGCGGAGGCCGTTCAAGTGCTGCCAAAATCGCGCGGTTCCATCCAGCGCAGTTTCGGGCGCTTTGAAGCGAGTTATGTCACGCGCTTCGCTTTTCGTGAAAAAGGATATTTAGCCAGGATCGATAATTTCCTTTCAAAGTCAAGTTAGAAAAAAGATTGCTTTGTTCGCTTGGCAACTTGGCGATTTGGCGATTGTGGCCGAGCCACAACAAATGTACGCGCCGCCTTGATACTCAACAAAAAAAAAGGAGAAGCGTTGAACTTTTGAATATTCAAAAAAAAGCACCCTCGCAAAAATCACTTCGCGACCGTTCTTTTTTTCTGAGTGTTTTGGAATCTGATTGATCGTTTCCAAAAATAAGGCTCTGAGGCGGCGCAGAAGTTGGGAACTTGGGAACTGTTCGTTTGCTGGTTTACGAGTTCTCACGTTGGAAGCGCCTCTGCTTGAATTAAACTGTCGTAATTTGAATTGATGAGGACGCTGACTTCGCGATGGAGATTCTACTGCAAGTGTGGAAGGGCGAGCATCACGAGTTTTGACGCTCTTGCATGTGCGGCCATTAAACTTTGCTTTAACGAGCCAGAATCATCATCGCTTGCAATGGATGAGGGCATCGTCAGAGCGGAAGACCGTAACTTTTCACGGCGAAAATTAAAAATGGTGAAGATCTGAGCCAGCGCTAATTTCAACTCGCTTTGCTTGCTTGTTTATCTCGCCTTGCCAACACCTAGCCACGACAATAAATAGAAGCAAAACTGTAGAAAGTGGCAAATCACCGCAGTGGCTACCGCCGTTTGGAATCTCGAGGTTTCAAAAGTACAATCAACAAATTTCCTCCAATTCGAAAATTGCGAGCTTTTCTTTTTTAACCGAGTTGACTATCCTTCGGATGTTGACTCCCTTGATTTCTAGTAAAATGGCGAATTTGACGAATGGGAACAGGTACATCCGTTCCCGCTGCCCGAAACATTAGCACCGTAAATCGCCTCTTGCAAGTAGTAGCTTTGAATTGGAAAGGGCTTATCGCTGGCGAACCTAAGCCGGCTACACTTGGCATCGTTTTCCGTTCGAGGGCCCACAACAAGGCCAAGGCCTTTTTCGAAAAATGGAGTGTCCCAAAATAGCACTAACTTGTCACTTGAGGCGCAATTTCGAGCCATCATTCTTCTATTTCTTCAAAAAGAAAAACACGAGTACACATTCAAAAATGCTTAAATTGCCACTCTAGTCGCCAATCATGTATTTTTTAAAAGGGGCTAATTGAATTGTCACTGGCTCTGTAATTAACAGCAGGTGCTGGCCGAGCAGCGAATCGTCCACTTTGCGATTGATTCGACTCAAAATTCGGCAAGTTCGAGCGCGTCGTATTCCCCGAATTTCATGGCTAACCTTTCATCTCGCCAATCGGCGTCTAAACATTATACATAACCGCGGGAGAAGGAGTCCCTCTGGCTCGCTAATCACTGACTGAGTAATTGCCTGGTTGGGCAAGGTGCATCGGAGAATGTGCAATTATCAAGTGCTCAAGGTGTTTCCGCACGCGCGCCTCCATCCATCACCTTCGCACTTTTTTGAAGTCTGTGATTTCGAGTCCTTCAAATTCCCCCATTTCGAAGAAATCAACCGCCAAAGAAGTCAGTAAGGCTCATTTCCTTCTTCTGGACATTTCCTTCGAGCGACCCGCTTTAATAGAGCGATATCGATTAAGGATCGAGCCTCGTAAAGCGCCGAGAATGTTGTCGGAAGTGGCGGCCAGTTGCGCGCCCTCGCGGATTAACTCATGCACAAGGGGTTTAGACGGAGTCGTGTAAACAACGGGCGCACTAGTGATCATTCTCTGCTCGGATGTTTTGGGCGACATGAGCAGCTTTCGGAAGTAGAAGCCGGAAGCGCGACCTGTGTTCCCACTGTTCTCGATTGACCTTGACCAAGTGCGTTTTGCATAATTCCACGAAGCCGCGTATTTGCGCTAGAATCAATCAACAGGAGCGTGTTCTCGCCCCGATTAACCGCCGCGCTCGTAAATCCGCACACTTCTTATTTATTCGCAATTTATCAAGGGAGCGAGCAGCGGGCGACTGGCCAGGCCCTTTCTTGCAACTTATGAGCTCCTGCATGCGCATCTGCCAATAATTCATTAACTTTTATTTTACACTTTTCGGCGGCCAAGGCGCGACAACGTAGTATTAATAACTCTCTGCCTTTCGAATAATTGCAGGTTGGGCAGAGCGTCTCGCTTTCTGATCCGCTAAACGGCGCCCGGGGCGACGTTACACTGAAGAAAACAGAAATGTTCCAAATGTCAAGTCTGCGCAGCGAAAAGTAAGGCGATCAGAGGAAGAGGTACGTGGCGACTAGAAAACAAACTTCAAATGACCGCCCAATCGGGTCTGGTTTGGGAGCCCTCTCGGCGAAAGGAGACGGTTTTGCTTTTCAGCTTTGGGCGCTTCTTTCTAGCGCTGCAACTTTTTTCTTGAAAAACCGGGCCACAGAGAAAAATGACGAGCGAGGTCTGGGCGAAGCGGATGGCCAGGAAGAGTGTGCGAGCAGTGGGAATCGTCACACTCATCTACATTCTGGCCAAACTGGTCGTCACTCAAATCATTTTCATCACAGAGAGCGCCGCGCTCAATTACTCGGAGGAGCCGAGTTCGCGAACGTGTCCGCGCGTGAAACTCTTCCTTGATTTCAACCAGCCGCCGAAGTTCGCGCTGCGGGAAAAGAACTTCCTCCTGCCGAGCCTCGGCTTTGGATTCCTCGGTCAGCTGCGTGGACTGCGCGAGAGCATCTTGCTCTCGATTAAACTCAACAGGACACTCGTCCTCCCTTCCGCCATTTCCGACAAGTGGAGCGATTTCGCCTCCGAACAGGACTTTTCTCGCGGAGAAGAGACCATCGTCAGTTTACCAGGACTCGTCAATTTGAAGGTAAATCAATGATCGAATGAAACTTTTTGTGACTGTAAATTCAGCAAGTGAGCGCGCTGATATCGGTCCTGCCATCTTTGGAAAGGGAGAACGAATGCAAGAAAATCGACGCGGTCTTCTCGCAAAAGATGAATTTCTGCAAGGAATGGTTCAAAAATGCTATTTATTTCGGCGAAGGAGAAAACTCTGAACCAAAAAAGGGAAACCGTTTGGAGCGACTTCGCAACCTAGAAAACCTCCTTCAACTGCCACCAAGTCAATTTTGCCTAAACGAGGAAAATCCAGTCTCAACTGAAATCGAGTTTTACCCGAAAGAAGAATCGTCGGAGCAACTTGCAGACTTGCAGCACTTTTTGGCTGACAGTACTACTAATAACACTCTTTCTCAAAAGAGCTTCTTTCCTTCCCCGGAAGCCACTTGCGCTGCGTTATTTTTTCCCAACTTGAGTTTTGACTTGGGCGAGGCTTTGGAGCATCCCAGCCTGGGAAGTTTGATCGCAGAGCTCGTTTTCCACACGCAGGTGCCCCACCACATCGTCGAAATCGCCGCTGCTTTTGCCGAAGGAGCCTTTTTCGCCGTCGAGTGGAAATTCGGCGAAGAAGAGTGGTCTCAAAACTGCAAGGACTTGCACACTGCCGAGCAGAAGAGGGTGGAATGGTGCAAGAGTCTGCGCTTGTTCCGAAAAGACGACAATTATCACCCGATCGCCGAAGAGCTCTTGAAACTGGCGAGAGCGAGAGGGAGCACGGCGAATACAGTCTACATCTATCAGGAAGACAAAAGTGCTTCTACAAGCGACATAGAGGTAAAATTAACACTTTTGCTCGATTCTATCATTTTTATCAAGAACTTTCTCCGGTCGAAGGGTTTGCGAGTTCTGACCGTCGCCGCTCTTAGAAGCTTTCTGGCTTCAACTTTTCCTGACTGCGAGGTAACAACTGCTTTAAAAGTCAACTCATCTTCTTTAGATGCTCGTGAACTCCGTGAGAATTTCCCAAATCGAGCTACAACTAGCGATCGAAGCAGATCTTCTCTTCGCCGCTTCCTCCTCTCTCTGGAGTCGAACAGGTTTCATTTCCCTCAAAAACTCAAACTCTCTCAAACTCAAAATTTGCAGGTGAATTGGAGCGGCGGGTGCGCAACCGCCCTTCCATCGCCAATCGCGAGATCATCGAGCAACTAGAATTCAATTAGAATTTCAACTACACTGCTACTTATTCCACTTTCAAGCAATTCCACCTCAGCCACTTCAATTTAATAAACTCCGAACTTTCAGTTATCCCGGCTTTTATTAGACCAAAGTCAGAAAAAAATAAATAATCCAAAAAAGCAAGTTTCAAAAAGAAAGCGGCTTCTATCCGCCCAGAAGTCGAGTTGAAGGGACCCATCTTCGTCCCCCGGAAATTGTTCCCGCTGCGGCTCCGTGCCGACGCCAGGCTAAATTTCAACGCTCTTATCAGTGAAAAAGTGAGTAAAAATTACCTCCTCGGGAAGGGAAGCGCGCTCGCTCCGCAGCTTTTTGTTCCATCTTGCGATCGATTTTCCACCAATTGAGAGCCCAGCGACCTTTCAACATTCATTTCCTGATCCTCAAAGATTTCAAACTTACCGAAGGTGTTGCAGCGCGTTGCGAAGTAAATGCAGCGCGGAGTGATAGGATGTCCGTCGCGGCCGATCACTTGCTCATAGCTTCGCAGTCGGTTCCGAGTTGGTCGCCCGTTTGCCATTTTCCGCCCTTTTGTCTGTTTTGCCAGATCGTAAAAGAAAACTTGCAAGAAGAGTCGAGTTCTAGAGACGTTTCGAAAGAGGCTTGATAGTATCAAGCCACGATTAATATTTGTAAATGAAGTTTTACGCGCTTTTTGGGTCATTTCTGAACAGAAACGGCGCAAAGCTTATGTAAGAGAAAGTCGATTCTCCTCTTCCTGCGAGCACTAAAAATCAACGACTCCGCGAAAGTGCTCAAATATCAAGTCAGAATGGATGATTGAAGAGTGATTTCAGAGCAAAGGACATACATAGCTCTCGTGCTTCCTGTCGCTCAGATGTTGCGCTGCGTAAAACAAACACGAGCTGGGAGACTGCTGTCTGACAGAAGCTCCTACTCGGGAATAGTCGCAAGAAAACCTCTCACGACGGGAAGAAGAGTTCTTTACTCGTCAGCGAAAAGCGGCTGCGGTGAAATTAATCTTCGCCGAAAAAAGTCACACGAAGTCAGCAAAGCGTCTCCGCCCAAAAGAGTCAAAATAAAGGTTGTAAGGGTAGATTATGAAAAATTTTAACGAGGGCTCATAATAGCCTTCTCCGCTGCGGTCGCATTGACGCGAGCGAGAAAGTCGACAAGTCAGAAATCGCACACTGCGAAAAAACACGAGGGTTCTTATAGTTTCTTTACTTTCAAGCTAAATACAAATAAAGCGGATTTTGGACAGAGCTCCTCAGTTCAGGACCCCACAACTTGCACCGCGCGCTTCAGAGAACGCACTATGGAGAGAATAAAGGTTTTTACGCTTTCGATTAATGACGAAATTATCAATTAACATTAATAAAAAAGATTACTTGTTACGAAGAAAAACTAACAAATACTGCTTTAGCCCTACTTTCCAATTTTCACTTGGGCTCCTCGATACCAGCCAAAAGAATATCTTTCTCGCGACATTATTGCTGGTCTCACTGTAGCTCTGACTGTCGTGCCACAGGTAAGACCGCAGCGCGACCTTCAGAACGGCAGAAACAAACTTAACTTGAAAATTAAGGGTCTCGCATACGCTAGTTTGGCGAAGTTGCCGACAGAATATGGACTTTACACTTCCTACGTTTCAGGAAAAGAGGCTAAAGCAGGCTTTTACACTGCCAGATCGGTGCTTTTATGAATTTCATTAGTTCATTTCGTAAGAAGCGAAAACAAATATTTGTCGACCACAAGAGGAGAGTAAATGCACTTAGCAGCCACAAAGGACCTGCGGGTCAAGCTATTTCTATTTATGGAAATTAGGGGTGTTTTCTTGTTGATTTCCACTTTCCATGAACTTTGGATCGCTTCATTTCCACAACAAGCAACAAAAATATTAGCTTCTCTCTTCAGCCATCGTCTACACATTCATGGGCAGCTCGAAAGATCTCGCCGTCGGTCCCCAGTCCCTGACTTCGATGTTGACGGCGCAGTACTGCATGCGACCAGAAACGTGGATTCCGATGGCTGGCGTCACGTAACAATCCTTCCCTTGAGACTTCGAAAACGGCGCTTTTCAGATCTGAATCGGACCCGAGATTGGCGAACTTGCTCTGTTTCTGCTCCGGAGCGATCATTCTTCTTCTCGGAATTTTCGATCTGGGCGCTGTCGTCAACTACATTTCAAATCCTGTTCTCGTTGGTTTTATTTCAGGAATGCGCTTTCAATAATCACTTTCAAAAGTAGTCTTCCTTGATTTCATCGCCAGATTTTGCGAAAGCGTAATTTCCAGCTGCCTCGATCATCATCCCCTTTTCTCTTCTCGAGCGAGTGTTTGGTCTCTCTGGCCTTCCTGGACCTTTCTACCAGAAAATGGTCGCCATGGTCATGCGCCTTGGAGAGTCGAAATACTACGACGCAATTATTGGACTGAGCACGCTCGCTACTCTCCTCGCCTTGAAACATCTCCGAATTCACTTCGCAGATCCGAAAGAGGGCGACTCCGCGCTTGTGAGGATCTTGAGAAAAGTTCTTTGGATCGTTGCTACTCTTCGAAACGCCTTTGTGCTCGCCATCACTTCTTTCATTCTTTATTCTTCTGGAAACAACTGCCCCTTCGCTGACGAGCCCATCGATTTGAACATAACCGACCCGAACGCAAAAGGAACGAGGCTATTTCAGAAACTAGTCTAGTTTCTAGTAGCAGAACCAAAGAAACAGTCCGCATAAGATTGCATCACTCCAACAACCATTTCTGCCATCACTTTGCCCCCAATCGCCTTTCCCGACACAAATATCGAGCTTGAGAATGGCGAGTCCGCCGGCATCGTTGACATGCTAACGACGCTTGGATCCGGAATCATCATCGTGCCATTTGTAGCGATTCTTCAGTCGATTGGGATTGGCAAGTCGCTCGCCGAGCGTGGCAACTATCAAGTCAACGCACGAAACGACTTTTTGGCGATCGGAACAGGTAACAAAACCGAAATCAAAAGCTTGCGAATGACCATTTCCAAGGCGGTGTGATGTCTTCCTTGGTTTCTTCGATGCCGGTTTCCGGCTGCTTTTCAAGATCAAGTCTCAACTTCGAGTCGAACGCTGCCACTCAGGCTGGAAACCTCATCACCGCCGTTGTTGTCATGATCTCTGCCGTCCTTCTCGCCGAATACTTCAGGTGATTTCACAGCGAAAATGCAGAACAAAGAGTTTCTTTGTAGATGGATTCCTACTGCAGCGCTAGCAGCGGTGATCATGGCCGCCGTCGGTTCTATGTTCGACTTTGACGCGATCAAGCAGGTCTGGACGCTTTCGAAAATTGAGTCGATCCCGATGATTGCCACTTTCGCCCTCTCCTGCGTCGGTAAGAATCGTCTTTGCCGTGAATTCAGATTCAAATTCTGCTTTCTCAAGATTTCCGAATCGGCATCGTCGTTGGAATCTTCCTGCACATCGCGATGCTTCTCTACTCTCAGAACAGCCCCCAAATCACCGTCGTCAGCGGAGCAAACAAGAGCTTCACGATCAAGATCGCTCACGGAATCGCCTTCCCCGTTTGCGAGGTATGAACTCGCTCGATGAACAAAGCAGGCTCAATTTTAAAATTCAGACTCTTTTGGATCGAGTCAACTTGCTTTTAAAGAAGAGGAGGAAATCAACGCAGTCGCGCTCGACTTGAACGGCGTCTACATGGGCGACTCCTCCGCCGCCCGCTCCATCGCCAAGATCGCCAACAAAATGGAAGAGAAGGAAATCAAGTTCAGAATCGTCAACTGCAACGTACGTTCTTTTCCTCGCTCAAGAAAATAACGAGTATTTGATTCAGGACGTGCTGGCCGAAATGCTCAAGAAATTCGAGGTCGAAGTGAACGACGAGCTGCCACAGTATCGAGCAAACAGCGCGCATGCTTCCGTAACAGCTTCCAGCAAATTGCTCGCCGTAAACAGCAAGGCTGCCAGTCTGGCTGGTTCTGCCACCAACATCCACATCTCAAAAGAGTAAATAAGCGCCTTTGCGAGTTCACTTGCTCCGAACTTGTTCAATTTTAAATATTGCCTTTCTGTCAAACTTGAATGAAAAACGATGTTTTGCATTCCATCGAAGCTGCCTCTTTCAATTTCCCTTTTGAAGGCGACTCTACTGTAGCTGCAGAAGGCGCTCTAGCTTTTATTAATTTCTAGTAGTCTATAAAAATAAACAACGATTGCAAAAATATTTCTCTCGTTTCGATTAATTACTGTTAATTAAAAGAAAGCAGTAAAAAAAATCAGATAAGAATACCGTTAACTAGTTCAGTGGCTAAGCGCTGCAAGAGTGCCGTTCGCCAGTTTTCGATTTGATCATCATTTTTTTGTTGCTTAATTTTCGTCTTCGTTGATTTTTCTTCTTCTATTTTGCGTTATTTTCGCTTTCGTTTGTCGACTTTTTGGGCGAAGTTTGAGTTCCCATGTCGTGAAAGACGACGAGATCTTCTGCTGCAATATTCCACTCGATTTCGAATTCAACGGCAGCGGCACTTTCTTCTTGTTCCTTCTTGACCGGGTAGGGCTCGAATTCAAGTCGTCTTTTAACGGATTCTTTTGGCATTTTCTTTGATAATCAAAGACGAAATCGTCCTCCCTGACCAAAACGACAAGTTTCTTCATCACTCTATTATTCAAGTCGCAGAATTTACCCTTGATCAGCACGCCATGATGTTCAAGCTAAGTTCAGCAAGCCAAGGAATCAACAAGAAACAAACTGCTTCGCGCTGCGATCAATTGTGTGTTCGATTGACAAGAACACATAACTTTACCGGAGAAATCCTTTCGAGAAATATTCCCGAGGAGAGTGTCCTTGTCCGCTTCATCAGTGCGATGAGGTCGTTAATAAGAAAACGCTTGTTTTCGCTTGGGATCTAAAGAAAGGCAAAATATCTGAAGCATAGTTGACATGTATTAAAAGTAATAATTGAGAGTTACTATTATTTATTTTTGAAAATGAAGCCAAAATGAACACGAGAGCGATCAGATCGCACTACGAAACAGCTACTGATCCCGCCAAGGCTTGATAAAAATTTATTTTCTTCTATGATTTCGAAAAGAAATGGGTCGAGGAGGGAGTCGGGCAGCAGACAACTTCATGTATGATGTCCAGTGGAGCACCATTTCGCCCACCGTTTGGTTCCACAACGACGCTCACGACGGAAACGTTTTCATCCGCGACGCTCAAGGGAGGAAAGACTGCTGCTGATTGACTATGACAACTCAGAATTCGGCTGTAGTGGAATTACCACTGGGTTTGACAAAGAACAAGCTCGGCGACTTGTAAAAGGCAATTTATTGCAGAAAGTGAATAATGAATGTTTGAAACAGTGATGAGTGCAGTTTATAAAGGGTTTGGGAGTCTAAGGGCGCTACTAGATGGCTTGGCACCAAAGAGAAGGGGTACCGGAGGTGACAGTACTAGATTGATAAGGGTACGCTGGGTGTTCTATATACGCAGCGGGGGTTGAGTGGATTTGCGGAGCGCTGGGCTTTGGTGTGCAATTAGCCGGGGCGCTAATCCTGTCGATACTGAAGTGATGTATCGGAAACTGATGGCAATTCCACTACACGGCAAAAGAGCCTTCGACCTCACCTTCTACATCATTCGCCTCTACGAGAAATTCAACAAGGACATTTACGACTTCTTGAACATAAACTTGTGGGAGTATAACCGAATCAGCGGAGTTTTCATTCGAAGGTACTTTAAACGAACTTGCAAGGTCTCAAATTCGTTCTAGAGCAAGAGCAAGAAATGACCTGCGTCTGGCCATATCTTTTTATGAAGCAATCCGTCTTCAACCGCCGCGTCGACGATGACTTCTGCAACTTCATGTTTGACGTGATGCGAGCAATGCTAGACGAACACGCAAATGGGAGAGCAAGCTGCCCCTGGACAGGCCGAAACAGCGAGTTTCCGAAGTGCAAGCAGCCAGCATAACGAAAATTGACTTTTGTTTTATTTGCAGAAACATGAATTGAGTCTGAGACTTGTAAGCTTGGTTTATGAGTAATTTAGAAGCAGAAGAGAACTCTTTGAATATTTTAATCAGAACTGCTATCACTGAACTTTGAAAAGACTCCACTTATTAAGTTCGCAAAAAAGTTCATTCTTCGTTCATTTCCGCTTCTTCTTCAGAACCGTCAGAAATCTCGATAAGGGAGTCTTCATCCGAGTCATGCTCCGACTCCGAGTCTGAGTTTGGAATTATCGCCCGCGAAGAAGACTCTTTTTCGAGGAAGGGCGGCGGACTGTCGTTATTTCGGAATCGGCCTCGTTTTTCGCGGTCTTCCGAAAATAACTTTATTAAAAATTTCAAAATGACTCAAACCTGCTTCGTGGAGGGAGTCGCGTCTCTTGATCAAGTGGACTTCCTTCATCAGCAGTTTTCTTTCGGTTTTCCCGATTTCCTGGCCAACCATGCTCTGCGCCTCGCTGTTGCCGTCGAAGAAGATCGTTGTCTTCAGCGTCTTTTCGTAGTTTCCTTTGAAGAAAATGTTGTTGACTTGGATGAAGGGCTCTTCCGAGTCCAGCCCGACCACGCGGATTTTCTCTGCTTCGGAAAGCTAAAATTTATCAATTATAGACGGCTAGAAGGATCAGTTCATTACTGTACCTTGACAGGGCAGTCGGGAAGTTCCAAATGGCAGTGCGTTGCCTGAACAACTTCCCACTCGTCGTCATCTTCATCTTCGCCGAATTCTTCCAGATCTGGCATTTGTTTTCGCGCTTTTCGCCGGCTCAATTATTCTTCAGAATAATTCTCTCCTCTCTTTTCCACATTTTCGTCTTCTCCCTTTTCTAGTTCTGCATTCCAAGCGCTAGAATCGACCTCCATTCAAGAATTTCAAAAATCTCGGTGATTAAAATATTTCGCTCCGCGCGCGGACCAATCAGCGTGCGCGGAGATTTCAAAGGCGAGAAAAAGAGAAAAGGCGAAAGCGGTGGGAAAGGGATGAAAAAGGAAGAAAACAGAGAAGTAGAAAACAAGAAATAAAAAGAAGGGGTTTTCTTCACTGATTATTTTTGATCTGCACTCGATTAAATGTGAAATTACTGTAGCAAGCTAACTGAAGCGATCTTTAGAATAAGGCCCAATCGGCCATTTGTCTGATGAGCGGCTAAGATGAGCGTGGCTAATCTGGTGAATGACTTCTTCAGGGCTGAAATGGAGGGGATCGCGAGCTAATCGACAACAACGACGAGAAAAGAACTCCAAAGAAAAAGACTCCTCGAAAAATCTACCGCAACCGTTTCTTCCCCTCTCGCAAGCCAAGAAATACCAACTCAAAAAACAGCTGTTTCAGTCTTCGCAATCGTCGTCCGTTTTACCAGCCCGGTGGCAACCCAGCTGCTTTGACGCTCAAGCCCGATTCCTTCGAACCAGATGAAGTGGCGCACTACCAAACCTTTCCACCCGCCGCGCAGAGATTATTCTAGCGGTGAGAAATCTGGTCGTTTCGATGTGGTCTATTTCTCTGACGATTTTGGTTACTCCAGAGAGCTGCATGCAAAATGCGATTGTAAGAGGATACATTCGCGCCGCTCTGCCAGAACTATTCAATCTTGTTATAAAATTTCTTACGATAAAGGGCATTATCAACTTTGGCATCTTTGAGGACATACCCAGGCCGTTGGTTCTCAAAAACATTCCGCTGGAGAAACGAGAAACGACTGTTGTAATTGGAGCTGGACCATCAGGAATTTCTACAGCCAGACAGCTTCATAACTTTGGATTCAATAAGAAGATTCTAGGGGCGAGGAAGAGAATAGGAGGACGAGTTCATGTTTGGGCACCTAAGGTTCGTTTGAGTGAAAAAAGCTCACTTATCGTCCATTTTTAGGTAGCTGCAGGAGCAATGGTCATCAACGGCCGCCAAAACAACCCTATCATCACCATGAGTCGTCAAATCTACCACGATGTCCACATCCTCGGAAGCCAATGAGACCTTTTTGTCAAATCCAAATCGATTGCGCGTGGACCAGACTTGAGAATGGAGCATCATTTCCACACGATTTTGGACATTTTATCCGACTGGAGATTAGACAAGAAAAAGGACATTCCACTCATCGACGCGATTAACCTCGCTCACAAAGAATACGTCTGCCAAAGCGCGGAAAGATACTCAAAAACAGAAATGAAACTGCTCGAGACGACTCATGGGGAGAAAATTGAGGCGGATAGGATCGGATACAGATAAATAATAGATCTTGAAGCCGCAAGTGGCTGACCAATTTTGTAAAATAGCTTGAAATAAGACTTCTGTATCCATTTCAAAGATGCGTCGTGTCAATCCCACTCGCCCTCATGAAAAGGAAAACCATCAATTTCACCACCGACTTATCTCCGCGAAAATGGCGCGCTGTAGAAAACATCGGTGCCGGCCTGATAGAAAAATGTCTCCTCCGCTTCGATTCAAAATGGTGGAGTTACAAGATCGGAGGCGCTGATTTCTTTGGCTCCATCAGCGTTTCTGGCTCCGACTCAGGCGTCGACGCTGATGATGAACACGATACGTCGGGGATTTTTAATGTGTTCTTCGATATTCCATCGCCTGAGAGTGATCATTTTACTCTCAATTCGATCGCAGCTGGAGCTTCGTCTGATATTTATCATTCGATGAGTGATAAACAGCTCGTTTCTAGTGCGATTGCGACGCTTCAAAGCAAGGGTCAATAAACAAGCTCCTTTTTACTTGAATTGTCGCCATTTTGTGACTCTTAAAAAAGAAATCTTCATAGAAATCACGAGCCCAGAGCCCCTGAGCTTCCACATTACACGCTGGGGAAAAGAAGAATACTCCCATATGAGTTATTCATTTATCAAACTCGGTTCAACCGGAAAAGACTACGACAAAATGGCGGAACCAGCTTCGGATCGATTATTTTTCGCTGGAGAAGCCACCAATCGGTACGTTAAAGCGCATCTCTCTATAAAAAATGTTTGATAGGTATTTCCCACATACAGTGACAGGAGTGACAGTCCCTACTTATCCGGAGTTCGCGAAGCAGCGAGAATTTTCAAGCTAGAACACAAGAAACTCAACCCTGATTCGAAATTCTCCGGCGACTCGATTTTCGATCAAACTTCTCTTCATCCCCAGGTAAAGAAATCATCCCTTTTCTTCCCTCATCGTTCTCTAAGAAGCGAAAGAGCGAGTCAATCAACCAAAAACCGCCTTCAAAGAAAATCGAACGACGAAAATCCGAGCCAATTCCAACCATGTAACCTCTTAAGAAAAATCTTGTTTCCTTTTTTTCATATTCACATGTTTTTTCTTCTTCCAAAGCTTTACCTTTTTCTCACTGCCTTCATTGTTCTTTTTTTTTTGCTGCAATATCTTTAATATATTTTCTTATAATTGAATGAATGCTCAAAATATTGGTTCAGGAATTCGAAAACTTCAATTTTCAGATGAACTGACAGAGAAAAAAAGAAAAAGGATTGAAATGGCCCGATTTTGTCATGTTTCAGGACTGATTCTTTTCCTTCTAGCGCTGGTTTCTTCTTATAATCGACTTGCATAGGTAAGCTCCTTTCCCGACCCCTGTTTCTACATATTTTTTAGTAAATCTTCAACTGCCAGAAGCCTCAAAGATCGTCTCTCCTTTTCCAACATCAAGAATCACCAGGTGTTCTTCATGAAGAATTCGTCTCGTCGCTAGAAAACCCAATCGTTGTTTACAACCGCGTTCCAAAAACTGCCTCCACTGCCTTTACCCATCTTCTCTACGACCTAACCAGAGGTAAGCACTTCTTTCCCGCCTCTTATCTTTAAAACGCATTAGAAAACTCAATCTACGTCATCCATGTTAATACAACCGTGCCGAGACAGAATCCCGCAATCATGTCCCTCCAGGATCAAATGCTCCTTCGACAAAATATGACGACTTGGGGCATTACTCCTGCCTTTTATCATGGTCATTTCGCCTTCTTCAACGTCCCAAATGTCTTCTGGATCAATTTGGTTCGGTAAGAGCGCCTTTCAATAGAATTTGTCTTAAAATATTAAGGAACCCATTTGACCGACTGGTCTCGAACTACTACTTTCTCCGATATGGTGATAACTTCCGAAAAGGACTTCTGAGGAGTAAGAACGGCGATACGACGACCTTCAACGAATGCGCGAAGAAAGAGTCAAGCAAAGACTGCTCGATTCAGAAAATGTGGATTCAGGTAACTCGAATCAGGGTCCTCAGATGTCACCCGCATTCATGTAGATCTCTTAGAACCTCTCTGTATGATGGCGTAAGGGTCTGAAAATTGCCCCAATGAACGCGATTCTCGATCTAAAATTGTGAAGACTCTTATAGGAGACACGAAAGTGTGCCGCCCGGATAGGAGGGGGTCAAGGGCGAGCCCGACCACAGCTTTGCCTCATCTGAAGATGCTCTTGTTTCTGATAATGCAAGCTTGTAATCGCTGACATTCATCTTTAGATTCCTTATTTCTGCGGCCAAGTTGCAGCATGCTGGGAGCCCGGAAGCCAGTAGGCTCTTGATAGATCGAAGCAAAACGTCCTCGAACACTATTTTCTCGTGGGAAAGACCGAAAATCTGATAGAATTTGTTGAAGTCCTGGAGAACGAAATTCCCGCAGTCTTCAAGGTAATTTTCACGAAGAGACGTTCAAAATCCTCGGCAAATATCTCGAGAAAGAGCTGGGCGAGTCAAACATAAAAGTGTGTAGACGACGAGGAGACAACCTTACCAACAATAAACCTAGGTGAAAAAGACGTTCTCTTTTTTAAAAGCTTAAACAAAATTCAGAGGACTTACGCGTGCCCGGGATCACAGCGAAAATCTCCGCCAATGGCAATCCGATGTTGGCTTCGTCGACGGCAACAAATTTCATCTTCTCGTTTGAGTGTTTTAGACTGCTGTTTGCCTCATATAGTGCAACATACTTCACTACTGATACTTTTCTTCACTCCAATTTTCAAGGAATAATTGAATTTTTTTCACTATCTCACTTCAAACACCGCCTAAGCTATTTCTATCACAGCCATTTTTTTCAAGCGAAACAGTAAACTCTTCGTATTGATTCAAAGCTAAAGTATTGTCATTTTCAAGAATGAGCAGTAGTACATTGTCGAGCAAGCGATTTTCGGATCTGAAGCCGCCCCTTCATCCTAGCAGACGTTGACAAGTCTGAGTTCATGACAACAGTTCAAGTAAGAAAATTCTAGCACCAGAAGAAAATCTTCTTAGGAGTACACGATCCCAATCTTTTTGCAAAACAAAGATGAGATGTGCGAAGCTGTCACTGGCTCTGGAAAGACGCTGGCCTTCCTTTTGCCCGCGCTGCACAAAATGATCTCTTCCGGGGCAAAGGACAAGATCTCCTTCATCGTCATTTCTCCGACCAGAGAGCGCGCCAATCAAACTCATACAGGTACTATCCTAATGCTGGTTTATTCGTTTATCGGATATTTTCTAGTTTTGCTGCGATTTCTCGATGTTCTTGAAAAGTACACAGCGATGACCTGCATCGGCGGAGTAACAAAGATCCAGGAAGACATGGAAATGCTGGAAAAGTCGACTCCAAATGTGATCATCGCGACTCCGGGAAGAATGGACGATTTGATTAAACGTGTGCTCAAGGCGAAGCTGAAGACTGTGGAGATGTTGATTATCGACGAAGCGGACCAGGTTTTTGAACCCTTTCCTGCGAATTAACAAAGCCTTTTTTAAGATTTTGGACATTGGTTTCGAAAAAGCGATCAATTTCATTTCGTCAAATCTTCCAAAGCAGCGGCGAACCGGTCTTTTCTCCGCGACGCTGAACGAAAACGTCCTCCGTCTGAAAAAGGCTGGTCTGCGTCATCCCCACTCCGTCTCGGCCAAAGAAAAGCGCGAGAGAACCTGTCCACGCCTCAAGAACTCAAACTGCTCTTCTCAGTCGTCGAGCCGCGCCACAAACTCAGTTATCTCGTTTCGTTGTTGAAAAAGCGGCGAAAGTCGAAGAGCGTCGTTTATTTTCTCCAGGTCGACTATTTCCACCAAGCTTTGAGGCAGCTGGTCAACTTTCCAGTGATCAAGTGCCACGGAAAGAAGAACCAGAAATTGAGGTCGAAAGCGATCGAGGAATTTACCGACAGATCTGGCGGAGCTGTTCTAGGAAACTCGCTACAAAGTTATTTTCTTTGAGGTCACGTGACGTGATTTCGCTGACCAAAATGGTAGCAAAAGCTGCTTTAGACGCTGTTCTTTTCGTCGATATACAGTTGTTCACTGTCATCTGCTACAGTTTACCCGCCAGAGGGGTCAAAATAAAGGGTATCTAACAAGCGGAACCCTGAGTCAGGGTGCTGATAGAGCTGTCCAAAAACTAACGTGCATCTGTATAAAACCCTGACTCAGGTTTCCACACAGGCTCCCGAGCCCTGAGCATCACTAACCGTTAATCAATAATGTTAACTCTCTGATGATTTCTGAATGTAGCGAATTGTAACAGTTACGACGGATCTGCTCTGCCGCGGCGTCGATATTTCCGGCTGCGTGGACTACGTCATCCAGTTCGATCCTCCAACCTTTGCTCCAAACTTCGTCCACCGCGCTGGCAGAACCGCTCGCGCTGGAAAAAGCGGAGAAAACCTGGTCTTGGTGACTCCGTCGGAGCACGAGCAAAACTACCTCGAGCTCATCAAACTCAACCAAAAAGTCGGCGACATGGTCGAGTTAATAGAAGATTTCGAGATTTTGGAACTGGAGAAGGTCAGGGAGATCCAGTTGAAGGACAAGAGGAACTTTGAATACGCGCAGAGGGCGTTCCCGAGCTTTGTTTGTCCCTACATCTGTCCCTACTCAAAGAAATCAAATTCCAAAGCTAGACTTGCGAAATGCTTTTCGAGGTAATTGACCGTCTTTCGACTTAAAAAAGAGCAATTTCTAGGGCTGCCGATCATCCAAGCGCTGATAGAACGAGCAACTGAAGAGCAGATGCTCTACTGCTGGCGAAACATAATCTCTTCGATTTGTTTCTTGATAATTCTCGTCAAAATCATGAAAGAAAACGCCGTTCTCGATTCTCGGCGACGAGAGCAATTCGGAAACTTACTCCTCAATCGCCTGGGAAAAGCCAATCAATCGCCGATCCGATGGAGCAGAACTTATGGAACCACTTCAAGGCGATTTTTAAAGAGTTTGAGGACAGGGGAAGTCGAGCGAATCTGCCGAGAATCGAACTGCTACGAGCCTGAAAAAGTCAAGAACGTCTTGAAAGAGCAGAAAATGTGGGACCAACTTCCTTTGATAATCGTCTGCGATCGATTCGACTTCGTCCACGACTCGGCTCTCCATCTTTACAGAAATAATCTCCAGAAACACATCGAGATCTACGTCCAGAAAGTTAACCCATCTCGACTCCCTCAGGTCATTGGTGGGCTTTTGGATGTCGACTGCGAGCCAGATGTGATCAAGAGCCTCATCATGGTTGTCCTAGCTCCTTCTCACGTGGCGAGAGTCGCGAATAGCTGAAGACTGCCAAGAACCCGCCACCCACAATGCTTTGGCCGAGATCTACATTGATGCCAACAACCCTGAGCGATTCCTTCGGGAGAACCCCTTCTATTTCTTCGCTGTTGTCGGTAAATACTGCGAAAAGCAAGATCCTCATCTCGCATGTATACCTAACTTGTGGAAGAACTTGCCAACTAGTCTCTCAAAAAAGAACCTATTTTATGCAATGGACACGCTATGCAATTACTCACCATCTTACAGCAGCTTCTCTTAGTTTAAAGACGAATTCTTTTCTAGTTATTTATTATTCCAAATAAACCTGTGAAATAAACAAGTTCCAAAGACAAACATTATTCCAAAAATAAACATCACTCTGATTTTAGAAAAATGTCGGATTTTATGGGCGATTTCATGAAATCGTCCGAGAGTTAAACTAACCCTTACTTCAAAGATGGTGGCACTGGAATGCCTCCGACCGAGGAAGAGATGATGGAGAAACAAAGAAAACCAGAAAAGAGGAAGCAGGAGATTAGCTATGAAGACGAGTTGGAAGCGATGTGGGCGGAGTGAGAGGCAGAAGTTGAGCCTGAAAGTAGGCCTAAGAAAAGATCCAAGCATGAGGGCAAATGTAAGTCACTCTTATTGGAGTATAATTATACTGTATAAATTATACTATATAATTTATACTGTATAATCTATCTAATATTTAGCTGCTGCTGAAATCAAAGAAATCAGAAACAAACTCACTGGAAAGCTGATGCGTGCCGATCTCAAAGGCAACAAAGAAAAAGCTGCGAAAATTCAAAAAGTAATCGACGAATTAACAGATGAAAAGACAATCGTCGTTCAAAAATACGATGCCCGTGGTCGAATCCGTCCAAGTAACCAGAAACGCGAATCTGATATTTCTGCTCTTCTTCGTGATGAAAAGAATGACGATGGAGGAATGGGTTAGTTTCATGATTGTCTTCCATGTCTTCAAGGTATTTTTAGCTTCGGATATGGCGCTGAAGAAGAACTCTTCGACGGCACAAAGGCAAGAGGGAAAAAGAGACGCCTCATGCAGATGAAGACCGTGAACGAGCAAAGAACAGGATGATTCATAGAAGCCTCGAAAACTGTCGGTTTTGCTATTCGAATAAGGTAGAGAGTGAACGCAGTTGAAAGCAAAAATTGACGTATTCTTAGAAACTCCGCGACTCAATTTGCTGGGTTGGCCAACACGTGTACCTAGCTGTTACAGGCTCCGAACCGATGGCAGAAGGGCACTGCATCATCGTTACAAAAGAACACTATCCAAATCCGCCGTCATGCGATGAGGATGTCGCACGCGAGATCCTCAACCTGCGAAGAATGCTTACTGGGTATTTCAAAGCAAAGAACGATACAGAGCCAGTTTTTATCTCTACAGGTATTAATTTTATTGACAGGCGACGTTTTATTCATTGACAATGAGCGTCGGTTCGCTACGGGATTGCAAATTCAGTCCAGGTAGTCCAGGATTGCCAGGTGGACCTGATGAGACATCAGGACCAGGGGCACCAGTTTTTCCTGGCTTACGATGATCTCCATTGAATCCTTCAAATTTGATCTATCTCAAGCTTTGATAAAATGCCTTACCTCGTGGTCCAGGGTCACCTCTACTAGGTCCTCTAGGACCCATGTCGCCAGGCACGCCGGGTTCTCCTCGCTCACCCTCCAAGCCAGGAGGTCCCGGTGGACCTGTGTCGCCTGGGATTCCTTGAAGCCCTGGGAATCCTCGTTCTCCTCTTCTACCAAGCAGTCCACGAAGCCCCGTCGCTCCTTTTACTTCTCGTTCTCCCCGTGCACCATCGCTACCAGGATGCCCATCTTGTCCAGCTATTCCAGTCTGTCCTGGTGGACCAGCTGGACCGGGAGGACCTGGGCGACCAGGGAGTCTTTCGCTCGATCTGTTTTATCCAGTAAGAGTTTTATCGAAATTTTCATTTTTTCTTTTTGAGCATTTTTAATGACGAGGGGAGTTTCGTGATTGCGAGTTTTTATCATTTACAATGATTTTATGTACGTTTCTTTTTACGAGTTCCAGTGTCGATTAGTTCCTTGCTAACTGCTCTCTCTAGCGACGAAGGGTTTCCCGCATTTTGTCACGGAATTCGTTCCAATCGACATGGAAGAGGCTGAAATGGCGCCACTGTACTTCCAGAAAGCGTTTCAAGATGCAGGCGGACTGGCGGACATATCTCCTTTAAAATGGCGAAAACCGGCGTTGGATGAAGAAGCGGAAGTGATATTCCGCGCGGAGCAAATGGAAAAGAGCCTCAAGGAGTTTCAAGCAACGAGTCCTTCTTTTTAAAAAAACCGATTACTGCCAAATTGAATGTCCAAAAACATGTCGAATGAAATTCTTTCTTTCTACTTTTTGATTCGTCCATGTCTAAACGATCATTTTTTATCTGATCGAGAGACTGCGATTAAGGCGAGTCGGAGCATCATTTGAATATTCTCATTTTTCGAGAATCGTTTCTTTTCTTTCTTTTTGCTGCTCGGCCGTCGGCATTTGAGGGCAGACCTCTTTACGAAAAGAGAAGAGAAAGGATCCCATATTTTTTTCTTCAGACAGTGCGCTATCGGATTGAAAATGAAGCCTTCACCCCACTTCAAATCGCCGGAGAAGACTTCTAACAAATCATCCAACTCGAAGCTGGCCTCAGATCTTGATCCCGACCAACCAAGTAAGCGATCAAATAAATATTGAAAATAAACTCGAATTATAGCGCCGAGTCCGCAACGAAAGACAAGATCTGCAAAGGAGATTCTCCAATCTCAGGAGAGCACCGATGGCTGGGAAACTCAGGAAACTCAACTTTCTCAACTGAGCCGATATGAGATGATGGAGCGAGCTGCTGAGTTTTCTCAAAGCACTACTGATGCTTCTTCAGATAAAAATCGCACAGAGCAAACACCAAGAGCAGGAAAGAAGCAAACCAAAGCTGTCAAACCATCTCGTAAGTTATTGACTCTTTTACTAAATCCTTACCTTCTGTTTAGCAAAAGCCACGCACTCGATAAGCGACGATCCCCTGGAAGGAATTTCCGTATCAGTCAGTGGTGAACTACTCAATGATGAGGTGCCTTCGGATCCAGAGATCTCCCTCTCCGTCAGCGGAGAACTTTTCGATGATGAGCTGCAGCCAATGGACACTGCGCAGATTTCCCAGCAAGACGAAGAAGAAGCCAACTCTTCTCAAGGCTCCTCCGTCTACAAAACGCCTGAAAAGAGTCGACCGAAAACGCCCAGTAAGACTGATCAATCAGCACCCGCTTCACCTCCACAGCCCCCGAGAAAGCTTCGTCGAAGACTCTTCAATGAAAATCAGGAAGAACCGATGGAGTCCCCGGAGATAACCATGGCGTCCTCGGGAGATACGACACGGAGATCAAAAAAGGTCGAATCAAAAGATGCCTGGTCACAGGTTTCTGGAGAGACGCTAAGAGAGACTGACGTGAGAAAAAGAAGGACTCACGATGTGCTGAACTTATGCGCCGAAGAGTCTCAAGAAGAAAAGTCGCAAGAAGGGATGAACCAGACTCAGCAAGTGAACGATCTTTTAAACCACACAGCGCTTGTTCTCGACTCACAACAGTCAGCACAAGCAACTCAAGCTCGACATGAGTCAACATCGGCAACTCAAATTCAACCTCAACAAGAGTCACAAGGGACCAACGAAAAATATTTTACGCCTCCCACTTCTCCAACTTTGGAGCAAGCCTCAGCGACACAGAAGACTTTCGACGAGGATTTAGATGACGATTACTTTGCGAAGCTCAAATCGCCGACGAGGAATGCTGAAATAAAGCAAATTAACAAGCAAGCAGATCAGGCTTATCAGCAAAAACGAGTTAACAGAAAAATGCCAAGATCTAGAGCAAAACCAACGCGTGATGAGGTCAAAGAATCGGTGGCTAAAGCCTGTCGCAAAGCACAAGCTGGCGGAATTAGTCGACGTCTGGAAGTCGCGAGAGCTTTTATTTCAAGAAGAAACCGAGCACGAGATTCGAGCGATCCCTTGAATCGAGAACTCGAAAATGCGACTTCTTGGGAGCCAAAAGTACCGAATGCGAATTTTTCTCAAAAAAGAGTTTACAGAAAAATGCCGCGGTCTAGAGCAAAACCAACGCGCGACGAGTTGAATAAATCTTTGGCTAGAGCCCTTCGAAAATTACAAGTTGGCGGTATTAGTAGACGTCTGGAATTCGCGAGGGCTTTTATTTCAAGAAGAAACCGAGCACGAGATTCGAGCGATCCCTTGAATCGAGAACTTGAAATTGCGACTTCTTGGGAGCCAAAAGTACCCAATGTGAATTTTTCGGAGCCCGTTCCAGGATCATCAAGCCGTTTCAAAAAGCGTCTTCCAGTAGCGGAAAAGCCTACAAAAGAAAAACCGGGACCTTCGAAGTCTAAATCTTCCAAATCGCAAAGTCAGGAACGCTCGCAGCCACGAGAAGAGCAGGAGTCAGCTCATAACTGGTCGCAGCAAGCTTTGTTCGATGAATCTGCGGAGGATCGACAAGCACTATCGCCTGAACATGATCAATCCCCACCCGCGCCAATTGACAGAGAGGACGTTCGCGAATCTACGTTTCCCACCTCAAACAAGAGAAAGCTTCAGACTCCTGAAAAGGACGCGCAGGGCGAAGCAAGCGCGAAAGATCACGCAGCGAAAAGGAGCAAGCACGAGAAGGAAAATATAACGCCTAAGAAAAGCGCGTCAAAGCCGACGATTCTTAAGCCAGCTGTGGATACCACCATTGCTCGTCGTCCAGGAAGAGATGCCCTGAGCGAGATTTCGGACTTGTCTTCTGCATTTGATAATGACAGTCCAATTAGAGGCGTCGGAAAGATGAAACAAAGTCAAAAGAAAGCAACCAAAGAAAAGAGTGCGAAACTGAGGTATGACGAACCAACGTGCAGCAAGAATCTAACACCTCCAGCGATGCCACCAGATGCTGATCTTTCTAGCTTCTTGAACTCGAGCGAGGATGAGGAAGTTCGTCGACCGCAAAGTCGTCCTCGGAGAAGAAATAGATCGCCAACAGCTAGCATGTCGAAGCTCACCAAATTACGATCACCAGAGAAGTCACCATCGCCATCTAAATCAAAAAAGAAGCCGATTTCGATGAAGAAAAAACATCCAAAAATTATTCCTTCTGCAGCTCGAAAGCCTCCGAGAAGCATCACTTCGTCCGTGGAGACAAGGGATACGCGAGAAGAATATGATGAGAAAACAATCGTCATCAAAGATGTGAAGAACATTAAGGGTACAATTGGATTCAGGCTCAAAGAATATAGCGAAGCAGGAATCTACATCAGCAAGGTTGTCCCGGGGTCGTTAGCAGATAAAGCTGGTCTTCGTGCTGGAGATACTATCATTTGCTTCAACGGTGTGAAATGCTCCGTCAACAGCCGAGTCAACCTGTCTATACTGCTACCAGTCATCGTCGAATCGGCTTTGAAAGACTTTGAATTCACTGTTCTTCGCGATGTACCCGACCAGTATTCGGAGGAAGAAGACGTTGACACATCAGGAGGTTCAGACATTCCAGATGCAGAGCCTGCAAAAGAAAAACCGGGACCTTCGAAATCTAAATCTTCGGAATCGCAAAGTCAGGAACGCTCGCAGCCACGAGAAGAGCAGGAGTCAGCTCATAACTGGTCGCCGCAAGTTCTGCTCGATGAATCTGCGGAGGATCAACAAGCACTATCGCCTGAACATGATCAGTCCCCACCCGCGCCAATTGACAGAGAGGACGTTCGCGAATCTACGTTTCCCACCTCAAACAAGAGAAAGCTTCAGACTCCTGAAAAGGACGCGCAGGGCGAAGCAAGCGCTAAAGTTCAAGCAGCGAAAAGGAGCAACCACGAGAAGGAAAATATAACGCCTAAGAAAAGCGCTTCAAAGCCGACGATTCTTACGCCAGCTGTGGATAACACCATTGCTCGTTGTCCAGGAAGAGATGCCTTGAGCGAGATTACGGACTTGTCTTCTGCATTTGATAATGACAGTCCAATTAGAGGAGTCGGAAAGATGAAGCAAATTCAAAAGAATGCAACCAAAGAAAAGAGTGCGAAACCGACAGGAAAGGGGCATGACGAAGCGGAGAATCAACCGACGTGCAGCAAGAATTTATCACCTCCAGCGATGCCACAAGATGTTGATCCTTCTAGCTTCTTGGACTCGAGCGAGGATGATGAGGTTGAAGAAGACGTTGACACATCGGTAACGATTTGAAATCTTGAAAAAAGAACTCTAACTTTACCTTAGTCTGACGAGTC